TAAAATATTTTAAAAAATTTATTCCTTAATATTAATAAAAAATTAAACCTTTATAAAATTAAAAAATAATTATATTAATTATAACGAAAAAAAAAAACGGTATTTTTAAAAATTTTTATTTAATAAAAATTTATAATAAAAATAAAGTTTATTTTAATAAATAAAAAAAAGTTTACGTTTAAAATTATATAAAAAAAATTTATTAATTTTTTAATTTTATTTTATTAAAATTATAACGATTATATTTTTATTAAAATAAATATATTAAAATAACGCGGTTTAATCGTAATAATTTTTTATTTAAATAAAAAATAAAATAAAATATTAAATTTTATTAATATAAAAATTAAATTAATATTATTTATGTTTAAAGTTTTAATAAAAACCGAATTAAAATATAAAATAACGGAATTAAAAATAACATGTTTAATGTGGGTAATATAAATAAATTATATTTAATTATAATTTTATAAAAAGAAAATTTAAATAATTATAAATTATAAAACGATAAAAGGAATTATTATATAATAATTTTTATAAATAATTAATATAAATAAAATAAATAATAAACTTATAATAACTTTAATATATTTATTATAATTTAATTTAAATATTTATTATATTATAAAATAATTAAACTTAATATTTAATATATTATTATATTTATTAATTATGTTTAATTTTTACGATTAATAAAAAGCGGATAATAATAAATTAATATTAAAGGATATATTCGATAAATATACGTACGTAATACATGAAATAATAATTAATAAATAATTTAAATAAAAAATTATAAACGGGTATTAAAAAAATAAATGGTTAAAAAAATTATTAAATATATTATAAAAAGTAAAAACGTGGAATAAAAATATAATTAAATGGTATTAATATATATTAAAAAATAATTTAATATATTATATAAGAATTATAAATTAACGTAGGTTTATAATTTTATTAAATTACACATATAAAATATTAACATTAATATATAATGTAAAATATTATTTTAAAATAAAATAAATAATTTATAATTTATAATATATTTAAATATAAAAATAAATATAAAAAATTTACGAATATATATATTATTATTTATAATATTATAAAAATTAAATGAATAAAAACAAGTTATATAAAGAATTATAATTTATAAATTTTTTATTATAATTATATTATATAATTATTTAAAATTTTATAATTAAATTATTTAAAATATCTTTAAAAAATATATTATAAATAATAAATTAACATAATTATTACGATATATTAATGGTTACCACGTGTAAATTTTTTAAAAAAATAATTTTAATTTTAAAAAATATAAAATATAATGTAATAATATAAATTAAATAAATGTTAAAAACATTAATATTATATAATTAAAGAATTTTATTAAAAATTATATTGGATAAAAATTTAAAATTTATTTTAAAGTTTTAATAAATATTATTTTCGTAAATAAAAATTATTTTAATAATATTAATATTATATTATTTTTAAATAAATAAATAATTAAAACGATGAAACTAAAAAATAAAAATTACTTTAAAATATTATTATTTAATATTAAAAGTAAAATAATTTAATATTATTCCGGTATTATAATATAATATAAATAATATAAAATTATAAATAATAAATAAAAACTTAAATAAAATTATATTAAATTTTAAGTTATAATTAATTTTATTTATTTTAAAAACTTTAATAAATAACGTTAATTTTAAAATATTTTAAAAAGTATATTAATAAAAAATAAAAGCGGTTATAAATTTTATAATTATAAAATTAAAATAATAATATAATAATAAATATAAATTAATATTTTTTAAAGTTAAAAATTTAATTTATTTACATTTATATAAAGGATATAATTTATTAAGAAATTTTTTAAAAAAATAAGATATTTAAAAAATGGGATTAATTATAATTAAAAAATAAATCGGTGATTTAATATATAAATTAAAAATCTTAAATATATGGAAAATAAATAAAATAATTTTTATTATTTATTTATATTAAATTTTATAAAATATAAATTTATATAAAAAATATAAATTATAATTAAAAAAAATAATAATAAAAAATAATAATAACGAATAACATTTATATAAAATTAAAAAATTTTTATAATAAAAAATAAATAAATAAAACGGATAACCGATATTAAAGTATTTAATTTATTAAAAAAATTATTTAATATTATATAACGTATGGTACCCGAAAAAATTATTAATGTAAAATGTAATAAAACTTATAAATAAATTCGATAAAAAAAATCCGATAACTTCGGATAAATTAAAAATATAACGCGTTAATAAAAAATAAAAACTTAATATAATAATAAAAGTTAACGTATTAAAAATAAATATTAAAATTAAATTATTAACGAAAAAATAATTTAAAGATAAATAAAAAAAAAAAAAAAAAAAAACATTAATAAAAAAAAAATAAATCATTTAAAGTTTATATAAATTTAATTTTACATTATATTAAATTTATTTAATATTCCCGTATATTTTATTTTAATATTAAAATATTTTTTTATAATAATATTAATTAAAAAATTTTCATTTTATAATTATAATAACGCGTTAATTAAAATATTTTTTTATATAATATTAATAATTTATATAATATTATTAATTTATATAATATTATTAATTTATATAATATTATAATAATAACATTTTTTAATAAAATCGTATAAAAAATAAACATTATTAATTTAATAAAAAATTAATTAAACGAATTTAATAAAAATTAATTTATTAAATATATAAAAATAATAATATAACGTTAATAAAAATAAAATAAATATAACATTAAAAATAAACAAATTATATTTAAAAAAAATATATATAATATTAATAAAATATAATTATTATAAAATGTAAAATCATTAAAAACATTTTATTTTTTTATTATTAAAAATTTTAAAATTCGGTAATAATTTAATAAAAAAAAAATAATTAACTTTCTTATTAAAACATTAATACATTAAAAAATATTAACAATTCATTTATACCATTAAATAAAAGTAATTTTAAAATATGTATAAAAATTTAACTTAAAATATAATTAAAATATAATTAAAATATTAAAAAATATAATATTTAAATTACTAAATTTTAATGTTTTAAAAACGTTATAATTATTAAAAAATATTAAACTTAAATACGGAATAATGCCGTAAATAATTAATAAATAATTTAAAAAAAATGGTTTAATATAACTTATATAAAAAGAAAAAATTATATTTAAATTTTAAATAAAAGTTTAAAAATAATAAAAAAATAAAATATAAACAATTTAATAAACATTAATAAAACATAAAAAACAATTAAATATAATAAATAATAAATTAAATAAAATATTATAAAAAATAAAAAAAATAAAACAAATTTTAATATAATAAAAAAATAAAAACATTTTAAATTATATAACACTAACCAAAAAACGGCCATAATAATAAAAACGTTATTTTTTTTATTCGTAAAAAACAAATATTAAAATTAAAATAAAATTAATTATAATAAAAATAAAAAATAATTAACTTAATAAACTTAATTAACTTAATATATAATAATTTTTTATAATTTCATAAATTATAAAATTTTTAATTTAATATAATAATAATTATAATTTTAATTTATATAAATAAATTATTATAAATATTTTTTATAATTTTTATTTTATTTATATTATACGAATAATAAAAAAATATAAAAATCATTTTTAAAGTTTTTAATTTATTAAAAAAAATATTAATATTTTTAATATAAACGTTATTAATTTTTTAATAATTAATTATATAAATTTTAAATAATATTATATTAAAATATTAAATTAAAAAATAAAAATATTAATTTTTTTTTAATTTAATTTATAAATTATTTTAAAAAATTAATTTTAACGTTATAATTTAAAATTATTACATTAAAAAAAAATAATTAAAATAATTTAATAAAATAACTTATTAAATTAATTAATTTTTTATATATAAAAATTTTTTTTAATATTTTTAATTATATTATTTTTAAATACGTACGTTTATTAATTAATAAAATAAATAAATTCGTTTAATAAAATAAATTTTTAATATTTTATAAAATAAATTCTTTTTTAAAACGTCGTTTATTATTTAAACGTAATATAATTAAACATTAAAAATAAACATTTTAAAAAATTAAAAAATTATAAAATAAAAAAATAAAAAAAAAATTTTAAATTTATAATAAGGGCACAAGATTTATAAGAAAAGGTTTATTTACTTTAACACGATCGCATCGCGTTTTAGCTAATAGGGCGGATATGGATGGAGCGTGGTGGGGTGGTTTGACTTACTTATTCTTAAAACGCTAACATGATTTAACATGAGACTACAGTTTAATTACACGGACTCTTGTGCCATACTGTGAACTTCTGATTTTGCCGGCGGTTGAGATAGAAGAAGGCCGTCGCGGGTCAATATGAGATGATGCAAGGTGGTCAAGATCTCGACCTGACAACGTTCCACTTCTGATGGTGTAGTGGTATAGCTCTTGCATCCTGTACCCTTACAAAGGCCTTATATTAGGTACCTATACCGGTCTCGCCCTATGTGAGTAGGTATCTAACCGCCGCCACGTGTCGCCGGCAATGAAAAGGGGTTCCTAGATATCTAGCCCGACGTCTACCACGATCAGCCTGAAACTTTATTATCATGCTAGTACAGGCGTTAAAATATAAAGCTTCGAACTCGTATCTAAAAAGTTACTTGTTCCTTGCGGCGGAGGACCGCGCTTAAAGGCGCATAAATGTTATATTTGCCGTCGATATTGATTCTTTTAACGCTAAGCGACTCAATGTCCCGAAATTACGGAAAAAGGGGGTGGCGGTAGGCCATTTGGGGGTAGTAGACCACAAAATCGAACACCGCCCCACAATGATGACTTCCGTTATTAACATTGGTAGGTACCGTCAACTTCTTTAACAAATTGTAGCAACAGAGAAATTATATTATGAGATTCTTTACCATTGCCCTGGAATCGTAATGCGTGAATCGATTATTCATCTGGTATGTACCTAGGTACATTATGGGTATCTCAGTTCCTAATATACGCGCCGTATTCGACATGCCAGCAGGTCGCCAGGCCGTAGACCGGGAAACCCGTACTACCGACTTGCGCACCGCTCTGAAAAGCCGCCACGCGCATCGCCGTCGTATCATCTCCCCAAAATCGTAATGCGCGGCTCATCTAAGCGCGTGCGCACCCAGTAGGTACCCCGCGCGTATCTAGTCCTAGATTATTAGCCGGGTTCGTCGCGCCACGTGGGCCATTCAGCTTCTGGAAGACGCAGTCGGAGTACCCTAGCTGGGAGTTGGGTGAAATGACGCGACTCTCGAGGTTCGGCTGCCCGCATATGTAGGAGTCGCCGACGGGCGCGTTGTTCATGCGGAAGAGGATGCGGTCGCGCGCCGCGTCCAGGTCCGACCACCGATGTTTCGGGACCGAGGCTTCGAGGGTGAGGTCGCCGCGCCGTGTGTCGTCGACGATAATGAACTTCGATGGTGCGAAGACAAGGCGGATCTCGGCGTCTAGATTGTTTAGGAGGGCTGTGTCGTCCCACGGAAGAGGGGCGACATCGCCCCCGGCGCTGGTCTCGGCTGTTTGAATTCTACCATGAAGAGGAAGGAAGGTGGCCCTGTGACAGCAGCGTTAAAGCTGAGGTACCTAGGTAGGTATATTAATAAGTTAGAGGGTAAAGGCTGGGTATATGGCATCGTGAAGATGAGCCGGCACCCAGTCGTAAGGACTTTTTCTGTCGACATTGACAGATCTCTAGTTGTTTTTTCTAGTGGTACCTAGATGGGTAGGTACCTATTTATGGATCTACGCATGGGTACTTAATTCATCCAGGCGAACCAAGTAATTGTCTGCTTGAGGTCGATCGACGATTGAAACTGTTCACAGATTGCCTCAGATGCGAGTCAGAGCAATAGAGCCTCTCCCCTTGCGAGAGCCATCACAGCATCATGCCATTGTTATACTAGACAACCTCAACAATGAAGTGAACCGAAAAAGGTGAGACGATGGATTGAATATTGAATTGTTTGTTAGCTCTTGGTTTCAGCTCAGTAATAGCTTGGATCAGCCCTCCCTTGTTCTCTAGGTTCTTTACATATAACCCCAATATTACCATCAAGTTGTGAGCACTATTGCTATTAATTAGTCTCAAGAGTATTATGATTATTATTTTAAAGCAGGGTACGTAGTCGGCTTGCTACTATGCCTGAATTATAAGCGAGCTCACGGTCTACGAAACAAGCAGTTCACGCATGATCGAATACTTGGCAAGGGCAGATTTCCCATAGGTTATACCTTTCAACTTAAGAAAAGTGACTTAGTCAGGCTACCTAGGTCTTAGGTACATAGTCAGAACCTTCTGGTTGTCAAATCTATATGAACGATCATTCAATAGCATTCTTTAGAGCCGTGTTGTTCTTCGTGATCTTGGCCCATTCCAAACTCTTTTGCCAGACCCTCTGCTGTACACTCTCATCCATTGTAATGGGGTCACTGTCATCCTTCTGCAGTAGGGTAAAGTAACCTTGTTCACCCTGATATGCCTTGTCTACTGCAAGTTTGATAACATCTACGGCCGCCTCAGCTGATGAGCGGAATGTGGGATCAGCTAGATAGCGGATCATGGACATGAATGGTTTGAGGACGAATCTCTGGGCGAGCTGTGTGGATCGGGCAGTATTAGTAGTAAAGCAACGCGAATCGCCGAGTCCACCTGGGTTGATAGCCACGGCGGTGATATTCTTGAAACGTGGGTTCTTGGAGATGTTACTAAATATCTGACTTGGCGCGACGCTTTTATGCATCGGGCGGTGCTCTGGTGCGTCGAGCGATGATTTCATGAAGGTTGTAAGATAGAGCTGAAGACTTACCTGCTGCAGGTAACGGTTAAGGGGGTACATCCAAGTCGTGATTACAAGCTTCGAATTTGCGTACCGTTGAAAGCCAAGGTCATGCTTGTCTTTGCCCGAGGGAGGGTGATTGAGCAGATCGATATCATCAGGAATGTCAGGCAAGTAGGACGTCATAGCATTCGGTTTGCGATAGTGACCAATGCTTGAGAAGAGCACGATACGGCCGTCAGAAGCAAAGCTACCAATGAGTCGCAACACGAGGATGACATGCGCGATATGGTTGACCTGCAGATAATGAGTCGTAGCACACAACATACGGGGCGGCACTTGTCACTATATGACCTACCTGTAGAGTTTTGTCATAACCATCTGTCGTGAGTTCAGAGTCGCCGACGAGATTCCAATACGAGGCACAGCATATGATGGATCTGAGGGCGGGATACTTCCCAGTCTCAATCGCCGTCAACATCGTACTGGCGAATTCATGCACTGCCGAAAGATTTGCGAAGTCAACCTGATAAATTGAGGCCTTCGCGTCCGGGCAACGTGCGATGACTTGACGTAGGTTCTGTGTATTGTTATCGACCTTCTCGGCATTCCTAACAGTAAAGATGCAGGTCAATTGAGGGTACTCGTTGAGAAGCCGTTCGGCTGCGGGAATGCCAACTGAACCGTTGGCCCCAGTTAGGATGACGGTGCCAGCCATGTTGAATGATTAGGGTGAGGGCAATGTGACAAAGGAAACATGATGGACGGCGCCGTATATGAGAACTCAGAGATGGTAAAGTGGACAGTGGTGTGGCCCCCAACCCAAAACTGCATAAGCCCAACACGACGATGTAAGGGATGCGAGAGATGTGAGTTAGGACAAAGAACTGGGAGCTCTTCCAACTACGATTGGAGGCCAGCCCAACGTCCAACATCCAACCTCCGGCTCCATTACCTATTTGGGGCGATGGGATATTTGTCAAAAGTCCCCAGTAACCCTTGGTGGCACAGGTGGCACAATAACACTGAGTTTAACCGAACCGCAGGTCCTATGGTTCGAATCATCGATCTCGCAGTTTTAAACCTTTCAAACCTTGCAACATTCAATTGAGCCGGTCAACCATAAATGCGGACTGAGAAGTGCGTACCTTCAGAGTTCGCATTTGCGGTAAGCGTACGTTCTCCGCCTTCGATCATTGATCACCCCTTGACTGATTCAAATGTCAAAATAGCTTCAAGTAGTAGGTAAGTAAAGACTTAATCACTGGTCCCTGCGTATAATCAGTTTAAGCCCTTTAATTTAGATAAGCATTTGGTTTATTTTGCATTAGAGATAGCTAGGAGGAAGAAAGAAAGAAGGCGCTTCTGGTCGTCTAAGGGGTATTCCCAAGTCCTCATAATATTTCCTCATTATTTTCAAGTACCTCCAAGAAACAATATCTCCTTTCCTCAACGCTAACCTCATCGGTATCAATTAATTGCAATGACCAGAAGCATTCAAACATATGCGGCGCTTCTGCTACCTCCACTCCTGTGATGGACGAAACTTAAAGCAATGATAGCGACACCGAAGATGAAGGCCAAGTATTCGAATACATAGTCGGCCTGGACTCGCTGGCAGCGACCATTCAACACGCTCTGGTCAGGAATCCCCGGACAGATCTGATTCCCTGCGACATCCTGACACCCGCCATTTAAGAGTTTATTCTCGAACCGCTGGTAGCGGGCCTCATCATCGTCAGATGTACAACTAGGTACAGGCTTCAGCGCAACAGTCAGAGCCTACGATGGTGGAGTGTCAGTAATGAACATAGGATGCGCGAAGTTTCCCATGGGAGCAATAGCTTGACTTACAATAGCGCCAGCGAGATAGAGAGCTGTCGCGAGACCGTCCGCAGCCATCACTATAAAGGCGGGAATCTTCTCGATGAAGAACGCTCCAAAGCCAATGAGGGAGATCAGGACGCCAAATGCGCCTACGAAGCTGCCGAACGAAGTTTCCGAGGGAGGCGAGCCGACCTTTTGTTGTTTTGCGAGGGTGACCGAGAGACCTAGGACAACTGCTCCGAAGAGGAGCTGGAAATTGATAAGTACTACGCTCGAGTAACGGTAACGCAGGCATGTGGACTTACCAGAAAGGCTCTCACAGCCAATGCCGCGATCTTCAGCATGGTTATTAGGTGATGGGTTCGTGGCCAATGTATTGAGAAAGAGTAGAGGTATTGTAGTAGTTAGGTTGACCGGATTATAATCAGACTCAGCGCAAATTTCTTAGGAAATAGAACAGAGGATCCTCGAGAAAGAGACTGGAGAAATATGTCTGCTGATTCTAGGAGGACCATATATAAGACTGGTATATGCACCTACATAAGGAAGCAGATAGGTAGGATTGCCCAGGCAGAAGTGTCGCCTATTACCTAGCCAAGCGGCCAGCTATTGGCTCTTCTGTACGATGTCACATTGCGCTGCCAGATATATACCACTTTGCGGCACAGCAGTGCCGGGGCCTGTGATACTCTCGTACCTGTAACAAGGCGTTCACTGACATCCTTATGATCAAGGTTGAGTACCTAAATGATCGTTAGGGCAGCTGCGGCTGAGGCTTCAAGTTCCACTACACAACGAAGGATTCCGGGGGTAATCATGTCTCTAACTTGAAACGCTGGTTTTGCTCAACGCAAAATCCGCATCATACTTACCACTCGCATCCAGAGGATTATAATCTTTCCGCAATCTACATGATGATTTGTTGAAACAAGCAGCACGACTGAGTTGATCCCTGGGGCTGTGTGATTTGATCTCAGTTGGGCTTTATGCTTACTTCCAAAATTGGATATCTGGGGAGATCTTGGAATGTGGCTGGTTTTGAGCGCGTCTGACGATCTGCGACATCCCCGGTTCGATTCGTCCAACCGAAGCAAGTTTGAATATTTCAGTTCCCGTGTCACTCCAAACATTCTAGGCACGTTCTAGTCCGCGGACCGCCACAAAGACACCTTATCGAAAGCCTGCATCTGAAAGACACGCCATTACTGGTGTGACTCAAGACGCTAGCAAGAGGCAGACGGGAATATATGCCGATAATAATGTATGACCCACCTAGCCCTACCATAAGGAGGCACAGCCCGCGGCCAGGGAGGTTAGGAGGAAAATACGCAGATCACATGCCGGCCGAGTTGGACAATTCCATCTAATTATAACATAACATCATATCATCATACATGTCGTGCTTAATTGATCGCTAGTTGCACATGAAGGTAGTATGCCTATATATCGCATTGATCCATACCCTCAGCACGATATAATAATAACCACCGCCTTACCACATCCGTCTCAGCTCTCGACTCGAGTTCATCAGCCAACTAAGCAGGCTTTGTTCGACAGACGCCACCCCGCGCGCGTGTTTCCTCGACTGTTCCTTGGTGAGAGTCGTCCCTTTCCCAGCTTTTGTGCGATACCACAGCGTATCTTCTATTTCCGACAGGACCATCGCGTAGAGCAGCGAACCGTGGATTTGTCGACGCTCGTTATCGGTCGCGGCCTTCATCGCCGACGTTTCGGTCTCGCGCGTCACGAACTCGGGCCAGATGAGGGCTACCAAATCGTCGAGCGCGTGCCTCAGTCCGATATTTATGTGTTGCTCTCGATGAGTACGGTGCGTCGTCGCGTCCAAGGGCACGTGGGCAAGTGTCCTTTGCCGACAGATAACGCATTCGTCAGCGAGTATGTATCGAAGATTCGATTTGACGAGTTTCCACCTGCATTCGGTGCAGTTGTGCGGGTCGATCCCGCCCTCGGCAATCGTCACCGGAAACCTGTCTCGGATAGGTTCGTCGCCGTCGACGGGAAGTAGAGCGGGTCGTATCGCGTGCCCGCAGCCTCGATACGACATCCGGAATCCGCAGGACGGACAGGTAAGGTCGGTCCCGTGCGCTATCAGATCGCTAATGCAGCGGTCGCCGAAGACGTGGCCGCATGCGAGGGCGACGGTCCTCTCGATGCCGTGCCGGGCATAGTTGAGAAAATGCGGATGCGCTCCGAAGTGTTCAGTAGGGGGCGCGGTCGATGTTGTGAATTCCCTAGCACTCATCGATATATCCAGCTTGTTTTCCTGGCATATCCCGCACACTGTTTCCAAAATTATCCCATCTAGGTCGTCTTGGGTATCAAGGTGTTGTTGAATATAGGGGAGATAGTTGCTCCTTTGAACTTGCGCCATGATTAGATGTTTTATCCTTCTACTCTATTACAATATGGGCCTCTAAGAGGACGTCGGCGCGAGGTCGGATTCGTCGTGTGCATTTGTACTGCCATGAAAAGCAGGAAAACAGAATCCAAGATTAGCAACAAGCACCGCGGCACAAAGCGTCTTTTTTAATTCAGTCGGTAGGGCACAAAGATTTTGAGTTGTCCTTCGGGCGTAACAATGCTTTTGTGATAAGGATAGGAGATGAATGAATTCGAATGGCGATGACGACCATGGCCAAATAGGATCATATACGACTCCGACTGACCAATAGGGGAACGTCATAGGAGCTATCAACGCATAGCCACGTCAGAAGGGCCCGGGACCGCGCCACGCTGCTCGTAAAGCGGGAGCGCGACTAATAGAAATCTTACAAACTTGTACGACTTTGGATTCTTGGAACTGCAGCCACCAAGAGCCGTCTAACACAAAGCCGGCGGCACTCACACCCGGAGCCCAATGAAAACGATATTAATACCCATATACTACATCGCACAGTTTCACATGAGCAGTAAACTCGAATAGGGACTCCCAGATCGGCGTCTGATGTATATATTGACTAACACATTTCGAAACCGGGGCTTATTCTATATGTCTATGTCCAGCGAATGTTATCAATACACCATCCACCATCGGGAGTCGCGCTGCTAACAGCGATTCCCGTCAATGGGTTTGCGGGGAAATTTAGAATCCCTGAGAGCCAACAATATCAGCCACAGATCACTCTCGCATATAGGTTATGGAGAGAGGTAGGAAACTCACCTGCTTCTGGACCTGAGCCTGGGCGTTGGCGATGGTCGTGGCGGCGTTAGGGTCGACAAAGCCGCAGCCAAGCTTTCCGTTTTGGTTCGACGCGGCCTCAGCAGAGCAGACTCCGAGGCCAGACGACTGGACCTCGGCGCAGCAAGCCGATTGGCAGTCCTGTTCATTCAGGGCACTGTTAGCATCCGATAATATTTCTGGTATACGACATCGCAACCCGCGGGATTGACGTAGGAGGATCACTTACAGCGTCCGAAGTGCAGCCTCCGGTGATGAACTGCTGTCCGTTGCCCTGGCCAACGTTCTTGGCCCCGGCGTTGTTGGGAGTTACCTGGGCGAAGGCCGTGAAGGCAACTAGCGGAAGGGTCATTATTAGCTTGAACGCTGACCTAGTAGACACGAGATGGGGATTGATCGCGGCGGAACTTACAAGCGAGGAAAGCGGCGGCGGCGATGCGAACCATTTTGAAGAGAGTAAGATTTAAATTTACTTAGTTAAGTATTATGCGTGAAGTGTACAAAGCGAGCGACACCTGGTCGAAAGAATGGATTAATATCGAACTGAAAAGTTGTAAGAGAAAGGCTGGTTGTTGAGATGAATGATGCTGATGCTGATGCTGGAACATCTTCACCTGGGGGATTATGCATCTATTTGTATTTTTCTTCTTTCCTCCACACTTCCTCCCATCTTCTCGCCCGACTAACAGGTGATGTTCGTTGAATTGACACTGGGATCAAACCCTCACGAAGATCAAACGCGACTCGCGTTTGTTGCGGGGCGCGCGGTGGGCTATGATACTATTTACATGAATTTGCTAGGGCTTTGACACGTTCGATGTAAGTCGACACGACTTGACCTCGTGTGGCCTTGACGTTCGATCATTCAGGCAAAATGACCTTGGCGTGCGATCGTCAATCCCCAGACTGTCTGGCGTCGGCGTCAACTCGACTCGGAGATCTGAAGATCTGCGACATGCTTCGGACGATGCAACATGTTCGGCAGATGGCATGATCCGGGATGTCGCGTTTCACATCTGTCCCAAGAAGCACCTCGCGGCCGGAATTGTCAAGTATACCGCATATCTTATACCGCGAATGGTACTGCTATGGGACGGCGCGTCCGAACGGTAGGTTCTAATGGCGTGCTCAATTGTCCCGGCTTGACTGATCGGGACTGGGTGAATAGAGCACTGCTGTTCGTCCCGAAAAAGGAAGATCTTGAAACACCACCTCCACGCATAAAATATTAGGTAATATCATTTCATAAACACTTTTTAACATACCCAAGCCACTTAGTTCGTAAGTCCCATTTTTTCCTCAAGTTGGCGAAGTCCTCGTCTTCAAAAAATATAAGAAGCGCCAAGTCGACATTCCAGAGGGTGAAACGTATAATGACGTGAACTCAGGGCAACCGTATTATCGCCATTCGACCACAACCATGGTGTACGTCTAGATCTAGACGGATCCTTCAACAACATTGGAGATGTTGCTAATTAGGTACCTGGTGTTACAGCCCACATGCGCGAGGCGGAATAGTGGTCCATTGAACGTGGTATTCATCAGTCAACCCAGCTCAGCTGGGAAGAGCCGCAAGTGAGCTGAAACTTAGGCAGCTCGCCCTCTGGGTGGACCGCGACGACACTAGAGACTTCGCTTCATGCCTTGTGTGACTCAATGGGTCCTGTCACGTATGTCTGAAGAAAAACCTGTTTGTTGCTGTGACCCGTGATGCTGGATAGGGGATAGGAGATGACCCTTGTTAACCTTTGCGCTTGCCTGCGCAAATCTGGATGAGTAGGTAATTCGCATAGCTTAATACCTGAATACCTGTAGGTAGGTAGGTGCCTGGTAGCGAGAAGCTATGGGAATGGTACCTATCTATGCTCACCAAAATATCAAGCACTTAGTCACCTAAATCTCACAGGAGTCTTGGGCTTATCTGAAATATCATCACTTACTGTGAGGTGGTCAACGATATTCGTTGTCTTTATTGTTAGCACAGGTAATTGTACCTATTCATTCTCGTCCAGTCTCAATTAGAGGAAGCGAAAAGAAGTGAGGAGGACCACTAGACCTCAGCTACTTGTCGTAGACATATCTGACGATTTCCTTACTCGCACAAATCGACCCTGTCTCCGAGTCACTATACTCAATCAATTTTAAAACATCAATTTTTTAGTTTATCCGCTAAGATATTGAGAATTATATAAACCCGACTTACAGAAGAGAAGAGTCGAGGATTTGAGGATTCATTATCCGCCATGTGGGTATCCTCATCATGGCACTGATGTCTAACACCGAAAACGGTCGGCGCCGGGTGAAGGTGATCCTAGAATGGGTGTCGATTCTTCTTTATATGGTGAAACTTGTGTGCCTACATACAAATCAGACGAACTCAGAGCTTCCAGTTCTGATGTTTGAAGAACTCGACCGGAACTTTACCAGCCAAATTCAACCTTGGCGTAAATCCACCGCATCTCTTAGAGGGCGCGAATTTCATGAAGCGGGATTGTAACTAAGTATCGATCAGCATTTTATACGTCTCTTCAAGGCGCGCTCCTGACCCAAAGACATTAAATGGGCACATCGAAGCTATTTCGCTATTTCGCTATTTCGCTATTTCGAATACACGGAACTATTGTCGTCATCACTGGTGGTAGAATAAGTGAGTTGTTATATTCAAATATTTTCCATCCGTTTTTAACTAGGTAGGTACTTGATCTGCAGGAATTGGATTCGTTATGACTAAGGGAACTGGGGGCAAAGCGGGTGCATATCCTCGGGCGACGAAGAGAAGTGCTCGAGACGCCGCCGCTCACCCGAGCACCATCCGTATACAATGTGATGTCACGGACAAAACCTCACTCCAATCCGTCGTTGACTTCGTGACGAAAGAAATGGGACACATTGGGCTGGTCATTGCCAACTCATCTTCGACCCTCGATAATGTTGGAATAGCGACTTATCTATCCTATAACCCCGAAAGTACCTATTCGAAGATACCTCCGTCGAAGAGTCCACATGAGCCCTGCACACCAACGTTGCCGGCAAACTGTTCTCCATCCTTGCGTTCCTCGAGCACTTAGACACGGGCAACAAGCAGACAATAAAATGGGTGTCCAAGGCCCCGGAAAGGCAAGGCATCGATGAACCTTCAATCCAAAGTCAGGCCATCAACACCACCAATCTCTCTGATCTCGTTCGGGTCTAGCTTAGTGCTCTCGCCTATGAGTGGGCAAGGCGACGATTGTCCACCCCACCAAGCATACAAGCACAAATATTATCAAGCATGGTACCAGGGTTGATGTTCTCACCACAGGGGGTAAGCTTCGTAATTGGTCTTGGCCGTTCTAGACATTGACAAATATGTAGTATTCCCTTCCAACATGATAGTCCCATTCATTGGAACATTCAATTTCTCCAAGTTGACTTGGGATGAGTCCTTTCATCCTAGCTAGAAGACTCGGTGGCGACGATGACATGGCTGGCAGTGTTCCACACTTGGAGAGCATGGCAGGTTCTTACTGCAGTGGATTTGTTTTCGTTAACGGCGGCAAGATATGGACCTTACCATACACGTATGAAGGCTTATAGCCAGGGACCGGCCACCACACCTCATGTCGATAATATTGACGTTTATCGCTCCGACCTCATTTAGTTGATTCGACAAACCTTCCCACGTGAGATGGAAGAAATTGGCAGAGGTCGAGTTCGTATTACCGCCTGAAGCCCAGACCGAGGAAAACCGTACAGGGATCCATTTTATGTGAAGTTGTACATGCTGTCTTCCGCATAGGTTGGTCAAGATTGTGATCGAAATGGATATCGTAGAGAATATGCATCCCCTTAGGTGGGCAGCACCGCTACCTGTGCGGCTGACACAAGCTGATAGAGCAATTGATTTGATCCCAGCAACGAAAGCCCACAAGATGCTGCTGTGCCAAGGGCCCTGGAACAACAAGAAGACCCTGCAACCTTGTGTAGCTATGCAGTTTAGACCCTTGGAATACAAAGGGTATTACCAGGGGCCAGCTTGTCGCAATCAAGACCCTGATTCTCTTGCAGGAGAGAATCCAACGGAACACGATGCTCCTCGGCGATTGCCCAGCAGCTGTCGCCCGACTTGATTTTGTACGGGCTGCTGTGGTCGCGGCATGTAGTCGGGGCGACCCGTTTAGTCGCGCCGCCAATGAACCAGAAGATAAAGAGCAGGAATAGGCCAACTAGTAAGAACCAATTAAGTAGAGGCCCCATCTCATGTCGCCATGAAGTGTTTTCGGTCGGCTCCTGCAGTGGCTCGGTATCATCGTGTGCATCATCGCCGTAAGGTGGGAATGTCGTGTTGACGCGATGGAGTTGGCCATACTGATTACCCGGAGCGCTCTCCCAAATGCTGCCGTCGCGGTCGCGAAATGTATACGTCTGGGTGTCGGCATCGTAGCCGATGCGTTGCATACCCTCAGGTAGACGTTCCTCGTCGGTATCGTATTGAGACCAACGACTCATCGTGCCTTGAATGCGGGAACAGCTGAGGATGGGCGAAACTATTGAATCTTATTGAAATTTAGTCAAACTAGGAACTTCTTAGTGCGGGTGCTGGAAGCTTATTGCAAAATACTAGCTTCAACGAATCTTATAAGCTATAAGAGGGAATCTAAAAGGGGAGTTGGTACGAAGTCAATTTAATGGCGAGGTTGTAAAGTTGCCGGTCATACGTTGTATGTAACGAGACAAGACGGATCCAGTTCATTTTGCTTACGTCAGATTCGCTGAACTGTTTCAAGAAGCAGGCACCCTGCCCCTGACAAGCGCAGATACGGGTTGGTTCCAACCGAGCAGGATATTATGACGTCACAGGTGGCCGAGCTTCCCGGTTTCCCGGCGGAAACCGCCAACTAGTATGCGATATAAAATAGACAGCGAATAACTTACATCCATTATTACATAATTCAGTGGCCCCGAAGAGTTGGATGAAGACCATGAGGATTTTAGTATTTGAATTCAAGCACTTGCTCTAAATCGTTTCATTTCCAGGCAATCATAGGACCAGGACGTAGTTGGCTTCAAGAACATCGCATTAAACATATAATTGATTTGATTATTGCCAAAGCAGCTATAATGCTGCGTATTCCACAGCAGATGGCAGCTATTTGGCTAATATACAAGTCAGCTAGTCAAGCAATGCAAACGCTATCGCACAGAACGCCGTCGAGATGCCTGGGAGGAATAATATTACAAACTCGGCTCAGATTACGGCCGATATCACCATCGCCAGATCCTAATTAGGAATTCGACCACTTAGCCCAGTCAGTGTGTCTTCTTACCTCTTGCATGCTAGCTAGCGGCTTTCAGACTGGGTTGCCGTCTTCTCATACTCCGTCTAGTGCCGTTTTGTTCATCGTCCTCTCCATCGTAAAAGTCATCTTCCGTGTTGGAGCCGCGGCGGTTCTTTCGAGGTCGACCTCTTCCCCTTTTCACCGGCGTCTCCTTATTAGGAGATGAAGAGCTAGTAGCGGAGGGTAACTTTCGTCCGCGGATCTTAGCTTCGTCTTCGGCTGTCAAGAATCGATGCACGGTACGGTGATCTAGAACGCGCTCCTCTTTATCGTGCTTGCCCTCTTTCTCAGTCTTGGGCCACAGGTAACCGTACAGCTTAGAATGCCGCTCACATCGCGGGCACGAGCTTCGTGTGAAGTACGCATTCTGCTGCACGAATGGCTCGCTACAGATTGTACAGTGTATCCAAGCAGTGTTAGGCTCAGAAAGTAAGAGAGGGGTAAGCGTGTAGTCCCCGGGCGTTCGAGTACGAGATGGAGGTGTATGTTCCTCAACCACATGATTAATTGCTGGGAGCTCGCCCTTTGGCGGTCTACCTCTAGGACGACCTCGTTTAGGAGTAAGTTCGTTATTGGGGATGGGTTCAGCGGGCGCGAGGGCTGGCTCGGTTGCTTGCGTCGAATCGGCGGCGACAGTAGTCTCAGATGTGGCCAGGGGCGGAATAGTAATTACATCTGAAGGCTGTTCATCGACCTGACTGGACGGGGGTGTCACCAAAATCACTTCACCGGTCTGGGCTGTGCTTTCGATAGTAGGCAATGGAGCAACCGCGATTGAATCTTGAGTAACCGGAGTTGTCGGGGTGTATGTGATCTCCGAAAGCGAGGGTGTCTCTAAATCTTCTTGTTTCAGAGGACTTGTTGGTAATTTCACAGGAGTCAGAATTGGTGAGCTCAGAAGGGGCTCCCTTATGTCTTCTTCAGGCGTTGTCACATCTGTTAAACCCACGTCGACGCTTTCACGTCCTGAAGAACGAGCGCTAAACGAGTCCTCATCGCTACTTCGTCTGGAAAGGCTCGGCGGTGTAGGCACGGCCTGAATTTCATACTGGAGCGTCTTCAGTTTTTTATCCGGAGTGACAGGTGGCGACTGGAGAGATTCGAATTCGCGCTTCCGCTTCTGGCGCAAGATTCCCTGAGGAGCAGGAGACCCAAGAGTGGACGCTCGCTCTGAGCCCGCTTTCAGTGTCTTAGATCGCGTCTTCAAAATCCTAGGTCGGATGTCAGGCGTGACTGAGGGAGTTCGGGAGGTAGAGGCGCAACTATCGTCCCGTCTCCTATGGCGCAGAGAGTAGCCCTCAACAGTTGTCGCCTCGATACTCTTCTTCACTATCACAGTGCCGTCGGCCGGTGCCCATCCGTTCACCAAATTGTCCTCGCAAGTCTTACATAGACACTCGCAGTTATCCACACCAAAGTAGTTCTCGGAATATGTGACAGTAATTTCCTCTCCTACTTCAATGTCGCGCGCCGCAATGATCTCAATCCCCGCTTGACCGGTAGTCATCAATCGCGCATTTGCTCCGCAGTCGTGGTTTGCGAACCGCGCAGGTCCCATGAACAAGCTTGCGCACTTGTTTCTCGCACTAACAACGATGCTGAAGTCCTTCTTTCTCTTTGAAAGCTCCTTCTCCTCCTTCTCTGTAATCAGCACCTGAATACCAGAGAGGTACTTAATCGGCTGGCCCCTCCTAATATACTTGCGCGCAGTCACGGCCGCCTCGTGGGTGACAATCGTGTAACGGTTCGTCGAGCTAACTTCGTAGGGACAATCGGGAAGATAGATCTGCATATAGCGACGAAGATGAGCACGGAAGTCATCCTTCTCCTTAGGAGTTTTGAGTGCGTCATAAAATTTGCGCAATCCGTCTGTCGCAAGCAATTTAGATTCTGCGGTATCGATATCCGGGTCGACAATAAGATGATTCTGGATAATCTTCGCAATTTCCTCCTCTTTCACACCCCTTGACGGGTGATAAGACGGGCGGTTTTTTGGAATTGTGGTCCAGTAGTAGGCCTGTGGTATGGAGTCAGCTTCGTTATAGAACGTAAGGTCAACTATCCCATAAATGGGTAATCACACTGACATGATCAACTAATGCGTCTGTGAGTATATCGTCGTATGACGATAATTGCGCCAAGGTAATCTGTTGTTTCTTCAAGTTGGTGGGCGGTTTGGTAGACATCGTGATAAGCAGCGTTACCCAGCTGCGCTGGGTGAGAATTGGGAGACGCTGGGTGGATGCACCAAGGGAGGTAACGCTGGTAAATTTGGGGAACCGGTTTGCGAATATCGATTTGGGTGATGTTGTTATTTAAGTCTTTCGACAGCCCCAAAATGGTCCCAAAATGGTCGACCTCTTGCATGCAAGTAAGATGCAAGTCAGGTCAAGTGGTGACACTGGTTGGCAAGAAACGTGGTCTCCAAGTAGGGCTGATATGCAAGTCAGGAGGCGGAGTTGAGGTTAACAACAGATCCCTCCAGCGCCAGCGCATAAACGCTTATATGTGTCTTTTATTAAAGGTTATCGTCATAAGCTGACGAGATGAGGAGGTCTGGTATTGGAGTATATATCGTCGTCATGCGGAGATTGAACCAGAGAAGACGAATGAGAGAAGGGCGACGAGTATGAAAAGGGAGAAGGGAAATATATGAATGTGTCCTTTGATTATGACAATGCCCATTGATACTAAAAGAAGGTCATGGCACTGTTGTTGAAATTCGACTGTGAATAAGGGAAACTGGAACGAGAATATGAACGTCGGAAGAACTCAATTGGGAACGTCTACTGGTGAAAATCGGTCTAGAAACAAAAATGAGAAATGGAAACGCAATTCTAGTAATAGTGTTAAACCCATAACATAAGTTCGAACGAACTTCGAACAAATGTGGGTGGAAGCGCCGGCCCCTTGCGAACGGGCGCAAAAGATGAGAGCTTTGGAGTGCGAAAAGTGGGAAAAAGAGGGTGGCAGGTCAACCAGATGTTCGAAGTGGATCCCTCTGATGCAATCAGTCGATCAATTCGGGAGGGAACTCCAGGGGAAAAGGGCTGAGCCACCATCTAAATCAAGCCTGATCAAGCCTCACTGAGATGGATCCCTAAAATATCGAAGCAAGTGCGACACATCAAGCAGGGTCGTCAGCCACAATTGGAAGTTCCTGACAGCCCGGCCCCCGAAATGGCCCCATTTCATTACATAAGGTACCTCGAAGTACAGATCTTAACCCAAATTAGAATTGTTGGAGCCGGGGCATGAGACCACTGATATCGGCTAACCAAATCCAAGTTCAGGGACCCGAAATCCAGAACCAATCAAAACACATTTTCACATCTCAGCCTTAAACGATTTTCGACAGAGCCTCGAAATTTCAACCTCAAACAAGCCCTCCAACCGTTATCCTCACCTCATTCTTATATCGTCGCATCGCAGTCCCCGCGATCGGTGCCCTGCGTTAAGGGTGTATATCGACCGAGATGATTCAGCTCAAGGTAAAATGGAACAACCTCGAAAAACGTTCTGATATGTCTTGTTCGTTAACCGAAAGTGCAAAACTTTTAGACGATGCTTAATTGCATCGACAACTCCGGTGCCGCCTTGGTCGAATGCGCCATCGTCATCGGCCAGAAGAGACACGCCACTATTGGTATGTTCATCTTCTCCAAATTAACACCGCTTCGTTCAATCCGATCATCTTCTCCCATGTGGCCATTCACTAAACCGAGATCCTTCCGCAGGTGACAGGATAGTGGCTATCGTCCAGAAGCAACGAGGAGCTAGCGATGCCGGCATGGGTGCCGCCTCTGCCGCGAACAAGGTGAAAAGGGGTGATATTAGACACGCTATTGTCGTCCGTACTAGGAAGCAGGTCCAGCGCCCCGACGGCAGCGTCGTCCGCTTCGACGACAACGCCTGCGTCCTCATTAACAAGGCCGGAGACCCAATCGGCACCCGCGTGAACGGCGTGGTGGGAGCAGAACTCAGGAGACGCGGATGGAGCAAGATCTTGAGTATGGCACCATCTCATGCGTAGATGACACCTTCGGAGGAAATATATCTGGACGATACGAGAGTACGAATAACGTCATGAATGGACGGGAAAATATAAAGCCAATACCAACGAATAAAAATAGCTTTGCAACCTAGTGTGTTATTAGATGGACAGGCGTTACTACGTCACAAGTTGTACGAATCTTGTACTATACGGAGCTTTCATAGAGAAGGCGTTCTGAGGATATATCGGCACAACCTAACGATTAGCTTGCATACGACGCCCGAAATCGCAGAGGACTTCCACTATCGAATGTACGAAATCCCCAAGTATCACGCTACGCCATTTGTAATACCTATTCCGTGCTGGTGCTACGGGTTCCATTTTAGCTGCGATAGTTGACTGCATAGCGTACGGAACAAGTATTACGTGTAAGTGCGACTTCATGATGCGAATGAGAGTATATTTGCTATGCCGGTGTCCCCCCAAATCAAAGTGCCGAGTTCCCTACGACGGTAGTATTATAGGAACCATCGGGTATCAGGTCTTAAACGCCAACTCCATGCAATACCTCAAATGACCTCAGTGGTCGCATCAAAAGTCCCTGCATTATCCTTGTCACCCGAGATTCGTATTTCTCATCATTTGAGAGCTCGGTTACTGGAAGATGTGACCGCATCCACAGCATACGTAGAACAGTTTCTATCAAGAACTTGTTAGAAATCTCATCTCCATAACGAGATAACCATGTAGGTAAAGAAAGGTGATACTAACCATGCCAGTTTCTGCACTTCTTTGCTGGGACTGGAAGAATACGGCTTCCTCATGCTTGCACACAGGGCAAGATTTGTTTGATCGGGGTAGCTAAATGACAGAAACATATGTCAGCACAAAGCTCAGCAAGAGAGTACACACAGCGCATGCCCCCCAAAGCTAGATGCCCCGTGTTGAAATACTGTTGAGTCATTTTGCATATTCCGGTACCAGGCTATCTGTCTGATGGCAATAAGATGCGATAGGTGAGACCCGTATGAGTATGTCGAATGATCAAATATTGGTCAATAGGACCGTCTCGGTCAAGACCGGATAACGAGTTCATCAAGCTCAATCTCTGTCTCCCCTTATGGTTCCTGTACGATTCCTAGAGTGAAACAACATCATGTTGAGTAAGATTGAGTACACTCAGTCGAGCATCGATACGTCATTGTCATCCGGGGGATCATCATATGTTTCGGGAGGATCCGCGTCCGAAGCACCGAGAAATTGAGCCATGGGAAGATAAGAAGCGAGACTATCTGCTGAAGAGTCCGGGATATTGGGCTGTCCACAAGAAGCAAATTTGTCGACCCAGGTGTCTTGTTCTTGATCATCTAATGCGTTCCAGTAACTTGCGAGTTGTACGAAGTCGAGGGATCTCTTAAAGGTGAAGTCCGGGTGATGCGCCACGAAATGGTTGTACTCCTCAACTGATGCAGGGTCTTCACACGATTTGCAATGGAGGAGGGTCACGCCACATCTCAGACAGATAGCCACACTGTTATCGGTAGAGGAAGGGGTGGTGGTGGTGGTAGTGGTGGTGGAGGTGGAAGGGGGGCATTGGTAAGAAACATCACTACGAACCGTAGGATCCGATCCGACGTCCTGAGTCACTCCTGCAGTCTCGCCGGCAGCGTTGTTCATAACGTTGCGGAAAACGCAAGACGAGGTGGCTTCCTCGGTGTACTGGCATGTTCGGCACGTGAACTGTAGCTTGTGCGCGTCCTCATCCTCCTTGGGATACAGCATGTTGGAACACTCAGAGCAGAAGCGAAATGTTATTTGCTCCTGGTTGCTCTTGGGAGCGTCGCCATCGTTGCTAGGGGCTGGCGAAGACATCTTGACGATGAGGTATCTCCGGTTTCCCTATTGTTGATTGTCGGATGAGGCGATCGGAGATTGCCGCAAAGATGAAAGGTTCTGAGGAAAATTAGTAAGACCAGTAAGGGTTGGCTTTTCTGATTTTACTGGAATCTTGGTTATTACCGTTGCGAGAATATGTCTAGGTAATTGTAAGGGTTTGGTTGTGGATAAGAAAAGAAAACAAAATTAGGATGAGGTGAGAAGTGATGTTTTATGATTGTGTGCTGGCATCGAAATTGATTTGATTCAAGAAAGATTGAAAGATGGAAAGATTTAGGTTAGGTGACTAGGTAATTTCAGGATTAGTCAATTCTAAGCTCAGCGCCGCCTTTATTCTTGGCGGTAAGCACGTACCTATATAGAACTCATTGGCATGCGGCTGCCAATCTGCCAGTGCCAGGTGTGTTGTAAGTGCCAAGGTATCTAAGTACTCGTGCCTTCCAGTTACTATTGAAACTGTACAAGATACACAATTACATAATCACCCCGCGTTTCATCTCATTCCGTCGTCAGGTTGCCCCGCTCAACTGGCAGCATCCTCGTGATCGCTCTTACCTACCTAGGTCAGGTACGGTATCCACCTAGGTATTCGATCAATCCCTCGTTCTTAAAATCCCCAGCGGCTAAAACTTACTAACTCGCTTGCATCATCGTCATCAACAACAATAACATCAACAACCACGTCACTGAATCACTCGCTTTCCCACTCACTTATATTCAGACACAAGCAAACCCAACTCAGATAGATCTGCTTGGCTATCCGATTTCTCCTCTTTTGTCACCGTTCAATTGCCCAACTTCTGGATTTGTTTTCTAAGCTTGTCGAGCTTGTCAAGCTTCTTTGCGATAAACGCCAGCAAACCCCTTCGTTCTTTCACCTACCTAGGTAGCTCAATCATCGCAGCAACACGTAGTTTGTTGCTACACTAGCCTCGTGAAAGGGCTGATAAACAAAATATATCAGTCCCTATTACTAGCATCGTAGTCGTATATCTAGCACAATATGGTAAGTCTGTCCCGAAACTGTCAATTACCAACTTAAAGTGATCGGCGTTGCAAATATCCCGTACCCATCTATCATCGTATCAACAAGATCACTAATATCACCTTCCATTAGGATACTGAATCCGGATTGCCGCCTAACTGGGAGGTGCGCCACAGCAACTCCAAGAACCTCCCGTACTACTTCAACGCGAATGATAAGGTCTCGCGTTGGGAACCCCCGTCTGGTACCGATACCGAGAAGTTGAAGAAGTACATGGCCACCAACCACTCAGCCACATCCCAGATCTCCTCCGCCGGCAAACCCGAGGGCAAGATCCGCGCTGCCCACCTATTGGTGAAGCACCGCGACAGTCGACGACCCGCAAGCTGGCGCGAGAGTGAGATTACTCGAACCAAGGAGGAAGCCATGGCTATTATCAAGGCTCATGAGCAGAAGATTAAGAGCGGCTCTGTATCCCTCGGCGAACTCGCCATGAGCGAGAGTGACTGCAGTTCGGCCAGAAAACGAGGTGACCTTGGCTATTTCGGCAAGGGGGACATGCAGAAGGAATTTGAGGAGGCCGCTTTCGCATTGCAGCCAGGCCAGATGAGTAGTGTTGTGGAAACGGCAAGTGGACTACATTTAATCGAGAGATTGGTGTAGATCCTATAGGAATCGAAAGGAAAAGAGCGCACGATACTTAGCCATGGCCATATTCAGAATAAGTGCCAGGCGAACATCGTGTTCATGAAATTAGGATCCATTTCCCGTCATTCAGCATAGCATAGAGGAAACTGAGAGAAGTTTCCCCTTTCACGAATACAAAATTTTGCTGTTTAGCTGGCCTTACAAATCAAATCCATTCACTTTAATCAAATTTTCATGGTTTTCCAAGTACTCAGTGCTTAGGTAGATAGCGGCGGGTTCTAAGAACCACCAGGAATATACCTAGGTAGTCCCCTGAGATTCTCCTAAATGTCTACCTATTTTGGGTGTAATGTGTTAGTACCTTTTATTACCATCATAGCCAGATTACTCCCAACCCCTGTCCAGTTCAGTTACACCAAAATTTCCCCCAGGTATACTTTCATACGTTACTACGTCGTTCCGCTACGGGCTTAGGCAGCTTGACAGATCTTATCATGTGAGACCAAGTCCATGCGGTCATCCAAGAAGGAAATACGGCATTCTCACATCGCGATACGGTTTCTCATATACCAGATATAGATCACGATCCTAAAAGCTAGATCGGCATTAGCCTGAGACCAGGTGATCCCGGGGGGGGGAGGGGGGCGCATGGCTTATTTTCTTCTATGACGCCAGGCTCGAAGCTCTGGTGAGATGGAGGGGCATCCCGTAGTAGCGTTGGGCACCGCCGGTATGAGGCAGACGGCGTCGTGCAACGTTGCGAGGGTGAGAAAGGACGTATTTGTGTGCGCCGCGGGATCGACGATACGGCGGATGGAAAATCGTCTCTTTGGTCCTAAATCGCGATCCCACAAGTAAACACCGATCCTATAATCGTAGCCCCTATACGGTCCGATCTATTATCTCCTGCCATTGTTGCAAATACTGTAGGACCATTGTCCCATCCTATGATATCAAGACGACCAGTTCATCGATTACGATGATGTTATAGGCATTATGATGATTGTGATCACATAGTCAAATGGTATGGAAAGCAGGTAATGAGACAAATTGGCATATGTTCATAAAGCTAGTAGCTAAAACAAAGAACGCCCCGAAGTATCGCTGTGTCTAATCCCCAGCCTATGTAATGGTATCATCTCGCTATGCCTGAAGCGCCCATACAACGTGAAGGCGTCTCGTAACTCATTCATCCTCGTAATCCATTAAATCGGAGCTCCCGGTCCGTTACTAGCCTCTCACAGCTTTGACAGAGATATCACCGCCTCCGAAACGCCGGGCAAGGCTGTAAGTGCTACCGTCATAGCCCCGAACAGAGTCATTGACAATGCAGAATACACAGTAGCCCTCGAGTCTCGCTCGATTAAGTGTGCCGTTCCCATAGCCGCCGCGTTGATACCAACTGCCACGCCAGCCGCAATGACCGCATTGTCCGAACCAGCCCTCCTCCGTGATTCCTTCTCGCCCAGTTCCGCCACGAAACCCTTCTCCAAGTCGCTGCCGCTATTGCTGTCAGATTTCTGCTGGCATTTCTGATCTTGTATCCCCATGATGGAGAATACCCAGTCTCCGGCCATCTGGAAGAGAATTCCGCCAAATATCACCATCGCGCTCATAATCGTGGCACTGCCGCCCAAGTTCTGAATCGCGGGGACTCCCAGAGCGATCGTGACGGATCGAGCAGCGAAAGCGAGAGCGTCGGTAGATTTCAAACCGATTACGTGAGCGATGAGAACGTTGAGGAAGACGTTGACCACAGCGAGTATTGCGCATGTGGTGAATACTGTGACGCAGCTTTCCCATAACTCTTTTCGATACTCGAACATCTTGAAACCCAAGCAGACAATGCCAGCGTCCAGGACTAGCCCGGAAAGATCACCAGCTCCAATGTGGCTCGTCAGATTGCCCCCGTCCATGATGGCCATTATGCCTTCCACTAAGGTATTGTGTCTGTGAAACTCAGAGATGGTAATTCCGATGGTCTGCTTGGTGTAGGCTGTCTTGATCCAGAGGTAGCCAGTTCCAAGTGCCCAGGTGACCATCACCGGATTCGCTAAGATGACGACTGTCGACCTCAATCCCGGGAGCCGCTGAAGGCGACATGGTGCCTTCAATGATCTTTGGAATTGGACAGATAAGATCCAGAACAGTACGAAACACAGAGCCTCGAATGGTGTTTCGTAACGAGTCGCAATTGATACTGGAATTCCGACTATGGTAAGGAGGAAGAAACAGATCCATAGAGGGGCTGTGAGAACAACATGATCGATAAATTGCGAGGTCGAGTTCTTTTCAGCCGGCTCAATCGAAGTAAAAGAGTCAGTTTTCACGATGGTCACACTTATCTGAGACAGTTGGGATAAGGGTCTTGGGGATCCTTCTGTTGGTGGCGTCGGTAATGCCGTGCAAGAACTGGGCCAAGACTTGTTGCTATTTTCCGGGTCACACACGTTCATTTGTTGACCCCGGAATCGTTGCTCTACCTTGAAGCTTCCCGCTGTAATTAAGTAAGCGCCGATGTAACTTATTAGAGTGGTCGTAACTAGGTTAAGTTAGTAACGCTTTATAGAGTAGCAGTATTTGATATGTAGCTTACGGAAGGCGCCGGAAATTCTAAGAACCTCGATGGCACTGGGTGTATGCTCCTTGTTGAGCATTATAAACGAAGCCACGAACCCAAAGGACATGTGACGGCCAAGGAAATCGGTCGGTCCACGTAAATGCTTGTTGTAGAATTGTGCAGTACCTCCGTGAATGTAGTTCGCGACGATCATGAATATCCAGAAAAGGAGCATGACTAATACGGAAGCTGGAAGGCTAAAAGAATGCAGGTCAAGTAGAATCTGGATGGGTACGACGAGGAATTGGTTGAGAACGATGAACGCAATTCCTATCCCAGCGTCTCGGAATCTTTTCATCGTTGCCGGTGCCTGGAGGCTCCTACACAGCTGGTGGGCAAGGGATATCATGACGTTGGTTGGGTATGATTGTAGCACGGGAGCATAACGGAATGGAAAGACATGCAGTGGGGATATCGAGCTGGAGATATTTGATGTCTTGAAGTAATAAAGTGATCAAGACAAAACGGTTGGGAACTCCTGGGATATTATAGTAGATGAATGTCGTTTGATGGGAGAGACTGGTTCGGGAACCAGCTAACCGACGTGGACAATCCCATATCGCCGGCATTTCCACAAGCGAGCACATGGGATAGTCGTGATTACACAAGCCCCTGGGAAGTATCCGAAAGAATATGGGAAAATCGAGGTCGAACTGCAGCTGTGCTGGTCGACATGAAGATACGGTTCCATGACGTCTCACATATCTGGCTAGGCAGTGGGTAACCGGGCGGGTCCTGGTAAGGTACGACGACCTACGAGAATGGGAGGACAGACTGAGGAACACAAACAGAAAAAAAGGAGAAGGCCTAGTACCGTCCCTTCTCAATCTGTATCTGTTACCCCCAAATTCTGAACATGTCGGTACATTCGGCCGCTGTCATTTTTGACATGGCGACGGGGAAGTAAAGCGGGAGCGGGACAGTACAGGTGCATGCAAACGCATGGCCGGTGTCCAATTAAGCCCTGGGAGGCTCTGTAGCAATGAATGGCTAGGAACTCAGACCATCTATCTCAGTTTGCAGTTTTCTAAATTTTAAGTTAACATCAGTTTTCAGCTCATCTGGAGTTAGAAGAACCAGGCTGGAAGCAAGCCTTGGACAAACGTACGAAGATGCGCAGAGGAACCAATAGGGGTGTTCTCAACGTCCATATCCCATAACGACCTAAAAGGAAAAAGAGAGAACTAGCGGACTAGTTCAGTAGCTCAGGAAAAGAACGCCCGTTGACCGCCGGATTGTAGGTTGTACAGCCTGGAGGCGGACCATTCAGGACACATGCTTGCAAACACTGCGTATGAGACAGCACGGCGCTGCGAACCGTTCTGACTTCATTGCGTGCCCTTTTTCCTTATCCCAGACTCCAAAGAGCCCGTCTCATTCCGAGGCGCTACCATTGAAGTACCTAGGTACCCATACCCAGATAACTATAGCTTCTGCGAGCCTGTGTCTGTTTCTACTCTGAAAGATACCCATTGTGCGACAACTTTGCGCTGTGACGTTGCGCCGTTAGAGTATGGCGGATTGCAACTGTACTAGCCTTGCCGAGACTTATAGCGTATCTGGGGCGCCACGAATGATCCCGAGTGAAGGTAGACGTCGGTTGGTAAGAGTATGTTTGTCTCTAAGGATCCAGCTATCTTTCTTGAAAGATGCCACAAGATAAGTAGGAAATTGTAGTTGGGCTCCTATCAATGCGGTTTGCGAGTAAAGATGGATATGCACGTTGCTGCACGTCCAACTTATCCAACGGCTGCTTGCGTCTTTGGTACAGAGATATCCTAGCACTTTATAACGCGCAGAAGATGCCTGGGAAGTGCTGTTTGATTATTGGCTTGCTACGGGATTTGGTTGAGATGGAAATCTTCTTAGGCATTCATAGACCCACTCAAACCACTTAGGTTGTTAATGCGATCGGTCTAAGCTTTGACTACCTTGTAAGTAAATATTGGTTATCCGTACTTCTTTTTCTTGAATATCTAAGTAGCTCTGTTGGTATACATTACTGAGAAACTGGTATAAACGACGACGGGTAATTTTTCAATATCTAAGTAGTTGATTATTGTTGATTGATTTCAATTGTACGATCATATTATTTAGTTATTCGGTTTACTGTTTGATAGTAAGATTTAGGAAATTGATTATGACTTCGGAGTCTGTATATGCATCTAACTTATGGCTCTATGCTACTTGAATGCATGGTTATGTAAATTATATGTATTTATCAGCTAGATGATAACTATTATCGATTATGCATCAAGTAGCAATGTAAATGCAAGGATCCCCCTAAGATTAGTTCCCTGTAAACAAATGGAACCTCGGAAACTGACAAGATTTCTTGCGCCTCGCATCCATTTCTACGGACATCAACGCCATCAACCATCGAAGGTGTAGTGAAACAAGCGATCACGCAGAGTTCGTTCACAGCATCTTGATGTGAATTCCCGGCGGTCAGATGATCACTGGGATAGGATATTTTAAAATCCGACCATTGAATAGCCTTCCGTTTTCTAGAAGGGAGCGGTCAAAGGTGTCGCACATCCGCCTTCCACGCTTGATCTTGCCTTATCACTTGGCCTCTCGGTTAGACTTGTCTCGTTCTTCGGCCTAACCGTCCTTACCGACAATTGAAGATTCCGCAAGTTCAGGATTCAAGAATATCCATTTTCCCATTTTCCGATCTTCTAAGTCGTCTAGGCCAGGCCGGCCTAGAGCAGGTACGTCGTGACTATCTTACATCGGTTGCACTTTCCACCTTCGGTCATCTACGGCGAATAACCTACGGCGCCGATCTCACCGCAAACTCCTTCCGGAGCCAGCCGGCGGACCGCTTCCGTTTTGCTCCTTGCTCCTCCCCGCCCTCCTTAAAATGTTACATTGCCCTATGCGACAAGTCAATTCTAAGAGTTGTTCAACCCCAATTGCCAACTTTTCATTTTAACAACGTGCGGGCCAAGCCGCCCGGATGCACTATCTTAGCGTTGCTTACTCGGGTTTTCTTTCCCTCGTGATTTTCTTCCCCCTTTACCCCTTTCCCTCGCACATTATCTAATATCTAACTTCACCATATATCGCTACGTATAGAGATAGACGATCGGTCTCTCATAGGTGGCATCAAGATCTAGCCTGACTAGTACGGCTTCAGCGTCATTGTCCTATTTTCTCACCACAGTCACTACAGTTCGAGATGGATAGTCAGCGGTTATTTTCGGAGACCGAGACACGTCTCTTCAATCAAGTTTGTGAAGCTGTCCATGCCACGAGCGACAATCAGAAGAACCTACTCAGATCGCTTGTCTGTGGTGAGTTGACTGCGGAATGGTCTCAATTAGTGACAATGATGGAATCGAACGGCCCTCTCAGTATATTATTCAAAGATGAGTTGAAATAGTACGTCAATTATCTCACTTTAAAACCAGTATTACTCATACGAGACAGCTTGACCACCTTGAAATCGACTAGCCGCGGTCATCAATCCTCACAAGCTCACGGAGAAGCGGGCGTATTCTCTCAGATCCAACCCATACCCGGTCAGAAGACTACTGACCAGAAACTTGTCAAGGCGGCCACCCATGACATCGTTCAATATAACAACGTTCTCGAGAAATTACTAGTGAAGTATAGAGACTATGTTCGTTCTAGTATATCTGGTATTCAGCGTTATCCGGAGACCGATAATGGTACCTCGGCAGTTGAGCAAAAAATCGTCAACTTGTCTTCCAGAAGAGATTTGCTAAAGAAAGAGGTAACTATTTGCACTTCCAAAGGTTGTAAGTGGTAGTATTAATGAATATGAAGATTCGTTCACTAGAGGATAAAATCGATAGTCGATTTGATTGCCTTGAAGGTATCACTCGAATCGAGCCCAACGTGGCAGAGGCAGAGGGGGGTGTATCGGACAGGAACTCGAAATCTTCCGCTCTAACAGACATATTCAAAACCACACTCCCATCATATGATCATATCCTTAGTAGGCTAGATGCTCTACACGGTGAATTGGACTATGACGCTGGCGAAGACGATACGACTCTCCATACAGCCAGACGACATGCTAGCCAGTTGAGCGACTCCTCTATCCTTCCTTATGTTACGTTTCCGCTAACAAGTTACAGGATTGTATTATCATTAGCCACCAAATGTCGCGCATCTTTAGACGCGGTTTTCCTAGAGGCCTCCCTTACCTACAATAGGCGCGCGTCTTACGCGTCTAGCTACGCGCGAGACATTAATGACGAACGTGATGCTGTATATGCCGAAATACAATCTCTATGGGATGAGATGGTACCCCTTTCACACATGGTAGTCGAGAATGAATTTCTCAAACCTATCTTGAAAAAGACCGAGTCCCGTTCGGACCGACAGAGCACGAGAGATATGATTGTTTCGGGCTATGTAGGTTTCCTCATGAAGTCACGCAGTCATACGGCTAACTTGTTTAGACATCCGCCATGCTTCGTTTTATGAACGAACGCCTCTGTATCCTAGTATCTCGCATCCAGACGCTTGTTCACCATCATCAAACTCTTTTAACCGCTTTCACGTATGTGAACAGTAAAGCAGAAGCCAAGTCAGCTAAGAGACCTGTGGCAGCGAACGTACATTCGACCCAAACTAAAGAAGGCGGAAAGTCGAAAAGCCATACGCTCCTAGATACCATTCGGCGCCAGATGGAGCTTTACGGTTCCGTGCCGATAGATGTCGATAATAAGTCCCAAGCAGCCTATGCAGCCACACCTCGCACGCAGGTCAATAAGCTTGATCGATATGTTACATCACGTCAGAAGAAGGGTGATGATCTTGCAAGGAACGTGCATAGCTATTTCGAGAGAGCGGCAAAATCTCAAATTACAGACGCTGAATTCGGAGCTCACCTCCTCTTGGACTCCGTCATTGCCGACAGCACTGCGGGCAGCCAGATGGGGGGCCATGTCTACGACGACCAGCAAGTTGAGGATTCGGTCGCCACAATGAAATCCCAAACGAGCGAAATCGAAACGACGTTCAGAAAGCTCCGAGAAGGAGCCGGGGTCCCGTCTTCGGCACCGGATTTCGTCACCTATGCTTACAACAAGTCTGTTAAACAACTTCCCTCTGACGACACGGAGAAGTGCCCTAAATTTGTGGCTGTCGTTCAGAAATGGGGGGACCCCGTGGGTTTTACGAATTGAACCCCGTATGTTTCATGGTAGTGCATCGCCAAGAGAGACCTGGCATGTATCTACCTAGGTAATAGACATTGTTTAGGGACTGCAATACTAGAACTTGTTGAAGCAGGGCATGGCTTTTGTCACAGGTGCTGCATGGATGATTAAGTGAGTGTGCGATTCGCGGGCGCCAAGTCGAAGCGTAGGGATCAGCAATTTAGGGGTCCATGGATAATAATCAGCGTGGGTCCTAGAGAGTCCATTCCACGAGGCGCTACTCACAATCGCCCTTAACCTTGATCGATTACGCAAACAATAACAATCGTCAATATATCATTAAATGAAGAGGGGGTTGGAAGGAGAAGATAGGAACGACAATATCTAATTAACATGAAGTTGTTACAACATTTTACCTGCCTTCCATATACGGGACAATCCTTCTCAATTCCATACTAGAAACACAGTCTCAAATCCAATCTTCGAATGCCGGAATATCTTCTGCTGCTTATTCACGCCACGAGCGCAAACGCATGCTTGAAAGCGCCACCATCTCGGCGGTCTATCCTGGAGCCGACCGGAACCCACGACATATAACGGCCACATCATCTGCTATCCCGGCAGTAGCACGTGGAATATCTTTGTGTGACACGCGATGTTGATAAGGGATCTACCGTAGCGCTATGCTACGTCGGTTCGCTGGCAAAACTCAACTAGAATTGACATGGACCTGTTAGCTATCAGCGTTAATGTTAAACAACCTAATAAGTCGGGTGCTATGCACTTGCCTTCTTCATTGTTAAGTCACAACCCACCGAACCAATCTCTCGACGGCCTTATTTCTTTTTTTGCTTCCCATTTGTCATCCGGAAACGTCGAGTTTCCAGTCCTTCGGATCCTGAGAGCTTTTTACTCGAGTTAGTGAGACTTGTCCGGTGCCGACAAATCTGCTCTGCTTCCTTGTGCTTCCCCTGACAAGCAAGCACGACGGCCAGGTTATTCATTCCGATAACTGTGTCTGGATGTTCGGAGCCTAACACTTCCTCACTTAACTCCACTACCTGCAGATTAACTTGTTCTGCCTCCTCATATTTCCCTTCCAAATACAGCACCGTAGCTAAGTTATTCATATAGCTGATTGTATCAGGATGCTTAGGGCCTAACACCTCCTTGCTTAGCTCTAGTGCCTCCCGCTTCATCTTCTCTGCCTTCTTGTACTTCCCCTGGTACTCCAGCACTTTGGCTAGGTTGCTTATGGTAGGAATTACGTCGGGATGCTTGGGGCCTAATACCTTACTCGTTAGTTCAAATGCGCGCCGATTCATCAGGTCTGCCTCCTCATGCTTCCCCTTGCTGAGAAGAATACAGGCCATGATGCTCATACTGTGGAGTGTATCTGGATGATCATGGCCTAACACCTCTTCGCTCAGCTTTAGCATCTGCCGCTTCATTTCTTCTGCCTGGTGGTTCCCTTGGATATGAAGTACCTGGGCTAAATTGCCCATGCTGCGAAGTGTTTCGGGATGTTTGAGGCCTAACACTTCCTTTCTTAATTTGAGTGTCTGTTGGTTTATCTTTCTCGACGCCTCGTATTTTCCCTGACCGCTAAACACGCATGCTAAATTGTGCATACTGTCAAGTGTGTCAGGATCCTTAGGACCTAACAACTTCTTTCTTAGTTTCAATGTCTGCAGGATTATCTGTTCTGCCTCCTGGTCTTTGCCTTGCTTATAGAGCATCCAGCCCAGGCCATTCATGCTGACAAGTGTCTTGGGGTCCTCGACGCCCCATCCCTCCTTGCTCAGCTTTACTGCCTCCCGGTACATATGTTCTGCCTGCTTGTATTTGGCGATTATCCGGTAGCTGTATGCGATGTTGCAGAGTAGTGAACACTTCTCAATATTGCGTACTGATTCCCCTCGGACTTTTAAAGCGATCTGCGCATGTGGCATATACCTCATCCATATGTTCCGGTTCTCATGCGTGGGGTGTGGGTATACATCAGAGAGATGGACGAACAAATTGGTAATGGTTTCTATTCGTTCCTCATTTTGGAGGTAGTTGCGCATTGCCAGCCGTACGAGGCGATGGATATCGAATGAGTCCCCCTGTTCTCGTCTGGCAATAAAGGCGTATCCTGTCAAGACACCAAGTGCTTCTTCCTCTTCGAGTCTATCTTTTCCCGGTGGTAATAGCGATATGGGAATATCCTTTTCTGCTAAAAAGCATATATACTTCAAGTAGCGTGCCGCTAAAGGGTAATCACGGGCGATGTGGTTGAACGAGATAAGCCAAGTCGTGGCAATTGGGTTGGTAGTACCTCGGTACCGGCTCCGGTCCTCGAATTCTTGACTTAAAAGCTTGACTTGAGTTTCGTCAGAGGAACGACAGTGATCAAGGTATCTAGTTGTTGATATCCGTGTTCTAGCCATATACGCAGATGCTTGTTTGATTGCCAACGGCAGATATGCTAGCGAGGCAAGCAATTGTTTCGTGCTTTCCACGTCGCGCATTTGGCTTTCCTTTAAACTTCTTCCCAGCATATCTATCGCTTCGTCTTCTGCCAAATTTTCGATAACACATATGCTCTTCTCATGTATTTCAAACGCGATAGCAACTTCGTGGTTACGAGTCGTGAAAAGGATGGAGCCTTGTCGACTAAAGGGGAGGTAGTCGCGAATGGCGGGACTTGCTGTCCGGCCATAAAGCAGGTCTGCGTCGTCTGCATTATCAATAACTAGAAGCCAAGTTCCAGCATTCTTTTCAAGGGCGGCCTTGACCAGACTCTTGATGTCTGCCTCGTCGTCTTCGATCCCAGGTATATCAAGAACTTTGCCAATATCTCTGTACGCATTCTCAAAACTGGTCATGTTAATAGCCGGGACCCAGAAGATAGAACAATCTTGATAGCGTTCGTAGACCAGGTAAGCTGCTTCTAATGCGATTCGTGTCTTTCCCACGCCCCCTAGACCTTCTATAGCGGTCCTCTGGCACTCGTTTTTCTTTACGCTCGGAGGAATTCTCTCGAGGAGCTGCTCCAAGCTTGATTCTCGTCCGATGAAGTCCCCCTTTTGTTCAAATGGGATCACAAGGTGACGCTTGAATGGTTGGGAGATGATTTCGTGTAATCGGGCTATGGGGTCGTCGCTAGATGTGTCTTCGGCTCCCAGAGGCCAAAACTGATTAGCAACACGTTCAATCTTCGTAAAAGAGTCGTACCCGGAACTTTTCAACTTTTCCAAAAGAGACTTTGGGTTCTCAGACTCGAGCTGCCACTCCTCGGTCCCGTATACGAGTTTGGTGGCCTGAATTAGACCATATTCATTCTCGATCTGACCGTAGTTCTCCTCTTGTCTCTCTCTCATATACTCTCCACCAACCTCAAATATAATCGCTGCACCGTGCAGCATATCCATGACTATTTCATCCTTCCGACACATCGGTCCATGAGCCTTCTTGTAATACCAGTCATGTGCAAGTCTATTGTACATGAAATCCGAACAGGTAGTCACCTGGATTTCAAAAGTAACTCTGGGTAGATCGGAAATTCCTCCCAGTGTCACATGATGGTTATAAGATTCATAACCTCCGAATCGTGAAGCCCAAAGTGGGCCAGGTTGGCGATCGCGGGACCAGTGGGTTGGTGGTTTAGTTGCTTGGAAGCTCTGAGAGATAAGCTCATTTACTATTCCCACATCTTTCGCATATTGCATTATAATTAAGGACCCAGCAAGGTCGTGCATTGTCTCGAATATATCGTTAAGACCAGTGTAGGGGTTATCACGATGTTCTTCCCGTCGGTCGAGTGATTTCTTGACAGACTCGGCAGTCTTCGCCCTACCAAGAACTAAACAGTCGAATCGTTTCCTTTTGAGCTCCTCGCGACAGTAGCGTACAACTTCGTTGACCAATTTCTCATAGTCAGGATATAAACTCGGCCATATCTCTGAATGGAATCTTTCCTTTAGAGGCGAACTATCTTCGGTAGCGGTGTGTGTCGACTCGAAAATCGCGGCTTGCACCTTGCCCCGCACCTCGCGGTACGTGGAGGATAAGGCTGCATCCTCGACTAAATGAATATTCATCTGCGACGGCTGTGACTCCATAGTCTTTTGTTAAACGCATAGTTTCCTACACATTGAAGATATCGAGGTGACTTATATCCCACAATACTGAGGAGATTTAGATAGGGGATAGAAACAACGAGAACCGAGATAGCGAGTGTGTGAGTAACGTGGAAAACTTCATCGTAGGATTTTGATGGCTGGAAAATACTCGACTAGGAGGGTACTTTTCGCTTTTTTTTTTTTCTTTTTTTACTTTTTATTCTCTAGGTCAGCGTCGGAAGTCGGATATGGCTTGTATTGCTTGGTATACATCTACATGTTTCTTCGTGTAAGATACGTAAATATACAAAAGCTTTTCTATAGCTTACCTAGTCCCTTATATCTCAGCTCTGGTGTGGGTTTATTTGTATCCTTAGATGCTATCCATGTGTGTACCTACCTAGGCAATCTTTGGGCGCACCCAATAAGCCAATTATAAGAGTATTCAACCGGCAATCTGCCTTGTATTATTGGTAGGAACCTAAACGTGACAGACGATAGCAGGGAATGAACCCATCATCAGAGGTACCTACCCGAGGTGCCCTAGACGATACATCCTCCCATTCCAAATATTTTCCCGCTAGAACCTTACCCTCCATAAATCTTTGAATATTAAATATTTCTTCTTCAGTTCTTAGACCGTCCTTTATAATATATTTCACTATGACACCGACCAACATTGATCCGTCTTATCGCGAGTTTGTGGGAGCCCAAGTGTGCCGGAACCCATGTTTGAATGGACTCGCGAGTTTTCTCTCTGGTCCTCACAAGCCATTTGGCGGTGTGCCCGTTCACTGTCTTGACTTCTCCCCGAAACATGATACGAAAACAGTAGAGAGAACGATGGCGCTAGACGAATGCCTCTCAGATATATCTCTTGCTCTTTATGCCCCATCAGAGATTTATATGAGACGAATACTATGCATGGAAGACATCGACTCTTACTCAATTGAGAAGCTAGGAACATTACTGGACATCAATCCATTGTTCTTCGCTACTTACATAAGTACCTCTTTCGTGGGAATCGATAAATCACCGTCTCCTCCTCTTATAGCGCTGTTCCCCTCCGCCCTCGCCTCAGATGATTCGCTGCATTTGCATTACCAAAGAGTTATCAATCTCCCTTCATTCCCAGGATCTTCTCGCAATCCATACGAATTCAAAAGTTCAGGCAATATACTTCGTTCTGTGAGGCGGCTTGCGTCACTCTTTGGCACGCATCCCGGCTTGGTACGAAGTTGTTGCTCTATTCTATTAAAAGTTCTTAGCGACCAATCTTGGATATGCAAGTCTTTGATCGAAATACCTACACCTGTGAGATGACACCTAACATCTTAGATAATAGGTTTAATCCTTGTGGATTCTACAGATGCAGATCTGATCATACCTAGTGCTCCTGGGACGCAACATGAACGACATTATGAACGGACCCCCCAAGTGCCTATACAAGGTGGATTCGAAGACTTCGCGGAAATGCCGAAATACTCGCAGTTTCGCCTTTCGGCCAAGAGCGACAGTATACCACAGAAAAGTTCCATTCTCCAGACCATTCTCCACTATTACCGTAACCCACCTCCAAACTTCGACTCAGCCAATCCATCCATAATGGCACTCAGCTATTACCCCTTAAAGATAGTCGGTGCTGAATGGATGACGTATATCCAACTCATGAGCTGCTATGTCAAGTTCTACGAGTATTCCTTTCGAGGTCACGAACACCGCTCCGCGGAAGCCGACATCATTGACTTACAGCGGTGGCGGCGTCGCGGTAAGCAAAGCCTTCATAAACTCTATCTCGTGGAGCTATTTATGGATAAGCACCTTTGCCCTCAACCTACCAAGCCGCAGCTCAATGGCGATATGAAAACTATTCCATATACAACTTTACGAGAGGACTTCCGTTACCTGTCAACGCAGATTGAACATTACAGCCGGGCGTTAGAGTTTATCCTCCCAGTTGCAACTACGACCATGCAATTGGCAGAAGCCCGGCGCTCTATTATTGAGGCTGCCAACGTGCGGTATCTAACCTATATCGCCTTGGTCTTCGTACCGCTCACGTTTGCCTCAAGCCTTTTTAGCATGCAAGAGGGCTTCATACCCGGGCAAGGAAACTTCTGGATTTATGCGACTGTGGCAGTGCCGCTGATGATTGTGGTACTAGCTCTTTCTTTAGTAACTTCGGTTGTTCGTGGACGTTGGAAACAGGTTCTCGAATAAGGAGTGCTTGATATTAGTTTTTCCTCTTAGTTTCCTATCACCCGGCGGAATTGCTCTTCTCGGTGGCAGGCAATTTTATATCTATTCCACGGAGTATAATGATTCTCGTCCTCTACTCTGTTATCCAGTTGCATCTAATGGACCCAACGAAAATAGATATTTGCTCTGACCACTGCCAACATGCCTTAAATATGTCCTAGGATATCATGGATTTGATTCCTATCGAGGTAGACAAGTTTAGGGGATGCCTAACCAATAAGGTGGTAAAAAGGAAAGTAACTTGATTAGGGTGTCCATGGATAGAAGTGTTTGCAGTGGATTAATGATTTGACAGGAAAAAAACTCAGAAAGTACCGATGTACTAATTGGGATTATCCCTAGGGTTAAGGCCAAATAGGGGGTGAAAGGGTCCGAACAAAACATTCAAAGGGTATCAGCCTTAGACCCTACAACTATGAAATTTATGAACATCTAGTATTCCGAGTACCTAACTTTGACCGCCCAACTAGTTTTGGGGGATTTTCCATTCTGAAAACGGACTTTATTTTCGCTTGATACCCCTGCCGGAGCGCTAAGCCCAAGTCTTTGTCCCATTCCGAACGCAATCCGCAAGAACGTCAAAGAGAACAATTATATTCCTGCTCTGTAGATTAAACCAACGATTATCATTAATAATTATTTTCTCTTCGATGGGGGAAAAATTCTCTATTTCTAACTTGGCTACTGTCTACTACTCATCAGAGGCGGGATAAGATCTGAGGACTGCGAAGCAACAATGGGAGACCGATCCGTACACAGTTTCCTATTAGAGGAAAAGCCAATTGTAGAACAGTTTTCAAATACACTACATGGCGCCGTCACCTTCGCGCAAAACGTGCAGAACTCGGTAAGTCAAAGTAAGAAAGCATGTACCTAATCGAATCAGCTAACGCGGTGCACGCACAGCTCGACGATATCAAGGACAACACGAAGCGGCTCTTCTGGTGGTCCTCCACCCTCGTGTGCATCTGCTTGGGGCTCTTCCTCCTATCTCAACTCGTGCGCCTGACCCGCGAGATGAACAAGCTGAACAAGTACCAAGAAGTCTTCAAGAATATGTGGCAAGAAGATAAGGAGATCGAGACATATAGATGGGAACAGGAACGGGAAGATAGGCGATTGGAGGGGTTGAGAAGAGCCGCTGCAAGAAGGAATAAATCAAAGAGTCCGGCTAGAGCGCACTACGCCCGTACCCCGTCAAACCGTGGTGTAAGAGAAGACGCTGAGAACTTGCGTACGTCAGAGCCTCAGCCAACGAGAGGGACAGGGCCATCGCCATTCGGTGCCAAGGTCGACGATGCTCTCAACAGTATGCCACCACCAGGGCCACTTCGTGATGAATGGATCCACGAATTAGCATCTATGACTCAGGAACGCCGACAAGCTTATTATCAAGGACAGCGTGAAGTAGAGGAAGTTGAGGAGGTTGAAGAGGACGACGAGAACTATTGGGGTTGAGCAGCTTAATCGGACGGCTGGATGCTTTGACCTGACAAAGCACTATTCTCATAGAAGCTCTTCGGTATTATGCATACAGGAGCGATGGCTGTCGGTGGCGGATTTTCAACCCCTGAATGGGTACCATAGTGGGAAAATATGTAGCTTAATAATGATTTGAAAGTTAAATAATTATTGATATACTTTAAAAAATTCGAATAATTATTAAAAATTAAATAATTATTAATAATATAAAAATTATTATTTATATTTATAATTAATAAATAATTATTAAATTAAGTTTTTAAAATTATTAATTAAATAATTTATATAATAATAAAACCGACGATAAATTATAATTTTTTTATAATTTATTTATTATTTTATAACTTTTAAATTTTAATAAAATTTTTAAAGTTTTAATATTTTTAATATTATTTATTTTTTTTTATTTATTTTTTTTTATTTATTTTTTTTAATTCTTTTTATTTATAATAATAATAATAATATTAAAATTAATATTTATTAAAAAAACTTAAGATTTTTTTTTATATATATATATATATATATATTTTTATATATATATTATTTATTTATATAATATTTTATATTTTTTATTAATATTTATATATTAAATTTATTTAATATTTTTTTATTAATTTTTATATATTAAATTATTTTAATATTAATATTAATAAATTTATAAATTTATAAAAATTAATAAAATATAATAAATTTATAAATATATAAATTTATAAAATTATAAATTTATTATTACGATAAAATAAAAAATTTACGAATGGAAATTATTATTTATTAATTAAATTAATAATTATTAAAAAACGAAAATTATAAGTCGAATAATTTTACGATATTATAAATAATAAAATTAATCCGTTATATTTATAAATATATAAATTTATAAAATTATAAATTTATAAATTATTAAATTAATAAATTTATAAATTAATAAAATTAAAAATTTATAAATTTATAATTTATAAACTTATAAATTTATAAGCTTTATTTTTATTTTTATTAATAATAATAAAAACGAAAATAAAAAATAAAAAACTTATTTAAATATATTTTTTAATAAATATTTTAATTTTTTAATAATTATTTAAATTTTTTAATAATTATTTATATTTATTAATAATTATTTATATTTATTAATAATTATTTATTTAATAATTATAATTAAATGAAAGTATTATAATGATAATAAGTTATAATTTTTACGGAAAATAAATTATTATCCGATAATGGGGGTTCCCGGTAGATAGAAGGAATAAAAGGAAGGCACCAACAGGCCTAATAGGAGTCGAACCTAAACTACCTTTTATCCCTCCACCCAGTATCTAGACCAGGGCAGGGAAGTGACGCCCCCGGCGGCACTCTTAAAAGAGATTCAGGCCGCACGCCATGGGATCGAACCACATGGCCGATGCTTAAAAGCGACGCACTTACCACTGCACTGCCTGGACGAAATCACCAGATAGAAGGAATAAAAGGAAGGCACCAACAGGCCTAATAGGAGTCGAACCTAAACTACCTTTTATCCCTCCACCCAGTATCTCCGGTATGGTAATTATGTAGTGGTGTTATTATGGAGTGTTAAGGCATGTATCCGTAAACCGCCTTCTTGAATATATCCATTCAAACTATAGTTTGATACTCATGTGCACTTCGCTATAACCGTATCTGGAGGAGAATGAAAGAATGTAGTAGCCAGCGCCCGTGCCGCGCATGTGATTAATTGTCAAAGCTATCCGGGTCACCGATCTGGCGGTTTCAATACTTCAGCGCGCCACTCGCAATACAACCCATAATATCTTAGCCCCTCTGTCGTATTGTGTCATCATAAGATCGAGGTTAAAGATTCAAGGGTCCCTTGTAGGAGTGGTGATAAATACGGTCTCTCTTGCGATTGGTCCTGCGACTGGTCCCGCCTGGATGGTTACCTAGGTATCTCCTTCGCAACGAACTCCCTTCAGTTCGGCATTGCAGAACGTGAACCTATTCGTCTGCCAGTTCGACGCAACAATCTTCATAAGTATTCTGAGACGGTCCCGAACGTTCCTCAGATATCATAAGTATCAGCCAAATGGCCAAGACCTTAAAATTAATTTCTGAGTTTCTGGAGATCTTATCATGGAGATCTGAGATCTCCGGATTTGCGCCTACCGCATCGTTAGCCGCTCATCATGTTATGCGTTAGTGAAGGGACACTTTCGATAGGGTTGTCAGCAGCGCTATCCGAATGCGCATAACATGTTCGCAAACAAGGTTCAAAAAGAGACCTCAATGAAGTAGATTAGAAGCTCACCGATTGGTCAATCAGTTTTGTTTCAGTTCCTTAGTAAAGAGATTTTCCCAGATTTTCCCAGGGGATGTTTGAGCCCCTGTCGCTACGTCTTATAAATGTGAGAGCCGCAGCGACGTCTTGGCAGTTGTCTTGGCGGACGGTAGGCAGAGGCTACAGCGAGCATGTATGTGATAATATTTTGAGTCAAGTGTTGATACGAAATTGAAGACAATGTATCAATAGCTGAAGTTCTCGGCTGTACTCCTCAAAGATATATTTTCGCCGAGTGTAATTCGAAGTTGTATCGGTATGCGGCTATCATGAATTTGAGCGAGGATAGATCTTGCTATCGCTATTGCGAGAATTGCGGAAGATAGCGGGGAATATTGGGTGTGGAAGAGTTCGAGACGTAGCAACTTCAAACCCGTAGCTGTGGCTGTGTCTTTTTAGGGAGTGTTTAGTTTGAAGTCGAAGAGAAACCCGTCTTTAGCGAGGCCCGAAACGTGGGGAATCTCGTATACTCGAATGCGATTGGCTGCACAATTACTACATGGACGGTGTTTTGTCCATCGTTTCGAAACATCGGATGAATACTACTCACGAGATAGAAGCGATTGGTCTAATGTTGGTGTAGCGGTGAAAATATTCACATTTGAGAGATGGGCCGGTTGTGGCCGGTTGCTTTTGCTTCAGTTGAGACGGTGTATATAAGACTCAATGGGAACTGATGCAAGTGAACATCTCTTCTCTCATCAACACCAAGCTACAACTTGAACTTCACACTTAATTCTTTTTTTCTTCTCATTCTCTTTTATTCCGATAGCCCTGGCGGCGTTTTCTTACCATTCCTATTCATTAATCAATATATAAGCCGCCAGAATGCGCTACTCACTCATAACCGCCTCTGGCTTACTCGCCGCCGTTTCCGGACATGGCCTCGTAACATCAATCAAGGGAGCTAATGGAGTGACAATGCCCGGCCTTAGTGGTAGGTCAACTAGGAACCATCGTACGCGAAGACAAGTTTACTGACTAGCAATATCAGTTGCCGATGGCACACCACGAGACTGCACCACCAACGCATGCGGCTCACAAGCCGACACCGCCATCATCAGGGACCGCGAGATCAGCAGCGGCAAGGCCTCTCCTCTCGGCCGAACCCAAGGCAACGGCCCCATCGACGCGGCCACAATGATCCAGAACTTCATGGGCGGCCAAGCTGCCCCGACCAACAACGGCTCGGCCGATTCGGTCGGTGTCGAAGACCAGATCCCGGCAAACGCGGGCAAGCGAAGCAACCTCTTCATCCGCGGGCTCGGAGACTTGCTCGGGGGCCTCACCGGCAAGAACGGAGGCACGAAGACCCAGACGGCCCAAGAAACATCGGTCGCCGCCAGCGCCGGTCAGGGCGCTACCTCCGGCCTGCCCACCTCGGCGGACGATGGGTCGGTCACTATGACGTTCCGACAGATCAACCAGGACGGCGCCGGGCCCATAGAGGCCGCCGTGGATGGGACTTCGGGTGGTACGCAGGAAGACGCATTCAAGACGGCTGACGTCACGCAAGACGTGCCCGGCTCGGGGCTCCTGGGACTGTCCCTAGCCACTAACACGGACTTCCCATTGACCGTGCAGATGCCTGCGGGCATGACTTGCGACGCAACTGTCGGCGGCGCCAGCAACGTTTGCGTCGTGCGAGTCCGGAATAACGCCATCGCCGGGCCGTTCGGCGGGTCTGCGGCTTTCACCCAGTCCCCTGCTGCGCGCAAGCGTGCTTTGAACTACCGCATGAAGATGAAGCGTCAGACAGAGCAGAACCGCCGCCTTAGGAAGTAAGGGCAGTCTTGCACTATAGGACGAAGGTTACGAAGGCGTTGGGACTCGACGGGTCGAGAATGAATATTTGGGTCCATAGTTATACCTTGTGTGTTTGCTAATAGAGAATTCTGGTGATTCTTCAATATTTTCGGTACGAAACCAAGCCACCGTGATTCTTAGAATGTTCGGGATCTACTACTTAGGGCATCGAAGTTTCAGTTCATTTCCACCTACATGCGAAAGTCTAAGAAAAAGATGAGTCCAAGAACGCCAGGTCTATTAATACATCAATACACATTCAGCTGTCCCGTGCCGTGTTGATCTAGAAGCAAAAAGAAGCAAAATCGGGAGTGAGCTGACGTCTTAGGGAATTAGGTAGGGCGTTAGCGCGTTACTAGCGCTGAAGCTCGGTCCAGTTCAGCACGAGCCATCGCGTATCCCCCTCTACTAGATCCCGTAAACAGCCCTAAAGGTACGCGTTCTAGGCGCGTCATGTCTAGCAATACTTAATGTCCTTCTATGACAACTTATGTCAACATAATTCCCTACGCTTTTGATCAACTTTCATACATACCTAGGTAGAATCACAAACATCCAAAACATACTATGTCGAATAACTCTCGTGCTGTATAGTGACACCTACACGCTACCTGATATGAGCTAGCTCAAATGCTAACAAGTCCCAGGTGGGGCGGCCGGCCCTCCAAGACGCCAGTAATCGGGTGAATCAGACGCCCATTCTCCCGCCGCCGAACCCGTACCTCACGAAGGCGGCCGCCAGCCAACCTCCTGCTCCCGCTCCGGCCCCGGCCACCGCAGCCTCTACCACAGCCCCCAAACCCACCAACAGCAAGAAGCGCAAGTCCGCCACGTCGCTAGACGACGACATCGCCGCATACAAGCGGAGCCTGGACATCGACACCGACGGCATGGCCATGGACAAGACCTGCAAGCAGGTCCGCGCCCTCATCAACAAGCTCCTGGACAACGGCATAATGAAGAAGACCGAGTTCTGCGCCGCCGTCGGGTGCAGGCCCGTCAACCTGAACACGTTCTTGTCCAAGAGCGGGTCCATGGACGGGCAGTTCAGCAACGTCTACGACGGCGCCTGGGCCTGGTTCAAGCAGCGCGAGCTCGCCGGCCTTAAGATGCCCGATGTGAAAAGGCGGCGGACGGCGGAAGCCAATGCTGCCGCTAGGGCCGCCGCAAGCACTTCCGGTGCCGCGTCTGGACCGGGATCTCGCGGAGCTAGCAGGGCGATGGCACCGTCTACCCCCGTGGTTGATATCAGCAACGTGCACCTCCCTGGCGAAGAGACGGACGAGGTGCCCGTGTACGACACGTGCGACGAGATCCGGAAGAAGATAACGAAGCACCTGCAGACGCCGGGCGTGACCGCGGCGCAGTTCTGCCGCGACATCTACGCGCAGCTCTCGCACCCCAGCATCAAGCCCTTCCAGTCGAAGCAGCTCAACGACTTCCGCAACAAGAAGGGGCCGAACGCCGGGTGCATGAGCAAGGTCTTCTACGCCGCCTACGTCTACTTCGAGAAGAAGCGGATCGCCGAGGGCAAGCCGAAGAGCCAGCACCGGCTCAATATGGAGCGGATCTGGGCTGACAAAGGGGGCTTTGATCTGGAGCACGATGACCGATGCGGGTGAGTCTAATTCCGTTATATCTTTTTTTGATTGAGGTTTTTTTAACTGACATGACTGGTGTTAGTGTTTGGGTTGGCCCCGGCGAAACTTTTACGGTGGATCAATATGGACAACTGCATTTCCACCAGAGGTAAGATGTTTTCCATCATCCACATTGCGGTTTTGGGTAATGGATAGGTTGTGAGCTATTGTGGCTTTGGGAACTGGAATGGTTTGTCAATATGTCGGAGCCCAGGAACTTGTATAACAAAACGACGGCAACATTGATATTAGAAGTCAGCTGCTCAAAAATATATCAGTTTTGTATAATTCACGGCCTCTTGCTAGGCGCGAGCGTGATTGCCATTTCCAGCGAGTTGAATGAAAATGGAAGATCCTTATTGGCCAAAAATTATTGGCATTCTTTTAGTACTATTTTTATTACGTTAGATGGGCCTACACGTTATGGCCATGCCCTGAACGATGACCGTATTAATTACGTCCATACTAGCCAATGGTCCGGTGGGACGGCGGATCCATTGTCACAGAGGCCGTCTTGGAGGGTAGGAGGCACTTACCTGCATAACTGGAGCTATCTAGCGGGGTAGCGGGGAGTGATGATATTGTCGACTAACCCGTTCAGCCAGACTCATCAATGTACTAAATGAATTACTTCTTAAAAATACAACATCAATTTGGATCACTAAAGCGGGGATATAGTATTCATCAGTCTTACTAGCTGAGAAGTCGGTGCCTCCATACACGAACGCCTGCCAAATAGCGGTTGAAAATTTTACTGACAAACCCTTTTTCATATGCAGCAATTTCCCTAATGCTCCACTTCCTTCCCAATTGTCTCCGGGCTGCCTAGTACGCGACTTGTGAGTTGAGTCCCGCCAATTCTCTATCGAAATTCTTGTGCTGTGAAATTTGGTACAAGAATTTCTCCAGGAACCCTACACCTTCCTTGGCGATAGTAATGCTCTCTCTCAAACTCTCTGGGGATACTTTACTCAACGTTACCACACCATACGACTCGATTGCTTCGTCTGTCGCCGAAACTCGGAGGTCTGGGAGTGCAAACGCTAGCTTGAAGAGTTCAACAGCTTCTCCGGTGCCACCAATTGCCTTCAGATGCCCAAACGCTTCCCGCAGCCAGTGGAGAGCACGTCCGCTCTTCGCAAGCGTCTTGATCGATTCTGCTCCGCCAGGAACGAATATTGCGTCGAACATGGTGGACCGCATACCTTCAAGGTGATGATCGGGTTGGACACCGTTACCGGGTTTCTTCGATGCTCCGGCTGGGAATACCTCAGATCGCCGTGGACCAATGGTAAAAGGAAGAGCGCTAGCGGCTTTGATTGTTGCTTTCACAGTGCTGTAGGCTGTATTGTCAAAGCCGTCTGCTATAATGATAGCAATTCGACGACTAGCAATGGTCGGTTTGGCTGGGGCGAACTCCACCTGGCTTATCTTGCTAGCCTTCTTGCCGTGGTTGGCCCTGGTTTGTTTTTCGGGCTTTGTTCCTCCGACCATCTCAGCGACTGTCTGAGCAAGCCCTAGATCAATATCCGCGAGTCGTTGAGACATGCGCTCATAGACAATGGGGTCTTCGCAGTGATCTAATTCGAACGAAAACGCGGCAGCAAGGTGATTCTTTTCCGGCTCCGACAAGCTGTTAAAGAAAAGCTGTGCCTGGTTGTAGTGCTCTCTGAACTTATCGCTCTTGGTTCGCGCCTTGATGCCTTGGATATTGAAGGGCGGTTCTGGGTAGGCCCCTTCCTGCGCAGTTGCAGGTGGCCGCGCCTCGAACCTGTTAGGCCAGTAATTGACCTGTCCTTTGGTAATAGTGTGTCTGCCTTGACCATCGCGGTTAAAGTTCATGACAGGGCAGACTGGTTTGTTGATGGGAAGCTCCTGCCAATTGATTCCAAGACGGGACAACTGCGTGTCGAAATAACTGAAGCTGCGTCCCTGCAGCAGCGGGTCGTCTGAATGAGCGATTCCTGGAACCATATGGGATGTACAAAATGCGACCTGCTCAGTCTGGGGGAAGTACTCGTCAACATTCTTGTTGAGTTCAAGCTCGCCAATGTATCGGACTGGTACCAAATCTTCAGGCCAAATTTTCGTCGCGTCAAGAATGTCAAACTCGAAATCATGTTCCTTGGATTCGGGGATCACCTGAATTCCAAACTTCCATTTCGGAAAGGCACCGTTATCTATCGCTTCGTATAAATCTTTGCGATGGAAGTCAGGATCCTGCCCCGCCAATTTCAACGCCTCGTCCCAGACAAAGGAATGGACGCCCAACTCAGGCGTCCAGTGGAACTTGACGAAATGGCGTTCCCCCTTCTGGTTGACTAGAACAAATGTGTTGACGCCAAACCCTTGCATCATGCGATAAGAGCGTGGGATTGCTCGATCGGACATGGTCCACATGAACATATGAGTAGCCTCAGTGTGCATGAAAACAAAATCCCAGAAGTTATTATGAGCTGACTGGGCTTGCGGAACCTCATTGTGAGGCTCGGGCTTCACGGCGTGGATTATGTCGGGGAACTTGATGGAGTCCTGGATAAAAAAGACAGGGATGTTGTTTCCGACAATATCCCAGTTGCCTTCCTGTGTATAAAACTTGACAGCAAAACCACGCACATCTCGTACAGTGTCCGCACTACCACGCGAACCCTGTACTGTGGAAAATCGAACGAAGACAGGAGTCTCCCGGGATGTGTCTGTAAGAACTCCCGCCGTGGTTAAGTCTTCGATACTCTCGAACAACCGAAAGTTTCCGAAGGCGCCAGCTCCTCGTGCATGAACAACGCGTTCGGGAATACGTTCATGATCAAATCGATGGATCTAATGGGCTTAGTAAGACATATCACTTGTCAATTTCAGAAGACTAACCCTCTCTCTGGAGAACGAATCCTCTAGTAGCATAGGCCCTGTCTTCTTCTCGTTGGCCACTCGTAACCATTCATCCACATTTCCCATCTTCACCCCGAAATCCGAAGTGATTCTGTCGTCCGGTGAAACCGTTTGGGAAACGGAGTCAAGGTCGGCGACCTTGCGGCCTTTCTCCCCTGCGACCATGTTTTTCACTTTGCTCGTAGCGTCTGAAATAATACTAGATGACATGAGGAACTGTTCAGCACAAATTACTCTGAAGAAAATAAACCCGAGTCTCGTCAGAAGACTTGAAGACGAAAAATCGAGGAAGAGTGTGTGCCTGTTCTTAGTTTTTGTAGTGAATAAGTCAAACTCTGAGCCCCGCACGTATCCGCACTCTCGACGAACTTCAATGTTTTTGAAGGTCCATTAATGAGACACGAGACTTGTGGTACAACATATCGTTGACGTCAAGAATCTATCACAATCACTAAAACGCGGCAGGGGCGAGGTCGAACACCGAGGAGAAGGCCACTAGGGCCACACAGCACTTGCCCCAATTCGCCATTCGGACTACTTGCCGAAGGGTTTTAGAACGTTGATGTAATGTCCGGAGCTTTTATCTTGTAAGTCGTCATATCCCTGTAATTCTGAGGTAGACTACTGACTGAACGAACCAATCACAGAGCTCGTATTAGACTATGACTGCCGCATTGAGAAAGCCCAGCTATCATAGTGGTTCTTTCGTTCCTGTGTACTTTTCCAGGGGTAGGAACTTGAGATGTTGATAACTTGCCAATTGGTCGGATGAATGAATCAGTCAATTGGAGTTTCATGATATCAAATTATATGCCTCTCATAGGCTCTCTCCATGTTTCCGGGTTCCTTCATGTATCCATTCTTCAATTATCCCGCTGATTAAGCAACCTGGCACCTATGTACGTGGTGCAGTAGTGCTAGCCCACTCTGCTCCATGCAGCAACTGGCACAACTTGCTAGTTCCGCTAAGACCCGTACGGTTACTTTAACACACAATATCCAAAACAACGAATGCGCTACATGATAATTAGCTACTCCAGGTAGGTACGAATCACTCTACTTTATTCTGCAATATACCTATCTTGTACTAATACCAATTACGAGTGGTTGCCGACTTGTGCCAGTTAAGGGGATATTTAAAATTACCAAGCAGGAGAACGACGATCTAGTAAGTAGAGCTAATTTTATGAGGCTTAATAACATCATTTGAGAGGAATAATCTATTTTGCGCCTCGATAACGAAGCCTCCCAGCGTTCATCCGACAACAGAATACAACGCGTGGAGAACAGGCGAAGAAGCTTCCAGGTTATAACAGCTATTATATCGCTGCTCTTGCATAATACAAATTATACCTAGGTACCTATCCTAATTGCTACCACTATCCCTTAGTCCAATCCGTATCTGGAGAAGGTGTATTAAAACCCATTTCCTGTATAATCATCATTGGAGTATTGATCACCGTCCATTCCCCAACCAGGGAGATATCCGTATTGCACGTCGGAATTGCTTCCTATCAATTCAGAGTCGAACTGATCAGTTTCTGCTGCCATGTCTGTCTGCATCCCAGTATTTACTGGCACAGAAATGTCTGGGGGCCAATTATATTCGGGTGGAACCAACGGAGCATTGAGCGGCACCCCAAAATTGCCAGGAGCACTAACGCTCTGGACGGGGAATTGCATGCCCTCCGCCATTTGAGCTGGATCCTATCCATCTGAAAAGGTCTGCGTGTTCTGCATATCCATCTGGTTGGCGGATAAGGTCTCATGTTCAGTGCTGCGTAGCTTTCCCTTCTTCAGTGCCGACTTGCGACGCGCAGATGTCGACCTTTGCGGAGGATTTCCAGCTGTGCTACCCTCCATACTAGCTATGCCCGTGCCTGTGTTCATGTTAGGTAATTTTGCTGGTGGCTAGAAAATTGAAGTCTGTAGAGTTCTTACTGGCTCTTTGATACATCCAGGTAGCATGTTTCGTTATCCGCTACTGCCAAGTTAATTTACCTTGAGTACCGATGATTTGATAAGTAGGTAGGTAGGTAGGTAGGTATTCAACTTACACCCAATTCGCTTTTTGGTCGCCAGGCTAACCTATCCGCAAACATTGTATCAACAAACAGGCGTCCGACGATTCCTTTCGAAGACTAGAGTACCTATAATTAGCCCTATGGCAAAATATATATATGCTTCAACATACCCTAAGAGCATTGATGACAGCATCGAATCTTTCCCCGAAAGATCGGTACTCTTCGTAATGCGGTTTCCCGCGATCTAGATGGTTTGGAAGACGACAGTGTCCCCGCTGCGAATCATAAATCGATTCCTGGAGAGTATTAGTAATGCAGCGAAAACTAGTTTGATAAAAGTCCTACAAGTAATTGCCAGAAGACTAGCTCATATTCTAAATCATTATACTTCTTATTTAGTATGCCTTGGACGTTGCTATTCCTCGCATGCTCATATGTCCTGGAAACATTAAGTGCCGCATCGAACATTGTTTCCACAAGTTCACGTTGATGTTCAGGATTGGATGGAAAATCGCCATAGCTACTAGGATCCTGATAATGATCATGCATAGCGTGGTATTGTCGTTTGGTCTCGTGGTACTCTTCTATGCTTCGGACCCATCCTTTATACGCCCCTTCTGATGATTTTATCATCTCGTGTATGGGTAGTCGCACCTCGTCAGCACTGAGGGTGTTGTTGGACGATTCAATAGACGGAATGGGTATTTGATCGTTAGAATGGAGATTGAGAGTTTGCTCAGGTTGCTGGAATCGATAGCCGAGCACTGGATGATATATAGAGGGATAGTATGGTTGTTCATTAGCGTTATCCATCTTGTGGATGGGTGTGATGGTATTCAGCAACTACAACTGAGGAAGATAATGAAAGAAGAAAATGGAGACCTCTACTATTGTGCGAAGGTGGACATACCTAAGTTGAAAAGGCAACGAAACCAAAATTAGAAGTAGACGAGCGCAGAGATATGTACATTGCAACTTCCCAAGTGACTATAATACACCTGGACGACCCCTTGACAAATTATTAGTGTGAATACATGCATACTGGTCGCGATTTCCTTTGAAAAGTTCCAATTGGCAAGAGATTCCGAGGTAAATATGTACCTAGAAACGCACACACATAGGTTCCATATACTGTTCATATTTCTTCCAACGGATTAAGGAGATACCTATAATGTGCTGGAATATTAGGTGGCTGGGAGTCTACGCCCTGTATCCACAGGTATATAATGTACTATCTAGCTACCTGTACCTACCTCCAGTAACTTAACCTTCTAATCTATATCAATGATACTCATAACCTGCGTCTATTTCAACATAACCAGTCAAATATGCTTAAATTTATGGAGTTAACTGTACCGTTAGAAGCTCGTGTAGTAGGATCCATATAGCAGGCAATAAGTTAGAAAGAGATTTGATGGAGACCACCTCAGTAGAGTACAGTGTTTAGGTACTTTTGAACAATTTAGCGGTTTTCGTGAGGATCCAACATTGAGAGAACTTGAAAAGAACATCATGTGGTTGAGAGGCGTGGTTCGTTCTATCTATTGATTACCCATCTACCAGAAGGTTTACTATCTTCTCTAAGCTACAGGAAACATGTCTCTTGGCCAAGACAGCTAACTACAACCTATAACAGATCTATTATTACCCATACGTGCATTATCGTCGTAGTTAGTCGTATTGATGCGTAAAATTGGGTCGCGATTGGCGAGTAGGAACCTCGCGTATCACCATGGTCGTGCCGGCGACTGGGGGGAAGATTGGAGCTGTTCTTGAAGGCTTCGCCCAGGTTGAGCGACAGTAGTTGTTGCAGTTATGTTGGCTGAAGAACGAGTTGATGCCGTCAGGACCCAGGTCAGTCACACCATATTCGCGATTACGCGATAAGATGACGGGGTCAGCGAGGACGATCTCGTGTTGATAGACGCCCCCCTGTAGATCGCAAAGAACGTATTGGCCGCCCGACATGTGGTAGCTAAAGTGGCTAAGGGCCTGCATAACTTCTCCCCATGCGATTGAGTCGTCAACCCATCCGCTGTTGCTATTGAACTTTTGATAATTTTGGATGAAAGGTTCGCATAATGCATGTTGTCCTTCCCTCTTAGGACTATCTTTAGATACCCATACCTCGGGCACATTGACTTTGACGGTTTTGTTGACTATGTTGGATCCATTAAATCTGTTGATGATCTCAAGGGCCTTATCAACGGCTTTGATGTCAAGAGTAAAGTAGTCTGCCTCGAAAACGGCGCCGGTCTTGAACCACTTGACGACGCATGGCTGGCCACTGCGGGAACCTGTAGTATATGTTCCCTTAGCCACCCACCGGAAAGCCCCTTCAGCAAAGGGATGGTCAAGGTCATGAGTTTTGGTGCTGGCCCTTCCGGAGTAATTATATCTCCCACTATCATGCTCACTAGCTGACGGGACATCGGCATGGAGTTCGTGGACGCAGCCTACACATCGTGATACGCCGACACCCCGAGAGTATTGGTTAGCCGTGTATGACGACTGAGGTAGATTGCGGCCGCACGAGGCACACTCCCGCATGATCGGGATAATTGATGTAGGGAAGATGTGGTATTCGAGATTGTACTATGTAGGTATTGGAAGTAGAAAAAAAAAGGGGCGTCCCGAATCATGAACCCTCACCTTAGGGTAGCAGGCTTATGTATCGAAATGTAGAAAAGACGGAGACTGGAGGTTGTAGGTGATGTTGAATTTTAATAAGTTCATAGAGCAAGTCTTGAAAGTCTTATAAATAATCTGCCATGTTAGTGTATGTTGCGTCTTCCTGGTTACCTCTATATTCTATTTACTGCGCAAACATTCAGTCTTCCATCATCTGGCAAACATGGACCATAACAGGTACCTAGATGCTATGTATGCCCTATAAAATTGGAAGAAGTTGTTGCTCTAGACTCAGACTTAGCTATTTCTAACGTACCTACCTACTTACCTAGGTAACTTCGCCGTGCGGATCAAAGAATGATACCTAAAAACAATATCTACAGCTGTTTTCAACGATAATACCTACCGAAAACAGTGCGCTAGGATAATGTTATCCCAGCTTTCACGTACTGTAATACAGTGGCCATGAGCCATCTATTACCCTGGTCACACAAACCCACCGTTACACTCAGCTTTTCTACAAGCATAATAGTAGCCATGTGTTCTTATAGGGCTTGTTGGATCTGTTTCGAAATATCTATAGTCTTCTGCTAGTTAAGGGAATATACTTATTCGAATGGCCGGTTCCAATAATACCCAGTAGCCAAGGTTTCGATATAAGGCAATATGAACTTAAGGAGAAGCAATGAGTAGAAAAGGTAATTATATCTATACGGGGATTGTATCTTACATCGCAGGTAGGTATTAATCAGTCTGTATATCAAACAGCGGTCAACGCTGTAGGAAGCATACAAACCCCACGGATATACATTTAGCAAGACCAGTGTTGTCATCACTGCTGATACGGAAGCCTATCGTCGGGTTAACATCTTTGAATATAAATTTAGAATTGAAAATATGGTTTGATTCCAAGTCGAAATCAATTCATGGTCAAGCTAACTAGACACTAAAGCTAAGGTAGTCTACCTACAAAGCATCCAGTAGTATCTTTCTAGACCCTTTCCATACATGCGGTACATCCAAGTCCGCACCCGGTTTTGCAATCGGGCATCATAAACATACTGATATCAGTCATCTAGTGGAGGATAAACCGAGTCACGGTCTTCAAAGAAGGGAGACCAGATATCGGAGTCATCGGAGCTCATGAATGGATCGCTGTACATACCCTCCATACTGGTGGCTGTTTGGCCGAAAACATCCTCTTCCATGTTGGTCGAAGAAAGGCTCGGCAAGGAGGTGAAGGGTTCTTGCGATGCAGACTCGGCTTCGAAGGTATGATTCTGCTGAGGCGTCTCCTCAATAATTTCTATATTGCCGGTATCAACGAAGGTTGCGCTGTTTGGCGAGGACATGTCGTCTGAGAGTCGTGCTTGCTTTTTGGTCTCTTCGATTCTACCTTCAAGAGTCGCAGTCCGTTTCTTCATACTGCCGTGGGTCTGGCCTTTTCGATCGACTAGCTCTCCATTCGTCGTAGCCTTGATGTCGTTTTGTAGAGTAGTATGAGCACCAATAGGAATATGGACATATTGATTGTGGATTTTCCTGTTTTCAGCTTTCTTCTTTGAATATATTAGTTAATAAAGCCATTTTTCCGCATCAACAGCATGCCGACTTACCTTGAGTTCTGACTTAGGCCGCCAGGCAAGACGATGTTTAAAGTTGTCATCCTTGAAAAGAGATGCGACAGTGTCTTTCGAAGACTGATAGCTATTAGTATTTATTGATATGGTGAATATCTTGTTTTTTCTAACATACCTTCAAGGCATCATAGACCACATCGAATCTTTCTGTGAACGAGCCATACACGTTATATTGTGATACTCTAGAGCAATTATAATTTGGGATATTGCATTTTCCCGCCTGGGCATCGCGTATTGACATCTATAACATAATGGATTAGTTCTCAACCTTTCTCCAAGATCTGTATCGACCTACTAGCAAAGGCCAAAGGACCAACTCAAACTCAAAATCTGCATAGTACTTCTGTTGAATGCGCTTCAGAATTTTCGAGCCCTCAGGCTCAAATATGTTGCTACAATCTTGGGCTGCTTCAAAGAGTACCTTCACGAGCTCTTGCTGCCTTTTGGGGTCGGATGGGAATTCAGAATGATCATACCCCGGCCTTTTGTGCATCTGAAGGTAATTTTTATTGACTTCATGGAAGTCATCGATGTTTTGTATCCACGACTGAAAGATCCCAGTCCTCGTAGTCATCATGATATCCATGCGTGACGGAGCGTCCTCAGTAGTTCGTAGGCTTTCAGATGACATCGTGGAAGCGTTTACGTTTGTTGATACTCGATTGATCTGGGACGTGGAAGCAGGATGGCGGACATATGTCGTAGGAGATCTACAACCGTTATGACGGACTAAAGAGAATGAGGATGAACCGGAATCGTCGTTATGATCCATTGATAGCAGATATCGGAAACCCTAAGAAACAGAGTTAGTGATGTGTGTATATCCTAGCAACATATCAATAATCAGAAGAATGTAATAGACTATTATTAGAAAAATAAATAGGTCGTCGTATTGTTGTTAGAGGCCTGAGTAAAATTTCCGGCAAGCCGCTGTTATAGTCGTTCTGGTACAATCGCAGTAGAATGATGATTTGTTCTATATAACTCTAAGAGAAGGGGAATTTGTTTACCTTAAAGGTTGTAAGAAAGGTAGAAGTATTTGCTAACTGATAGTGATGATCAAGACCCCTGATCAGTGTTGGTGATAAAGGGTTTCCGCAGATCAACAGGAATTGAAGATGTTAAATAGGTAGATTATGAATATTCAATTTAAGAAGCAATACGAATTCACGTGAATCATCCCCATTAAATCCATACGCAGGTAACCCACATATGAACTCAGGTATGAGGAGATTTGATGTTTGTCAATTGGACGTTGTAATTTATGACTGGAGGGAACGAAATAACGAGCTGGGATAGGCGCAAGAGGCGACACTAATGAGCAAGGCATTCTCTCATGACCTGTGTTATCGTCAAGATCAATGCTGTCCTAATAGCCCCCAGAGGAAACAGGCATTATGAATCAGTCTCCTGTGTTGTTGAAGATACAAGAGCTCAAGGTCGTCTATCAAACCAACACGAAAGAGGCGAATACCAACTGTAGAAGCCCAATTGGAAGCGCAAATGATGCTATTTCCATACAAACTTCCTCACGAGGTAGGTGAACCCCTTACTCGGGATTGCACAAGCAGTGAGTAGCTAGCCAGTGGGTCCGTAAACCTATACTATGTAATCATGCCCGAGTAATATAATAAGGACGCCGCTGGATGAGAATCTAAAGCTCGAAATAATGGCGTTGACTTGAAAATTTAGAGTGGAAATCGAGTGATTCCATTATTTTGGACAATCTTCGAATCATTTATGTCGCATTTAAGAGGGAACAATGTGTTTAACAGGTAGTATGGACGTTCAATGCTAGAATGGGAGATATCAAACTAGCCTTGGCATAATGGTAATGTTTCTGAACATCTCCTACGTTATAAGTGCTTCTGGTTCAACAGACCACGTAATAAGCTAAGCTATGTATGTACCTGGATATTGTAGCTTACCTATCGAATTTATCATGAATAGAATTAGATGAAAGTCCTAGGATATATAATAGATTGTAACCAGAGCTTCAAAACAGCCCAAAAAAAAGTTTTCAAAACATACAACACCGGGGATTCGCTGGTCGTCACCGACCCAACTACTGATCCGGCGGTAGCCAGCTTATCTATGGGAGAGCGGACGGGATCCCGAGTTTTCTAGCTCCTATGGTCGTATGTGTTAGATCAGTGCGTTGTAAACGTTTATATTACCCACATTTAACGGAACCAACGAATTACCCGTTGGGAACAATCACTTACTCTAGTTCTCCCTTGGCTTCATTGCATGACGGCTCTTGGCAAAATCAAACTCACCACTTCCTCACCATCTGCATATAAGAAAGCCAACATCTTTTGTCATACAGGGGACAATGTGAAATCAAAGTATTTTTAATGTAATAATGCGATTTTATAATGGTATCGCTGATTCAATGCTTATACCCTTACTCTTTTTGCTTGGGAGAAGGTCGCGTTTATGGAGTATCTCCTAATAGTTACATAACTATGACAATTGAATTCTTTTACTTCATAAACGCATAGTTATCTGTTTATTTCACCTATAAGTGTACATCTTGTAAACGTATAAGGATTTCAAAATTAGCTAACATGGTGAAGATTTATAAATAACAGCTAGGAGATATTATTGTTAACGCCACGTAATTGAAATCGGTTGCAATTGCCTTCCAGTTATAAGGATACGTAAACTGTAAAGATCTAACATCGCAGTGGCTACATACATAAATAAGAGTAAGAATCATCCCTGATATAGGAATACCAAGATTCTATGCATAATTAGTAAGTGTGTGAAAACCTCCATGATTATGGATATGGTAGGGTGAGATTCTGATTACCTAATCAACGAAGCCTCTCTCCAATCCTCAGTTGGAGGGCCTAACGAAGTTGGGTATAGTAAGGGCAAATCGACAGACGGTGCCGAAATGCCGGTTTCACGGCACAAAGCCCGGTAGATTCAATGCGGCACCACTTGGATTCGGAGTCGCCGCCAATTCGGTCAGTGACGTTGAATAAAGAGCCTCATTATTGTCGCCGGTGAAACTAACCAGTGCAGTTACGTCATCAGTACGTTCCAATTTAGATAGGCCAGTGGTCACGCCTTTGTTAGGTACCTACCCCTACCTAGGTAGTTCTGCGGTTGTTTAAACGTGGCAAACAATAGCACAAAGCCCTTAAATCAGCATCGAGTATTCTTACTAGTGGCAAGTATCAGACATCTTTTTGAGCGTTCAGATAAGGATTATTCTCGGAGTCTTTGATGCTTCAGTGACGTAATTCTGAGCGCCGTAGTTTTCTTGCTATCGGCCGTTAAAGACTCAAAGAGTTTCTGAAAATCTAGACACTAAAGCAATAATCGAGCTGCTAGTTTTTCAGGGGTATAATCGTTCTTCGAGTGTATTATTTGCAACAAAACATCAGGATTGTGTCTATTGCCAAGGGCATCCTGTATGTTCGTCTCGGTTCAAGTAGATGTACCTGAACCCGTCGCCTAGTCTAGATCTATGTAACTCTATCTAGGTATGTAGGTAACCAAGTTACGGTCAAAAATATTCAAGGAAAATAAATGGTCTAGACTTAAAGCTCTAGCAGCTCGAATTAAGTTGTGACATTCAAGCAACCAGTTCTTGTCATGATCAACCATGTTATTGGTATCAAATAGAAGCACTACAAGCCATTTGGACTCTTAGTTTTCAACTTCCTCGTGACTTCCAGACTCCTCCTCGCTCTTCTCGCTGAGAGCCTTCTCTTCTACCACGCCGGCAGGGCCAACGGCATGTGCAGCACCTCTCGCGGCAGTGTCAATGAGACCATACTTGAGAGCTTCCTGCTCGACCTGCTCGGGGGTAAGGAGGGGCAACTCCTTGGCGGCACGAACATAAGAAATATTCTCCACGAAACCCTTGGCGAAGATGATATCAATCTCCTCAAGCGAACGCTTAGCGGTCTCGGGGTAGAAGAAGTAGATAATGGGGATGAAGCAGGCGTTGACAGCGGCAAAGAACAGGTAGGTACCCCAGCCGATGTTGGCAATCATGACAGGCGTAACCATGACAATCAAGACTATTATTTGAAGTTAGACACAACTATTCCGAATCGAGAAATAAGATGGTACTTACAGTTGAACAGCCAGTTCGTGCATGTCGAGGTAGCATTTGCCTTCGCACGAGTCTTAATTGGGTTGATCTCAGCAGGGTACAACCACGGAAGCGGCAGCCAAGTCGCTCCAAATGAGGCGATGTATGTCTAGAACATAGTTAGCATTTCCTTTGTCAGGAGATCGGGAAAGCCGATGTAGAGAACTTACAAAGAGACCAACGGCGGCACCCTTGGCGGCAGAAGTAGTGCCAGGAATAAGGCAAGAGAACGTGATAACCATGGATAAGCACTGTCCAATACTTCCGTAAAGGAAGAGCTTACGTCGACCGACTCGTTCAATGATAAACCAAGAGGTGGTGGCGAAGATGGCGTATACGATCATGTTGACACCACCCATGAGTAGAGCCATGTTCTGGTCACCGACGGTGATTTGCTTCTCGAAGAGAATAGGGAAATAGTAGATGACTGCGTTGCATCCACCAATCTGCTGCATCAACTGACTGCTAGAGCCAATCAACATACGTCGGAGATGCTGAGTCTTTCCACCGGTAAGAAGTGCCTTAACTGGAGTGCTCTTGCGGCTACCGAAACCACTGGCGCGGATAGAGTCCAAAATGATGTCTCGTTCCGTCGCGGTCTCTTCACTGCCTAGCTCGTAACCTCGCAGGGCCGCGATGACTCGCTCAGCATCCTCGTACCGCTCATGAGTGAGCAGCCAACGCGGGCTTTCGGGCAGGAACACCATGGAAATGCACACGACGAAACCGAAGATGGTCTGGAAGGCAATGGGGAAACGCCAGGAAAGATCCTCGCTACCATAGCTGCAGCCATAATCGATCCAGTACGCGATCACAGTACCAAATGCGATGATACCACCTTCGATACAGATGAGTAGACCTCTGTTGGAAGTCTTACTGCATTCGGCTGCAATAATGTTAGATTTAAGCACTTAAAGCATCGTAGCATGACTACACACCTTGGTATGTCGGAATGGTAGAAGTGTTAATGCCGTTTCCTACACCAGTAACCACTCGGCCGACGATGAACTGAGCGAGAGGCGCGTGACCAGGGAATGAAGTGACTTGGATGGTGGCTCCGATGATCATGATGATTCCTCCAATGATCATGGCTTTCCGTCGACCCAACACGTCGCCAACACCCAGAATGAACATAGCGCCAATGAGACATCCAATTTCGTAGATAGCAGTAACGAGACCTTGCATGGTCGCGTCATTCCTTACTTCCGTGAATACATTTGCGAAGTGGTCAGAGCCGATAATTCCGCTCATACTATGATCTAATTAGCGATTTTCAATCTACGCTATGCCGAGGACGCGCTTCGGAGTCTCCGTAAAAGTGCCTAGACGGCAGCAAAGCCGAAATATGTCCCGGTTGGGGTATTTTAACTTACACTCCTTGGTCGTAACCGAATAGCAGGAAACCGGTGGTTGCGACGATACTCACGGCCGTAGAGAGCGGCCGGCCCCGAAGGCCCATATATGACGGCGTTGTCGTTGATGCCATCTTGAATTCTGTTCCGGACGTGATGAACGGAGCCGGTATGTGCGTTCTTCAAGTGTCCACAATATTGTATGGTGATCAAGCAACCAAGCGTCGATTAGATAACTCGGCGTAATGAGCGACAGAATTTCACCGACTCCAGATTTTCAATCTTGCGCCAGACTGAAAGGTCGGATGGGAGTTGTGGGAGAGAGATCTAGAGTCTGGAGAGTCTGGAGAGGCGGGACCGACCCTCATATAAGAATGGAGAAAACCCTTGTTTGAGCTGACAAAGGACGACATCGGGTTCGTGAGAACTGGAGCCGGTACACTTTTGTACGCAGATAACCGTGGCAATCAGGTCGGCTCAGACACCCTTCCTGGATCTCGAACCAAGCTTTCCTCCGGTGTGACAGTTGCGACTGTAACCCTGCAGGGTCCTGCATGCCTGTTGGTCAAGGCCGGTCTGCCTGCTGATCTTGCCGATCTCTTAAATTTTCCATTTGCTGACATGCCTTCTGGCGGGGTACGGGCTGGGTACGTTCTTTTCGCGTGTTACCATGTCAGGCATGCTCTGCATCTCAGCATCTATCGTGGTATGATGGCTACAGCAATATGAGGTCATAGTTCCAGCATTTCCTCGGTTCGGCCAAGGGGGAGAGTAGTAAGGCTTGGATTGGGCTGAGCTAACTGGTCGAGCTCAAGGGGTCCTGCGGAATTATCCATGCACGGAAGTGGAAAGGCTTAGCTCTACTGGGCGTTAGTTTAGATGTAGTCGCGTTGACGAAACAATCAATCCAGTAAAATTCGCCGATAGCGTTATTCTGCTGCATCTACTGCATCTACTGCATCCACAGATCCCTTATCACAAGCCCAAGATGCGTTAGTTGGTAGAAACCTACATATAGTTGGAAGTAAGGGGCGGTGGCGTTGACGATCCGAAAAGCTTACGCACCCTGGCACCTTATAGATATAAGACTACCCACTAGCATTTAGTAATTGAAAAAAAAGGCCTCGAGGAATATCTACCAGAGGAGCAAATAATTTAAGACAAGACCCTGAGCTACTCCATGTGTTCCTAGGTATGTAGTATGCGTATATTTCTGTACTAACCCCTACATATAGTATGTAAATCTTTACCTGACGGAAAACCTGTAAGACATGCAGGACATGGAAGACATCGGGTTTCCTACCTAGGTAGGACCGGCTATCTGATGTCTCATCCGTTCCCGACAATACCCTCGTACTTCGGGACTCACTTCCCACCTACGCGGCAGCTGCGCGGGGATTAGGGTCCTGGCGTTCCCCCCAACGGGCCGGGGCAAAAACCCCCAAACTCCCCAGGAGCTCCCATCCTTCAACTCCCAGCTCGCCTCGAGCCGCTGACCCCGTTGCCCCGCTGAACGGCATGCCGTGGGGCTCAAAAATGGGTCATTTAGTGGAGGTTTATTTCCACTCCCCCCTTCCGCGACCCACTATCGTCATTTAAGGGCCCAATTGCACGGCCAGAGTTCGGTGAGATATTCCAAGGTCTTACCGCGTTGGAAGATGCACAGTCAGAAAGATTTTCAACTGTAACAAACTAATTCAATGCGTATCACATATCACATGAGAACTTGACGGGACCCAATCTCGAGTCCCGGTCGGAGGCGATTTCGCAATCACACACGCAACACGCCAGCTCATCGTGAGCCAATGAAGCACTCGTGAGTGTTAGGAAAAAAAGGAATTGGTGGTAAGCAATAGTCAGAGAAGGATCGTGAGTTTCCAACCTTCAATTTCAACAGACCAGAAAAAAAAAATCAAGTCACAGGAACACGAGCTGGCGCTTATTAGCCCGGAGTTGTATTTGACGAGGCTGAATTGTCGTATTATCGTTCCCAAGCTCATGGATGACTTGGAACCTCGTGTCTCGGCCGATGGCTTGCATTGGACCATGTACTTTACATGTACCATGTAAGGTTAATGTTGGTCATCGTGCATCGCGGAAGGGTCGTTTGCAGATATTTTTTTTCTTTTGCTGCTCGAAATAAATTGGCTGAAAATTTTCGATTATAGTTCAGAAGTTCAAATCCTTCCAATCCCAGAAACAAGAAAAAAACAAGCAAGCAAAGTTTTCCAAGAGTATAACCTAACTTATAATGAACTAGTGAATAGGCTTAAAAAATGAGGGTACACTTTAATAATATTAAAAAAATGGACTGGCTTCTCCACGGGGTAGCATTTCATTTCATCTCCTTATTAACGTGGAGAGGAGGGTATACCAGCTACTCGAAACTTAGTCAACCGTCCCGGCGGGACACACTGAGTCGGGTATACGAGCTGACGTGTAACAGAACCGATATGGCATATTTAAACGCACGTAACACGGAGTATAAAACCTTGGTGATTTGTTACACGTAGTCAAATAATGTATGTAAGTTCAATTCAATCACATGCTTATCGTGAGATGTATATCCTATTCACTACCCGCTACCTCGAAGGAATGCATACTAGTACAGCAATGTCGTCATAACAAATGCACGTGGAGTTGTAACGGAGTTAGAACCATGCCTTCATGGCGTGTAGCGGCCCACTAAGCCTCCCCAGGACCCAGTGAAGTCTGGTTGGGTGTTGATATTAGTCCCGTCCCCAAGGTGGAGCGTAGTCGTAGTGCTCTTCGAGCACAGGCCGTACGCCTTGAGATTCGCGGGCGTTTGAGAAATCCAATGCATGGTACCTATCACAATTGTAAGCAGCTGGATCTAGGAACTCTACTGCATAGTAGATTTCTTTTTTCTTTTTCTTTCCGACTCACCTTGACAATCTCCCGAGCATGCTTGGTAACCTGGCCCGCTGAAAAATGCCCAAGAAGCGGACGCGTAGGTGTAGATGTTCGAGCCGCCTTGGACAAAGTTGGCAAATCCCATTCGGCACCGGTTGTCTCCACCTCCACACCAGGAAAAATCCGGGTCTCCCCAGTTGTTCACGTCAGCTGTCCAAGGGGCCGGCACCGTCTGTTTCGTGTTGTCACCTTGGTCGTAGTTGGTCTCCGACTGGAGCAAGCTAACCATAACGTTATCCGCATTTCGTAAGTTGAGCTGATATAACCACCAATGCTCGCTTCCCAACGCATGAAGCCATGTCCCCTTGGTGGATTCGACGAGAACACCGCCTTTTGCGGCAATGTTGCACCCACCGCTACCTTCGGTGAAGTGGTCCGCAACCCAATTCCAGACGTTCTCAATATACGCTGATGAACTGGCAGTCAGATGGATTCCGATGAAAGCAGCCTGGCACTCATTGCTTGGATCCCCGCAAGCGTTTGCAAGCGCCGATGCTCCCAGTGTGCCGCCGACGGTGACTAGGGAATTCCACAATGCAACGTCTCCCGGCGCGGTGCCCGCGATGTTAAATTGCAAAATAATGGCACCGGGAAGGACGTCAGAGACCGTAAACCTCATATCCTGAATCTGAGCGACACCGACATCACCCTCGTTACCGACAGATACAACGGCCTTCGGGTTCGAGGCGTCCTTGAACTTGTCACCGTTGCCGGTGATAGTCGCCCACGCTTCTCCGACGATGCGCGAACCCTTAGGAATCAGTAGAGTATCGTCGACTCTGTACTTGCCGAATGGGAAGTACGCAATCTTGTTGTTGCTCGCCGCATATTGCAATACCTGGTTCAGCACCCCGGATTCATCCTTGGTGTTGTCGCCCAGGACAGTGTGACCACCATTCTGAGACGGGTCTTTGATGTTGATGAAGTCCGAGACGGGATTCGTCGCATAGTTGGGCGCAGCGTTTACGGGATACTTGCCGTTCGGTGCCAAACCAGAGGGTCGGTTCAATGGCGAGGTTATGGCAGCGTAGATAGGGTTGTTTCCCACGGTATTACCGTAGGAAAAGGTGTCTACATGAGTCTGCGCGCCTAGAGCCGTCTTCCCGGGAACCTGCGCGACATCCGAATTGGTGTCCTTGGTCAGGTTTTCAATAATGAATGATGGATAGCCTGTTGCAAAGTTAGCAGAGTCACACACTTCGATCCTTCAAGATCGTCAGGTAGGACATCGACAGACGCGGATAATAAACGAGCTTTTAGGAGCCATGTTTATCGTCCAAGTCGGTCCGGTTTGATCCCTCATAATTATATAGATATGCTTGCTTACCTGATGTTACAAAAGTAACGCCAGAGTTCTTAGATGTAGCATCGATAAGTGCAATCCATGGAGATCCGCCGTCATGTCGAACAGCAATACCAACGGTGTCAAACGTCGCGCCGATGATGCTGATGGTATTACCCCCGTTGATCAGCATACCGATGGTGTTTTGATAGAAGTAGATACCCTTATAGAGTGCTTGCTGATGTCCATTATGCCAGATACCATTCTTTTTTCAAATTAGCGCCTTCATCACTAGAAATGCGCAAGGCTTAGAAAATTACCTGACCATGCTCGACGCGAACATCAGCGAGACCGAGAGTGGAACCTCTTCCAAGTTGGATACCCGTGTGTCCATTGCCGTTACTCGACGGCGCCATGACTATCCTGACATTCTGTAGCTGGGCGGCTTGGGCCACACCCCACCATAGCGCAGTAAATGCAGTGCCTGTTACTAGTCAGAGAGTACGGACCAGAAATGCACACAACGTCGGATTATCTTACCTCCTGAGATGCTGGTGGTATCAAGAATTAAATTCTTTAAGCCAACCGCAAAGGAAAGTTCTCCTGACTCTCCAGTTGCTGGATCCTGTCCTACGTCACACCATTAGAGGCAGTCATCTAGGGTTCAAGGGGAGACTTACCAGAAAGTAGTCGATCGCCTGAGAAACCGGCAGCAGCTTTGATCGTGGGTGGCTATCAACCATATTAGTGGGTACGTAGTTAAGACAATACCTGTTTATACTGACATTTGTAGCATCGCCCATCAGGATCGTGTCCGTATTCATCTCAATTGTCTGGCTGACTTCGTATGTTCCAGGTGGTATATACACGACCTGTTTGGATTTTAGCTGGGGTTTAATAACCTCGGATGTGGAACTCATACTCTCGGTTGAGACGCCAACCATTCGCCGTGTCGCTTTTGGCCATTGCCAGCATCGTTGATGGCATTCTGTATTCCAGCACCGTCACCGGCATTGACTGCCATGTATACCGGATATGTATCGGTTCCCAAGTCTGGAGCATATCCGCGAGCCGACCCGGTGTGGTCCATGTTTGCATACCAGAAACTGGTAGCCCGTTTGACGAGGTTGTCGCCAGATTCATTGTCTCTGGGAATTGCCGAGCATGATGCTCTCCCCAGCAAGGCGGCAGCAAGAAGTCCAAATTTGACCATATCGACTGTCGGATATTCGTCAAAATATCAAACCGTGGCGAGACCCTGTGGTATGAATAGAATATTGGCCTTGCAGCGCAGGGCTATTGAGGTTATATATACTTAGGTATGCAATGTAGCATTAGAACTGAGGCTGGTGACATTTTCCAAATTGGCCTATGAGCTCGAGTTTATGCTTGCAAGGAGACCTAGCTATGATGACGCCAGCAACATCGTGAGTCGCTACAGGTATGCGATCTGACTATTTCAATTTAGTGGCGCATTTTCTGGAGTGTCGGCCATATGACATCCATGGATTGGAAGTAAACCCGAGTGGCCAGCAGCTAGCGCAGAATGTTACGGCAGTTGAAGCTGAAATATCATCTCGGTAGTGGCTCTTACTGTATCGTTCCTCCTAACTTAACCATTGCGTTGGAACTTCCAACCATCTCCATGATCCTCCCCTTACAGCTTCCGTCGTAGTCAGCGTATGTATCTAGAAAGCAGGCACATGTGAATATCGTCAGCTTAAGTCATTCTATTGGTATTATATTGTGTCGAATCTTCACCCGATATGAATTAGTGATTTGTTTATTAAGCATTCATTGTGGCGACAGGACGAAAATAGGCCATGTTGTAGCCTACCTAACCAGCTTTGGAGCATCTCGCAAATAATTGTTCAGCCAGGCAAGTGGCATCGAAGTTCAAAGGGGCTCGCTACGTTACCTGCAGCTCAGTCTAACGAAGGCTATCAATTCTAGGGGCTGCTTGGCTACTGCTACTTACCTAGGTGATATTGCACCCACATCGTAGTTCCCAAAATAGAACCAGACCTGCCTATTTCGGGGCTAATTGAATATTTTAATTTCCGATTAGAAGCTAACAGTGTTCCTAACGTTTACAGCTCTTGGCTGAGGTTGATGAATCTTCAGTATGAACATTCAGTGTATGCTGGTGTCAAAGCGGTTGATGTCAAGGGAAAAGAAATTACCTACTGTTGAAATGAACGTGACAAGACCGGACAAGACGCGATGTTTTCCTCGCGTCAGTCAGTAGATAGGTAGGTAAAACACGGCATGTTCAATCAATCGCGTCCGGCCCATGTCCAGCTGCTCATAGCTTATTCAGTTAAGCAAGTCTTTCGTGTAGGTAGGTAACTCCACATCGATCTTCTTGCTGATATGCAATGAATGCGACACTGTATCCTGATAATTGAATATTACAGATTAGTGAAATTGGTGCTCCGTGTAGTTTTTTGTTTTTTTTTTTCCTCCAGATATAGTCTAATATCTTATCATATCAACCTAATAGTCAAGTGTAGATCTAAATTAAGAAGATATTAAAACTCTCGCGTCCTTCCCTACATGGTTGTAGGCAGTCCTAGGGCTGGTAGCCGGACCGGGACGGCTGGTCTATACCATCATCGTCACTATTCCGGGACTATTAATCCCACTCCGAAAGATGCGCAATCGAGCCTCCGATACCCACACTAGCATCTACCTACTTAGGTAATTCCGAATCTGTGATCGGATGCCAATACACGTAGTGTGTACCTGTATTTTAATCAATTCTTACTACTTCATGTCCGCTACGCGAAGCCCCCTCACCGTAAACGTAGCTACTCGGCACAATACCTGTTACTCTAGGCAAGAACATCAACCAAGCAGGGTATACTGGGCTTGTGCTTTATCGTCATCCAAGCTCGCAATACCACGTCTAACATTTGAAGGACACAACTCGGATGTTAGATACATCAACGAAACAAGGCAGCTCTTGGAAAAGGGTTATTATAAAGTCAGCATATTTGAATTTGACCTAACCAGGTACCGGTAGATTTAGTACCTGAAGCATGAGTGGCCGTTGTTAATGAAGAATTATGCCGTTGCAAAACGGCCTGAAGTGATACTCCCGCTGAAATATTGAGAAACGAGAAACGAGAAACGCGCCGCAGAATGTGATAGATTCCTACTTTACCTCGACAAGGTCTGTGCCTCATGTATTGCACGGACGCACTCTATTTATATTGCCTATAATTAGTCTTCTGTAGGTAGGTAAGTAATGGTCCAGCCCAAACCAATGAAACAAGTGATATGGTTCAAGTGAAACTCGCACCGAGGCCAAAATGGAGCAACGAGTGACTTAAGCCTAAGGCACCCGCGCTGCTGTTGGCCATTTTGTAAATTCTTATATATATTTTTAAAGTGCTCATGTAGGTATCTCAATGTTATGATCGTTTTTATATAGGCGCTCTATAAAACACTGTTTTCAAGTTCATTCGGCAATATGATCTAAAGAACTGGTAGGTAAGGTTTCCCGAGTCGAGTTGGAGCTGGCGGTTTCGACAACGATCAGGCCCAGGTTACGCGGCACCCAAACCCCTCCCATCTGCACTTAGCTTCAAATATTAATACCAGCAAATTCATAATTCCAAGTCAGTGCGACATAAAACTACTCGAATTCGTGTTAATTGACTTAAATTAGGTCTTTGCGCAAAACTACCTACCTGCCCATACATGTCAGAATCCCTGATAGCCGCCCTGCGTGGGCGCGCATCACGTTCCCGTCAGGCTGGAGTAATGACAGGTTCCAAGCACTCACTCTTGACGACTTGAGTCAGATTCCAGATGAGGTCTGGTTAACTCAATCCCGCCAGATTGCACTTGTAGGAAAGCAGTGAACTGAGCATTGCCATTGGTGAAATAGGAACATCATCTCTGGGCTGCTGGAGAGACGGCCGACGACGTCCGGAGGGCCCAAAGACAGAATCAACTACCGACTAGTTCTCCGGATTACGTCTCTGCTGGCTGGACAGCAGAACAGGCCATCTGTCCCAGCTTCAAGCTGTTATCGCAACTCTCAAAGGAAGTCAGTAAGCGCCGCGAACGCGAGGTTCAGCCTACTTCTCAACTTTGTTTGCTGACCTGAATTGGCAGGATCTTACGTGGTTCATGACGTCTCGAAATGAGGTAAAATCATGGCATGAGTGGCCGCTCCAGATCCTCAGAAGGTGGAATCGATTCCGTCCCCTCTGGCTCAGACCCTCCAACGAACAGGATTTCCACTATGGGGATTCTTCATTGTGCGAACTTATTATAGCTCTGCAAGTCGGTGGGAACGGTTCATAGAGAAGTTTGAAGCGGTGTGCGATGAACAGCTTAATCAAGAGGTTGTTGACAACCTTGAAAAGATCAAGGAAAAGTTAGAGTTCGAAATGATTGAGGATCCAAGACTTCAAGGCGTAGGCGCGGAGGAGGCCAGAAGGTAAGCGGGTAGGGCATGAGTGTCGCCAAGACTAGTCGTACCAAACCGAACTTACCTAGACATTTTCATATTGCCAAAGCGATAGATGGTGTCGCTCCGGCCATCGATATGAGAGTTCTACTTCTAAACGACGATGCGACTGTAGAATCGGTTCTCAACGATGGCACGGACGATAGTAATGTGGCTTACTTCACTGTTGTCGACGTAACAGAGCCTGGTGAGCCAAAGGGGTACCTACCGGGGTCACTTCAAAGTATTCGTCGACTCCTTGTTGTGCGAGTCTTACCCCAAGTTGTCTATGGGAATAAGCCCGCGAGATCTTTGGCCCATGATGAACGAGGCAGATAGCACCTGGACGGGTGATGGTATATGAGCGCTTACTAGAAGGAAACTGGATAGGGGTAGGTACCTACCTAATACACATTTAAGACCCACAATATTCTTGCCGAAGACATTGAAGTTCTTATGATTTCATCGCGGACAACAAGCGAATGTCCTTACTTCAATTATTCGATTGAATAGGTCTACTATAACATGTTTGAACCAAGTCAAATCTCGTCATCCATGAGACCTTGGTGGATTAGCTTACAATTTCATATCGATTTGTCAACGTGAGTATCTATCATCCACCCCGTGCCAATAAATGCGAAGAGGTTTTCGCCAATATAATTGATTGCCATATAAGGAAAAAGCTCCACGATCAATTGGAAATAAGAATAGGGTATTTTCTTCTTTTTCATAACCATTAGGTAAGTAGTAAGAAATATTTATTCACCGTGGCAACACGAACACGCGATGCGCTTGTAATAGTTGTGCCCCGTGCCCCTTATGAGATCCATCAACACCCCAACTATCTCACAAGAATACGACGAGATATTGATCCATGTGAAATGGACGGCGCCTACTCCTCTTGACCTTCACCAAGCAGATGGCGGTCTTCTAGTTGAACCTCCCCATAGAACTGGGTCGACCTCTGCCGGTATTGTCGTTGAAGTCGGACCCGACGTAAAGCACTTCAGTTTTGGCGACAGAGTATTCGGCCATGCGCATCAACAGCCAAAGTGAAAGTCCCATCAGGGAATACGCGACAGCTCCCGAATAGGTCTTTGGGAAGATAGAGACTAATTCCCCGTGGAAAAGGGGGCCATATTACTGAGCATTACATGACGGCTAATAACCTGGTAGATTCTAGATGGTTTCTCGCTAGAGCAGGTCGTCACGCTTCTCGAGAATCTTGTCACCGCATTCAATACAATCTCAGCCGATCTAGGACTACCCACCCCATGGCCAAAACCCGAAGGCTACGTACCGCCTCGGGCCAAAGGCAAGGTTTTGATCTGGGGCGCCTCGTCTTCCGTAGGACAACTCACCATAGCAGTCTTGAAACTCTACGGATATCGTCACGTAATCGCGACGACGTCGCGACGACATCACGACTATTTGTAGTCGAAGGGCGCCGAGGAAGTCTTCGACTATAGGAGCCCGTCGGTCGTTGATGACTTTTTGAAGACCTATCAAGAGGGGGATGCGTCAGCCTTCCCGCTCATCGTTGATTGTGTTGGCTCGCAGGCCGGTTCAGTCGATGCACTTTTCAAGGTCGCCCAGAGCGGCGCGACAATCGCGATAATGTTGCCCGTCATCTTCATGCATGCGACTGAGGAAGAAGCACCTGAATACTCGATGGATGCTAATACTAGTGCCCCGTGGGCTGGAGGCGTGAGCGTGCGTGGGGTCCGGACACACTTCTACTGAAGGGTACGCTCGTAGCCCCTTTCACAATCCCTCTCAGACTTGCAGTAATTGACATGAACTAATCCAGAAAAATGAACCCATTAAAAGTTAAGCTAGAGATCATTCCCTCACTCATAGCAGACGGCTATGTAACACCGGATCGCTTCCGTGCAGTTGAAGGGCGCAATCTGCTAGAGAGCTACCAAGGCGTTAGATTCATTTTGGAAAGGGATGAGCGGAAAGAAACTTATCTGGAGGGCCTCCGAGGAATAAGAAATGGGTGCAATTCATTTTTTGAGACTAAAGGCTTCTTCATTGTACCATTTAGTGTTGATGGACTTCGTTAATACTTACGATTAAGAAAAGGTACATTCCCTCGGGTTGCTTCGACCCTCCAACTTCAATTGAAGAAATTCAATGGTATTATGTATCACCGAGTTTTTCATGGGGTTGTGCACCGAGTAATTATGTGAATCCTACGAGTTGGGTTGAATGGCGTGGCTTAAGTGGTTAGGCTATCGCAATCCACACCAAAGATCATCCTTCGCGATCCGCCCCCAAGGTTTGTTGCTTGAAACATGCAGGATTTTATCTAATGTTAGCTTCGTGCCTTGCCTCGACCCATAGCTTCGGTTCCTTCTCTCATCCCGGTCCGGCTAGAGTTGACCTAGCTTCCCTTCGCCGCTGCAATAAATACTCCGAAACTGGTGCGAACAGCTTCTAAGACGGATTGGAAAGGGTAGCACTTGAGCTCTGGACTCCTAACGACGCCGCGGTCAACACCAATTGTTGGAAAATCCTTGAAATACCTTCATCACAAGACAATAGGATTTTCGAGGTTTCCTTTTTCATCACGTTTGAACTTTAGTTCCTTCGCAGGATTGGGGCTTTCGAAGGATCAGGTAACAACTCCCAACATACCTACCTCTTACCTAGATAAGGGACCAACTCGTCCGGCACGTCAAAATGTAGCGCTCTAGAATGTATGCCATGGTCTTCTTCTAGATCGATTCCCACCGGGATATGCCATGTCGATCAATCTTTTCTTAGTACATGAGATCCAGTCTCTTGTATCGTTTCCTATGAAGATACTTATTAGTTAGGTATACACCACTCGTAGAATTATCGCAGAGTTTACCCTACCTGGACGTCCGGTTTTACACGCAATGCTTTCCCACGGGTCCTCTTCAGCAGAAGTTGTTGGATCCCGAGTGATCCGAACATCAACTTTCCATAATATAGTAGAGATACTTGACAGGTCCGTCGAGGGAAGTCCGCGACTAGATGGGCGCTCGATACCGACTTGGCCTGTAGATTATCCACAATGTTATCCCCTCCAAGTGTACTCATGCCGTCTTGGTGGCCTTTTAGAAATCCTTTCAAGTCGGGACAGTCTCACCCGATCCTTGATGAAGTATCTCTTCCGCAGCTAGACGATGTTGAGATCCCTCGTCCCTGATCAAGCCAGTCCCGAAGACGCAGTAAGTTCATCCCATGTTGCGATAAGGTTCCGTGCTGTATAGCTCTCAATTGGCGAAAGCCATCTACTTTCTGCTCGTGGAATATTTTCTCCAGCATCCTTGCCGACCATGAATGATATTCCGCTCTGATGGTTAAGAATATGCTGATAAGGGAGTATCTACTCCATGTGTAGGAGTCGTCTTATTCCGAAGGATATATCGCCGAGCATAGACCGGTCTCCGGACTTCTAGCATGGCTGCGGATGTCCATCGGCGAACTAATAGGTGATCCTATGTGACTTCAATCGCTTCTAGAGCGTCCACGCACAACTTCCGAATGTCTGGAACAACTTTGACCCTTTCGAGGTGAATGTCCACTGGCTTCAGACCCGGGGGGCTACGTATCGCCGAGCTCGGTGGGCTTCCACCCAGACCACCAACCAGTTATCGCAAAGGTAAACTCATCGACAACAAAACCCTCGTAATTCCTAAGACATCGATTAGGCACCTAAGTAGTCATTGTAGTGTACTTAGCATCATACCATGGAGTCAACATGGCTTCGTGGACGCCCCCAGAGCGCGGCCGGGGGTCATCATATGAAGTTGTGAATATGGCCACGAATTTAGTCTTCAGACTAGGACAGCCTATAGCAAGTTGCGGACGATTTAGAAGTTCGGAGAAATGATGCTAGTTTCCCGAAAGCAAGCAGGCTTCCTACTCGCGGCCTAGTTAATACCATCCACACACTTCTTAGTAGGTATGAACCTTGACGGTGAGAAGTTGACTACCCTCCGAAATCGTATCCTCCAGCTAGCACGTATTCTTATCCCTGAGTAAATCATCCCGGAGCAGCTGAAAAAGACTCATCGCTCTACCTGCGGCTGAGTTTACCTTGTCAATTTCACCAACTTTACATTTTAGGCTTGGCGTCGAGGGGTAAAATGTGCGAGAGGCAAGGGGGATGATTGGTTACCGAACGAAGGTGAAAATAGACCCATGTCTCCTAGTAATAGATTTGGTTTGCCGATACAGTCTGTATGCTTGATCTGTCGAAACTGTTAGATAAGGTGGTGATGCTGCAACGGCCTAGCATACCTTGGTAGGCATCGGTGTAACATTGAAAGTCACTGACGTCTATAGAGAAATCTCATGATACTACTACCACTACATGCAATTACATGCAGAAGAAGGAAGCATTTTCTCCACTTATACCAAAAGATGGGTGTCTAGACCAACATTATAAGTTGTGGTACTTAAGTAGGTACCATGTAAAGGGCGTGTTTATTAAGAAGGTTAGGTGAAAGTCCTTAAGAGGTGTCTTGTTAGACATAGAAGTATACTTACCTAGGTAGCTTGATGACTACCCCAGTACGTCCGAAGACTTTGAACGACTCCCGTGGAAATATTTCGACCACAAGACCAAAAAAACTTTTGCGATAGTCATGAACTTACTAGAATGATAAAGAACCAATAGGACCAGCCCCTTTCAACCCCAGCACTGTTTCACAGAAACAAGAGTATGCTTAATGACATCGTGCGAAACAATCGTCCTCGCCGTCGACTTAACAGCCGATGAGGTAGACCGGGCTGCCTAATCGAACGTTTCGGATGGCGTGACACTATAAACGCATTTCATCAGCTTCGATTTCTATGCCATTCCACTTCTCTCACCAGGGTGGCCAATAGCAGCTAGCACAGCGGCAGATTGACAGATCTTCGGTGTGGTAGGTAACATGGGGTGCGAGAAGGTACGGCGTGACTCGGCCGGGTCTGCATGTCTTAGGGCAAACCACACACACACTCTCTCTCTCTCTCTCTTATTACATATTATGGTGTCGCAGAGGAAAAAAAGCTCGCGAAAAAGCTCATGTCTAGCGTCTCCACACATCCCCGCATGGGGGACCGGGTGCTCGTCTGATCGCGTGGCCCAGATTTTCCGCTGCCTCTGCCCGCGAATGTGGGCGGGAAGCGCAAGGATTGTATACCCTAGGTGTGCTGCATGGAGCCATGCGTCACAGCCCGGATGCCGAGCCGAGACCGGCAGGGTGGACGGTCGATTCGCTCCCACGCCGAGTTATGAGCCACTCCATCCCCACTCTGCGAAGGGCCTGTGTGAGAGTGTGAGTGGAATATCAAGCCACGGGACCTATCGAGTCCTCCTTCTTCTCTCGCGTGGGTTGGGTGTCTTGGGTGTGCTAGGTGGGATAGTGCTATGCAAAGGCGACGGTAGCGCATTCTGTCCGTAGGTGAGTGTGGACGGCAATCATGATATCGATAATCCCCATGGCATCATTCTTATCGAATTCCTGAGGTTGTCAAAGCTAGTGGGATGAGACATGCAGCCAACCGGCTGGAATGCCGCGGGCCATTGTGATAGTACATATATGATACAAAAGACAGGACGGCCGACTACATATGACTGAATAGATGGAACCGAATGTTTGCCTGGAACGTGGGTAGATGCATACATGAAAAGTAAGAAGGGTCCTCTGAACCGAGATGTGATGGCTACCCAAATACTTCATAGGTAACCAATCCGACAGGAAAGAACTGGAAGATCATTCTACTGATCTCTTTGCCACCGCGTGCTGCCCGAGAACGTTGAAACGTTGACGATATTGATGAACGTAGTCTAAAGTTAGTCCTACAATATATGACAGCACTGGTCTAGACCTGAGGAAGACATACACCAACCAGAGCGACCGGATCGACAAGCGGAATGCGACGCAGTGATTATCATGTGTTCTGTCTGCCTTCCCAGGCTGCCTACTTGCTCTAGCTGTAGCCACTTGACCGGGTAGGGCAGCTCGCGCACGATCGGTTCGTACTTGTATCCACCGAATCCACCGAAGCGTGGTAGAGACATGTAAAGCCCCACGCTTTCTCATGCACGAAGTATGAGTCCGTAGTACGAAACAAGATTTAATTACTAGTCTCCCGCCTGCAAGAGTCCTAGATCTGCCTAATCTAGTCCAATGTAGGGAGGCGACGGACGGGCCAATAGACGACGAGGACGCGTATTGCATCTTTATACATAGTAAGGGACGGGTGAATTTCAAATTGAGTGACAAATTGATGGGGAGCGTGCTGGCACGGAGAGCACGGAGATGAATAAAGGCAGAAAGCGAAGGGGTGTTAATAATACTAGGTATGCTTATATCGCGAACCTGGTCGAACGTTGAGGAGAGATCTACGGAACGGACGGGTACCGATCGCTGAATGCCATGCTCCTTGGCTTACAAACCTTGGAACAATACTATAAAGTGATGTTAGAGAGAAAGTGGTAAGTAACAGATCGTTGAAGACGAGTAAGTGTACTTTGCTATGTAGGTTGAACGTGAGTGGTCCGGATGGGCACGATGGGAAGAAAAATGGAAAAAGGTATGGAAAGAGAAAGACAAGGAGGGGCCAATCAGGCAGCAATCGGTGTGTGAGCAATAAATGTAATTGGAGTTGGGTCGAAAGAAGACTGGGATTAGGTCTGGATAGGGGAAAAGGGGGGGACGTGCCCCGCGATTTGACCGCGTTTTGGCGGGGCTGTCTTTTTTCGTCTTTTTCTTTTTCTTCGTCTTGTTTGATCTTTTTTTTCCCCTGGAGGGATACTTGGGTACCTGGGTACCTGGCTAAGGGGCAGTGAGTCAACGGGTCAGTCATTGGTAAATCGTCAATGCCAATGGATCGATTTGTTTGTCGCACAAGAAACGACAATAACACTTTTATGTCGACTAGGTGAATCTTATGCATTGTTAACAATCTATTGGATAATTTCCATGGATCTTATGGTGTGTACCCGAGTGTAATATTTCTAATAATGTTTCTATCTACAAGTGACTACATACACAAACATGTCAAGTACATCGTATTTTGGCCGGGGTGTTGAAACGAATATTGACCGGGAAACATGATAAGACAAAAATTTTTTCTCTTTCCCAATATTGTTTTCTTGATATTGCGCATTTGCGATCCCCCAAAATCCCTCAGACCAAGGCGTGTGCCAGTTCGGTACTGGGGACATCAATACATACAGGCTTATCAATAATACATGAAAATGGGCATGCCGTCCGTCTATAAACAAGGAAAATACATCAAACCACGTAATAATCGTAGTGCCCAGATAGGTATCATTAATCCAACGCCGCTGTTATATCCTATACATGCAAAATTTTGACCCTTTTTTTTTTGTAATGGTTTGTTCTTCGGTGTACTTGTTCGTAATCATTCCCCGTAGTATGGGTCCTCGTAGAGTAGCTTCGGTCTCGGGCGTGTTTGGCTTTGAGGAATAGTAGTGGGACGCGTGGGAGCCAGGCGATTCTTCAGTCGCTGCTTTTGCGCCTCCTCTTCCTCGCGCGCGCGCAGCTCTGCCTCTCGCTTCTCCCGCCGGCGCTTCTCGCGCTCGAGGTTAAGTTGATCCATAGCGGTGATTAGCGACGTCTCATTTCGGTCGATGGCTACTGAGCCTCGACGGTAGCGGGCGTTGGAAGGCGCCTGGGAGGCCGGGACGGCGGGGCGGTTGGCGATGTCCGCATTTTGGCGCTCGATCGCTGACTGGATCTTCTTCTTCTTCTCCTCGCCCTTCTGGTCGTCCTCAAATCGGACGTGGCTGTCGCGGCGGCGTCGGCGGCGCTCCTCGTCGTCGCCAGACTGAGAGCTGGATTTGGTGGAAGATCCGTGTCGACGGTGGGTGCTGTGATCGCGTTCGCGCTGCTTCTCGTTGACTACCTTGACTTCGATGATTGGTCCCCGGTAGTGCGACGAAGTAGAGCGATCGCGCGATTCCGGGCTTCTCTCGCGCCGGCGGGATTCGCGCAGGTAAGTAGCCTCTTCGCGCGGGCTGGAGGAGGGGCTGCTGCGCGAGACGCTGTACCGGCGGGGCGGGGTGCGCGAATGCGATGAGCCCTCAACGTAGACAGTGCGGTCGCCCTTGTCGCGACGCGACTGGCGCCTATTAAGGTCGATAACTTTCTCGCCATTGATGTAGACGCCCGAGCGCTCCTTGGAAGAGTGTTCCGAGTCAGAAGCAGACGCGGAGTGAGATGAGAGCGGCGGCGTCGGCGGGAACTGGTTGTAGGTCGATGCCGGCGGGCTCAATTGACCGGGACGGACGTATTCGGTCGGGTGCTGGAAGGTCTTCGTAAGTTTGCACGGCATGCCTTGTCGCGAATGGTCGCACAGTTCATGCTTGATGTGCTCTCCCTTGTGTCCGTCAGGGTAAACGTAGGTGAAGATGTTCTTGTTGCACATCGTGTCGGATTGTAAGGTAGCTGTGCGGCTAGTGCGCGGCGGGTTGGGTTGTATAATTTGAGGTCTGGGCCGGTGCCTCCAGGGACTGCTGGTAGAATGCGATCCGGGCGGCGCGGTGGCTTGTGCCAGAAGAATTTCGGTTGAAGATGGTTCACGCAAGTGTCTATGGTTACGAATAGTGTTGTTCACGATAATCCTTGGGGTATTGTCCAGGGCGGCGTGGTCAGTCGGCAGTGTCACAGACGATAGAATGTATTGTGAGTTCAGCTTCTGGCTCTAGAGACATGAGGACATCTGAGTAATAGTTGTTGGGGGTGAGGTGGGAAGTCGAGTGATTTGTATGCTTCGCGAGGTAACTGTTGCCTAGTAAAGCATATGTAAATTCCGGAAGATGATTCGGGGTAAAAGACGAGGTGAGTTTGGTGGTGAGGATATGTAGAGGTGAGACCAAGAGGAATGGTGGATGGGATGCAAGGTCGGTGCCTTAAGTACGGAGTATCGAAAGGTAACCTGTCAAGGACTTTTTGTAGGTTTTTTCCTCTTGTGGTGTAATAAGAATTCTGACAGGGGTTCGCAGGCGGCCCTCCCTTTAGTATCCATGTTCGTCCTTGGTGTCCAGGGTGTCCTGGGTGCCTGCGTACCAGGGCCGATGAATCATTTCTCCCGTCGGTAGAACAACCAGAAAGGAATGGTCTGTTTCCCAACGGAGCCAATAATGCTCACAGCCTGGAGGCGGAGTTTGGCTAAGAAGACGGGTGACCGTACTGGGGTGTAGGTGAATGCACCCATGTACGTCCTTATGGGAGGGTACTTGGTTGACATTTGGCTGAGTGTGTGTGCATACTATTTAGTACATAGGTAGGTAGGTATCTAGACGGATAGCCTCACACCCCTATGAGGGAACCATAGCTTTGGATTGCTCGTCTCAGCCACTTGCTCGACTTCATCATGATAGACTCGAAACGGCAACGTGGGCAGAGGCAACCCAGCTGGCCGGCGATGCGCGATATCTTAGCGCTTCTCCTTTCCATAAGGTTGAAGAGCTAAGAAATTGTCGCCGGTACGCCAAAATCTAGTACCAACAGATAAGTCAAGCAAATAGAACCGCGAAGCAGGAAAACCCGAAGGACCTGGCGCGAAATGAGACGGAGGTGGGGGAGTGATTCTAACAGGAGGTAAGGAGGTACTGGAAAAGAACATTGGGACATATAGTCCAAAAGCTGTACAGACCCTTAGAAAGCCCAGTGCTGTCTTACCTGCTACCTGTTCATTCCACGTAATGTAATGCAATGCGATAATGGGAGGGTTAGGAAGGTTGGTTGGTGGATAGCTACCAATGCGAACAGTATGACTTGCAGAGGTTTGCACCCGCTATGATGCATCCCGCTGCTCAGATCAGTTGCGGCAACTCATCGCCTTCGACGTGTGATTTGGTGTGACGATGTGGAGGAAACATAGCCTTCCCGCACGCTGATGCAAGGCCCCAAGACCAAGGGTAGCTTGTCGGATCGTGGCGAGAAAATGTAGTGGATAGAGATATCCATGATGGCGGCATGGGTCCTTGTACCGATCTGCCACAGTAGGTATGGTACAATGAGGTGATGAAAAGAGCAATGTCACACGGCGAGCCTAGTTTGCAAGAGATCTAGAACATTGCCGTTTCCATCAGCACGTGCGTTCGCGCAAGGAATGAGTTACACTACCAGGCAGCTATGGGAAACACGATAACTGTCCATATCAACGAGAAGGAAGCCTACGATGAGAAGTGTAAAAACAGTAACCTGGTAGGTATTTCAGACCAGAACAACCCCTCTCTTCTATCCATGACAATCCGATCAAGGCGCTCTCATCACGTGTGCCTGGTCTGATCTATTCTACTGTAGGTTAGATATTCTGTACTAGAGCTGTAGGTCTTCGCATCCATGGATCCAATGAGTAACAAACTCCAGGCAGCCTTGAGGCAACGGGAAGTAATGGCATTTTATCTACTAGCGTGGAAAAGAAGCTGGCAATTGGCAAATGGCAAATCGTTGGGGAGTGTAAATTTCAGGTACACAACTACCATCAAAGGTAGGGTGACAAAGGGAAAGGGAACTCTACAGCTCAGCTCAGCTCCAAGACCTCGGTTGCATGATGAAGGATTTTCATCTCCGTATCGCTTGTCGATGCCCAATCCTCGCTTCCGGACATTTGCGATATTTACCGCACCCTCAATCTATTAATATGTACATGATGCCGATGCCGATGCTGATGCGCACGACCATCATACGTACGCATTCAATAGATTATCATCGATCTCAACTCACCGAAAAATAATACTACAATGGTTTATACGTGCATCATACACGTGTAGGTAGAGAAGTATGCATATTAGCTGTTGTGTGAAGCAGTCTCGGCTCTTCGGATTTGCTTATGTAGCTGCACAAAGAGCTGGGAGCAAAATAGCGAGCATTGGATGGCACGCCAGATCACTCGTGTCACTATCATTAGATTTGCGCTGCGTCAGCAATTCCGCGTTAGAGATATGAAACCCCGAATACAACTATTCTTTTAGAGGCCACAAGAGTGGCACCTTTCGTGGTTAGAATTTAAAAGTGCTGACGGCATCTGTGCCACAGCCAACGGCCACACGACCTACGGGCCCTCACGCCTATCCGTAACATGAATAATCCAAAAAAGCAAGAGGAATCGGCAAAGGATTCGTGGCCATAAATCACATCCGAGAGGCCACCGGCCATAGCTGAAAGTGCAAGATTCGATTCACTTATTTCTTTCCCGACAATTTCGTCATGACGGGACCACGAAGGCGCATGGGTTAAACCCACACTGAATCCATGAACAGTAGAAAATTATGAGTTCCAAGATTCAGCCCTACACTAGGCAGACTTCCTTCTCCGACCACTCAGACGCAGCTTGAAGCTTAAAGGTCGAAAGACCTTGCTAGTAATTGTTTAATTGATGAGGCTGAGCGTGGCTGTGTATGCATAGGCGGCATTGGTCGCATCGTGGTCGACCAACCTGAGCAGCTAAGATACTTTCCTGTTTCGTATGGTCTCCGCAAATGCCCGCATCGGTCTGTCGGCTAGATTTGCTATTAGATGAGACATTGACGGGCCGAGTCCGACTTCACCATCACCGTTGACGGTTCTTTAAATGCCTACGTAAGTAACCATTCATAGGATAATCGGATTATAACATTATGAGAGGACTACATCGTGCAGCCAAAATAACGAATGAACACGGCGCAACTCAAGCATTGTGTCAACACGATCCCCAGCTGCAGACGCCACTTCAATCCAGACTGGCCTAGGAAAGTGCAATAATTTCCCTGCTAAGTTTGGCCCCCAACATTGTAATTCACTACAGACACTGAAGACTTTCGTCACTGGATGGGGGGCCCTGCACTGTTCACTGCAAGCCATTTAGCGCAATCCGCAGCTCCGATCTCTTCCAACCATCGCCACCTCCGAATAAGCACAAGGGGAAGTTACTCGAACGAGCTGTCAAGTCGCGGCTTTAACACTTAGCCCCCTATGCATATAGCATTCAGAGTATCACGACATACACAATGGCGGTGAGATCGTGGGATATCAAAGAGGGATGTAGAATCGGCGATTGACAACGCATACTTCGTATGTATAATGTCACAATCCATAATCCATTGATCCCCGGAGGAAGTATTGTGTGGTATTGTCATTCAAGGCAGACAACTAGGCAACCTTAGGAGGCCTTATTTCGCATCATAGAGTGGGTCGTCTGATAACTTTATGTGCGCAATCATCTTCCAATTATGAAGCGTCGTAAGATCTTTTTAGACTTATTTGAGATAAGGACCTACACTTCTGAAGATCTCCGTTTTTGCCCCTGAACCCATTCCCCTTAACCTCAAGTCAGAGACGAGCACATGACAAGTATCTAGACGGCTTGATGCTAAATGTGCAACGTCATGTGGTGCCATGTCTATCATTATGACTTATCCGCCTGTGTAGATGAGCCGACAATACTGGAAGGCAAGTAACTACCTTGACATATGAATTAAATTATAGCAAAGCTTTCCCCCGGGTTGATCTTCATATTTCCCCTCGGTTCTGTACTCCCACGTGCGATTGACCAATGGTTCATAGGTTGAATTGGAAAAGGGCAGAGCCTGCTTGACAGAAATACGAACTCTACCAATGAGGCTCAGTCTAGACCCTTAACCATCCCTTACCCCTCTCCGTTCAAGATATCCCTGAGATCGACGTCAGGTCATTCGCGCAGGTAATGAGTCACTATTCTACCTTTAACATTCTCAACGGCATGTAGTTTCTTCATATGGCCAAGTCCGAGGAATGGAATGAGTCGATTATGACCTATGGCCATGATCCACGTTTCCGTTGAGTCGACTTTGAAGAGATTGCTTCTGCAAAGGCCTATCACTAATAATCGTCACTTGTATACCGCAACTTGCTTTGGTGCCATTTACTAGCTACCCTCGATCCTAGCCTATCCGGTTTCCATGTATCTAGATGGGTACGTAGGTATTTGGAATTGCGATGAACCACGGCACAGGTGGTAAGCTTTTGATCTAGGCTGGCTGTTTAATTGTTATGTCCTAAATACGTCTTGAATCGGACATTTCCCGGGAAGTGAAGTCTTGGACGTCCACGGGCGGGGATAACACGATATATTTTGTTTGATTGTTAGTACAACAATAATGCAGTTATACATTTATGATAAAGATCTTGAGGCTTACTAACTTAATCCCAAGGGGGCGCGCCAAATCAACCTTTTCAGGCCGCAGATTATGAAGGCTCCGGCCAAGGTTCGCAAACTCGAATAGGACTGTAGAAAAAAGGTGTTTGATCACGTTGGCATTCTCTTTTCCTCTCCGTGGGTGTCGCTCGCTCACAACATGGAAACGTAGCTGTCTATGTCTCTCAATCTTCGAGCATGTCTACCTAGGTACTACTTGGTGCTTACCTATGATACACGGCCCGTCCCCACCCCACCCTATCCCATCGACTCGGGTCTTAGATTCAACGACAAGCTCTACCATACTTCCTGGGGCGTAGATAGTTGTACTAGGGAGGCGCTAAGGACTCTACTGGCATGGACGCCACTGCAGCAGCCCAAAATGCTGGAGAGTCAAACGCAGCCGGCCTGCCAGTCGGGGGATAATCAACCATGTTCTGTGGCTTTCCGCAGCGGTGGGCAGGCAACCTGGACCGTGGATGGTGGGGCTATGATGGCCCATCACGACAAGACGAAGCAGAACATGCCCTCAAGGAGTATGGTCGTTGTCAGAAGCCCTAGCCACTGAGCAACATGAGCATGTTTAGGTATCTTTTCCTAGGCCTGCTGGACATCGTTCAAGTGATGCATTTACTCGCAAAGGCCGTAATCGTCCCTACACCTAATTATGGAGGATAAAGTTGGAAATGCCATATTATTGCGGAAAAGCCGTCGCTAGCACAAGCAGTCAGATACCGAGCGGTATTGACAAACTCGTAGGCGCGCGGCTCCGTGTTTTCCATTCCGCTGGAATTAGGTGGGCCGGCCTTGCCGAAGTACCAACGCAACTAACGTACGCAACTGAGTATTCGTAATGACCCTTGGCGACAGGACGAGTCTCAGCAAATCCTCGATGCCAAATGGTGCTGGCGCGTGAAAGCCGAAAAATATGGCAGTGGTCTCTACGGGTCGGGAATGTCTCGAAGCCGACCTTAAAGGAGCTGAGAGACCTAGCTAATGAAGTCTTTCCATTTGCGGTGTCTTGTAGTGTGCGCTATGCATTGAATAATAAGTCAATGTCTTGCTGTTACCAGCCCCTAGAAATTTTGATATTTTAGATGCGTGTTTCCATTGCTTAGGTAAGATACAAGTAGACTTGCCAGTTGGTTGGAGAAAGAAAAGTTGTTATTTGTTTAGAATCAAGACGCCATGACGAGGGGTAAATGGGTCACACTTCTGGCTGAAAGACGTTAGACAGCGATCGTCGGGTTTAAGAGAAGCATGCCTGCTTCACCTCCGCATCCCGGTTTTCGGTAAATACCGACATCTCGAAATATTGCGCATCGGAAGGATGAGCCTTGACGCTGAGACTTGGAAGGCAAAAGCGGCGGCCAAAAGAGCCAGTACGCTCGCCAAGATTTACCCGCAATGGAGATTGAGCCCAGAGGACATTGCGAGAGCTTCGGTACAGCGTGATCTGACTGGACCGTTCATTCAACAATTTCTCGATCCTAGAGAAATATCGATCGTGTCTATGGATAGCTTGCCTATCGTTAATGCCATCAAACAAGGGAGTCTTACTAGCCTCGAGGTAGCCAATGCGTTTTGTAAAGCTGCGGCGGTTGCACACCAGATTGTAAGCTCGTCTCCCAATTGATAGTGTCCCATATGCTACCTACCACGGAAATACTTATAGCCTCTTGTTCTTATGAGTGTTTCTAGCTGAATGCTGAATCATATCCGTACAGGGCAATTGCCTGCATGAAATATTCTTTGACGAAGCATTGGAACGAGCTAAGCAACTTGACGAGCACTACAAGAAGCACGGTGCAACGGTTGGTCCACTTCACGGTCTACCAGTGAGCTTGAAGGATCAATTCCACGTGAAAGGAATTGATACTACAGCTGGATATGTGGGATATATCGGAGGCAATCTAGGTATCAAAGATTCGGACCGCGTTCACCAGGTCGAGAGTCAAATCACCGCCGAGCTGCTGTCGTTGGGTGCCGTTCTCTATTGCAAAACAAGCGTACCGCAGACGCTTTTCTACACCGAGACCCAGAACCATATAATCGGCGAGACCTTGAACCCAAGCAACCAAAATCTTTCTTGTGGAGGTTCGTCAGGGGGGGAGGGTGCGCTACTAGCCCTTCGAGGCAGCACGCTAGGCGTCGGTGCCGATATAGGGGGATCTGTGCGAATTCCCGCCGCATACAACGGAGTCTTCGGTATCAAGCCAACTCCCCAGAGATTCTCATGTCGAGATATCGCAACTAGCAACGCTGGACAAACCGCTTATCCGGTAGCGGTCGGGTTTTTGAGCACGTCTATCGACGGCATAGGACTGCTGCTAGAGTCTATCTTGTCAACGCAGCCCTGGATTCGGGATCCCGCTGTTGTTCCCGTCCCCTTTCGCCAGGACGTTGTTGACGACTATCTCCAGAGAGTTAATACTGATGGAACTGCCAAACAGGGCCATAGATCTTTGAAGCTTGGGATATTATGGTCTGACGGAGTCGTGCATCCTCATCCCCCCGTTACACGTGGCCTGCACATGGTCGCGAATGCCATCAAAAAGGCTGGTCATAAGGTACGTTCGATAATCTGCACGTTGATAATTACCAACTCACCTCAGAGTGCCAATTAGGTTATCGATTGGGAACCTCCTTCACATGAGACGGCGACTAAAATTCATGTAAGGATCTTCATTTCGTCTATGCGATACTTACCTCGAATCCCTGATCTGCCCCTTTTCGCCGCATGACTGACCCATTCGTGGCCCAGCTTTCAATTATAAGGGCGGACGGGGCCAAATCTGTCCACGAAGACTTGAAGTTATCTGGGGAGCCTTTAATTCCTGCTCTCGATACCCGTGGTATGAAGCTTCGACCGCCAATGGACGTGCTGAAATTCCAAGATCTCGCCGCTCGGGGGCTCGAATTTGAAGCGCAATATGCGGATTACTGGAATTCTACCGCAAAAGACGATGGTCAGTCAACGAGACATAGTTACTTGCAATGTCACTGTCCACTAAACTTTTCTCTAGGACAAATCGTCGATGCGGTCGTAATGCCTGTTGCACCCCATGCGGCAAACATTCCCGGAAAGCTTTATCATATCGGTTTGTGTAGACGCATATGACAGGAGACCCCTATTCATCCATGCTAACATAGCTCAGACTATACCGAAGCGCTCAATTTGTTGAATTACAGTGTGGCTGTGATTCCAGTCACCAAAGTTGACAAAGTCCGGGATCCTTTTGATGACAGCTACCAGCCCCTGAATAGAAAGGATGAGAAAAATTGGAAAGCCTGTAAGTCGCATGAGGAGTTTCTGCCGTGGGAATTTTCTAATTGCACATCAAGCCATAATGTTAATCGTGTCTTAGATGACCCCGAAGTCTATCATGGGGGACCGGTAGGTGTGCAGATAGTAGCCAGGAAGTTCGAAGAGGAAAAGGTTTGGGCTATCGCCAAGGTTGTATACCAAGCGCTTCAGAAGGCAGAAGGCTCTCACTCGGGCTCTCAGAGTGCTCCTAATATTGGAATTCCTGCACGACTCTAGTGTTATGAGGATCACCATTTAAAATTGGTGATAAGGCTTATATATCTCAAACAAATGGCCGAGTCATGCCCACAAGAATGTTATAAATATTGTAATGTTCCGTCACGTACTATCTGAGCTCATGTCTCTTAGTCTTCATACTGATTTTTTATATTAGACTAAACCATTAGCTAGGTAGGTTATATGAATCATTGAGTTGTCTATTACATTAAGTCCTTTTAACTTGATTACCTAGGTAGTGCCCTCCGAACTGGACCGGTTCCTAAATATCAACACAGATTATTATATATGGTGCGTAAACCAAAGATTCTCTTCGAGGACTTTGGCAGGATTAGTAGATGTTTCTTTCCTCCTCGATTGCCTGCAAACCTTCGCTGTCTCTCGGTGTCGGAATTCTCAACCTCTCGCTTTGTTCCCGTTGCTTCTCTAGGTGTCCCTTTATTTGCTGCTCTTTTCCCTTTGGGGACTCGGCAGCCATAAGCTCTCGCATGATCTCAAGACCTCGTTCTCGATCGGAATTTCTCGTGATGTGCAACCCCCAAGCCTTCAGAAAAGTTGCCTCTCCTCTATAATTCCGATGGAGCCATAACATTTCTTCGGATGTGAGTCTTTCCTTATCCCCACAACTTCCTTCCCTAGACCCTGAACTATCCTTAGGCATGCTACTTTTACTCCTGCATATGTCTGTAGTGTCCTGAGGTTTGATATGTAGGTTCTCATTCATTCTCGTTCTGTTTGACGGCGGGCCATTTGACTTAAACCGCCAAAGCCTCAAAACGTTTCTACAATTAACTTTAACTAGAATAACGACTTAAAAAACGCGACACATAGTGAATTGATTATACCAATAAATAAAGCTTTAAAAACGCTTTCAATTAAATATAATAAAGGTATAGAATAATAAGTTTTAATTTGAAATGGGGCTTAATAAGGGCTGAACGAAAGCTTAGCAATAGTTAAGCAACAACTGAACAATAGCTAAACCTATACAAGCCATATAAGAATAAAATTATATCAATTAATTTAACAATTAAAGAGCTTTATTTTAATATACGTTATATTATTTTGTTTAATTTAAATAAATAATTATAAGTGCTTAAAAAAAACAATAAGATTATTAAAATGCAATAAATTTAATTAATTAAAATTAATTACTATAAATACGTATTATAACCCCTTATAGTTATAAGGCCTAATAGCGCTAAGCCCCCTAATAATATAAGGTTTATACCGAAAAAATACAGTATCAGTACAATGTTAATACAGTAATTATATATTGTAATTAAGAGTTTTGAGGCTTTGGCGGTTTAGCTCAAATGGCGCACCGTCGTTTTCTTCTTGCTTCTTCTGTTCATTCTTGGCGTCTTCTTGCAAATATTCTCCAGGTGAAGTTGTGGCTTGTTGCGGAAGCTCCTGGCGCTGTGCCACGTTGGCATTGAGATCAGCTCGACAAGGAGTATGTATATGGCGGTTAGCAACTCCATTTGGCGTGGGTGTTAACCTGAATATGGTCTGCTTCCAAGTTTTATTTTCCCCGTGCTCTCCTTTGTTGATATCTGCCAATGGTTTATCTGGTAGCGGCTTGCATTGCGAAATCAGTTGGGTGTCAGGGGAGGATTGAGTACGCCTGACAGCATGGACAGATCGTTTGATAAAAGTATTGTAGTTATTCTTTGGAAGTGTTTCCTTCAAAGAAGACGTGGATGTAGCGGGGGTTAGTGAAGAATAGGGGGGTGGGAATGGTGATCGAGGCCTTGAGGCCTGGCTATGCGAGCAGGGCATGCCCGTTGGTGGTAAAGGGAATAAATATTCGGAAGAGACTTTTATTGGTAAATGTCGTGGCACTGGTTTCGTTTTATCCGAGGGTTTGCTCGACGGAAGTCTTAAAGGTGCCGGGCTCATATCTCTTGAGCCTAACCTTTCATCACGACCATCCAATCTCGTCTCTCCTGCATGAGCGAGCCAGTTCGTAACGTAACATTGGCTGATATGGTCGTTGCTCTCGTTACTTGTTGGACCTGAACTATTGTTCGAGTCGAATCGATGTTCCCTCGGTGCATTGATATTTTTCCTAGGGATGTTCATACTATGTGAACCGGACTGAAGTTGACTTATTGGCATTTTCAGCCAGACGGAAGGATAGAAATATTGATGGCTGTAAGTAAAACTTTCAGGGTGAAAGAACGGTCATTTTATTCCTTAAAGGGGGTAGGTAACTAAAGCCCGCGCAATTCTAGTCCTTTCGAAGGCAATACTTATCACCACGCTTTGGTGATCCAAGTTGAAGCCACAATGTTTTCCCTGCAGTTCTAGCGTAACATCCCATGTAATCATGGCATATCATGGTAGTTTAATATATATCAAACAGGTCTAACGCAATCTAGGAGACATCCATGCGTATATAACTCGTGGTACGACTCGTGGTAATATCTCTGCTTCTCAGGTTGATGATTCCGTAATCTTGACATCCGGAGGCATGGAGTTTAAGTAGGAATAGATCAAAGTAATGGGCTTTGGGGGGCTTTCATATGTTTGCTACACAACTACATAGAAATATGTCTAGAATAAGTTTACTGCTTAAGTCAACTAGTGATATCTGACTCGAGGGATTGAATCATTGGGCCTGCCCGCACGAGTCTTTTAGAACTTAGAGTACTTCTAGGTGTAGGTAAGCTTATCATTAACTAGCAATGGAAACCGCCCCTGAAGTGGTCGAATCTTGCGAGAGGATCCGACATTCCGTCGCCGGTTTGGAATAAATGTTATTAATGGCAATTACTACTGCTCAAAAAGATTTATACGTATGATCTATTGAAAATTCACTACGTCACATGGATATAGAAAGGGATATAAATTTGAAAAACCCCAGCGTAGGTAACCGTGGATTTGGGTCAACGCAACGGACGGAGCCTACCTACCTAGGTAACTTATACGAATTTTCATCATGTTATATCTGACGTTACTTCACTAAGAAGAAGCGTTAATTTTGATAGACCGGTACGGTTCTGGTTCCCAGCCTGTGCCATTGTTTGCGCCGATACAGTCCATACCACTGTGACTATTAATTAACTTGACTTTCATACCTTACCGGGAAAGGGGGGGTAGCTGCAACGGTTGTAATAAAGGTTTAAACGTTGTTAAATTATAAATAGTTTGGATTATAATAATTATTATTATTTTTAAAAGTATTTACTTATATAAATTAAATGGAAAGGTATAAAATTGTAATGGTAATATTTATAAAAACTTAAAATTATTAAAATAATTAAAATTATTTTTATTTTTATAATTATTATAATTTTTTTTAAATATTTTTTATTAATTTTATTATTATTTAAGTTATTTTATATTTATTATAATTATTTCGTAATCGTTATAATATTATATAAAAATTTTATAATTATTATAATTATTTTAATAAATTTTAATAATAACGTTTATAATAATTTTAACGTAATAATTATAAGTTTTAAAATTATTATTATTATTATTATTATAATAAAAATTTTAAAATATTAAAATATTTAATAAATATTTATTTTTTATTATTTATTATTTATTATAAATTTTATTTAAATAAATAAATAAAAGATTTTATTTTTATTTATAAATAAATAAATAAAATATTATATTTATAATATAAAATATTTTATTTAATTATAATATATATATTAAATATATTTAATTTTATTATATTAATTTTAATTAATTAATGTTATTTAAATTAATAAAATAAAATAATTTAATAACGGTAATTTAATTATATTAAATAAATAATATTTATATTAATACGTTAAAATAAAATTAATTAATAAATTATTATATATAAATTAAAATAATCGTATTAAATTAAGTTAAATTAAGTTAATACTTTTAAATTTATATATTTTATTTAAAAAATAATTAATTAATTTATTATTTAAATATTAAAAATTTTTAAATTTAAATTTTAAATTTAATAAATATTTATTTAAAATATATTTTTAAATAATTTTAATAATATTATAATTTAATAATTATAAATACGTTTTAACGTTTAAAATTTTTTAAAAGTTTAAAATTAATTTTACGTTTATTTAATAAATAATCATTATATTTTTATAATTGTTAAATACAAGGAAACCGTAGATTTAATTTTAAGTCTTTAAAAAATTCCAAGCGTTAAAACGTATTTGCAACTGTTGTAGTAAACCCTGCTTGCCTGTTAGGTAGAGACGGAATCTAGATAATTCCCGGTTAAAGAATAATTATTCTAAGTCCGAAAGCCATCTGCTCGTTTTGATTGGTGATAGTCATCCGATTGAACTTGCGTTCTTGGATATTATGTGGGCTCTTTATTTTCCTTTACCTACATAAAGTCAGATGTGTCCTGTCGTTCCCTTGAAAATATTGGAGTAATTGTACCTAGAAAGAAAGTAAAACTCTTTTAATATCCATCGGCTCTATTGAAGACACTTGTAGAATTGCGCTGTTTTTTCTCGCAGGAATAGAAGATTCTGCATGGCAGTTCGTATAGGCGATAAATGGAGGAGACTTAGTAACGTAAGTGCCCAGCGGACGGCGGACGATACGTCTAGGCATATGTCAAGCTAATTAACATCAAACTCGATCCGTATACTTGCATGTAAACAATTCCCGCCTTCTCTCTCCCTTGCTTAACAGATGCGCTAGATATGTGCTAAATGAAGACCCCTTTCCTTTCAAGAGCGAAATTGACGAACGAGTTATATGGTAATTCGTTACGTGTAGAAACTATAAACGTTCAATGCAACTGGATAGAAAGGCAGCGTAAAAGGTAAGGTAGATTCATTTCTATATTTATCTATTCGCCTGTCTCTTAGGTTTTAGCCATTGGGTATGTAGCGCAAGGAAATATCGAACGCCGAGGTCTGCAGGTACCTCCTAAGGTGCAAATGATCTGCAGAAATCAACGCCGTAGCACTCTTAGCGGACCCAGCTGAGCTTTTAAGCAGGGCACTTAAGCCTCAAACCCCTAGTTCTGACAGCCGCATGCAATATTTGAGATACGATTGGATGATAGCAGCTGGTAAGCACCGTAGGATCGACTGCATAAATTAATGACGAGGGACGTAGTATTTAAAAACTTTCGATCTTAGATATCATGCCACAGCCTCTTAGTACCTACTGCGGCTTCATTCACTGAAGAAACATGTAGCGCTTAATAGTTGCTCGAAGTCTTGACGAGAGATCGGACGATCCATACCAGTCATCGAAAAAGGTAAGAGGATCAATGCCAAAAAGATAGGGAGCTCCATTGATCAACGTGTAACTATATTTAGTAGTTTCCGTATCACATTAAGAATTGCTGAACCTGAAAGATCAAAGTGTTCCACTGAATAGTCCAACGAGATGCCTTTCGATGTCCCGATTCAGCTTGATGGTGCGAAATTGCTACTCTTGCCCCACGTATCATGGAATTCGCTAAACAGGCTCGAAAGAGACCCGTCACAGCCCGCTACGTCTATGATCCCCCCTATTCGACCTAGGTCGGTAGTATATCAAGACGATACAGAGAACATCGAAAGAAATTGTGGTTCACACGTCAGCCTAATGAACTAGTTTTGCGTGCTCAAGGAGACTAAATATCAAGCTTCATGTTGCGAGATGAATCGCTCATCGTGACCTTCAATTACATATTGACTAATGCTGGTTTGGCGTCTACCTGCTCATTCGATTCGTCTGCAGGGCTGCGATCTTCGGGAACTAGTTTGAGTCAATGTAATAAACGGTAGCCTTCGACTTCCAAGAACTTTATATAAATACTGCTCTGGTCCTCACATTGCTCACAACGTCTACAGCAAGCAGTCAAGCCTCATTCAAGTTCCATCCTTCCTCGTTTCAACCTAAGCACCGCAAAATTCAACGAAAATGAAGGTATCTACCCTCGCAATCCTCGGCGCCCTTGCGCTAGGCGTATCTGCCACGCCTGTCAGCCAGAATGAAGCGAGAGCAGGATCCAAGTCATTCATGGGCTCAAATTTGTACTTCCTCCCTGGAATGTCCGACCAAGGTCAGGACGCGTACATTGCGGACCTTGCCAACTATGGAGCAAAGGTTGTGCGCGTGTGGGTGAATCAGCAGTCTAGCGGAAGTTGTGAGAAGGGCAGCAAGCTCGCCGTTAGTGTTCCGCAGCTAGAGACCACGATCGGCAAATACAACAACCAGACCCTCGACGCTGTCGACAAGGTCGTCAGCAAGCTAGCCAAGAAGGGCATCAAGGCTATCATCTCTCCCCACGATGGAAATTCGCTTATCGGAGACTATAGGAAGTAAGTAATCTTTTCCATGCTAACACTAGATTCTCTTAGCTATTTCTCACCTGCTACTTCAGATGGGCTTTGCGAGACTGACAATAGAAAAATAGGGACATCTACTACAGTAAATGGGGCAAGGACAACTTTTACACCTCGCAGGACGCCTTCGACGCGTACGACAAACGCATCGACTACATCCTGAACTACAAGGGAGCCACGTCGGGCCAGGTGTGGAAGGACTGGAGCGACGCCATCATGGCCTTCGACATCCAGAACGAGCCCATGTCGGCGGACACCTCGGTGTGCAAGAACAACGACCAGAAGGGCTGGCTCTGCGGGCGGGCCAAGAAGTTCCGCAGCGTGCTGGGCGCCGGCAACAAGATCCAGATCGCGACGGGCGGCGTCGGCGGCGACATCTCGCACGACTGCAACTTCATCAAGGCGGCCACGTCGTGCGCCGAGATCGACCTCATCGCCGTGCACCGCTACGGCGGCAGCGAGTCCGGCAACCCGAACCAGTGGTCCAACGGCGCGAAGCAGTGGGTCTCCGAGTCCGGCGGCAAGCTCGTCTTCGTCGAGGAATGGGGCGTCAACACCGCTTCCACCAACCCCAAGACCGAGCTCCCCGCCCAGGCCAACGACATCAACAAGGTCGGTATCCCTAACCTGTACTGGCAGTTCCTGCCCAAGGCGACCTGCAGCTACGACCCTGCCAAGGACAGCGGCGACCAATTTGGCATTTACGTCGAGGGCGACACTGATATTGCTGCTGTTATGAAGGGCGCGTCCAACGCCAATGCTCTCCAGGACTGGTCCAAGGTTATGGGTTAGATTTGACGTTTGATTGTCTAAATTCTGTTAAAATGGGTTGCTCGGATCTTTAACTTATTCGTCTCTGGAAACACATGGGTTTTGAGGGGGTCCATGATGGGCTATATATGTACATATATCATTTTTCATTATTTCGAAGTCTCTCGTTAATATAATTACGTCTACCTATTTGGTCAAACAACGATAGCAAGGAAGATCCTTGTGCACTATCAGGTTCCTGCAGTTCGAGATGTTGGTAGGACAAGTCTTCGAACGGAGACTAAGCATTCAGCGGACCCCTAATCTGGGACTGTGTCAGCCCCCTTTCACCTTATTTTGACCTACCTGTAATATAAATGAGACACAGCTGTTTTACAAGCCATCCCGTGAAACAAACTACCTCGTTATCAAACCGCAGGCTCATATAAGTTTATCTAGATTCGTATTATGTTCTTCGAAATCTATATGACTGATCGACCAAGGTGAGAATTGACATCAAAAAGTGGGCCACAAAGGCTACTACCGAGCTTCGGACTCGCCCTTGATTACGGGATTTGGGATACAATTGAGCGAGATGACGATCATGTTAGGAGCATTGACTTGACTAATGTGAGAATTCAATTGGGAATAATTACCTAGATTAACGCCAAATTCGGGGATGAGTACCTAGACTGCGATAACCATTAAGGTTCTCAGGGTTATACCCTAACCCTAACCCCAGCCCAAGTTCCCTAGGGTAAAGGAGCTTAGGTACTTGATTGTACCATAGCAAAAACAAGAGACAATAAATATCGAGCAGTCCGAATACGAAACTAGAGAGTATTTTGACATATCGACGAAGTCAATATTCGCGTATTTTCATACAGCTATCTATGCGTGACCTACCAAGGTACCACCAAGGCGGCTTGGGATATCACGAATTTACTAGTATACACTCTAGTGTCATACCCCAGCCGCGTAACGCTAACGCTGCACGCGAAAGTTCAGAAACTCAATATTCATCAGTAGTACCACTTGAAGTCATGTTAACGTAAGCGGCTCGTGACTCTGTTCACCACATAACTCATCATCGACACCCTTAAACTTCCTCGTTCGCTACCGTCTCATAACCACCTCTCCGCCGCCCGCTCGGGCCTGCGCCGAGTCCTAAACCCATCGCAGCCGGACTCTCGTACACTTCGGTGTAGTTGATCCTTTCACCGCCGAGCATTGCGTCGCCCGTTTCCCTACGACCGAAGAGAGGAGCAGGATCGCACCAGAAGTCGCGGCAGTTCTGAACCACACCCTTGCTGTACGGGTTCTTCTTCTTGCGCTTGTTCTTGCCCGTCGCAGCGCCCCGGCCTGTCGCCGTCTCGATGAACGTATCGACACCAAGAAGACGACCCCATTGCGACAAGAAGGTCTTATGTTTGTGGTTGTGGCCTCCTCTGGTTCCAAGAGGATCGGCAGCGGCAGACGGAGGTGTGGCATCAGGATGGTTCGGGTCGAGAGGTGCCCCGGTACTAGTGAAGGCAGAACCTAATGACGACGCCGAACCATCTTGTATACCGTACATATTCTCGTACGTGGTCATGGCACGCGCGACTTGTATGAACTGCACGAAAATAAGCATGCCCACCCACGTAAGCTGCAGTGTTGCCCATAAGCCGAGAGCCACCGTGTACGAGTCATTGCTGATGACGGAACATATAGCTTCCGACAGAATGAGACAATCATGAGAATCCGATTTGGGAAGCTCCGAGAAGTAGTAGTACAACAACCAGTCGAAGGATGTGATGCCAAAGACGAGGTTAATCAAGTACAAGAAAAAGTGGCGGTGATTGTTCACGCCAATGCAGTTGTTCGCCCAAGGACAGTGACTATATCGCGTTAGTTGATTCGATTACGCATTATCTTCCCCGCTCGTTATATACTCACTGGTCATGTTTCGCGACACACCGTTGACATCGTCTACAATGCTTACTCCGAAGAGGAGTGCGGATCATGCAAGTGACGCAGAAATTGGACTCATCAAACTTCCATAAGCTCAGTAACTCATCGATGACGGCTTTCTGTTCCGCGATACCATTGAGCTTTGGGACATATCCTGGATCAAAGACCATACATGCTGCATAAAAGTAGGCCGTGAGACTGTATGTGATGATATGGAAAAAATTCAGCAGCGGATGAGTTGAGAAGGTTGCTGAGATGAGTTAGTTGGTTTTCGTCAAATACAATGTTGCCGAGGCACTCACCAGGAAATACAGTTAGGATCCACCGAACGCCTACCAGGAATAATGATGCCGCAAAAATACCCGCTAACCATGGCTGCGACCTATTAGTATAATAACAACACTTCCAGATCCATGACACATACCGTTCTATGTAGATGCCTCATGTCCGGCGGCGCATATTCCAGGATTTGGTTCGTAATCCACTGAAACCCGAACCCCACTAAAAGTGCTATCGGAACAGACAGCAAGACGGGAAGATGGCCCATGACCATCAATTCTATCCACAATAGCGCAGTCGGTAAGAGGAACAAGAACTTATTTATGAAGCCTCGTTTGTCCTTGAGGAAGAAAGAGGCCCCCGGCCACCAAGGTGTCACGGCATGTCCGTCCTCGTCGTAGCCACATTCTTTCAAAGCTCGCTGCCAGGCATTGACAGTGTTGAGATCCTTAGCCGTTATCGCAGGAGTCTTGCCAGTCGTCGTCTTCGCAAAACGATCCGAGCCATACTCTAGGAGCTTTAGGATGCACTGGGGGGAACCCTTAACCAACGCCCAGTGTAAGGCAGTGAAACCTTGCTCATCCGTCGCATGTACGCTTGCGCCCCATCGTAAAAAGAGGTCTACACATTGTGGGAAGCCCTTATATGCAGCCCACATAAGGCATGTGTGGCCATAGGAATCGGCTACGTCGACAGGAATACCCTGGTGTAACAACAATACTACCAATAAGACGTTCCCACTAAAGGTCGAGATGTGTAAAGTGTTGTAGCCTTGGGCGTCGGTAATCAGTGGGTCGGCGCCATGTTGGAGGAGAAGGTTTACGGTGTAGTAGTTGGACCGTTGAGCAGCCCATTGTAACGGCGTCGCAACGCTTTCGCCTCCTTTCTTATTTATGTCGGCGCCTTTCTCGATAAGGAATTTGCACATCGTAAACTGGTTGTTGATAGCAGCCCACTGGGTATCATTAGCAAAGAACCAAAGGACCAATCAAAATTGGGATTGGACTGGAGTAGACTGGGCGCATACGTGAAGCGGCGTGATTCCCTCATCGTCCGTGTAAGTCGCGTCGACTTCCGACGACTCGAACAGCTTTTCCATGCCCGGTATATCTCCTACTCTTGCAAGCTGCATGACGTCTGGCTCAGACGGGGGCGCATCGAGGTTGCCCATCTCCATGTCTTGCGAATTCAACTTTGGAGCCGCCGCCATACTTTTGGAAGACGGTTGTATCGGTGCACCGGCAGAATTGGTGTTTTGAGACATTAAAGTGCCTAGGTAGGTCTAGGTCGATATATGGGGTTGATTAAAAGTCGGTCAAAGTATCGATCGTGTCAATCAAAGAATGATGCCAAGGGGCATGTTTGGGACGTAAAATGCTTGTTTTTTTTTCTGGGACTTGACGAGACGATTAGGTATAGTCTTAATTTCTTTTGTAAGGTACCGATTTTGCGCAATTCAAATGAACGATACGGTACCAATCCTCGAACTGATGAACAATGATTCCAGCGCCGTAATAGATTCGCTTTTAATGATCAGTCATGATTCTTCGTTGTTAATGAATTGGAAGGTATCCGGATAAGATCAGATCAACTAATCGATCAGAAACATTTGGAGTTAGGGCCGTCGTCGTTACTGCTAAGCCACCCTAGGCTGCCTAAACCCTGCTTCCCCCTTGTTGAGCGGACTAAGCAACTCTCTAAGGCTGAGCCATGATATTTGATTGGTCGGGTCGGATGATACTCCACTACTTTATCACCCTGTGTACCTACGTACCTCTCCCAGCACGACGGTGCATCCACATCTGCCACATGCATCGAAGCTTGAGCTAACTTAAATTGCCGTAACAACTTGGCATCGAATGATGACACTGCAACCCAAGGAAGGTACACTGCATCGAATTTTCGACATGACATGACTTGTTAAAGTCAACCTCCTTTCTTTCCACCAATATCTTCGCTTCTTCCTTCTCCTTTTCTTCATCTTGCCTTTAACCACAATCCGCACAAGATGGACTCGATGGAGGGCCTCAAACAGGCCCTGGAGTATATCCTGACCCCCTCGAGGGAAATATTTATCGTCGGCGCTTTAATCGTATTCCTCCTCCCGATTCTCGTACATTTCTATATCTCACAGAGCACGCCTTACACAGCTCTGCCCTCCATCCTCCTCGTGGGCCCTCCCGGCGGTGGCAAGACCTCATTGATGACCTTACTCGAGCGCGGCGACTCCGCCACCGCAACACATACCTCTCAGGTCCCGGAATCCATCGAATTGACAGTGTCCAGCGACCACGGCGCCACCACATTCCGGGAAGCCGCGCGCATCGACGCCCCGGGCACCCACCGCAAGTTCCTCCTCGTCGACACCCCGGGGCACGGCAAGCTGCGGAACCAGCACGCCATGACCCACGTCGCCTCCGACACACTCCGCGGCATAATCTACATGCTCGACGCCGCTAGCCTCGAAGATACGCTCGCGGACGCGGCCGGCTACCTCTACGACGTGCTCCTCGCGCTCCAGAAGCGCACGGGCGCGGGCAAGACGTCGAAGACGCCCAACGCGATCCACGTCCTGCTCGCCGCGAACAAACTAGACCTGTTCACTGCCCTGCCGGCCTCGCTGGTTAAGAGCAACCTCGAGGCCGAGCTCGGCCGGATACGGAAATCCCGTAGCAAGGGACTCCTAGACTCGGGTGTCGGCGAGGACGAGATTGGTTCCGAGGAACAGGACGGCTGGCTGGGCGCGTATGGCTCCGAGAAGTTTACGTTCGGTCAGATGAGAGAGTTTGATATCGAGGTTGACATTGTTGGCGGCAGTGTGCTTGAGGGCAAGGTCGATAAGTGGTGGGACTGGATATCGCAACGGATCTAGATGCCCTCTCTATGAGTTATGCCGAGCTGTTGAGTTGGTGTGGTAATGTCTCTGGATGTGATGGCTTGCTCACAATTGGTTCGATGTGGGGATATCACGCAGTTACGTCCGGACACGCTAGACGTTGGAATACTTATGTATATCCACACATATTTATGAAGGATGATCACGTCTAAGAGAAGAGAAGAGTTGTTGTATAGTGTCGATCTGCTTGCTACTGCGTATCGTGGAATACGTATTATAGGCAGAGTCCGAATTGGCGAGACACGTGTCCGATACCAACCTGAGCGAATAACTCAAGTAGTCAAGCTTCCTAATAATATAATATAATTTAAAATCGGAGCACACACTAAAACACTAGGATGTTATTGGGTTGAAACATGATTAGACTGTTGTCATTATTCATTCTAGATAAATGTCTATGGGAAACCTTTGTGTAGTCGATTCCTTCTAACCCATTGAAGACGTTGAGTCCGCTGTTTATAATCTGATACCCGAATTAACCAGTTGATCGATCCTCGCTGAAGTTGTAATTGCAATTTCTACCAAAACGCCGTGCTAATGACCTATTTCTAACTCATGATAGTCAAATGCCAATCCTTCATTTCCATAGCAAGGTCTTTAAGCCTTGACCTGCTTCACCATCCACGTCAATAAGTCAACCTTAGTGACCACGGCGATAGGCTTGCTGAGCGCCTTGGCTTTGACACGACTAGGCTCGGTAACGACCGCGGCGCTGTTCCACTCAAAGAACTTGCTCAGTTCCGCGATTGGCGTGTCCAGTGTGATCTCGACGAACTTGCGACCTTTGCTTCCCTTTCCTTCTCGAGGGTCGGTGACCACTTCGTCAATCTTGCTGAAGTCAAACATGACATCCTTAACCGGGCTATTCCCACTAGCCCGGCCGCGTGAAACATAGCTGAGAAGATTACCGAGAGTGACGAGTCCTACCAACTTACCTCCTGCGCTAGCGAGAACCGGAAGTTGGTCAAAACCCTTATCACGCATGGTCTCAATCGCTTCGGAGCAAGGACTGGTGGCGATGACAGAAATGACCGGCTTCAGTCTTAACGAACGAACAGTTGCGCCGGCGTAGGGGTCTTCCGACTTTTTACCATTTGCCGCCGCTTCCTTCGCCGCGGCGTCAGTAGTCGGCAGTAGATCGTTCGCCGCCAGCCAATCATCATCGGCAAACTTGGTTAGATAACTTCGGATGCTATCTGGCAAGATAACGACAACAACATCGTTCTTACCAAGCCCTAAATCCTTGACTGCTTTGAAAGTAGCACTCAAGGCACTTCCGGAACTTCCACCAACAAGCAGGCCTTCCTCGGAAATCAATCGTCGCGCAAGCTTGAAAGACTCCACGTCGTCTGTCTTGTACCACTTATCGACGAGATCCCGATCAAGTACATCAGGTATAAAATCATACCCAATTCCCTCCACTTTGTAAGACTCATCTCGGTGCTCGTCATTGAGAGACTCAGGTAAAGCCAAGATGCTCCCTTGAGGGTCGGCGGCCACTACTTTGATATTTTTGTTGTGTTTCCTCAATCCCTTTGCCAAGCCCGAGATGGTGCCACCCGTTCCGGCGCCTGCCACAATGCAAGTAATTTTGCCACCGGTCTGTTCCCAAACCTCTTCAGCCGTGCCAAATTCATGGGCTCGCGGATTATTCTCGTTGGAATACTGGTCTAAGATATGTGCGTTCGGGATCTCTTTAACGAGCTTCCTTGCCACGCCGATATGACTCTCGGGACTATCCCATGCTGCTTGCGTGGGGGTACGGATGATAGTAGCGCCTAGCGCCTTCAACACCGACACCTTCTCGGCAGACATCTTCTCGGGCAAGGTGATAATTGTCTTGTAGCCCTTGATAGCACCAACCAGTGCTAAGCCGATACCTGTGTTCCCGCTCGTTGGTTCGATCAAGGTATCACCAGGCTTAATCCGTCCGCTTCGCTCGGCCTCTTCGATCATTCGTAAGGCAATGCGGTCTTTGACGGAACCGCCAGCGTTGAAAAGTTCGACTTTGGCATACACCTCCGCCTCGACACCGAAAGATTGTGGGATCTTGTTTAGACGGACTAGCGGAGTGTTTCCAATCAATTCTGTTGCCGATATGACTGTCGCCGCATGTGGCGGGTTATGCGGTATGGTATCATTGGTGCCGTTCGTGGTAGCCATGGCGACGAGATTGATACGGTGAATAGATAGCGTATGCAAAGTAGGTAGTTTAGATTAGATATTACCGAGAAGAATCCTGAAATTCTATCTTGCTACGTAAAAGAGAGGTAAATGAAGTCTAAGGGGGCAAAAAAGAAGTTGAAGGTTAAATGAAGGGAAAACGGGCGAATGACTAGAAAATTTCAGGATTGCGTCAGATCAAGTATCGCCGTATTCAGCCTGTGAGCGAGACTTGCCAAACTCAATGCGTGAAATTTCACCCCACCAAAAAGCCGACGATAGGCGCTGCAGGAACGACGAGAAGAAAAGCGGAAGCCGCTGAGCTGAAATGGCGGGCGATTCCGACGTTACACGTCCATGGATTACTATGGATGAATCCTACGGGGCATCCGGTACCTACCGGTGCTGCGGTGGGCAGGTATCATCCACTAAACGGCCTAGCCCAATTCAAGGTTAGCGGTGTCCATTCCTTCTCAACGTCTTGGGGAGTGCGAATTAATGATGCGGAAGAATCATCACTACTTACCACAATCAACCTCAAACGCGGTGTTCTAATAGATGTAAATGTTAGTGCTCTACTCGTTCCCATTATATATTAATATCACTCAAAGTACTAAACGCATTCTAAGTTCAAAGATCAACCTCGGATTCACCACTAACCTTCTAAGGTGACGACTGCGGAGAAACACTGCGATGTAGCCCAACCCCTATTATCATAAAACTCTAAGCTCATATATACATTGACTACGACGCTGACAAGGCTTCGAAGACTCAATTTTGAATTATTCCCATATGTTGAGATCTATCCCTATCTTATTGGAATTTACTTAATATCGTTAAATTTTATTCTCGTTTCCGAGAAATCAAAAGGGTATTATTTCGCAGCATATATTTCACCATGAAGACCTTCACATCATAAGACTGTTAACTCGCACAAGTATCTTTACATTTATCTGCTCTTACCTATATATTCAATATCTATAGGCTAACTCTATTCGAGTCATATCCGGACTCATCTTCGTTCAACCCAGACACCAAGATGACCAAGGACAGCTTTCTCTTAAACCTCAGTAATCTACCAACTCACAACGATGACTATGATCTATCCTGTGCGTTAGAAGTGCCAAGCCGAGCATGATTGATTAGATTACCAGGCAATTAAATACTTTTTGAGTAATTGTATCTGTCAACATGGGTCTTCGACATACCATTATATGTTATCCAATTCTAATAGTGGATCAGCACAGAACCCCTTAAATAGGGGTAGCTCATGATGCAGCTCCGCTATAGGCACCAATTATCAACATGATTTATAGGATATGATCTCAAAATTCAGCCCTACCATCTCCATCTCTCCCTGGCTAATCATTGCAATAAGAAACGGTTATATATCTAAAAGTAACAGAATAATGGACCAAGAATCAGCGATCTTAAGCGGCCCTGTTCCAGTCTCTGCTGCCGCATGCAGGATCAACTTCAACAAAACAGACGTAAAAGAGCACTATGGATATTTCGCGATGATTATCGACGATATCCTTACTCAGAGGGAATGTGCGGATCTGATTAAGCTTATTAGCCCGCCCGACAACGCCGAATGGCCTCCCGCTGTGGTAACCGCTTATGACGGGTCCCAGATCTTAGACACGGAATCCCGATTCTGCGGCAGGATCTTCTACACATCCAAGGCCCTCGCAGATAGTCTCCTAGAGCGCGTGTTGCGACTCCTACCTCCCGAGATCATCACACTAAAAGATACGCCTGACATCACCGGCCAATATCCTGTCATTCGCAAGGAAACATGGCGCATATGTCGGCTGAATAACAAATTGCGGTTTCTCAAGTATGGGCCTAGGCAATATTTCAAACCTCACTGTGATGGACATTTCACCGATGAGGATGGGGCGCAAAGTTTCCTTACTTTGCACCTGTACTTGAATGGCGGTAGAGACGGAGACAAAGTCGAAGGTGGAGCTACAAGGTTCGCAGTCAACTTCGAAGATCCACAAGCAGGAAAGCTGGGTGTTAACCCTAAAGCAGGGAGTTTGGTAATATTTCAGCAGAGGGATATGTATCATGAGGGGGCAATGGTCACGAAGGGGACTAAATTGACAATGAGGGCGGACGTCATGTATGAGATGATCATCTAGTAGAATCTTTCGTATAGATAGGTGCCTATCAATAATCACCATTTCATGATCTACCTACACATCATAGATACCTACTATTTTCCCCTACGGGAGACTCGGTTTGACGATTCCTGGCGTAATGCCAGATTCGGTGTTTTGTTTTATCCCTTTGTGCTGCCACTATACATATGCTTGTCTGCACTCTCTTTCTTCCGTGTTGCTAACGACATGAACAATGCTTCCGATCCTTTCACCCTTCCATATTCGGAGATACACCCAAGCTCCATTGTCTGCAATAGCTAGATCAAACCATCGCGTTTTCCAACGAAGGAATTTCTGCCACAATCGATTAGCCTAGCCTTAACTCAATTTTCACGCCTCCACGATGGACGCCGGAGACGAGCCTGACATTTTTGAAATCTTGCTAAATGGCGAATTGGTCGAGGATTCGGTCGACGAGGAGGGAGGAGGAATAGATTGGGATATGTGGTGGCAGATCATCGTCCACCGCAACGCAGGGGTACATGACGCCGAGATGCCTGATTACCCTGACGCAGCTTGGAGTCTAGAACCAAAAGATGCCCCGTTCCCTTTCAGTCTCGGGCAAACATGGTACTGCGCGGCGGTATTGGCAATTCTACTTGCCGTACACTACGAGATAGACTCGGAATGGCTACTCAACAATGGATACATAAACTACCTTATGCGCATAACGTCTAAGACGCTCCTCACGGTGGCCATTTCTTTCGCCAGTACGCTTTTATTCGAATGCTTCGGCAGCGTGGTAGATCTGATCAAAGAAACTTACGTCCAAGATATTATCATATACACAAATGCCTGGTTTGTCGAGCGCTTTCACTGGGGTCCTGTTGACGAGAACGGACGTGCCGCTTGGAATGGTGAAGACGGGATTCAGTTTCACCATGATCCAACCCACCTTCGCCAACCCTTCCTCAATGCCGTTATCGCCATAATACTCAATGCTTTCGATTATGGTCTTACGCTTCTCTTCTACCTAGTTCCAACGTCGATTGGCAGCGGGATTATTTGGTTGGCATCCCTCGTATCAACTGACATATCAGACTTTCTGTCCAACTTATCGACGTACCTCGCGCTGCCTACACCTGGCATGGATGGAACAACCGATCTTAAAACTCTGCTTTGGGAATTTGGCCCCCCTGTATATTTCCAAATATGGTTTGCGGCGTTCATATATCTGTTTGTCTTCCTCTTCATGTCGAGAGCAGAAACACCTCTCATTCTACACGATACAGGCCTAGATCCCTTCTCTAAGCTTGCGTTCAACCTTCTTAGAGCAACTGCGCTACATTTGCTGGCATACACGGCTTACCAGATAGTATATTTCGCTGCTTTGGTCACTCCTTTGAGGATGCTTTCCCAAATAGTGTACCTCGCCTTGAAACGTAACAATAATATACGAATCAATTGGCGTGTTGATGCCGGCTATGGTTGGGCTATTTTGATCACGCATTGGATAATTAAAAATATTTGCAGGCTGTTGGTCCGGCTTTTGTTTCCGCTTTGGGTTCCCTATATCGTGTGGCTATCGATCAAGACCGCAAGAGCAACTCGACACAATTGGGTTGCTTATGAACCACTATTAGCCGGGGATATGGATGTGCTTGATGACGCTAATAGAGTGGTTGGGAAAGCAACAATGACTTTCTTCTTTGGGTTGAAGAGTTCATGGCCGGCTAGGATGAGAATGAGCTCAGTAAGGGAGGTAGAATAGTTGGACACAGTGGACGAAGGGGCGAAGGGCCTTGTGAACATGTACTTTTATGTACCTATGGGAATTTACCTCTATGATATTTTCGAAAACATTTTCTATCAGAGATGCCAAAACTAGGCGAGGATATATTGAAGAAGTATCGATTCCATCAGCGCTTTCCCTGCAACGTGCCTTGAACTTCGGGTTTTGGTCCCTTCTCAAGGTAAATTGCCTAACCTAGGTTAGATACTTCAAAATAACGGGCATGTTGCAACTTTTGAGCTGCCACTCAAACCAACATGATTCTCCAAAGAGATTATCTTGTAACGACAATACCTTGAGCCACAGACCTTTACATATCGAACCATTTACACTTAAAGTGTGGAATGGTACCTGCCGTGTGTTAGGGACCTAGTGACCCCTGATAAGAAAAGGGGCTAAAAGTGCTGTCTCTTAATCGTGGCGGGAGGCGTCTTAGCAATGTTGCAAAAGAAAAACTCGTCATTTGGATAACTGTATCGGTATCTATCTTGTATTTGATCATTACGAAGAGCCGTTTGAGTTTATTCAAATTGTATTGTTTGTATTTGTCAAATTGTCCCTTTCAACTTCGTGACCATCGGAATTGACATCATTGGCCTGAGCTTTTGTGAGCCCCTGGTTTTCTAGCCCTGCGCACGGTTTATCCCCGGAGCGGAAAAATGGGGACTCTTCCTAGCGCCGATTGCCTTGGTTTGTCTCAAGGGGATAAGCGGCAAATCACCCACCCGCCTCATTTTTCTTCCCTGCAAACGAAAGCGAGTCTCTACTTGTCAGCCCGTCAACTGTGTCTAGAACTCAATTCACCTTGTACATAGGACCTAGTTGTGACTCTTGAGTATTAAGCTTTCAATTTCGATCAAGATGCCTTCGCCGTCAGGTGTGAAGAGACCGCTCAAGTCTACCAACGGTAACACCCAGGCCCAAAATACGCCTGCGAAACGCGTCAGGCATAGGAGCTCAACCAAAAGTAGCGGAGCCGTCTGGGACGTGACTGGCCGCTACAATCTTACTTGCGCAAACAAGTTCAAACCATTAGATGCCACCGAATATGTTTTAGATGTCCGTTACACACATTCCAGCCCTCATACGTGTCAGCTATACGCTTCCTTCAACTTCCCCAACCTGAACTTGACGGGTAGGATGCGGCTATGCCCTAAGAGCGCAATTGCATCGCAGCCCACAGGAAAGCTTTTCCTGGCAGACTTTGAAGCTGCGTGTGAGCTCGCAGAAGATGTCAGGCCGGGTCCGAAATGCAAGGAGTGGTTGATGAGGTGGCGGGGAGAAGGGGGTGGCACGAAGCTCGGTGGAGAAACGCGGGCTCAGGGGCAAGTCCTCTTCGATGAAGAGAAACAAGACCCCGACAACGTTGGTACTCCTAAGATAAACATCAAATTAGCCATGGTGTACAACGGAAAGCACGTAATCTTGGAGGGGACACAGCTATATACGAGTCCAGAGAGCGACCAGGATAGAGCTGCGGCCGAAAGCCCGACAGCACCCACTGAGGCATCCCGGATGCTCGAGGACTGGAAACGGCTCTATGACCCTTCTTGGGACGCGCGGCTCCTTTCGGACACGGAGGAAGACGAGTTAGAGGTGCAGAGACTGCAAGATATCGGTGCCACTCTACCTAAACCTAAAAACAAATGGGAAAACCCTCGGTCAGGCAGGGTTATTTCCACGAAGAATAAGCCTGGCCCAATACCCGGGTTCATTATCAATGCGACTGCGACGTCGCGGTATCTAGAAGAGCGCCCGGACTGGGCCTGGGACGTGACGGGGAGATACGAGTTAAGTACTATCGGACTCACTAAGGCTCTAGGGTTGTCCGCAGGTGAGCCGGTGTCGATGGTTATGACGGTTCAGATGGACAACAACGCAAAGCACCAGAAGGCTGGACGACAAGTCTGGGCTCAATTTGAAGCTAATGGTGTCCTCGCCCTTGCACGCTTCCGGCCTATTACCAATTCATTAGAAGACTCGCTAGAAACCTTCGAAAAAGGCTGCGTCCTAAAACCAGGGGTATGGGTTGGCCCTGAGCCGCGAGGTACTCAGCAGTGGGAGATGCGTTGGCGAGGATTCTCAGATACCAACTTGGAGACGATAGCGGAGGACGAAGTAGGGACCGAGGTTCTCTTCACAAGAGATGATCAAGGAAAACAGGTGTTCAGGGGAAAGATCAGAGTTGGCCATAAGAGCTTCACGGTAATGGGTTCACGAGTCGCGCCGACGGAGGAACGAAGACCCAGTGCTCCTACAGTCAACACCGAATGGGCGAAATTCCAAAAGGGGAAACCGGCTGTATCGCTGCGGAAGAATGTTGAACATGTCATTGTCATGGAGAAGTACTGTTATAGAGATTTCCCAGAATAAGCGAGACTATGATACGAAATAAACTGTACCTAGGTAATTACCAATTGGATCATAGTTCAAGGGAATAGCGTTGATTAATTGTCCCAGCTTGCGGAATCGTCGACATGGTACCTATGCGATTCTCTTTAACGTACTTTCCTTTAGTACCTTTTGTCTAGGTAGGTAGTGATAGTCTTGCAATGCGGCTTCTTACGGAACCGTTTGAAATCCGCCTTCTCATGTGCCTTTAGTCTGCGCCGATTTCGAGGCCCACTTTTCCGCTGAACCCTCCGCGCCGCGGACGACCTTTAGGCAATCCATAGCACTTGCCGCGACTACCTACGTAACTCTACTAATATCTTGTCACGCCAGTCTTCGCCACCAGGCAAGTGTCGGTTGCCGAACTGTTTATTATGGCAATTATACGGTAATTTGAGTTTAGGGAGGTGAGTAGGTACTCAGCCGGGGCCCTACCAGGCGTGCTCGTGAAGTTCATATACTAAAAAACATATATATTGTCACAAGGACTATAAGAACACGTGTATAAAGGACTGGAAGGTATTGCGGTGATAGCAAAGCTGATACACTTGAGCAAGGCGATGCTCAAAGGGGAAGTGTTGCTTGCCAAGGTTTAGCATCAAAATCAACCAAATCCGCGAAATCCTTCAGTTACGGCGTGGCTTTATACTTGACCCAGATCAGCGCATCGAATCTTATTCAATCGCTTTATTAGGCAGGTTATAACTTTAGATTATTATTCATTTCTATGCTTTATAGATATGATCGGCGAGGCGAATTTGCCTCCGAGAATAGCAAGTGTGCACGACCTATGGCGGATAGAACAAGGAGCGAAAACTTAAGATCCCTTAAGTCTAATTCTCTTGGCCAACTAATAAGCGTAAGCCATTAAACACGTAGCCGTAAGATGTCGGAGGTCTATTCGGAATGCCATCAAGATAGGCCTAGATATGCCTCATGCGTGTGTTAGTTCGTGAGCAAGGAAGTTAGGGGGCCCCCAATGGTTATCTACCTATATATAGGTAAGTAAATTCGCTTGCAAGTCTCACAGCTTTCCACCGAGCTTTTAAGAAGGCTTCCATCAGCAATAGGAGAAGCTTTGGTTCAGTTATACGGCGACTATGGCATTCCGCTGGCAAGCAGGAGCATTGTTGCTCTTGGTAAACTTGTCAAATGCAACCCCTTTCCTCCATTCAATTCTCGCCCGGGATCCCCCTCAGATGCTACCGGCCAAAGCGACATCGAATGACCTCAAATGGCAGCCGGCTATGGACTTCGACAAGGACTCATGTTATAACACGCCAGCAATCGACGCGCAAGGCAACATCGCACCCGGTCTAAGTACAAATAATGCCGCTGGAGGCGAAGGATGCCGGGACGCTAGCGATCTCATGAATAACAATGTGTATTCTCGGCAGCGCTGTAACAGTGGATGGTGCGCATATCTGTATGATTATTACATGGAGAAGGACACCAAATACGAAAACGCTCCTATCGGCGGGGGACATACACACGAATGGGAGCATATCGTGATATGGGTCAAAGACAACCAGCTGGAGTACGTCGCTGCGTCTAGGCATGGTGGCTATACGGTGAAGGATAAAAACGATCCCGCCGTTCAGATTGATAGTGGAACTCACGCCAAAATCGTATATCACAAGGACGACAGTAGCACACACGCCTTCCGATTTCCTAAGACCGATGGAACGGACGAGCCACCGGAGAACGATTCGGGAAAGTGGTACATATCTCCTGGACTTGTGTCATACAACGGTTTCCCGAGCATGGAGCTCCGTGATAAGCTCGTCAGCTATGACTTTGGCACAGCTACGATTGCTTTCAAGGATGCGACGTTCGCTGATAATCTCAAGAAAGCTGCGCCTAGTGGCATTGAGTTTGACTTTGGCCGGGACGAGGATTCGCCGGGTACTCCTTAAAGAGGAGGCGACACCTGTCGTGCAAAGATACCTATAGGTACCTGGTATCCGAGAGAGATTCGCATTTTGTCCCATCATGGTCCAACATAAACACTTCTAGTATATATCCTTTCTATATATTTATTAACAGAGTTCTTCTTGTAAACGAGGCGCAACTTTTGATACTAAGTACCTACATGTCGATGAGCTATCGTCTACCTTATATTAAAGTAGCTTCGTATTTGCTCTCCTTTTCGACGGATGAGGTCATCGCATAGGTAAATATGACCCTTCTTTCTAAAGAGAGAATTCCTTGTTGTCTATAGAGTGAAGGATAGAGCTATCCTATTCTCGGAATGAAACATCAGATGTGGAGAGGGTTAGGGTTAGGGTAGTTTACCCCAACGTTAACCCTTACCCCTACCCCCAATATCCCCGATATCAAACAATATTTTCTATGAAGTGACGTAGTTCATTCATTGATTTTCCTTTCATGAAACCAAGCCCTGCTTCGATTCTAAGTGCATCTAGGTAGACAAAACGTCTATCCCAAAATGGTGCTAATTTAAAAGTTGGCGCTAACCAGCACGATATACGGGGGTCTGTTCTGGACTCATCTTATCACATCCCTAGACATAAGCTGTAAGAGTGAGAGACACCTGAGATGGTATTTCTAGACGCCATTTAACGACCCCAAGTCATATTAGGGATCCTGCACGTAAGATAATATAGCTGAAAGTCAGTCATGCCGACAGCGTAGTACGAGAACCTCAGCCCAAGCATTAGTAGCATCATGATTGAGGTAACCTCCACAGCTTGGGCAGGCCCCATAGAGTCCCCTACAGCAAAGAGTGTAGCGGCAATTATGTAAGAGAGAAAAACGCCCCATGGTATCTAGATTCCGCCCTGCCAAGGCGCCTCCACGATAAAGTGCTGTCCTAATACAGTTTTAGCGTAGCAGCTCGCTTGTGTGAGCCTTTTTAGTGGCTAGCTGGGCTGAATCGGTTCTGGGTTGGGGATGGGCTGATCGATAGTTCACTACGCTCTAGGGATCCATAAGGGACCTCCCGGGCCAATGAGACCCTATTTATCGACTTCGTGCGGCTGAGAAGGCCCTGCAGCTGCTAGGATAGCGACTTAGCAAAGACCTTCCAAGCCCTCACGATAATAACCTTAGCTCTTGGTTCCAGCCTAAGTCCAGATAACTGGCAATTGGGTGCGAATACGGGTCTAGAAAGTTAACTAAAGAGGCCACTAACATATTGAAAGGCTGAAAGGCGCCATGCGAAAGCGGAGAGAAGAACCTTTTCGTACAAATAGGCACATGTGCCCCAGAGGTGATAGTGCTGATCTTTTCCTGGAAATTCTGAGGGTCCTATGAATCTAAGAAAAGTGGTTTATTGAACAATTTGACACCAAGGACCTTGAGGCACAAGCCCGAAACAGAGGCGGCGCGGACGTGACGATATCGCTATAGGGCATAATCACGATTTAGAAAGACTCGTTATTGCTATATCGATATGGAGGAAGCAGCAAGAGCAAACAAGAAGGGGGAGACTCTCATCCCGACCCCGACATGGTTCATCGCACTACGAGTTCTTCAGATCGTCTTCTCGATCGTCGCTGTTGGCATGACAGGTTGGTGGATTCATGGCCTATATTACGACGAGCTTGGCTTCGTTATTGTCTGCGTACGTTCTAAATTCCTACTCACAAACCCTCTCTTCATCATTCTCTATGAGCACCTCCTCAGTTACTTAGGTAGCAACACCGCACTAACACTCTCACCATTCGAATAGGGTATCTTCACCTGGATCATTGCCGTGTACGCCCTCTTAGCCGAAAGGGTCGTCTCCTGTCGACGGGCGTACAACACGTGGGCCGTCCTCTCGCTTGACGCGCTTATGATCATCTTCTGGCTGGCGGCGATGGCTGCTGTCGCAAATCGACGCAGCAAGTTTACTGTATCCGTCACCGCTAGCTGCTATAGCGACGGTAGCACGATCAACAGCGGACATTGTACCGTATACAAGCGCGCCGGCGTCGCTACACAAGCGGCTCTCGGTGTACTAAGCGGCATAGCCGGCGTCAGCGCCCTCGTCATGCTTCTCTTCGTTGTCACCTTCGCTTATGTGTGCCACTACTTCCGCCTCTCCTTTGCAGCACACTCGACCAATGACCCAGAGAAGGCCGCCGCCGCCGCCGCCGCCGCGGTGGCCGCACAAGGTGGCGCTCCAGGAATCCCTGGTGCCACAGAACTCCAAGGCGGTATGCCACCGCAGAACTTCGCCGCGCAGCAGTCGCAGCCGCTCCTGCACCAGCAAGGTGGTGGTGGTCAGCAGTGGGTTCAACAGCCGGCATATCCGCAACAACCCGTCGGCCAGCCCCAGTACCAGCAAGGCCAAGTGTACGACCCGTACGCACCGCAGAACACAGCTTACGCTGGCGCTGCTGCCGTGTACCCCCAGCAGGCTGGCACGCCAGCTCCCGGACAACCGTATAGCCCTCAGGCTACTCCGGCTCCGGGACAGCCGTACCAAGCTCCCTATCAAATGCCTGCGCAGTGATTGGGCTGGTTGGAATGATTTGCTTCTCTTGATTGATGAATTTCCCGAGCGATGTGGCGTTGACGGGTTTTGTTTCCTCGGAACTTTGGTGGAGTGGGATGGACTGCGCTCGGCATGTGTGTGGAGTGGAGGGTGTCATGTTGCATAGGTACGGTGACTTGGAAAGCGTTCGCACTTAACCTGTCGCACAAGTTGTTGTACATACGCTCGTCTATATTCTAATATACCCCGCATAATGTTAGTTGGTCTTGAAGAGGCATAGTGTAGGTACCAGTGCTGTTTTGTTGAATGATTATGCCATGTTTTCAGGCATATTGTGACGTACCATAAATAACCGTATGCTTAGCAAGACCGCTTGGATACCAGGCAAACAAAAGCTTCTCTTTGATAGATTCATCAAGGCCCTCATACGGAATCGGGATCCAGAGCAGCCCTGGTGATGAAGGAGCTGAAGCCGACTATGCTCCTGCCACCCTTGCCATAACCAGTGGTCATTGGATTCAAGTCCAGCATGCCGTCTATCCACATCCGATATTCCGGGTCAGAATCTAAAACGGTCCGAGCCATTCCCATCGGAAAGAGGTACATGCAGTTTTGGTCGCTGAAGAAGGCATGCTGCTCATGGTGTCGGCATTGCCAATCAAAAACACGGCATATTTCTATCGCTGGGTCTCGTATAGATAAAGCTGTGCCGGGCCAACTGAGAGGCTCGAAATAGGAGTGAGGAAGAGGTGACACTGGTGACTTGGGTGATGAAGCCACTGGCATGGAAGCACGTCGTGCACAAGTGCCTATGATAGACGCTGCTCGGGATGGCTGGAGTTTCCATATGAGGGTCATAAGAAACATCAACGTGGCGTTATATAGCATGATATCGTTAGCGTAGACGGGGCGTTCAAATTGCAGCCGGTCAATTCCGATAGAACTGCTGGGAGAGCCTTCAGACTTCGGGGAAGGGCTACTTTGGTTCCATTCGCACTTGTCTGTTGTGACGCATTGTCCATATTTACGCTGCCAGTTCCAACGCCATCGGTACAGCTTCTCCAGCTGGGCATTGACGCGTTGACAAAGACTCCTATGGTGGTCTCTGTGCTCGTCCGAGATAAATGAAAGGTCAATAAACTCATCGCTAAGATGACAGATCATATCATCAAGACAGCTTATCTCCTCAAGAAACCCGGGTATCATGACGAAGATATCAAGGAGATGTGATTGTTCAGGTTTCGTGAGTGGGTCGAGTTCATAGGGCGTATCTTGCCAGCACGGAGATTCAAGGAACGTCCGTCGTCTAGAATACAGCGAGGCAGCTAACTGTAGGTTGTTAACGGTTAAGTATGCTCGTGATATCACTAGCATTATGTACGTACTAGCGTAGATCTGGCTGCTTCGAAAGCATTTCTTAGCGGCTGTCGCTGAAAGGCTTTTGGTCCACATAGCGCTAGTACCTTGCCGATTGCTTTCAAGTGGGAAAATGCAGCTGTTCTATCTTCCTGAATGGTCTGTTGTCATGAGCTTATTTATAATGTTCCTGAGTTAAATCCATTCGAATGAGACTTACCGAGACCATTATCAATACAAGAATTGGTACCACTAGCGCTCGATTATCGTAAACCCCTGGCCTATCCTTTCCAAGCTCTTCTACCATGACCCGCAAGCATTTACCATACTGAGCAGCCCCTTGTAGCTCCCAATCATGTACCCTGTTGCTGCGGCCAAAATTCAATCGAGCGAGAGCCTTGACGGCCTCCAAGGAGAGATTGCCGAGTCTCCCCTCCGCAGCTTGATCTAGCCAAAGAGATCCATAAGATTTCCAAAGGAAATTTCTAAACATGTGAGCAGTGCAGATGTCTCCCTCGAAGGCGACGAGACTAAGCTCTGGCGCGGGGCCGAAATTCATAGGCCTACTCTTCGTGAGCTCCGTGAACTCGGATCCGTGCAATCGTGATGTTGGACGGGCAGCCACAGAAGTATGTCGCCATTGAGTTGCTCTTTCGTAACCTAGACACTCAAAACCGGCCTTGATGCAACGATAACACTGCGGTTTAGCTTCATCTATTCACAAGTTAACAATGCTTCCTCGTCGAATATGGCCTGTTTGGCAAAAGTGTTGGCCATACCGCACTTCACTCTCCTTTTCCGGCACGTATTGCAACCCTTGCTCCTACCGGCTACACCAACCATGATGGGTCTCAATGGTATATTAAGGACCCCACGGAATAATGCAGGAATAGGGATAAGATAAGTTACCAACTAACTAGGGAAAAGCGTCCGATCTTGGATATTTGATCGTAGATTCGAGACAGCAGGATATACCTAGATAGTTTCATGAAAAAATGCCGGCAACTTGAAACATCTCTGTAGATATAGTTCATATAGACATCAAGAGCTAGTCATCCTCCTGAATATCGGCTGTGCGGTGGTTAGGCATACTTTATGAGGTATCGACATAAGCGGACTTGAACTCCAATTCCGGCCGAGAGACCGAGACAAAAATAGTCGAGCGGGACAAACCAATGGGTGCTATTTTGTTAATTAACGAGGACGGATTGTGATTGAATCACGAGTGCGCTAGCTTTGCTGCAAGAAGGTTGCATTCGACGCTACCCCCTGTTTCTTCCAAGGTTGTGTCGAGCGTATGCGATAGCGATCCCGTCAAACATCCCGCCGATACGCGCCGCCTATCTCCCGTCAACCTTGCGATCATTGAAAATAACTCTAAATTAAATGGATCCCGATCGTCTGTTTAAACTTTCTTTAGAGCATAACTGGGTATATGATGTTATATAAGCCTTGTTGGTACATCATTGTACTAAGCACTTCCGAGCCTCGTATGGTCTGAAGCTGATTAGATTAGGCAACTATATCATATCCATGTGCAGAAGATCAGCATGTAACTCTGCATCTTTGGAGCTTCAGATTGTGTTGTGGAACATATGGCGATGCTGAGCTGAATCCACCTGATCATTCAGATAAAGTGCAAGTTGACTCGGTGATCAAACGATTAAATGGTCCGATGGTGACGAGTCTTCTCTGTCGCTTTAGGTGAGATGCTCATCGACGGTGGTACAAATGGAATTACATCGATGAGCACGAGAATTTGAATAATTCACCTTTAGATACCTGGAGGGCTCCGGTATTGGGGGCCACAGGTGTATGGGGTGAAGACGCATAAGACGAAGACATCCATAAGTAAGGCTATGTAAGTATGTAGGAACTGAAAATTCATCTCATAGGGCTGGGGTATTTTACAGCCCCTGGACCCACAAGAAGCATGGTGGCTTTCCATCCCCCACCCCAGACCATCCCATCCGCCGTCACGTCGGCCGGTACACGGCGTAAGAATTGGCCCTGATGCAAGCCGGATATTCCTCTAATCCTTAATCCTCCAGCTTACCAAACTCGCCTGATTTCTACGATTCACACACACCTTTATCAAGTTGATCTGCCCGACTTTTCAGACTCTCCTCTAACTTCACGTCGTACCGCATTGTACTGCCATTATTTGGGGGGTAACTTCTGCAGAAAGCTACAATTAGCCACAGATAAATCACTGGCGGAATTTAGATAGGCATCGTGTCTTGAAATCCCGAATCTGTCTGGTGCTTTTGCTATTTCTTGGCTGAGAGATTATCAACAAGCGTAACAATAATACAAAAGTACAATTATAAGTCCAATTTCCTATTCGTCCGTTCGGATGCCGAGGTAAGGCGCAGCTAGCTCACTAGGATGGTCTAGAAGATCTTGAGCTGGACGCCCTGGATATCATTTCCTTGAAATGTTGACACTTACTACTCTACATAAAACAAACCTTACGAATTTGATGATACCCTAACATTGAACATGACGACATTCACACCCACCTGTTTTTCCTACCTAGCAGCCTAGGTACCTAACGTATCTATTCCAGTCAGCAGTCTAGTACGGAGGACGCTTTCAAAATATTTTGCCATAGGGAATCCCTGTCAAGCTTGGCACCAGCTGCAAGACCTCCGCTGACAGCTGGCAGGCTGCATCACCAATAATCCCCAATTAGTCTCTAATTTTAAGACCAGATTTTACAGCGTACAAATATTTCAATTGAATGCGCCTTTTTGTATGATATTAAGCTTTAAATGAATTTTATAAATATATATATTTGTCGAAGTTAGGACGTTGTGGTAAAAAGAAACAATTGATTAAAATGTATATTTAACTCTTCATCAAGGGGACGGCTGTCTGACAGCTGGTACTAGAGCTGGCAGGTGGGTGCCAGATCTGGTGTATGGCAAAATGTTTTGAAAGCGTCCTCCGTAGATTCGCTTTGGCCCCAGAGCTGATGCGGTCTGCATTAGTGCTGTGCGGGCCGTGAGTACGTACCCTACCAGCTGGCGAACTAGCACTCGCCAGCTAGGCTTAGCGCAAATCTCGTTGCTATTTTGGGACCAATCTCATATGAGTTCGGATTGTTTGTTGACCTGTGCACGACATCGTTGCCCCGTCGCCCAATCGTTCGGCTATTCAAGCTTCTTTTTCCAAGCCCGGATACGAGATGGGGACAAATAACGTTGGCTAAGTGTCAGCCCACTCGTGTCAACACAGCCAAACAAGTAATTTAAAGAGCTTTTCGGCAGACTTTTCTCCTAATAAGCAGTTTCGCCCCCTTTTTTGCTCCCCAATTGCAACCTCACCACACAATACGCATCTCGCGAAAGAAACAGAGTCGCAAAAGAACCTCGCACCTTACCTCCATCACGAAACCGCATAGGCAATATTCACTCGCTACCGTAACAACAAACGTCAGCTCCACTTTTAAATTCACAACACCACCGAACCAAAAACAATAAAATGTCGTCGACCGCAACCGCCACCTCCACCGCCGCCAGCGCGAGCAGCAGCGCCGACTGCGGCGCGAACCTGTACAACATCCCCGTGCAGGACCCGGCGGTCGGGATCCGGGCGGGCGGCAACCACACGGACATCATGGCGGCGTGCTGCGGGAAGGCGGACGTGATCTCGTACTACTCGGGGTGCGGGCTGTACTGCCTGGCCGAGGGCCAGAGCGTGGACGACGTGATCCACTGCGCGTACGACAAGGGCGCCGCGTACCAGGACGTCTTCTACCGCGGCAACGTCAACGCGACCGCCACCGTGACCGACTCCGCCCTGCCCACCTCCGCCGACGCGAGCGTCGTCGTCACCGGCGGCAGCACCAAGGCCACCGCTACTGGCAGCAGCGAGTCGGGCAGTTCCGCCAGCTCGACGAGCTCGCCCGGCGCCGCCGCGAACGTGCGTCCCGAGCTGGGAAGCCTGAGCACCATGGGCTTGACGATCGGCGCGCTGTTGCTGTCGGCTACGGCGTTCGGTGCTTTCCAGCTCTAGGTGATGAAAAGCACCTTAACGCGTCGAAGTAAAGGAAGGGGGGGGGTATGCTTTTTAAGAGGGATACGATGAGCACGTTGGCTTGACGAAGTATGAAAGGGGAGAAGAGGAAGAGGAAGAGGAAGAGGAAGGAGGGGAGGTTAATAAAGGAGTCTTACACACTCGGGTTCCGGCGTACTATACCATTGGAATGGGCAACGGGAAAAAATTGATTCATGGACATACCTAATCACATGCATATGGCATTACTAAATAAGAACGGTAGATTAGCATCGATTAATTACGTAATAACATACCGATGACATGGAACGTTTAGGTCTAATTGTCACTACTGAACCTAATGCAGGAGTAATGCATATAGGGCCACTTACATAACTTTCAAGTGCCGATGATGTAATTTACATGTCAAGACCTCATAATATGTCCATGGCTATGTGAGTAATACAGACTGAATTATTCGTCCTATAGTCCTATAGTCCTATCATTCTTTTTACAACTCCTATAGTACAAGCACCCCTTCTTCTCTGCGCTCAACCCGAACACAGTATCCTACCCGTACTCCGAGATATGTACCGAATCGCAAAGACCAAGACGCTTTCCACAGGAAGTGATAATACAAGGACTAGTGGTCCGATTTTATTAATTTTCTCCGACGTCGTAGGGGGTCCGCACCTAACCCTAATTCGATCTCCACCATTGACCAGAAGGAAGAGTCGGTGAAGTATGGTTAAGAGCGTTGCTCCAGTGTTAAACCGCTGTGGCGAGCTCGCTTGCGTCCACTTGATGATGCCGGGTGTAGCTTGTCGTTGCGCTCTCTCTTGAGCTTCTCGTCCAACACACGAGCTAGGAGTAGTTAGATTCGCGATTTTCCAGATACGTATTCCCACCAAAGCAGGGAACTTACTAAGCACATCGTAACCGAATTGAGGAAACTCCAAGCACAGAGAACGGAATTCCTCCTCCGCCTCTGCGCGTAGGGTGTGGCTGCGGGTAGCCCAGAAGTTGGCCACCGGGGCGCGGACTGTCGTGTCCTCCTTGTTGGTATATTGGTAGATGTAACGGGCGTAAGCAATCTCCCCTTTAGCAGTGGAGTTGACGCAGTGAATCTTGCTACTCGCAAGACTCCTTAACTTCTCCACTCCAAACTTCTCAGCTAGGGTATAGACGCGCGCATGCTTTAGGAGCTGTTCGCCAGTCTCGTCGACGGCCGGGATCGAAGGGTCTGATTCCAGGATTCGTTGGCCCGGTAACTTCTTAGGGAAATAATCGCCGGTGTAGAGGAATTCCAGGAAGCAGCCAACAGCGTCTAGCTCTTCACCTACCAGATCTATTTGTCGCGGCTATGGAGAGAAGTCAGCTATTGGTTATCTTAAAAGCGACGTCATCTACGGGTAGAGATAGTTAAGACTTACGCTCCCATCGTCGGTGAAAGCTGCGCAGGCGTCGAGGAACCATGGGCTTTGGGCAAGAAGCGCTTGGTGCGCAGTAAGGAGAGTCTCAGATTCGCCAGTGCCAACGAGGAGAGTGACGACTGGGCTGGTCAAATAACTAATATAACTAGTACGCGGTTCGAGATCACCACCCTCAGGAAGAGCCATTTCTCCGCCGCCGTTGCTAGCAGCAACTCCAGCCTCTTCACCTTCACCTTCACCCATCTCGATGTCCGCCCCAGGGTTTGACTGCTGTCCCTCGGCCGGTTCTTCGTGAAATTCTTCTGCCATGTTGGAATCTATGACAGGGATTCGTGCTCGACCCAGTACGAAGTAACGATGGTAGTCAGATGTAGTTTGGAATGAATGTGGCGGTAGATTGTAATTTGGATAATGTTAAGAACAGGTTCAAGTAAATGTAGTAAGGCCGAAGATTGATATTCTATTATGAACGAGAGGATGCGCCGAAACGATTGATTGAGCGTATGAAATATCGTAAGAGGTAAAAGAACGTCGCAATTGCGAATGGCGCAAATCGCAAATCGCAAATCGCAGTCGTTAATATTGTAGGTGGGATGGTGATCAGGTGGGAGGAATAATTAGTTCGAAGCTTAGCTGTCGCAAGTTGCTTAGGTACTACAGTTTGGTTGCCCGGTCAAAGAATAAAAGAGGTTGGTGCACCTTCCAAGCTTCCAATTGGCTAGAAGCTTCCCAAGCATGTAGGGACCTAGGTATTCACTTGGGCAATCACGACCACAAACAGCCTATGCTGTCATAGGATACATTTGACATAACACGATCTAAAGCTTATTTCCAAGTTGAACTCATAACTTCGGGATTCCAATCTCATGTCAATCAGTAGCATGATTTACTCTCTGGTTAAATACTAACTGCTCATCTTATAGCGCAGGAAATTATATCAATCACTTCATGAAATCGAAATATTCGACCACATATATAACTTTTCTATTGGTAGTAAAGCCGCAATACTACCTACATGCACGCAGCCGCAAGAATGAGCCTAACACTCATAACATACGGAATTACAGCCAATTGGGGCATTATATCGCATACTCACCTCTCTCATGGATGACATGATCTTCTCTGCTTAGGATCGGGCACGAATTCTTGGTCACCGTGCTCCGTAATTTTGGATTTCCAAGATCATTCAAGTCTGTCTGAATAATTCAGCTCCAGAATCCCAATCCTACTAACAATTATGACAAGGCTTTCTGAGCCCATCCATATTTCCACAGGGTGTGTCCAACTAGAATCCGTCCCCGCAATTAGAATCCCACGGAGACGGAATTCAAGGTTCAAATCCGGACCTGCAATGCTTCAAGGGAGTTAGTTGAGACCATCCCAGGATCGACGAGCCGCATTTGGAGATGCGGATATGATGAGAGCATTGAAAGAGTGGTGACTAACGATTCTTGCGAAACTAGACGACACGTGGAAAGTCGACAAATTAAACAACTAGGTTTTACCCCGTTGCTAGAATTATCTTAAGGATTACTACTTTCAGCGCTGATGCCGCAGCATTTGCGCCTATCAAAAGTCGTCGCCAATGGCTTACAGCAAGCTCACTCTGCCGCTTAAATGTGTCGTCGACAGCTCCTTTTCCCCCTTTTGGCGTATCCTAGAAGGATACTCTCTTAAAGCAGACCGAAGAGGTTAATGCTCCCGCAACATAATGAAAACCCCTAGAACTCGTCCTTAAATAAGAAGACATTGACTCTTTGAAGTATGATGTTGTGCGGCGACTTGAAGTCTTAAGCGATTACAAACCCTTCCTTGACAGCTTCGTGGCCTTGATATTTGATATCGATGACTAACTTCCCGCGAGGAAACTTAGAGTATCTGAACAAACCAGTGGCCAGAATATTCTTCGACCAGAGTTAAGCTAGTAGTAAGACATCATTTGAGAGTGCTCGAAAGAGATTCAAGAAATGGAAAAATGGAAAATCTATGTGGGAAGGCCCAGAGTCTTACGTTTTATCGGATTGAGTGAGTGAGCTTTCGTGACTACTACCAGTAATATCAATATGCTAATCCTCTGCAAGTTTCCAAGGGCTTGTCATTCCCTGGTCTCGGTGTTAAATATACGAAACCAACCTATACCAAAGGTGTCTATTAAGATAGTCACCCTCCGCATCAACTCGACCACAGTTGTGCAAAGTATCGCATCACCCGATCTATTGAAGCACACAAACACCAACACTACCTAATTAGACACCTGCCAGAATCCGAATTTCTCCAAGACGCACTTACATGTTCTTTCATATTTGTGCGCCGGGAGCAGCATTTTCATTCGGCACCATGGATAAAGACCATCACCGCTAGAAGCGGTAATTCTATGCCCAAGCTATGCCCAAACCCTGAGTGAGTGGTCGATGCGGGTGTTCGAGCCTACTGACCTAGCGCATCTCGACATATTCCTGAAGCTTATTCTACAATCATGCGACGGCCCCACGTCCGCCGAAACAGTCAGTCAATGCCAACATCTGGGATTTGTCGTGATTGGGAATCTTGCTCTTGGATAACGTGTCGGCAAGCAAACGGAGAAGAACTGCACTATTCTCAGACTGCTCATAGCGACAAAGATTAAAGTCAACAACATCACGCATCTACCTGCTTTTCGCTTCCTTGATCCTGTTCTTCGGACTTCACCCTTATGCCAGGGCCGCCGATTCAGAGTGCTTTGGCGGACATTTTTCTAGCGCCTAAGGCCCAGGAAAGCGAGCAGCAGGATTTATATTCTATTCTCTCCTGTCCACGACTTAGGAAATATTCGAGAACATAGAAGGTGAGATTGTCTTCTCCATGGCAGCAAGTACGTGGCCAGAATGATCTCAGTATCCATACTCTCATTTCATTGGCAGCTGGGATCTATGAGGCACTCAACCAGCCACGGCCATATGCGCTCTCTCGTTATCCCGAATGCTACAATACCTTGATATATGGGATCCGCTCCCCGTTTCCGCGAAGCAAAGAAAATCCGGTCGAGGGCCCGACGACAAGCTGCAAGCAAAGCATAAGCATCCCAACAATTGCATGAAGCTTCGCTGTCACCTTGGCCTTCATTGCAATGCAGAAGTTGCAATAAGCCAGTGTAACGACTCCGAGAATCGTGAATTAATCAGGTCAATCCAATACTCGCTGCAAGTACAACTTGCAATCCGTTCATTAACTTCAGTTATATTTACTCATATAATTTGATTGTCAGGTGTGTAAGTATTCCAAGTAAATCATTCAAAGCCTCACTAGACATCAATCTAACTAAATCAACAATACATACACATAACCCAATCGACGGAAACAGATTCAGAATGTCCTTTATATTACATGTGCCATAAAGGATTCAAATTGGCTGCCGAATGAACGTTTCTTTGTATTTAACCTGGCTTTGGATTCATAGCTTTGTTCAAATACATAATAGGCACTTCCCGTACAGCCTTACATTTAACCTTTGGTTATTCGTAATCTTCTACTTATTCGAGTGTTGTGCTGGCTAGCCCGGGTCTAATAATTTATTTCCTACGAACGAATTGCTTGCTTTTGAGCATATACACTGCGCTCAAACACCGACACCCTCCCGAAAATGCCTCCCAAAGATGACAGAGGAAAAGACGTGGCTGAGAAGGGCGTGCCCCGTCTCGACAAAGTAGGAGATATACATATCAATAACACACCGCTTGAAATCAAAAGAATTACAAGAAATCTGAGGGAACATTTCTCACATAATCAAGAATGGGAATACGAGAAGATGATAGCGAGAGGCCCTGGGTCTCTATCAGTTGTCGTAAAGAGGAAGCACGGAAATATCGGTGGTCGCAGGCGTAGGATAATCGTGAAGAGAGGAACTTCTCTTGAAGGTGATCGCGATTTAAAAATTGAAATGGCTTGGTTAGAGGTATGTGGTAACATAGGTACGCTTTATGTCCACGGTTAGAACTTCTGACACAAGATATAGCAAGTACGGGGCGCAGCACATATTGGCACCATGATCGCGTGTCGTGCAGACACAAATATTCCAGGCAGTTCTGCGATTACCACGGGGCTTCCACTTCGGGAGCGATTATTTTCTAAGACTGGCAATGTGAGAAGGGGTCTCAAGAAGTTATTTGGCCCGAAAGATATTGAGGAGGAATTAAACCTTCGCGAGATGGCGCCTTATCCCGTCATAATTTTGGAGCATATGGACCAGGGATTTCTGGACGATATACTCCGGAGGGCTGTACATTACAACACGTTTATCCCAAACCGCATTCTCTGGTCGTTTTTCTTGTGTAGTAAGTTGGAAAGGCCCAGACAAGATTTTACGTTCATACATTAACCCCAGAAGTGGTGAGATCATGCATAGGATTGGCTTACCATCAGAAACGGCCGAGGGGAGAGCCAACACAACTAGAAGTTATCCCACGAGATGGCACACCACGAAGTAGCTTGGTACACAACATGATGCATACTTCAAGCTTTATGATTAGCAGAGAGTGGAGATTTGACGAGCACTTGTATCCACTAAACAGTCCACCTATGCTGCGTTTGATAGAATTTGGAAGTGCGTCTGAAACTGGAGATGACCTCGGATATCAGTTCAATTTATGGGACATTGCGGGGGTAATGAAAACCCTACCCATATTTGAAATATTTGGCTAACAGGATTTTAGGTAATGATGACTCTTGTGACTAGGAACGTAACCTGGGCGTTGAGCAAAACGAGCCTTTACAGAGGCATCAGAACGGAAGCAACGCCCATCGTTAATGAGAACCAAGAGAACTATCCGATGATAGACGATCAGTTGAGAGATCTTCTTGCTAGGTGCTTGGCACAAAATGTTCAACACCGGCCGAACCTAGAAGAGCTGCTTCGAGAAGTTGAACATGCCGTTAGAACGAAGACCAACCCAGAAGCTTTTTCGTGGAACCTGAGACCGCTGGAGACCAACGAGTCTGTCATACAGTTCCTTGAACGCTGCTTATATGATGCAGATGTAGTTCCTGGGCAACAGCCCCCTCTTCTTGGAGATGAGTACCTGACGCCGGCGACGAAGACCCCACGCCAAAGGGCGCGTGAAGAGCGTGAAATCCGTGAACACCAAGCGAAGCTGGCGGCGGAAGTAGCGGCTAATCCATTCGGTAAGTGTAGAGAGGACCCATCCTCATAGGCAATTTGACTAACCAATCCTAAGGCTAGGTAATATCTTGTAGACTGGAAGAACTGGGCAAAGTTGGCAAAGGCGTTACCAGCTAAGAAGTCTTACAGAAGAGAGAACCCGGAACATCATTCTGACGGAGTCTCAGCCGTACATTATTCCTAGTATAGTTGAATTATTTATACCTAGATCATAATATAACCCCTTTGGCAATCCACTTAGAAGCACGAAAGGACTGTCAGAGTGATCTCACTTTCTATGAGAGGGTCCCTATAGGTAATGTATAGCTGCGCTTCTTTGGCGGGAACGGGTGAGCAATGTTGACCCAATACATCTCCATTTTATCGAGTCAAGCGAGGAGATGTGCCTTTCCTTGCTCGCGAATAACTTCCTGAGTGGTCTTTAGTACCAGAGGGTGCATTGCTTTCGGCGCGGCGACGAAGCCGTGGTTGGCGGTCATCTTCCTACCCACGCCCAAGTCGATGGGCTTGCCGTCGATGTCCGTGATGTGGCCTCCAATTTCTTCGAACAAGAGCATGGCGCCAGCATGATCCCATATCTTCCCGGTGCGTTCCCGCTTCTTGTATACCCATACGGTCATAGTTGCTAGTCCCAATCCGAGAGTCACCCATCGAAGAACCCAAGCCAAGAGATCGCACCCTCGGGTTTCGATATTAAGCCTCTGCATAATTATTTGGTGAACGTCGTCAACCCCTGAATCTAACATGTTGTAGCAAGATACCGGCCGTAGCGTTAGGGGTAACTCCGTTTCGGCGACCGGCTCGATCCTGCGAACTTGCACTTCTTGAGGCGGCGATGCGACTAGCGGGCGAACATACGTGCCATACCCCTTCGCGGCGAAAACAATAGAGCCGCGTCCCGTAGGGTCCAAGGAGGTGTTCGTGACAGGAGCGCTAGCATCGAACGACAGCGTCGGACAGCCCACGACGCTAAGTACTTGCTTGTTGCCTTCCAGCAACGCAACGTTGATCGCGTATGCTTTGCCTTGGACGAAGGTCTGGGTGCCGTCAATCGGATCAAAAACCCAGACCCTTCCGGCCCGCGGCCCCCCGGGCTCGCCGAAACCGCACCAATCGATCATCTCGCACATCTCCTCGGGCGACCCCGGCAATTTGCAAAGCTGCGCGGCTTCCTCATCTTTCAGCCTCTGGAGCAATTCCCACACGCGCTTCAGGAGGACGGGGTTGACCCTCAAGTCCGCTGCGGATTCTTCGCCGACGAACTTGTCGTTGGGAAAGGCGCCGTGGACAGTGGCGGTTAGAAGAGCTTGGATGGCGAAATCGGCTACGGTGACGGGGCTTAGATCGTCTTTCTCGATCGTCCCCTTGTCTTCGTTTGAGATTACCGCTTGGCTCAGTTTGGCCGCTGATTGAATGGCTCCAATTGCGACTTGCAACTCTTTGGAATAGGGACTATCCATATTGAACCTCACTTGACTTTATAAGGCTTGACAATGAGAAATATATCGGCAGTGGTCGGTGGTAAGTGGTAATTGTATTGAAAGCGTTAGGTACTTTTTTCGGCTAAACCTGTTGTGGTTATAGGTGGCTCGGGCCGGAATTTTACCCTCAGGGGGTCCGCTTAGCGCTTCTTTCCCATGATTCTTCTTTTCACCTAGGTATGTGCACCTGTTCCTCAAGCACTATGAGGCCAATCCTTTACAACAGCGCTTAGTAAACGCAGACAGCTTTTGGCCTCCGAGTCAGTAAGTACTTCCAGGAAAGTAACAGTCTACCAATCAGCACTCATATCTTCACTTGAGTGGTGCATGCAACCTAATTCTGTATGAACTTCTCGGGGGCCATGTAGAAGTTAACAATAATCACCTCGTCAGGCTAACGGCCTCTTAAGCCGAAGTGGTTCAATCCACCCTTCAGCAATGGTCGAAGTCAAGCTCATCAATCCAGACCTCAATCCAGACCTTCTTGAAGCAAGGCTTGACCATTGAGGGCCAATGTTTTGTAGATATCAGTGGGACTTGTTGAGTTCCAATTTAGGTGGCACATACGATCACTTATTTGAACTGGGATGAAGGCTTCTGCCAATCAAAAAGATGGTCGAACATGAGGGGGACATTTTGAATACGTTTCGATCATGGCCAGAGCGAGAGGGGTATGTGGGACAAGGTCGTCGTAACGAAAGGTATCGCCGCCAGTTGAATATCACTCAAAGGGTTAGACTGTGAGAAAAATCTGAAAGAGTCGGGAGATAGGATATTCAACGCTTCCAACCCAATATTATCCAACCGACCCAGCAGAAGGAGTGAAAAATAATAGGCAATCACAAGATATAAAGCCTATAACCACGCCGACTGCGCACCAACAGAGATGGCCCAACCAATACCCGCCTCCTATATGATGTAAAGTTGTAGCACGGCTCCTAGCAACCATGAAGTTCTCCCCTTAAACCTACATATTTATAGAACATCTCTGGCCACTGCTAGAGTTTACAATGAAATTAGAGACACATGAAAATGTCTTCATTTGATTTTGTCATTATTGGAGGCGGTACATCTGGACTTGTTCTAGCTAACCGCCTCTCCGAAGATCCAGGTCAGCATGTCCTCGTTCTGGAAGCTGGTTCCGATCATTATGATGATCCACGAGTCAACACTCCCGCTCTTTTCCTTACTCTCCTGAAGTCAGAGGCAGATTGGGCGTTTGAAACGACACCTCAGGTCAGTACATGTCGCATTTTTCTTGAGAACTAGACAGCTGATTGGTGCTTAAGACGAATCTCAAGGGCAGATCTATTAGTCTGCAGCAAGGACGGGCGCTATGAGGATCCAGTATTTGTGCCTCCTTCTAAAAGTCTCATAGACTCATGGGGCTCCTTAGGCAATGAAGGATGGAACTGGAATGTCCTTGGACGATATTTCGCTAAGGTGTACAGCTCAGCCCAACCTTCATTCGCTGGTGGCTCACCTCACCCTATCCGAAGAGCATGGGCTGAAGCATTCGAAGCTAACGGCTATCTTATGACCTCGAATCCTCTTCTCAATCCCACAGTTGGAAGTTTCGATCTTCTTTCAAGTATCCATCCGGAGAAGAAGGAGAGAAGCTATGCCGTTTCAGCATATTACCATCCTATTAAACATCGGGAGAACTTGAAGGTCCTCACCGATGCTGTAGTCGAGAAAATCCTATTTGATGACTCTCGGCCCCCAAAGGTTATTGGCGTTTGATATAAATGTAAAAGCGATGGCAAATTCGGTACCGTCTCTGCTACTAAAGAGGTCATACTGGCAGCAGGTGTTTTCCAGTCTCCCAAGTTACTGGAGCTATCTGGAATTGGCGATGCGAAGCTTCTCCAGAGGCAAGGAATCCAAGTTATCCAGGATCTACCACAAGTTGGCGAAAACCTCCATGACCATCTCGTCTGTTACATAAGTTACGAGACTCTTGATGATATTTCTACGCTGGACTCTCTAATCAGGCAAGAGCCAGAGGCCATACAGCAGGCTAGTATGTAATTCCAATTCATCATAGTCTCTTGTTAAGTTGTATGAAGAGCCAAGTGCCCTAATCAGGTCCATCCCGAACCCTTCCTTTTGAAGCAAGCTTAGCAAGAGATTCACTAACGTTGGAAATAGTGGAGGAGTACGCAACTAAGAAGTCGGGTATGCTGAGTTCTGTTGGAGTCTACATTTGCGTATTCTTACCTTTAGTCAACTATCTGTCCGGTGATAGTCACGATCAACTCAAGGAGATGCTCCGCCAGAACCGGCCGACTGCGGACGACCAACGAGCGAAAATTTATCATGATGTCGCCGAAAAGGCAATTCTTGACTCAAAGCAGCCGTCTGCTGCCCATTTTACTGCAATCGCACAGCAGATTCTTCCAGTCGATCCGAATTCCAGCTCTCCAGCGGGTCCCGTTCCAGGTAACTTTATTAGTTTCGGTGTGATGCTTTCGCATCCTCTCTCACGCGGGAGCGTCCACATTAGCTCGAACAACGTTTCCGAACCTCCTATAATCGATCCAAAATATCTCTCCAACTCCGTCGACATCGAGGTCTATGCGCGCCACCTCCAGTATGCCGAGACGATCGCTAGTTCACCGGCGTTCAATAAGATACTTAAGCATCCATTACGTCGACGCGATCCTGCATCAGATCCCACTGATTTAGAGCAAGCCAAGAACTACATTCGTACCAGCGCCATATCGTAAGTTAAAATGCCTTGTCTCTCCTGTGAGGAGATAGCTTAGCTCGCAGTAGTCCAACCTCAAGCCCTTACCCCCATGACCCCTTTTCAGAAATCTTGAGGAATTATGTAGAACTCAAAGGATGATGGTTGCTGATTATTCATTCAGGCAGTGGCACCCCGGCGGCACCTGTCCAATGCTACCTCTCGAGAAAGGGGGCGTCGTTGATACACACTTAAGGGTATACGGGACTAGGAACTTGCGCGTTGTTGACGCGAGCTCCATACCGCTAATTAGCACAGCAAACTTGCAAGCTACCGTATACGCTTTTGCGGAGAGGGCAGCAGATTTAATCAAAGAGGACCATGGATTGAGGTCATAAGGTGGACGTTGATGCGATCTAAGTCACAAACCCCATCGATAGCAAGGAAGGATATAGGCATTTCTCCAAAAGTAATTGTTAGAATGTGAATGTACGCGTTTATTTTTAATGGCCAACCATACATGAGACACTGCCTAAAGAACGATACCTACTTAACAGTCCCGCTTGACACTCATTCCTGTTCCGTCCTTAGCTTCCAACCCACCAATTTCATCACATAATTGTTCATAATTAGTTCGAGAAGAACCTAGCTATAAATAGGGTTGGTTCCGCCACGAATTGGCATACACCCCCTCCCCCCTAGTAGCTTGTTTAGGGACTCTTCCGTCGAAGGCGTATACGCTCCAAACCAGAAAAATATTCGTAAACAATCCCTAAGCCCACGGTTCTTTAACATCTGGATTTGGTTGTCGAAAGAAATATGCGCTGACACTAAGAGATCGGCCGAACCATAGCTTACTGCTGGGAGGAAGCCCTCCCACTCCAACTTGACAGTGAAGTTGCCCTTAGGGTATGGTTGGTCAAAATGGACTTCATGATGATAGAGGATGTGGCGTTTTAGGATGGTTCGGATCGAAGATATGAAATTACTTTGTGATGTTAAGTCAACGTATTCAGCAAACATGGAATGGCAACCTCTTTTAGTACATTCATGGTGCTGAAATTGTAACAAGACGAGTTCCTTCATTTTCGCGTTCTAGCTATCATAATCCAAATATGACTATGATGAAAGTGGTAGATCAGATGGTAGACTGTTATCATACAGATCTAGCAGGTAGGTAGTAATTAGTTAAATAGGTGAGTGATTTTCCCTCTCAGATCATCAGCACAAACAAGATGTGTTTTCGCATACACTTATCATGAATACTATATCAAACTCGTCAGGTCCAACAAGCTGGACTGATCTCAGCAATACTGTTAGCAGATATAAACATATTTCTAGATGCAGTCAATCATCAAGCCACCGTGGTCGTTTGGCTTAACTTGATGACTAATCTCAAGCTGCTCAATGAGAGCCCTGATTACATATTAAAAATCCGATTTGGTAGAAAATGCGGCTCCATGAAGGGTATTTGAAGCTGGGGTTTGTTTCACGTAAGCCAACTTATACCAAACCAAACTCCAAATAGTATAGTTGGCCTTGGCTTTGAAACCCTAGGGAGTAAGAAGCCGCGCACACTCTACAGAACGGGGTTAGAGATGCACAAATCGTCTACGGAAGGGATTTAGCACCGGAGGCTGAAAGGACAAATGACGTCGCGTAGTGGATTTAATCCTTTTTTTTCCGTTGGCCTGCCACCTCGCACGAAAGTGTCAGCCCGGATCCGTCAGAAATCCTTCGACGGCTTTGTACCAGGTACTATATATGGAACCACTGCGACTCAGGAAGATGGACTGGCCAATCAGAATTGCGGAGAGGTGTCATACATGGCCAACGAATGCGCACTTCCGAACATTCCGAACCTGCCCACCGCTCGATTTTTGCTCGGCCAGCCGTCGGGCTCAGCCAGCTCCCCGAACCGACCAACCGAGAATCGATCGACCGGTACTACGAGGTCAGGCTCACATATTCGACCTTTTTCCCACCCACAGCCCCGCTCAGCCCTACCATCCATCTCACTCTTATTCCCTTCTTTATCCTTCTTTATCTATCCCCTCCCGTCCCCTCCCAACTAACTTGCTGTTAAAAAATCTAAACTTCCGTCGAACTCGAGATATGTGACGAAAATTCCCTGTCAGTAGGTTATCAGGCAGGAAAAAAACATGGCAAACCTCAAACACCCTCTCGCGTCGCTGAAGCGATCGGCCACTGGTATTATGCAGACGTTATTTTCGATCGCCATTCTCGCCATCTTCGTCATCTGCTTCCTAGTCCAGGACGAAGCGATCACACTTCCAAAATGGGCCAAAGCATGGAACGGTCTTTCGTCCGAGCAACAGGAAATCTACACTGCGGTTCTAATTCCCGTCGTATTAATATTAGCCCTGCTGTTCTTTTTCGCCGGCTTCGCTCTCATGGTGAGAGAGCGGAGGGAGAACAGGGCGAATTTGGCGATGGCGGTTTAGGAGGGTTGGGAGGGAGAACGAAAGTCGCAAGTTGGTCGCAAGGGATAGGACATGAAGCAGGTGGCGTCGAATCCTTGCAGTGGCAGGATGCGGAAGTCCGAGGCAACACTTTTAGGGGCGAAATCCGATGCAACGCCTCTGCGCAGATCAGCAGATGTCACCACAGTCGAGGTGAAACTCCGTCATCATCTCGGGGCTAAAATCCGAGATTACTCCCGTTTCGAAACAACACGTCAGCCTCGTTCACGCAGTTCAGACTTAGCTAAGCGTCGCTCTTCACCGAGAATGGCTGGGATGACTTAATTAACTCAGAATGTCTGCGACGAAAGCCATGGCTAGCTCACGAGCGAGGAGTAATTTGTGGCTTCAAGGCGAGGTAATACAAGGCAATAGGGGTTTGCGCGACGATCGCACATTGTCGCTGAATGAAATCTCAAGGACTTGGGCATAATTACGGCATCATTCATCATATTGCTTTTGTTGGCAATTTGAATATCTTCACCATTGCTCGGATTCTTTGTTCTGGCTTCGACATGGGAAAAACGGAAATTGGGACCAGGTGCATGTCATTTCTCGGGAGAAATGCGCGCATCTTACTTTAACGAGGTTTCACGAGGAGTTTGAGGATATTTCGGGCATCGCATCAGGCGTTCTAAGGGCATGAAAGATACCAATGCAAATGAACCTCCAATTTGGAGGATTCGGACATTCATTTAGAGGGTTGGGTGGTGGTGGCGGGAACCGTGCCATAAGGGCATGTGATGATTTATGTTTGATATCCACTCCCAATAGATCGATTGAGCTGTTTTCACCCCGACGTCTACTCATGATGAGGCCAAATGTGATCCCCTAAGGCGGGCACCGGTATTGCCATTTGTAACAGGGTGGGGGAAGGGGAGGAGAAAAGGAAGGATGAAGGTGGCGACGAGGACAACCAATACGAAGAAGACGAGAACGATGAAGACGAAGACGAAGACGACGATAACTGCAAATATGTCAAGATGATAACTTATGTTCATGTCTACTAACGAATTTTATCAATACGGATACTCCTTCCCCGTAAAATTGATCTCCGCGGGTTGTCCAAAAAATTAAGGAGTCTATTTACTAGGAGGCCTGCTGTCGAATTCCTATAAAGGACGTCGCGGGATGTGATACGTTACCTGCATTTTCATGGCCATTAGTTTGCGGGGAGGTGTTGGAATCTAGAATGTCCGTGAGGGGGTCAATTGGACGAATTTCTTCCATCCGCAGAGCGAGGTTCTACACCACAGGGGTAAACGGCTAAGTCACTTGGCGAATGCTACCCAAGGGCCGTATGTGCTTCTAGATGGACGGGCTGTAGTATATTAACACCGCATCGGCTTGGGGTATTTTTGGACGACTAAAAACTGAGAATATCAGATCGAGTTTATGCCCTGACCCCAGTCTATCAAAATGAGAGCCTTCTTTCTAGTCTTCGCTACCGCGGCAGCCGCATCAACATCTTATCTAACATGGGCAGCGGATTCGTTCATTCAACGCGGAGTGATGGCTACCCGTTACTACGGAGAAGCGACGCTATATGAAGGTTACGAGGCCGCATACGCGCTCACTAAGAACAAGGCCTACGTCGACTGGTATCAGGAGCAGATTGATGATGCGGTGGTTCTCGACAACGGCACGATCCGGGGTTGGAAGTACGACTACTACTCCCTGGACGACTATCGCATAGGCAATAACCTCGTGTGGTGGTATGAACGCACAGGAGACGTCAAATACAGAAACGCCGCGGACATCATCCGGAAGCAACTGCAGCGGCACCCGCGCACGCCTACCGGAGGTTTCTGGCATAGAGACCCGGACTACCCAGATCAGATGTGGCTCGATGGAATATTCATGGCCGACAGCTTCTACGCGAAATGGACCTATTTGTTCGATGCGGAGAATAGGTCTGCGTGGGATGACATAGCGCTTCAGTACGATACTATCGAAGCGCATACCCGAAACCACACCTCGGGGCTGCTTGTGCACGGCTACGATGAGAGCAAGAAAGCCGTATGGGCGGACCCCGTCACGGGCGCGGCGCCGCTGGTGTGGAGTCGCGCTGTGGGCTGGTACTTTATGAGTCTGCTGGAGGTCATACCCCTATTTCCCGAGTCACACCCCGGGCGCGCCCGGCTCGTCGGGTACTTCACCACTCTTGCGGCAGCCCTCAAGAGGGCACAGGACGAGAAGTCCAATGGCTGGTGGCTGATTATGAGCGAGCCGTACCCCGGGGCGCAGGGCAATTATATCGAGAGTAGCGCGTCGGCCATGTTCACTTTCGGTTGGTTGAAGGGCATTAGACTAGGTCTAATCGCCGCAGATGACTTCCTCGAGCCAGCGCTCAAGGCGTATCGCGGTTTGGTAGATCGCTTCGTTGAAATCGACGATGACGATGCATTGAACTGGGAGGGGACTGTGGAGGTTGGTTCTTTGGGTAGTAATGGAACCTACGAGGTCAGTATCGATTTGTCCTTTGCATTATTCAGATCTTCTATGTCTAACGTCGACGTAGTATTACATCTCGATTCCGTTAGAAGAAAACGACCATAGAGGCGCAGGGTCTTTTATGTTAGCGTCTTATGAACTGGAGAAGCGCCACTAGCACTATGATGAAGGCGTTGAAGCGGCCCGCAGTAAGCGATCTTGATTAATAAATGCGACCACTAAAGCAACTCATCAGTTATAGTGACTGGGGCAAAGTACTAGTTAGGAAACATTCTTCGCCATGTGTTTATCTTATATGCTTGAAATCTAAACCCTCCAGGGCTGTAGAGAGCGTTAATGATTTCTTGGTACCAGCCCTAGGTAACCAGTAACTTACATGAATGGGTATCCCCTGTAGGCCGGGTAGATTCCGCATTGCTGTTCGGTCCGCCCCGCCATTGATCAGATCTACAGGGCTCTATCTAGGTAGTTTATCCCTGTTAGCGACAGCCCCCTAAACCCTCCCAAGCTGCTATCATGCATTGCAAAATTCACCATTCACACCTCAAATGCACGTCATCGTCACTTGGTTTATGAAAGGATTTCAGGGCGATGCCAAGGCTTACGAATTTACTTCCTAAGGTTACCTACCTACCTACCTAGTAGATATTGAAGGAGGCTAATGGCGTACTTTATCTCTGTTTGCATTTCTCCAGTTACTTCTCAAATCCGCCCTAGCCTCCTCCAGCGTCTCGTAATTCCGTCGTTCTCCCAGCTCCCAACTACTAAGCTGTGCTAGACTCGGGCTGAACGGCATTTTACGGCCTTTATGTTCCATATCAACGACGCTATTGGCGTTTCTCAGGTGATTGACACCCTGCTTTGAATATTTGGGGGCGTAGCGTGCTTCCTGACAACTGTGTTGAGAAATTGGACTTGGTACTGGTGCATCTTGCCCATTGCCGTATCCAGTGAAGCTCTCTCTTGAGTTACGTTCCAACGAGGAGCTTGCGTAGTTGCTAGTCAAATCAGCCACGGAAGTATCGCTATCTCCGCGATAATGGCTTGCCCGATGCCGTTCAGGTGCCGGAGAGATTGATTCTTCTGTCATATTTCCCTCGCCTACATGGTTGTGCGAGTCTTGAGGATATGGCGAGTAATATTGATTTTGGTCGTATGGATCAGGGACCTGCTGTTGATGTGTCCCAATATCACCGAGCTCAACATCTTGGAAATCATCAGCTTGGGTATATTGCTGGGCTCCTGGCTGGTTTTGGCTATTTAAATAATCGCTGCCTTCCATGTTTTGCTTGTTAGGGCCCATTGGCGTCGGTGGGAGCGGGTGGCTTTTGAAATATTTTACACGGAGGTATAGGAAAGAACCAGCTGCTATGGTAAGTAAGAAAAGAACAACATAAGTTATGCTGCAGGCCCGGATCGGCTTGGAGTTTCGTGCCACTGTGCATAAAGTGGCCATGATTAGAGTGAAGCTCACGCTGGCGTTGATTGCAAGGAAAATGAACGTGAGGTTTTGGAGTGTATCGCGCGCAACGACATGAGGACTAACGGGGTCTAGTATAGTGCCAATAGGTTCATAAGCCCTTCTAAGTGAATACATTTTCGATATTGAAGTTTAAACACTGCCTAACCCTGGTTCTGATTTGTGTTGTTAGGTTAATTTGGTGTAGTGACGGGACGACTACCTATTCCCAAATTATAGGGAGTGGAGTTATTATGTACCCAGTTGAGAACAGTAAACATATATGAAGTGCAATTCATCATATGAAGTCTTTGTCTTGATCTCAATGGCATGGTAACATATAAAATGAGATATCAATTCTCCAAAGGCAACAAGAGTTTCAGGTCTTCCAGACGTAGGCAACACTTTCATTGTTCATGGAGCGGTTACTTGCATTGTTTGGTTGAAATGACAATGCCAATTCTTGATAGGTACACATCATGGGAAATACTGGGAAGCAAGGAACTGTATTTTATCTGGAACGTGAGAAGAATCGGGTCTCTGTTTCCCGTTATCAGACCTACTGAAGTAGTTTTAACTCGCCGTTCTAATTTTACGGAAAAAGAAATAGTACAACCTCTCAGTTTGCAACATCACGGCAGAGATTAATACGAAATGTTTATTACCACGGAACCCCAAGAGCTTCGCGTACGGGTAACCATGTACGATTCCATCGCTAGGTTAAGCGTAGTAAAATAAATGGGGATCTCTCCGTTGAGGGACTTTCGATATGTACCTAGGTAATAGATAGGCTCAATATGTTACTCGTATGACTCGGAATCCTACTTTCATGGGCTCTGCTATACTGGGCCGAAGTTGACTCATTCTTGGAGAAGAGTCTTTGAATGCGGGCAGGGGACGGTCGTAGACGGGGATCGCGGACGTAAGCGGGGTTGACCGGGGCCGGGGTTATCAAACGGTCTCGGCGACAGACGGCCTTCGAGCGACGCTCTATAATATTCCCCTACATTTTATTATTTATATAATGTTCTCGTATTTGATTGTTCTAGAAGTTGTTGAACATCTCTCTTCAAAGCAGTCATACCAAAGCATGGAACGTATTGTGCGGAGCCCCTTTTCACTCTTGACAAGTACCCGACGGACCAGGTACACATTCTTATTAAACCCATCTTCGGCTAAAAACATCCTACTTCATCAAAGAAATCAATTTTATACTACGAATATACGCATAAACAACATTCGTCAAATCAACTACAAGTCGTTGCAATCTTCAGTCGGGATGCCTCTCAACGTCCTCATTGTAGGCGCAGGTGTTGCGGGCCCAGCTCTTGCTATTCTCCTGCAGAAATCGGATCCCAATAACAAAATCACGGTAGTTGAGCGCTCCCCTTCGCTTCGAGTGGCAGGTCAGCAGATAGATCTAAAAGCCCAAGGCGTCGAAATCCTCCGGAAAATGGGGCTCTTGGACACCATGAAGTCTCATTGTGTAAACGAAACGGGAGTCGAAATCTTAGATTCGAACGGGAAGCAGCAAGCATTCTTCGGCATCAATCCATCTGGCCAAAGGCGGCTTACTCTGACAGCGGAATACGAGATCATGCGTGGTGACGCAGTAAAGGTTCTATACGAGGCTAGCCTCAAACAAAATGCGGGACTCAAAGAAGAGCGAGGAAAAGAGGGAGAACTGACCTACGAATTCGACAAGACGATCACAGATCTCACTCAGCATGGCGATGGCGTGGATGTCACATTCTCGGATGGGCAGAAGAAACGGTTTGATCTCGTCGTCGCTGCAGATGGACAGGGGTCGCGAACTAGGCGTCTCGCCTTCGGTCAGGAGGTCAGCGACGCAGCCTTCAAGCCCCTCGGAGTCCATGCCGCCTATTACAGCATTCCCCGCAGCGAAGGAGAAGGGGAGCTTGCGAGAGCCTACAGCGCTCCAGGGAGAAGATTGGTGGTGACAAGAACGAGCGGCCGTCCGATGACCCAAGTGCTGCTCTTCACCATGGGAGACGGGGAGAAGCTTCGGAAGTCGTACAAGGAATCGGTAGAAAAGCAAAAGGAAGCTTTCGCGGAAACGTACAGGGGCGCTGGCTGGGAGGTCGACCGATTACTAAGCGGAATGGCTACCTGTACTGATTTTTACGCGCACGAGGTAGGGCAAGTCAGGATGGATCGGTGGTATAAGGGCCGGGTCGCGCTGCTTGGAGATGCAGGTTACTGCCCGAGTCCTTTTACGGGCATGGGGACCACGGGATGTCTCATAGGCGCGTACGTGCTCGCGGGAGAATTGGCTCGGCGCAACAACGATGTGCCGCAAGCGCTCAAGGCATATGAGGAGATAGCGCGGCCTCCGATCAACGAATGCCAAGCTCTACCTACAGAATCTTTGGGTACGTTCTTCCCGTCTTCAAGATTAGGGATTTGGGTCCTGCGGAAGTTTCTCTGGGTTGTATCCAAGGTCGAGCCGATCACTTATAAGCCGCAGACTGAGGAGAATCAAGGGTGGAAAGTCCCAGAGTATCCCGAGTTGAATCTCAAATCGTGATCCAGACATCATATCGTTGGGTTATGCCGAAAACCGAATAAGATTTATCCTTCCGTTATTACCTTGTATTAATTTATTACTTCTCCTTTATATCAGAAAGTTAAACGACTCGAACATCAATACCCACTACAATCTCCACAACTGTCAATCCGTAGAGAGCTGGACTTATTCTTAGAATGAATCAACTTGAATTTACCAACCTTACATCAGTGATTGCTCTAAATTTCTCAAGTCGCACGGTTTTTAAGGATCGGATCATACTTGCGAGGTTTCTTATTTCAGGTGAGAGATTGATGGAAGATGATGAAATAAAAGAAAATATAACCTAGCTGAGTCTGTCGACATTAACCCCGACGTCCCCATACAAAGTGATTGCCGTTTTCAGTAACCCTAGGTACCCAATCAAATCAACGTATCAGAGTCAATTCACATATCAGACTTTTGACTTAGTAGAATCAAGTCAAATCAAAGTTATCAGAAATCCAGCTTATCTAGCGACATTCTAGAATATATATCGTAGATAAAAGGAATTAATAGTTCTGCGGCCTCAATCGTAACGCCTACTTCAACAGCGACACCGCTAATCATGTTGTCGCTCGCTGAACATATGTAATCCGGAGGCTATACTAGATAGTGCGCGAAATGAGCAAAACCCCCTGTAAAGAGCCTGGGGTAGGTAGCTTTAGTGCTGTTAAGCCGTCTAAGGCTGCAACCATACCGGGGATTCTAGCGCACGACTACAGTGAGTGATCTCGACCAATTAAATTGCGCACCTATCCCACTCTGCCCACTTCAACTTTGAGCATCAGGTTGAACTGCTTAACTTAAGCTCGAGAATAACCCTTTGATGAATGTTTGAAAAGTATGTAAGTTGATGCAACATAGCCTATAGTAAGCCCCTTTCATTAATTACTAAGTTTATCAATAGAATGATATCGTTATATTGCTCAAATTCATAGTTAGGTTCAGCAGTTGCTCAGTCATCGCTCGGCCGATGTTGAGCTGCCGTTGAGCTCATGCTGACTGCGCCCTCTTGAAGTTTTTCAATCAGGACTATTATAGTACCTACTGGATTCCTGTCACATAATTTGTGGGTGCTGGATCTCTAACATAATGAAAGATATGATTTGTCGGGAAAAGGGGAGCGTTGCTCCTAAGGGATGGCAAGCTAGATATATCCACGTATGTACGATGGGAATTTCGTAATCAAGAACCGTTGTTATTTAGCTAAAGTAATTTTGCAATGCAGCTTTAAAGCCTACCTATCTTTATCAAATCTTTTTTTCCTTGAAACACTAATAACCTCCAAAAACAGAGAAACACGTACACTTTACTTGCCGTCTAATAGGTAGGTACATATATGAATGCCTCCTAAGGTATTAGTAGAAAACCCCGCATCATCTTCTTGGTAGTCTGTAAGCGTATCCTCCACCAAGCTTAATTAATCTATACTTACCGCTACGTTTTTTTACCCTTCTGTTATTACGAACAGGTACAAGAACCAGAACTGGAACCGCATCCATGGTAGATCTCGGAGTAGATGCTAGTTCTGGATTAGGAGCCGGCTCTAAACTGGCTTCCAAGATGTGTTCTGAAGCAGGCGTTGAGCCAGCCATGAGTACATCCTCCGGGAATTGGATTGAAGGACTCGTGGATACAAAGCTGCTAGGTTCAGGAATAAGATGTTGAGGGACGGAGACCGTTATGGGGGAAGGTTCTGGGGTAGGTACTAGAGCATCTTCGGCAATGTTTTCAAGGCCATGATGAAGAAATAGTTCGGGGGACTGAGCGGGAAAAGGTACGCAGATATCCCCTGAAGCTTGATCTGGCGTAAAATCTCGGACATGATCCGGAGCAGCGTCTGGTATATCTCCTCGGAGGAAATCTAAAAGAGGATCAAGACTATGGTCAGGGATATCTTCTAGGATATGGTCTGGATCATAATTTAGAATAGGGTTCGGAGCAGCATTGGGGACGAACTCTCGAATATAATCATGTGCGGACATTGGAGCAGCTTCCGGTAGGATATGACCTTGTAGATCGTCTACAACCTGCTCATTAAAGTTTAGAATCGAATCTAGAGACATGTTGGGGATGTCTTCTAACACAGAACCTGGAGTATGGTATGGAATAGGATACGGAGCATGACTTGGATCATATACTGGGATGGAATCTGCACCTGTATCCAGAGTCTCTTCTGAGAAAACGCCTAGGTTGGGATCTCTTGACGATGGTACCGGTGGAAGACTACCTACATCCTTCATCGAATCAGCAATAGCGGAAGTTGCCATGACAGGCGCAGAAAAATAACCAGATGAGAGCTGCATTAACTCCAAATCAAGCTTCATTAACTGGGAAAGTTGCCAATCCTTATGATTCAGGAGCTCTTGATAAAGGAGAACTTCGTAAGTGAGGCGAAATTCTCCATTCATTGCCACATCGAGTACCTTCTCCATTCGTTCTGTATCTTTGAAAGCTCGGTTAAGTTGTTCATGAGTAACATCGTTCTGGGGTAGCTCTGCCCTTTGAATCCAATTTCGAAGATGAGATATCTTAAAGTCGTTCTGCTCCATCACATCAACAAGATTAGTTATTTCTTGGCGCATACTCCCGTCCCGGTAGGGGACGTAATCGAAGTAAGGGGAAGAGGCCATAACTACTTCAGTATGTCTCAGACGGTCTCTTTGAATGTGTGGTCTAGAGGTGCATATATGATTTGGTGTAGACAATAGCAATGATATCGCTAGAGATAATACGGGGTAGAATGATTTTATATGGCTCCGGTTTGTTAGAAGAAAATCACTTGACATTATTACGTTTGGAAACCAAGGCATTGTTATTCACAATGTAATTCATACGAAGATAAGAACAAAAGTAACTCTTCAGTTCTTTATTTTCTTTACATGTACTTAGAAACGTATTTACACATTTCTTTATTCTTGTCACGTCTTAATACTGGTTAGTGAGAAAAGAATAGGTCGCTTACCAAGGTTTGTCGACAGCTGCGTTCCATCTAAATTAAAAGCGACGAGAAAATAAATGGCAAAGGGGATGTGGGGAGATAAGAATTCACTTGTTGAACTTCCCTTTAGGCCTGGATGATGTCAATTATTGATATCGCCCTTGAACATCGTATGCGACGGCGTCGAGAATCCGACGTACCAACTCCAGAAACTACGTAGGTTAACTATTCTAGACCAAACGACTCCTAGGTCATACCATGCTGTAGATGTACGGTGGGTAGAAGGAGAACTTTGAAGTACCTAGAATGCATACTTCTAAGGTTGTAATAGGAGCCTCAGCATGTAGAGATATCATGAACTTGCAGCTAATGATGGAATTCAGACAACTTCTACAATTTAAAGACATCAACGAACCACATAATATTGTGCTGCTTTGAATCCTTCAACAGAGTAGTTCTAGTATGGTCCGCAAATAACCCCACGTTTTCGGAATGATTAAAGGGGCTAATCGTTTACTTACATAACATGATGTTGTTGAATTTTTCGGGGTGCTTTGCCTTTTATTCATCTAACCGGCTAGGAGATCATATCTTCAATCATAAATATGTAGGTAACCATCTAAGCGTTCAGCTTTCGCATAACCCCACTTTAAAGTTAGGTGCCTAGTATATCTGCCTATCAAGGTCTCCAGGGCTGTAGTTCTAGGCAGAAATCGCCTTATTTTCCATTGCTCTATAAGAATAAATATAATTTATCGCCACAGATCTATAATGTTTACCTAGCGAATTGGTCATACACGATCGAGAACACAGAGAATCTATGTACCAGGAACGATGGTGCGAGAAACCTATCAACGTATGAGAAATCGATTTCGGCCTAGGCAACAGATGCTGCCAGGAGATACAGGAACCAGCTCATCAGATGCCCCCCTCCGCCGCAGTCGCAGAAGGGAAGAGCAGCCGCCTCTCGCCGTCGACCTTCTAAAACACCCCGAGTCAATCAATCCCCAACTCCTTTCCCCATTCTTGTATGCAAAGACTCTCACCCCTTTTAGTCGTCTCAGAGGCAGAAGCCTTCCTATCTAGCCGAAGGAGGTTTCACTGTTCCCCGAGATATACTTATATCCTCTAAAACTCTTCGAAGAAACTACTGACTCTCCTCTCACTGCCAAAGCTCCAAACTTCCGAGAGAGATACGCGAAGAGATATGGAGCTTATCTCTCACACGTTACGAGGACTTCAACAGCATCTATGAAATCCATAGATCATTTACTAGGCCAGGCCAAGCCGGCAACTGGCGCATCGCGGTTCAGCTGCTGCTCACATGTCGAGCCATCTATGTCGAAGCCTTCCTCAAGCCCTTTCTGGTTAACCCCCTAGTAGTTTTTGATGGCCCCCATCAAGACATACCTCCCTCTAACCCACTAATCCGCTCGTCGACGGATCTTCTTCTGTGCCAAAAGTTGAAGTATTGGCAATTTGCAAATATATCGTCAGTCGAGATGACCATGCGACAATTCCAATTGGAAGGCGGTATGTTCCCCCTTTATAGATTTTGTTCTTTACCCATATACCCAGTCAAATAATAATAGCTACTAACAAGGATACCAGGCGCTGTTGAGCGAGTATCACGCCTAGTTGGCACGTTGGGGCGCCATTCGGAACTCGAGAGTCACGGTTACACGAGTGCGGGTTACGCAGCATTCGTAGAACCCGCGGGTTCCGATGATAGCGTAAGCTACTCCTGCGAAGGCCAAGGCGTCGCTAACAGTTGTTCCCATTAATAGAATCTCCGGATTGGCAGAAAAATTACTAATTTGACCATCCGCATGTTGCGCACCGACTGGTGGACGTGGGAAACGCCACCTGAAGAATGCAGGAGGAGGCCCTCAGAAAGGCTTCGACTAGAACCAATGATCAACGTGACAGACTTGCCTGCCCGGCCGGCCAATAGTTTGGCTATGACTATGGGGTATGAAGCACGGAAGTCTGGTAACGAACCAGACTTCGAGCTCGACGATTTCGAGAAGCAGGGGCGCTGGGGCATGCAGGTTGGGGAGTATTGGCCGGATCTGACAACATTAGAGCTGGTCCTGGAGACATTCGCATGCAAACAGGACCAGCTTGATTATGTGGCGAAATGCGCGAGGCTGTGGACATTTCCGCTACCAGATGGGTTTCATTTGGCGTGGAATGGGAAGGAGGAAGTCTTCACGTGGCAAGGAGCTCATGAGTATAGCTATGAGGGGCCGTACAATGCTTGGATCCAAGAGCAGAACGGAGTTCGAGGTCCCGAAACCGAAGTTCCTCCACTCATACAGTGGTTGCCTGCGGACGTTCGGCCGGTCGATGGTCAGATGTTTGTTGTCCGGACGTTAGTTTTTGAACGGAGGAGGGATCCGGACCGCCCTTCATAGGCAGTCTAAGTCCTGTTACTCTTGCAAATAAATGTGGAAAGCGGGTTTCCCATCTTTAAGACATTTTATTCATTCATTCAAGATATTATATAATCTGATATCGAGCATATAGGAAAGGGATGAGAATCATGATGGATTGTGGCGTCCATCAAATAACATAACGCGCTTCGAGATAGTGATTAATAGACCAGAATATAGGAGAAAAGTTGGAGGAAACGGGAGGCGAGAGCCAATTAGTTATCAAGGTTCAATACGATTGGAAATTCCAAGATTACTTACTATGTTTATTAATCATATGTGCACTTTCTAAATTCTCACCATAGAGCTTTCAGCTCCAAAACTGTGTGGCTATGTTCTAAAACCATATGGCTTGTTTAAAGACTAATTTCGCCCAATTATATTCCCATTTTTAGAACTGTAAGCTCTTGGCAAGATGCTTATGAGCTGCGGCTGAGCGCGCCTCCTGGGCTGATGATACCTCCCTAAGGATCTTGAAGTTGGGGTTACACGAGTGTTATATATAAGAATTTCCTCGCTACGAGTTGGTTTCTGCTACATCATATCCCTTCATAACATAATAAAATAAGCAACACCGACAAAACACAGAAGATTCGAAGGAAGTCTGCCATGGAGCACCAACCCTTATACACCTATTACGAGGGCTATCCTATCTACCTCTATACTACGACCCTTAGTCACCAGAGACATCTCGGCTTCAAGAAGCCCATCGATGTATTCAGCCACTGGGCAGTATACATTAACAATCAATGCTACGAGCTAAAGAAAGACAATGATCAAGCCAAGAAAAGAAAAGACAGGAAGTACTTCATCAGATCCTTACCTGCGCACGAGTGGTTACAGATGAAACATGACAAGGAACACAATCGGCCATATGAAAAAGTAGGGCCTATTGGTTACACAGCTAGACCATGGTCTATCGAGACTATCAACCACATCGGTAGGTCCAGGTCCCCTCCCCAAGCAGTATCTTTCCCCAAGTTACTTCGGTATAGCTAACAGATATTGGAAACAGCCAACCGAGTTTGGGAGAAGCCGTTACAAAGCAAGTATGTATACGACGAGAATAACTGCCAAGTTTTCATCCGTCTTCTCGTCGACCTCATTGGGAACAAACAAACCCAGGCCGAATTTCCTGGCTTCTTCGACCAATATGTTAAAAGAGCGGGCACCACTCGAGATTCTGTCTTCTTGCTCGGCACCGCGGCCGCAGCCACCGTGGCGGCCACCGTGACTTTCATGGCCGCCCCGGTGGACCCGACCGGAACTGCTGCTGCGGGCTTCGCGTTATCAGCTGGGATGGTTCTTAGGTCAAGCACAGCTCTGTGGTCTGATAGAATCATCAAGGACAAGTACATTAAGGAGGCTCAGGAAGAGCTAAGGGAGGAACTAAGACGGAACGGCATTCTTCCTCATTAACTAGATATTACCCGATCAAGATGGTTATTTGACTATTGACCCCTTTTTAATTCTCATGGAGGTCTTTTCGAGGGTGACGAAGACCTCGATACCGCACTCGAGATCGATAGAATTTTCGATCAAGATTTAGTTTTCTCTATGTTTTACCAAAGAGATATGCAGTGCGCCCAAACCCGACGTCGACGGGTCATAACAGACTAATCACACGTCGTCGGTAAAAAGTGGCTGAAGAAGGTGGCGAATACCACGTTACCATAGTAAATGCGTTTCTAACGAGCACCGGTGCCAAGGTCGAAGAGTAGGTAGGTAAGTCTATCTCCAGATATCAGGGGACTTGGCGAGTTACCTCCTCCTTCCCATATCTTCCCAAGCAGAGCTCAATTCCTTGCTGCTCTTAACCATTACTGGACGGGTGTTCTTCGAAACTACCAAGAGCCAAGCTGTTTTCATCGCGGAAATTTTGAGGCCGGTTTTGGAAGGGAGCTGGGGAAGTATGTCATTGTAGAGCGGCCTAGTATTTACTTCGAGCATGCTATTCTTACCTGGCTTATCTTAATTACCTGGCTATGCGCCTAGTAGGTAGGCAGTCAGCTTTTAATAGGAAGAAACAGTTCTTGGAAATCTCTCCCGGGAGTAATATTCACCGCAGCTGACGTGTTACTTCGGATAGTAACGCGAACAGACCGGATCGAATTGACTTCAAGGTTAAACCCATGCGTAGGTAGGATAACTAACAATTAACTAATACCGGAAGCTCCGAACTCGGGATGTATAAGTTCGGAGCTGGTGATGAGACTCATCTCGAGTTCTATTGTCCCGACATGCCCCACGATAAACGTTCCATGGCCCTTGCTTGACGGTTCATAAACAGACCTGGAAAGCAGGTCATGATCCTTGAATTTTACCGAAGTTTAGCAGAAGCTAGGAAATTGCCCAGGTTCTTTCCTGTACTCCAAGACAGGACCCCATGCAACCCCGCATAGCTAAGGCGGTCTATCCCTGGATAGGAGGTCCTCCCCCGCACGAACTCGAGCTTCTCCAACGAAACATTTTCTGTCTGCGTAATTTTTCATCCCTTCCCGAGGTCTGATCCCGAGCTTCTGGGGCGAAGGTTAGTGCCTAGACCCACGAGAACCAGCTGAGGCTAGAGACGGCCCGATAGAAAAGAACGGGATATTACCAAGGGCTCAAGGGTCTAAAGGCGGTCATCGTACTATGTATGTAGAAATTGAACGTTCGTCATCAGTTTACTATGAGGAGATAGATGCTTCGATACTTCCAAGCACTAAAGCTGCTAGGGAGCCTTGGCGGGACGTTTAAACGTGTTTAAGAGAGTAAGATCTAGTATGACGTCTCCCCCAAATTATGTCAGTCACATTAACATGGACAGCTCTAATAGCGAACAGAATATGCAGGGCTGGCAGGTAATAATTAATCCTAACTCTCGATGATCAATGGCTGCTCTTCGGCCGATAATTGTTGGCGCAATTCCTTAAAATGGTAATTAGAACAGTTGCACGAAGTTGTTCGATTCCTTGGCGCTGGCGTGTCTTAAATTAATTATTATGGAACTCCAGTTGAACGCGTTCGGACCACGCTTCCAGGCTTCACACCGGGACAGCGGGATCTCGCTTTGCCTTGACCTAGGAACTATCTGAGCATTTATATCATCTTTCAATTCGTACTACGCAATCACTTATATGGCGTGAGGAATTGGCTGTTATTTGTGAGTAAATAATAATGTATTTCCGATTGCAAAATGAAGCTGTCGAAGGATCGTTACTCTCGCCTTACTTTAGCTAGCTCCCCTGACGATCTTTCCAGCTCGGTCTCGACGGCATCTTTCAAGAGGCGATATGAAATAACGCGCCATAATTGGTTTTCTCCAGGACAAGTAAATACTTACGTAATTCGTAAAATTCAATTCTTGCAAGAGGGTCGCAGGAAGAATCCGACTCCCTCGACATATTCGCGCTTGGCCATATACATATTGGTACTATGAATGTATTTCTTGCAATGCTGTAAATATGACGATACCCCATACGATGTGCCCCGTAAACACGGCAATTGCCGATAAGCTTAAGTACACGACTACCCAAATAGTTCGACGCTTCGGTATTTAGGACCATTTCTTACCGCGATTTATGTCCATATCTAGGGAAGCTTCGATGGCGATGGGATTTTATTATGATGGATATTCTGCCCTTGCCTTTTATGCAAGTTAGCGTCAATTAAATAGTTGTGTAGTTGTGTAGTAGTTGTACCTATTGGTCTTTAATTTCCACTGATCTTCAATGTTTATTCCGAACTCAGCCACCTTCAACCCAACCCAATCTCAAGGCTTTCCGTAATTTCATATTCCTTTGTCCATGCCTACCTATGTACCTCCCTGTGTTAACCAGGTCGGTCTTTGTGCAGTAAACACGAGATTCTCCGTGCAATTGTACCGTACAATGTAAGTATTCGTCGAACGCGTCTCGTCTGTTTTTCTTACCATGCTTACACTAACCTCGAATCGGATTCATTACCGCTTGTCCTAGTGTATATATGACATCTTCCTCAAGCGGAGAACCTTGCCCTTCGTGGGCTCAACTGTAACCTTGCAACATGGACAACATGGACGGCTCGGAGAGCATTGGAGAATTAAGCTGACCGGGCAGACCAGGAAATCCTAGAAGTCACCGACATCTCACCTAGCTCTACTTAGGTGCATGCAGTTTGTTGATCACCCGATCCCCAAGCCTGCATGGTACCTATGTAGATGGGTACCTAACCAGAGAGAAGTACCAACAACCCATGACGTTCATAATAGTTATTAATACAGACCTTTGTTCAATCTTATTCCTTTTCCACTCCAGCTGGCCCAACCCTCTCGATCATCACTTGTCTTCCTATCGGGTAGCCTAACTTCGGCCGCTTCCGTGACCTACTCCGGCCCGTTGAGTTAAGTTGATATTCTACCTATGAACGAGCTTTAAGATCGTTCCGACCTTACGATAATCGTAATGCGTTCCGCCTCGTGGACTGCCTTATTGGCGGTCGCCGGCACTGCAGTTGCCAATGCGGTTAGTTATTTGCCATCATGTATTCCCTTCGTTTCTCTAGGCGTCCTCGAGTTGTATCCTTACAACTACTATGTCATCTTACTGCTGTTCGGTATCCGTTACTTCTATACTGGTTATCTGGTTCTCTCGAGGATTTGTCGATGCCTAATTTTAACCGATAGCTTTCGAACATGTGGCTTCGAAAGCATATATTCTATTTATACCTGGCCAGGTCGTGATATCTAACAATTATTAGGTTGATAAGCGAGACCTACCTAAATCGGAGCCCTATTATCCTTCTCCGTGGATGAGCCCTACCGCTAAAGGATGGGAAGATGCGTACGCCAAAGCTAGAGACTTCGTCTCCCAGCTTACCCTCGCGGAAAAGGTCAATCTGACAACCGGTGTTGGGTGAGTAGCTATATCCTATACAATTTCTGCAATTATAGAAACTGACGGATTTCTAGCTGGGAGGGTGAGCAATGTGTTGGTCAAGTCGGCTCTATTCCCCGACTCGGATTCCGAAGTCTATGTATGCAGGATTCTCCCTTGGGAATCCGTGACACCGATTACAACTCAGCCTTCTCTTCCGGCCAGACTGTAGCAGCTTCGTTCGATAGAAGTCTCATGTACCGACGAGGACAGGCTATGGGAAATGAAAACAAGATCAAAGGCGTCGATGTCCTTCTGGGCCCTGTTGCTGGCCCAATTGGTCGTGCGCCGGCCGGAGGGCGCAATTGGGAAGGATTTTCTCCCGACCCCTATCTTACCGGTGTCGCAATTGGTGAGACTATCAAGGGAATTCAAGATGAGGGTGTAATTGCCTGTGCGAAGCACTACGTCGGCAACGAGCAAGGTAAAAGAGAACAATACGCCCTTCAGTATCACTACTAACACAGACCTAGAGCATTTCAGGCAGGTCGGCGAAGCTCAGGGTTATGGCTACAACATTACAGAAACCTTCTCTGCCAATATCGATGACAAGACTATGCACGAGCTGTACCTTTGGCCATTCGCGGATGCGGTGCGAGCTGGTGTCGGTTCAATCATGTGCTCGTATAACCAAGTTAACAATTCCCAATCTTGTCAAAAGTAAGCATACATGGGGGAGATTGTTACGATACGGCAAAATAGCTGACAAGAAATTTTAGCTCTAAGACGCTGAACGGCCTGCTCAAGGGTGAATTAGGTTTTCAAGGATTTGTTATGAGCGATTGGCAAGCACAGCACTCCGGCGTGTCCAGCGCCGTAGCTGGCCTGGACATGACGATGCCCGGAGACACCATAATGAACTCGGGTCTCAGTTTCTGGGGTGCGAATCTTACCATTGCCGTGCTGAACGGCACCGTTCCCCAGTATCGAATCGATGACATGGCTATGAGAATTATGGCCGCCTATTTCAAGGTCGGCAGGACCGTGGAGAACCAAGTTCCTATCAGCTTCTCCTCGTGGACCCGAGATACCTACGGCCCCATTCATTATGCCGCCAGCGAGGGTTACCAACAAATCAACTGGCACGTCGACGCCCGAGGAGACCACGGCGATCTTATCCGCGAAATTGGCGCCAAATCGACGGTGTTGCTCAAGAACAATGGTGCTCTCCCGCTCAGCAAGCCCAAGTTCCTCGCAGTGATTGGTGAAGATGCTGGTCCCAACCCATTAGGTGCCAACGGTTGTTCGGACCGAGGTTGCGACCAGGGTACTCTGGCGATGGCGTGGGGCTCGGGATCTGCCGACTTCCCTTACCTTGTCACCCCTATGGAGGCATTGCAGGCGCAGGCACTTGAGGATCACACCCGCATTGAGGGTATCTTCAACAATTCCGCTTCGGACACGATAGAGGCTCTAGTCTCACAAGCCGATGCAACCGCTCTCGTCTTTGTCAACGCGGACTCCGGTGAAGGATATATCACCGTTGATGGAAATGAAGGCGACCGGAATAACCTGACACTATGGGGTAACGGTGATGAACTCATCAAGAACGTTTCCTCGTGGAATAACAACACCATTGTCATCATCCACTCCGTCGGACCCACCCTCGTCACGGACTGGTACGACTCGCCCAACATCACGGCTATTGTGTGGGCTGGTTTACCAGGCCAGGAAAGCGGTCGCTCGCTTGTAGACGTGCTATACGGTAAAGTGAACCCAGCCGGCCGAACGCCCTTCACTTGGGCAGCGAAGCGAGAAGACTACGGGGCAGACGTCATGTACGAGCCCAACAATGGCAATGGCGGGCCGCAGCTAGAGTTCACTGAAGGTGTATTTATCGACTATCGCGCATTAGATCGTGCCAACATTACGCCTATCTACGAGTTCGGATTCGGATTGTCGTACACCACGTTCGAGTACTCGGATATCCAGGTCGAAAAGGCTTACGATGCAGAGTACACACCAACCACCGGCCAGACCGCCGAAGCCCCCACTTTTGGCAACTATTCGACGAAGCTTGAAGATTATGCCTTCCCGAACTCGTCCTTCCCTTACATCTGGCAGTACATCTACCCTTACGTGAACACCACATCATCGCTCGAAGCTGCATCGGAGGATCCGGAATTCGGCCAAACTGCAGAGGAATTCCTGCCCAAGGGAGCCGTCGACTCCACCAAGCAGACTCTTAACCCTGCCGGCCCTGGTCTCCAGGACGAGTCTGGTGGCAACCCGCAGCTGTTCGACACTGTCTACACCGTCACCGCCAACATTACCAACACGGGTAAGATAGTAGGCGACGAAGTTCCACAACTGTATGTCTCCCTTGGCGGCGAAGATGACCCGAAGGTTCTCCTGCGCGGCTTCGATCGGATTACGATAGAACCGGGCGCAACGGCGACTTTCCGAGCCACGCTTAACCGCCGCGACATCAGCAACTGGGACATCGAATCCCAGAACTGGGTTATCAGCAGCGCCCCTAAGACGGTGTTTGTCGGTCCCAGCAGCCGTAAGCTGCCACTGAGCGCCCCACTATCATAGGACGATGCGCCGGGGGTATTGTGGTGTGTTTAATTTGGTACATTGTTTGGCTGGGGGGGACATAAAAGACAGGTTCCAACCTGGTACATACATTCGTGTAAATAATACGAAGTAATACTAATTCCAAAGTAAAATAATCAACTTATCCTGGTCGTGAAAAATATGTGCAGCTTCGAATTAAGCAATTGATGATCAGATAGGAAGAACGAGTTGACGCAAATCACCACCCTTAGTTATAATGGTATTTATTTATGACGAGATTAACAGGAATAGGGGGGAAAGATTTAATAGGTCAGTCTAAGGAGTCCCCTTTCTCTTCCCAGCTAATAATAAGTTAAGCATAGAACGCCAGGTAAAGTACGACCTCGTTCCCTGTCCCACCATCGCCTCTTCGGACACGGGCGCAATTGGCAATCTACCATCCGGGGAGGTTGGGGAGCCCTTGAAGCGAACAGTTAGTGTCTAATCCATATAACATGTAATATATGGTAGTAAAGAAAGGGAACAAATAGCCAACTTACAGTCATCGCCGATGTCTTCCTGGACGCTCTGGGACTTGACGCAGTCAATAGCTTGCTGGTCAGTCTGTCGCAGCAGCGGCGCGCACCGGTCGCCGGAGCACTTGCCGTCCATGGCGCGCTGGAGGGCGTCGTCCTTCCAGCCGAAGAGGTAGTCGCCGTGCAGGCCGTAGCCCGTAGTATCATTCATGCTCCAGACGAAGGGCTGGGAGCCGTCCTCGGGCCACTCGGCCTTGTTATTGAACGCGCGCGTGTCGAACATGATCTCGTACATGATCTGGGGCACCTTGACGGGGTGGGTGGCCGGGCAGGCGCCGCCGCTCTCGAAGGTGCCCGAGGCCGGGTACGCGACGTGCGCCTTGTGGTCGGGCGAGTCGAGGTTCTTGCCGTCCCAGCACGTCGGGAAGTGCACCGTCACGCGCCAGCCGCCGCCGCACGCCTGCGCGGGAAACGCCTGCGTGTCCTGGCCCGTGCAGGGCGCGCCCCCGAACGGGTTCTGCTGCATGTTCGCCTCGCACCGGTAGCAGAGACCCTTCTGCATCGTGCTCGCCTGCCGGTTCATCGGGTCGCCGACGAGCATTCGGAAGCCCTGTACCGAGCGGAAAACGACAAATTTACAATTAGAACTGCCCCTTTTCCCTTGAAAAGGGTTTAGAGGGAGGGAAGAAACTCACCTTAGGGAAGGCCGTGACGGTGGCGCTGGGCTGGTAGCCGCGGATGTAGTAGACGGTCATGCCGGCCTCGACGCCGAGGCCGAGGTTGGCGAACTGCGGCACGCGCTTGTAGGTGCCGTTGCGGGCGCGGAAGTACAGGTTGGCGGTCCAGTAGTTGGAGAAGTCTTCCGAGTACGTGCAGCTCGTGCAGGTCGAGTCGGTCGGCGGGTCGTGGTCCTCGGGGTGCATGCTGGCGTTGAGCGAGTTGCCGCCGATGATCTGGTGCATGTGCGCCGACGGCATGTTGCCCGGCTCGACCAGCGGGTCGATTCGGTCGATGGTCAGCTGCGAGCACCCGAAACGCATCAACTCCTGCGCCGCGGCCATCTGGGCCGCCGCCGCCGCGAGCAGCGAAGATTTCAACAGCATCTTGTCTTATTTCGTATCGTTTCCTTATGCCTCTTTTTTTTGGCAATGTGGTTGCGAGAAGGCGATTGCTTGTGGAAAAAAGGAAGAGGGAACCAGGCAGACCGGCCGGGGAGAGAGGTTAGCAGGCCGTCCTGCCTTTATTCTCCCTCCGAGGCGGCGCAGATCATGGTTCTCCGGGTAAAGCCAAGGCGGACGGAGCGTCGAGGCGCCGCGGCTATTGGCTGGATGTCATGGCATTGCAACTGCCGCTCATTGAAGCCTCGCCGGTTAATCTAATCCTAGGATCTGGAGGCAAGTCTGGGCGACAAATCTGATGCTAGGATCGAAATTACCTACATTGCTTGCCACGGACTCATTCCTATTCTGACATATTAAGCGGGGGTAGAGGGCTCGGTAGTGTTCCAGCAGCCGAATCAAGCCTTCGTCTAGGCATCGAAACGTCATTGGACATGAGTCGAGCAGTCGTGCGAGGTCCCCTTCTGACTGGCCGGAGCCAGGAGTTCATCTGAACGAATGGGCACCATTGCATCCTAGCATATGCCGATGATCCCCTTTCTTCAAATTTATTTATATCCCTTTCCACAACGAGGCAAAGCACACACACACTGGCAACCAAAAGCGGTAACCATCCGGCCCGAACATTCTTTGGGAGCGAGGGTTCCGGCAGAGCCAAGGGCATGTCGCGCACGCGAAGGCCGCATATACGCTTTAATATCCTCTCCCACCGCCTATAAGCGATTATAAATCGGTAACACGGGGGGGGAGTCCATATACCACGAGGAATAGGGGGTGTATCTGCGTCATTCCTTGCCTCCTTGCTCCCCCTTATACCCCTGAAAGGGCCGAGACGCTCAGCCTGCATCTAGTTCATATATAGCATGACAAATTCACGTGGCGAATAGGGGGCGGTCCAGCCGCTAGGCTTATTGAGAGGTTGCAGCGTGTGGATCAACCTAATATAGAGGATAACGCGTGAACGAGCTGTTATGAATAGTGTGAGTCGGTTCCTGTAGAGTTTTGAGATAATAGACGGTAGCGGTAGCTAGCTTGGCCTTAAGGCTCGAAGCTCGCGCTCTTCAGTCAATTCTCGTTATTTCAATTTTTATACCCTTGATAGTTATTTGCCAGACAAGTGGTCATCTTTGCTCTTAATATGAAATGGGGTAGATGAAGGGGCAACAGGACGAGGCTTGAGATAGTGCTCTTATTACCACCAGAAATCTTATGTGCCGTCGGCTCCTCGTCCACATTCCAAATATCAACAGTTATCCAAAGTTTTCCTACTAGTTCGTCAGCGTGATGAGTCGGCACTTGGTTCTAAGTGGGCCTAACAATCCATAATAAATCATCTACCTACAGCATGTTGCAAAGGGTAAGGGGTGTCTGGAGCGTGGTTGATACGACTAAGGTGAACAACAAGCTCCGGAAAACTACCTGCGAAACATACCACCTCATAAGGAAAATGGCCTACTGGTAATAACTCGTGGTGATCACCGCTAGTAAATTCTGCGAGGAACAGCTAGGAGACGTTATGATTTCGGTTTGCCCTATGACCTAGAGTAGATGTTAAAGCCATGTACAAGGAAATAGTCAAGTAACTTGATATAATTAGTTAGAATTAGCAATCCAGTCTAGATGACCGAATTACTTTAGTCTCCTTGAATCATCGTCCATATTATAAAACCAGGGATGACCACCCCTACCCAACTCACTACTATTAACATTACGAACTTACACCAAAGCAGCTCCAACTACATCACAAAAGCCAAGCCAAATCAAATCAAGACGGGAAAGTAAAGGTTTTCGTATCATTATATTTTCATTGTCTCAGCGGTGGTATATCCAGTTAATCGACCGGGTCAAATCGGTGGCAATCTCAACTCTCTACATGCGGTTTCTCGTGCTATGCTAAGCCCTCCCACTCCATAGAAGAATTGCGCCCTCCGTCTTCGCAAATTAAGACTTAACTGAAAAACCCCCCCTCACTCCCGGTACGCCGTCGCGCATCGCCAATGCATTTGGGTAGAAAGAACGAACGATTAAGTATTGACAAAGAAGGGATGGTAAGTCCATCCAGTAGAATGCAGGCTGGCAACGATGGAATGTGACCACGACCTCAGCATTCCAGTTGCCCATCGCCTGCCAGATGATATCCCATAAATGCGATGAGTCCCCACCGGCGCCGGCTTTAGTCACCATCCAAGAGTCTCGAGTATGGTTTGGGCTTCGGTCTTCGCCATGCATTGGATACCAAGTTGCCTGTGCTGACTGCCTTTGAGCAGTTGAGTCAGGCCTTCCGCTAACTTCCAGCCCTCTTCTCCGTCGATCACAAACAAATGTCTTTTGCCTTCCTGATCTCTCACCGTTGCGCGCATTAGATGCAGACCACGTCTCCTACCGCTACTAACGAAGGTCGACGTGGTACTGCGTGCGCCTTGGGTGTAGCGACACTCGTTCTTGCAAGAATGTGAGAGCTCAGCGACACATGCCGCGGCATCGTCACCTGTTAACGTTTTCGGATCGCCACGTATCGAGGATCGGAAACGATGAGTTCTGGATGGCGCTTTTGCGGCGGCTGTAGCGGATTCTGTTACGCAATGCGCCGGACACCATATCTCGACGGTCTTGAGTGTCCAGGCTTTGACATCCCAATCTCGTTGCGGCTCGTTACGAACATCGTCGTCGATAAAGATGCCCTCCGACGATATGCGAAGAATTAAGCCATCGGTGACTGGACCAACACCAGAGATGAGCTGGGAAGCTGGTGTTTTGGAAAACTGATTAAGGAAACCGTATACAGCTTTGATGACAATCTTCTTCGGGTCGTTGGTTTCGTAATGAGACCGTTCAGATGGTGGGGGCGTTGTCCGTGCTGTTGAATGCGAAGCATATGATGATCCTGTGAAGGCTGTTTCACTCGACTTTTTTCGACCGTGGCTCTTGGGCTGGTCGTATGGTCGAAACGAATACGTCTCTTCGTTGACGCCGCTAGGGGCGCTGGTGCTTTGCGCCTTTGCACTGGGTGCTGGACTTGGTCTTGGACTTGGTCTTGGGGTCGCTGTTGGTGGTGGTCGACTGGAAGCAGTACTCTGAGTGGCGCTGTGTTTGCTAGACGCAGTACTCGGGGCTGGTTTGGGAGACGGAGGCACGGGAGTTACAGGTGGCTTTCCGTTTGGCCAAGGGTTGGTCTTCTCTCCCACGGACGAGAAGGCATATGCACCTCTCCTGCTCTCCGCCTCCTTCGCTTCCTGCTCTTTCAGCCTGGCTGCTTCGGCTTCTCTTCTCCTTGCCGCATCCTCCTCCTGTTTTTTTAATCTGTTAGCCTCGGCTTCCCGCTGTCTCGCGGCTTCCTTCTCCCTCATCTCCCTAACCTTAGCAGCCACTGCTTCTCTTACCTTGGCGGCTTCTTCCTCTCGTATCCTAGCCGCCTCAGCCTCTCGCAACCTGGCTGCTTCTACTTCCTTCAGTCGAGCTGCCTCAGCTATCTCTCTAGCTCGTGCCGCTTCCTTTTCCTTGACTTCCTTCTCGAGCCTCTCTCGGCGTGCCCGTTCTTCTTCGAGCTTTTCGCGAAGTTCCCGTTCACGAGCTTCTCGTGCCCTATTTTCCCTTTGCTCCCTCTCGCGTCGCTCTTTCTCTTTCTGTTCTCTTTCTTGTCTCTCCCGTTCCCTTTCTCGTTCTTCGCGTTCTCGCTGTTCCCTTTCCCGCGCATCGCGCTCTTGTCTCTCTCTCAATTCTTGTTCGCGCCTGGCACGCTCACGTTTTTCCTTCTCGCGCAATTCCCTCAGGCGTCTGGCTATCTCTTCCTTTTTGCGATCTTCGGCTTCCTTCGCTTTTCGTTCTTCTTCCTTTCGTCTGGTTTCCTCTCTTGCCTTCTCCCATGCACCCTTTGGCGGATCCTTAGGTCGTTCCTTGGGCGGTTCTCTTGGCGTCTCTTTCGGTGGTTCCTTAGGAGTTTCTTTGGGTGCTTCTTCGGGGGCTTCTCTAGGGGGTTCCTTAGGTTCCTTACGTTTCTTGGGAGATGGCTTGGGAGAATCGGAAGGAGCATCTTGGGAAGGCTCTTTAGGTCTCGGCTTAGGGGGTTGTTCGGATGCATGTTGCCGTGGCTGTCGAGGAGGTGGTGTAGGCGATTCTCCTGGCTCTTCATCTTGCGGGTCTTCTTCCCATGACTGCTTCGGCCCTCCTCTGCTCTGCGGACCAGGTTTAGGCCCAGACCTAGGAGGTGGAGGTGAACCGTGAGGAGGCGGTGGTGGAGGCACATCATCGTTGGGAGGTGGTCCAGCATTGGGGTTCGGACCGCCGCCATAGCCCCCGAATCCGGGGCCATATTGACCATAGAAATTTCCTCCTCCGCCGCTTCCCCCAGGGCCGGAACCGGGACCACCCGCTCCAGGTATTGGACCGCCACCTTGTTGTGTTCTTCCCAGAGACCACGCCCCAACGCCAACTCCTATTACCAACAATGCCATTCCCATGTTTCCCATTCCCTCGAAGTTACTGTACCACACCCGAAAAGCAGGCGCCATACTTTGGGCAAGGACAACCAAAACCAAAGCACTGGCAAATCCTGCGGCGAAACTGTTCAGGCTTGGCTTCAGCGATGGGAGGTAGAGGAAACCCGACCCAGATGAATGTGGCGGTATGATGAATATATCATATTTGCCGGGTGGGAGATTAGGGTTTGGATTTGTCGGCCTAGGATTATTGCCATGTGGCGGAGGTGGTGGTGGTTGATCCATGGCGACGGTCTAGCCGCGCCGCCTTGCGGTGGTGAAAAAAGCGCGAAAAAATGCAATCAAGCAGGAATCCAGATATGAATTGCAATGGAGTGGAGAGAACGGAAGACTCGGAATTAAAATGAGTACGGTCGTAAAAATTGAGGGTATCTTCGGAAGGCCATGAAGGTTCGTAACGTCGTAAGGAATTGCTGAGACTGTGATTAGATTAGATTGTCATCATAGTGATAGGAGTGAGATAAAAAATGAGGACGCGATGAAAGACGATGATGTCGAATTAGGAATATGTAAGTAGGAGGACGGGAAGGAAAAAGATTAAGATGGAATAGGTTAGGCAGGTTAGGTCATAGTGTCAGGAAGTCATCTTGGACAGACAGGGGATGAAGGATAATGACCGAGATAATTAAAATAACGTCCACGTACCGAAGTGGAAAGGAAGAGAAGAATCCAATAAGGAGAGAAATCAACTACAACAAACAACTCCGGATTGCCATGCAAAAGCAAACAACCAACTGCGCTTCTTTTTTTGTCTCTCGTATACCGATTCGCACCCAATCGCGAACTTCAATTGTCCAAAGACGACGACATTCGACGTGCGACATGCGAACCTGAGGGGAAGAAAAAGTAGGACGAAGTGGCGGTCATAGAATTGATGAAGCCTTGTGTGCCTTGTGCCTTGTGCAATTCTTTTTTTTTTTTTTTTGCTCTCCACCTTGGCACCTTATGTCCTAATGTTTACTTGTGAAATTTTGTTGATGCAGAAGCTCCAATTGTACACTACTGTACCCCTGTTCCCCTGTCGCTTCGCGTTTGACAGGTCAGAAATTGTGAAAATGGTTGCAGTACGCTAAAGCTGGTTCGTCCAATCAAAGAGAGGACTTGCAGGGGTAAGCCCTCGATACGGTGTAGTCTAACGCTGTAAGAAGTATAGCGTTATTAAACTTTGCGGTACAGCCCAGAAGTCTACCCCCGCAAATGCACAACTCGACGACCCTCCCGTCCTCACATAACTTGTACAACTTTGGCGGCGTGCTGGCGTGGTGGAATAATTCGTTGTCCGTTTAAATTATGTCTTAGACTTTTTGTTTCGCAATTCACGTGTGCAATTCTCGAGTCCGACTTATGCTTTTAACTCAACAAAAGAGGATATTCGATCAGAGAATTCTGGATAACAATATGGATGATTCGCATTACGCATTAGATGCCTAGGTAGAATAATACGCACGGGCAGACGGGTAAGCTATGTACCTAATAGTTTAGGTAACTAAGCAGCTAAGCTAGCCGCGCCACAAAAGCTACGCCAAGGGTCCACGTTTTTTTCTACGCAGCTCATCATCCTCCATCACGATTCACAACCGCCCAGATCATTCTTCCAGAAATGATTGACATTGGAAACTGCACTTTCAAAACATCGCTTCGACATGTCAGCAATTGGCTCACGTCGCACGACAACGGTCGTTCATGTGTCAAAACAGAAAGAGATTCCCGAGGTAATATGTACCAATCTTCTCAATTTGATAGCAAGGTGATAGCAAGGTTGAATTGTTCATCACGAATCACCACGGCGTCTCCACTCCCACCATCAATCGCTGACGAATCGCCGATGGATTTGGGCAACTCGCTTCTAGCATGAACCCCTGGTCTATCTGGTCCGTCTTGCTTCGGAGACCTCGCCCGCTCCTCCGTGGTGCTGCCACCTGCGCAATTTATCACGCCCGATGCAAATCTTCACCACGCTTCACTGGGTAGGTAGAAGGACAATGACATTATTTATGGTCGTTTCTTCATTACGATCTCCTCATTGAAAGCTACGGTATCAATGGCAATTAATTAGTATATTAAGCTTGCTAATTGGTGATACCTTAAGCAAACAATTGACAACGCGGAGTATCATTGTTGCCCAATGGAAGTTTGAATTGAGTAATTGAGATTGAGGTTTTTTGTGTATTGTTACCTTACATTAAACAATACAAACTAAACCGCTTCAGGTTATGCGCTGGTTGCTAGGCAACACCCCGGTCTCTAAGAAAGAAACGCTTCCAGCTGTCAAGGTGGGGTAGGTGAGTTGTCCTCGACGAAGTCCAGCGTGTCTTTGTTGATTTCTCCTTTTTCAATTAGGTGCCCAATTCCAACCAACATCTCATCCTAAAGAACCTTCCCGTGTTTCTGCAGAATATTCTGTAAGAACTCTAATGTACGCACAGATATCGGATACTGTCCAGTTAAGATCGACCGTTAGGTACGCATTTTATCTACGTATCATCTACGGGATCTTGCATCGATTCTAGGGGGGACGCCACAAACCCAGGTTTGGCCTGCATAAACGAAAAGGAACGGTCCGCAAAGCCTTACCGGGCTGACTTCCAAAACTGGGCACGTGAAACTTCTTACTATTCCCAAGTCCCGAGGAATTGGGGAAACATTCTACATATCTTGACGAAACCAGGCTTCTAGTGTAGACGAGTGCCCGGTTACGATTCCATGACGTTTATAGGACGCGGCATAATGCACTCTTTTATAATGGCCCATCCCTATACAAGTTAACACAATCCTACCCCCTAAACCCTTATACCCCTCCTTATGCCGGCCAAGATGTGACTATCTCTTGCGACATGACATCCCGTCACTGTTTATATATCTCGTCCCATATATACCTGTAGCGCTAGTAACATCTCTAAATATTATTTTACATATTACTTTACATATATCTACTCACTGCTGCACGAAATATCTAGCACTCTCTTTCATGAAGCCCTTTGACTCTTTGGCCCGATCGTAGGTAAGAGATAACGCGGATATCTTAATCAAAGATTTGATTCGCAATCAAGTTGGATGGGAGTGTGATATCTACTATTATATCTATTGAGTATACTCTATGTCAGAAATCAGTCTATTAGAAGATTGAGCTCTGAAGCATTGATTGAGTCTGAGTTCAGCTCATTATCGACTAGGCTCAGTACGAGAAGACCTGACCCTGCATATACACACGTACGACACAGTCCACGAGTTTGAGTTGAGCGAGCTATTCGTTTTCTTCCGGTTCGCCACATCATCTGAAGCATCCAAATCGGAGATGATGGTGGCTAGTCTTAAGGCGGCATAAGTATACATATAACAACTCCCAGCTCCTATGTATACTGCGATGATAGACAGAGGGTTGAAGTTCCGAGCAACAATCCCAGCATCACTACATCATAGCAAACTGCATGTAGCCAAGGAATGGGATGAATGAAAAGCAGTATGTCATCATAATACCTACATCACATTCGTGGGTCTTTCTAACATATCAAGCTTGCCAGAGATGCGTTTCCATCAGAGCTCCTGTATAGAACTCGGTCTACTAAAACCTACTGAGATAAACCCCGATTGAACCCATCTCAAGGGCCGGTCATTCTTATAAAAGGGGAAGTGCACTAGGGGGCATACGATAAAATGTCACACATTAATCATGAAAGTTGGCAGAACGCTATGCTCATCCTCATCAATGCGTGTTAAGAGTCGACGTTAGAAGTCAACGCGCTTGCTACTCAAATTCCGAGGCCAGAGCATCACCGCTCGCGTTGATATCGGATCTAGCAAGTTAGCTCAACCATTGGATCTTAGTTCTGGTGAGAAGTGCATCAGACCACAAAAGACCTTATATGTGAAGAGGAGACGATACGCGGCTAAGTTGAACTTACTCTCAGGGGTTGGCAGTAAGCGATGTAGTAACACCCGCGCAATATCTCTTGTAACCTTTGAAACGAATATATAAGGGGATTGAAGGCCTCAAGGGGCTCTAATAGAGGGTCATGCGTTGATAGCTGTGCAACTTATACTATGCAGTGAGCCACTCTCCACTATCTTTCGCTCTGGCATGTTCTTCAACTATGGGCTTAACCCTTAACGTTCATTAATACTGGAACCGTTTATATTTTTAGCTGGAAAATGACTGCAGTCAGGAATTAAAAGGTAGAATACACCATAGAAGCTCAGTCCTAATCGACTGGGAGCACCACTTCTATGCAAGAGCACTTTGGTACAATAGATAGTTACAGGACTGTTCATAGTCTTAACCTTTATATTCTGGGCTTGGTCCACCCAGTCATGTGAACAAGTGCTTTCACCCTCCAGCCCCTGACTGCAGCCATTTGCTAGCTAAAGAGGTATCATCGTCTACTTCGAGCAGGGGAACAGGGCGAGTTCGCATATTACATGAATGCCTGGCCGATGAATAACAGATGCCACACCTCGTTGATTACGTACCTAGACTTTCATTATTCTCAACTCGACCGTCTCGAGTTGGGCGGAAGCTGTTCGACCATCGAGCAACAATAGTCCTCAAGCGCTCGGCGTTCTTAATATGCGACAATTGAAATTTCTGTTGAAGATGTAACCAGACCCCTATTCTGGAGAAAACTACTTGTTACTAGCATTTATGCCGAGTTGGCAGCACTTCCAACCTGCCGGATGGTATCTTCAGATCGTACTTTAATTTCTTCATCCCGCAACGGCCCCAAAAGATGATATCCAGAAGGCGAGCAATATTTGGATATATTTGACAATACAGGACATTTCGCAATTAGCAATGAACTGTGAATGGCTTCGGGTGAATTTACTCAACACCAGTTCGGAGGCCTCGGAATGTTCGGTATCTTCACCTATCCACAGTCGACACTAGTCCCAACCCGAATATCAGAAGAAAAAACTATTTAAGAAATGTTTGAGCCGATGTCTCAACTTTAGGTAACTCGATTATGGAATTATTGCGGGAGTCGGGCCGCTGAAAAGCACGCAATTCGGACGGCCCAGTTTTCAGGTCAAAGCCTGATGCTAATAGCCTCTTTTTCTCACTTTTTTTTCCTAGTTAAATAGGCTTTGCAAACATTTGACATCTGAATCGCTGAAACGGTCTGGGCAACGAGGGCGACTACGACGTCGTGATGAGTCAGGCCACGCACAGGAGACCATTCTCCTCGCGGGCGCTATTCTAGTAACCGTCTCGAAGATAAAACTCGAGAAAGTCTAAGCAATCTCAATATTTGTCGGTAGGTGCCGCCGTCATGATCCAGGGCCGCCTAGGACGCTAGAACGTCGCTAGAACATCTCTGCCGCGTCAATGATCACAGCTGTGCGTACTACGGACCTATATGTCATTTGAGGCTCCCCACATTTCCGTACTTAGTCACTACAGCCGCCAACTAGGGCTAACTTGGGAGAGATTGCGAAGTCAAATTTGACTCTCGTCGCATCATATCCACTATCGGTGCAAAGTGCCACGAGCGACGCCTCTCTCTCGGCCGACCAATTGGGACCGAGTAGCCAATCTAGGAACCACGCTGTCGGGAAGATGAGGCACATCGTACGACGTAGCGAAGGAAGAGACTGTACACATGTTTGTGTCTACGTAAAATACCAGGGACGAATCAGAGAATGGTCAAAGATAAGAGCTGACACGAAAGATCTGCTGATTCTCTCATGCTCGACCGGGGCACGGCCAAAGTCACCAGTTCTGGAACGTGATGACTGCTAGGCAGATTTAAATACATGCTGTTGTATATTGAAGATTTTGAAGATATTCAGGAGATCAAGGATGCGATAGATCTACCATGATATGATCTTGGCTGAGATCGACATCGTTGTAGTACGCGAATATGTATGTGAAACAGATTTGCGGCGACCAGGACATGACCTTCTTTGCGGTGGGTTACACGATTTATGAAAGCCTACGAATCCATCGTTATGCCCGCCCAGATAGGAACAATCATTCGAGCGTGCTCAAATAGTTCCGCCATGTCTCTGCGCACGGCCGCCCGCGCACAAAAAGCGTACATACATACCCAAGAAGCCAATAATCTTGCAGATCGCAGATCACGTCTAGTAGTGCAAGTCTTCTTGGAGGTCGGCTAGGCGGGAAGGCATGTAGCCATCCCAGATCTGACCCAATGACTTTTGTGAGTTGGCGATGTTAATAAGCACGTCAGCACGGATATGCAACTAAGATCGAGAACGGTAGTGGTTTGATAGGTGGATATGGCATAGTCTTGTCTTACCGAGCTTATCTGGGTAGGTGTTTGGTGTTGCACAGTAGATGAATTTATATAGATGTTTCCCGAGTCGGGACCTCCCTAACTTGGATAAGCCCTACAAGCCAATCATACGAAGCGGGTAGGAAAACTTGTGCGACGGCTTTCAGCTGCCTTGTTTGCGTGCTAGGTTGGTCACCATCATCTCGTATAGGCTTTGAAGCTATTTGTATTATCTGAGGCCTTTATTTGCGATTATAGCCAAGACGGCCTTGGAAACTAACCGCGTGAATAATGCCAACATTTTAGCAGTGACGTTGAAGTTTGCGCCCCTTACATACATACAACGTATTTGTAATAACGTTTTTCGTCCGAGGTGAAGGGTCCTTATCTGTGGAGTCCCCAAATCTGGGGATTTAATTTATTTATTCAGTTCATCCCAGTAAATCAGGTTATGTCCATAGTCTGGACCAACGGCAACATTGAATTGAACGTCAATCTAATACCTTTCAGCTTGTATACGGGTTCCGGATAATTGGGATCGTATGTACATGGCTGTAAAATAGTATATTACCACACGATTACCCCGTTACCAGCGTGCCTGTCAATTCAGAAAACACAGGCTACTAGGCATAGCTGATCATGATCGCGTGCTTGATGGTACCCTCAGGGGCTAGATGGCCTGGATGGCATCTGGGTATAGGATACCCCACATTTCTTTAAACGAGTCCGGAAAAGCGTCCGAATTAGTATTAGTCTCGATACTGTTAAGTTGAAGCTACATACCTCTGTGGGTGTGCGTGGGTGTACCTATGTGGGCGCTATGTACTTGCAGCCGCTTAGCTTTGCGCATGCATTGCGAAGTACACATAAAATTTGCCGTAGCTGCCGATTCAAGGTTTAGGCTTGTGGCAAGAGACATAGCACCAATGGAGCTAAGGGGTGGAATGCCGCTCATTCTCGAACTCTAAAACGAAAACAAGAAGTCTTATCACTTACCTAATGCAAGTCTAACCGGCTGGGCGAAGCTTGCTCGAAAGCTTGACTGAAGTCAGTTGAACCCTCAAAGCTTTTCTCCGGATTCCTATTCCTCTTTCTGCTCTTCTATCGTCCTTACGATCTCTGCCAAGTCCTTCGATTCAGCTTCTATGCATAATAACCCCTGCCTGATAGTTCTATCAACGCCCTGGACCTTGCTGTGTCCGTTGTCTTGGAAATAGGCGCGACTCGATTGGAGGTTAGCGACGGTGCGAAGTGACGAGATTCGCAATACAACGTAGCATACCGTAGTATACCGTAGCATACCGCACCCTCCCGCGGGTCAGCTGCGAACAATGACCTTCCAGATCCGGCAGCGGGATTGCCATACTACGCAGTACCCCAGCCGTGCTTCTGCGGGTGTACCTCGGTCGCAATGCGCTAGAGGCGATAGGGTTCTAGCACCGAAGGCTTATCGTTGACGACTCGACTGGCTCAGAGGCCCCGGTGGTCTTTTTGTCCAAGATGTGTTTGAAAAGGAGCCGGGGTCTTGAAAGACCCGCATCGGGTGGCTCGAAGAGATAACGCCTATTCCTCCTCTGACTGGCTCGTTCTCTAATACTTCGAGACCAGAGGATTTTATACGGCAATCCCGACAATAGAATCTACGTAGTCTGCGTAGTTTGGTTTGTCCCTAGCGCCCCAATTCGCAATCGTATTTCCCAATTCCTGATGTAGCTTTCTGAAATCCTTTCCTTAAGGTTCGCCTCCCAGCTCCCTCACGCCTCACGCCTCGCCGCACGCCGAGAACCGTTCTGCATGTAGCCCAGCCCTGAAGCCCTAAAGCCTGAATTATGTACCATTATTGCTACTGATACGAGGCTCACCTGGGTCACCAATTCGGTGGCCTTGATACGCGGGACCCCCTACCCGTCAAAACCCCATCCTGGCGTTTTTAGCATAAATCCCACCACCCCCCTTCGTTGATCTCTCTTAATCCTACCTTGCCTTCTTTGTCTTCTAGTACCGTCAAACATTTCGCTGTCGCGAAGTTGTCCAGACAAGCATTAGCAATGGGTATGTCGACAGTGAAGCTATCCCCGTACGAATGTGTCCCGGACGTTTACTTACCTAGTAACAGGTCAAAGTTCAGAAGATCTCGAGCGCGCCTCGGACTCCATCGTGCCTAGCGGAGATGAGAAGCCAGGCAAGTCGTCGCCTGGCGATGCGCCTCCTCCGTATATCAACCCCTCGATAATGGAGGAAGATTATGAAGGAAAGCCAACCGATGAGGAATTAAAAACTTTACGCCGAGTGCCCGGCAAACTTCCCATCGTCGCCTACGCCATCTGCATCGTAGAATTCTGCGAACGAGCTTCTTAGTGAGTGAACCAGTTTAGTGTCTTGGCGTGAACAAAAATACTAACTGTGTTTTGCTACTAGCTATGGTGTTCAGCCACTAATCGCCAACTATGTCAACCGACCTTTGCCAGAAGGTGGAAACGGCTATGGAGCTCCTCCGGTAGGAACACAGCAGACGGCCGGCGCTCTCGGCTTGGGAACCGTCACGGCGAATGCTGTTACGCAGTCTTTCAGTATGCTTGCGTATGCTCTGCCTATGTTATTCGGGTGGATCGCCGATGCGAAGACTGGCCGATTCGCCCTCATCTGCTGGGGTGTCGGTGTCTTCGGTGTTGCTCACGTGTTGATGGTTGCTGCGGGCGCGAAGGACCTACTGGCCGCCGGCACGGCGAAGGTCCCTTACTTCCTCTCCGTTTACATCCTGTCGATTGGTGCTGGTAAGTTAAAATTCCACGGTAGGCTTGCTCTGCCAGCCAATGCTAACTGAACCTCAAGCTATGTTCAAGCCCAACGTCTCCCCGCTTCTTCTCGATCAGATGACGACAACCGTCCCCAAGGTTATCACGCTCGAAAGCGGCGAGCGTGTCATCCAAGACCCCGAATCCACGACGGAACGAGTTATGCTCTGGTTCTACCTCCTGATCAACATCGGTGGTTTCATGGGAGTCGCTACCTCGTACTCGGAGAAGTACGTCGGCTGGTGGCTGGCTTTCTTGATTCCTCTCCTGCTCTACCTCCCTCTCCCTATCCTGCTGTGGTTCCTTTACAAGCGCCTGATCCTCCACCCTCCCGGAGGAAGCGATCTTGGCAACGTCTTTAAGGTGCTCGGAATCTGCCTCAGGCGCGGCGGTATCACCAAGATCGGCCGTCACGGTTTCTGGGATCTTGCCAAGCCCTCGAACATCGCAGCCGCTGGCCTCAGCATTAAGACAGACTGGAACGACCAATTCGTCGATGATGTACGACGAACCTTCCAGGCGACCGGTATCTTCTGCTTCTTCCCGATCCAGTACATCAACGACAACGGTCTTGGTTCCGCCGCCAGTTTCTTGTCGACTATGTTGACTACCAACGGCGTCCCTAACGACGTCATCAACAACTTCAACTCATTGAGCATCATCGCGATGGCTCCGGTCCTCAACTACGGCCTGTACCCGCTTTTGCGAAGGCTCAACATCCACTACGGCCCCGTCGCCCGTATTACTACCGGTCTCGCGATGTCTTCCATCGGCGGTGCTGGCTATGCGGTCCTGAACTACTACGCGTACAAGGAGTCTCCATGTGGCGATTACGGTTCCAGCAACTGTGAGGACGGTCTGGGCGTGGCCCCGATCAGCATTTGGTGGATGGCAATCCCATTCGCCATTGGTGGTATCTCGGAATTGTTCGTCAACGTCCCGGCTTACGGTATCGCGTACTCGCGCGCCCCCGTCAACATGAGGGGTCTTGTCTCCGCCCTAAACCTCTTCAACACGGCCGTCGCCTACGCTATCGGTCTAGCATGCTCTTCCGTCGTTACTGACCCGTACCTGACGTGGGATTTCGGCGGCCCCGCCATCGCCGGCGGCGTCCTGACCGTCATCTTCTACTTCATGTTCCGCCACATCGACGCGGAGGAGTTCCAGCTCAGCCAGAACAAGGACTACCACCTCAAGCTCGAGGGAACTGTCAACGTCGTCGGCGAGAACGAGCTGAACAAGAGCACGAACCGGCCCGCGCCCATCGCCGCCAACGAGGAGGTGATGATCTCGCAGAAGCAATAGTTGTTGGTTCGGTCTCTGTTTTTTGTCGTTTTGTGTACGTGTATATTGGATGGATGTGGTGTATATGCGTTGGGGCTGTCGGCGTATTTAATCGGCAACGCCGTGATTTGGAAAACGGTCCACACTTATCTATACCTATACCTCTCTTGACTATGTAGTCGATGGTCCCACTCTAGTTAGGTGGAGGGGACATATGTGGTCAGCCATAATAGTAAATTCTTGATACCAAAGTCGGCTTTTGGCCATCGTCGTCGATTTGTGAATGTCTTAGCTGGTTTCGTGAGATACGATTGCTTATCCGATTGAAACAGGTATATGAAAGATTTTCAATTAGTCTCAGCCTTACGATAGCGTGCGGTTGATATAAGCTTTAACCAACATGTTGGTTACTGAGCTGAAGTTGTTGGTTGTTGGTTTGCATTCCATATTTGTTGATATGTTGCGGCCGTGGCGCAGCGGAGCCTTACGTGCGTAGCACAGAAACAAGACGAATAAACATGGCACAAATCAAGGCCAATTAGGACGAAAGAGTAGAGTAAGAGGCGTTATTATTAATAAGAAAAGCCTCTATAGCCCTTCAGTAGGAGTGTTCGTTGCACTTTCCTTCCTTACTATGCTTCCCCCTTCAGTACATTCTGGTTACATATGCCCTCAGTTTCCATCTAGTATCCTTCCTCCTGTACATTTACCCTCACCACTCTTCCTGCCCTGCTCACCGCCGAATAGATTTCCTGTAACGGGCTGGGTCTACTACCAAACCGATTCACCTTGGCCTGGCCCATGGTCTTGGTCGCATTTATGTCCCCAACGATAACGAGCCCGCATCGCTGTCGGGTAAGCAAGACGTTAAGTCGTTGCTTGTTCGAAGTGAAACCGGGGCCAGATTTAGCAGAAGTGCCCATGACCACGATCACAATGTCCCGCTCTTGGCCCTGGTAGCCGTCGATCGTCGACGGACGGCCGATGTCCGAGAGTGCCTCGTATCTTGGTTGCTTAATGAGCTCCTGGATGAGCTCGACGTTGGCCGAGTACGGCGTGAGGACTATGATTTGAGAGGCATCAACCCCTGTGTCTTCGACTAGATCGTTTGCAAAGTCTAGGGCGATTCTGACTTGGTCCACGCTCTTCTTCGAGCCGGTAGCGGGATTCACCGAAACCTTTGTGCCCTCGCAATGGATGAAAAACGGGCTGAGCGTTCCCTGCACGGAGGGAGTGACTGAAGGGTATGCGCAGGTAATATACGCCTCTAAAATACGCCCGGCCGCGAACTTCTTGCTGTTTATATCACATGAGTCGTGATACCTTGGTGCCATGTCGTATATGGTCCTAGAGACCGCGTCAAATAAGCCACGGGCCATCCGCAGCTGGGTTCGCATGCGGAAGGTTGGCCAGCCCATGGCCTGGAACGACTCTAATGCCGAAATCTTTCCCGTCGAGGCAAAGCGATTGCGGAGGTTCCCTTCAGAATCCTTCTCCCTCTCTGTCATCACTGCCGGAGGAAGCTGCTGCGGATCCCCTCCTAGGAAGCAGGGCAAGAGGGTGTTGCCCCATACAGTATAGAGATCGGCACGGTGCATAGCAGCGGCCTCGTCGATTGCAACACCCATTGCCTTGTCGGCCTTCCATCTAGCATACGGTCTGCAATTCACGGTCATCGCTGGGGTGGTGCAGAGCATGTCGATCAAAGGAAACAGTTCTTGCAAGATGCAACGGATCTTGCCGGCAGTGTCGGGACCCGAACTGATGTACTCTTGCCAGGAAATCTGGCCCATTGCGACGGCACGAATCTTCTCCATGCCCTTAGACTCGTCGATCTTCCGACGTAGATTGTGCAAACCTAGGCAATCATCGGGGTCGAGTTGTCGGACGCTGCGCGACCTCAACACCGCCAGCACCCAGAAGGCGAGAGACAGATCTAGCTTCCATTTGGAAAATGAGAGCGGTCGGTTCTTCTGAACCGCGAGGTCGCCGTCTTGGGGATGCTGGAGGAGAAATGCAATTGCCGCAACCTCATCACTGTCTTTATAGGCTCGGACCACGAGTTGGCGACGCTTGCGGGACACGTCGTCTGGAGCCTTGCCCTGGTTGTACCTGGTGCAGGTTGATGCGGCAATTCTATATATGCGGTCCGCAAAGTTGGATACCGCAACATTGGTTGGTCCAGAACATAGAATGCGTCCGAATTTGGCGTGCATAGCAATTGCAGCAACCGATATGATACTGGTCTTTCCATAGCCCGGAGCCTTGAACAAATGTTAGCATTGGATACAGAAAGACGAGGAATTCGGTATACATACAGCTGTGATCAAACCGAGAGAGAGCGGACGATCGCTCAGGTACTGTCGGAAGCGATTACGGTCCTCAGGTAGAAGTTCTTCGATCAGTGCATCGGCGAACTTGGGATCCACGGTATCGAGAAAGTTCTCAGTAGGCAGAGCGCGCAGTGTGGGCTGGCTTTGTAGGCTGACTGCCTTCATGGAGTCGACTATGTCTGTTCCCGGGCGTGTCATCCAGTCGTAAAACCCGTTACCTCGTACGAGTGCCCGATGCAGATCCATGGTATCTTCGATCTGGGCCACTTTGCAGGCTCTCTCTTCGGATGGCATGTCATTGGCTTCGAGCATGCCGCAGGCGCCGGGATTCGAAGTGGTCGCATTTGGTCGGAACTGACAGACGGAATTGATACGACGCTCGCAATCTTCAAGTTGGGATCCGAATCGCAATGCGGCGCAATTCCAATACTCTCTCCCTTTCTTCAGCGAATGATTCGCCAGGGAGCGACCCAAGAACGTCTTCATCGCGATCCGAATAGACGTCTTAGCCCCCTGTACTGGGAGGCGCACAGCAAGAACTAAGTCCTTCTGTCTATCAATAGAATGAGTTCCCAAAGCCCGAATCGACTCGGGGTGACTGACAATATCACAGTCCCTGGCTTAGGTTAGCTTGTTTAAAAAAAAGGGGGGGGGAGAAGGGGGAACGGTAGGAAGACGAACCATCTGGCTGCGGGCTCTAGATCTTCATAGCAGTCATAAAGCTCGACTTTCAACCGAGCTTCCTTTGTAAGTCGACGCCAGGCATCCTTAAACGTATCTGGGATACCTTCATGTAGGAAGATAAGGTATCGAATCTCAATACCCCCATTGGCTGCCCCACTGGCTTTGACAAAGTAAGCTGGCTGACGGTTCTGAGCAATCTGGTCCCGCGCGACTTGTAGCCAAAATGCATCTTGCACGACCGACTGGGAGACTGCTGTCAAGTGGTCATTGTCGTTCCCGAAACTAAGGCGATGTATGTTAGCGGACTATTCAGAATCGGGGTATACGAATGTATACCAAAACTGAGAAACTTAAGGTCAGTCACAAAAGAAATGGATGCATTGTCTTACCAATACGCTTCCGGGAACGCGTCTGCGCTCTTGATGCTCTCAAATTGGTTTTTGTACTTTAATTCGTTCCAACTGTGACTAGTACCATAGGGATAACGAGGATGTGGAGAGTCCTCAAGGTACAAGATCGCGTGAAGTACACAACTCGAAGTGTTAACAAAGAAGTTAAAACTCCTCGCTTCGAGAATGTCTACGACATTGATATGTTCGTTGACAGGGAGATTGCCGTCGAATGATCTCCCCATTTGTGGATCTTGATGATTGGTAAACGGTATACCAAATCCGCAGACAGTTACTTGACTGTTCTCCTTCAGATGAAAGGTCACGAGACTGAATTCGTTTCCTTTCACACCAGGAAACAGGTTGAGGAGGTCATCGTCGGCGTCCTTGATGCAAATCATCGTTTGCGATCGAGGGAACTTGACTTCGATCCTATGTCGGTCATTTAGGACCGTTTTATGATAAGTCGGATCGCCTAGTAGTTTGAATAGTAAGTAAATGTCGTTGGGCTGACTGCAGAAAGGTGGTAGGGAACTCACGGTGGTATCGAACCCCAAAACCAGCCTCTTCGTTGGCCCTCTGCTCACGACCAAGAGAAAAGTCTAATGAAAACCCACACTAGGAGCTCTCGTCCGACGGTCTAATGGCTAGCAACTGAGTAGAAACTTGCGCGGCCTTGCTCAGCGACGTGGCTGAGGCAATGATTGGTCCCCGGGGTGACTTTAGTAATGCGCAATCTCTTATAAGTTGCGGCGGCATGCCAGATTCGATAGAAGCAGAGCTCGCGATGGTCGTCTCTGATGAAGACATTGTGGAAAGTAGACGAGTGATGCGACTTCAAGAAGCCGACAATCTACCTGAATAGAGGGATCAAAAAGATCAGAAAGGTCAAAAGGTCAAAATGAAACACAAAATGAAGATAACAGTTGGTCTAGAACATATGTTCTGTTGTTCTGCAAATCTTACGACTTTAGGCAAGAGTGGTTATTGCGGGTGAATAATCAGCTCGTGTAAAGAGTAGATTCTGTGAATGAAGAAAGAAGGAAGAAAAAACGAAATGGGACGCAGGTAGAAAAGAATATATAGACTTCCCCACGGGGAAAAAGTGGCCCATGCGCCGCTTGGTGATTAGGCATATTGCAGCCTGTTTCCACGACGACACAGTACATGATAGCCCTAATCTACCTATTTATTTTACCTACTGTGTGACGCTTTGGCCAGTTGACTGATTCCGTTGACTCATTGGACTCTATTTTGAAATCAGTCATTGTCGCACGGACTGATAGCTCCACTTTCGTGATCTTGTGAAAGGTAAAATATTAATGCTTCCGCCTTTACGGTATCGTAAGAGCTGTGTAGCGCTCGTCAATGCCGACAAACACCTCTTTTCGTGCCTTTTTCTCCCTTCTAGTATGCTACTAATGTGAAATAATAAAGCATGGACCAATAACACTCTAGTTAATACGGTAATAGAAAGATGCCACAAGATAGTATGGTACGGTATGTATTGGTGAGTTATCAAGACTTATGTATATATACGAGTATGTAAGATGAATATAGGACATAAAATATAACTATACTGTTATTAGGTGGACATTTGTGTACCGATGAAGGGTATCACGTGATACTCCTTAGGATTTGCATTCAACGAAGCCGTTGGTCTCGCTAGCCCCGGTATGAGTAATGGAACCTTCATAATTGCCATTGCTACCAAGGAATACCACTCGGTCAGCGCCAGGCGATCCGCCAGTGTAGACGTCGAAGCTTGATAAGATAGGGAACTCGTAATATGTTCCAGAATCAGGGAAATCAACTGTTACAACTGGAGTTAGTGATTAATTCTTTAGGCAAGGATCCTAGGAGTCCGGAGCAAGCCTTCTCTAGTCGGCTCAACTAGGTAGTTTCGACTCCCAAGACAAGCTAGAAGGGGACAAAGAGCCTTCGGTGTTACATACAGCCTTCGTAGTCATTATAGACATGCGGGTACTCGTCCGATCCTACGGTTTGGCCCTTTTGGTAGTAACCGTAGCCCTGCTTCACAGCCGCGTCGATGTCCTCCTGCCAGTAGCAGGTCGAGCCGCAAGTGGCGACGCAGGTCTGGCTTTGTCTCTCGCTAACGACGGCGGCAGACACCTGCGTGGCGGAGATAGCCAAGAGAATGGTAGAGAGGACCTAGGCAGCGTCAGAGAATCCTTCCAAGGAACCAGTCTTGGCAATTGCTGGGGATTACCTTGGAGCCGAACATGATGGGTGATTAGGGCGTACCGAGCGAGTTTGCTGCTGGATAGTAATTAGGACGGCTTCGATGTGTGGTGTGCCAAGAGCGGGAGGGATCGGTGCCTTTTAAATGTATCCGACCTACTACTTCTAATGGAGACCGAGGAGCAGCACCAAGGCCAATATAAGCTCAGGTAAGATCGGATCAGCATGTGAAATATCCAATCCAGGTCGTTCGAATAGATTCATGGGTCAAACCACTGGACAGGAACCCTTGCGAGAGGGTATCTGGCATTACTAGAGACTGTAACTTGACCTTAGATCCGGGCGCTGTTCGCAGGGGTACAATGTCCGCCTTCCCGTTTCGGGAGGGCAGCGGATGAGATACGATGTGCGATCGATTATTATGCGGGCGGATGGTATCTATGCGACACTATTTGTGGGATGAAAATGGGCAGTTGGAATACGATCTGGCCGGCTGGCTTCTCAACCCATGCCCCCCTTTCGAAGCTGCCGTCCTGGGTACGGTATCCATATGAAAGGGGCAGGCCGGAGGACAGGCAATCGGCACGACAGCGAGTTTGATGATGTGATTGGCCAGATGGCTCAGCTCGTCGGGCGGCAGACCGGCACTGGGTGTTAATTCACCTGCCTATTAGCGCAAGATCTGCTGCGACTGGCCCCATTCGCGGGTTCCAGGTCCCCATCTGCCAGCGACACAGCATGATTGTGCGAACGATCTAGTCCAACGGCGCACCTGGACATACCGGACGTTGAGCCCCGGATTAGAAGTTGCAATCGCTAAGTGCCAGGGGCGTGTAACCTCTGGCTTCCGAGTGATTTAAGCCAAGATCTGTCCACGGGGTTTATCGATAGATGCAAGGGATTATCTAATCTGTCCCAGGTACGGAACCTTTCTGGACAGATAAAGTTTCCCTAATAACATTGAATATGGTTCATTTCTTTTCCCTTTCTATCTTATATTCTTCAACTCTGCTAAACCCTAGTCAGACGTATGAAGATATCATAGGAAACAAGCAATTGTCCAGACAACAATCATTTACGCCGTTTGACGGATTGCCCTAAAGTTGGAGAGCTTTCAAATTGTTTGTCTGTGCGCTGAATTTGGACATTAGCGAAACAAATCGCCACTCAGAGAAATCATCTTGCCGATTGCTTCAATTCCCGGATTTCGTGAAAACCGAAGCCATTCTTCCTCTCATGCCGCTAGAACGCGCGATTCGGAGCATCATTTCAAGATATGATACGGTATCGAAGAGACCTCTGGCGTTTCTCTCAAAACGGCCTATTTCGATACCACTAATCTCTTCGAGGGAGGTGAGAATTATGCAGCTTGTTTCCCGCGTCAAGATGAGAGCTAGCTGGCACTGTGACTGAGGGGTAGGTTATTACGTATGGTCATCACAGGACACTTCACGCGACTTGCATGTCGATGAACATGGCGCGGACCGTCAGCCATTCAAGGCCATCGTTGTCACTTAAAAATGTGACGATACGCCTCTAGGAAGGGAATCATTTTTCACAGGAATCTAATCCTTCACCGTTGCTCTAGCCAGGGTATTCCGCGACAGAAATCTTCCCCGCAATCCTGTCAGCTATCAAGAAAGCCCATGCTGTTCTAAATTGGGGTAACACAGGGCGGCGAATGATGAGCAATGGGCTGAAAGAAACCTAGGAATGAGGCCTAAGCTGGTAATCGATAGGCAGCAAATCGGCCCGTAAGAAAGCCAATGTAAGCAAATATCGTCCAACAAGGATCCGTGTGACGGATTAAATCTATTGCTTTTTCTCGAATATTTGGTATTTATGATCCAAGATAATCCAACGTCTTAAGCCTTCCCATGGCCGGATAGTCTTTCCTGAGATTTAACACGGGCGACGATGAAGGTAGATATCTCTCTGGTCTTACTTGCGCTCGGCATCAAGGTGAGATGCGAATCCTTCGACTACGTAATAGCCGGGGCTGGAACTTGCGGTCTCGTACTTGCGAATCGGTTGTCTGAAGAACTAAATATCAGAGTTGCGGTCATCGAGCCGGGTGGTGATGTTCGTCATAATCCTAACGTCACCGACGTTACCAGGTTCCTTCGCGCCTTTGGTACCGATATCGATTGGCAATATACCACGACGCCGCAGCCAGGCGCAAGCAATAGATCACTTGCTTATCACGCGGGCCGAGCCATAGGCGGGACCTCAACAATAAATGGTCTGAATTCTGTTAGGTTACTTCGAGAATCATAGCTGACCATCCAGGTATGACGTACATCCGAGGCGACAAAGCCGAATTCGACGCCTTGGAAGCTCTCGGAAACAAAGGCTGGAACTGGGATACATTATATTCTTACTTCAAACGTGTTGAACGCTTCTCACCGCCCACAGCAGCACAGACGTCCGAGGGTGGTGCGAGTTTCAATCCAGAATACCATGGCGAAGATGGTCCTTTAACTACAGGGTTCCCATTCGAGCTTCTGAATGGGTCATTCCATGAACTGGCTCGAGAGGCTTGGCAAAAACTTGGATATCCCTTGAATCCCGACGTAAATAGCGGGGAGACGCGCGGGTTTGACGTGTGGCCCCAGACGCTGGATAGAGATGCGGATATCCGCGAAGACGCCGCTCGTGCCTATTACTACCCCATTGAGCAAAGACCCAATCTCAAGATTATCAAGGGGACAGTGACGAAATTGACTTGGGCAAATTCATCCACGGCTGGTAGCTTACTTTCGGCTGATGGAGTCGAGTATCGTGACTCTAACAACAAAACGGCTACCCTTAGCGCAACAAAAGAAGTCGTGCTGTCCGCCGGGGCACTGAGAACCCCGCTAATACTGGAATCATCTGGCGTTGGGAATCCCGAGATCCTCAAGAAGTATGGTATAGAGACGAAGATAGAGCTCAATGGGGTGGGAGAAAACCTACAAGACCAGCCCAACACAGCGTTGGAATATTCCTCGAACTTCAATGTGACAGGAACTGCCCCTTACGCAACATTTGTTACGGCCCAAGACATATTCGGTAACCAGACTTCCACCGTAGCAGCAGCGACCGATGCCAAGCTTTCTGAATGGGCTCAGAGGGTCTCGGACGTCAATGGAGGAGCCATTAGTCCTAGTCAATTAGAAAGGATATTCCGAGTGCAGCATAATCTCATTTTCAACAAGAATGTTACGATCGCCGAGTCTCTAACATCGGGTTCGGGTTCGATCCTCATATCTGCGTTTTGGACGTTACTGCCTTTCTCCCGGGGCAGTGTTCATATCAAATCGGCCGAAGATATTGAAGACCCCATCATTGATCCAAAATACTTATTCATCGACTTTGACCTCACCGTTCAAGCTGGGATCGGTCGCACTTCGCAGGGCCTTTGGTACACGGAACCGATCAGTAATACGGTTGTCAGTTATTTAGTCCCCGGGGATGCAGATCTGCCTCGCAATGCCAGCGATGCTCAGTGGGCAGCGGCCCTCGGGCCTCTAGTATCGCCAAATCATCATGTATGTAACATCGAGAATTGTTTTTCTCCCCCCCTTTTAGCTTGCATTGCGAGTGAAAACTTCCTGGTCAAACTAACCGAAGAACTTTTGCCTCTGAGGCACACTTGAAACTCTTAGAACTATTTCTTAAAGAATGTATTACTGACTTCTGTTGTTTAGGCACTTGGTACGGCTTCCATGATGTCGCGAGAGCTTGGTGGTGTTGTGGACCCGAAGCTGAAAGTCTTTGGGACTTCGAACGTTCGAGTTGTTGATGCGTCTGTGTTGCCGATGCAGATTAGTGGCCACTTAACCGCGACGCTCTACGCTGTGGCTGAGAGAGCGGCAGAATTAATCAAGAATTCATAGCCTAGCTGCATCCTGATTGAAATAGCTGAAGTATACAGTTCTAATTCGGTAGCCAATTTTTGATGTCTTTAATAACAGCACTGCATGTTACAAAAAGGGGGTTGTGCTTACGTAATGTATTCTATGAATTCTGAGCTCTGTTCAAAGTTCCAGGGAGTAAACATTGAATTGCAACGAAGCTTATTTAAAGTATTATCCATGGTGTTGAAATGGTGTTGAGAAGAAGCTGTGAGGTACATGATAGGAATGCCTCGTAGTTGAAGAAAAGTACAAAAGTATTGTTGAAGTACGTTGTCCGTGGTGTCAAGAATTCCTTTGGTTTGATATGAGGACCAAAAAGGAATTCAAAAGGCATGCCTCACTGAGTTGCAACAAATCGTTCTTGAACACTATTTTATCAAGCATAGATAGCGGCAAGCAAGAAAGGTATAAAAAGAAGGTTGAGCAATGTGTGGGTTCCCGTACTGTTGCGTACGGACTGCCTTACGAAAGCGTAAGCATGCCTGACTCTTCGTCAGAATCCCACGGGAGTTTGTGGTTGTAGGAACTGTAGTACAACGTCTGACTTTATTGCTCGGAGTGCCTCTCGAACACCTTCGAGAGGCTGGCAATCCAAATTTAATTATGGTATCAACCCTTGGATTTGGTCGAGGGGTGGTCAAAGTTGCACGATGAATCACGGTTTCTAGGACAAACGCGTGTCGCGTAGGTATGGTGGTTGTCAAGATGCTCTTAATCGTACCTAGCCCGTTCATGTTATTAACATCATGGGTGCTTCTTAAGCCTTGGGTCACTTGGTCTAGTAAGTAACCTAGAACGATTCAGGAGAAATCCGTTTGATATTTTAGGTTTACCAATGCAGTTTTCCTTTATATTGATCCTTATTGTCGACGTTGCTGAACTTATCCACCCAAGTAGTCATTCCCTCAGGCCGGCTAGCCATTGTGGAATTTATATTGAATTTCATCACAGGTCATCGCGCGGAACCCCGATGGCTTTACTATAGTATCTCACCTTATTCCCGCCTCAAGCTGAGCTCTTTATAGAAAACTCATTAATAAGAGGGATATGTCCGTGATCGAGTATATGATTGGCTGGTGCTTATTAATGGCCATGCATTAACCCTCCTATTACTACCTATCTACCTATACTTATAGACCAGTGCCTACCTAAGTAAGTAGGATTTATTCGAACTACCTGATTCCAATTATCCTTACCTAGTAAATATTGACTCATTGAACGTAATCAGCATTTGTATCACATTAATCGATGTATATCGCCATTATTTCATTTCGAGTCAAGTAACCTATATACCCCGCCCCTTCACGAATAAGCAACAATGAAGCTATACCAGAGCATCTTACTCGTTTGCCTTTCTTGTCTAGTGTCAGCATCGAAGAATTCTGAGCCATACGATGCAGTGATCGTTGGAGGAGGCCCGGCAGGCTTCGTACTTGCCTCGCGACTCTCAGAAAACCCAGACTTCAAGGTACTGCTCATAGAAAGTGGGCCGGATACGTATACCAATGAGACAATCACGACCCCGAGGTATGCCAGCCGGCTACAAGGGACTCAATTCACTTGGAACTTTACGTCTGTTCCGCAGACTACTCTCGATGGTGCTACACCACCATTACATCAGGGATTCGGGCTCGGCGGAGGCAGTGCTGTGAACGTCATGGCCTACTGCCGAGGATCCAGTTCTGTCTTTGATGAATGGGCCAATATATCGGGCATATCCGGACTAAAATGGGATAATCTCCTGACCTATTTCAAGAAAAGCACTAATCTATTTGTGCCGCCTGACCTCGACTATGACCAGGTGATCGACAGGGCAAACTTTGGCGATTATCATGTCAATGTCAGCTATGAAACGAGCGAGCAACGATCTATAATCGACAATTCGTTTGTGAATACGTGGGTCGCTAACGGTGGAAAAGATGCCGACCTAACATCTGGAAAAGGTATTGGTATGATTATAGGAGGTCCTCATTCTATCAATCCAGCCAATGGAACGAGATCGTATGCTTTACCTGCCTACGGATTTGAACTTGCTGGACGCCCAAACTTTGAGTTAATTGACGGCAGCCGAGTGATCAGGATCAACTTCGAGGAGACCAAGGCCGTCGGCGTGGACTACATAGATGTCTCAAACAACGAAACTTTTACTATTAGGTCAAAAGAAACGATTATTAGTGCAGGAGCGGTCAACTCTCCACGCCTCCTCCTTCTCTCGGGAGTTGGTCCCAAAGATGACCTCGAAGAACTCGGTATTCCTGTTGTCGTCGATAGTCCTGGAGTTGGGTTAAACTTCTTCGACCACCATTATAACGTCATGATGTTTAATGCCACTCCTAATATCATCACCAACAAACAGATAAGCGATCCAGTACTGCTCGCCTCCTTTTTAGCCGAATACAAAGACAACGGAACAGGCCCCCTATCAACTCCAGGCTCTTCCTCGTTCCTCGCGGAGAGGGTACCCGACGAGATACTCGATAGTTTCGGTGTGAATGTCAGCTTTCATAAGAGCTTACCGAAAGATCGGCCTCATTTGCTGTACCAGGGGTCGGCCTCTGCGATGCTTCCAGCGCCCGACAGTTCCAATACATTTTCAATGCACTCAGCCCTCGTACAGCCGGAGACACCTGGATCCATACGGCTCAACAGTTCGAACTGGCGTGATAATCCAGTACTCGATTCCAATTACTTCGGTTCCGAAGGCGACTTTGCTATTGCTCTATATGGCTACAAGCGCATGATAGCCATGATGCGATCAGACACGATGAAGTCTGTAATAGTGAACGAAATATATCCCGGGCCCAACGTCACAAGTGATGCGGGTATCAAGGCAGCATTCATGGAAGCTGCTCTCTCGTACCATCATCCAGTGGGAACGAATTCTCTCGGGACAGTGTTAGATGAGAGCTTTAGGGTGAAAGGTGCGCAGAACTTGAGAGTGATCGACTCGAGTGCTATCCCGCGACTGCCAACATGTCACTTGCAGTCGTCGGTATATGCGTTAGCCGAGTTTGCGTCTACGATACTCAAGTACGAGCTTTACTAGGTAAAGTAAAGGGTTCACAGTTCGATAATGCTGTATTGGTGGAAAAGCTCTGGGAGAAAAGGGGCTAAAGAAAAGTGGATACATACAAAAGGGGGGACTAGCTATACGCATCCCATAGTAAATGAAGAATGATCGAAAACAGTACATATGTCTGCCTCCATGAATCAATTACTGGGATCTACTGATTAAATCAGTATGTAGTCCATGATCAGGTGGCCTTATAAATCCCAGTTGCAGTTGGATGGACGTAGCCCCAAGTGATCCATTGACGCCGTCTGTTTGAGTGCATGATAAAAATACAGGAACCTTAACATGCTTTATGGTGAATGAGAAGCACAATTATAATCTGCCAGGTGGTTAAAAAATAAAAGGTGAGTCACAAAGTGGAAAAATAATATTACCAAGTGATAAATTCGTTCAGGAAAAGTGAAGTACTAGAATACATAACCAACCAGTACCCGCCCAAGTATTGCCCAATACTTTTCCCTACGGTAAAAGATTTGTGACGCAATTACTTTTCTTTTTCTATTCGACCGTACTCTTCCACTCATCAAGTGCTTCTAGTACGATTTAGCGTTGTGTGGAAGTCACGAAGTTGGTCAATTCGTACCTGCCTCCTTTCGAAGCAAACCGCACGTTCTCGTTTCGTAACTTCCACGCGCATCTTGATAAAGTCAAATCTACTTCACCTTTCCGTTCTTTTTCACTTCTCTTCCTTTTCACACTAAAGCACACATTGCGCAAACTCATCTTGACCTGCAAAACTCATTCTCCCCACATTCTACCGTCGAGAATATTTGCACAATCCGACACAATGAGTTCCATCTCATCTAATCTCGTCCGCGCCGGGCTCCCTCGCGGCATTCGAATTACTACCGTTTCAACGGTGAGCTTACCCGCATATTCATCCATCCCCCAATCATTCACGTCGTCGCTAATAAAATCACTAGCCGTACCAGCACCGATCCATCTCGTGGATGCCCTGGGAACAACCCAACCCGAAGCTTTACATAGACCAATCCGACCCGGTCTACAACCTGCCGCCTCCGGAGGACCCTGCCAAGAAGACTGACGCTGGAGCCGAAGCCAAGAAGTCTCACGCAGACACCACCGGCACCCAAGACGTGCGCAAGGCCGGCGAGGCCGCCGTCGCTCCAGGCACCGCGGCCGTCGGAGCAGGAGGCAAACAAGAAGTCTCGACATCCGGCAAGACGGTGCCGACCTCCATCCAAGCGGGCAGCCTCCGCATCCCCTCCACCCAGACGCGCAGCATGCACACGGCAAGCGGCGGCACTCCCTCCAGCGCGCCCGCACTCCTTTACCTCCCCACAACCCTCCTGCGCATCCCAGGCATGCCCTCGACCTGGCCCGGCGAGTCCCCCCAGTCGCCCGACCAGCCGCGCATCCGCAAGCGCCGGATGGAGGTAATCCACGAGTTCAGCAGCAAGCCTCAGCAGCTCATCCGCGCCGCTGCCGCCATCACCACCACCGCCTCCGGCTCTCCTTCCGAGGACAACAAGTCCACGCGCCAGGTGCTCGAGACCCTGGGCGACATGACGTCTGCGTCGCCGCAGACCTACAACGAAGACGACAACGGCGATGACGGCGACTTGGACCCGAACACGTCGCTCAGCTTCGAGAAGGCGGTGGCACGCTACATGGAGGGCGTCAAGGCGCGCGAGGAGGCGCTCGCTGTCGCCGACCAGTCTGGCGACCCGGCTGTCAGCCGCCAGGTCCTGGACGAGGTGGAGCGCAACCAGTGGCGTCGCGTCGTCTGGGCTGCGCTGGAGAATCTGCCTAAGCTGCCTCCCGAGAGCGACGAGAGTGGTAAGGGCAAGGATACTGCGGGACAGGGTAAGGATGCTAAGGGAAAGGGCAAAGGACGCGCTTAGGGGGTCTGACTTGGGTACGAATAGGTAATGGTTTTCTGAGTCGGGTATTCGGTTGATGTACTATGGGAGGCGAATGGCAAAAGAGGGGTGTTGATTCGATATGAACTGAGCCGTGGATAGGCTCATTTCCGTATTTCGTTTCGTTAGTCTGTTTTAGGTCGATACCCCTGGGTTGGAGTTAATACCCGCTCGGTTTGGTTTGGTTTGGGGCGGGATAGGAAAAGTCATGGGGGTTAGGACATCCTGCATACGTCTGCGGTAGCAGATACTCAGCAACTCTAAATTGATCGTGTTGCTATGGAATTCTATTACTTTAAGTAAGTGATTAGCTACGAAGCTCGGTAAGACATGTCTAGGTCGTAGAAAATTGGTAAGATGATACTTCTATGTTGCCCACCTCCTTGTCTGATCCATCATTTATCCAAAAGACGAGGATCGTACTTTATGGAACGCTCCAAATCTACGTATTATGGTGTGAATTATTTCTATAGCTTTAAGTCAGCTTACAACTTGCACAAGGGTCCGTATCGCAACAAAGGTGGAAGGGGGAAGAATAATGCCTCTATTGAATAAACGCTAGTACTTCCGTAAAGAACAGACGCTCAATGAATCCCTATCCGTACAATGTCAAAAGCCGTAGAGCAAAAACCGCGTCCCATTGCTAATATAACACTTCTAAACCTATCCCATTTCCAGACTCCAAGGTAAGTTTCGTCGAGCAAGTGGTTAAAGTTAAAGCCTAATGGGAGAACTCCGAGATGAATGAGGTCGTAAGCAATCACTCGTGTAAGCGAGAGTACCTGACAAACAAGCGGTCGAGGAAGTGAGAGTGGCGAATCCCGTTAGGCCTCGCTGCTGCAAAAGCGTCGATCGCGTCCTGGACTTCATATCCGCAGCGCTCGACTAGATAACACACGACGAAATAGCCGGTGCGGTTGAAGCCATAGTGGCAGTGGACGCCGATGACGTGGTCCGGGCTCCAGTCGGGCTCCGTGGCCGCACGCTCCTTCTGATCCTCGCGGATGCGGTCCACGAGTTTGATAAAATTGGCTACCTCGGTCTCGGTTGGCGGGATCTTTGACACTGTTGGAAACTTAAAAAGGCTTTAGATCATATACGTCTAAAAAAAACTTATGATTTCTCACCTTATGATACTTGATACCATCACCAAAGCTCTTGGGGTCATATACTGGGTCTGTGTGGCTGATGTCGATGATGTCTTTAATGATGTGTCCCCTTGTGGAAGGATTAGTAGTGTTCATGGGGTGTGAATAGGGGCAGGGATAAAAGTACACTCACCAATTGGCCGCAAATACTTTAGGAGAATGTTCTTCGTCAACCTCGCGCAAAGTCTTCATTGCTCGGAATACGCCGCCAATAGGTTCACTAACAGGTTTGACGCTTTTCCATTTGGCGAGATTCTTGACATCCCACTTCCCGTCGCGGGACAGATGCTGTAATTGCCAACCCCTGTTCAAAACATTAATCCAATCACGTACTTGAGCCATCCATATTACAGACTTACAGAGAAAAACGGCCAGTGACATGGTCATTCATGAAGTCGCCTATAAGCCCTGCCAAGACGCGAACCGTGTTCGGCATATAAAGCAAAGCATGTCCGGCTGGCAATAATGAAGTTTTAACGACTTTAGATGGATGCCGCGGCTGGGGAGGAATACCGCCGATTGACTCCTGGTCTCTCGGCGTAGTAGGGTCCTCGTAGTTGTCTTCCACGTTAGCTGTTGGCGGCTGCTTCCGTGTAAAATCCTCGTCGGTGATAGCGTCGATCGATTGTGGCATGTCTCGCGGTTTAGCCGAGGTGCTCACCGGAGCTGCGGCATCCACAATTGCGCGTGCCTCCGTAACATTAGATGGAATGTCGCCAGGATGCTCGGAAGCAACCTGCGAAGATGCCGAATCGGACCTCTCGGACGTGACCCCGCTGGATAAAGGGGCCGGCTTAGTTGCAGATTCAAGAAGGCCCCGAATTGTTTCAATTTCTCTTGGAGGCGTAACGGAATCATAGTCGCCACCTATTAGGAAAACGGGAATATCGAGACCAGCCCAAGTGGGTTCACCGAACAGCCCCCCTACTGGTTTCTCGCTAATGAAATGTGTGGGCAATGCTCCCCATGCCATTCGACGGAAAACTGGTGTACGACTTTGGCTATTGAACCTATCTTGAATCTGCCGGGCCTCGAGGTCTCCTCCAGGGCCAACAAACCGCTTAACACTGGCGCTCTCGGGACCACCCCGTCTATCCCAAGTCCGCCAAAGGTTGAAAATGAAATCTGGGAGCCAGAGAAGCATACGAACACTGCGCACTACTTTTGGCGGTTGTGGGCCGGATACGGGACAAATTGCGATTAGGCCCATCACATGTGAAGGAGGACGCAAATAGAATGCCGATTGCTTATTCGCAATACGAGCAGCAATCGCAGTTCCCATGCTATGGGCAATTAGAACAAGCCCCTGGTCCTTCTCCCGATACCCCTCAATAATGGTCTCGAGTAAGTCGGTCAAAGCATCTGTCGTATACGCATCCCACAACGTCGGCGCAAACTGAGAGAGGCCGCAACCGGGCAAGTCGATGGCCAGGCAAGACGCGGAATTAACGAGACTAGTAAGTAGAGGATGAAACTGCGCAACGGATCCCCCAAGTCCGTGGATAAACACCAACAAAGGAAGCGGTGCTGGGTCTTGGGGCAACTCGTCTGCTTTTGGGTGACGACGGTAAAAGACCCGGATTCCGGGATAGGTAATGCCAGTCCGGCTAGCAGTGTAAGACACTATTTTGGAGTGCTTCCGAAGGAGCGGGGGGTCGGTGGCGTCCGCATCTTTCGAATCGGGCCCGTCGGCTCGGGTCCTGGCCATTCGTCGATGAAGGTACCATGCACTCCCCAAGGCGACGGTGAGGCCGAAGACAAGATGTCTGGCTCTTAATAAAGATGACGCTGCGTCGGATGAAGACATGGTGAATAACTCAATCCTACGCAAGCAAAATAGAGAAAAGAATAGTAGGAAAACATTGACGAGAAGTTCTTGGTGTCTCTAAAGCGGCAACAGTGGTGGTACCTTCACCGAATCTAGAGAGATCGATCCACCGTCGTGCACCATTCCGGCATAGAAACAGGTAACAGATAAGAACCTTGATGAATGAGCACTTACCACTTAAAAAGTGCTTTCAGCAACCGAAGCGACGATGTAAGGGTTCAACTTTAGATTACCTCGCTAGGCCCTGGGGTAGGTATTATATGTAGGAAGGTATGGAGGTATGTAGAGAGGTAGATAATAGATACCTAGATACCGAAATCAGTGTGATAAGTTACGATGCGACAATGGACAATGCAGGTGAGTATCAAAAAGTGACGATCCTGAATTATCAAGTCCTTCCGTCTGTGATATGTGGATATGAGATATGCAGAATGGATCTCTCACATGCGACTCTGACGGAAACCGGAAACGAAAGGAAAGGAAAAAGTCTTTGATCGCAACCGAGTTCCCAATGACTCGTTGGGCGCCAAAGGGAATAATCTCAAATAAGTACCGATGCGCCTCCAGAAAAATACGATATATACCGTGGTTCGATGTGCGATGCGAAACAGAAAAAGAAAAAAAATAAATCGCTAGTTTGTCAGATGCTGGGAAATCTAATAATAAAGATATGACCCGTTTGGCTGCGGTTGTTGTACGGCATACACCTATACACGTTTCTGGCGGAATGGCTCATTGAACTTCGATGAATGAACCAATTGCCAGGTACGCTACCAACCTTAGCTAATATGAGAGCGAAAATATGTCATAGCACCCTGTCCCTTCAGCCACTAAATCGTCATGGCGCCTCAACGTGTTGCTCAAGGAGGCTGCCATTGGACTGATATTATTGGCCAATGAACTTTGTCTATATCAGCCACAGAATGCAAGGCTGATAATATCCCCTGTCGCTCTTCAGCTCGGCTTACATCGCTGTGTAAGTGAATTAGAAGATTGCTATATTTTAGTAACAATGTTTCAAGGATAGTTTTTCAATTGTGGAAGGAAACGGAAGCCATTTCATGTTGTGATTAGTGCTCAAAAATAGTGCAAGAAATTTGATCCCACAGTGTCGCTTTTACTGCTTGTATAGTTAGGTCCTGTAAAAATTACGAAGTCACAAACTAACAAACACAAACCGCGGCAAGTTTCCCTATATCCAGAATTCCTATTTAGACTTAGCAGTATCCATAGAGTTTTAGATTCATGAGTTGCTGGTTTCATATATTAATACGGTATAGAATTTCTTCAACACAATCATTATCCCATAGGGTTGCCCAAGTCCCGTGCTTTGGACTCAAACACTTATAGATATGAAAACGTGCATCGCGAGACCAGTTATCCAAGATTTCGCTCTAAAACATAGTAAACTTCTTGAAGAAAAACCCACAGGGTACCAGTTTGTTCTGAATAGATGCAGCCAGTCTATGCTGAAACCGCCTGAACTAAGTGGTAGAGCATTGGTGTTCTACTGTGGACGCAGTTTGTATGTTCGCAAAATGGGCCGTCCTCCACGATGAGACTATCGAGACCGCCCTGGCAGAATACTATTTAAACTAGAGAGTTCACTTCGGATTGAAACAGATTCGAAAACCACAAGCACCTTCAGAATATCTCATTCATCCCATAATATCGGATTTACACACTCGAGCACTCTCAACTACGCTACAACACCAGTCAGACACCGAACAACCAAGAATAAAAATAATTTGGATTCAATTTCGATCAACTACCAACAATTCATCACCATGACTGAACCCATAGATCCGAAGTACCCACGCGTCATCGCGCGTGGCAACTTCCAGAAAGAGACAGAGAACCAGCTCTCTGTTCGAATGGGCGAAACCTTGTACATCATTTGGCGCGGATATGAACGTATGTGACCCTATTTGAGCTCCCACTCAACCTGTCAGACAGCAAGCTAATTAGATTACTTTTAGAATGGCTATTTGTCATGAACGCCAACAGGGAACAAGGCTTCGTAGACCGAAATTGGGTCATGGAGATGCTTTTGTAAAGCAAGTTTCACCCTCAGTGACTATCAGAGTCGCCCACGAAACGGCCATCCATCCCACTACCGAATCTCCCCGACAAATTTTCGCAGCGACATCCACAGCGTTTGATTTTTAACGAATTACCATTTTCGACACATGATGCAGCGTTCCTTCGGCTTTATCTTCTGGGCCCTTGGGGGGCTCTCTGGATCATACAGGTCTCTTGTTTTAAGGCATTTTCATAAGGATGGGGAAAATGGTCGGTTAGGCAATAAGGGGTAATGGAATGGGATTTTAGCGACAAGTACTGATGAGACTTCGGTGATTGTGATATGCTGCTTTTCGTCCAATGTGCTATGTATGAGTTGAGATGAGTGCTTTTCCTTGGCCACCTTAACGCCGTTAAAGAGTTAGCCACCATTGGCTTGATATCCGTCCATCAAGCCGCCCCGACTCCCTCCCTCCAACCAACCGGTATCAGCGCAGCGGCAACATCATCAAGTCCCCTCTCCGTAGCCAGCAGATTATACTGTGCAGCCGCATTCCTCGTATCCAGAACCTCGACCCTCATGCCGAGACTACCGATATGGCGTTTCAACTCGGGACTAATCGGGCGATTCAGCGGGCCGAGCCCTAATATCAACAGATCTGTGCCACACAAACGCTCATTAGCACACCATCGCAAATCACAACACCCACACACCCACACACGCACGAGCAAGTAAGTATAAAAGCACAAGCATCCCACTAACCAGGTCGCGGCCAAACCAACCCAAAAAGGCCAAACGTCTCATTCGGCACCTCCCACTGCCCCTTCCTATTCACCAACCTCTTCTCCCCGCTTCCGCCCCCGCGCGCAAGCCACGGCTGCCACGTAAACGCCTCGCCGCCAACCAACAGTACGCCCGAGCCACCAACGACCTTGGCGCCGCTGTTGAGGTGGAAGCCGTCGGGCGCGCACACGTCGACGGAGGTAGCGGGGACGGGGGCGTCGGCCAGGACGTTGAGGGCGCCGAAGTCGGTTTGCGGGGCGTCGCCTTTCATGCGCCTACTCGGTGCGGTGGTGTGGAATGTATGCCTTGACACTGCCGCTGTCGTTGCTGTTGCGCGGGGGAAAGCGGCGGCGGTGTTGCTGATTTGCGACGGCGAGAAGAGTGGTCGCTGGCCTTGTCGCAGAAGCGTGGCGACTTGGGCGAGAGGCTGACAGGCGCGTGAGGGAGCCATTGCCGCTGTTGAGATTGGATTATCTCTTGCTTGCGAGTCCCATTGTGCGGTGCTCGTCCGGTTTCTGGGTGTTGACCTTTTCTTTGAGGTAGGTCTAGAGTAGGTAGAGTAGCTTGAGGTTGCGCAAAGAAAAGGTAGACGTCATTTTTAGAGACCCGCACTACCCCCCGTGTATCGAATATTGCGGATCAATCTATATTTGCTATCATGTTATGCTATATGCACATAGCCAGAAGCTATGACTTAAGCAACTTCTACGCACATAATATTCATTATTCATGTTCAGAAGCTCAAAGGGTAATACATCCTTATTCTCCAGCGTACCTACGCGAGAATATCTATAGATGGCATTTTTTAGGTCCCTACTAGTAAACGAAAAGATTATGTTGCATCAAATTAGAGTAAGTCGACTATTATACCATAGGCTTTCTAGCGATTTAAGGTGTCTGTCTCATTGTCTAGATATGACTGAGTGTAAATCTCACTTGTTAGGTTACAGAGTCTACAGTCACTACGTCCAGGGAAAAGTAGGAATTCCCTGGAATGTATGTTGCCGTGACTATTACCTACTAGGGAGACACCTAGATCGGTAGATTGAGATACTCTTGTCACAAGGCGAGGATACGAAAACTGCCAAGAGCGTAGTGGTAGTTCTGATGTCGTTTATTCCGTTACGATCATCTAAGCCATGAGAAGTCCCAGAAACAGAAACAGCTTTTGACTAGCCGTTCGCATGAATGCAGCCCTGACCTCTGAACACCCGAATCAATGAAGGCCTAACCATTCCATCCCAGAGTCGCGTAACGGGTTTATTTCTTCTTAGAACCCTCGCTCTGTTCCTTTAGCACCTTCTTCACGATCTTTTGCTCCTCAATCAAGAATGCTCGGACGATTCTGTCTCGTACGCAGTTGCCGCATCGAGAACCGCCGTAGGCTCGCTGCACTGTCTTCTTGGGGTGGGAGATCTGAGAGTATTCACGAGGTCGGAGGGCAGGAACCTGTTAGGAGAGGAGAAATGTTAGCGTTGGCTTCAGCAAAAAATGGGCTTGGTTGAACCATCGTCTTCGCACAGAATCCTCCGTCGCCTGGAAAACGAATGTTTCTAGTCGAGATACTCGCAACCGCAACCGTCACCAAATAATTACGCGCAAATAATTATTCTGTGGCGACCGAATGTAACGGTTGTCCTTGCGTAGATCGATTCCAGGTCGAATTTTCCAATTTCCTCTCGCTGCCCGTATCCCAGATACTATCCGACGAAAATAATCAAATTCACTTACGCCAGGGAGCTTGACGCCACAGTCACCGCATTTCGGGGCAGTTCCTCGCTTCTTGATGTGAAGTGCTCGTAGTTCACCACCTGGAGTCTTGACGACTCGGGTCTTGTTGGAGGTGGTGTTGTAGCTAGAAACGACACGTTAGTTTTACGCGACCGTAACAATAAGAAGAATTCGACTTTGATAATTATCCTAGTCGAGATGGGAGACATACGGGTTACGACGGCGGTAGGTCACTCGGTTGTTAGGCATGGTGACGGTGTTGCTGGAGGAATTGATTTGACTTGTTCCTTTGCAACTTTTTTTGTGAGTGATGAATTTTGGGTGTTTTTGCAAAAGACAAGTTCGATGTGTGGGATGGATCTTTAGCCCGCTTAGATTTGAACCAATGGGAATCATGTTGTGGGATTAAAATTTTAGCCACAATTACCCGTCCCAACAGCCACAGTTCTGCGGGTATCTACTATCCACGTGATAGAAGCTCAAGCCTCACCCTTCGCGCCAAGGAATCGAAGTGGGGCCTTCAAGCTAAACCGTACGTAGTACTGGCCCCAAGAAAAATTGCCCCAAGGCGACCGTTAAAGATTTCAAACAACATCTTTCATCAACCTTAACCTTCTCAACTAGCTTTTCGCGTCGGTCATATCGGAGGACGTCGCGTCTAATTGTTAATTTCATCACGATCTCTATTCGCTTCGATTGCTAGGAATCGAAAAACACTGCTGCCTGCTTAAGGCGCCCGTAGCACCCTCGCGCGACTGATCGCGCCGCGGCAGCGACAGCATCGAAAGTCACAAAGCTACAATCTCTGTTGGCTTGAAGATGTCATCCTTTCAACCCCCTCCGCCTCCTCCTGGATGGGGACCGCCACCACCACCTCCCCCTCCGTCAGATTTCCTTCCACCGCCGCCAGGAGCTCCAGCTCCTCCTCCCCCTGGATACCGCCCCCCGACCGATCCTCAGATCGCGAAGTTTGCGCAGAAGAAGAAGGAATGGCTTCGGGACCAGCGAAACCGCTTTGGAGAAAAGCGCAAGGGCGGCTTCGTGGAGACCCAGAAGGCTGATATGCCCCCCGAACATCTGCGCAAGATCGTGAAGGATATCGGCGATGTCTCCCAGAAGAAGTATACAAGCGATAAACGAAGCTACCTTGGCGCTCTCAAGTTCATGCCGCATGCCGTAATGAAGTTGCTGGAGAATATGCCCATGCCGTGGGAGTCGTCAAGGGAAGTCAAGGTCTTGTACCATGTCAACGGGTGCCTGACGCTTGTAAACGAGATTCCTCGTGTTATCCCGCCCGTATTCCACGCGCAGTGGGCAACGATGTGGTTGACCATGAGGAAGGAAAAGAGCGACCGAAGGCTGTTCAAGCGAATGAGGTTCCCGCCGTTTGATGACGAAGAGCCACCTCTATCGTGGTCTGAGAACATCGAGGATGTCGAACCGCTGGAGCCGATTCAGATGGAGCTCGACGAGGAAGAGGATGGTGCGGTGTACGAATGGTTTTATGACCATCGGCCCTTGGTCGATACCGAGCACGTCAACGGACCGAGTTATAAACAGTGGAATCTCACGTTGCCGCAGATGGCCGCGCTCCACCGACTTAGTCGCCCGTTACTAAGCGAGACGGTCGACCAGAATTATTTCTACCTATTCGATCTGAAGAGTTTCCTTACAGCAAAGGCTTTGAATGTCGCGCTACCCGGTGGTCCTCGATTCGAACCACTATATAAGGACATCGATCCAAACGACGAGGATTTCGGAGAGTTCAATGCCATCGATCGAATTATATTCCGATTCCCGATTCGCACTGAGTACCGAGTCGCTTATCCCTACCTGTACAACTCGCTTCCTCGAAGTGTCAAGTTCAACTGGCACTCTCACCCGCAGATCGTGTATACTAAATCCGAAGACCCTAATCTACCTGCTTTTCACTTCGACCCTATGATCAATCCTATATCGTCTCGCTCAGTCGCCCCGAAGAATGTCACTATTAGTCACGAGGACGAGATCTTCGGTGCGGGTAATCTTGAAGAGTCCGAGGACGATGCTTTCGAATTGCCGGCTAGCGTTGAGCCCTTTTTAGCTGATGAAGAGCTTTATACCGAGGACACGTCCTCTGCCATTGGTCTCTGGTGGGCTCCTTTCCCATTCAATCGTCGATCTGGTCGGATGGTTCGTGCACAGGATGTACCGCTCGTAAAGCAGTGGTACCTCGAGCATTGCCCTCCGAAGCAGCCAGTTAAAGTTCGAGTTTCGTATCAGAAGCTACTCAAGACATACGTACTCAATGAGCTTCACAAGAAAAAGCCGAAGGCTCTCAACCGGCAAAATCTTCTGAGGACGTTAAAACAGACCAAGTTCTTCCAGCAGACGACGATCGACTGGGTTGAAGCCGGTCTCCAAGTTTGTCGACAAGGATTCAATATGTTGAACCTCTTGATCCACCGCAAGAACCTCACATATCTTCACCTGGATTATAACTTCAACCTCAAGCCGGTGAAAACGCTGACTACGAAGGAGCGGAAAAAGTCACGTTTTGGCAATGCCTTCCATCTCCAGCGTGAAATATTGCGTCTATTGAAAATAATCATAGATTGTCATGTGCAATACCGGTTAGGTAATATAGACGCTTTCCAATTAGCTGATGGTATCCTCTACGCCTTCAACCACGTTGGTCAGCTAACCGGTATGTACCGGTACAAGTATAAGCTGATGCATCAGATTCGGTCGTGTAAGGATCTGAAACATCTTATCTACTACCGCTTCAATAGCGGGCCTGTTGGCAAGGGACCTGGCTGTGGTTTCTGGGCGCCGGCCTGGCGAGTTTGGCTTTTCTTCATGCGAGGAATAATTCCCCTCCTTGAACGATGGCTAGGAAATCTACTCTCCCGTCAATTTGAAGGACGTCACAGCAAGGGCGTGGCCAAGACTGTGACCAAGCAACGTGTTGAGTCCCACTTCGACCTAGAACTCCGAGCTTCGGTGATGGCCGATCTTATGGATATGATGCCCGAGGGTATCAAGCAGAATAAGGTCAATACTGTCCTCCAACACTTGTCAGAAGCTTGGAGATGCTGGAAGAGTAATATTCCGTGGAAAGTGCCTGGCCTACCTGCCCCTATCGAAAACATCATTCTTCGCTATGTCAAGGCAAAGGCGGACTGGTGGATGTCGGTCGCACATTACAATCGTGAGCGTATTCGGCGAGGCGCAACCGTTGATAAGACGGTCGCAAAGAAGAACGTGGGTCGTTTGACGCGTCTCTGGCTAAAGGCTGAACAGGAGCGTCAGCATAACTACATGAAAGACGGCCCTTACGTATCGTCTGAAGAAGCTGTGGCGATCTACACAACGACGGTACACTGGCTTGAATCCCGGAAGTTTACCCCAATTCCGTTCCCGAGTGTGTCATACAAGCACGACACAAAGATTCTGATCCTTGCCTTAGAAAGACTGCGAGAGGCGTATTCCGTGAAAGGCCGCCTTAACCAAAGTCAACGGGAGGAATTAGCGCTGATCGAACAAGCTTATGACAGCCCCGGCACTACTTTGGAAAGGATCAAGCGATTCCTCCTCACGCAACGAGCATTCAAAGAAGTCCAGATTGACATGAACGATAATTACAGTACCATCAACCCTGTTTATGATATCGAACCCATCGAGAAGATCAGCGATGCCTATCTTGACCAGTATCTGTGGTACCAGGCCGACCAGCGGCATCTCTTCCCCGCCTGGATCAAGCCCTCTGACTCCGAGGTACCACCCCTTCTAGTATATAAATGGGCTCAGGGTATCAACAACCTAGAAAAGGTCTGGGAGACTGAGGATGGAGAATGCAATGTCATGATCGAGACAGAGCTTTCCAAGGTCTATGAGAAGATAGATCTGACTTTGTTGAACCGACTTCTCAGATTAATCATGGATCACAACCTGGCGGATTACATCAGCTCCAAGAACAACGTGCAGTTAACATACAAGGACATGAATCACATCAACAGCTACGGTATGATTCGTGGTCTTCAGTTCTCGGGCTTTGTTTTCCAGTACTATGGTCTTGTGCTCGACCTATTGCTCCTCGGTTTGAACCGTGCTAGTGAGATCGCCGGTCCGCCGTCAAGCCCGAACGATTTCCTTCAGTTCCGTGACCGCGAGACTGAGACAAAGCATCCTATTCGTTTGTACACAAGGTACATTGGCAGGATATGGGTTTTCCTGCGATTTACCGCCGAAGAGTCACGAGATCTCATCCAGCGATTTCTAACAGAACAGCCCGACCCGAACTTTGAAAATGTCATAGGCTATAAGAGCAAAAAGTGTTGGCCGAGGGACTCCCGCATGCGACTTATGAGGCACGACGTCAACCTTGGCCGAGCCGTATTCTGGGATTTGAAGAATCGACTGCCTCGATCCGTTACCACCATCGAATGGGATGACACCTTCGCTAGTGTCTATAGTCGTGACAATCCAAATCTGCTCTTCTCCATGTGTGGATTCGAGGTCCGCATTCTTCCGAAGATCAGGAACCAGAATGATGAGTTCCCTATCAAGGATAGTGTGTGGTCTCTCGTAGATAATACTACCAAGGAGAGAACAGCACATGCCTTCCTGCAAGTTACAGAGGAAGATATTCAGAAGTTTAACAATAGGATTCGTCAGATCCTTATGTCTTCTGGATCGACCACCTTCACCAAGATTGCCAATAAGTGGAACACCGCCCTTATTGCGCTCTTCACCTACTATCGTGAGGCTGCCGTATCCACTATCAATCTACTGGATACAATTGTGAAATGCGAGACCAAAATTCAGACCCGTGTGAAGATAGGGTTGAACTCGAAGATGCCATCACGTTTCCCTCCTGCTGTCTTCTATACGCCGAAGGAGCTAGGTGGTCTCGGAATGATTTCCGGTTCACACATTCTCATTCCAGCCAGCGACAAGCGTTACTCGAAGCAGACGGATACTGGAGTGAGCCATTTCCGAGCCGGTATGACGCATGATGAAGAAACCCTCATCCCTAACATTTTCCGATACATCATCCCCTGGGAGGCTGAGTTTATCGACTCGCAAAGAGTTTGGACGGAGTACTCCCAAAAGAGATTGGAGGCCAATCAACAAAACAGGCGTTTGACCTTGGAAGACTTAGAAGACAGCTGGGATCGTGGTCTGCCGCGTATCAACACGTTATTCCAAAAGGACCGAAGCACGCTCAGTTTTGACAAGGGTTTCCGTACTAGAAGCGAATTCAAGATCTACCAGCTCATGAAGAGCAATCCCTTCTGGTGGACCAGTCAACGTCATGACGGAAAGCTTTGGAACTTGAACGCCTACCGCTCCGATGTTATCCAGGCCTTGGGCGGTGTAGAAACGATCCTCGAGCACACTTTGTTCAAGGCAACGGGTTTCCCATCATGGGAGGGTCTGTTTTGGGAAAAGGCCAGTGGTTTTGAGGAGTCGATGAAATTCAAGAAGTTGACCAACGCGCAAAGATCCGGTCTAAACCAAATTCCCAACCGTCGGTTCACGCTTTGGTGGTCTCCTACTATTAACCGTGCAAATGTCTACGTCGGTTTCCAGGTGCAACTGGATCTTACAGGCATTTTCTTACACGGCAAAATTCCTACCTTGAAGATTTCTCTCATCCAAATTTTCCGTGCCCATTTGTGGCAGAAAATCCACGAGTCTGTTGTTATGGACTTCTGTCAAGTCTTCGACCAACAGCTAGAATCTCTTGGTATCGAGACCGTCCAGAAAGAAACCATCCATCCTCGAAAATCATACAAGATGAACAGCTCTTGTGCTGATATCCTGCTTTTCGCTAGTAACAAATGGAACGTCACTCGACCATCGCTTTTACACGACACCAAGGACACTATTGAGCCTACTACGACGAATAAATTCTGGCTAGATATCCAATTACGGTACGGCGACTATGATTCTCACGATATTGAGCGGTATACTCGTGCGAAATACTTAGATTACACCCAAGACAGCATGAGTATCTATCCTTCGGCAACTGGATTGATGATCGGTATCGATCTTGCTTACAATCTTTACTCTGCCTACGGACAATATTTCCCTGGTTTGAAGCAACTTGTACAAGAGGCTATGGCCAAAATTATGAAGGCCAACCCGGCTCTTTACGTCCTCCGCGAGCGTATTAGGAAGGGTCTACAGCTATACGCCTCGGAGAGCAACCAAGAGTTCCTCAACTCTCAGAACTACTCCGAGTTATTTAGTAACCAGACGAAGCTCTTTATCGATGATACTAACGTGTATCGTGTTACTATTCACAAGACCTTCGAAGGCAATTTGACCACGAAGCCAATTAACGGCGCGATCTTTATTTTCAATCCCCGAACCGGTCAACTATTCCTTAAGATCATTCACACCAGCGTCTGGGCTGGCCAAAAGCGTCTAGGTCAACTAGCCAAATGGAAAACGGCCGAAGAAGTTGCTGCTCTCATTCGATCCCTACCGGTGGAAGAACAGCCCAAGGAACTAATTGTCACTCGCAAAGGTCTGTTGGATCCTCTAGAAGTGCACTTGTTGGATTTCCCGAACATCTCTATCCGGGCCTCGGAATTGCAGCTACCCTTCCAGGCAGCAATGAAGGTTGAAAAGCTAGGAGACATGATTCTCCGTGCTACCGAACCTCAGATGGTTCTTTTCAACCTCTACGACGAATGGCTCAAGAGTATATCATCGTTCACTGCGTTTTCCCGTCTAGTTCTCATACTTCGTGCCCTTCACGTCAACCCCGATAAGACAAAACTCATCCTTCGACCTGACAAGACCGTTATCACTCAAGTGCATCACATCTGGCCTACGTTGTCAGACGAGGATTGGATCAAGGTGGAAGTCCAACTACGAGATCTGATTCTGCACGACTACGGAAAGAAGAACAACGTCAATGTCTCCAGCTTAACTAGCAGTGAAGTTCGGGATATCATCTTGGGTATGGAAATATCTGCGCCGTCTATGCAACGACAACAAGCTGCGGAAATAGAAAAGCAACAAGAGGAGCAGCAGCAGATCACAGCTGTTACCACAAAGACGCAAAATATCCATGGCGAAGAACTCATCGTCACTACAACGTCCAAGTACGAGCAGGAGAAATTCGCGTCCAAGACGGAGTGGCGGACTCGAGCTATTGCCACGTCGAACCTCCGAACTCGAGCCAACAACATATACGTCTCGTCTGTGGACAATGATTTGGAAGACATTACTTACGTCATGCCGAACAACATCCTGAAGAAGTTCATAACCATTGCGGACCTGCGAGTACAAATTGCCGGATACCTATATGGTGTATCCGCCCCAGACAATGATCAAGTGAAGGAAATTCGCTGCATTGTCATGGTACCTCAGATCGGCAATACGCGCTATAGCCAACTCCCTCACCAATTGCCGCAGCATGAATATCTGTCGGACATGGAGCCTCTCGGTGTGATCCACACTCTAGCCGGAAACGAGTCACCCTACATGTCTGCGGTCGACGTTACTATGCACTCTCAGCTTCTTGACCGCCACAATAAGTGGGATAAGGAGAAGACGGTGATGATTGACGTCTCTTTCACTCCCGGTTCAGTCTCTCTAGCTGCCTGGTCTCTAACACCTGCCGGCTATCGATGGGGCGCCGAAAACAGAGACTTCAGCAAGGACGATCCGAACGGGTTCACGACGTCTATGGGTATCAAGCGCAAGCTCTTGCTTAGCCCGCGATATAGGGGATTCTTCCTCGTACCGGAAGACGGCAAGTGGAACTTCAATTTCATGGGCAGCAATTTCCTCGGTCTAGAAAAGAAGCCGGTGCACGTCAAACTAGACACGCCCATGTCCTTCTACAACGACCTGCACCGGCCAGAGCACTTCCACAACTTCGCGGAAATGGAAGACCCCGGCGTAGACAGGAACGACAACTTCGCTTAAGGACATACACATATCTTGGTAGGGAGATCTTGGGACGATCGTCGCGGGAGATATGCGGGAGAGGTTTGATCGACGGGCTATGAATTGGAGAATAGGAGATAGCTGAAAGATAATATCGGAAGTGACGAAATGATGCATTACAATGGCATTTTCCGAAAATTCGGTGCGAAGGTGTGCTTGTGTTTTTTCGGGAATTTCTTCTTACAGGGCGTTCGAGGGGACAAAATGGAATTGAATTATGAAGTTCAGGGGATTTTACAAGAGGCTCAGCTCATCTTCTTACCCCAAGGCCTGTATTCTCTCATATAACTACTACTAGCTACTCTATTATTGCTGTGCCGCTCAGGTACGTACCTCATTGTAACATATCAGCTACATACCGTACCTTAACCTATGTATACGAGAATGTGATAATACCCCCCCCGCAACCATGGACTCGGAACCGAGACTAAGTGCGTGACTTTGTGATCACCAATATTCCGCATAGCGATAATAAAAAAATCTATAGTGAAAAAAAAGCTTGGACCTCCACCCCCAGCAAACCCCGTTCAAGGGGAATGCTACTCTGCCGAACTTGGGAGCGCCCAGTCAATTTATCGAATGAGGCGAGTGTGGAGAACCCAATCCCCCAAGGCTGATAGTTCTGCAAGATTTTGACAGGTCGCCCGCCATGGCGAAGCGGCGATCTGGATTTTGTTTGTACTTTAGATTTGTACCAGGACCTGGGATCCCTGGGGGGGTTTTTAAGGTAAGCGTGTAATAGGTGGAGAGCAGCAGCAACAGCAGCAGAATCGTTGGTCAGGTGCAGACTTTCAAACCTACCTATGCCTGCTGCATCGCCAAACCGTTCGCGATTCGACGTATTAGCTCAAGCGAACCCGAGAACCCAGATAAGGAATGTAGACGCGGCGCAGAAGGAGCAGGCGTGTGAGAGGCTCGTGATAAGCGGTGGTCCCTGACGGGTCGCGCACATCTCTCTGCTACTACTATACTCAGGCACTTCGCATGAGAAGCTATCCCCCATTCACGCTGACGATACAACCGAAGGTTCTTCTCAACAACAAAAAGCAAAAAGAAAAAAAGGCGAATTGGGGGCCCAGATCGCTGCCCAATCTAGAAAGCGACGTAGACCTTGGGATCCTGCGCGCCCATTTGGCGGTTCAGCGAGGAGAAAAGCGGGACGGACGTTTGCTGATCCTCCCAACCATCCGTAATCGTGGAATCGAGAAATCCTCCGCGCTAGCCAGTGCAGAAAGGACACACAAGCCAGGTCCTCGGTGAACTTTGCCTAGTGCGGGATGAGCACGTACCTACGCACGCTACTAGTACTTACAGATGATTATAGATTTGGTAGCTTGATAATCAGCGGGAAGGAGGGTGGGGGAAGGAGGGTTGGTTGCAGGGGAATTAGCTTTTTCGGGATGAGATGCACAGGATGCATTACCTGAATTGTGTACTTATATTAGATTTGAGATGAAGAAATCAAGATGAAAGCTGCTAACTTAAGAAAGGAGTAGCGCACAGCGCATATAGTGCCGAAGTAAAGGCGCCGCCGAAATAGCCAGGCTGAAAAGAGTGCAGAACGTATAATAAAGCAAATTACTCTTTTATGCATTCATGCGCGCGTACGTGGGTTGGTGCGTGTAGATCAAGGTTAGATCCTCAAAACGGATCTCATTAGACGACGATTGATCTATCACTGGCTCAATCTGTCTAGCTATCCACGCTGGCTAGTCCACCAGTCTCTATCAGTTTAGTTTGTATCCATAACGTTCCAAGAAGCACGGCCGGGTTACTGGGGAAAGCTCTCACGGGTTCTGTATCTAGTAGCTAGGGTTGTGATTGTCACTCGTACTATTATGGTATGGTAGACGTAGGTAAGCTGGTAAGATGGAGTTTGTACAGTACATCTAATCCGGATCTCTGGGCGGTCGAGGATGCGGAGATTTTCTTTCGACTAGGGCTAGGTAACGCCCTAGAGGCTGTGTACTCTGTACTTCCAGGTTTGCGCAGCAGTACGCGCAATAGGATGGTCTGTGGTCCCCACCTGTACTTGTCAAGGAGCTTTCCCCAGTGGGATTTGCATTATCGGCAGGGTCATCCAAGTACGCAAGACATGGTAGAATGAGGCTGACTTTGCGCTGCGATGTCATTCACGAGCAGCGGTGACACATCAAAGTGCTGGATCTTCGCAAAAATTGAAAATTGTAGTACTGCACTCCGCCCCGAAAATATGGATGTGGCTTTCGCCAAGTAGGTAAAGAGCTGCAAATTCCCCATTCCTGTTCTATTACATGGTAAGTTATTTGTCAGCCCAAGATTAGACGGTGAGCGGCATGGAGATACATGAACGTATTTGCAGATTTGCACATCTTAGATGACGAAGGGACGGCATCGTGCCGAAGCGGCCAGCGCAACATAATGGAACTTACCCAGAGGTGCTCCCACTGTCGGTAAACCAGCGGTATGCAAGAGGATAGTGGGTCCCGAGGGAGTGGAGCTTGAAACGGTCCTAAACCATCAGGAGGAGGAGACGGAGAAGATGTATCCATTCTCACGTCTCAAGCATGAAAATACAGCGTCGGTTGATTGGCATACTGCAGAAACGAAATGTCCTCACCTCGATTTGATACACATCGCTCCGCTGTCCCGACTTTGAAGTTGCAGCCATCCACAAAGGGACGGTCGTCTGATGTGTACGTTCCGGCTGCGCAGATCAGGGGACACGGAAGCTTGCGGGAGCAGTTTGCGAGTGTCAGAGGACCAAGAGAGCATTGATGAGCAATGTCGTTTCTAGACAAGTAATGCCTTTATTAGACCGAACACCTAGGAGACGAATCAGATGTTGCGCTGTGGTGAGTAGATGGTGCATATATCACCACGGTCACCAACGCAGAGTCGTCGTATTTGAAAGAATCCATAGGGTAGGGTGTGAGTTGACTTTGGCGGCATTGACGCCGTATGCGGCCGTCGAAGCGTCTCTGACCTCCCAGGAGCGCCACGCAACGCTACACAGCAGGTTAGAAGGCCACCTCAGGCAGCTCAGGGCACATCGCAAGTCCGAGCTTTAAATTGGCTGCATCGTCCCTGCGCACATGCGGTGGGTAACCCGGACATGTCCAAGATGTCAAGGCCTGCAGTGGACCACCACACCCAGAAAGTCGGATGCAGGGGGAGACGAGGAGAAAAGTGACAGGGCTTGATCAGTAGAATTCTTCTAGAAGGAGAGGCCGAGTTGCCCGGAATTGTCAATGCGTTCCGCAGAGCCAATAAAATCCCCTAGCACGAAGGTGTGCAGGGTCTGCATAGTTACTCGTTTAATACCAAGATATTGAAGGTGTGCAGATGTTGGAGCTGTTGTACGTTGTTGTAGATGGAAAAGAAGATGGATTGAATTGATCCTTAAATGAACAAGAGGGGTAGAAGTTTTTAGGTAATTAGCGTTTAGGAAACGAAACCGCAAACGCCTCTTATGTCAACTGCTTCTTTCCGAATTCAATTTCATCAAGACTTGGAAGCTAGGAGGGCAAAAAAGCAAGAACGTTAAAGGTTATCCATCACAATGGATGCTCGCACGTGTTAGTCCCTCCCTCCCTGCGCGTGGTATGTACGCATAGCAGTAGGAAGTTACGATGTCCAATATCCAATACAGTGGGTAGCTATCTAGCTGAAAAGGATAGAGCTACGGATAGATTTACGGATGCGGACAGTAGCGGTTTTTCTAATAATAGAGACGGCGACCGGTTGAAAGATAATAGTAGATAGTACCTTCCGCGTGGTACCTGGCCTTATTCCTGGCCTGCCTAGCAGCCTAGCAGGTTAATTATTATGTACATGTCTAAACTCGCTCCGTACCTTCCTATCCATACAACCCAGATCGTTCGCAATTTCCGATCTTGCAGCGCAGGTGTTTTTTTCCAGAATGTCTTTCTGTTGCTTCCCTTGGCCGCAATTCTATTCCTGTTTCCCCTTTATAACTTCATATATGCGATCTTCCATCGTTCGGCGTCGCAACATCGTCGAACCTAGTACAAAAGACGGGGTGGCTCAGGCGTCTGAAACACCCCTGGTCACGCACTAGAAGCAATTTCCATTCTTCTAGAAGCCGAGCTCGCGACTAAATTGCATAATTGATCTTTTAATTGCTTGGAGTCATTGAAACACGTTTCGTTCATGCGAGACCTTCGTCCATTAAGCTCCTGTCTTTCAGCTTCTTACCCCCATTGACATGGTCATGGCTGGTCGCGGCTGGTCATGGTGGTCATGGTCCAGCCTAACCAGCCTCGAGGTTCCACCGTCTATTGGACTTCCCACTTTCAAATCGCATTGAATCGCGCAATATTACGATGGCCCGGGGCCGGGATCCAGAGAATTGGGACCACTTGTCCACCACCTCCGGACCATGGCGCCATGGCCCATTCGCTATTCTAGGTAACAATACTGCGAGGTACCCTATGCTCTGAGATTAACGATACGATGACGACCTTCTTCTACCTGGCCGATTGCTTTGACACGTACGATAGACGGACAGGCTGGGAGAGAGAGAAGGGGCAGAGAGCGAGAGCAGATGCGAGCAGCATTTCCGCTCGACTCCTAATGAATGACCCTGCTCGGTTATCCCGCCAAGTGTCTCCAGCCCCCATCACTCTCGATTGATTTGGTGACCCGAGCATCATCGTCATGTCTCCCGAAACGTGAGTCCGCTAATCTCAGTTGGTTATTCCTGTCGTCTCTTCTCCATCTTCTGACTCCTTGCCCTATTGCTACATCCCTACACGCCCCTAGCATCGTTCGACATATCTGCTTACATAGAAACCAGGTTTCATTAATCATGGGTTGCTGTGACCTTGAAATCGCGGCTGCGCTGACAGTATACCTGGAGCCTCCGTTAGTGGGCTCTAGTGTCATGTTTTCCCTTGTTTTTTTTCTCCTCGGCAATCTATCCAGCGTGTTCTGTGGCTACTTGCAACCTTACCAAATTTCACTCGCCCTATGGCGTGTCAGGGATCCGAGCTCTTTTGATTCCTTATTATAGCCCACCCCAGTTTCATATATCCCCCCCTCCAAGCGGGCGAGGGAGAAAAGTGACCCAGTGCTTTCCAACTGCCCTAGCAGCCGAGCATGGGCGCGCCACCCTTCACGTACAGTACACCCAGTCAACCGGCATTCTGACCCTCCAGTGATTGCCATTGCCTTGGCTTCCTTGGGTGGAAAAAAAAAGGTTGAGCAGGGGCCTTTCTGTCGTGAGTCTCTGGGTGCGGCCCACATTCGATTATTCGCTTTTCATGCTCTGTCTAACTACAGACACTGCCCAACTGCGTGGTAGGGCCCGTTTCAGCTTTTTTATTTCTCCATTCGGCTGTCTCGTTTTGTATCCTTCTATGCGTTTTCCAGACGTTGCTCTCTTTGGATGACCCACGACATTTGATAATCTTGTTTGGGGCATAGCTTGTCAAGGGTTCACAAGAAGTCGACTGTACTTCTCACCCTGTCAGTGACTAAAGAGTACCTCACTCCGTTGTGGGCTATCGTTGCCCCAGTTGCATCATAACCTCCGGCTGGGGTATCTTCTATATCCGGAAAGCTGACCATGGCATAAGATCACCAAATTATGCTACCGTCATCGCCGGGCGAGGTAACCGAATCTCCACACCCGTTCAGGAACGATACCTGTCTCGCACATGGCAAATCAGGTCAAGTGCTTTAACCTGTGGATGAAAACAGAGGTAGTCCTAGTTGTCTAGGTACTTGCGGGTCGTTCCTAAGCTCGTCCCTGCCTGGACGGAAACGAGAAAGAAGATCAGACGATATAATGCATCCCTTGCCCTCTCTTGCTCATTTTCCATTTTGACATTTTGTCACCATATATTAGTCCTAGTTATTAAGGAATCTGAGGAAAAGAACGGATCCCCATTATTCGACAAGGCCTAGGTGGCAGTAAGATGTTAAAGACTCTACGCAGACTACCCCGAACTTGATTTTTAATTCTTTGGCTTACGGGAATTCCGCCGCCCTGCAACATTGGCACCACACAAATCACACAACACTCCGCATCTATCCAAGTTCACCGACGACTACCGCTGCACCAGCACATGTTCTCGGCTGCTGGGCAAGTAAGTGCTCAGCCTACTAATTTACGAAATTCAATCCGACAGGACGGGCCTCATCATCGATACTACGCGCGAAACACGCACTCCCACTTCGCAACCGCCAGCGCATCAGCAGCCCCGAGGGGCTCCAGTCCATCAAATTCTTTCTATACAGACTCCGGCGACCGTCCAGAGCGGTTCGCTCTGGCGGAACCCATGCATCGAAGGCACACTGGCGGGCAACTATCGAGTAGGGCCGGACTACAATGTCGATTACTCCCCGCAAGAGTCGCATCCGGGCGAGCAGAGCCAGACTCCACACGCATACGACACGCATCATCACCAAGGAAATCCAATGCAGCACGCGGGACACAGGAGCTTACATGAACCATCACAGTCGCACTCTCACCACGCCATGTCGCAGCATCATCCGGCCCATCATCACCCGATCCTAATGGATCCGGGGCATCTCGGGCCCCGACACATGGGTCATCAGCCTTCACATTACGGACCGACACCGTCGCCTCATGCTGTTGTCGGCCCGCCGCTGTATCCGGCGATGACGCCAACGCAGCCTCCTCATAGCGCTGGATCGAAGCGCAGTCGCCCGGACGATCTTGACTTGTCTGTTCCTGGCATGTCTGAACTCGATCAAGGCGAACTTGACAGTATGCAGTCTATGGGTGCTGCATATGCGCAAGCTGCCGGGGCAGCTCCGACACATCACCATCATCGCCTACCAGATCAAGGGCCACCTTCGAAGATGATGAGGCGCGACGGAGACGGAAGCATGGGGTCGGCAGGAGGCGGTGCTCCGAGTGTGGTAGGACAGGTTGGAATGCCGGCACCAGCGCCGAGGCCAAGGGGGCCAAAGCTTAAATTTACGCCGGAAGACGACGCATTACTCATTGATTTGAAGGAAAACAAAAGCTTAACATGGAAACAAATTGCCGACTTCTTCCCGGGTCGTTCGTCCGGCACTCTGCAAGTCCGATATTGTACGAAGCTCAAGGCAAAGACGACACAATGGACGGACGAGACGGTAAGTTTGCCTTGCTTTGGGCACACTCGTTCGGATTTTGTGGAACAGACATTAATTCAAGGACGTATAGGACCAAAAGCTTCGAACGGCGCTTCAAGATTACGAAAACGAAAAGTGGCGCTTTGTTTCCAACAAAGTCGGGCCAGGTTTTACGCCCCAAGCCTGCCGAGAACGAGCTACGCAACTCATGGGAGGAGATACCGGAGAAGTCGGGGAGGAGAACTTATAGCAATCAGCGTCTCCGCCAGGAGTGTCAGCTCCTGGGTCTGGGGACACCATCTATCCACAACAGCTCCAAGGTTAGGAGCTCACAGAGTAGTACATACTACAATCACCAACATACATAGACGAGGCGAACGCAAAACGATGAATATACTTCGGCGCTACTATCGAACGCTTCGAACGAATATTACCGACTACTGAGGATCATGAGTTAGGATTTGATCGTGGTTGCCGTTAGATTAGCGAAACTAACGCGGAAAGGGGTTTCTACGAGCTCCTAACGATTACCTATCCACCTTACGGAATTACCGATCATTAACACACGACGCACCAAGCAAAAGTGCATTCCCTTTTTATCTACTACTATCGACAAACCAATATTTGTACAACAATAGTAATGGGTCGGGGTCTACCTCCTGCTCTTTGGCCTCCGGGGGCGGGTTATTATTTAATACTAGAGATACCAAACCACGACGGTCATGCCATTTACTCGTAATATTGATATTTTAACGACAAAATTTTAGAGGTCACGGTGAAAGGGGAAGGCGATGGGGACAAACAATGCTTTGAATTTTCTTTAATCTTCAAGATAACTACTCAATACATTTACGCATGGGTTCGAGATGACGGGCTGTCTACAATAGTATCTTCTTTGTTTTCCGACTACGGTGACAGCTCCATCGGAAGGGTGTGCATGAAAGCATATGGAAATGAGGGCACAAACAAATTCTACGTTGACCGCAACTTGACGAGCGGCTTGGGTATATCGGGAATAGGGACGGAGATCTTAAAGGAGGCTCAAGATAGGAAGGTTTGGCAGAGATACCCCGGGCGAAGTACAATGGGACGCAGAAGACATCCATTTCACCGTACATTCGGAGAACTCAACCTAGCATATCGGCTAGGTCAAACGTTGCAGCCGGAGGGGGTTTGGGGCCCCGTTCGAGAAGCGGGTAGAGAGACAGCATGAACGGGAGTATGAGGCGCGTGGGCGAATCAGAAATTCAGAATCTACACTTCGAAGAAAAGTCGATGAGACTTTTCCGGGCATGGGGCTGCGAGAAAGACGTTGCGAACGCTGGAGTAGGGAACTGGGGGTTTCATGGGCGAAACCGTATCCTCGAGGAAGCAAAGCCCGTATACGATATTTCATGACTATCATAGCTAGCTACCTACCTAATACTTTTGCTTTTACTACTTATTTTTACATTACTAATGATTTCTAATCATCAGTCGCGTTTCTCTCTTTTTTTCCTCTCGCGATTTTATTTCCTAGGTAGTTAGCAAAAGTCACGCTCGCGTTACAGAGACAGAAAAAAAACATGTCACTAACACGCGGCAGCAAGCGTTGAAACGGCTCGCATCTGATTCGTATCTTTAATCTCGACAAGGCGGTAGCAATTTGTGCACCATCTCGTGTTACATCGCGACGAGCTTACCAGGCTTACTGCGGAGCTACGATCCATTAAATCCCGTACATACCGTACCGATAAGGGACCTTTTTTTACCGTACATACTTCTCTGAACCTTACGCAGTACATACATAGGTAGGTAGCTGATGAACTGTTGCTGTATAATACCAGCCACTTATTTGTGCGCACGGGGTTCATTGACAGCGGCCCCCCCTGGAATGCTTGCTTCGCGCGTGTGAAACCTCTAACGTGTTGTGGCTCCTCACCCTCCTCCTCCTCCTCCTCCTTCTCCTACCTACCTAGGTACATTTGAACTCCACAAGGAGAGAGAAGAAGCAAGCAAAGCAAGCAAGCAAGCAACCCTTACACGCAACGCGCACGACGGGACAGCAACAACAATAACAACAACTGATAGATGCCTAACACACTTTCCCTGCCTGCCTGTAGGAAGCACACGCAAACTCTGCGGGTACTTTACCTGGGGGTAGGGATTTTGTACCGCGTGTTAACCTGCGAAGGTAGGCATGTACACGGCGGAGCGGGAAAAGCAAGGCGGCGCCGATTTTTTTTCTTCTTTCTCTTCAGCAAAAGACGCGAAGAGTAGCCTCGAGCTTCGAACTCTAAACGGGGGGGCTTTACAAAGGCTCGTGACCTGGTTTACAATATTCACCGCTTCGCCTTGCTCTGGGTTATACATCCAGTTACGCGCAATGCGTTGCGAGCAAAAGTACCCGTAGCCTCAATGCTCAATGGGCGTTTGTGTACATCCATATTACAGGTAGGCTGGGTAGGTACCTACATTAAACTCCAGTAAATACAATGGGATAGGTAGCTAAATGAGTGCCAGGGAGGGTTAAACGTGCAAGGAGGGTGCTAGGTACCATGCTCTTGATCTGGGAACCTTCGATCTACAGTACCCTTAGAGCTGCACGCTAATCACGCCGGCTCTTGTTGCTGTCTGGGGGGGTTGTTCCGACGTTCGCCACCAAAGCACTGGATTGGCCTGACATGGTGTTAATTTGTGTGCGTCTGTGTGCTGCTGGTGTGTGGTGTGTGCGCTGTCATTGTCACATATAACACGGCTGCGATATAACCCCCATCCACTTCTCAGTTCCTGTGAGCTGTGTTCCCCTCCAATGGATCAGCTCTGACCTGGGCTGCCCCTGGCACACGATGCGGAGGCCGTGGGGAATCAAAGGTTCGAATAAATACACATCGTTGGCTGAGTGTGGTGTGTGTGGTCTCATATAGATTCGACTACACGTACGCTCACGGCGGAAGACTCTCTTACATATACCGATGAGACGCAATTCGGCCTCACCCTCAGTCTCGTGCCCTTAAGCGGGATTTTCTTGAGCCGTTCGTTGGCAGTATTACTTGGACAACTAGTAGCGATCTGACCAACACGATAATATATCGTCCCGCCGTCATCGTCAGGCTGCTGTGTCTTGGCCTTAAGTTTGCGTGATTCTTCAGCTAGATACATCCGGGATCCCCTGATCGAGAAACCCGAAACAGGGCTAGTTAGATGCTGACAAGTCTGCAAGTTTCTTGTTGAAAGAAGCAACAAGTGTCTTGCGGTGAGAAGACAACAATTCTTTGCATATAGCGCTTGCCTTCTCTCTGCTCTGTTGGCGACTGTATCGACATACTATTCGTCCACTCTATGTTATGCCTAATAGTATCACGTACCGCGGTTCGACGCTTACTTCTTCTCATGCACACGTGGTATAGTAGAGTCCGGGAGGCTGTCGATAAGATTCGATTTCAGACTTCATGTAGCATCAGCCCACCATTCATTTGGGATAAATAGCCATACCCAGCCAAACATTTCGGGAAAAGGAAATAACGCCATGCTTTGATGGCTCAAAAAGGGACACCGGTCTCCCATTTCGGGCGCAAGACAAGAAGAGACGCGACAAGGAAACTTTTGGGAGCTTTGCTGGACCGTATATACAATACGTTGTCGACCACTCGGTCGGTGGTTGTCCGTTAAACTTGACGGGCAAGGCTTGGTGAGCTAGGAAGCTACAAAGACGATGAAACGTTGTAAACAGGTAGGGTATATGGATCCTTGTCGTTGTGATTGAAATATCTCCAAGGGCTCCCAGCTTTCAGCAGGTTAGCATGGCGACCAAGATGTATGTATGGTGGATTTACCCGTTGCGCACCGTGCCGTTCTTGCTGCTAGTGCTGCTGACGTGGTTATGCACAGCAATATAGTTAGCCAGACCAAGATATTCCAGCGGTGTGGGATCTCGTTTCAACTGCCGCTGGCCCTACAGTGAGGGGTCCTAAAGCGCCCCTGTTGCTGCAGCCCGTAGGAAAACTCATTCGCACATTAGGGAAATTCAACTGCACGAAAGACATTCCACCTGCGAAGCGAACATGCATGGCTGGCCGGGTCCAGACAGCCCTCGGCAATGCAGCATGCAACGCATTCCCGCGGTGCCAATTAAGAGCTGCTATAGCCAGAACCGAAGTTTCTTCCCAACCCCTGGCGTCGCGTTGCTCTCGAGTTATTATAGATTAGACTTGAAACTTGGATCTCTTGGTCAAAAATGACAGAACCCGATTTGGTAGCGGCGCACACAGGCGTGCTAGATTCCGATCGATCCGGATCTTTCATGTTTACTAGCGGAATAAGTACGGAGACCCTTGACAGTTGTGGTTCTATCTCAAGTTTTCAGGTTTAAAGCCCTGACTGATGTCCCCATGATCGGCCGATGTCTAAGGCCGGGCCTCTCAAAGTCCTCCAAGCTCCCTTTATGCGCAATGCGTGTTTAACTGGCGATTTGTCTGATGACCATTTGCAGTTCTGAGTCGGGGAGATAAGGCCCAGAAAGGAGGTGTTCACTATGCATGGCAACAATGACGAACTTAACTACCGCTCGGCACCTTACCTAGATTGCCCGATGCAGGTGCTCAAGCAAGTTGAGGCTGAAAATAGGATCTGCTCATCCGAAGGAGTTCTTGTGTTTGATTGGAGAATAATGTGCCTGTGGTTCCCAGCAAACACCCGGACGGTCTTAGAACCCTTAGTATAGGGTGGCCATCCCTAATTCGATATAGGGTTCCTTCTTAAGTTCGAAATATTCGTCTGGGAAATGCTCTCTTGTGCTTTCGAGTAGAGCCGAACGTTGAATGACATTAATTGATGTATCCGCTCCAGTTTGCGGGGCCAATCGGAGATTTCCATTTAACCTCGTCGTATGCAAGACCCCCTACCGTTGTGACGGTATCCCGATCTAGTGCTCCGTATTATCGTGAGGTTCTCCGGGTGGGCCAACTTGCGGATGATCTACCCCCAGGTTTGCGGTGTGATTATCGCATAAGAATCACAATAAAAACTTATCCACCTGCTTCGGTCGGTGGATATTGTGAAGGTCATCTAAAATCTCCGACTGCATGTCAATAAATCACGGTAACCGATTTAAGACCGTCTGTTCGCTCATTTGTAATAGTGAAATACCTAGAAATTTTCCGTCCTAGTGGTATAGTGGGCGATCCCGAATCTTCGGAGGGTCCGAGTGTCATAAACACCGTGATTATGCTTAAGCTCCCGACTTAGTGGGCTTCTTTTGTCAACAACCTAGGATCGATCGACAGGTCTAAGTTCCTGCAAGGCTACGGAAAATGGGTTCAAACATAAATTCCCTTACCGATCGATGACAAGTACCTGGCTAGCACGTGTTCTAAGGGAATTTTTAATGTCGCTATCATGTAGATAGGAAGCGGCCAAGTTTCGTAAAGTTCCGATTGACAGTGAACAGAGGAATTGCACAGTGTTCGTGAATCGATTAATCGAGAGTTCAATATGTCGTTGTTAAGGTAGGTGATAGGATAGCAACTTGATAGACCAGTGCATTAGTGCTCGTCAGGCCGCTGGGCGTCGTTTCAAGTTTTGGGGCCCGACGAGAAAAGGGTGGTGGTGGTTTGGTAGACACATAAGACAAGCGAAGGATTTGTCAGTTCATCTGATGTGTTCGTACTCGTAACATCTCGAAAACTGCTGGGCAAGTCGAGAGCACCTGGAATGGCCGTACTGCGGGGGTAATAGTACAGGCATTAAGGGATTCTTCGTCCCTGTCGGCGACGCCTATATCGTTGTCGTATTAATGGACTGCCACGCCTCGCCCCAGGGCAGGCCAATTCAACGACTTGCAGCCGGACAGCTCAGCCGACTCCACGAAAAGCTTACGGAACCTGGACTCCTTGGCCAGCTTGCAGATAATGAGAGAATTGTCGACGACTTAGAGACGCTTAGCCCTGAAGAAGGGGGGGTCCTCTGCAGATGCGGCAGAACGGATGCGTATCGCAAGCCAATGCGATCATGCGGTGAGGACACTGTCGACCCCAATTGCCAGGTAAGAAGCCAGACCATCAGTCAGCCACAAGCAAGATGGGTATGGTTGATAAGGAAATAGTTTAGTCACAAGAACAAAGAGCTGAAAATAGGAATGAAAAGAAATGGAAGAGGTCAGGGTTTCGTTGCGCGGCCGCGACTTCCACCGGCATCAACGCATCGTTTCCGCGCTACACTAGAGTAACCTTATTGTATCATGTGTACATATCTACATATCTACATATCTACATATCTACATATCTACATATCTACATCCATAATCCCTCTCAGGTTGTGGGTCGATTATTTGGGGGCCTGCTTCCCTACGTCTTAAGAGACGACCGCTGCGTAATAGAAACACTATTATATCCCTTGCCTAAGTACCTATACTTCAGGTAACATCGGTGACATCGATGCTCAAATTTGCTACCAAACCTAGATCGTAATTAATAGCGATCGGGACCGAGTAGATTCTTCTCTATTATAGAGTATTTGAAAATTTAAGATATTTATTATATGATTTGTTTGAGCCTTGTAACCTCTATCTGATACATTCCATAGAAGTTTGACAAAGGTTTGCCTGGTATCCGCCAGGGGCAATTCACATGTTTATGGGAAAGAAGGCCGGAGAAGTACTGCTCCTTAACTCACGGGTCTCAACTATATTATACCATGGATTGTTGTATTCAATCATTCAGTTGCAAGCATACTGTTCATTCCCTAGATATCACTACCTGAGAGGTATCTTATGACATTACAATCAGATAATTTCCCCGAGTATCAGGGTTTCATGTAATTTAACATTGTTACTCAAATATGTTGGAAGTCATCGACTATAGAACAGTTTCGTGTATGAATCAAACTTCAGTATCCCAACGATTAACAACGGTTGTGATATGACGTCTAATCTATTAGCTACACAGCTTGTGGAAACCCTATAGTCCCGGGGACTTCTATAATAAAGGGATGACAGGTACTGTCCCAATGTTGTTTCCACGGTTGCCTACCTAGGTACTCTTATAGTCCGAGACATGTTTTATTATATTATTTGATGCCACAGGTTGATACTCAAACCATATCGAGCGTTATTCAACCAGATATCTGGGTCTTTGCAACGAAGGCTACCTACCTAAGTACCCTACATCCCGCAAAAAGTCGACTTGTCAAAGATGTTGCCGGCAGTTGAAGACTATCTCACTTCTCGCTGTCGACCCCTTACATGACTGTACTTTTCAGACAATTACATGGACATCGACCTTTGAATGTACCTATGATTTTTCTCAGATATTCCCTTAGGTAATCAAGTCTAGGTATGTTCACGACTTGATCAAACCTAATAGTTACCTCTTGATTAAGTATGATGTATCTTGAGAATTGTAGCAGTCAGCTATATTGATATTTACAGTTAAGCTAATCAAAAGATTTACCTTTTTCGTATATGTCTATTTAAGAAAAGAAAGTGATCCATTCTTACAATGAAGAGGAGATCATCAGCGTTCCGAAGGGTACTTAAGGAGCTGGCAAAGCCGTTGGTAGTAGGCATCTTGAAGATGTAGATAGCGAGAGAGAAAAATAGTAATCTAGTCAATACCATAACTAAGACTTAGAGATATGACAATATTCAAGGGAGAATAAGTATTAGGTATCACCGACAGTCTTTTATGCCTCACAAGACTATATTATTTATATGGCTTCGCTTTGATACGTCCCCTAGGCATTTGCCAACTTGCAATGCAAAGGGGCTGCCTCAACGAATATCATAACGACTCAATCCTGAGATATAATATGTAGGTCGAATATGTGCCTATATAGACATCTAGTACTACTAAGAGGAAAATGTACTAACCTACCCCTTAAATTGACAACTGGAGATACTGGTCTGTGAACCAGTATGGGACCACGATAATTAGTCGACGTAGTGTTCAAAGGTAACAAATATCACTTAATGGTCCAATATTCCAAATCATCCAGTCCCTTTATAAGAAGCTTTGTGTAAGAACTGTCAATAGCCTGAAGGGCAATCGGAAGGCGCTCTGTAATGGCGAGAGTCTCCTCACTAGGCGCTCATCTGGAAGACCTAAAACAGATACGCTACTCCTACGTTGTAGAAATCCGAGCCCCTATTTTTTTTAATTTTTAAATTTTTTTTTTTAAAAAAAGAGAGGTCTTGCGCGGATGAGCCCGTAATTTCACGCCTATATCTATCTCCCAAGGAAATGTCTAACCAATTCGCCTTTCGTTAGTGTCTTTCCATCCACAACCAAAGCAATCAACTTCTCATGCGCCGGCAGCCCGTCCTCGTCACCGAGATACCTCGCCGTCTCGATTAGCCAGCCATTGAAATCCTCGATCTCGGTCTCCTTCCCCGCCCTGACATCCTGCAGCATCGAGCTCGTATTCTCCGCCACCTTCTCGCCGACAGCGTACAGCATCTTCCGCAAGTTCGCAAAGGAGAACCTCTCTACAAGCTCCGCTCTCACCTTCTCAAGCCTCTCTTCCTCACTCCCCCCTTCACCTTCTTCGCCCTCATCCTCTGACAACAGAACCCCATCCGTACTCTCATCTCTCACCAACCCCCTCAGCGTCCTCCCCGCCTCGTCCAACAACCCATCAACCACATCCCGCACCCCATCCCCGCCATCCTCGAAAACCACTCCATTCTTACACCCCAGCACCGCCGTCAGCGGATTAATCACCGAATTGACCACCAGCTTCTCCAGCTGCGCCACCCACAATTCCCTCGTCGCGACCCTCTGCGCCGCCAACCCCGGCGCCCGCACAATCCTCTCGATCAAGTAATCCGTCTCCATCTCCACCTCCTTCTCCGCCTCCCCTTCAGACCGTCCCCCTCCCACAGCTCCAACCGCCACGCCCGCCGGCGAAGCCAGCAAACTCCGAAACGGGCCCAGCGCCGTGACCCCATGCGTCGTGACGCAAGCGCGCCACCTCGGTCCCCTCCCCCCTTCGCCCCACTTGTGCCTGGCATACGCCTCACCGAGCGGCGGCCAGAGCTTGCACATCCCGTTCTGGCAGAACGCGACTTCCGTCTCGGGGCCGAGGTACCTCCTCACGCGGTCGATCTGGGGCATCGCGTGTGCGGCTTTGGTTGCTACGATCAGATTCCTGATCCTCGTGTTTCCGCTTCCACCTTCGCTTTCAACCGAGCCCGAGCCTAAGTCTGTACTTGAACTGCTAGCACGACCGCCACCCGGTTCCCTGACCGGGCCGCAGAGCGGCTTCTCCTCGGTCCACCACTCGACGTCGAAATCCGCGCTGCGGTCCGAACCGCCGTCCCCGTGCACGACCTCGATACCAGGGCTATTGCGCCATTGAGTCAGGAGCCCCTTCCGGCGAACGACGAGCGTGATGGGAGGTCTATCGGGGTTCTTGGCGAGGCAGACGGCGTACAGACGGCCGATGTTGCCGACGCCGAGGATGTATATACGTCGGCGCTCCTCACTCGCGCTCGATACCTCCGCCGATGACGTGCTGCCGCGGCACGGTCTCGCATTAGCAGTGGGTAGGTTTGCCGCTGTCCAGGCGTACAACCTAGGCGGTTCGGAGTGATCCTCGAGGATGCGCTGCAGCCATTTCGCCGTGACCGGGTGCGAATTTGTAGAGTACGACGGCGAGTGTAAGCGCTTGATACTATTCCTAGCCCACCTAGTAGTACTCATGATAAGTACAGCTTGTTTTCATATAGGTGAGCACTCTTTACACCTGAGCATGTAAGGGTGAGAGAAACTACGGACAAATTCCCCGCGGCAGTAATCGATTGAATCCCGATTGGGATGTGACGAGGAGCTCTGATTGGCTCAAATTTGTATAAGCTTTGCGCTTCGGGGGAGACGGGGGTGATAGCTATAACCATCACGTGCTTTTGGCAGACTTCACATCTGCATTTTTAGACCCTATCGTCTATTTTGGTTCATAGCACTTTAGTCAAGTCATGCTGTTCTTATAATATAGAGAGTGAACTACGTAAGAGGCAAATCATCATGAAATATCGTTCTTATTAGGGCTTCATAAGGGGCCCGTATGATATGCCCCTATTAGCGACGGCCGCAGAAGCCTTACTTGAATGCGAGAATGGGAGCGAAGCTCATACTAATTAACACTTCAACTCAAGCCTTAAACTCAAGAGGTTCTGCGTGTACCATTCAAAGATCCATCATCGACATTCCGATGCCACACAACCGATATCCACGAAGCGACCTTAGAGACTTCAACGATAGCCAAAGCGTGAGCCCGGCCCATTGCCATCGTAACCAATAGGTTACTAAGCCTGTGTCACAACATCTGCGAGTCCAAGTCCCACCGCCTCCTCCGAAAACGCCACACTATGGTCGACTTTCAAAGGCTCCTTGTGGAATCGTCCTTCCTCCATCTCCTCATCCATCATCTTGGTCGAGTGCTCGCTAAGGACCGCATGTTCTTCCGGCGTAGGATCAGGAAGAGACGTCAAGCAGGCGCTGAATAGGATCGACTTCGTGTTTTCCTTAGCCCAGTTAGGCGCATGAGTCCAGGGAGGCAGCACAGCGTCAGATAGTTGATACTCCTCCGTGCTTGCGGATTCAGTTGTCGAACTGCCTTTGAGCGACAAAGATTTGGCGAGTTCGATATAGTCTTTATCAGCAATCGTCTCGCCTTCCAAAGACGAGCATTCAAAGGTCCCGAATGAAGACTCAGACGTGCGGATCGTGGAGGCGTAGGCTCTGGGCTAGCATAAGAGTTAGTACTTGTACAAAAGAACCCCGAATTGATATGATCATACCCATGGTACAGGTCTCAGGCCAATGTTCTCCAGTCTGCTCGGATGAATAACTGGCCTTCCGGAACGATGAAAGCTGAAACCAACAGCGGCAGAAGGCGGTATAACGCCATTTACGACCTCATCGAGATTGAGGAAAGATCTGCTTGCAGCTGAAGGACGGCATCGCACACAGCATCTGAACTGACACTCGTAGTATTCATTGGGGACCCAAGCCTTGGTGGGGGTCAAATACTCGAATCCGGGGGGAGGTTTGGTTCCAGATGATTCCTCATTAGCAACATTAAGGACCTGACTCTTGCATTAGCGTACATAGGTAATATTACCGCGCGGATGGAGGGAAACTTACATGTTCTCTCTGTGCTAAGATGGTACGGACTTGCTCAGGTGTGTATGATTTCAACTGCTCCGGCGTGATCTCACTGAAGAAGCTAAGTCGATCTGATCGGCTCTCGGGACTCCGAGGTCGAACGGTCAAGCTGTCAGCGAATGAGGCGCCGATCAAATCGAAGCTCACCTAGAAAGTAGACATCGGTTAGTTGTCACGTTCGGCTCGAGAGGGAAATGAAGGAAGCGTATTACCGGGCGGCCCTTCGATATGGCATCTTCAATGAGCAGTTCTCGGTCGGTGGTGCATCGCCAAAGCCATCCCTACTGGCCCGGCTGACAGCAGATGGAGCACACGAGATTGGGATCATACAAGCGGGTCATCGTTAAATGGGTGCACGAAGGCCTAAACGTCGAAGGCGCCGGGGCTCGGGAATGCACCGATTGCGGCAAGACTGGCGTTGCGATCGCCGGCTGAGGCGCCCGCGGTGGTTGACTATCCATGGTGAAATGGATGATGCGCGATGAGATACTAGATTAAGGATTTCGAGTAGAATGTTGGTGGGGTTTGATTTTAATTTTTTTTATTTTGTTTGTTGCGCGGCGAAAACCAGGAAGAAATGAGTCTGACTAGACGTGTCTGATCGCGACGTGGCCCGGCAACTACGGACAAACGTCCGATATTTAATTAATAGCCTATTGATATTGGTGAATAGTGGCATCAACGTAAGAGTGCGGTCCTGGGATACTAGAAGTCATAATTAAAGTAATTTTCATGAGAAAAGAAAGATAAGGAGAAAAAAGTTTGCTAGTCAAGACCTGAGGCTATCAGCCTTAATGAAGTTCGTGGATGAGAGATATGGATTTGAATAAAAAACCGAAGTTCCTCAAGTTTTGACGTGATGAGATATCTGGAAGGTACATAATTGTGGACATCAAACCTTGAAAAAGCTAATCCAACTATTTGGTAAAACTATCGCGACGCTACTGCCATAATCTACATACATATGTGAGTAAGGGAGTAAGGGGAGGTGCCACCTTAGCTTAGAGTATTCAAACGTTAACAGTGGACGGTCGAGTTATAGACGGATCCGTAATTGTCGTTCCCCTCCGAGAAGAGCACCCGGGCACTGAATTAAAAAAGACAAAGGTGAAGAATATTCTCAAAATTTCCTTTCGTCTTGGCGAACTGTCGTTTATCACCATACCGTGGCCCACCGGTTGAAGCTATTCCCAACTACGTCGTTTCCCTTTCAAATCTCATTTCTGGAAGTTCTGAGCTGGCGGGTGGCGATATGGCTCGTATTTATTCATGCTCCAGACAGTCCAGATCATGATCGTTATCCATACCGTCTTTTCAAGCCCGCTCTTCTGCGTAAACGGGATGCATTAGTGGCGTGACCAGCCTGTGCCAGTACCTGATATAAGATCTCCATACTCTCTCAACTACCAATTGGAGCCTCTTCTCCTAGGTGTGCATCTAAAGCGTATTGTGGTTCTTTGGCTTATTCTTGCGGGTAGCTTTCAAGGTTGAGCTTTCATTGCGACCTCTCTTTATGTGTGCACTCGTACGGATGCAGTAATAGGTCGCGGAAGAACAGATCGCCCGGATTAATCGAACCAATTAAAATGGGGTGATGTTCAAGGTGAAGATGGGCTGGGATGGATAGGATGGGTAGGATGGGCAGGAACAGATGGGATAGGCTAGTGGATGAAATAGTGGGCGAGATGGTGGATGAGATAGTGGATGGGTACCTAGGTAGAGGCAGGTAGAGATCGAGCTTTCGTGTTTTGTGGGCCGCAGCTGTCGTGCAGCAACCAGCACCCCTGTCGTCCCTTGACCAACCTTAGCCAACCTTGGCCAACCTTGGCCCTCTAGGAGAAAAAAAAACAAGGGTTAGTCGCGAGCAGGAGCAAATGAGCAAATGAGAGCAGATGAGGGAACTACGACTGTGCGACTTGCTGGTCTTGCTGGCGGCCCCAGCTTTGCCCGACCTGTTGTCCAACCTCATCTCTACCATCTACCAACCTCCTCCACATCTAAACTCACTGTCCCATCTCTCCATCTTCAAACGACCGACACGGATGAGCATCGAAGAGACCCGCATTTCCCTTTCCCGGTGACTTCGTCCTCATCGAGAAATGTAAGCTACCTATCTTATTTTTCCTTTTCATCTATTGAATATTGTGTTCTTTTGTGTCCATACGCACGTTTCATCTGCAAATTTCCTATCCAAAACAAGTTACCTCGGCCCCTGGTCAGCTCCAAGGTAAACAAATCAATTGACTCTGCCAGTGACCCTCGTATCCGCCCTCAATGCTCGAAATCCTTCTCTCCGCCCACACTTCCATCACTGACGTTATTTCCTGCCTAGACTTTTCCGACTAAGACCACATCTTTCGTCGATTGAATTTCGGATTTAGGGGATCATCAATATGTCGGTCAAGGTCGAGAGGGATACGATCCGCCATGCGACCGAGAATGTCGGCGGCGGGCATGGCCATAGCGACCGTGCTCTCATCCATATGCCTCACATCCCTCGCGAACCTCTTCCAGGCACCACCGGAAAGCATCCTATCTCTGAGGCAATCGGTACCGCGCTTACTGGAGGCGCCAGAAACGCTGGCACGAGAGGCTACCTGATGGTGAGTTGACGTCGTCGTCGTCATTTTTTTCGTGTTCCTAAATGCTGTGCGACCCGCTGAACCGCAATTGATTGACTCGTTAATTTTCGCAGGCGTACATCAACGAGCTCGAGAGAAATCCGCTGCGAACAAAGATGCTCACGGCCGGAACTCTCGCCGGTCTCCAGGAGTTGCTCGCGTCATGGCTAGCTAAAGATCGTAACAAGCATGGCAACTATTTTACGGCTCGCGTTCCGAAGATGGCTGCCTATGGCGCCTTGGTCAGCGCGCCTTTAGGCCACTTTCTAATCTGGGTACTCCAGAAGGCCTTCAAGGGTCGCACGAGTCTTCGCGCCAAGATCCTCCAGATCTTTGTCAGCAACTTAGTTGTAAGTTCCTTTATCCCGATGTTTAACACGCTATAATATTGACATGCACCTCTTAGGTTGCCCCTATCCAGAACGTCGTTTACCTCGTCGCTATGGCCCTCATCGCCGGTGCCCGAACTTACCACCAAGTACGAGCGACGGTACGCGTCGGCTTCATGAAAGTCATGAAAGTTTCTTGGATCACCTCGCCGCTCTGCCTCGCTTTCGCTCAGGCCTTCCTACCCGAGGCCGCCTGGGTTCCCTTCTTCAACGTCGTCGCCTTTATCATCGGTACATACATCAACACCATCACCAAGAAGAAGCGTCTCGCTGCTCTGCGCAAGAAGCACTTCGGCGATGGCCGCTCAGGCTCCGTAGCCGGCGGTAGGCCCGGGCCCGGACCCGAATCCGACTACCCTCCCCCAGGCATGGGACCTAACCCACCATACTAAGCTATGAATGAAAAATCGGGAACGGGATTGGAGACGGGGACGGAGGCGGAGGCGGAGGCGGAGGCGGATCGTTACGTCGGACGGAATGTGAAAGTTTTAAAGTTTTTACGGATGGTGGACGGAGCCGGCTTTACTCGACTTAAAGTCGAGGACGCTATTTCACACGATGTCGTATACAATGTAACGAGGTATAACAGGTAGGCTTGGGGTTATCTTGGGACGATCCGTGATGTGTTAGGAGTATCCGCGCTTTATATAATTTGCTTTTCGTCCTATTTTTTCCGCAGCTGCAAAATATTTCCTCAACTAAGTCAATAAACAAAATAAATAAAAATTTAAACACAGTTTTGTTGTCATCGTGATGCTTTTCGATGGCGCATAGGAAAATTTCAGTTATATATATATGTATCATAGTATTTTCCAAAGTATATTTGTAAGATAGAGAGATGTTGCTAAATGATAATAAAAGTTTCCAAGTATCTTAGGTTAACGTCTAACGTGATATTTATACTCCGTATCTCATTCGTCCCTGCTTCCGGGCTGGAAGTCTCTACGCAACGGTAAAGTCAACGCAAGACTCGTAGGTCTGTTTCGCTCCGGTGCCGTACCACCACCATTGGATGACCTGCATGCCTGTCCGTTAGTATATTGCGTCCTGTCTCGGTCTTGAAAGGAGTTACTAGAACTTACGCAAGCACCAGCCTCAGAGCACTGGGAGCCGATGTCCTCGGGGATGGTAACGTTAAATTTGGTCTGGTTAGCGGGAGTCGTGTGAGCGTAGAACTCCCGTTCATCGGCGTAGCCGGAGGGCCAGCTTAGCAAGGGCGTCCCGATGATGGTGTCGGTCTTGGTGTCGACGATCGACACGTTGGCGGACCCGACGTGCGGGATCGTCAGCTGGACCTCGATGGGAACGCTCTGGCCGGCCGTGTACTGCTGCACGTTGGCCTCGTTGTCGGCGTACTGGAGACCCTTGCAGAGCCAGACGTTGCACTGCTCGGCGTGGTAGTCCGGATCGGCGGCGGCGAGCTCCGGGAGACCTTCTACGTGCGACGTCTTGTCGTTTTTTATGTTGTCCACGACGGACTGTCCACAGGCCGCGACGGACGCGTCGCCAGGTCCACGAGGAGTTGGCGTCGTGATGAGGCCGTGGGCTGATACGGTGGCGGCGAAGGCCGCGAGGGGAAGAACCTGGGGAAGCATTTTGGCGGTGCTAAACTTCAACTAGAGTCTCAGGTACTACTTGTCAAACAGGATGTTTTAGGCTTTGAAGTTTCGTAAGAGAGAAGTTATCGCTAGAAATTTTCTATTCAGATCGTGTCTTTCATGTGATAGCTAAGCCTGGGCGGAGGAGCTCTTTTGTAGGTATCCCTTTGTCCCTGATTCCAAATACCTCCACCAGGAACCTTGCTTCCCAAGATATTTAATCAAACTTAAGCTCGAGGACCTATTTTTTCGTCCGTGAGACAATATATTCGAAGGGCGGCCCTGTCGTGGGGTGGTGAATATCTGCAAAGTCATATCGCCGGCAAAATATAGGCGTTGTCGTAGTGGCGCGCGGTTAAAAAGAAAGATGTGCAAAAGGAAAATCCAGATGTCCAAATTCATCAATCTCGGGACGTGAAGTACCAATTGAGGCATCAGGTCCCTGCATAGAGATATAGACACCCGCGGAAGGACCTGTTTCCGGCGGGAGATGATCCACGCGAGACAAAGTCGAGATCTAGCCTAGCCAATGACGCGGATACATTCCTAGTATTCGAGCTATACGTAATAGATAAGAATGCTCTGATGAGCTTGTTCTTCGGTAGCACGTAATGGCCGAGTAGCCTCAATGGCCCTTTTTGCTATATATAGAGCTGTATATAGATGTTAGTCAAGGTTATCGACCTTCCTGTCTTTGGGATCAATAGAAATAGCCATGGCGGGATATCTCTTCGGGGCATCGTCCTTGATGTTTATCTGCAAGAAGACTCTTCTCCTATTGGGGATATCAAAGGTAAAGCTAACTTAGCTTCCAGAGGGCATCCATCGACGCAAAGAACAGAGAAATGGTCTCCCCTTCTAAACGTGGAAACTCATGAGGCATTGTCTTTCCTGGTAAACTTTTATGACCTCATGACTATGTGAAATCTCATCTTCCGGCGCAGTATGCCGTCAAGAAGATGTATGTTGATAAGACATCTCAGAAGAGCAAATCTTACGAGTTGAAGGATGGTTCGGGGAGGTATTAACGTAATCTCATTGCTTGGAGGCTGTTAGCCTGATTACTCGTATTTGCTCGGGCATCACAACCAAAAAAACGACGCTCTCTCAAGCATCAAGAACATGTGAAGTCGATAAAGAAGTAGAAGCGCAACACGATCCTGAGACGTTAAAAGTAAAATGAAGTTAAAGAAAGTCTATAGATTTAGTAATCACGTTACACCCCCGTTACTCCGATCTTAAGTGCATAACCTCTTTAAGCTTCAACATCCCAACCATCACCGGTAACCGCAACCAATGGTCACACAACACTAGTAAGCAAGACTCGGGAATCTGAGCTCGGGATTGAAAATCACGCCTGTGTAATTGGTCGGCCCCCTTACTAATCCACGGTTATCTTGAGCTTTGTGATGGGCGTATCGTACGCCGAACTAGCTTAGCTTGACATCATCCCACCCCAATATTTTTTTTAATTCTGCTTAGAAACGCTGCTTTACCGCACCACGACAACAACACCTTTTCCCCCCTACGCCACTGGAAAAGACAATGCATCCTCCTCTCCCCATGCGCTGCGTGCGCACGTCGTCTCTTGCCAATGTATTCGTGCGACTACTCAACGCATCGTCGCCGTCGGCAGCGGCCGCGTGCAGCAGCAGTAACAATTCGATCCTCGAGCTCCTGCTGCCGCCGCGGACCCGAGCCTTCCACCTCGCCGCTGCCTCCGCCTCCGCCTCCCGGGACGTTCGACAACCGTACCCCGGCGCTCTCCGGAACCGCAGCGCCCGAGCGACCCGACCTCGAAGTAGCGCCCACAATGCCATCGTCTCGCGGCGACCGTTCAGCACCACGGCGCCCTGGCGCAAGACCCAGGTCGCGTATAACCCGCAGAAGGACGAGGACGGGAACGACATGGTGCTGGAGATTACGCCGCGCGCCGCTCATGTAAGCCCTCTCTCCCTCCTTCCTTCCCTCCCTGCCTCCCTCCCCCATACTTTAATTCATTCCCGGTATACTCACCCCTCGCAAAACAGAGACTTTCCAAAATCATGGAAAACGACAAGAACCCCAACCTCGCGCTGCGCATCTCGGTCGAGTCCGGCGGGTGCCACGGGTTCCAGTACCTAATGTCGCTGACAACCCTACCGCCGACCCTCTCCCCCACCCCCACCGGCGCATCCACCGCTACGTCAGCGGGCACCTCGCACCTACCCCCGGAAACATCCAGCGCCCCGCCGACCCCAGCCAGCGCCAGCGCAGGCTCCTCCTCCGGACAAACCGCCGCCGCCGCCGAAGTCGCACCGTCAACAACGACCAGCGCCTCTACCTCTTCCCCCAGCATCGGCGAAGACGACACCATCTTCGAGTTCGTGAAGGAGGACGAGGACGGCGCAGAACCCGGCACCGGCGCCGGTAGCACCCCCTCACCCCCATCGTCGACGCCGAAGCCAAAGGTGATCCTCGACTCGCCCAGCCTGTCGCTGCTCAAGGGCAGCAAGGTCGACTACACGATGGAGCTGATCGGCAGCCAGTTCAAGATCGTCGACAACCCCGCCGCCAGCAGCAGCTGCGGCTGCGGCACCAGCTTCGACATCAAGTTCTAAAACCCCCCACCTTCTCGTTCCCCCGCCCCCCCTATACTTCCGCCTCCTCCTACGCTCTACGCACTACGCTTTGTACCCTTACCTAATTAATAGAGATCATGTACATACATACATACCTACATACATGTTTTTTAATGGCTTGCTTAAACGCTCCATATAGAACATTGCTTGTTGGGAGGCACTTATGAAAGGCCTTTGGCTAGATATGCTTGAATATCGCTGTACGTTAAGCTTGCTACGGCTTTGTGTCTTGAAGATATTATAATCGCTTGGAGTCAGGGAGTTGGAGCGGCTCTTTTTAGAGCTATATGCTATAGAAAGAATTCTCCACCCAGCTTGATTTTCCACTAGGAAATACGTGACCATCCCAGTCTTGTGTCGGTTTGCAGTATGACTTCACGTATTCAAACATAGGGTTTTAGCAAGCACTAGAAGTGACGATCAGTACTAGACTCTTCGTAGAGTCAAGCTAATGGGCACGACATCATTCACTACACGAAAGGCAGAGTGAGGCGCATATAAAACGTCACCAGAGTAGAAGAAACGCGAAATATGGGGTTGCCATGATCATCAATATCTCAATTCATTGCCAGCATCCGAAGCTTTTATGAACGCCGTGACCCATGCTCAAAAGCAAACCCCCGTAAAACCAGACCCATAAACCCTTAACCCTTAACTTAGTTCATTTGTCGGATCAGGGCGTTGATCTTGTCCTCTCGGTTACCCAAGTCACCACCCTCGATGAAGTGCTTGAACTTGCGGGTTCGGAAACCGCCGTTGGGGTTGCTGAGCTTGAAGGGCCACAGGAAGTTGGAGGCCTGCTTGAAGTTGGGGCCAACAGTGTAGATCTCGTGGACCAGATCCTCAATACAGACAATGCCGTACTTGCCAAGGTTCTCCTCAATAATGGCGTTGTCAGTCAAGGGAATGCGCTGCTTGTCAATCTTGCCGTATCCGCGCTTGTAGATGAGCTCCTTGACACTCTTCAGGTTGGGGTAACCGTAGGCAACCCACGGCTCGACGATCTTGATCATCTCAGCGGTAGCCTTGGTGACACGGACGAAGATACCGTTGTTGATCTGAAGAAGACGGAGTAGCTGGAGAATCTTGCGGGGCTTGGGGGCAATCTTGTTGATACTAATCATTCGTCAGTCACGGCCTAATCTAATTTGTAAGGAATAGTAGACATACCCCTTGATTCGGATAACGAAGATCAACTTCTCCTCAGCAGGGACGTGGAAGCTGCCCTCCTGCTTGGCGAGACGGTTGAGGCGGACCTTCTCACGCTCGGCATCGCGGTACTCCTTGACGTACTTCTCAGCACGCTTGAAGATGACGGCGCGCTTCTCCTTGTTGATCTAATGAGCGATGTCAGTTTATGATTCAACCAAGAGAATTCATATGACAAGTGTATGTCTCTCCGTCGATCAGACCCGAAAGATGGTTAATTTGCAACAACATTGACCTTGGTCTAGCCGCAAAAGGTTTTGTGCATCACATCGTCGCTCCCTTTTTGAACTGATAGAATAGACTAACCTTCTTGCGCTTCTCGATCTCGGCGGTTCGCTCAGCGCGAGCCTTCTCCTGGCTCTTGCGCTTCTTGAGGAGGGTCTCAGGGACGAGGACCTGGTCCTTGGTCGGGACGGTACTATAGTTCAAATCAGATTAGTACGTAGTCCACAGTCATACATGAATGCATGAATAGAGCGCCGGTTGGAGAATTGCCGGCTGAAACGCGACATTCTCAGCGGTAGCTAACTCGGAGGGAAGAATTTAATCGGTGAGATGCTTGAAGAGCCTTTGTCTCTTTCGAGGACGACAGCTTCTTCTATAGCATTCCCTCTCATCCGACAACGCCTCGGACAGATGCCCAAGATACATGCTCACTCAGTATCAGCACTACTTATCGACCATTGCTGGTCTGTATGCTGATAGTGAGAGCGGCAGATGATTTTCAGAGAGAAGGTAATACCTTCATCTCCAACGCCCCAGAGCTACATCTCTCAACCTGCAAGTTGTATTTCAAACCTGAAAAGCTGAGGGAGAAGACTAGGATAGATCGAACTGAGTTGCGAATGCCTCACTTACACCATTTTCAGGCGTTTACGAGAACAATGCAATACAGCCGAGAGGACCACGACAATCTACAAAATCCATAGAACCGGACATCGATGTACTCGATATGCTCTTTCAACAAAAGAAGAAAACTAGGGAGGAGTATCATACGTGCTGGCAGCCATTGTTGTCGATTTGGGCGATGACCGAAAGATCGTGGGTTGTCGACTTGGTGGTTGTTGGAATGAAGAATTAAGAAATTGGAAAAGCCACAGAGAAATTTTGTTCAATAGAGTTTCCGTGTGGGAACATTTAGTTTGCTTGGCCAAAATAGGATTAGCGCATATGTGTTAGAGCAAGCACAGACACACCGCCCACCACCCCAAGCGAGAATTGGGTATGGCTTTAGGGTTATCCCACTTTAAAAGTTTCTGCCGCCGGTCACCGCTGCCCTCTCCAATTCTCCCACACGAAAAAGAATCCCGCCCAATTTTGTCATCGTCCTTTTTTTCCCTTGAGAAATCTCGCGGTCAAGCATTCAGATTCAACCCAACCGTCAACTTTCCCCCAACATCACAAGAAAACAAAGAAAGACATTTCACAATGCCTCCCAAGAAGACCACCCGTCCTGCTCAGGAGAACATCTCCCTCGGACCTCAGGTCCGCGAAGGTGAGTAATCATCCATGCCGCGGGCAAAATGAGACACGATGCCGGCGGTGAACTTGTGAAAATTATCATTTCGCTAACGCGTGCCCCGCGCCCGCAGGTGAGCTCGTCTTTGGCGTTGCCCGTATCTTCGCCTCCTTCAACGACACCTTCGTCCATGTCACCGATCTCAGGTTCGTCTAAACCAATCATTCCAATTTCCGAAATATACATATATCAAAATCCAGTCCGTGTCGTCACCGGCTTCACGCGAATGAGGAGGAACGAAAATCCCTACGAACCTTCTCTCGCTGTGCTATGCCTATGGATCACATGATATTATTATATACATACATCTGCCCTTGACTTAAGAAAAATTGTTGCATTGTGTTGTGTGTGTGGTTCATCAGGCTAACATTCTGGGTGATTCCAGTGGCCGCGAAACCATCACCCGTGTCACCGGCGGTATGAAGGTCAAGGCCGACCGTGACGAATCCTCACCCTACGCCGCCATGTTGGCTGCCCAGGACGTCGCCGCCCGCTGCAAGGAGCTTGGCATCAACGCCCTCCACATCAAGATCCGTGCCACCGGTGGTAACGGCACCAAGACCCCTGGCCCCGGTGCCCAGTCCGCCCTCCGTGCCCTGGCCCGTTCCGGCATGAAGATCGGCCGTATCGAGGACGTCACCCCCACTCCCTCCGACAGCACCCGCAGAAAGGGTGGTCGCCGTGGTCGTCGTTTGTGATCGCGCCATATCATATATCACCCCCTCTGGTGGTTATGGGCGATCTGGAGGCAATCGGCGGAACGGGTTTGCATCTGGACTTCTTCATCTCTGTGGCGTTGACAATTACGAGGAGAACGGCGTAGATCTGATAATTAGAACACGCCTGGTCTCCATGATACTTCGGGTAGCTATGCTTATTGTCACATGATGCCTTTTGGCACGGCTACAGCAGAAATGAGAAAACTGATCAACAAAAACTTGACCCATGCGTTTTACTCGTGAAATGAATGCTGAGCTTGAGCTATTCACTATGATTATGAAGCCATTTGGATATTATTGGGAATGAAGTAAATTTCATTTGTACAAAGCAGGTTTGTAAAGCGCTATATGTGTAAAGCAAAATACATGCAAAGTCCTCCAGCATCTCAAAACTCCTGTGCTATGCTCGAAATGTCCTCAACCACCAGTGGCTTCCTAAATGCAGTATAGTCGTGCCCCCGAGTCCCTGTTTACAAGACGAACTCTTCTTCGATACCAATATTTCCACCAATACTTTTTCCTTCAGGAGCCACATGATTCTCGTAGAAGAACCCCCAATATTTCGACCAACGCTCACAAGTACTCCTTCTTCACCGTCCATATCCCTCTCATCGAAGAGCCTCGCTGTTGCATCTGAGCAACTTGGTTCAACGCGATCTTAAACTGCTCCGTCTGTTTCTTCGTCACGCAGAATGGGTTAAAATGGTCGACCAACGCCTTAGTGGGGACCCGTCCCCCTTGTGCTTTGACGTACTCCGGAATCAGCTTTTCAAACTCCTTGGTCCCTATGTTGGTGTTGCTAGCCACAAGAGGAGGGACCGAGGAGCCGTTCGTAGGTGCGTTCCGACCTTGTCTGTCAGCTAGTCCGGCCAATACACCGGCCGAGCTGGGGCCACCTCGACCGCGGCGTATGTTAGACGGTCCGCCGGCGTGGCCCCTTTCGCCAGTCCAAGTAACAACGCCGATGGGTACAGAACGCGCCTTCTTGGCGGCACGTTCAAGGGAGGCAGTTGCTTCCGCTTCCGTGATAGCCACATCGCGCTGGAACAATCTTGGATCTGTTCCTGGTTTATTGCCGTTCATGATCTTGTCGTGCTCCAAAGCCGAATGAACACCAGCACGAGAAAATAGACCCCTCATAAGGTTTTTCTCTTCTTTCGACTCCTCGTGCTCGTACTCTTCGATGCCTGCTACGCCTCCCACAGCACGAACATCTTGGTCACCATCTGCCTTAACGGCCTTCGGGTCGGGGTGCTGTTTGTTCGCCTTGGCCGATGCGCCAGTGTATGTTACCTCCGAGTCCTTGAAAAGTCTACTTGTTTCGGTCTCCTTCTCTCCGGAACTCCCTAGTGTAAAAAGATCATGTAAATCCTCTAGCTGGAAAGAAGTCTTCTGCTTTGGGTCTTTAAGGACCTTGCTAGACAAGAACTGCTTGAAGATCTGGCGGTGGTAGATCTTCTCTTCAATGGTTCCCGCAGTCATAAGTCGGTAAACCGTGACCTCTTTCTTCTGGCCGAGACGCCATGCTCGCTCCCGGGCTTGGACGTCTGTCGAAGGGTTCCAATCGGGGTCGTACAAGATGACTCTGTTAGCGCCAGTCAGATTAACGCCCAATCCGCCGACCTTCGTGGTTAATAAGAAGAGGTCGATTTCAGAATCATCGTTGAACTTGTCGACCAAGTTCTGCCTCTCTTTGATAGGTGTTTCGCCATCCATTCGCAAATACTTGATATTTTCGAGGCGCTCCACGTAACTCTCCAGGATATTCAACATCTGAACACTCTGACTAAACAAAAGTGTTTTGTGTCCGAGTTTCTTCCAAGTTTGGAGCAGTGCTTCCACAACCACCATCTTGCCAGATTTACTAACTTCGCCCCAGTTGTATCCTCTCTTCTCCTTCAAGCTAGGGTCGACAAGATCAGGATGATTGCAGATCTTTCGGAGTATGTCAATTCCATAGAGGGAATTTCTACTTCCCTTGAAAATAGCCTCCATCTCCTTCGACTTGAGGAAAGACTCGTACTGCTGTCTCTGTTCCTGCGTGAGATGACAGAAAAGGACTTGTTCGGTTTTCTTAGGGAGGTCAGTCGCAACATCAATCTTGAGTCGTTGGAGAAGGAATGGACTGATTGCATCCTTGAGAACTTCGGCACACTTCTGTCCGGTCATGATTTGGAGATTGTTAGCGTTGGCGTAACCTCCAAGCCGAATGGGGATTTCAAACTGGCTACGAAACTCCACTAAGGTTCCTAATCGCATTGGAAAGATGAAGTCGAATAGCGACCATAGCTCTGTCAGGTTGTTCTGCATAGGCGTACCGGAAAGAATGATGCGGTTTGGGGTTCGCAACTCTTTGCAGTATATCGTGACTGCGCTGTTGGGGTTACGGATTTTATGGCCCTCATCTAGAACAGCATAACCCCATTCCACGGGAGTAAGGAGTCTGCCATAAGTCTGTAATCCGGCGTAAGTTGTCACTAAAACGTGACCATGCTTCACAACCCGATTGACGATTTTCTTTGCCGCTTTGCCAAACTTGCTCTCGTCCAACTGATCATCCTCATCATACATCTCTTCTCGATCTTCAATCCTACCCTCGGCTTTCATACTAAGCATGCCGCTTCCCGAGGAATGAAGGATCGACACTCGCATAGGAGGCCACCAACGGTGGAATTCGTTCACCCATTGCTTAAGGACAGTAGCTGGTGCCACGATAATGACAGGCTTGTCTAATTGCTGACTGTGATGCAAAGTCGCAATGAAAGCGATGAGTTGAATAGTCTTTCCAAGGCCCATCTCGTCACCAACGATGCCTCCAACTTTCTGGGCATAAAGTTCTGACAACCATTGAACACCGGTTCTCTGGTAGTCAAAAAGGGCATGGTTGATATCACCAGGGATCTTGAACCCATTCTGAAGGAGATGATCGTCGTGGTCTGGAGAAGGCTTCAACCATTCTTGTTCATCTCCACTGTCAGCCTCGTCGTCGCCTTCACGTCTTCTCTCCTGCCGCTTTCTACGTCTGTTGGCGCAACGCCTTTTGGACCAATCAGCAAGTCGAGCCTGGTAACTGCGCTCATTGCCATCGTCGATCTTGCTAAGATCAACTTTGTCACCACTTGTTGCTTTCTTGGACTTCTTTCGAGGTCGCTCGTCATCCTGTGACACTTGATCAACGAAATCTGCACCGGGCGCATCGGAAGAAGTCTGCGGTACGTATTCGTCCGACGACGAAGCCGCGTGCGTTAATTTACGCTTTTTTTGTTGGCGTTGACGTGGACGTAATCCGAATTCGCTTTCGGCCGCCGCGCTGGCCAGATCAGGTTCTTCGTCAAATCCAGGCGCTCGCAGATTCTGATGCGATTGAGGTTGGTAATCGGCTTGTTCTTCCAGTTGCTCCGCTGCTGCTTCATCTTCGGCATCGATTAAGGCATCGGCCAGCGGTCCTTCAACGCCTTCGGGTCGTGGTCCACCAATATTCGCAAATGGGGTAATTTTACCCGTGCGAATCAAGAAGTCACGATGACTCTCGTTAGGCAACTTCTTGTTGGTGCTCTGAAATTGGTCGATATTGTCGCCTTCGCGATGACGTTGTTCGATGCGTGCTTGGAGATCAGCAATGTCCTTGTTGGCTTGTTTGATATCCGAGTCAATTTGAGCAATCTTGTCTCGAGTTGTTCGCTGATACGCGGGTCTTCCAAGGGCCCTACGACATTGCTCCTCAAGGTTCTTCTTCTCGGTTTTGAGCTTCTTTATACTAGCTCGTACCTTGTCGATACGTTTCTCATCTCGCTTATCCTCAGCATCAATCAAGGCAAGATTCGCTTGATAAGTGATATCGCGTTCTACATCTGCCTGGTCGCGAACATTTGCTGTAAGATTCTTAATCGCTGCTTCCTCATCAACGATGTCGGCAATAGTATCTTTGGCGTTGGAATCAGCAGCAGGTGCAGTAGTAGCACATGCTTCTTCGACGATGTTGGTTAACAGTTCCGTGACTGGGGTTACGGCGCGTTGTACATCCGCCGACTCAACTTTTGGGTCATCCGGATTACCGGAATCAGACGTCATGATGAAAGTCGGCACAATGCGCCGTACATTAAAGGGTGTGCGTGAATACAAGATAGTTTGGTGATGCGAAAGTGGTAGAGTGGTTTAATGAAAGAGTACCGTATCTTGGAAGAGTAGTGCAATTGTACAGTTGATATTCAAGTAGTGGAGTAATGAAAGAGTAGTGTGATGGAGAAGTGATTGATAGAATAGAGAGTGATGAAGTAGAGTGTGTAGTATAATAAAGTGGTAGAAAGGTGAGAATAGAGTACACGATCCAGTAGCAGTGCGAATCAGCGCAAGTGAGTTGATACCAAATGCCTAAAGGCTTAGACGGATACTGAAGTTGGTAACAGATCACAGAGTGCGATGAATCGAATTGTGTCTGAATGTTGGAATGAGAAGGAAAAAAGAAAGACGAAAGTGCAGGGGAAAAAAGTTGCCTAGTAGTAGGAGTCAAAAACGGTAGGCACCAGCGCACATGGAAAAAGGAAGTAGTGTTGAGGCTCTTTTGTTCCGGAAACCTTAATTACCTAGGATGGGAGGCGACGAGAAGGTGTTTGGAATCCCGAATGACGCATAGCGAACTCTTCCGGTTGGTCCAGTCAATTAGATGCATATCTTTATCGATAAGCCTTACGGACGCTTAATAATGAAAAACCTTCGATACTTGAATAATTCGCCCATTCTAGTATTTATGTATTTATTTGTAGTTACCCGCTTACGGAGAATGATATGATGGATTTATGCTGTCCAGGCTGTCTTAAAAGGGGGGGTTTCCGATCCCCTTAAACCCCGACTGCTGGTTAATATCAGTCAATAAAATGTCAGGGGCTCACAGAGGCCCTTGAGCGGCCCACTCTTTCCAATATAAATCTGATGCATTCCCATTGCTTCAATTTTTTACACATTGTTTTTATCTTCCATACTGCTCTTCAACCAATCAGAAATCTTCGTTTTCATCAATATGCCTCGTTATGCCAATTACAGCCAAACAGCGCTCGAGAAGGCTACTGAAGCGGTACGAAAAGGTGCATCACTTCGTCAAGCTACTCGTGATTGGAACGTTCCTCAATCTACTCTAAGATCACGACTTAGAGGCACCCAACCGAGTAATAAAGCCCACTCTATGCAACAACGCTTAACACAACAGCAAGAGATCGAAGTAGCCAATTGGATAAGGGGACAAAAGGCATTAGGTTTACCTGCGACCCATGCTCAGATCCGAAGTTTAGTCGTACGAATTCTTCGGACCAATGGCGATCATGAACCTCTTGGGAAACAATGGGTCCCGACATTTTTAGCTCGAAATCAACTAGTATTAAAAACGCCTAAGCAGCCTCGGGCAGCCCCACTCGATTCAACTAGAGCTCATGGGGTAAACACCCCACCAGACACTCCCCTTTCGAACATTCCTATCGAAATCGAGCCTTCTAATTGGGTGGCTACTCCTGAAAAGTCACAGGATGTAATAGAAGCTGGACGAGAAGCTGTACAAGAGCTTCTTCAGCTCGGGGACAACGGACCAATGCGATGGTTGACTGAAAAAATAGGGAAGAGGATTGATCAATTGTCATGTCAATTGGCTACGGCCCAAGCTGAATGCGATAGCTTAAAGCAGTTAACGGTTCAGCTAAAGGCCGCTGAGCAAACTAAGGTTAATCCGGAGCCGAATAGCGCCTCTGTTCAAATTGAGGAGAGTTGTCGCACTAGCACAGAAATGGCTAAAGCACTAAACCCAGCTAGGATTAGCGAAAGAGTTTCATCAGCTGGTTTTAGCGAGTTATGCTCAGAATGGCAATTAGAGCTTTCTTAACCGGCTATTCACTGATTGCTTAAATACAGTGACTACACTCTACTAGGTACTAAGAATGGATATCATTATTCGTATGTACTTACATAACAACACAGAACGTGACCTGTATTGCTAATTACACACATCTAGCTTATACCAAGCGCAGCAACGCAGGTTTATATACCTACTATGTTTGAGCTCAAGCTCATCTTTACCTCGGTACCTCAATCCTTCGATTACCAGAATATACGGAGGTCCGCTTTTCGCTTCCAATAGTCCCCAGAAGTAACGTATCACACTGGTCAGAATCCGAGCTAAGATCCACGTACAGAGCCGAAAATAGAACATAAAATTGGGATTGTCAGATCTTGCTTGAGCCTCCTAATCTCTAATCCTCTTCCATCTCTGTTTCAATCCAGCAAGGTCATTCTGGTTATTGAATTCCTTCGTTCAGTTAACATATACAAAACCCATACTGGTATCTAATAGACAAGTGCTATTCCGAGAATTTGATTAAGTGATCTATCCGCAGCTCTTCAGTATCAACGGAATTCCTGGAGATCTAGGTATTATATGCAATACCACGTCACCTCAAATAAGCTGACCTATATCTTACAGATCTCACTACCGTACACACTTGGCTCCATTCAATAGACAATGCGATCAGATCAATAAACCCGGCACTCGTATGCATTACACATGTATACACATCTATCTCCCTCTGGGTATCCCTTCTCACCGAGGTCGTAATATATCGACTCATTACAAGTCATCAACTGTTCCTTAGAAATAGATAATACAAAATGTAGACAGCGATGAATCTCCTTACTACGAGAGCATTGAACAAGGTAGGAAAGGCCCGACTCAATGCTACTATGTCCCTACCGTCCCCCAGCCCTACCAACTCAATTCTGTCGCGAGCGCGCCTAGACCCTAATCCCAGCCCAAGGAAACCCCTCAATTGTTTCCCTTCGCGGGAGGAGCGTAGCTACAGCCGTTCATAAATGCGACGGAGACGATCGATCCCGCCCGCGGTTGGTCCACCTGCCTGTCCGGGGAGACAAGCAGGCACTTAGACGGGAACCCTTGATGACCTCATTACACGAGATTGGAGTGGTGGAGGGATACATGCCGTTCCCGCCAAGCTGAGCGCGAGGCCGACGAGATCATTGGCCGTCCCATCCGATCCTTTAGCGAGTGTGGATCACGATGTTAAGTACCGTTCAGGCCAGTCACGGCCGGCAAGATACATACCCACACGCAAATCAATGGCATACCTACTCACCCACCCTTGTTGGCGAAACGTTTCAACTCAAACGTTGTCGGCACTGTCCTTGCATGAGCGGAGTACTTAGCCTGCTTACGGTCTCGCGCCGATCCCGAGGGATGAGACTTGGGATGGGCGAAGCCTCCTTGATGGGACGACCAGACATACCAGTAAATATGTATGTACCTATTTAAAATAAGGTCGCTACGCCTCCTCGCCGCATAGCCCTATGACCATGTAGGTAGCTGAGTGGCTCGAAGGGATCCGCCCAGCGAGCTTAGCCAAGCTTATTCAGACCGCGAAGCTCGAGTACTTGAGCAAGACGTTCCCCAGCTTAGTCGTCTCGCCGCTTGAGATCTATCCACCATTCCCCAACTCTGCGGACCCCTTCCTATCCTAGTAGGAAGCCAAACCCAACGGAGTGGAATAGACCCATAGCCCGTAATCAAGAAGAAAGCCGCCCAAGATGTTGTTCTGCAAAGTATCCCAGTGGATGACGAGGGTGATGCCTCTCCTCGTGCCCATGGTCTGCGCCAAGGAGACCGCCACAGCGGCGACCGTCAACGACCACCGCGTCGTGATCTACTACCAGACGACGAACTTCAACGGCAGCGCGACGGAGCACGTCTCGCTGCTGCCGCTCATCAGCGACAAGTCCAGCATCCCCGTGACCCACGTCCTCATCGCCGCCATCCACCTGACCGACGACCCGGGCGTGCACCTGAACAACTACCCGCCCAACAACACGCTCTTCGACCAGGTCTGGTCCGACGCCGCCCAGCTGCAGGCCGCCGGCGTCACCGTCATGGGCATGCTCGGCGGCGCCGCCGCGGGCTCCTACTCGCGCCTCGACGGCGACGACGCCGACTTCGAGAAGTACTACGCGCCGCTCCACGACATGATCGGCACCTACAACCTGCAAGGGCTCGACCTCGACGTCGAGGAGACCATGTCGCTCGACGGCATCGTGCGCCTCATCGACCGCCTGAAGGCGGACTTCGGCGACTCCTTCACCATCTCGCTCGCGCCCGTCGCCGCGGCCCTGACCGAGGGCGGCGGCAACCTCAGCGGTTTCAGCTACTTCGACCTCGAGAAAGAGCGCGGTTCTTCGGTGTCCTTCTACAACGCGCAGTTCTACTACGGGTGGGGCGACGCGAGCAGCGCGTCGGACTACGAGTCCATCGTCGACGACGGGTTCGCCGCGGCCAAGGTGGTGATGGGGCTCGTCACGAACCCGGCGAACGGGGGCGGGTTCGTGGACCTCGACAGCGAGGCCCCCGTGCTCCAGGAGCTGACGGCCGAGAACCCGGCGTTCGGCGGCGTCGCCGGCTGGGAGTACTTCAACTCGCTGCCGGGCGGCGAGTCCGCGCCCAACGAGTGGGCTACCTGGATGGCGCAACACGTGCGCTCCGCCGCCGCGACGAGCGGTCAGAAGAAGGAGATCTCGGCCCGCGAGGCGGTGTGGAGGCGCGTGCGCAAGGCCGGGCGGAGGGTCAGGAGGGAGGCTAAGAGGGTGTATAGGGATTACATCGCTTGAGTCACCTACCTACTTTAGCTACATACATATCTTGCTGTATCTACCTAACACCGTCACCGTACGTTAGGCGTTGCCCAACATGTACATATCAGGCGTTATCAACGGGTGGTTATACGGGATATCTCTAACCTTATAGGCTACTAGTATTTGTTTATAATCATCGAACCTTTTTGTATATACTTTGACTTATATATTTACATAAGCGATTGCTCATGTATATGGTTTTTATCTCTGCCCTATCTCGCTATGCGTGTTTGTGGTATGCATAAGTATACGCCGTTGCACAACAGGATGCTTCTTATCTCGCATTCAGAATTGCTAAAGACTGGTCTAGGCATTACATTATAGAAGTAACAATAGCAATGGCGTTGGCACATGTCAAACAAACGTCGAAGCAAGGGAGCATAAGGTGGTGTTTCGCTTTTGGACCAATTAGTTCTCTCTCGATTAACTGTTTACAATCGCTTCGACTGGGGAAAGGGTTATCCTGCTTAACTGCCGGAGACGTAGATCAGGAGATGGAGAGATTGATAGAAATAGTTGGTATGTATTAGGACTAAGGCATTTTATTAATTGTGCTAGTCTAAACCCTTGATCCCTTTTATTCTTCAAGACTACGACAACAGTTCTATACGATCGTTAGATGACCTATTGGCAAAGTCGACTTAGGCCATCGATTAGACTGCTTTCCGCTAGGACATGCCCTATTCAAGTTTGAGTGCCATTAGTTTAAAACCACCTAGTTAGTCAGACATTCATACGAACTAACGACAGTTTCATTAAAGATATCGTATAACTTGGAATTGATACAGTAGTTTCATTAGAGGTAGTCGGATATATCTTTATCATGTAGAAGTGTAAATCGCTTGCTCGCTAAGGCCCACGCCGCATCTAAATGACAACCAACTCCCACTTCTCGATTCTAAAACATACAAATGCTATCACCATCTTGAATTTAATAACTCCGATATCCTGCCATGTTGGGCAGCTATGCATGGTCTGCAGGATGAGCTGCGGTATTTGTTTCTTTTCTTCCAAGACAATCCAAGACTTGGTCAAGTCCCTGCGTCTGCGTCTTCCAAAGCGGATCTAGACTTCCGTTATGCGCACAAATATGCTTCGTGATCTCTTCCCAATATAGATTTAATAAATCCGCCGTTTAGTCGGTTCTGGCTGCCCAGATCTGCAGTCGTATATGGTATATGATCCCCATGTCCAACGCCGGGCAATGCAGTGGCTACCCAACTTAGCCGAAGAATACCTTCCCAATGCGTCCAACAGAAAGAGCCACAACTCCTTCCAAAAACATGGTAAAATATCTGCTAGTTGAATAATAAACAACGCTAAACAATGAACAAGAAACAGAAATGTGTGGGAATAGGTGGTCGCTAACACGAAAAGAAGGTAAATTTCAGGGGTATTCGAACGACCGCACACAAAATCGCAGAAAAGGAAAAATATCGAACAGAACGACGGCTATGCTATCGGAGTAAAATCGCTATATGCACATTCCAGTCCAACGCATAAACCCGAGGACCTTGGGATGGCATTATGAAATGGCATAGTGGGATGCACAAGTTTTTTCTTTTCCCTTTTTTTCCCACTAGGCCACTAATGCTGCTCTTGTTTAAAATTTTCCAAATTCCGTAAGTCTTAGGCGACAGCCGAGCGCATGAGAAACCAGGAAGTATCTGATCCGCGCTAGAATGAAATTGCGGAGCTTCGAAGTCGTCGTGGATCTGATTAGAAAGCAGCGCAAGATAATGCACCACGGGAATGCATGCTCCTTGCAGAGGAAAGCGGCCTAACTCAAAAGATGACCTGGATGACCAACTTGCCCACCCTTGTAGGAGCCATTACCCATCCGACCTCGGTCTTAGATTTGATCAAGCCTCGCGAGATCCCGAAACCGAATATTTCTGACAGGACCCTGACTAGGCGAAATAAAATTAGGGGATATATCCACAACCCTTAATTCATGGTAGCGCTTGTCGCGTTACGGGTATTCCAGAATGTTACGATGGGTCCGGCGAGACTGGCGATGTCGGAAAGGTGGAGTAATGGGAGTCGTAGGATTGGCCGAATATCGAAGCTAGTTAGTCTTTCGGTAGTCGTGGTTGACGTAGCGTTGTGGGACGAAGCCCGCGATCCACGTACTCCTCTGCTTCGAGCCTTGAGCCGTTCGTTGGATGACATAACTAACCCACAATGCTGGATATCCAATTTTGCTTCTCAGCCATCACTAGGCTCCTCCAAATGCAGTCATAGATTCTGCAGTCTTGTTGATCGTAATGAGGCCGAGGGTGAACTAATGGAAGATCCATCGCTTTCCCTAAATTCAAATGGTGTCCTGTGAGAGAGCAACCCACCGAGCAGGAATGCCGTCAGGTCCAATCTCATAAGGTTTTGATGTAGACTTCCTTGGCGGTAAGAGCCAACGCGCATGTCCTTCACGTTGGTCGTCCAATTTGCCGCGCTTGCGCATTAGATGTTCCAATACAGCAATACGAATGAAGTCTGAATTCTCGCGTATCTCCCGCTGTCGAGGACCTGGTGGAAACACGTAGGCAGCTGGTGATTTAGAATTGCCCGCTTGACCACCCGAGCGACTGGATGCAGGGGCACTCCTCGACCTCTGGATTTTGTAAGTTTGCATCTGAATAGAAGCCGTGTAGCTACGGGTCGGAGACCGGACACGCGAATCGGGACGTAGATTGCTCGTTGGGTTTAAATAACGACGCATTGCTTCGCTAGGCTCTTCCATGACGGGGGGCATTCTCTCATCAGTGAATGGGACCCGAGGATCGATTGTGAGTATAGACCTGGTGAGAAAATCATCGGGAGGGATCGACGAAGCAGTAAAACTAGACAGAGAACGAGCTGCTGAGCGCAATGCGCGGAGCGATGCTGTCAGGTTCGATTTGAAGACAGATTTAAGAGGTGCCAGTCCCGTAGCCTGCTTCTGCTCGGCGAGACCTGACTTTGAGTCGAATACCCTAAAGTCAAGTTGGTCGATCTCCGCAGTGCTCTTAATAGAAAGCGGGTGTTCCGGGTGCTTCCCAGGTGGCGAAGAAATTGGCTCCAATGAACGCCGTGGCGGACGTATCCTTCTTCCTCGCGGCGTGATAGGAGAGTCGATGGAGGTAACAAAACTGGTGCCAAACGAGTCGCCTAGGGACGGTACGCTCTCGAACGATGCCGCGCGAGTTGAGAGAGCTGACGTGAATGCGCTATCGCTGTTTATGGATGCTCCATCTTCGTAAAGCTCATCGGGCGGGCTGAGCAATACATCCATGGGGCTGCGATCATAAGATGCGATGCTTCCATCACTCAAATCTCGAGCGAATTCCTCGCTAAGTTCCTGGCTCAGCGCCTTCTCGGAGACCTGCGATCGAGTCACGATAGAATCGACGGTCATCCGTGAATCTCTAGACGAGTCCCTAGACTGCTGCCGCGACCTCATACGCCGGTTAGGCGGAGGGATGCTAGTAACAGCAAGCAAAGCCGCCACCGATGGAGGGATGGCGTCGGGAGAGTGCGCATCGCGAGGCCGCCTCGAAGAGTGCTTTCGCGGCGCATGCGCATGAGGTCGCGATCTATGCGCATGTGCAGCATCCTGCTTCGATTTTATGGGGATCTGTACGGCGCTAGAAGGAGTATTTGGTCGCGCGACAGCGTTGGTCATGGTGGTACTTGGCGGACTGTTGCTTGGCGGGGATAGTCTATCCGACTGTAGACCTTTCCTCTTAGCCATACTAAGGTCCCTGGGTGGTGTTTTAATATTGGTAGGCTTGATAGGAGTGACGTCTCTCTTCGTAAATTGATCATCCTTCCGCTTAGGCGTAGACACCTTAGACGTCGAGTTCGGTACGGAGGTAGGGGATATAGGTTGTTTGCGAGAGTAGAAAAAGGACCTCGGAACCATCATCGTAACTTGGAATTCGAGACTGGACCCGACTTTTTAACGGAAATCGTTAGTAACAGTAATCAGCCGTCACCCTATTGCTGCAATTAAGCAAGTGTAGCGGGGCGGCAGGCCGCAAGGAACGTGGCTCTAAAATGCGCTGTAAGTCCCTTAGTTCTCTTTTTCCCGGGTTGGCCACCGAATCGGAAGGGGAGTGCCGCGATTAGAATCGTCCGCCAAGTGAAGTAATGGATTGGTGGTCGAGTTAGTCGTGTGTAGCCTTTCACCAGGGGTCCCACGATTCTCGTACGTAACAGCGAGGCGTCTCGTCGAACGTGGGATGCAGGTTAGATGCACGACAGGGACCCAAAGACGTGGAAACTTCGATATAAAATAATGATGATGTCGTTTCTGCAGATCCTTAGAGGTCGCAAGCTCGACTACTACAACCCGTCCTGTCGTGGGCGCAACAGCTCTTCTAGTAGCTGGATCTCACGAGAATGGTGAGGCATCACAATACGGACATTTGGAAACACGCAATACGAACTTTCGGGATGGGGTCGAGCTGAGACGGACGATGACGATGATGGGCGCAGGGGACGCTATGACGCGCAATAACTCTTGACTCCGAACTACCAGCGTCTCTTGTTTCCGCGACGGTCTTATGATTCGGTACCTTTGTGGTGAATGATTGTATTGTATTAGGTGTTATTGGGTTGTTAGTCGACAACAAAGAGGACGTAATAAGAGAAGAATAAAAAGAGGATCGAGGCAGGACGGGAGATATTATACATCCATCTAGATGTCTAATAAGTAATAGATCAGATACATTCTAGGTGATAGGTCTAAACTAGGAAAACGGGAAGGGCGGATATTGATGACAGCCAAGACTAGGAAGCCATCTAACAGATAACAGAAATTAGAATAACAGGTTAGAACAACAGGTTATGACTTGTACAACAGGATTCCGATTGACCCTCGTCGCTCATCTCGACTTATGAAATGGCAGATGTGGCCTGCCTGATTCGGGGAAGATAATGGGAAAGAGGAAAGATAGTGACCCCCTTTAGCCCTCGAGTCAGGTAACTTAGATCTTAGCCCCTGCTCGGGTACCCGGGTACATGGCTACAACCATGCGACGCACGCGACTTCCGTCGATTTTGTACATGTTTTATGATAGCTCCTACCAAGTTGCCAAGTATCCCTACCGTGGCATGTACCTCGAATTAGGTACCGAGCGGTGGAGTCCGGTATTGTACCACAACGGCTGGGGCAACTGATAAGGTACCAAGGTTCCAAGGTTCCATCTAGACGGAATGCCGTTTGGGTCGGAGACATTAACTTTCCTTCAACATGTTTTTGACGTCTCCAAGTCTACTTCAACCAGCCCACGTTCCTCGTACTACGCAGTACATACATTGATCCTTTTTGAAGGCCACATCTGTCAAGTTTCTCAACTTGGACTAATTGTACGTAAAACTGCGCCGGTACACGAGTCTGTCAGACGAGGCGTGATCTGGAAATATGCAGATATCCCACGAATATGTGCTGTCACTGGGCTTACGTAGCTGAAGAGCGAGGGTGGGTTGCGGGTTTCCAACTGATCGGCTGATCCGACACCCCTAAAGTAGCTCTTCGCCCTGTGGGATGCCCAGCCGTGGCTCTCAACCGACACCCCACAAAATAGGAAATCAGCTCTCACCGTTTCGAAAGTAATTCTTCTGGAAGGTACCCCTACGCTGCTACAGCAAATGTTGCCACTCTCTCCGCCCTTGCAGGACGAAGCAGTTGGGGTTTGTTGGGGGCAGGACCCTGAATATCGACCACCAGACCGGACTCCCTCACGGGCCACTCATTGTTAATGAGATTATTTCCAAAGAATGCCAAGTTACATTCATTCAAAGTCAATATCCGAACACGACCCCATCTACAAAGGTAACTAATTCGATATCTCCAGGCCTCGGATGGAGGAAAGGTATGGAAATCAGCCTATAGGAGCTAATGATCCAAGCTATATTAGTGATGAGCTGGAGGTTAGTAAGTCTATCTAGCCTCTACTACCTAAACGTAGTATCGCGCACATAATCCATGTCAACATCATTTGCAAAAGTTAATATGCCAGACAAGACTGTGGGGAATCCTTGACAACCCCGTGAGCGTCGTTTTCGAAATATCTCGGGCTCGGGCTCCAAAGCAGCGGCATGAGTCACGTCTTAGCAGGCCGACAGGTACTATTATATCTCCGTAATATGGCATTCCGGCAATGCCCAACCACGACAACATCAATATCAGCCTACTTCTCCCGCTTCGCGTCTCGCTAAATGGTGCCAAATAGCCCGAGTTACATCCTGCCAACTCACTTATCCATTGCGACCGAACATGGACATTCCGTGTCTGCCGTTCTATAAGCGCAGTAAGCTGGAAATTGCATGATATTTTCCCTTTCCTGATTTCGAAATGAATCTACATTTTGAGACTGGAGACGGAGATGTACATGGCATACCCGCACATTGCCTTAATTCCTGCTCCTTCCCGTGGACGCAAGATTGGCTTCGATCTCTAAACTTCGTCCGTAACATCATCCGTCGACAAACACAACGATAAGCCGTTAGGTTTGTTGTACCGACGATCAGCTAGTCAGGGAGGGCCTGCCACACCAAGATTGACGGGTCAAGAATAGTCTTATGCACGTCGAACCTCATTCCGCATAGTATTTATGTACCCATTCCCATTCAGCCATCTTCTTATCACTGCGCCCTGATTCGCTCCCCCGCACATTTAGCGAACCTCCTTTACGGGCGCACATACATCATAGCGTAAAACATATCAATAGTTGTCGACACTTCTATTAAATCATGAGCACGAGTTTGTCCTGTCTGAAGCTCATCGTGAGTGCGGGGGAATGTTGCGAACGAGTTGATGAGCACGAGCGTTACTCCAAATAGCCCGATGATCTGGAAGCTCCGGGATTCATCGAGATTTGATCATCTCCGGGGGAACTACTTTAAGGTTTACATTACTAAGATACCATTGTTCACGATGCCCTGAAAGATCACGAGCCTTCTCGCCGGATCCTGCCACTCAAGCCCCGGTGAGGTCCCGTTACCAAGTCACAGGCGGTCAAAGTAGAAGATGACGTTGTTAGTATGTATAAGTTTAGTACGGGGGCTTGTCCGCGGAACGCTAGATAGACCGCGCTTCCGTCCATCGGTTTGCCGTCAGTGAAAATTGGCCCTGCAGATCGCGAGTCAAGGTCTTAGAGAGAACGGCCTGGACCGCATTTTGTGTCACCCAAGACTTAACATCATGATCTTCAAGAGGTTGGTAGCACGGCATAGACGGCTTGGTTCCAGGCTCGGCAACTCCTTGTGCCCTGATTTATAGCTGGAGGAGTGTGTCAAAAATCAACCTATTTCGACTGCACGCCATTTAATAGCATGCCTTTTGATTCGAGGGAGCTCTTAGGACAAATTTATTGCCTACCTGCTATCTGGGGTCTAGATAATTCGGTGGTATCGAATTCGTCTCAGCGATAGACGCAGCGCAACCTGCTATTGTCCTTGATCTTCTAATAGATAGGTAGGTACCTGGCTATAGTTGATTGATGAGAGACTCAGTCTCTGACAAGCCTCTTGAGCTAACTACCATATAAATCGAGAACTAATGAGTATCAAATATATAGATTTAGACTTGGAATTCTCAACCACGAAGATATTCATAAACAATCTGGTTATTATTTTTCATTCATTTCTCCCGAGATGTTGAGGACCACAACGTAAACTAAGAGCTGAAGTACGAACCACATAGCTCATAGAAAATTAGAATCCTCATATAGGGAAATTTTTAAGCCGAATCAAAATGAAGGGTTCAAATGTTATCAGCTTCTCTAAATATCAAGCCCTTGAATTGTGATACGGTACCTATTTATAGTGAGCAGCTGACATGAGCTTCTGCCAGCTGCCAGCTGCCGTATCTTATCTAATCGTACAACTTTCAACTTTCCGCCAACAAGCTCCAGCTTCCAGAAGTGAAATTCAACCTTGGAAGCTTCCTAATTATTTTTATATAATAAGTCGAATTGGCCCAAACGTCAACCTTAACCCGAATTCCCGCATAGCTGACATGACACCTGCCTCCGCACCCAACTCCTCGACCCGATTCCTCCCCTACCTAAGTTCCTAACCTATCTCCTAAGCAAACCTCCCTCCTCCCACCTTCCTCCGGCCCAAACCCAACAACCAACTAAATAAATAAATAAATAAATAAATAAATAAAACCAAAAAATGTCGACGCCCGACCCCACGACCCTAACCTCCTCCCCCCAGATCTTCGCCGCCCACACGCTGCCGCAGGTCCGCGCGATCCACAAGTCGCTGCACGCGCAGATCGACGAGAAGTCGGCGCGCCTGCGCACGCAGGTCGGGAACTCGTACCGCGAGCTGCTCGGCACCGCCGACGCCATCGTGCGCATGCGCGCCGACATGGCGCGCGCCCAGGACGTGCTGGGGTCCATGGGTGGGCGGTGCGGGCGCGCCGCCGTGGCGGGCAAGATTGGGAATTTGGGGGCGTTTTACGGGGGGGCTGCTACGGAGGATGGGGGTGACGATGGTGCTAGAGAAGTTGAGGCTAGGATGCGGGATGTGGCGAGAGTTAGGCTGTTGGGCGCTTGTGGGTTGGTTGTCGAGCGCATGTTGAGGGGTGGGAAGGGAACGGGAGCGGGAACGGGAGAAGGCGCGGAAGGGAGGGGTGATAGGTTGGTGTTGGCGGCCAAGGTGCTCGTTTTGAAACGCTTGCTAGTATCGAGTTTTGGCGCGAGGGACGGGGTGGATGAAGGGGTGAGGAAGGCGGTTGAGGCGGCGAGGAAGAGTTTGGGTAGCCTGAGGAGGAGACTGCTTAGGGCGGTTGAGAAGGTATTGGAGAAGATTGGCGACGGGGTAGATCGAGGCGATATTCTCAAGGCCTTGACCGCGTATAGTCTGGCTTCGAGTTCTGGCGCGAGAGATGTGTTGCGTCATTTTCTCAGCGTGAGGGCTGAAGCTATGACATATGAATTCGACTCTGGGGAGCACGAGAAGGAAAGGGATACCGAAAACGTCTTGAAAGGCCTTGATTTATATACGAGGACGCTTCTGGACGTGCAAGCATTGGTACCTAGCAAACTCTCTGATGCACTGCTTCGGCTCAAAAAGCAGCACTTGTTAGCAGATGAATCACTCCAGGGGCTAGAGGGCCTCCGACTCGACATATTCGAGAAGTGGTGTGGAGAGGAGATACAGTATTTCACTCCCTTTATCCGCCATGATGACCTAGTTGGAAAACAGGCTAGAGAAATGCTCACGGGCTGGGCGACGAAAGGTGGCGAGATACTTCTCCAAGGTCTCAGGAGGACCCTGGAGCACGTTTCCGAGTTCAAGACTATTGTGGATCTAAGGACTAGTGTTCTTCAACATTGGATTAAGGACGGCGGGAAAGCTAGGGGATTTGACCCGTCTGTTATGCTTAACGGTATACGGGAAGCTATCGATGATCGGCTCTTGCACATTTTGGAAGCCAAAGTGGCCAAGCTCAAGCTAGTCGGGTCCGAGGTGACTGCAACTCTCGAAGCATGGCACCCTGGCACGACCGACAAGCATCATAGTTTATGGGATGAAGAGATGCTGGATATAGATGTGTCGGGTAGCGCAACCCATGTTACTCGCGAAGTCATCTCTCGTCTGTACGGGCGAAACGATGCCGTGGCCAAGGTAGTCACCAGCTACGAGTCGTGGCATCATGTTATTGACAGCGCAGATGACTTAATCAGCCAGCTCAAACGCCAGCGCTGGGATGATGATGTGGAGGAGATAGAAGATGAGGATGTCATTGCAGAGCGCCAAAAACTATTAAGCAAAGACGACCCCGAATTGCTAAAGAAGAAATTGGATGAAACTACCGTCCAAGCTTTCAAAGATCTAAATGAGCATTTGACGACTGTCTGGAAATCGAAATCAGATAGCCCGGACAACGGTCCTATTTCCATGTACCTCTTGCGGATTCTTAGGGATATCCGCAGCCGACTACCCGAATTGGAAGACATCAAATCTTTTGGCTTGGAGAATGTACCGTCTCTACATGAGAAACTAGCAGCTCACGTGTCGGTCTCGCCTCTCGAGGAATTCGCTTCGACGACCCTAGCGAGAAGACATGTAGCCGGCCGAGCGTTATGGGAAGGAGAACCACCCTTGCCAGCACAACCGTCCCCCGGCACATTCAAACTTCTACGCAACCTTGTCATGTCCATGGGAGATGCAGGTTTGGACCTTTGGACACCTGCCGCTGTGGGTGTTCTGAAGCGAACATTTAGCAAGCAACTCGTTGAAGCATGGCGCGAAGAATTTAACTCCGAAGCCACAGATGGCCAAAATATAGGCGAAGCGAGTGAGGAAAAGTCATCGGAGAATGAAAACGACGGCCCGTCAGAAGCTCCAGAAAATTCATCAGAGAATGAGAAGGATACGCAAGAAAAATTCGAGAAGAACAACGACATATACATCCAGTGGCTCTACGACATCCACCTCATTATACAATGTCTCGGTACTGAAGTTAGCTCGGAGGAATCGTTCAAAGCTTTTGTAGAGGAGATTTCCGAAAGGACGGGATTAGAAAAGGGAGCTCAAGAGAAGCTGGCGAAGACATCGCAGGAATATTGGAAGAGGACGAGCTTGTTATTTGGGCTGCTCGCATGATACCCATGACTTGAATCGTATATTATGATAACTGACGCCGAATAATGAAAAACATATGCCACCCAAACCATACATGCTTCATCTCATAACTTATGCCTCTTCTTGCCCGTCGCGATCTTCTCAAATTCCCCTAACGGAACGCCCTTGACAAACCGGTCTAAGCCCGCGAACACCTCAGCCACGTTCTGCTTCTCCAGGATCTCGATATTCGGCTTCTGGATCAGCGCCTTGATGCCGAGCAAGCTATCGCTGTTCAGATGATCGCCCATACTGTCGTCAATCTCCTTCATAACCTGCCTCAGGAAGCCATCGCTGTCGCCCTTCTCACACTGGAAAACCTTGTTCGCAAAGCCGGTCTTCACGAGGTCCTCGCACGTGACGCGCTTGCTCTGGATCAGGGCCTCGTTGGCCTTGCTGATTCCCAGGCGCTGGACCATGGCGTGGGAGGCTCCCCCCTCGGCGACCAAGCCCAGCGAGGAGAAGGGCATCAGCAGGAAGGTGTGCGGCGCGCAGTAGACGAAGTCGGCGAAGGCGGTGATGGCGGCGGAGAGCCCGACGGCGGGGCCGTTGAGCGCGGCGACCAGGATCTTCGGGTGCGTGTACAAAGCCCGCGTCAGGTTCAGGTTGTTCGACACGAAGTCCCGCAGCCACTGCCGGTACGCGTCCGGGTCCGCCGCGCCGGACTTCTTGTCGCCTAGCGAGACGTCGGCGCCGCTGTTTGTCAGGTGTGAGTGTAAGTGTAACCGTGTGAGATATTACGTGTATTTTTTTGTGTGTAGGTACGTTTTGTGTGAGCAAGTGGAAAGGAGAGAGAGTAACCTTACGCGGAGAAGTACCGGCCCTTCCCGGTCAGGACGGTGATGTAGATGTCATCGCGCTTGGCGATTTCGAGGAGAGCCTTGGCTATGGCGTAGTAGCCGTCGAAGCCTAGAGCATTGAGCTTCTTGTCGTTGTCGATGGTGATGGTAGCGATGCGGCCGGCGTACTCGACCTTGATCACATCCGTCATGGCTCTTTCGTTCTCGACGGCGTATCACATTAAGTACTCGGTATTTGATCGCTGCAAGACAGAGAGGTTATATGAGACACACCACAATATGAGATTTATAAAATATGAGACATTTAGAATGTTTTATAAGAGCCAGGCGGTGTATTGCTTTGTCCAACGCCGGCTTTTAAGGTTGGACGGGACTTTGTTAAATAAACTTCCAACGTTCCCTCGGGTACGCGCCCCACTATAGCCCGCCTGGTTTAGGTGGGAACCTCGGCATCCTAGGGACCCGCCATGCAGCTAGCCGTCACCAAACAACCTTCCTGCCCCACGAATTACTCCGGACTCGATTTTGTAATCAATCAATTACTTAAGCGGTCACGTTCTTTCTCGTTTCAAATAGGCTAATTGGTTCTCGGATCCACTAGCATGATACTGGAAATTCTAATAAAGGTTAACTTTATTACTGGTTGGCAGTTGCATGTAGGTACATCCGTATCAGTATTGAGTGCTAACAATTCCTGCCAAGACAAGCTAGTTTGAACCTCACATGCAGGTAACAAATTGTTAGTGACCTCAAACTCAGAACCAAACCTTCACATTCCAGGAAGTCATAGGCTATCCTATACACACCTAATAAGCTGACATAATAAGTGAAGCATGCATTGGAACTCGCAATCCCCTACCTCTTATACATACTTGAACCTTCACATTGGGGAATAATTCACATCGTTCATACCATTCATATCACGGGTCACATGCCAGGGATATAAGGGTTAATGATATGCAGTGCATATGGATAGATGCAGGTGCCTTGCAGCCTTCACCGATATCTACAGTCTCGCCTAATTCTCAGTGAATCAACTTAACAACTTGAACTGGACCTATTCAAAGTAGTACGAGTCAACACATCTCGTCATTGCACTTATTCAGACTTGGTGTTTCCAAGTCCTCGTAACAACACCAGCTTATACGTACATGTATAGACCTCCACAATGTCTACACGTCACCTCATCCGTCACAGGCCATGCCCCACGGCTCTGATGCGACTACAGCATCCCACGCCGAGAATAATGAGGCGTTTTCAAAGTACCGAGACACCAACGAGATCTTCTTCAAGTGGCACTGCCGCTGTGTCTTTCGCCGCAGGGCTTACATGTGCCTCGCTGGCAAGTTGGTACCTATCACGTAGTCCGCAGAGTTCAAACTCTGCCAAGCCATCAACTATATCAGATAAGAAAAGAGACGATAAGAGCCTCGACATCCCAGACCTAAACGAGCTAGGTCTATCCGACAAGATCACCTACACCCCAACGCCCGACTCAGAAGGGGTCACGCAGCAGCTCAACGAGCACGCCTTCTCCCACCTCTTGGGCGGGAAGCTCGTGACGAGATATGACGGCACACAAGTAGCTTCCAACAGCCCGTGCGAAGACAGGTTTATCCACGGCCACTTCGCCAACCCTATCGACGGGAGCGGCGACGACTGGCTGACCTGGGGCGTCTTCGACGGGCACTGCGGCTGGCAGATGTCGGACCTGCTAACGCGGCACCTGATCCCGTACGTGCGGCGCGCCCTCGCCTCCGCCCAGTCCACAGGCAACAACGAAGAGGCCGTGCAGCAGGCCCTCAAGACGGCGTTCACGAGCCTCGACGACGCCCTCGTCAAGACCGCCCTCGACACGATCGACGACAAAGACCTGTCCTTCGCCGAGAAGGCGCGCCGCCTCGAGGCCGCGTACGCGGGTGCCTGCGTGCTGCTCACGGTTCTGGACCCGCGGACGCGGACGCTGACCGTGGCGTCGACGGGGGACTGCCGCGCGGTGCTCGGCCGGAAGTCCTCCTCTTCTTCTTCTTCTTCTTCTTCCTCCGGCGACGACGGCGGGAAATGGGTCGCCGCGGACCTGTCGACGGACTGCACGGGCGCGAACGCGGACGAGGTGGCGCGCCTCACGACGCAGTTCCCCGACGAGCCGGAGATCGTCAAGCACGGCCGCGTCTGGGGCATGCAGCCGTCGCGCACGTTCGGCGACGGCATGTGGAAGTGGCCGGCGGCGCTCAAAGAAAGGCTCAGGAACTATTATAACGGGCTCAGCCTGCCGTCGGCGGCGCGCTACGGCGCGTATAAGGAGGGCCCGTATCTGACGGCCGAGCCGCTCGTCACGACGACTAGGATACCGGACGACGCGCCCTCGTTCGTGATCTTGGCGACGGATGGGTTGTGGGATATGATGACGAGCGCGCAGGCCGTGGAGCTCGTGGGGAAATGGGTTGAGTGGCGGGAGAGGAGTCGTGGGATAGGGAAGGGGGAGCCGATTCAGCCGCCGACGATGGAGTTTGGGGAGACGATACTGGGGCGCAAGAGGCAGTGCAGGTACGAGGAGCAGAAGACCACGGTGCGGGATGATAATGCGGCGGTTCATCTGGTGAGGAACGGGCTCGGGGGTGCGGACGAGGAGATGGTGAGGGGGGCGTTGACGTTTCGGTACCCGAATTCGAGGGATATCAGGGATGATATAACGGTTCAGGTTGTCTTCTTTGCTCCTGCCAAGGGACAGTAACTGAGGGTCCAAAGAAAGAGATGGAATGCGTATTATGGCTAGCAGGCGTTTCTATACCATACCATGGGCGTTTCGGTTTCTTGCAGCATTGGTAGAGAGCACGAAAATACGGGACGAGTAAATGGGTTAGACATGTAACGAGCATGAATAATGAACTATCTAACGTTATCGTTACCCAGCGTCTACATTTTTAACGATGTGGATTGTTCATCTACCGACCCTTCGTATTCATCCAGCCAAATAAAAACAACTGGCGAGGAAGCTACGGAAAGATAAAACGCTGCTCTCATATCCAGGAGACAGGTCTCGGTTTTATTCTTGGATAAACAAGACTCTGATAGCCCCATCCTACTTCCCACGTAGCCCAACCAACCAACCTAAGGCACGTTCTTATACAGCTCCCTAACCTCATCCCTATGCTTCTCCAAATACTCCCTAAACGAACTAAACCCCAGCCCGAAATCATCCGCCGGCCTAGCTAGCGCCTTCCAATCCCTCCTCGCGATCTGTCCCGCAACCAGTATATTCGTCTTCGCAACCGCCTCCGCCTCCTCCGGGCTATACGTGCTTACCCTCAACTTCTTCCCCGCCACCTCGCCGAGCTGCGCCACCAAGTCCGCCAGCGTCAGCAGCTCGCCCGCGACATGCAATTCGCGCGTCGGGCCGCCGCTCGCGAACGTAGCGGGTTGCTCGATGGCGGCGGCGGCCACGCGGCCGATGTCGTCCGGCGAGATCTCGGGCATGATCTGCGACGCGGGGAACGCCGTGCGCAGGACCCCTTCCTTGATCAGGTCCGGGTACTGGAACGAGGCCATCCGCGCGTCCGTCCAGTTCGACATGAACTCTACGGGACGCAGGAGCGTGTAGTACGCGAAGCCGCCTTTGCGGACGAGGTCTTCGCCTTTGGCTGTGTGTGGGGGGCGAGGGGAGGTTAGATCGTCTGATTCTTAGACATGGGGGATGGGAAGGTAATGGAGAAAGATAGGTAGGTAGGAGAGGTTAAGTTGGGGGGGGAAGGGGGGGCTGGGTCAAGTTGGATTAAGGAGTCTGTGCAAACCTTTGGCCTCCCAGTAATTGGCGAAGAAGGGTATGCTGTCTAGGCCCGGGAGCTCCTTGTAGCGGTCGATGCTGCCGACGGTGCTGTAGACGACGTGGTTCACGGTGCCGCTGCGCTTCGCGGCGTCGACGATGTTGGTCGCGCCGCGGACCTCGGTCTCCGTGTCGACGGGGTTGAAGTTCGAGATGAAGAAGACGGCCTCGACGCCGGCCATAGCCTTCGCCAACGAGGCGACGTCCTTGTCCCAATCGCCGCCCTCTAGAACCTCGACGCCTTGGGCGGCGAGCGCTTTGGCTTTCTCGGACGAGGCGTCGCGGACTAAGGCGCGGATGCTGTGCTTCTGCTCCGATGCCAGGAGAGCGCGGACGGTGGCGCTTCCCTGGTTGCCTGTTGCGCCGAGGACGAGGACTTTAACCATTTTGTCCGTAGTATTGCTTTGTTAAGTTATGTGAGGCTTGGTATACTTGCGATTGTTGGCGTTTCTGCTGAGATGCAGTGATGAAATAGAGCGCGATCTTGGATTTATAGATTATACAACTAATTCATGTTTCTTACATACGTGGCTATGCAGGAGCATATATCTCATCCTTCTCGGCGTGTTGACTCAAACGGCGACGTCCATCGCCCCGCATATCTCACCGTGTCCGGGAGCATTACCAGGTCTCCACCTCGGTAGTCGTCGTCTAAAATCTGTCCGCATCTCCATCGTCCTACTCCGTCTATTACCTTGCTTATTTGCTGCCTATGGCACCATATGCACTAGAAGTAGTGAATTCTGTTTTGGGGAAGATCATGATAAGCCCTGTGCCAAATGGGATTCGCGGGTCTCGCTAATGCGCCTCACTCGCTATTATATTCCATCCGTAGGCCGACGAAATATTGCAAATGATTGGCTGCAGTCATCATGAACAACAAAAAAGCCCATTCACAGTCGATTTATATTCTGTTGGTCCGGCGTCATTTATTAAACTAGTTTACTCATATTTCAGGGGAAGGTTTATATGGGTTGTCGATTTCTTACAACCTGAATACCGTATCATAGAGCTGCATCTCATAGACAATTTCGATCGTATTTTCACACTGGAGTATGAATATCTTAGAAAAGAGATATATGCTAGAAGTAATAAGAATCATAAGGGTTGAACTCAAGTATCATACATAAAACCGCCAAAGTTTTGCGTCTTTCACGCCCTTGCAAGATACTCGTCTCTCCTTGAGATGACACCTATTTTGCCAGATATGAAATCCCGAGAACCTACTCGTGTTGAAGCCCTTCTGGATAGATGGTTTACGTGCGAGTTGTTGGATTTGTTCTAGTCTAGTACTCAAACGTAGTGTCCTGGTTATACTGAAGATATCGTTGGAATAACCATGTTGAAGCAGCATGAAAGAGGACCGCTAGGGTGACGATAATTAGCTTCGTAGAGCTGACTAAACACCTATAATACCACCAACTACCATAGGTAAATGTGACGAATCCATCGCATTACGTACGTAGAGGTGTCATCGCATTCCCTTCTGAGATAAGTGTTGGCGCTCTTCTAGTATATGCTGCGTATAATCCAACGAAAGCGCCAACAGCACAATTACCTACGAACACCTCTAACCTAAAAGACCTCGCTCTCTTAAATCGCCAAGTCCATAACATAATCCAACCATCGCACCACTCCCCGAAACCAAAAGATCGACTCTCTTAACTCCGTACCCAGTCCAGCGTACACCTGTAGACCCAGCCAGCCACCTAGACACCGAAACCCACGCACGCAATACCGGTGAGGGGATCGGAAAGGATCCGAGACCACTCGTGTAGAGACGCAGGCTCGCGCAGCAACCTACCCAGGGACCTAAGCCCGGTAGGGTTGCATACATTAGCCCCAAAAATCCGCCGGACCACAAACCCACCTCTCACCTCCCACTCCCCATTCTCTCTCCCCTTTCACTTCCCCTTCCCTTTCCATACCCCCCTTACCCTCGCCCTATACGCCCCCCTAAATTCACGAGACGTTGCTATTTTCGGTTGTCGGAGTGGACGTGCATGGCATATGTACATATGCGTGTACGGGATAATGTGGATATATATATATATATATATATATGCGTGGATACCTGCGCAGGTGCGCGTGTAGTCACTTTCACATCTACCTACCAAGCTACCAACTCAGTAGGTACATAATGATGAATGAATAAACATATGAACGAATGTACTCGGACGATGACGTACGTGGTCCTCTCGCCGCCAGCTCCGCTGAAAAAATCCTTCGGCATGTTTCGAAACGCCCCCTGCTCCGATAGGCATCCCGCACTTTATTAGAAACAGAAACGGAGTCCTGTCAGCAACGCCCCCCTGAAAGTACCTACATATGTGGGTAGGTATGTATGTTGATAGCCTTTCCAAGTGCTCATGTACTTGTCGAGATCTACTGTCTACCTACCCAACTACAGTGGCATCTTTACCCTCGGGAATGTCATAGGTCATCTCACGAACTCGTTTTTGGCCTTATTAGAAGCAAGTTCAAGCCGTCAACCTTTTCTACCTATTGAATAAAACGCATTCGATTCTACTTGTCATATCTAAGGCTGTTGGTCTACCCTTCAATTAAAACCGGCAGGCAACATGTTACGCCGTCGAGTAGATAGAAATACAAACACTGTCCCGTGAATTCTTGCTTTTTGTGTTCATTTCGCCGTCCGTTTGTTCTCCGTGACGGCCCACCGCTTGCTATGTTCCATCCGGGCTTCGCGCCCCAATGCCCTGTGACCTACCCACATCCCAAAGCCCGGAAACGAAACCCTTTGAACGCCCTACGCCTAAACCTGCGTGGATGGGAGCGGCCGTCTGTCTCCCTAAACCAGCCGCTGGAACCAATAAACCAATTTGTGAAAAGGACACATCAGAATAGAACTCGTTGATGCGAAACGGACCATTAAAAACCCGATATTATGTGGTAAGCTTTATGTTGCATGGTGTCATGTAGATTGACTAGAGGCCTTCGATATCTCTATGTTATTTGCAGGAATGTTCTCTATGCGCCCGTGCCATTTTCAAGTCGTCGAAATAGTAATAGATAAGGGTGATATGCGGGTGACTGATTCATGTCTAGCTCAGGCAACTAGACTAGATTATTCGACGAAGAAGGTGAATATACTAAACACATCCTGCGGATGCGTAGTAGGTGCCTATTAATATCTCATGATTCGTTGACCTGGACCGTCCGGCAAGTTTGGTTGAGCGACGCCTTGACAGTCTTTTCGCTCGTGGACTCTTCTATCAGTGCAGAGTTAGTACTTGGTGGACTGCTAGTCTCCGGACTGTTTTGCTCCATGGTGAGCGACGGGGTGGGAGCAGAGGAGTTGACTTCGACGAGTAGATTAGGCGTAGTGGGACTACCGGAAGCGGTACCAAAGCCCGATCCTGGACCGACCGTGCTTGCAGACATCAACCTATCAAGCGCCGTGATCTGTCGTCCGGTGCTGTATTTCTTGAGGTTTGCAAAATGAGGTCTCATTTCTTCAATGAAGGAGTCGCGATCTGGTCCCTCAAGATGTTGCATCAATTTTTCTGAGGAAGAATTAATAAGTACTAAAACATGAAGGGGAGAACAATATGTGGGACTTACGAATCACGTAGTTTCCAAATTGATCCTTCATCATGAGCTGAAGTGGGCTAGTGCCATCGCTGTGCAAAGCAGTGAGTTGAGTTCGGATGGCCTTCCGGTCCTCGTTCGTTCCGTATTCGATCGACTTTTCAACCACGTTCGATGCGAATTTGTGCTTAGAAAAGAATAGCAGTTTCTGAAGAACGAGTTGGATCACTTGCTGTCGGTCCTCTGGTTCGCCCTGCGCGATGATGTGCTGCGTAACATAATTACCATATTGGTCAGTAATAAGTCTAGCCGCGCAAGCATGAAGATCCGTCATCAAACTCTTCTTCTCCGCCTCCGTCCCATATTCTAGGATCCTCTGGATAACCCTGCAACCGTAGTTATGTGACGCCAATGACTCGATTTGGCTTTGGAAGGCATCCATGATGAACGGAATGCAGAGACGCGGTACCATCTGGATTATCTTTTGGATAACGTGATTTCCGTTTTGGTCCTTCACGATCCGCATGATATCAGGCTTCAGCTCTTCCACGATCTCAATTTGTTGCTCTACTAGCACATGCTCAAGCGCCTAATGTACTCGATTAGTAAAGAAACCATGGCAGAAGACTACGTATTGAACTCACTTTTTGCACGACACGGCACGCGTACATCTGGGTCGAAAGCTCCGCAACCTTGCCTTTCATCTGTGCTGCGATGATCTTCTTCTGAACTTGGTTTCCGTGTTCAAAGAATTTCTGAATGACGTAATTGCCGAAGACATCCTTCATTAACTGAAGAGTGTTGGGCTCGATTTCTCGGAAAACCTGATCTTTTTCGTCGCTGTTCGCTGTCTGCAGTTTCTCCTGGATGAATCGTGAACCGTGCTGGTCGCCACTGAATTCGACAATGTGGTTGTAGATATCCTAGACCCCAGTTAGTCACTCGTTTCTCCACTCCGGACTCCCGTGCTTACCTTTAATTCGTAGCGCTTGTTGGACTTGGCGTTCCCCCTGAACTCTTCAAGAAGCACACTACGGACGCCCTTGCCAGGATCCTGATCTCTGCTGGGTCGAATGGGAACTGGAAGCCCGGGCATGGTATAGTTCATGGGTAATCCATAACCCGGGAGCTGCACCTGAGAGCGCAAGCTTGGGTTCTGGACGTACTGATCGTAAGGGGTCGAGAATTGAGACAGACCGGCATTATAGTAAGGAGGATAGAACCCAGATTGCTGTTGCTGTAGGAACTGCGAACCATGCTGCGCTCGATCGAGATCCTGAAGTAATCTTGGGTCTCGCGAACCTGGCCTACTCCATGGATCGGCCCTGGGGTTTGGAGTTCCCGAGAAACCTCTCGGACTATTCACACTAGTACGATATGAACTACCCGCAGGCGATCCTCTCTCGCCTGGGCCCCTCCGGGTACCGTATAATGACGCGGCGAGGGGTTCAGCCCAGGATTCTTGCATGTTTTGGCCGAATGCCCTCGCGTTGTTGTTTCCTAGGTCGTGCTGCCATGGTTGCGAACCGGGGTTAAACTGGAACGGCTGGCTGTTAGGATTAAAGTGCCCGTTAGTCGCATATCCGCTCGTTATAGAATCGGAGTTATCTTCTAAGGCTAGGGCTCGGTTAAAAGTATCCTCAAGGTCATGGTTGGTGGCATCGACCGATCCAAAGGAAGCAAAAGCATTAGAACGACCTGTCTCCGAAGGCAGCGTGACCGAAGCACCGGAAATAGAAGGACGCTGGGTTTGCTGTGGTTTCGAGAGCTTGGTGAACGCGAAGTGGGCGCCGTTATCATAACGATGAGAGGGCGTTTGCACATCAGAATCACCCTGTCGTGATGCGAGGGTGTTTTGGCGACTATGGCCGAGATTAGAATACGTGGGGTCGTTTGAGTTACGTCGGTAGAGTCCTGACGCTGCTTCGAGGTCTAATTGTGTGTTGCCGTTCGATGCATATAAACCAGAACCACCCCGTTCGTCACCAACAGAATCCCCGAAACTTCCCGGGTACTTGAACGACGACGTTGAGAGATCCGAAGGGCCAGGAGGCATCGTTCGGTTCGAAGCGGAAGAACCATTCTGGCCTACCGGCTGTCGTAAGTGGTAGAGGTGAGAGTTGTTTGGGCCTTCGGGGAAGTTGTGCTGGTATCCATCCCTTGTGCGTGTTGGTGAAGTGCTCCCAGAAGACGAACTTCCGGGCTGATTCCATATACCACCTCTAGAAACCCATGGCGCGGCCTGTGAATTGTTGTTCAGTTGTGCGGAGCCGGAGGTGGCGCTGGGAGAGTGCTCGTCCGATTCTGTGGTACCTGTTAGCTCCCTTCATAAGACGAGCGTGCCTCTGCTTTCTTCCGGGACACTACGCTTACCTCTGGAGCCTGTCATATCTCGTCTTGTGTTCAACGAGCCACCAATGGCGCCATTTCCCCAGATGCCACCCGATTGCCAAGTCGAATGGCCGAAGGTCGATCCGAGAGGCTGCGAAGCCTTGTCACTCGGGGGGTTCATGGCGAGGTTAGGAAAGCCGTTAGGCCGTGTCTATTCGTAGAGAAATGTGTTAGCAAAGTGATAATCGCTAATAGATTAAATGAGATGGATAGGCAATGAATCATCAACAGCCAAGTTATTAGAAATATTGTCACGTCTCTTCCCAAATCTACCATCCGCACCACGGCAAGCGAAGAGGCACCGAACCATGGCTGTGCTTAGAAGGTACCCCTATGAGTAATTACGGGCAAACAGAGGAAACACTCACAGCTGTAGTCATGGCTCCACCTTTGACCTAGATTAATACTTCAAATAATGAACAGGAAACACGGAGCGGGTATGTGCAGGCAAAGACGGTATTGCGCTGTCTCTTCTGCGTTGGACTCCCTAGTACCGGCAAGGTAGTATTCGCGGTGTAGGAACCGTGATATGTGATCGATCTCTCCGAAAGTCGCAAATGGGATGAACAGGAAGAAGTCTAATATATACGCCGTATGTATGCGAGAAATTTCCCCTAGCTATATGGAACTGCCAAAAAACAAAGGATAGGTTAGGCTACTAGTTCAAAAGTTGAGTGTGGAAAGGATGGGGGATAATGATGAATTATGGATTATGGTACTGCTGACAAAGTGGCAGAAAAGATGTTCAACATGGACATTGCGGCATTGCAATAAATGGGGCATGAAATGAGCAAGGCTGCCAAGGAGCGATGACCTACTTAAGCTGCTCTAATTTTGTTTTTTCTATCGCGTCTCGTCAAGAGGCGGATCGCAGATGGTCGAAGCTTGCTCGAGGCAGGCTCTAATGGAACGTCGTCTCCGTATGCATATGTCCCAGGGATGGTTTCGTTCCGGCAAATCGACAATCGTCATCCGTCGTGGAAGATAGAAGTAGAGGAAGGGGTAGAAAGGATGAAGTAGACCGATTATAGGATGCGAGGCGATCGGAGGTTAATAAAGAATAGTCGACGTAGGCAACCAAGCGGATAGGCAAACAGTCGAAGGAAGGGCTGATGTATATTATGTATGTACGGTATGTATGGATGTATGTATGTGTGTGCAGGTTGTGCGCGGTCGAGGGTCGATCGTGGATTGGTCGAAATCAGGGGGAAGGTGAAAGACGATTTCGGCTGCGAGCGCGGAATGACGAATTTCTGGCGGTAACGAGAGGATGGGTATTGATATAGGATGTGAGAAGGCCCTGGAGGTTCGAGGTTGGCGAAGTTCGAAGTACCGTTACCGTACGTTAATGGTTAATTATGTATGTTGCAGAAGCACAAGATCAACCTTGAACGGTTACGGCTACTGCTACTGTAAGGCCCAAGAATAAGTCAGGTTACCCAGTGGCCCAGTTAAGGGCTGGCCTTAACTGAGGAGTTTTGTATTGACGAGTAAGGTGTATTAGTTGTGTATGTAGATGTAAGGTTGGGCAAATTGTACCGGGTGGTGCAAGTAGCCAAGTAGAAACGAAAGAGTAACGAAAGTGAGCCTTATTTGAGTCGGCCCCACGATTGGAACCCTCTTACCCTCTTAGGGGGGGCGTGTCTTGCGCAAAGCGGGAGGCGGATTCTGTGCTATGGATGGATTGGATTGGTTGAATTATGAAAATGGAGTTCAAATCGAGTTGGGACTTGGGACTTGGGACTTGCCCTGGCTGCCCTAGGAGTCTCTGACCTGGGAGCTCCTGCCTTGAGACTTGGCTTGGGGACCGCTAGCGAATACTTTCGTGAAAGTGTAAAACTCAGAAAAAGCTCGAGTCTTTACCAATCCTGTTCTGGTCTCAGCGAGCTAGACAGGGATGTCTCTGGCCCCAAAAAAAGAAATCAATCCCAAACCAACAAGTGCCCAGTTGTCCAGAAAAGGTCAAGTCTATTCCTAGAGGGATGGATGACTTTTTCAAGTGCGGGCTAGGGACGAACTTAGAATAGCTCAAGGTATGTCGTAGGTGGTAGTAGGTAGTAATCGTCGCTGCAAAGGGTGGTAATGGTGGCAGTAGGGCGTGGTGCGTGGTACGTGGTGTGCGTAGTGCTGATAATAGTGCTGGGGGTGGAACCCCGAGAAAAAGGAATGATTCAATGTTCACGAGTTTGACGGTACGACTGTATGTGAATCTGATAGATCTTGGGGAAAATGATGGTCGGGGGGGTTGCAGCCACAATGGTAAGGCAGGTAGGCACAGGTAGTGTAGGTACCTACTGTCGATTGTATTCTTTGGTCTCCTTGGTTTTTATTAGGCAACGCGGGCAATGCAAAATATGCAGTAGCGTTTTCAGGTTGGGCTGTGATGTGTTATCAGTTACGGATCCTAATGCGCTTTCGCTCGTGCTTGTGCGACAATCTGGGCCGTGTGTACACCCGGGTACATGTGTGGTTCCGTGGTAGGCAAGCACTTCGACCGCACGCTTCCTTCACTATGTCAATCTCGCTGGATCAGCTGGATGTATCGCGGTTCGTACCGCTCGTGCCTACCTCCTAGGATTGCTAGGGTCGGTGAGTTACTTGGAGGTACTTCGTACAGCAACCGTCCAATAGAGGCGGTCCGGAATTCCAACCACGGTCCTGATCGAATGAGATGTTGCGACGAGATCGAAGGTTGTTAAAAAGATGATGACTGCACGTAGATAGACCAGGGCTGAGCTTGAGTCTCGATATCGAACCCACACAGCCTGACTAAAATTTTAGCGTCTCCGAGGTGCCGGGAAGTCTAGTCGGTTTGAATAAAGGTACTGCTTTAGGTACTGCTTTAGACCGGCCTAAGCTCCAAGAGATGCCGATGCCGTGGTAAGCAGATCTCTCGTAAGTCTGCTAGGAGCTTGCTAGGAACTTGCTAGGAAGAGCCTAGCAAAGCTTGAAGAATTAATAAGTAATGTGCGCCCCGGCGAGAGGGAAGGAGAGAAGAGCCGGGAAAGATTGATAAAGAAGGATCAGACTTGTGTAACTCGAGAAAAAAGCAAAAGTGTCTGTGCTTTTTATTTTTCTCTCTTCTCCTCTTTCCCAGTCCCCAATTGAGTTATGCTAGTATTGTGGTATGTACCTAGGTATGCAGGTATGTAAGGTTATTTTGCTTGTTCTTCCTGGGGTCTTGGGGGTCTTGGGGGTTTGGATGCAAGTGCCAGTTGATGAGGCGCGGATGCAGATGGGGCGATGGGTCCTCTTCGATGGGGCTCCCGTTCCCGCCGTCTTGCCGCTTCCTTTAACTCTCTTCTATCTTTTCTTTAAGTGGCGTGGTTCGAATTTTCCTATGTTGAATCTCCCGATGGTCGCGCGACACACACCACTTATTTCTTAAGTGAAGCGGAGACGAATCCGATAAGTTAAGCGTTTAACTTCCAGGGTCTAGTCTCCCAGCAATATAGCGATATCTTTGACAGGCTGACAGGTCCTCGAAGCTGACGTGATGCTGCTTGCCAAGTCGAACTCTAACAAGTATCTCAATACCGATGTATTCGAGGTTCAAAACCAACATATGATTCGTCCACTTCGTCCAAGGTGAGGGCGGGATATTCCTGCTGATACTACCGTCAAGGTCGGTTTTGGTTGGCGACGTTCTCTAACTGCAGGCCAAGAGCCAAGCCTCCCTTCGCTGCACCTTGAAGATCTTGGAGCTAAACCAAAAACTTCCAAGATGCTACGATGTTATTGAATAAGTATACAGCCTGCTTTCACCACTGAACCAGTTTCGAGCGCGGAGATACTAACATGTGTATAATAATAGTTGCCTGTCGTGAATAACCCTCGTGACTTTTGCTTTTGTACAGAGAATCGGGGGCGGTTGGTGGCGGTGTTAGCCTACTGGTCGCAGGAACACCCTCAAGCGAGTTATCGTAATGAGAATCTGTATCCGTTCGGTACGTATGTGTTATGTGTGAATAAAAAGAAGCGTGCAGATTTTGTTACTGCGCCGTCCGGAATATATGCGATTGGGGGCCGTCAGAAATTTTTTATATGTCCTTTAGATGTTTTACATGGGCATCGCCTCAATTTATTACAACGAAAAAATAGTCGTATGATAGGATACGGTATGAAAGGCAGAAATCGAATGAGGCAACGCAAGAAATTAATAAGGAATGAACAACTTGATTTATACGATGTGAGTTAGGCTCTATCGACACTTGAGCTTCGCCGTCCTGGAGATGCTCCCTTTGGATTCAAAGCTTCGGCTAGCAAGAAGGGAGAGAAGAAAAGAGATATATTCAACCTAGAGGGAGGAAGGGTGCGAGAGATGGGAAGACGATCCACGATACTAATATTCTATCTATCACTCCTAGTTGCTATGGCCAAGATTGCACTATTGCCGCATTTACCACCAAAGCATGTATAATAAGAGCTTGTAGTACAGGGGCTACTACAGATGTACGGGGCAGATCACTTATGTGGCCCCCCTATGTCTTGGAGACAACCGCTCGCTGGTGACCCGTCCAATTGGACCGACCTAACGAGCCCGGCACTCTGGGAAAATGGCATTCTCTCTGAACGATGCTAGGTAGGATTGGTGGGAGCTTCACTCCCAACCGTTGCACCAAGGATTGAGGAATGAGGTCTAGCCGCTTGTTAGGACTTTGCTAGGGCAAAATCACACGATAAAGATCAACAACCTAGCCTATGAGCATTAGAAAATCCGTGAGTAAAATTCTGCATACACTGTCCCTCTTCTAATCCACTTATTAGTAGCATCTGCGCGTTTGAAGGTCCAGTATGTACTTCGTGCTTACAGCAGCACGGGGGAGAATACAGGCAGTCAAACTTGCGCGACATGTACGTCGGGACGAGCAACACCTCTCCAACTTGCGACTCTGGGGCCCAAGGGAGACCCGGATGCAGGTCCCGCCAGCCTTGAACGCCAAAAGGCTCAGGAATGTCGTAATCTTCACCATCCATCACAGGAACGAAGGTAACTACCCTGGGGAATGTAGAGCGATGTCAATCTCCCGTTATGGAACGACATGTCGCAGTCTCACCCTGAATATCCGCCGTCCGTGGTACCGTGTTGCCCGTTGGTTTCGGTGTGTCGAATCTGTTGTCAACTTTACTGGCACGCTTAGAAGGTCACACCGCAGATATAATTCGCCTCAATGAGCGAATCCGTTGGCCTACCGTCCGCTACAGTAGAGCGGACGTAATGGGAGGTATGAATTTTAATGCTGCCTATGGCAACAGCCTGGCAGATCAGATTTACCTCTCCTCCTCATGTAACGCAACGCAGGTGCTACGCCGCGCAGCTCTAGATGTCCAACCCACTCCTCTAGCGTTCAATATTAAGGGCGCTGATGTCCTAGTACATACGTAGCGGCGAGGTTCCATGAGGTATGCTCGTTATATCAAGATTTGCAAGAGTACATGAACCCCTGAAACATCTGTCAAATTATCCCACACGATTAGGTATATCATACTATTTGCGTTCATGATCGCCTTGTTTTGTCTATCCACAGCGTTTAGTGGAGTAGATAGATATACGGCAAGACTGAAGTCGTACTTCCAGCAGGATACGACCGTTGTCGAATTCAATGTAGCTTTCCGATCGAAGATCCGAAGCATGAGTCCTGTAGAGGCATTGTATCAGCAATCCCCGGTATTTTGTTTGTCATTTTCGATCCTCGTGTGTCCGACTCGCGTCTAAGAATGAAACATATTGCACAAGCGCAGTCCATAGATCCCCCTCACGGATAGCTGCAGCTTCTCGAGCCATAGAGAAAGCGCCTTCAGCCGATTCTTGTGAGACATTTGACGTGGGGTGGCCTAATTTATGCAGAGAACTATCACCCGCCCGGGGAAGAACTCGAGGAGAGGGCTGGCCAGCTCATTTGACTGATCGAGCGATGCCCGTCAGTGATACCAACTTAATGATAACCACTACTCGGTAGGTAGGATCCACCTAACAGCTCAGAGGGATTTTCATGGCAGCAGGTAGCTACAGCCGGAGAAATAATAACTCGAAGAAGAAAATGGATGACATCGGCATATCGCTCGACGTTCATCCTACTGGTGTCTCAGCTGCAACTTGGCAGCGACGCCGCTGCGGGGAAGGTAGTAAGTTTTCACTATCGTCGAAATTATTAGCATACCTAGCCACCTACCCAGGTAATGTACATAGGTAGGTGGCTCAGTATTGAAGAACGGACTATCGTAGTACAATTAGGTTCCAGACCAGTGCGGACGCCCCATATTTACATATGTTACTGGCATAACAGTAAGCTCATTTAGCCTTGGTATAAGCACTCGAAAATATACTCAACTTAAAGATCGAATATGTGATAGCAGTTAGTAGCTGTGAGAGTCCTTCATATATCACTCCATATGAGATTTTGATATAATTGAATAAGATAGAATTATCAGAGACTTAGCTGCTGTTATGCTGCTAACATGGTTAAATGTGGGGCGTCCGCACTGGTTTGGAACCTAACTGTAGATAGATCAGATGAGGCTCTTTGAGAATACTGACCATAATAATAGAATGATTACGTATCGGCGATACTAAGTTCATGCCAGCCCTTTCCCTTTCAAGTTATATTCCGTTAGTATAGTTATAAATAGGACAGCATAGAGATGCATAATGAGTAGACATCGCAGCGTTATGAATTAAGCATGAAGCTTGACTACACCTCCTCGTGGATCACGAGCTCGATCGTAAAACAATCTGGATTATTCTCGTTAGTAGGTATCGTGCCTGGTTTACGAGGGGTAGTTGAACCTGAGGCAGTTAAACCAACATCGGGGAATAGCCTCTTGATTCTCCTTCAACAAATCTTGATTTTTCGACTGTCGCAAACACGAGGCGTTCGGGAGCTCGGAGTTGGAATTTCCAAGGCCGTTAGTCCTAGGGCTTCCAAGACGTGGGCGCTTGGACCACGAAACAGAAGCCTCCTTTTCCTAGCTATTTCCAGGGGCGCGGTAGCTTCGTCTAAAAGAATAGAACAGGGATTTTGACTGGTTCCAAGCTTCATAACTTTGGCGTAGATGCTATTCTTGGACCTACTTAAGTTGGGGAATCGATGATATCCTCCAACGTACCGAGGCCACGTGTTGATCAACTGGAAGGACGTTAGCAAGAGTACCAAGATATAGAAAGTTATGAATGATATTGTTCATCCATCATTGAAGGATTTCTGATTTCTGATGTCCATCGTGGATGACTGGACGTCGCATTGAAATGTGAAATAGTATGTGGGTACCTATTTACTCGTTATCCGGAGCTTTATGATTGTAAGGAATAGAGTTGTTCGTGATTGGTCCGTTGTTCTAGTGAGGTCTAGAATCTTGATGAGAAGGTATTATTCCGTTCTGTTTTAGGTAACTAGCGCCATTGGACCTTGACCGTTTCTGTCCTGATGTACCCGCTTTTCATCGTTCTAAAAAGGTTCAATTGGCCGATCTCGAAATTAAGCAGCGTTTAGCTTGGGGCTTGTTGGCTGCTGCAGCGAATCAGAGGGCTGTGCCTGTTTAAACCCTGCGCGCGACGGGCGAGCGACAAGCACCAATACCCTTGCAAACTTTGTAAACTAGATCCTTTATGACCAATCCCCTTTAACTCCTGATCCAGGGTGGGCCCCGATGGTACTGAACTGGCTCCACTAGCAGCTGATCTCGCTCATCCTCTTCAACTCCTCTAATCCCCTCTCTCCTTCTTTTCTCTTTCTTCACGATCTTCATCGTCGTTGCTGTCGTTGACGTTGTCGCTGCTTTGTCGGTTCAGAGAGTTCATTCGTTTGGCTTCACCCTCCCTTCACTCCCTCCCACTCACTCTTTACTTGGTTTCAACTTCACTCTTTTTTAGTTGATCCCGTCCAATCTTTTTTCCTTGGAGTTCTCTGAAGTCTCGATTCCCTCCCTTACGTAGGTCCCAATACTCGCTTGATGTCTCGAACCAATCTAGGAATTTGAGATGCTCTACCATTATTGAGCCAAATATCTAACATTTTGTTTCAATGTAGCCGAGCCATTCATTGATTATTCGACTGAGCCGAACGAAATCCCCTGACATCCGACATTGACACATTAACACATTAACAAACAAACGATAATCTTAATATCGTCAGATCTACACCCGTTATCACACCCCAAATCACCGAGATATCACCAATATGTCTTCTACTTTCAGCAACCTTATTGCCCGTGGCAATGCTGTCCTTTCTAGGCGGGACCTTGACATGGGAGGCGAATCTGACACCGTCGTCAATCTCATGATTGCTTTTCTTGGCGTCGCTTTCTTCGCCCTTGTTATGGTAGCTCTGCTTATTATGCTACGACGAGCAAAGCGCGAACAACAGATGCAGAAAGAAACTCTACCCCAGTACAACGATATCAAGCACGATGACTACAGCACCCGTCGCCTGACCATCCAAACCGCCAACGGCCGACAAAGTATTCTGGTTGTGAACGGTCGCCCCATGCTGGCTGACCCGAGTGCACCACCCTATTCTCCCACCAACGTCCCCGAGATTCACATCACCTTCCCCGACGAGCAGGACGAGGCCGGCCGCCATAAGAGTGGTCGTGTCGTGGTTGTCCGAGTTGGCGAGACCTCTGTGGGTCTTGAGCCCGTGAAGGAGGAGCAATTGCCCGCATACGAGAAGGAGAACAGCGGTTTCTACTCGATCGACATGGACCAAATTGGCGGGTTAAAGGAGAAGGACCGTTCCCAATTCTCCTAAGCTACAACTAGCATGATCTTACCGTCGGTATCACTAAGATCACATATGCTACTCAACTATTGCTACTAGCCGACTTCCAAGGGTTATTAAACTGGATGATGGGGGAGTATGGATGATATATATACATGCATGAGTAATGGTGTACCTATACAAAGCAGATGTTTCTAAAGTCTTCCTTCTATCCGCCTCTCTAGGTCGGGGCGAGGAAGTCGAAGACGGACCACGGACCGCGCGGCGGAGGGGGAACCTGGATGGACATTTCGTGACTAGTTCAGGCTTTAGGTACACGTTGGTCCTTGTATATAACGATACCCTTTGCTTTTTGTCTTCCATTTCCTAAGGCCACTACTACGGACAACTAGCCTTGCAGTGAGAGGCAGAAACGAGGCTCCTGGACGCGGTATATATTCTCCATTGTATACTTAAAGTAATTCGACTACACAAACCAATGATCACCGGTATTCCTTGCTGCGCTTGGAGTGCTAGTCGTCCTTTTTTCTACTTATCTTTTGGGGTTGAGAATTGTGTCACCTCTCCGTCGTACTGAAATAACGTGTAAAAGGGAGACCGTTGCCCCGTTTAAGCCTTTCACGGTTCATGACCCCAGCTTCTAATCAGATTCAGAGTCAGCTGGAATGGATAGGGAATGAAGAACATGGAAGCATCTGCTCCATAACCTAAGCCCATTCCAACCATACACGGTGAGGTGGAATCGGCGGTACCGCTTTTTGACTACGCCATCTCGACACCACAGCTCTATACACTCACTCTCAAGACACTTGGTATAAATACTTATCATGAGTTGTGGAGAGGATGATTAAGGATAACTTACCAACTGCACGCAGCGAGTAAGCATGCTAACCGGTCTGCCCTTGGAGAGAACTAGTTAGACGCCTATGAGCCAGGCATGGTGAAAAGAGTTCGCAAACGATCAAGGGAAAGAGGATGTGATGCTCTCAGAATAAAAAGTTGTAGGTTTTTACCACATTTGCGCCACTCGAATGGCCTGCTGCTCTATAACAAAAGCGACAGCCATGTGCGGGAAGAAACTCTTCGTTGAGCGTTCTAGAGATAACGTTCCAGACACAGCTTGATCCGTCGGGCCTACCTGCATCTTTAAAGCCAGCATTTTCGCTCGGAAAACTCTCGGAGCGGAAGGTGCCGGACCTCCACCGGGACCCCATGCTTATACGCCGTCCATGCTCGGGATGTTCCAGTTTTCTTCGTGCGGGACGCTATTTCGGCGAAAGTCCACGGTCCGAAGGATTGCTCGGAAGCCCACCGGTGCAGAAACTTGGACATGAAGATTCGTTCATTAAACTGGATGAGGTTTAGGTCGTGAATATACCCCTCAGGGGGGCCATGTTTCGATATACCGAAACACTAGTCTACGTGCGGGGATCGACCAGTTAGCTACTGTCCCTTGCAAATTGGTGAATGGGACATACTGGTGTATGTAGTGAACACTATAGATCTGGTTCGAACCATGACAAACTAGCTTTCCTCCTAGAGCTCGATAAGGCTCAATGGTACTTATTTTCTCCTCTAAGGATTACCCCTTGCAAGCACATGGTAGTCCGGCCTCCTGAACGTCCCTGTTTCGAGGCTAACATAAGTCGAGCCACGCCAATACCGTGTCATTTCTCGCGTAACCACACCTACGAGGGTCGAATCTAGCCTGCGTCCAAGAACGATGCTAGAAAAAATAGTATAAGCATCAAATCTAGGTTACATTATTCAACACCCACGGAGTGCCGGCTTACTCATAAACGCGGCTCGCCAGCATTTTGGGCAAAATCTAGCGTCGAAAGCCCCTTAAGGAAACGTAGGGTCCCAGACTTAGACCAGACCCATCTGTGGCGGGAAAACTACCTCTCCGAAGACTACCAATGTGGTAGACATATGATGCATTATGTGAGCAGTCTTCGAGGCTCTTGTTAGCGCCAGCTTATCGTACAATGACGTAGCTCTACACTCCATGTAAGCCGACATAATTGGTACTTATCTGTTGCACATGAAGGGAATATTGCGGATACACGGGTTTACTAGAAAAAGTGGCATGAAGCGAGCACGTTGTCCTTCATATGTGGTTTTGTGAAACACAACGGCGTTTCTTTCTTCGACGCTGGCATGATAGCTGAATAACCTAGAGCTCGGTAGGACTAACCAGGAAATAAAAACCGAGCTCAAAAAGAGCAGGCGAATTGACGATAGTATATTCAGAACTCTGCCGCGATGGAGGTCACATTTCGCCGGAATTTTTAGGTTGGTCGCGCGACATACGAGCTTATCGAAACCAGACCGCATATTTCTCGTTGTCTGACGATTTATTAGATATCTATTGAAATCATTAGGCTGCTGTTACGTGAATAGTTCGTCATGAAGGCGGATAGGTTTTCCGGGATAGCCGTTTGTAGTGCAATGCCGTGTTATGTATCATGTTGTAACCAAGGAACACTCGTGTATGCACAGCCAAGAGGCAAACTTCTCTTTGGAAAGATTTATTTGATTGGTGAAGGCCGTTTCAGATAATAACGTGTTCTGTACAAGTGTACCGCGAAGGTCTATCCCGTGCTAATAAAAGTCGTCGGTAGGTAGTGCAAATGCCAAAGCTACTTGCGTAGTTTTGATGTTCTCTCTCTCGTCGATGTCGTATCGAATATCTCTTCTCGGCGCCGAATATTGTTAAGGCATTTGTCGGTGAATCAATAGTCGCGAAGTAGAACAGAAACCGTTATGTCTCGGCTGCAAGTTCTCGGGTATAAACAGAAACCACCTAGTAGTCTACAATTGCTTGCGTAGGTACTTGGGTAGAAACGCGCCAGCTAGGATCTGTTAAGACGTACTGCATAAGGCTGCCTACCTACCTAGGTACCATGCCGATTTGCGGGTGATGATGCCAGCTTCGCAGCGTCGGTGTAGAACTTGAATGGTTGAATTAGTAACTACATAGGTGTGGGATGTGGGATAGATAGGTACCAAGGCCGGATCGTGCCGTAAAGGAACTATGGTGCTGACCGCATACCATACCATCCTGATAGTTATGGTAAGTGCCAGCTACATAAGAATCAGGTAATAGCTTGTAACCAGGATTGATCGGCATCCGAACGAAAGACTATTTCTTAGTCTATATGTTACTTGTGATATCATTGGCCGTCTGTCTTCAATAGTTGTGGGCATGGACATGTCAGGGATGTCTTCGGGCTCCCCCAACTGAGTATCGTGTCGCATTTCTCGAGTAATGCCTCAGTATCTTGGAAACTTAACTCCGTCAATACCGATACCTCCTTCCCGGTACGATTTGACACGTATGACGACTATATCCATGGCTCAATTATTGGCGATAGAATATCCGGCGACGGGTTGTTGGCGGGGTTTGAATACTGGCGTGAGGTGGGTACCAACCTACCTAGGAAGGTCGCAAATAACTGTTATGCTCCCATATATGACTTTTCAATGACTTTAGCGTTGGTATAAAGCTTCTTTCGTACCCTTCTTATGTGTTGAAATAAGCACCATAATCTCATATGTTACCAACCTGAGATACGGTACTAAGAACCCATCACCATGGCAACAGTCGCAGCAAACCAGGAAGCCGTTTCCAAGTTCACCAAAACCATACACAACGATACGTATGAGTACATATCCCCGAATAAATTAGACCTCTCGGGAAGATCGGTCTTTATCACCGGCGCCTCCAAGGGCGTTGGAAAGGAGATCGCACTTAGCTTTGCGATAGCCGGCTGTAGCAAAATAGGCGTTGGTGCTCGGTCTGACCTGTCGGACGTTGTGGTTGAGATCAAGCAAGCAGCAATAAAGGCAGGTCGAAAGAATGAGCCCAAGGTTGTTAGCGTGAGGCTTGACGTGACGTCGGAAGACAGCGTCGAGGCAGCTGCAAAGACTATTTCAGACGAGTTTGGCGGGAAATTAGACATTCTGATAAACAACGCTGGCTATTTACCGGAGTGGCTACAAGTCGGCGCCTCTAAAGCGGACGAATGGTGGACGACGTACGAGGTTAACGTTAAGGGGGTCTACCTATGCAGCAAATACTTTATTCCGCTGCTTCTCGAAGGAGACCTTAAGACCAACGTCCTCACGACAAGTGCCGGGGCTATCGCGGTTGTACCCAGCGGTTCGGCATACCAATCCACCAAGTTCGTAGTTTGCCGGCTCGCAGAATTCATCGCGGCGGAATACAAGGACCAGGGCCTGGTTTGCTTCGCGCTTCACCCCGGCGGCATTAAGACAGAACTGGCCTTACACATGCCCCAAGCCATGCACAAAGTCCTAGTCGACGAACCGCAGCTTCCAGGACACTGTACCGTGTGGCTGACTGCGCAGAAACGCGCATGGCTGAGTGGTAGATACGTCAACTCCAAATGGGATATGGAGGAGCTTGAGAATAGGAAGGACGATATTGTCAAGCAAGACTTACTGAAGTTTAGGATGACAACGGCGGTCTAGATGTTTATAGGCAATGTGTATAAGAAACAGTGATATATTATAAAATAGGAACTCTTCATTATGCATATACCTAAGGAAAAGATGAAGTTGAAGTGAAATTCGTAGGATTCAATAGGATCTATTAGATAAGCATATACCTTATGTAATTTGTAGAACGCCAATGGGTAAACAGCAGGAGCCAATGGCTGTACAAGGGTTCGTCATACTACATGTACCCATGTATCAATAAACTCTAATTGGAATCCCAAAGGCTTGAAGGTTCCCACAACTACGTACCTAAACTTAAGCTTCTTTTTTGACACGACGTTCCTTTTTACGAATTCACATATTATTTCAAACTTCCTGTATTTCTACACCATGGTCACTTCTTTAATACACGCGGCTTAGTTAATTTTCTTCCAGCCGCGCACTCTCCTTACTTCTCTTCTTGGTAGAAGTTGCATATAGAAGGCCAATGGCCGCACCAGAGCCGTACACGACGCGTTAATTACTTTCCCCCACGGTCCACGGTCCACGGTCCACGATCCACCACCCACGAAATATGCCCTCCCGGAATACCCGACCAAAACCTCCCACCACCGAATACAAGAACATCGCAGCAGAATGGGCTCGTGCAAAACGACTCAAGAAGGACGGCGGCCCGTCTGTGGAGGAATACCACCGCATAGCTCTTGAAGTTAACCGAAAAAGAGCTTTTGGACGTCGATGTCTCTGGACCGTAGGTTTTTGGGTCTGGTTGCTGTGTATACACATCGTTGGCATATTGCTCTTTACTAGCGGCTTCCTCTTGACCAGGCTGGTTCTGGACGAACGATCAGAGTGCGACAGCCCACCCATTGAGCCTTTGCTGGAGTGGAAAGGGAGCGGCTCTATAGAGGGTGGCTGCTGGCATCCTAAGACCTTTAATAAGGCTGTTGTGGTTCTGATAGACGCTTTGCGATACGATTTCACAATTCCAGTTGAGGACAAGGATACCGCAGCCGTGTATCATAATGCGCTCCCCTTTCTCTACGAGACTGCGGTCCAGTCACCAGAAAACGCATTTTTGCGACCATTCATTGCTGACCCTCCAACCACTACTCTTCAGAGGCTGAAAGGTCTAACGACCGGGACCTTACCTACATTCATTGATATGGGATCTAACTTTGCCGGGACGGCTATAGAGGAGGATAATCTACTAATGCAATGGAGAGACCAAGGGAAGCGAATCGTTCATTTAGGAGACGACACTTGGACCGCTCTGTTCCCTGGCTACTTCCAACCAAATATCAGCAGAGCCTACGACAGCCTTAACGTCTGGGATCTCCACACAGTGGATAATGGCGTGATAGACCACATATTTCCATCGTTGAAATCCGACCAAACGCAGCAATGGGACATTCTTATAGGACACCTTCTTGGCGTGGACCATGCTGGCCATCGATATGGACCTAACCATGCCGCTATGACTGCCAAGCTTCAGCAGATGGATAGTTTCATCCAAGATCTTGTGAAAGAGATCGACGATGAAACGTTGTTGGTTGTTATGGGTGACCATGGTATGGATAGTAAGGGCGATCATGGCGGCGAAAGTGACGATGAGGTCGAGGCAGCTTTATGGATGTACTCGAAAAAGCCGGTATTCGGCCGCACGCAACCCGAGTTTAAGACACCGCCAGCGACGGCAAAAATCAGGCCAGTAAATCAGATCGATCTGGTTCCAACTTTGGCTCTTCTCCTAGGTATTCCTATACCGTATAACAACCTTGGCCGGCCTATCGAGGAAGCTTTTGCTGGTCTTAAAGGAAATGCCTGGGACTATCTGGCTGCTGCTTCCAGCATCACGTCCGCTGGGATCAGGAGATACCAAGCATCCTATTTCAAGGCTCGCGGTATTGAACCAAGCACCTTACCCGGATCTCCCGCATCACTTTGGAATAATACCGAAGCACTTATCCAATCAACCACCAAATCGAAGCCGTGGAAAGAAGTATATGATGCTTATACTGCTTACCAGGAGGTGACTTTAACTCTGTGTAAAGATCTCTGGGCTCGATTTGACATTCCAAAGATGGTGCTAGGTCTCGTGGTAATGGCGATTGGTGTGGTCACATTATTGCTCTATGTATCCAGAGACGAAGACGAAGATTTTGCAGTCCTAGATGATGTCGAGCTAGACTTCGCGGAGAAGAATCTGGAATTACAAGGTTCAACGGAGCCGGAGGTTGCATCTTACAAGAACCTGACTAGGTCGCTCGTCAAGGCGGGGCTTTCAGGTGGTGGATTAATAGGGGTTCTCAGTTTTGCGCTCGTTAAGCTCACAGAATCCGATGAGTGGCTATTGGCTATCGCCGCGGCTGCTATTGGAAGCATAATTGCTGTGGCTAGTATTCTACTCAAGATACGTGGAATACACATACTCAACCTCCTACCAAACACTTCTTGGGGATGGTTGTCTGTTATATTCACGTTAAGCCAGTCTATCGGCTTTGCCTCCAACTCGTACACGATATGGGAAGACTCAATATCATTGTTCTTCCTTTCAACGTTTGGTCTTGTAAGCGCCATCTCCGCGCTCCAACGACCCTCAATTCGTGACCGAACTCTGGGCGTTTATCACTCTGTCTTATTTGTCGTTCTTGGACGACTAGCTTCCTTCTCAAAACTCTGTAGGGATGAGCAGATGCCCTACTGCACATCGACATACTATGCCTCCGCCAACTCTTCTACATCAGCCCCCTGGCAATTAGCCATCCCTTTCGCCGTGTTTCTTATTCTCCCGTCTATAATTAAATCATACATGCAAACCTCGCGGTCATACGAGGGTCTCGCACCCATCTGGGTTGGCTACGTTTTCCGAACCTGCCTCTTCCTCGCTGCCGTCTATTGGACTCTCGACGCCGCAGACAACGGAGGCTGGATTACGTCGCTTTCGGAGAAGATGCTCAAGACTATACACGTTTCCGTCGCCCAACTAGTCCTAGCACTGGCCGTCGTGGCCGGCACCACAGCATTCGCCTGGGCTCCCCCCTGCGTCTCCATCCTCACGACGTCAAAGAACACCCGCACAGCTCAGGTCACCATCCTCGGGTACGGCAACGTGAACGGGGCGCGGTACCTCTTTCTCCCGCTCAACATCGCGTGCGCGTGCATCCTCCTCTCGAAGCCGATGGGCGGCGGCGCCATCGCCATCATGCTGTGGCAGATCCTCTCGCTGGCCGAGATCGTCGACCTCAACGACCTGGGGGCCGAGACGGTGGGGCCCGTCGCGCTCGCGCTGCTCGGCAACTTCCACTTCTTCAAGACGGGCCACCAGGCCGTGCTCGCCTCCATCCAGTGGGACAGCGCGTTCATCCCGCTCCTCACGATCCGCTACCCGTGGAGCCCGCTCGCGGTCGCGCTCAACACGTTCGCGGCCCAGATCCTCGCCGCCGCCGCCGTGCCCCTGCTCGTCCTGTGGAAGACGGGGCCCAGGCGCAAGGGCGTCCTCGAGAGCACCAGCCGCGCCCTCGGCGCCTTCGTCGCGTATTATGCCGTCGAGAGCTTGGCTACGATGGCTTGGGCCGGCTATCTCAGACGCCATCTCATGCTGTACCGCGTCTTCAGCCCTAGGTTCATGATGGCGGCTGCGGTGCTGGTCGTTGTTGATCTTGTGGGCATTGTGGTTGCGATCTTGGGCGTGCGCACGAATACTTTGGCTATTGGCGAGGTGTTCGGGCTTGCGGATTAGGTAGGGAGTGGGGATAGGGGATAGGGGATAAGGAGGGGAGGGGTAGGGGTGGGGGGTAAGGGCTAGGGAGTAGGAAGAGGATGCGGATGATGTGATTGTGGATGTCAACGCAAGTCCGAACGGCGGGTGACAAAGGAGAGAAAGAAAGGGAAAGGAAAGGAATTCGTGTCTATAATTCTACGTTTGATCAATCGATCATAGGATAGGAAATGGTGTAGATAAAAAAAGAAAGTGTTTCATATGTTGCAAACCGTTCCGTAATGCGTGTGTCAATAGTGATTGTCTGTTAGATCAGATCGTATGATGCGATGGCGAGGAACTGGTACGTAAATAGCATGTACGCTTCCATAATTTGTATATTCACGATCTCATTGAATGCTACCTACTAAATGCTATATGTACCTAACTAACTACTCTATCACAGACAGTCTAGTTTGCTTTACATAAATGCATCGGTAGGTACGTAACCGAAACCCACACGATTCCACACCCTTCCGCGCGGGACGGCCGCGGGCGTCGAGGCTTTTGATGTGTAAATAAGCAGCCATCCGCCGATCACATTTCACCACCTACATACATAGAATAAAGCCCGCTGGGAATCAGCCATTATCGCAGCCTGCCTACCTAGATCGTTGGAATTGAGGCGCGGGCATGACACGCATGTCCCCGCCCGTCGCCGATCGCATGGCGACAGGGCGAAGGTGGAAACGTGCTTTGCGCAGATCGATCCATGGGTAAAGGTTTGCATAAGACTTGATAAGGAGGTTTGCGACACTTCGTCTCAACTGCTCAGTCAAGTATGAATTCCTAGATACTTTATGTTTTCGTAATGTGTCATGGATATTTCAGCGTGCAAGACGATATTATAAGTAATCGAATTGTATCTTTATCAATTCGGCTCACCTATACATTAAGTACTAAGTCCTCTCTCAGCGAGGCAGGCTGTAAAATTATGTACATGAATTCTATTTTCGTGGTATGTGAGCACATGAACTCGTGCTTCGCCCCCATGTCTCAGATACACATGTTCTGATCGACGGCAGCCACCGCCACAACCGTAATATACCATCCACCTTATCCAAGCCTCGAGATTCAAAGGATCTCTCCCATCCGTGTGCTTTGTCCCGTCAGGTGTTTTGAAGTCTTCTATTGTTGCATGATGGTACGGAAACCAATGGTATAAATATAGATATCGAATATAATGTGATGTTGTGTATCCCATAAAAAGACAAGAAAAGAAGTCAAGGAAGGTCGAGTGGGTATCAAAAATGCGCCGTTGTATCGTGTTACCGATTCGTAAAAGATGTCATCCCTTATCCAAAAGCCTTTGCTCAAAGCGAGCATGATATACGTCCATTCCTATACCAAAGACGCCCTTGAAATGAACCCCCCAGTATCGAATTAAATGCCGGTTGTGAACCAGTATAATGGATTATATAATCCAGCGAGAAATAGCCATAAATAGCAGCGACACTATAAGCAAAGATGGCGCTTGTGCTGCAGACGTTGCCGCACTATCTGGAAGCGCAGCCGGAAGCACCGTGCTAACGAAGTTCGCTCCACACTCCGAATCGATCTGTTGCGCTGCCGACACGTATGTATTTGCTATCCACTTCTTTCGGTCAGCCGCCGCTGATTGATATATCTTCATCGTCTCGCTTGTACAATAATCGCACGCCGGCAACGCTGATTGAGGTAGTGTCGAGTTGAAGGGTAAATTATAGAGATAAACATTAGAAGCAGTCGTGAGGTTTGTAACCGCATTGACGAAACAATATGTCGAAGTATCTGGGTCAGTCAAACAGGTCGCGCCGTAAATTTCCTCGTATGCTACCATTCCTTTGTAAGCCTGGATGACGAGTGCGTTCTGTTTCTCGTAATCCTCTCCGCAGTTATCATCGGACTTGAGCTTTTCGGCTAAGTCATCGAGATAGCTGGTGCAGCTTGTCTTGTTGGCTGCGCACGATGTCTCAAGAACTTGCGTTATTTCAACTAGAGATCTCATCGCTTGGAAGAAAGAATTGGAGCCCTAGGAACTGTTAATTGCAATTCAGCAAAAATGAGATATTATCATACTAGCCTTCAGGAGTAGCGAAAGGGGATAACAGCTTTGGAAAGTCGGGTCTGCCAGAAAGCTGTTGATGAAGTCAAGGCACGATCCACCTCCATCTTCACCAGAGAAGTTTGCCGCGAGCGCTCCGTCAAAAGGTGTTGGAAGTGGACCCGTAGCGACACTTGTCGTGGCAGCCGCAGTAGAGTCGGCTGTAGACTCGGCTGTAGCAGTCGAGACATCGATCTTATATGTCTGCGTTGCTGGCTGTCTAGGAACGAGTTGGCGATGCTCGTCTTCAGACATGATCTGCCATTGACCATTGACGAAAATCGGAATCCGCGTATCGACCAGTAACGATGTCTCGGTCGATCGCGGGGAGTCCTCTAGTAAAATAGCAGTGGTTCGGGGGATCCATAGGGAAATGATCAGGACGATCACTACTATATGAGTCCAGTGTTTGTGGTAGGGTGAAACGACAGGGTAGCGCGGACCACACCCGCGGCGCAGCGACCACTGACGCCCGAAGGAACAAACTGAAAGCATTGTGCCGCCGAAGCAGGTAACCGATCAGCGGATCGATCGTCCATACATTACTTCGTGATGTGAGAGCCTCGAGTCCGATATGACTCTCAAGAGTCGTAGTAACCCGGTGCTACGATAACCAAACTTAAATGTCTCGAAGCTATGAGTTAGGATCGGGAAGAAAGTCGCGGCCGTTCCCACCATACGTCTTTATTATATCCAATAGGTCTAGACCCCGAAGCCGGTATTGTCATGCGGACCCTGACAAGACAATAGCTCCGTTGAGGGGGGAGATAGCCAATATAAAGGACTGTCGGATAAATGAAAACGTCCCGTGGTAAAACAGCACAAGACCAATGAAGCACTGCTTTTCTATTATAACGGCAATGGCGCAACGAAATCCAAGCAAGCATGCGGGGAGATGTTGGAGCTCGTGGGTTAGTAGTATTCGTCGACGATGATCGTTGCCCAGGTATTAGGTCCCAATAGACAATCAGATAGATGTAAACAGAGATCTAAAAGACATGGGTAACGACCAAAGCACGAAAAGAGCAGAAGGATCGACCTCTTCATAAGGCACGAGCTGCCCACCGGGCTTTTTAATGAAACTCTGCAAGAGCTGCAGCGCTATGATGGTAGCATAAGTTTCCCCCGAGCGTTCCCATTTTGGGACTCCAAGCCGGTTGGCCTATCCGCGAAAAGAGTGACGATACGCCGCTAGTCTAGGTCGGGCGCCTGTCAAGAAATGCGACGGGGACGATGCCACAATTTGGGGTCTATGTAATAAGATGGCGACTTAATGCCTCTCGGTACCTTGGTTAAAGAATGGACCCCAATGGTAATATGGCTGTGCCTATGATATCAATGCTATCGGGCATTATGGTGCGATTTCTGTGATATTTGTGATCTCTGTGCTCCCTTTGGCTTGCCTCAATGAGCCTAGCCAATATAGAGAAGCATGCCGGAAAAGCCATAACACGCATGAAAGTCGACTGGTCGTTTTTGCTCAAATCGGCACATCTCATCCGCAGAAGCCCAAGTTGTCGACGCCGGCGAAGCGACGAAGCAAATGACTAGCATCAAAACAAGGACTTCCTTGTTTGGTTGCATGACTCTCTCCATCTCTGCCAATAACAAGCAGGTTTTGGAAGAATCTGGCAGTCTAGAACTATTTTCTCCGATTCGATTCGATCGATGGGAGAGCGACGGGGTCCCTTGGCTCCAATGGTACATAGGTAGGTAGTAAAATGTAAAAAAGTTGGTGAAAGGATTGAGTGGGTTGCATAAGCGAAATTTCCAGCAAAGTTCCCTTTGGTTGTTAGGTGGCTTGGATGGGAAACACCTGCCAACGAATCACAACGTCAGATAAGTTCCCGACTTCCTTGTTGCCTTTAGAATTTGTTACTTGAATGTGCTAGCACCGCATAAGCTTCTTCAAGGTTATCTCAAGACTAATGCCAGGCACAGCCGCAGTTTCCTCGTGTCTACCTCAATTTTGGCCCCCTTAGCGTGACGGGTACCTACCCTACCTGCTCTTACAGGCATCGTAGCGTGTGATACGAGCTACAAAGTATGGACATTTTATACCGAATAATTGTTACAGGTTAGTACGGGAAATTGCGCACGCGCTGAGTCCATTCATTTCAATTATGTAAGTTAACATTGCCAAACTGCAACCGCATTGAATTAATAACCTTCAAGGCTTGTACGACCAGTTGGTAGTAAGCAACTACATATTTCATAATTCAAATTCAATTCAATCCAATTTCAAATGCCAAATAGCCGTTCAAGATATTCCAACATACCACGCATATCACAAATCACCACCATCGCCGGCAGAATTTGAAGTATTATTGAGGTTGCATCGGATCCGAATAGCACAGGGCAGTACGCGTCCTCTCCCTTGCTCGTAGCCAAGGCGCTTCGGTGATCGGGTTCGCTTCTAAGGGGGACCCTCTTCATTTCTTGCATATTGCATCCCAGTATCTCGGGTTCTTTTTTATTTTTATTTCTTTACCAACAATACCCAGAGGATGGTTCAGTCTAGCGCTTCTGTTGATGAGGTCTTATTATTCAAACCTGGGAGTTCGACTTTCAAGACATCTCAAATCACTAGTTTGCTTTTTGATCAACTCTCTAGAGCACCAACCTGAATACTTGACTCCTTCACAGCCAGGCATCGGAACATAACGTTGTGCAATTAGAGCCTCGAACCCGTTAGCATGGGTAACTCATGCACGCGTAATATAAGTCATACAGGAGATATCTGCAGGATAAGCAGCTTTCCGAACCGCTGCTTTCGCCGATGTGCACGACAGAAGCCACCATCTGCTGCTTGTAACGAAAAGGTAAAAAGTGAAGCTATCGCGAAGCGAGAAGCACCTGAGGATTATCGCGAGTAAATTGATCGCCGATCTCTTAACCGCTACTAGCTAGTTGATCGACGAAGATCGTCCGCTTTAAGTTTCAACTAATCCAGCCCTACATCGCTGATCACTTGTGGCGTGAATGGCTTGAATTCTTCGTCGTCAACTTTTAAGCCAACATCATTTCTAACCCTACCCATCCCGAAGTCTCTCCTAACGAGTGCAGCACGTAAAATTGGTTATAATGCCCTTAGACACGCAGTGACCTACGTTATGACGATCTCGAGTCTCGGAATTAGAATCGGGGTCGATAGCACGCATAGTCGAAATGACACGGTTGTTTCAAGGCCGAATTAGAGCTGAAGTGTGCATACATAATAGTAATGAGACCGTATTCGCAAGTTTGACCTCAGCTTTCCCATCCCCTTCCCGCTGAGACAGTAGAATAGGGTCCGAGTACAGCATCAAAGTCACGATATCTTACGTGTAATACAATCTCAACCCGAGAGTTGAGACGTATGTCATCTAACATCTACCCAGATACCTAGCTTCATGTGTCTACGGCCGATCCATCACCTCGTGGCCAGCGTAAGACAAAGCCTCTCGCCGAATGCCGCTACCCGCGCAATACTACCGACGTGAGACATCCATCGGGACTCGGGAGGGATATATCTATGTGGGTCGTACGATTTTCCCATTCAGCTGGCGAATTTCCACTCACGACCGAGAAGGCATCTCAGGTTTCAGTTATCAATTACTTCGTATTTGTCTGTTTCAGGACGCACAATGAATATTTATCGCTACTTATTCTCCTCGCATCACAGATATCTCCCCAGGATCTAGAAACACCCGATCGATAATAGCTCGAATCCCCGATTTGGGGGCTGTATCAGGTAGTAATAAGCGATACAACTCCACCCCTTTTCTACGAGTGTCGAGTAAGATAGGCAGGTTCTGTGATTCCAACTACATGCTACGTTAGATACCTGCGCCGCCGTCATGTGATTCATGTGGTCGTCCCTACAGGTTCGCGAGGACGGTATTTAATCAGCGGAATACGGTAACTCCTTGTTTGATAAGATCTTAGCCCCCAAGATACTAGGTAGAATCTTCCGGGTTTCTACCCTAGTATCTAGGTAGACGATGAACAGTGAGCATTGTTGATAACTGAATCCGTGGTATCTTGATACTACAAAACCAACGCCTCTAAAACGATGTTCTGGGGCTATATTTTACAGACGGCAGAACACGAAATTCTAATGAAATGATTACACTTAAAGAGCCGTAGGATTCATTTAGTTCATATCCTTCGTCGATGCCTGCCATGGTGGTTATCTCGATGAGGAAGGTCGACTCCGAGATTAAATCTCTTTAAAACTAAATTATATAACCGCTGCCGCCGCCGTTCCGTTGCGAGTCATCATCTCCCCCGACCCTTCACTAGGTCTCACTCGGTGGTCCAACAACGTATTCGATACGGCAGTTTCGGTAGCCACACAGTGATGTGAGGATCCTGCAATGTCTTTCATAGCTGGAACTCTGATTTCAGTCCACTACGATCTATCCCTAGCTTGTTTAGGCTAACCTCGAGCAACTTACGAGTCAGGTAAGCCAAAACCAGCATTGTTGACCCTCGCAATATCAGTAACTGCTCCATTAAGAAGGTAGGCATCAAGTATCTCATTAAACCAGTAAAATAAAGCGTATAACTGTGTAATCATCTATGTATATACATATCGAAACAAAAGTACCAACAAGTTTACTTTGTACATACATGAGTTTATGATCTCATTAAACCTATAGCTACATGATCTAATTCTCGAGATGAAAAAAGCTTAGATCTTATATAAGTCCGTTTCATGTCGTTTGAAAAAAAATAATTCGGATGATGACAGGCGGACAAACACCCCAGTATAACGCCGTTTTACCATGCCCGTCGCCTCCGCGCATTTGCCACTCTTCGCTATAGGATTCCGCCCGCTCGATGGCGAAATTCTAGCTTTCCCTTCTAGATATGCAAATATGTACCAAAGTAAATATGGGGGAATCTCTGATAATGATAGAAAAAAGAAAAGAAAAAAACAAAAACCATTTGCGTAAAAAAAGCATACGTGTAACTAATACAAACATCGCTGAAGCAGACTACCGCTTCTCCAGGCTCTGCAGGTTGACCAACTCGGCGTACCTTCCGCCCTTTCTCATTAGGTTGTAGTGTGTGCCCTCCTCAACAACTCTGCCTTGGTCGAACACGTAGATGACATCGGCGTTTTGTATCGTGCTTAGACGATGCGCAACGGCAATCGTGGTTCGACCCTTTGCGGCCTTGTCCAGAGCAGCTTGCACGACGTGTTCAGATTCGGAGTCGAGAGCAGAGGTAGCTTCATCCAGGAGCAAGATCTTAGGGTCGCGGATCAGGGCACGGGCGATAGCGATACGTTGCTTCTGACCACCAGAGAGCAAGGTACCCTTATTACCGACCTTGGTGTTGAAGCCATCTGGTAGAGATAGGATGAAATCGTAGATGTTAGCTTCTCTGCAAGCAAATTCAATTGCCGAATCGGGAACGGATTCACGGCCAGAACCGAGCAGGATGTTCTCTTTAATAGTGCCTTGGTAAAGCGTGGGTTCTTGAGATACGAGAGCGATATGTGATCGGTACTGGTTGACATTGAGGCCGCTAATATCCTTGCCGTCGACGTAGACACCACCGACAAGAGGATCGTAGAATCGTTCTAGTAGGGCGATTGTAGTACTCTTACCACAACCCGAAGCACCGACCAAAGCAACGTATTGGCCAGGGCGGATAGTCAAGTTAAGACCACGAAGGATGGGTTGTTCAAGGCGAGTGGGGTAACGGAAATGGACATCTCGGAATTCTACGGTACCGTCGACCTTGTGAATAGGGGCACCTTCGTCAGACCAGGTATCGACGTTTGGTTGACGGTCAAAGAGGGTCTTCAGTTCGCCGGCAGCGGAGTGCGCCTTGCCCATGTCGGGAGCGAAAGAGAAGACAGTACCGGCTGATTGAGCGCCGAAGATGACGGACATAAAACAGACGAAGAACTGGAACAAGTTATATTCGTGGCTGGCGATCAAAGTTCCACCGTACCAGAAACCAAGGGCAAAGGCCAGGAAGATGAAAGATTGGGCCGCAGCGTAGAGGATCGACGACTTCAAGATGGAAACCAAGCTACTCTTTCGCTGGATGGCAAGAGAATATTTGTACTGGTTAAGGACATCTCCTTCTCTGGTTAGAGATGCAACAGTGCGAATCGCGGAGATGGCTTCAGACGCATACGAAGCACTTTGTTCGTAGGCCTGCTTAGAACGGCGTTGGAAATGCGCAAGCATCCAGAATCGGAAGAAACCGCAAGCAAGTAGAACCGGAATCGTAGAAATGCAGACAAGAGCCAATTTCCAGCCAAACGCCAGAGCAACAACCATTGCAGTTATAAGCGTGGTGGTGACCATAAGCAGAGTTCCGAGGGTGACGCCGCTAAGACCGGCTACGTGAGAGGTCTCGGTCGACAAGAAGGATGTGAGAGCACCGACAGTATTCTCGTCCTTGTCGAAGAAAGAGACATCCTGGCGCAGCATAGTCCGGAAAGCCCTGTCTCTGACACGGTGGATGAGTCGCTCAGAACACCTGGCGAAGGCAACACCCTGAGAAATATACGCTATGCACATGACAAACGCCAGCATAAGGAACATACCACTCCAGAAGTCGCTTTCTTTCTTGACTGCTGCACTGTTGGCCGGGGTAAGAGGTACACTTAAGGTCTACTTTCAGTTAGTAAATGATCAAATGGAATGTTGGCTTGATATTCGGAGTACTCACGAGAATTTGCTTGGCGAAGAAAAATGCTTGAGTCGGGTTACCAGCTCCGCAAATGATGGACCAGAACAGACCCCAAACCATAAGCTTCCATTCCTCTTTGTTGAATGACGCAATCAGCTTGATCAACACCCAAAGTCCATACTCGTGGTTCTCCTCTTCGGGCTCCATGTGGTGGATAGCCTTGCTAGACACAGATCCCCGAGTTACTGGGCGAGTGAGTTTAATATCCGGCATAGGTGGTTCAGGGTCATCGAGGAAGCTAAGCTCAACCGGTCGCGAAAATCGCTTAGAAAATCGCGAAGACAGGCGCTTAGAAGCTCTACGAACGAGCAATTCATCGCGGTTGGCAATCTTAGCCTGTTCCTCAGGACTCGGTCCATTGGCGGTAGCAATGTTCTGTGCGTTGACCAACCTGGCATATGCTCCATTTTTCTCCAGGAGAGCAGTGTGGGTTCCCTGTTCGATAATAGTACCTTTAGACATGACGACGATGTTGTGAGCATCCTTGATGGTAGAGAGACGGTGAGCAATGGTAATGGTTGTGCGACCTTGAGCAGCGGCCTCCAATGCGGCTTGGACGACGCCTTCAGACTTAGTATCCAAAGCACTAGTAGCTTCATCAAGTAGGAGAACTAAAATAAGAATTAGAATGCATTCATATAATCGCCCAATTAGACCACGACTTACTTTTAGGGTCCGAGACAATAGCACGTGCGATGGCAATTCGTTGCTTTTGACCACCGGACAACAAGAATCCACGTTCACCAACGTTCGTTTCATAACCTTCGGGTAGAGCTGAGATGAAGTCATGAGCGTTGGCCTTCTTAGCGGCTTCGATAACTAGTTCAGTTTGCCTAATAGGGCTCACGTGTTCAAATTTCGTGCCGATAAGACCGTTCTTGATGTTTTCGTAGATCGTGGTGGCAAACAGGGTCGGCTCTTGGCTGACGAGGGAGATGTGTTGACGCAACCATTTGAGGTTCAGTGTGCTAACATCGTGGCCATCTAGTAAGACTCTTCCTTCTACCGGGTCGTAGAATCGCTCGACAAGACCGACGATAGTACTCTTTCCGGATCCGGAAGTCCCAACCAATGCAGTCGTCTTGCCTGCTGGGATATCCAGGGTCACGCCCTTCATGATGGTAACCTCGGGTCGCGAAGGGTATATGTGTTTGACGTTTTCTAGACGGATCGCACCAGATACCTTTGATAGTTTGGTCCCCGTCTCGACGGTAGGATCCATTGGGGACATGCGGTCAATAGTGTTAAATATCTTGGCGGCAGCCGCAAGAGCAGTACCGAACGCCTGGAGGTTAGGGGCGATATTGCCCAAGTTGAATGCACCTATCATAATGGACATCATGATAATGAGCACGCTAGACAGTGAAACGGCACCGTCGACGAGATACTTGCTGCCCATCCAGAAACTCAGGCCATAGTTGGCGTACACGATCAACATCATACCAGCAACCATAAGGGCTGTCGCGGTTGCTTTCTTGAAACCGAAGTATTCGGCGCGGATGAGATGCGCGTCATATTGCTGCGCCAGACGACCCTGGGTACCAAAAGCCATAGCGTTTCGGATGGAGCTAATGACTTCTTCAGCAACGCTGCCTCCTGCCGCATATGCGCCAATCGTGTCCTTGGTGTATTTGACGATGAACGATGAGCCAATACCCATATCGAGAATCAGAGCAATGACCACGGAGAACAGGATGAGCGTCAGCCTCCAGTAGAAGACGAAACCGATGACGAAAGCGGAGACAAATGTTGCGATGGCCGTTAACGTCAGTCCAACCTTCTCCGAAATACCTTCCTGGATCAAGTTCGTGTCTGCAGTGATTCGGGTAGTGACCTCGCCGGCGCCGAGCTTATCGAAATAGCCAATGTTCTGCTTCATGCAGCTCTCCAAGTAGTGTTCTCGAATCTTGCTGCTGATGTTTTCTCCGGTGTAAATGAAACCAACGGTTGCGACGTACATAGCAATGAACTCGCCAATAGCCAGGTAGACGAAGTACAACACCAGGCTGCTCATCTTACTTATGAAGTCATCGTGAGATACCGTGCCTAGGAAGAAGCCCTGGAATGTATTTTGAAGATTGCCAAAGATGACCGTCATGAGAGGCATAGCAGCACCACCGGCGATCGCACCGATGGCGCTTACGGCCATGATGATTAAGTCGTTTCTTGACGCATACCGGTAGAGAGTAGAGACGCCGCTTTTCACCTCGGGGGTTATGACTTGTCTCCTGAGAATCTCGGCTTCGTGGGGAGAGAGGTGACCGAAGGGGTCATTTTCCATCTCGCCGGACTCACTCGTCGAACCCGTCATACCTGTCATACCCGTCATGGTCTTTCCCTTCGTATCCCTTCTACCGGATTCGCCAAAGTAAGGACCATCTCCTGGAGGAACTACGGTTGAGCCGCTGTGACTTAACGTTGGACTCGCTGGACCATCGGAAAAAGTATTGAATGTTGCAGATGTCTCAGGCCTGTTCAACATGCCGTTGTTGTTATTGTAGCCCATTGTGGCTACGCTCTATCGGAGCGAACTTGATTTGGTTAGGGTCGTGGTATCGCGTCGGTCCAGTTTAAATAACACACGGGCCAACAAATATATATATCGAAATATATTGAAACGATAGGACGGTTCAAGACCAGAAAGAAGAAGAGGAAGAAAAGAAAAAAGGTATATAGGAATCCCAGAGAGCGCTCAGATCTATATGTATTTCTAAGTATATCGGCTTTTTTCGTGCTTTTTGGTGGTTTTATGTACTCTGCGTAGCTCACACGCGAGAATGCGGTTGTCGCTTGGGGAAAATTTGGCGGCTTCGCCTGTAAATCCTATAAGCTAGCGATGGGTCCAATTCCTTTATACAGCGATAAGGAAGTAAAGCCGCACGGGGTAGAGTAGAAAGTACCGGCTGTCACATCCTTGCATTCATCCTCAGAAGGCAAAATTGGAAGTGGTTCGGGGAGTCGCGACAAGCCGATGCTTGCAGAGGTGCAGGTGTGTTCCCACTTTGGTAGGTACAATGTTAAAAATCAATAGAGAATTACAAGTCAATAAGGCGTTAGCTGCGGCTTGCAGGGGTCCCTCACATAACTTTATCTTAGCCTCGCAATCGCTTAACGTACCCGAAAAGGAAATTTACTAGAAGGGGAAAGGGTGACATACCGAGGGACTTCCTATTACGGCAGTGGCTAGATTGTAACTTGGGTACTTAGCTCCGTATCCGACATACGACATTCGCCCACGTAGAAGAACTCTATTTATAACATGAACATATGCTGGAGTAGTTCGATGACCCCATTCCTGTTCCAAAGATCGATACTCAAATATACCCGACGTCTGTTACCTTGTATACTGCCTAATCCTGCTTAGCCTGAAGCAGAGGTGAGAATGATGAGGTGGTAGCTAGTGGATGAATGAATGAAGAATGTAATTGTGGCTACACTTCTGTTGGGTTATGTCGAATTTTGGAGTGTAATATAATAATGTAAGGTACCTAGCATAAGTGTAAATGCCTATAGTGCATGTAATGTACATAGTGTCCAGGTATGCAAATCGATGGTTGAATAGATCGCGACGTACTACTTCCTTCCTATCCTCTATAATCTCACGGGATCACGATATGAAACCACGTTAGGACGGCGTAGTCGGGGTTAAGAGGTCTACCGAATAGTCCGTAACAATGGATAACGAGATATCTGATGGGCGTGGTCACACATCTGTCGGATCGGTACGGAGGAACAGATCGAAGTATCCTAACATTTGTAATTCTAAACGGTGCTTCAGCTATGTACCAACTTTTCTGATAGATCACTTGATGTTAGTTGCTTTTATCTATACCAAATAGCCATACCGAAGAGGTTACCGCTTACAGCGCCGAGATCCTCTGCAGAATAGCCCGCACTAATAAACACAATAGCTTACCTACTTCTTACTCCTTACAAGCCGAGGAACAATATATTAAGTAGGCACAGTCAGTACGAGTTACGAGTTCGGAGGAATCTGCGTCAGAAACGATCCGGCCTCTCGTTAGGCTGAGGCATACCGGGCAAGCGAGTGCGAAAACAGGATCGATAAGGCTTTCGGGAGTCAGTTGCTAACTACCCCGGAACCGGCTCTTTTCATAAAGTTTGTATATAGGAGTCTCTAGAAGCCTTATTCCGTGCCTCGGCATCCCGTCTCGAGATGGTTAAATGCGGTTAGTCATATAAAGATTAGGTCTAGATCCGTCCGATAGAATGGATGATGCTTACTCCTCGTGGTTTCGTGGTTTGGTATTCGCCGGGAGCCTGAGGAGATCAGTTACTGCATGCAGGCAGGGAATAATTCTATTTTAAATTAAGTCCATACCCAAAGACGAAGGGATTGTCAGGTTCTTTTTAAGACCCAGTTTCGCCTGTGCTATTGCATAGCTTTTGCATGGCACATGGCACATCCTAGGTATACTTCGCACAACCCCTCAAGAGTCAAGAGTCAAGGGGACGTCATGAGTCGAGACGGTACGAGATTTCCCCAAGGGGAAGAATCTTAAAAGCAAGATTCTAACATCCCATTCTGGGTATGCTTAAGGCAAATGCCGAGGGATGATAACAGCGTCACACAAGAACCCCTCCAAATCTGCAATGATATCTGTATTGGAAGTCAGCGGTATCACCAAGAGCGGGATATACTGCACTCAGTCACTACTCCGACCTAACTTTCATTATTCGACAATTCATCATTGTCCACCTGCACATAAGAGACTCTTCAATGTTCTCCTCATGGTCTTCCGGCCGAGTCACGCGCCAGTTATGGACTGTTGTAAATCTCCTTCCCCTTCGAAGAAATCGGTTCCTTTGAGGTATGGGTGAAATGCGAGACCAAAGACTGCATGTCGCCATTGGTTGCGGGTACGCATTTGAGTGGTTCCCAAGTGACAAATCTTATCTGAATCGAGTCTGAGACCCATGTCGACCATCCCATGGAACTATTCCATCCATGGGTTAAAAAGTTATGAAACGTAGCTGCATCCAGCTTGCATTACCTGAGTGCGGCTGAGGAGTAGAAAGAGGAAAAACGAAGGAAAAGATACTTCGGTACGAGCGCACGAGGCGAACACCAACAAGTAGCAGCACCCTGAGGTTCTAGATATTGATCACTAGAGCAGTAACCATTAGCACTGTTGCTTATCTTTAATATCTAATGATTATTTCAAAACAAAGACCTGTACAAGATCAACGAAGCTATACAGCGTGTAATATTTCTCGTTGTTTAAGGCAACCTTGAAAGTATATAGGTAAGGTGAATAGCGTTCTGAATTCAAGCTATGATGGTTTTGTTGCCATAATTACAAGTGTAGCCCCCGGGTGTCACCATTGAAGCTAGAACTAAGCAAGTCTTGGCGTCCTCCGGTTCCGTCAATCAGCCTTGCAAACGCGACGCTAAACTTTCTTTTCCAATTCGATGGACCAGGTCCAATCATTTTCCATCATTTCTCCAGTCATTCTACGTAATTCTCTCTCCACCGGCCATGTGTCCTTCCAACTACATTTCAACCTAGCGTATATCCATAAACGCATACTTGTCAACCTGGAAGACAAAGGATCTTACCTACCCCATACAATCCTACAAAACTTAGTATTCGAACATCCTATTTACTAAAACACCGGGCATCTACACCGTCAATTAGTCCCCGACTAGAACCTCGGTATAGCCTTTCCGACTTCATGAAAAAAGTACACTCTCCGTCTTTCACCGCACGTTGTACTATGCAGTAGCATGGTTCATTCCATGTGGCTACCCTTGCGACATCTCCCAACACCTACCTATTGCGGAATAGACATCCAGTCTAGGACAACACACACACCTCACGTCCGACTTTACATGCACTGCACTACAGCGTCGAGACATATCGGTCTTAGATAAAATCCGTAACCCATAACCCATCCGAAACCGAAATCCACGATGCGTCAACTATCACTACCGACCTCCGTCCCCATCCCCATCCCCATCCCCATCCCCATCCCCATCCCCTCCCTTCTCATCCTCCTCCCCCTCCTCCTCCCCCCCTCACCCGCCGCAGCAGCCAAACCCAGCAACGCGATCCTGCTCTCAGAAGTGCGCTCCCTCACGCTCCGCGGCAACGGCGCGCAGACCGCGCACCGCCGGGTCGCCGCCGTCCCGCAGCTGAAATGCGTGTCCGCGCCCGCGCTCTGCAACCTGCACACCATCGACGTGATGCGGTGCACGAACCAAGGGTCCGGGTACAGCGCCGAGGACATCCAGTGGTCGTGCTCGGCGCCCCTTCCTCCCGAGCTCAAGCTCGGCAGCACCGACGTCGTGTGCGAGGGGTACGCCGGCCCGGACGACCCGTACGTGCTGAAGGGCAGCTGCGGCGTCGAGTACCGGCTCGTCCTCACCGAGGCCGGCGAGCAGAGGTTCCCGGACGTGGCTAAAGGGGGCGGCGGTTGGGGATGGGGTGGAGGTGGAGATAAGGGTCGCGGAAGCGGCGGGTCGTTTGATCCTAGCGCCATTGCGTTCGCGATTATATTTGCCCTCGTCTGTATCTGGATCATATATAGCGCCTGTGTCGCCGGTAACCAGGACCCAACGCGCCCCGGCGCTCAGCGTAGGCGGCGGAACAACTGGGGAGGATTTGGCGGCGGTTTTGATCCTGGCTTCGGACCAGGAGGGGGAGGAGGCGGTGGAGGTTGGGATGATCCTCCACCGCCGTATCCGGGAGGACCTAAGTTTTCGTCAACCCAAAACCAAGGTTGGCGGCCTGGATTCTGGACAGGCTTAGCCGGGGGTGCTGCTGCCGCTTATGCGGCAAGCGGACGACGGAACAATCAAGAAGAACGGAATACGGGCTACGGTTGGGGAGCGGGTCCGTCTAGCTCACCTTCCGGCGGCTCGGGTTCCCGCTCAACGTCCAGTGCGAGATACGAGAGTACCGGGTTCGGGTCGACGAGCCGTAGGTAAGCCGCGAAGAAGGCGTTCTTACCATCACCTATCACGTAGAATGTCGAGTTGTTTCACCGCACAAATTATCGATGACTGAGTAACGTCTAAAATTGTTTGCACGTCGGGCTATCCTGCGTTGCAACTCATCGTGGTGTATATATACACCTGAGAGGTTGACAACTGTCAACCTCTCATACACATGAAATGAAGTTTGCGCGTCCTGAATTCCTGCAAATGCAAAGCGAAGCATCCCCCAACTTACTCGAGAGACCTCAAACCGACTTCTCTAACCCCAGGGTTTCCGGAGGACCCTTGAGGAAGGCCAGGAATATTGACTAGAGATCTGACGAGCAGCTAGTAAAAAGGTATGAATTGTCGATGAGGGTTCGTTCACGAGAGCCTCCAACCCCCTGCAGAATGTTTGAAAGCAAAACCATACGTTGACTCGGTCCCCGTACTCGTCGAATATTAACAAAGCCGATCGTGGACAATTTCCATCATATCCTACAAGCTTGAACTTGAATTAGGTCGAGGCTGGACGCCGACTTCAAAGGCTTGGAGCTCTGGCTTCTTCGAATATGGGGTTTGATCCGTAAAACACTAGTATGTACATAGACTCTTACACAGGACAATGCCTTATCTCCCTCTTCATGTAATATACACTCCGTTCATGTTTCGGTACTCCACTATCTCTACGAGTTCGCCTAAAGGTGGACAGCCATTGCATCTGATTTGTCGAAGGCTTTGCTACATGCCGGACATTTTCGCATTCGGTTAGCGATTCTATCATCGATGCAGCCTCGGCAGAAGATGTGCCCGCATGTTCGCAAAACAGTGTTTTTGAAGTCCTTCTTGCAAATTGAACACGTTGCCATGCTCTAAGATAAAAGGTTAGAATAGAAGCACGCCATTAGAAATAGGATATTGGTACTCACCCGTAGCATCTCCTCTTCCTCAGAAGAATTGCTTAGGCACTTGACCCTCCACTTGTCACGATCCTTTGTTACAGACTCGAGGCGCACCTTGAGTTTCTCCACTTCGGCTTCCAGCGTAGCAGTACGTTCTTTGGCAACAGCGGTGGCCGAATCCTTCGACTTTGCCAAATTCGACAATTCGTTAACTTGTTTGTTAAGTGCCTCGAACCGACGTAGCATTTCGTTGCTGGATGTATCGAGTTTCCGGTTTTCGCCCATGACCGAACCATTCGTCTGCTTCAAGTCCGCAAGCTGCTTGTCCAAGTTAGTGACAAGCGTTCGGTTGTGCGCCTCAACTTCTTTTAGTTGGGAAATGATTTCGGAACTTTTGCTATTCTGAGTTCGCAATTTTTGGATCACTTCAGCCTTCAGGTCACCATCCTTCCGTGCTGTAAAGTACTTCTGGTCCGCTTTGCTCTTCTCAGCAATGGCTAAGGCTATACGTTCTTCCATCGCGACTTGATCCATAACTTTCTTGTGCGCAAGAGCCTGGAACTTCTTCACTGCATTCGTCATACCCGGCAGTTCGCTTTCTATAGAATTGTAATCCTTCATCAGCTTCTTGTATTTCTCACGCATTTCCTCTAGAGAGAGAGCGTCGACATCTGGCCGTTCCGTCATATCAACGTCCTCGCTAGGTTGTAGCCGCTGCACCTCTGACTCTAGGGCAGAGATGCGGTCCTCCTTGGCGCTCACGAGTTCTCTCATGTGGTCCAGAGCCGTCTTTTCCTGCTCCTTGCTTGCCCTGAGCATAGTAACGTCGGCGTGCAACTCATCTCTTGTGGATCTCACCCGCGCAAGGGTGGTGTCGGCTTGTTGCAATTGGTCCTCGAGTTCGGCAATAAGAATCTGGGCTTCGCTTTCAACCTTTCGGCGACTAGACTCTCGCTCAGCCTCTAATTTCTCGGCTGACGCTCTGAGAGTCTTATTGTCTGCTTCTAGGGTGTTGATCTTTCGGACAAGCTCCTCCATTTGACCCTTGAATGCCTTAAAAACATCGGTGCGAGAATAGTCTTCATCGGTCAAATTCGTTAGTCGCGTCTGTACGGCGGTGAGTTCTTCTTGTAAAGTCTTGTTCTGCGCCAGTGCAGATTCTAGTTGTTCCTTCTGCCGCTTCTCAACGGCATTGGCCTCTTGGAGGGCTAAATGCAATGCCTCACTATTTGCATTGCTTTCGTCTACGGCCATGCCATTTTCTTGGTCAGCGCCAGCGGAAGGTCGAGCGGCCACATGGTTCAAGGCTTGCTGTTCAAGCTTCTGGACCTGGGCACTTTTGGCGCGGTCGAGTCGCCGTTCAGCCTTCATGTATCTGAGAGTCGCGGTGTTCAGTTGTTCAGAAAGGCTATCTTTGTCAATAGTGAGTCGATCCAACTTAACGAGGAACTCTTTCTGTTGTGCTAGAAGGCCATTGACTTGTTTCTCTAGGTTTGTGATGTCAGGAACAACCGGGCCACGAGACCCATTAAGGCGGCCAAGTATTGTCTCAACCATGTTTTTAATAGTCGAGGCCTTCTCGCTGAGATGCGACTCGAATTCTTCCACGTCCTTGAACCGGGTATGTGTCGGAAATGGTCGATCTATGTAGATGTCTTAGTAAATAGTAAATTAAGAACGTGGCTTTTTCTACTTACCATCAGAACCTTGTTTGAAGGGTATCGTTCCCTCAACGAGTAACTCTATCTCTTGTAACAACTGTTGTCAACATTAGTATTATCCAATAATGATTTAATTTGGCGGGCTGACGGTACCTGTAACCACCAGTTGTCGACAATTCGAATATGGTCATCGTGATGTACGGAAAGCTTCTGCGCTTCGTCTAGTTGTGCCTCCAACGTGTTCTTCTCTCGCTTGTACTCGAGCATCTGTCGGTAGATGGCATCTTTTTGATAGTCCTAACCAATCCATATCTGTCAGCGGCTTAACGTCCTTATATGTTTATCATGTTGACGGGCGCGAATGTACGTAGTAACGAGGTAGTTCGAATCAGGCTGCGTAGTCAATCGCGGCACGACAAAACATGGGAGAGTGTTGGGATAGAACGCTGATGACAGCACAGCCGCGCATCAGTACTGAGATTGTGAGTAGATGTCTCGATGACGATTGGAAACAAAGGCTACGAAGGTCTCGTGCTAGGGTAAGGCCGCCTCATGTTGACAGGGAAGGCGTGTTGAGGCCACGGTTCGATATGTAATATCGGCTGAAGAGAAATAAATCGCGATCGTGATACTTACCTCGATCCATGCCTCATCCTTCGTGTCGCCGTCGTCTTTAGATTTACTGCCACCGTTAACGGCTTGTCGCTTGCTGGGAGGAGCGATGTCATCCGTGCTGATAGCAGGACGCTTACGGTCCTCCATCTTGAGGCGTGTCGATAGAGGCGCAGTTGTAGGAGAAGTGGATAGAGGCATCAGATTAGGAGAGGGCGATAGAAGTAAAGGGGGAAAAGAAGAGAAGGTGTGGTTGCCAGGCAAACGAAAGGCGGGAAATGGGCAGGAGAAGGGATCTGCAGAAAGGAGGAGTGGTGAAATGAATGAAATAGATGACAGAGGTTCTCAGGGAATAAATAGCACAGGGCGTTCCCTAGCCGAGAAATCGTACGCTGATCGAGATGGATGAGATGGGCCAGGCATGCCTTCGCGCCGATAAACGCGAATTGAAGGTGTGAGGGAATCGGATGAGGAAAAGGACAGGACGCCAGGAGAGGATGTTGAACGAAAAATCGAAGTTGAAATCAAGAAAAGGAAACTAACCTGGATTAGGACAGGCAGAATGGGCAAAATGGGCACTGGGCAAGGACTGAGACTCAGTGGAACTGGTAGACGTGCTTTCTTTCGATATCAGCACCTACCCAGCACCTACCGTGCGTGATAAGAGTCTTCCATTATGTGGCCCGTGCCAGTAGCGTAATGCTTAGAATGGATCCTCTAACGTCTGGTCGACCTTCCCAGTAGTAAGGTTTTGTTCCGGTGAAATTCAGTGAGCGTGTAGGCGCTATTTTCAACTTGGGTAGGTGCATGCAACAGGAAGCGACTAAGTACCCAAGTACCTAGCGCTGGCTTTTATCCCACCACCCCACATAATTCTCTTTCCTCATCGCCCAGTAATAATCAACTTGATCAACTCAATCACTTTTGACCTATTTCACACTTCACAGGCATTCCAATATTCACAATACTTATAGAAGTCTTCTCAGACAATCACTAATTTCATTATTGAGGGAAAGCCATAACAATCATTAGTAGGGCAATGCGCCGGCTTCGAATCCAGTCATAGCCCTAGAGCAACTGTAGGCATCAGCAGCCATGAGTTCTATGCTGAAAAAGACCGGAGGCTTGTCCTTCAAGCCAAAGGTCGCTCCTCGTCGAGCAGGTGCTTCCGCCTCTTCATCTCAAGCACCTCCTGCATCTGCTTCCCCTAGTGCTACTCAAGCTTCTACTGTTGAACCCTCATCGCAAGCATCAACTCCCGCACCCGCCGCTCCTACCCCCGCCCCCTCAGTCGAATCCAGTTGCAGAACAGCACAAACGCAGGAGGCCACGAACGAAATCCCTAAGGAGGTCCCGCAGGAGGAAATATCGAGACCACCTACCCAAGCTCAGAAAGCTCCTACGATCCACCCCGAATCCGGGCCAACATCGACCCCGGCAGCATCTCCTGCAATTGTCGAAAAGCCTTCCCATCAGGCACTTCCAGCCCCGACCCCATCGCCCATAGAGAGATCTTCACAACCAACCCCAACACCGGTTGTAGACGAGCCTCCCCAGCAACCACCGTCAGTTTCGGCCCCAGCAATCGGACGAACGACACAACCTACTCCAGCACCAGAGGCCACACAGCTAGACAGGCCCACACCTGCCACTTCTTCAGGTACACCGTTTACTACCATCTCTCGACCTGCTGCTGTTATGTATACGCCCACGCCAGAGCCCACGGCTCCAACACAAATAAGAACCGCTCCTCCGTCTCCGGCCCCCGTTTCTGATACAATCGCCGTCTCTGCTCCGGTTGACGAGCCTACCACCAATGCCCCGAAAAAGAAGAGAGTATATCGCAAGCGAAAATCTACTGAAGATGGTGCAGATGCAGAAGGCTCTGCACCAAAGAAGAGGCGAGCCCGCAAGAATACTACGACGGGGGACAATGGCACGGCTCCAGCAAGAGGCGCTAGGGGAAGATCTAGGCAGCGTGAACGCTCTTCAAGTCCCGAGGAAGATCCAGAGAACCAGACGATCGATCACAGTAGTACAAAAATGGGCGAACTAACTAAAGATATGGGAATCGGAAAGAGATTTAAACATGCGGATGCCATTGAGGAGCGCGCGCGTGAAGCACGTGAGAGATTTCGTCTAAAACAGCAAGCAAAACGAGCCCGACTTCTGGGACTTGATCTTGAGGACGTGACCTCGCGCGCAAGTACCCCAGCAGAAGATGGAGACAACGGAAGAGAATCTGCTGCAGCCCGGGCCAGAGAACTAGGAGCTTCAATCGGCGCAAACTCGCAATCTGTTGGTTATGAGGTTGTAGATGGTCAGATTATTATCAACCAGCAATCACTCATGGTAGACCGGCACGCGGCCCACGACATGGGGACACTCGAGACCGTGGAAGAAGACGAGTTTTCCCGCCTGACCACCTCGTCGTCTTTCAGGCGAGAAAGTCGTAGAACAGGAGCAAATCACTGGACGGACGAAGACACCGTAAGCAGACCCCTCCCGCTTCTTTCCTACAGGAGAGTCAGCACGTGCTAACATGAATCAAAGGACAAATTCTACCGACTCCTGGGCATGTTCGGGACGGACTTCGAGACGATCTCAGCCATGTTCCCGGAGAAGAGCCGACGCGCGGTCAAGCTCAAGTTCAACCGGGAGGAGCGGCTGCGGCCGCGGTACATCAACGCGACAGTCATGGTACGCGGCGAGAAGAAGGTCGGCATCGACCTCGAGGAGTACAAGGCGCACCAGCACGGATGGCAGGAGAGTGATAAGATCATGGCCGAGCACAACGAGCTGGTGCGCGAACATAACGAGGACATTCGACGCCTCAAAGAGGAGAGGCGCGCCGCGGGGCTTATGGATGAGGATGAAGAGGCGGAGGGAGGACAACAGCAAGGTGAGGCGGGTGACGGCCAGGAAGGCAGTAAAGAAAATGGTGAACAGGAGAATGGAGAGGATGCTGAGGACGGTGGTGAGGAGAATGGAAATGACGATACCAATGGCGATGACGAGAACGAACCCGTTGACGAGTTACCCACAGAGGTTTCCGCCGAGATAGCTATCGAAGCCTAGACCACGGTCTCGACGGCCTAGGTAAACCGCGTGCAAGCTTGTTTCTTGATACCCCATTTCCTTAGCTTGCACGGTTACCTGCCGAAGAGCTGGACGATAACTACGAAAGTTAAAAATTGTAGATTACTGGTGTATTAGCCGAGAAAGAGGCAGGAAACTACCGTACTGTGCTTTTAGGAGGACCGACCCTTTCCAACGTTTCCTAGAACGTTGAGTTACGAGTAAATGCTAAATCGAATTACGATGACTACGAGGCTACACCGCTACGTTTCGATTATTTGGGTGCCGGATTTTGTTCAAGCATGCTCTAATTATCACGTAGGCGCATAAGAGAGTCGGGCGAACAATAAATGTAATATCGAGAAATCAATTGGTAGAATTCAGAACTAAGCTATAGACTTAGTTCACCTAGCCCTTTTATTCCTCCTATCATCTTCGCGGAATAGAAAAATCGCGCGAGCTATGTCATGATGTCTTGCCCCGAAAGTGCGTGTTTCACGAAGGGGTAAAAAGGGGGAGGTGGTAGCGGAAGTCTCAATCAGGAGAAGACCGTTGCTTTGCATTGTATACGGTGGTTTTTTCCAGGCAGAGCCTTCAAATGCCTGTCCTAGCAGAATAAAGCATTATGCGAGTGAATAACGACCATTAACAGAGGGGATATTATCGCAAGGGCGAAGAATGCCACGTCGGATATCGTAGTCAGGCCGGTTTGGAATCGTAAGAGGGTGGCGGACGAATAGGGCATCTCATTCACATCATGAAAATCAGTTCTGGGGCGGCTCATCGTCTTCCGGCTGGTCGAACAAGAAGTTGGCGGCCAACTCCTCATTCTTGTCACAGGCGAAATAAGCCTGAATCGCCGCATCTCGGTCGAATCCTAGTCGGCATAACTAGATACATATTAGCATCATACATGGCATATAGTATGCAGGGAGAATCACGTACTCGCTCGATAGCATCACGCTCTTCTTCCGTCACCGAGATGGTCTGAGCGCCAGGGGGCAGAGGCGCATCGTCATCGCCAGCCTCGCCCAACAATTGTAGGAACTGATCAGGGTTCGAAGAGATCAGTTGGGCAAGTTGAGGGTTGCCAGCGCCAAGTTGCTGCAGAATCGGCTCCAGCATTTGCGGTTGCTGCTGAACCACCTGCCTAAGTTGCTGGAATTGGGCGTTGTTGCGCAACCAGTCAAGGTTACCAAGGGCTGGGCCACCCGCGGCCGCGGCCGCGGCAGCAGCAGCAGCCGCTTGAGCATTGCCACCGGCTCCTCCACGACTACCACCTCGACCCTGCTGCGCAGCCAGGTCGAAAAGGTTGACACTTCCACCCTCAGACTCAGGTTCGGCAGGTTGGCCAGCAGGAGGGGCGAAGCCAGCAGGAGCTGCGCCTGGTGTAGATTGGGCGGGCGCTTCTCGCTGAGGCTCCGGCTGGCGAGCACTCTCCGGAATACCCTATACAAAATGTCAATCAAGGAATGACCAGGGCGTTTTTATTTAACTTACATTCAGGAGATATTCAACAGCACGGTCAGGATTGTAGAAAGCGGCACGTAGAGCAGCCTCGCACTGGGATCTCTCGAATCCCATAGCTTCCATGTTCATAATCACATCTTGTCGGGCCGAACCCATGGCCATGTCACCGCTGAGGCCACCACCGCCAGGTGCGGGAGATGGTGTAGCCGGCACTGCGGCAGCGGCGGCGGCGGCGGCGCTAGATGACTGTGTGGGCGCGGCCGCGGCGGCAGGAGTGGCGGCAGCCGATCGTGCAGGCGTCTCAGGGGCCGCGCTTGATGAAGCAGCGGCAGCAGCGGGAGCAGGTTTGGGCTACAGGTTGTTAAAGGATATCCTTAGAGTCAAGGGAGCATTATGTCCGGCACGTACCTTGCTCACCATGCAAACAACATAGCCCTTCTCCTCAATCTTGTGAGCCGCGACTGATTCTTCATCCTTGAGGATTTTGCCTATAGACAAATTAGCACTCTAGGAGCTAAAGAACAGAGAAGAGGACCGGGATCTGTTCGGAATAGCTAGATGAGGAGAGCGAGCGCATACCGGAGTAAATGAGCTTCAAGGCCTTGGCGTCCCATCCTTTCTCTTCGGCGACTCTCTGCTTCAGGGTTGAAACCTATAGCCCAGTCAGAAAATGAATATGCTACATTAACAAGTAACAAAGCTTGGGTAGGAATCGTCAAGTGTTTGCGATGATATAATGACGGCATACAAGGTCGGTGGGCTCGACATCGAGCGTGAACTTCTGGTTCGAAAGCTCCTATAGTAAAGGTTGAAATTGTTAGCTTCTTCAATTATAGTGATGGATTACGGTAGATAAAAATGTGGAGAACAGCTCAAGTCCATCGTAATAAAGGACTGCTTCTGAAGCTAGGTCTATGATAACATACCTTGAAAGTAACCTTCATCGTGGCGACGGGCAGCTTCGGGATAGCTGCTCCTGGACTGATAGATGACGGTTGTAGAAAATGGTGAGGGGTAGTGGCAGTAATAGGTAAAGACTTAGGCGGCGCGAAACGAAAGTGAAAAGTAAAGCCGCCGACGTTTCGCAGTTATTGAAGTGTGGAAAAAGGTTAAGGTTCGGTGCCCTTATGCTTTGACCAGAATCTTTTTTTTTTCCTGGTGGAAAATGGAAAGCGACGGGAGTGGAAACTCTGATCGGAAGTCTTGAATTTCAGGTAGCAGTTAATGATGTGTCGCGCGGCGGGCAGTGGCGGGCGGCTAGCGCAACTTCTTGCTTACCACATAAGAATTTTAGGTAATGACTGGGCCTTGGGTCGATACTAAGTTAACATCTGTGTGTATATGTAGGTACTTGGAGGCTTACCTAGATTGAGCCTTAACAGAAGTACCTGGGTTTTGTACCGTCTCGATTGTTTGTCACCACTAAAAATGCGGGGTCTATTGGAGGGGCAGCTTTAAAAGCGAGGCTGCAAGGCAATCCGATCAGTTGAAACTTCCTTCTATCCCAATGAGTGCCTCGTGGATGCCTGTCCATGAAAACGCTATAACTATTTACCACTGTGTAACGGTAAATTGCCTGTTCATTATTTATGACTCTAGGTTTTTAAGTTCTCTACCTACATAGAATGAATAATATCTGGTAATATCTCCCGAGTCATCAATATCTTCAAAATACTAACCCGGGCGTTGAATAAGTTAAGCCTCATGGTATTCACGACATCGAAACACCCAATCATCACTCGAGAGCTGAAGCCGAGTGAGCTCATTCGTTCGGGATCATTTCACCAATATGGACATAACTTAAATTATGGTTCATTTCATTTCGGTTTATTTAATTTTACTTGATTCGTTTCTCACTTTAACGTCCATCTTCTATCTCCTTAATATTTCTCAGGAGCGAATGATAGGTTCCTCGTCCCGAGGTTAAGAATGTACTTCAACGCCGCGCTCAATAAAAATGGTATCACCCAGTAATCCCCAAACCCGGTCCGTTTCCTGACGTCTTTAGAGAAACAGCAACTTCCTAGTTCTATTGGAACAAAATGGAATTCACGAGTCATAATTATTCATTATTCATGCCGTTCAATTGGCGGATCATTCCGAGTCTCATGCCCCAGCAGCTTTTTGATCTTGGATTCGGTCGAATTCGTTCTTCCCGGCACTCAAAATCCACTCGGGGATCGGAGGTGTCATTTTTCTCTCCCCGGCTGCCTCCTCTGCGCGGAGCCGATCCGAATTAGGGCTTGGTGTCTTCCGGAAACTCTCATAGCTTCCTTGCCGGCTCAGGGGATTTGGTCCCGTAGGTAGACTTCCACTCCGCATTCGAGTGAGAGATTTTTCCGATATCGTTTGACCGGCATTAGGTGCCGCGATGACCATTGTTCCGGGGGTAGCTGCCGGTGGAGGCACAGGAGAGTCGGATCGGAAAAGTGGGTGAATATGTAGCTCGCCCGGCGACGACAAGGGCGTCAAACTGCGTTCATGATGTGCTCTAGGAAGAGGACTATAACTTCGGCTTCTCCGGTTGCGTTTTGGGGGTTCCAAATCCAAGGGGCATCCAGGACTTGGACTCCTACTTGTTGTGGGACTCGCAGGAATGGTCTCCAAAAAGCGAGCACGTATGGGAGGACTGGTATCCACAACGATCTGACGATTCTGAGGGTCGACTGAGGAAGTATCCCAGGAATCGAAGCCATCCTCCGTCACGCTTGACCGCTCCCGATATCCAGTCGAGTCTATTGAAGGGGGGCGACGCACTGTTTTTGGACTAGTAGATAACAGCCTAGTCTTGGATCCTGTAGGACGCACAGTGTGAGAAAGCGAAGTTCGAATAGAGCTCATCGTCTCAGCCATTGAACGGCCACCACTCGAGTTGGGCCGGCTTGAGTAATCAGTCAATGGTCGTTCCTGGATCCTCGTTTGGCTCGAAGCCGGCGTTGTCCGACTATAAGGAATTGACTTCACACGTATGTTCGGTAGACGAGAATTGTCTTCGTTGGTGTGAAGAGATAACGCTTGCTCAGAATCAGGGGACCGATGAACAACGAAACAGACAACGATGAAGGCAAGTTGTCCCACGAACGCACAGACGAGCGTGATAGCAGATCCGATAAGGAAGTTCGTCGATTGAACTTGAAGCATAGTCTCTGGCAACTTCTCAGACTTTCCCATCATAACCTGCATTACGACAGATGCAATAGATGCCAATATACTCGCAACTAGGCCCAGTGCAAACCATACGCCATTGTTTTTCCTCTTTCCAAAATCCGTCGACCGTCGAGATCTTTTAATGAGAAGAAAAGTTAATAGGATGAAAATCAGCCCCTCCCATGCTGATGCGATGATCGCCGCAACTGTGACCGGGGGAACCACCTCCGATAGTCCCTGAGCTATGATAATTTCAAGAGCCAAAACGGCCGCTGTCGCCAACAAGGCAACGGCGCCCAACACGCCGCTGAGAACACGAGACCTTGCCATGATGAAGGGGAGTTTTTTGATCGAATGAAGCGCAGGACGGAACATATAAGTTCCAATCCAACGCAGTGGGCCCAAGAAAGGCTAGACAGCTCTCGGCCACCTCAGATGAGTCAAAGAATGCGCGTGGAAACACTAAAGGTCGGTGTGTGTCGGTTAAGGGCAGCAAGGCCCACCACCGTCCAAAGACTTCAACAGTGGAAAGACCCACTAGGAAGGCCAATTCCCTGTTCCTACTGGCCAGATGAAGGCTAGAGAGACGTAAACTGAGGCTTGAGTTGATATCGTCTCTTACCGACAAGGAGGTAACCCAAGGCTTGGAGAATGCCCCGGATTTTGAACCCCAGATTGGAGGTTCAAAGCGAAAGCACCAGGATCGGGCCGCCGCGGGAATAATAATAATAAAAGAAAGTATCCTTATTAAAGACAGAATAATTTAGCGGTCTAGGCAATCGATAACCGCGTCCGCGTGGTGTTGGTATATGGTATATGCAGTCGACCAACCGGAATATACATGAGGCGATGCGTCCCGGGAGACTGCAGAATTTCTTTATATAGGTCAACTGCCGGGCTAGTTAAAGCAAAGCAAGATGAAAAACTAAGCAAACGAATGTCGGGCCTTGGGCCGTGATATTTGTGTGTATAAGCGAGAGAATGAACGGGAAAGAATGGAGATGATAACGGACAGACCCAGCAGGCCGGTAATACCGACCACACCTAGCTCAGGTTGTAATAAGGAGAAAGCGATTACTGAAGATTAGTAGTAGGTTCCCAAGGTGTGGGATGAAAGACAGGACAGGACAAGAGGATAGAAAGGTAGAGGGTCAGGAAAGTAGGCCGGAGGTCGAAATGGGAGTGTTTGCTATTCGGCGGGGCCACTCAGAATAAAAGTAAAGCGGTTCGGACGCGTCCTGATGGTTGTCGCGCTGCTGCGCTCTCGTGTTGGTGAGGTAGTACCGGATGGGAACTGGGTGGGATGCCACACACAACCCTTGTCTTCCCGTGTGCTTCTGGGATATTTTCCTCTCGCAGCTTTGCAGGTATTTTGCAGGTTTTTGCAGGGGTATGCAGGTACGAGCGGCCTATCATCAACGCGACGCACCGCGAAATCCCCTCCCAGCGTTCTAATCTACCCCTCCTTTCCAATGGCTGATGCCGTTCGGGGGTAGGATTTTACCGTTGGACAAGCAGGATAAGATTGGTGGATACGATGATAGGATTGGTCGTGGCCTGCTCTTCGGGCTGGATCCCGTCCAATATGATATGCAGCCCCGAGCTTTTGGCTTGGATAGATCTCACAGGTCCCTGTTCTAATCCCGCCCCCAATCGCACCCTCTTATTCTTGCTCTTGTCCTTTTTTCCTTTGAGGCTTTTAACCTTAAAGCCTAGGGTCTGGACGTTGTCGCTATGACAGATTCAATTGGGACTCCTTTCGCCTTGGGTCTCTTGGCCGTGCGTGGTACGTAATCCAGCGAAATGGCTGAATGCTGAATAGGGGGCTCCAGAACAAGCGAATTGTGCAGCACAAGGTTTCCAGGCGCCGGTCAGCAAGGTTGGCAATTCCGGGAAAAAAGCGCAACTATTGCCGTACTCGACGACGAATGGATGAACGAATAATGAGCGAATGAGTGTCGGAATTCTCAGCCTGCTTGCCCCTATATGGAAGGATCGTAAGAACAGAAGCGAAGGAAGAAGAAAAGAAAGAAAAAAGTAAGCTTGTCAGACGTTCTACCAGCGGCCCAGCAATAAGGAGCGAGAAATTTTTCAGAAGCAATATGAGGCGGAAAATAGCTCCCGTCCTTAACGTCGCTATTATTGCTGCCGAAGACCAACAACAGACAAGGTCATTGTGTCTTTCAACTTCGCTAGGACAGTTTCCGGTAGCATTAGGTTTGATGATATGGGTCCGTGAGGGCCGTGAGAGGCCTAAGAAATCCACTCGCTGGCGTGTTCTGCGGACCTCTTTCACGTGAGAGACCGTTCAGTCTATGAGCCTCTGAACAATCGACAAGGCAGCCCTACTAGTTATTCTCCAGTTGTTCTCCGCCATCTCGCATATCTAATACATGTGAATCTTAACCGTGGCCTTGGGAAAAGTTTGCCCACGCCTCATGCCAGGGCCATCGATGTTTGCTATGGATTTTGCTGCTTTACTAACGGCTTCACTAACTTCATACCAAAGATCTTATGCTGACTTCATATTCATTCCAATTGACCTGTAACAGGGCCGAGCTCAACAAACCGGGGTCGTCATACCTAGGCGGTATGATATGACGCTCAAATTAAATATTCCTCAGCTCTTACATACATACGTGATAGTAAGAATATGGGGGTTCCTGAGTCCACTAATCCACCCCAGCAAGGAGCAAAAATTTTTATTCTTCCAGGTACGTGAATCATGTTATGTACATATTTACTATTTACTAGCTGAGACATTTTTGTTCACTTATCGTAGCGACGACGTTGAGAAAGATAAGAGGTCGAAATAAGCAAAAAGGCGACTATTGCCAATGCTTCATTCAACTTACCTTCCAATTAAATACGAGCACCGAAAACCCAACTGATGCCGCAGCGTTACCATCACTGAGAAGACAGCGAATCTCGAGCGCTCACAATATTAATAGACAGTACCTGAATACTATTACATATTCATGCAGGGAGAGTCAGGGGTGTCTGGAGTTCTGGCGATCATCCTGGACTAGCCCGCAAGCTTAGCCCAAGAAGGAAAAAAGACAATAATCTCCGATGCGAAACACTACGCCAATGAGCTTCTAAAGTATTCCGTCTTCAGGGCACGCAAGGCACAGTCGACAAGGACCGCCTAGTCTAGCCCAACATAGATATCTCACCGCTGACCAAAGGCCCTGACATTTATTTCACTGCCTCAAGACGCCATCGGCTTGTTGCCCGGCTGCCTCATTGGATTTTGAGTCTAGCTCCTTAACGCAGGAGTTGTGTACGGAGAGAGACTTATTCGACGATGGAGACAATTGCAACATGGGCTGAAGCCGGCTTGGACCCTGTAGTGGCTACCTGCCATAGGACTCTACGCTGTGAGACTTGGTGCTGCTATGGCCCAAGGATAAACCATGCGGAGACCGGCGTTACCCTCCGATTCACTTTCTCATCGGTCTACCGGTAGTGTCCATAGATTCATACCTTCACGGACTGCTAGACTAACACAACATACCCGTGCTAAGATCCGCCGATGAAATATCTAAGCAAACACCGAGACACACACGATCCAGCACATACAGTACAGCACAGCACAGCAAGATCGTATACCCAAGACGTTGGTAGCGTAGATACGATCTCGCCGCATAAATCCACTGGAACATCCCCGCTCTTTTATATTGATTACTACATACAGAGCAATCCCGCGGTCGTCCGATTCCTGGACAAGCGGCGCATGGAAGCATTCTGCGATCTAGCCGGATAATCTGACCACTCTTCCACTATATATCAGGGAATACCCCGAAAACTTCGGATTCACCTCACGATCCGGAGGGGCAAAATAGCGGCGACAGGTCCACGTCTAAGGCTACGACGGTGCACGCCATCGGATTCCGCAGCATCTTCACTGTCCCACAGGTTCGCTGTATGTCTCTCCTAACCCCAAGAGGCCGTGACATTTGACGTACCCCGCCGACAATGCACATGAATGCATTTAAGATATCCGGACTTGGCACCAACATTCTGAGACATCTGCAACAGAGCGTCATGGCTATGAGCATCGTTTAGCCGTTGAAGCGGCTCCGGGTGCTCCGCCGGTTCGTCATCTGAACCAAGCTCTTTGAGTCCGAGCCCATCAGGCGGAGCTCTGCGTGCAGCAATGACCTTGCGGCGGCGATGCTTCTCAACACGAGCTCCCCTGCCTAAGCTTCATAGGCTAGTAGCCCTACCTAGATCCACAGCAATCTCGTTTTGCCATGACTTCTGCAGCGCTAAGGGTTTTGTTAGTCTAGACCGCTGTGTCAAATCTCGACTACGTCTTCCGTAGTTTAGCGGTCTCCTTTGAAACGACGGCTTTGATCGTAGACCTTTCTGTTGTCGCGATTTTTACGCTCCTAACGAAAGTAAATATTGACATTGGTAACTAAAACAACACAACAAAACAAAACAATATAAAAAGACAAGCTATTAATTCATAAGCATCAGTCCCAATTTTTAGTTTAGCTCCTTCAAAACCAATTAGTAATTAGCATTGACCGGATATCTAACGCTCTCCTTGGCTCATCAGGTCGGAACGACGGCTCGTCGCACGCGGCCACGTTTCTTTTCATCTGCTCAGGCAGTCAAATTTCCGAAAGATCCGTCTTCTCACTAATCAGATTTCCAATTAGGGCTGGGCAAGGTTGTTGAGCCTCCGATCCCTTCCAGCCGAATCCTTTGAACGGGTCGAAGGATAAAAAAGACGACGGGGCTGGCGCGTCTCTGATTGGACCGTCGCGAAAAAATGAATGTTGCTGCTTTGCATCCGGCTGCATGCCCATTACATACACCTCCGCAGGGATGGTAATTGTTATTTGATGGAGAATTGCTCCATTAGTGGATATGTACTGAGCCACGGAAAATATATAAAAGGCTACAAGATATATATGCTTTATACATATCTGTGAATAACCTCTGTATAAAGAAGTATCTTCCCTTACAAATATTAATGGCAAGATACAATTCTATGACAGTGGAGTAAAGGTCCACCAAATAACAATTACCATCCTTGCAGAGGTGTATCTTGTCAGCTAGGACCTTTTCCGGGCAGATCCCACCGGCACGCTTCCCCATGCTGCCATGCCGCCCCTGCCGTGCAACTCTCCAGGGCTGAAAAAATCTGATAGATGTGGATTCTTAGTAACAGTTATTCTTTTCTTTCCTTTTTTTCAGTAGTTCCTTGCAGGAGGAACCGTGTTTGCATACACTAGAGGGCGTTTCAGCTGACTTGCACATACTACATAACGCCATAGTTGCTCTTCGCGGTCCAGTTTCATGACGACGTAACACCTATTAGCGAAGTGAGGTTTACAACGCCAGTCCAGCCATTAACCAATTATCATTTTCGGATATAAGTGCCCCCTTGTTTGACGAGTCTAGTGGTGCGTACAAGGAACAGGAGACTGGACTATATAAAGATAAAGCTAGGCGGTAGGTACCTCGTACGCGTTCTATATCAATTGTCATACACTCGACAATGCGGCTAAACTGCCAACACCTTCGATCAGTTATACTTGATACGTACACCGCATTTGAAGCTATCCGGGTCGCTAAGGAGATGGGTTAACATCCCCTTTGCTAATACTTGTTCCTATACTCCTAGTGAGGGCTGCTAGAAAGCAGACGGGGCGGCCTTGCTAGGAAGTATAACATGATCGACTCATAGATCTAGATGAAAACTAGGGATCGTCGAACCAATCATATCATGAAATCCCTTCAACTTCCCACAAGCATACCCCAGGTTTCACACTACAGTGCTATTGCGCACTGTAAATCATTCACCAATCCTCACCGTCATGGTTTTACAAAGGATCGGAAAGGGGAACATGACATTCCAAAGATACAGCAAGTTGGAATTGGATATCCTTAAATCTCCAATTACCCTATCAGGGTACATTGCGCTTAGAAAGCCAATCGAACCTCCTGCAAAATAGTGTCATAAAAATGATTGTCTAGCCTCAGCTCAGTAAGGAGCTGGTTCTATATTTGTCCCCTTTCCAATCCATTCCGAATCAACTAGCTAAATAGATAATGATATACCTCTGGGCATTTACATCTAAGCCTCTTAGTCTTCGTGGTATCCCAATGGTCATTCGAAGCATTCAAAATACAATTGTGTGACTCCCTTATCTGCCCCTTTAATGTGAAAATAAAAGTTAATGTTGCATAGTATCACATTTTGCTTTGCCGTAGCTAAGACTCGTCATTTTGAGACCTAGTTGTATAGGTGGCATCCAGACCTAGTTGTATAGGTGGCATCCAGACCTACTCGTAGCCTTGAGAACGATGCCAACTGAACACGGGTGGTATTTGATGTGCTTACATGAACAGATCCGATCGATCTATGTAGACCGGTGGTGTTCAGTCGTTTCCTCGGCGGGCATTGTTGACTATAACTTTAGCCACAACACTCCATGTGAAACAGTACTAGAGAAGAGAAGTGTCACTATTTTTGTCTATGCAGAGCGGGAAAGTTAGTAACTAATTCAACATGATGAATATAAATTCCTGCCCCTTACTTGGAAAACCGGGGCTTGGTGTCTTAGATATGTAGCCATAGCCACCTACGTATTCACGAATTCCACACTGCCACACTACGACCCCCTATCCCTATTGACAGTGTATGGTCAATTTTGTTCTTTTCCTTAGGAAAGGGACAACATGAAAAGCCAATAGGATCGTTATGCTCTTCTCGTATCATTCCGGCTGAGTACTCTTCTCCACATAACCCCTTTTATTTATGATTTTACATCACGAACGTAGTGGTATTAAGTAAATTTCAGGGGCTCGTATGCTTTCAAACCGATCGATTGCATTTGTACTTTTTACGGGATCAATTTTCATAGAAGCTTTTCTTACTCCCTTGACTAGACTACCTGGGTTTACATACTTAGGTACCTAGATCCATTCCATCTTATGTGATAACACACTGGCGTCTATGGGTGATAGATGCTGACCAGCTGAGGACCTTCCTTCGTGCGGCAAGCCTAGTCCAGCGAGCCAGATAGGTTGTGTCTAGAAACATCAATAGATTCATGCCAATCAGGAGATAATAAGTAGGGACGCGGCTTAGCTTACCATGTCAAGACCTACAAGAAGACACATCGATATCCGGACAAGATTAACGTATCATGTAGCTAGTTCTCTCACATTAAAGGCTAGGTAGACAAAGAATGAAGCCCTTGGTCATGTTGTAAGTGTCATGAGGCGGAACTAAAGGGCTAAGGAATAACGACGTTGTTACGCGAAGAGCTCTAACTACTGCTTCCAAGGGGATGTGGTATACATACATAGACCTTCCTTTGTCTACAGCCAAAGGGCTAACTGCCAACAGGGCGGCCTCGTACAAGCCGGCTCCCGATCCTTCTGGGCTACTAGCTAACCCTGGCGAGACCTCTGGCTACCAGCTCTTACCGAGGAGGCTTCTGATAGTGAGAAATATAATATAACCATAGCCATATGAACGTACATGGCCTTGAAACGTTTGAATCATGTGGTAATTAGCTGGTAAAAGCCATAATCTAATCATTTCATCGTATGCCTAATGTCGAGGGCATGGCCCGTAGTTGAAGACTGTGACAGAATGAGTGATACTAGTAGGTAGCTTGCCGTGCTTGACCCTCTCCCCAAACCCCTTGAGGCCTTCGGTCCCTTCTATATTCGTCTCAAAGGTTACGTGTGATGCGGCTTAGGCGCTACTATCTCACTTCTTACTACCAGCGCTTGACACCTGTGTCAAATCAAGCCCGATCTTCATGAACCTTAAGAGATTATGACCATCAACCTCCTTATCATCTCTTACAGGGTCATCAGTGTGGTAAAATTGTCGTCGAAAGGAACTAGATATCTCACCTATTCAGGATCCACGATATCTTTATATAAAGTAGGTAATACAATAGGGATCATTGGTTATAGCTTCCGTAGGAATCATATGGGGGCACTCTTCAACGGCATTTGGAGCTCTCATTTGATTCGTCCCATTTGTGGTTCACTCCCACGTGGCAATATGTCTGATGTATGAACATGTTTTTATATTCCCCTCTCTTCATTATGATATGACTTTTATCGCAAAAGCCAAGGCATTTGCCAAGCAGGTCGCATGCATTGCCGCGGCCGCATATGCTCAATATCAACTTACCATCGCTGCGACGCAACTTTATATTATACTGGTTGTTGGGAAGGGCGGCGTTGCATTGGCACTCCGGGAAAAACACCTAATATAGATACTTACATCTAGACCTGCACACCATCTTTTAGTAGACGAGCCACATACATAACGAAAAAGAAGTTGCTTTAACGTACGACAATTCGTAAGTATAAATAGGGGAACGTTGGTTATCGGTAGCGATGTCGGGAAAAGTACTAGTGGGTACAACGGATTGAGGCGATTTAAAAGCTATCACAATATCGCGATATCGCATGGACTTTCCATATTCCGCAATTGCTAATTTGAGCTTCACCTGGAGCCGGGTCGATGGTGCCTCGGTCAAGGGTCCGGCCTCTCGAAGACTGCGGGGCGGCCGTGACGATAGTACGGGTAGCGCGCCATTACGTAAAGAACTTTGCCCGAGTATCGCTGACGTAGTGTAATTCTCGCCAATCAAAGTCGCGAGTCAGGACCCCGCAAAAGCTTGGTTCCTTAGACCCAGTAGGACCCAGCTAGGTCCGCTCTCGTCCGGCACCCCCGCTACGAATGATAAGCTCGATAAACGATAAACCGTCCCTTTATTACCTGTTATTACCCTTATTATTCCTCAAAGGCCCCGTTCCTTTTAGTCACTTCATCTTTTTAAACTTTCATCTTCTCCTCTCGTCGAGGTGGAAATTTTTCAACGAAGTGGAATAGAATCCATATATCTGACTTTCTAATCCTCAAGCAGCCAATTAGCTCCCGGTTGTCTACCCCCGTGATCCCGGGCTTACTGAGACTCGCCGGTGGCTAGCAGCGAAGCCCGCATTCTTAGACGCAACAGAGGCAATAAACGCAAATAGATAAAACGATGGCTGCCCTTCGTCATGGAGCCGCCCTCCGGCCCCTTTCCGCCATCTCACGGCCTGCCATCTCTCGAACCTTAACCCGCCAGTTTACTGTATCGAGCGCAAGGATGGTTTCCAGCTTCTACCCCGGCGAGCCTGAGGCTCCGATAGTGAAGACGGACATCCCCGGTCCGGCTTCCAAGAAGTACATTTCCAAGCTAGACAAAGTCTTCGATACTCGAAGCTTGAACATGCTTGCTGATTACACCAAGAGCGTCGGAAATTACATCATCGACCCTGATGGAAATGCTCTGCTGGATGTGTAAGTTCGCTCGCATGGAGACTGTTGCTTTGTACTCCCTAAGTGGAAACTGACCCCTCTTAAGTTACGCCCAAATTGCCTCGATACCCGTCGGGTACAATAACCCGGTTCTGAAGAAAGCCGCTGAGAGTCCTGAGATGGTCACAGCGCTTATCAACAGACCCGCATTGGGCAACTTCCCTTCACACGACTGGGCCGACATCCTGGAGACTGGTATCCTTAAGGTAGCACCTAAGGGGCTCAACCAAGTCTTCACGGGAATGGCTGGATCGGACGCGAACGAGACGGCTTTCAAAGCTGCCTTCATGTGGCGACGACAGCGCGACCGTGGTGGCCCTAACGTCGAGTTCACACAGGAGGAGCTGGATTCCTCCATGTTGAACCAGACACCCGGCGCCTCGGAGCTCTCCATCCTGTCCTTTAAGACTGCCTTCCACGGCCGTCTCTTCGGTACACTCTCGACGACTAGGTCGAAGCCTATCCACAAATTGGATATCCCCGCCTTCGACTGGCCTCACGCCACCTTCCCCCAGCTTAAGTACCCTCTCGAGGAGCACGCTGAGGAGAATGCTAAGGCCGAGGCTGACTCGCTCGCCGAGGTCGAGCACCTCATCTTGAACTACCACATCCCTCCCGCCGCTGTCATCGTCGAGCCCATCCAATCCGAGGGTGGTGACAACCACGCCTCTCCCGCCTTTTTCCGGGGCCTGCGCGCTTTAACCAAGAAGCACGGCGTCCTCCTCATCGTCGACGAGGTCCAGACAGGCGTCGGCGCAACCGGCAAGTTCTGGGCCCACGACCACTGGGACTTACCCGAGCCGCCAGACATGGTGACATTCAGTAAGAAGGCGCAGACGGCGGGCTACTACTACGGGGACCCGTCGCTGCGGCCCAACAAGCCGTACCGCCAGTTCAACACCTGGATGGGCGACCCGGCGCGCGCTCTCATCTTCCGCGCCATAATCGACGAGATCCAGCGCCACGATCTAGTCGCCAACACCGCCAAGGTCGGCGACTACCTCTTCTCCAAGCTCGAGGGCCTCGCCAAGAAGTACCCAGGCCAGTTCGACAACCTGCGCGGCAAGGGCCAGGGCACCTTCATCGCCTTCGACAACCCGAAGCGCGACGAGTTCCTCAAGAAGGCCAAGAAGTTCGGCGTCAACATCGGCGGCTCGGGCGAGCGCGCCGTGCGTCTGCGCCCCATGCTGATCTTTGAGAAGTCGCACGCGGACATCCTGCTTGCGGCATTGGAGAAGATCGTCTCGAGCTGATTTCGCTGATTCGTCTCATTTCTTGGATAGAAGTGTGAAGCAAGGTACTTTTTTTTTCTTTGTTATTTGGATAGGCATATACGACAGGACAGGGTTAGCTAGGTCAATGGCATGACCTTCACGAAGAGACGTAGAACTTGAAACCTGAGGCTTGCGAGCTTCGGGGTAAGCGGGCAAGTTTGATGAGGGGAAAAGGCGAAGGGCGAAGGTGAAGGTGCAGGAAGAAAAAGCCACAAGGAAAGGAAAAGGGGAAAAGATTATCTCATCCACCCAACATTTTTTATTCTTTTCTTTTCGTCTTTTTCTCCCCGGTCATCTTGCGTAAGATGGGCGGCAAATACGTGCATTTGATCCGGGATGCCAAACTTAATTATCCGATACGTTTCGGGAAGAGGTTAGCCACGCGAGGGGATACGGAGTTTGGGAATTGGGAATCTCGCCCTCCTTTGCGTGGGGACGAGGACGTACGTACGTGTGTAGCGGAAAGCAATTAAACGATGAGTTTGAAGTACCACGGTAGCAATGCGACGTAGAAATCTACTTATCAAACTCGGTTTCCGTCGGGAAACGGCTTACACAAACTCAAGTCAATCTATCACCGTTCAAGGAAAATCGCGAATTGTGGAAAAAAATTACGGGTTTCTCGTAAGAAAGCCTCCCTTTTTTTTTCTCATCTTTTTCTTCTTCGTCTATTGACTTGATGATTGATTGGATCATCGGCGGTTATGTACTTGGGGCCACGAAAAAGACCACTAGCCCACCTTTCCCCCATCCCCCCCGACTTGTTATGGCACAAAATAATCCCCCCCCGGCTGACTCTTGTTGTTGCCCGTTACTCTTCCCCCTTATGTAGGGTACCTATCGTATCTCGCAACGCCCGCTCACGCACCTCGCGGGGCTGTAGGTATGGGGTAGAGCCCGCTTATCATACCGGTGTCCTGGTGTATTATACGGTCGGTGTGAGATCGCATCGCATCGCATCGCATCGCATTACAACGCGCGCACACACTCTTCGGGCGTTGCGAACGCCTCCTCCCCGGGGGAAGTAAAAAGTCAAGTAAAAATCATAGCAGTACACCCTCCCTTTCTTGAATTCTCCGAAACATGCACCTATTAGTCATCCACGTGTTGTTATGCAGCCCCCTTCCTCCCTTCTCCCTTCTCTCTCTCACGAAATGGTTTCTTCTTTCCCCCCCGTGTTGCCCCCGTCACCGGTCGATGAAGAAAATGGATGGGTCGAATGCAAGCAAGACTCAGAAATCGTCCTTTTACCGAAAACGCCGCCAATGTTTAATACCTGGGACCGTGTGGAAAATAAAAAGATAAACCCCGCCCCCTTTGTCCGGGAAAATGCAATCAAAGTACAGTTCGGCGACCTTTGTATATGTGCGTTGTGTGTGTGTGTGTAAAAACCGTAGAACCCGCCCCGAGAAATGGATTAAGTAAAGATCTGGTACGCAAAAAAATTTGTGATTCAATAGACAACGGAAGAGTCGATGATGGGGAAATCGTCCTCATGAATTACCGGCAATGTTGTTATGGTCGTATTAAATAGAGGAATTCGTTGCTATGGATGTTTTCCCCTTTTTGGGTGTTTTTAGTTGCGAAGGCCTAACTCAAGTGGAAAGCGGGGTTTTACTGGGCAAAAGCCTAGCAATTCGTTGGCCCGCGACGCCTGTACATGCTTAGTGGCTCATGACCTCATGCTTCCTAGTGCTATGTTGGATCGCAGCACCATCCTCCCCAGCTGAATCCAAACCACCGCCCGAGTTCTCCCGAGTTCGAGAAACCCCTTCATCGACATGGCGAGTTCCATTCACCATCTTACCATTGGTGTCCTGCTGTTCTTGTTCTCGTTCGAAATCGAGCATGTTAAGCTCGTTCTCTCGTTCAAGCGCCGCTTCCTCTTCTCGCAGCTTCTGTCGTTCCGCCTCAGCAGCTACGCGCTGTTCCTCGTCGTCTTCATGTAGTAAGTCATCATTAAGTTCTCCATGGGCCTTATCATCCTCAGTTGCTACGTCCAAAGCAGTCTCGCCGTCAATTGGTGGCGGAGGCGGCGGCGGAGGACTCGGAACGTCAGCTTCCTCCTCCTTAAGGCGCTTCATTGAAGGTGTCTCGGAAGGCGTCACACTAGGAGAGCCCGCCGTGTCATCTTCACGTTTGCGCTTCCTGTCAACGCTGTTAGGCGTGGAACCTGTCTCGTCGTCTGTCATCACGATATCTTCATCCTTGGCAGCTGGTGCTGTAATGGAGTCTGTGCCATCGCCCGGTCGTGCTACGTCTTGCCCATGGTTAGCTCGTTCAGCCTTCTTCTTCTCATGTGCCTTGTATTTCTCGACTGCGCGATCAAAGAAATCTTTGACGTATTTCTTGACTTTCTTCTCTTGCTTCTCGGTAATCGATGTTGGATCTTCGACACGGTGGTTCTTGTAGTCTGAGGAAACTAGTTTCTTATTGACATCCTTGGCGAACTTCTTTAGGTCCTCCCTAGGGAGCGAGTGGCGGAATTTATCCATGACATACTTTACGTGTGGGAATAGCTGTAACAAAATTAGTAATTTGGAAGGACTTTAATATTGTCGATATCTCGCGTACCGTGTTCTCGTAAATCTTCATCTGCTTCTCGACTGGCAGAGAGCGCCACTTCTCCTTCTTGGGTTCCTGGGTAGGCGTACTAGTTTGCGGAGTTTGCGATGCTGATCGCCTAGGGGCACTGTCCGACTTTGTCACAGAGTCAATGATGTCCTGCAGCGTCTTCTGCCGTTGTTCTGCTATAGAGGGTCCTCTCAGCTGCGACTGGGCTGACTCGGGCGGCGCGGTCGGCTTTTGCCACGTTGTGACGCCGTTACGTGTGTAGTAATACAAGTTCCCCCGCTTATCGGTGGCTGCGAACCAACCAGGGGGGAGATTCTGGACCTGAGGTCGGCGGAAGCGTTGATTATTGAAGTAATTTTGGTTTCGTTGAGGGACATTGCTTCGTGGACCCTTAGGAATATTCTCCGGAAGAGTGAAGGTATTTTTAACGGGTGTTTCTTCAGAACGGTTTCCGCGACGTTCCTCAAAAGAATTAACGGGTTGTGCGCTCGGTGTTGATTGAGCATTAGGGTCCATCTTCTTTCGGGGGATTCGATACGCTATTTCCAGCTTACTCCATTCGTCTAGCAATCGTGTTGCTTCCGAAGCTACATTCTCGTGGTCTGACTTTGTTAGTGACTGGATAGTCGACTCAATCTTGGAATCGGATATCTTGTTCCTAGTTAGCCGAGGAAACTTATACAGGATGTCGAGAATCTGAAGAACGACGTTGTTGTCATCTAAGAAGGTATTCAGCGCGGTCTTCAGAATTTGATAGCCGTGCATCTGCACAACTCGGTTGCGAACTCGGTCGTCGTCGCTATGCTGGATACGCTCAAGCAATTTAACTGCAATCCATTTCTCCTTGCATTGCATGAGCGTGGCCATGACTTTAGTGACGTCCTTCTCATCCAAGCCGCGAGCTTGTACGCTATTAACGTACTCCTCGTCGTCTTCCGTGATCTTCTTTTTACGCGGCTTCTTTGCGACGACGGTATCCCAGCCATCGCCATCGTCGATACCCAGAGCTTCGATGGTTGCATCGGATAGTTTCGTTGCCCGCTCTGTCTGGGTCTTACCTCCGATGAATCCAATGCAGTTCGGTTCCCCGCAGTAGCAGGGTTGGGGATCGGCTCCGTACCTGTCGACGTTGTAATTGAAGACCAATTCCTCGCCAGGGTGAACTTTTCTCGAGGCAAAAATGCCCATGCGAAGCTTGCTGCCAACAACCCATTTATCCACGTAGCAGTTTGGATTACATGAATGATTGCAAAAACGACCCAGGTTACCTTTCTTAGTCGCATCTACGAATTCATTCTTGGTCAGTGACATGAAATAGAAGTGGCGAATGCCCTCCTTATCATATTGAATTGTCCTTCTTCGGAAAGTGGGCTCGTTGATAACTTCTCCGATGTACTCAAAAATGAAATCATTAGCTTCAAGAGTCGTGTTAGCTCGGAGTCCGAACCCCTTCTTCTCGGTTTGAATAACCGAAACATCAGCATATTGCTTGCGCTGAAACCGTTGGTTTTGACAACCATCACCGCAATTGCAGTCGCCATCGACGCACTCCATCTTCGTTGCTCGGTTGATGCAATCCGAATCATCGCCGCAGGCATGGTTCATGCCGTCCCCTGAAACATGCCTGTTAGCGCCCCATAACCCCTATAAAATTAGTAAAGATAGGAGACACATACGCCATTCTTCGCTGCAATCGCAATCCAGCGCGTCGTGATCCGTCGATCCAAGAGACTTAGAGCCGTATAGGCAGTCTGGAATAACCTGGAAATGACGAAAAGATTCTGTGGTGACATCAGGTAAATCGTCGAATAGTTGAACAGATCGGGGTGCCGTCTTGTGAGATGCTTTGCGAGTAATTTTCGGCGGGTGACCATCGGGAGTAGATGCACTATCACTGCGCGCCTTCTGGTCATCGGGTGATATACTCCTCGACCTAGATTCTTTGCTGACATTAGGCGATGACGCGGTGCTCTCGCTCTCTTTCTTGACTGTAGTAGGCCGCGACGCGAGTGTGGTATCGACAGCAAGGCCCTCCAAGCCGTCCTTGAGACGGTCCTCTTCCTCCATGACGACTACAAAGCCGAGAACACTTGGGATCTATTGTCGCAAGAAGCACGGCAATGGATAGGACAAGATTGGTAGTGGAAGGAATTGGCGGAGTTAAGTTTGCGGTGCACGATAAATCGGGGATGCGAGGTTATCGATGAAATTGATAAAATGGAAGTCGTGCGACGGCGATTTCGGATTTGCGAACATAAGAGAGGAAGGTAAATTGGCGTTGACGAGAAGAACGGGGGAGATTGCGAAGAGTTAGAAGGGGAGTTAGAGATGGGCGGAACTAAGGTAAAGGTAAGAGGTAGAGAGAGGACGACAGGAACGGATGCTATCTCGTGCGCGGTCCCAATGACATTGCAGGCAGTTGATTCGCCAATCTTGCCAATTACACGTCCATGAATAGGGATGAAAGGTGCGCGGGACACGCGGAGTTTAGCAGGTTCCTTTGTCGGGAGGTTTGGTGGAATGGATGTTGTTTAGTGAAGAAAATATCGTGAGGGCGTTGTCGGTTGTCGATGGATCGCCGAAAAGAAAAATTATTAGTATTAGAAGTCGTAGGTGCAGCTGCAATCTTCCTTCCCAAGTCCCAGATCAGAACCTTGAAGGTAGTAAGATGTACTGTACCTGCTGAGACGCTCACCCCAAGCTGCGCTTGCACTCCAGGGCCGTATTTGAGTACATACGTGAAGAGGACATGGAAGGCGTGGCGCGCCAGCCTTTGCAAATTCGGGGCAGAGTTCAATTATCCGAAGCCTATGGCATACCACCTGCCCCACCACTTCGCTAAATAGGATCGCTAACCATTGGTCCTTAGTGCAGGTTAGCAGGGGACTTTGTACAACACTGCCCGGTATTGTACAGTACCTCTGGAGGTATAATCATTTGGTTGTCGCAAAATGAAAGACGAAGTCGATGTTGGTGCCTGTCTACCTTAATATCTAGGTAGACAGTAATATTCTAATACTTGCGTGTAGAATGTGTAGAATGTGTAGAATGTCCAAAATGTCCAGAATATCGTACTAGGAGGTATAGTAACCTACCTACATACTAATGATTAAGTATAGGTACATACTCCCATCACCTATGACCTCCTGCTATTTTTTAGACTTCAGAGTTCAGGGCGCCCTGGAGGTGACTGCCGGTACCTAGTAGGCAGTTGCTATGCTTTTCATGAACCCAAAAGCACTCCTTGGTCCTTAATTCCATTCTTATCAATTCTTCCGCTTTGAATCTCATTCATGCCGAATAATCCCCAAGCTGGCGTAGTAGTAATATTGCTGACGAATGGCACCTCGACAAGCAGACATCGTCTAATACTAGGAAATGGTAGTTGGAGATCAACCCGGTTCAACATTCGGAAGTGCGCACCAAGGCTTGGAAGCCTTCTGCAATTCCCCGAGGATCGAGAAGTCGAATGCTCGGATCTCCTAACATTCGTGAGTAGAACGTCCGACACCTCTATGCGTCAATTAGCACCATATCAGGGATTGGGTCTCTTTAGATGCCTGGAATGGTAGTAAAAACGTCAGCGCTGTCGGTAGCGACAAGATGGGCGGCGACAACTACCTAGGTACCTAGGCAATCAAGGGAAAACATGGGGTTCGAATGACCGAGCCACGCTATCACCACATTGGACAAGCCCGGTCAAGAGTATTCAGACTCGAATCTGCAGTACAGAATTGAACCAATCGATATTGAAACGTGGTACAAGCACCAGCATCTCAGACTCGTGAACCAGCCATGATGGTTGCAACATAGGACTAAAGGATAGCCGCTTCCGATCACCTTGACATACGTAATGGGCGTCGGCACTCATATCATGAACCGGCCAGCACCCCAGGAAATCTCATCGCCTTTGATCGATGTCTCTTGTCGTGTCCAGGATCTCCGTCTGGGATCTTTGCTGCGAGCAATGACGGGTTATACCTGAAGTGGGTGGGTCCCCTATGAGGAACTGCCAACTCATTATGCATAGAACAGAGCCTGAAGTTGAGGCAGGAAAAAGGCGGTATGGGTGCTAGAGCGACATACAACATATATAAGGTCTGGCGTCCGAAGCTACGCAAATTTTAGATCGTAAAGTGCTAGATGCTGGAGCCTCTCAAAAATGATGCATTCAATTTTGTTCAGATCGAAAAGAAGAATCTGTATACTCGAGGCATCTTTTATAGTCCCGGATGGACTAAATCAACCCCTCTGCGGCTCGCGGCTCGTCATATGTGACGAACTCTTGATCTGTGCTTGGTCGCTAAGCGTGTGAATGCTCTGGGAGTCCTTCCTGAGCGCTGCGATTGGTGAGATTTCAGCGACTCTCGGCCAGTCAAGCGACCGCAACGAGGGGACCCGCAACGAGCGAGCATGACTTCGACAACTAACAAAGCCAGCCAGCCAGCGGAGCTGCTGGGTAAAGGATGAAGGGGCCAATGGGATTCGAACCCTCCTCCTAAGCAATTCCTTGGTTGTACGGGAGCTAATGGGATTTCCAGTTCTATTGCTTATGCTTATGCTATTCTGTTGCCTTTCCGATCACATTACTTTTCGTTGGTCTCTCGCGATGCCTCTTTGGCGGTGTAGGACAGGCACTGCTAAGAGAGCTCAGAGAGCTAGCAGCGAGAGACTTGGGAGGGTGGTGTGGGAATTGGCCTCTAAGAAGATGGGCAATATTCAATGTTTCTCAATTCTTACCAGCCCAATGCAAGAGAGCCTAGTCAGGCGACCCGATTTGTCTAAGTGGCCAGCGGGATTGGCTCACAGCTAAGGACATGGATGTATTGCCCATCTGCAAGAGGGACAGAGGTGCATATCGACAGTCCAGTAACTATCAGGCCGAAATCGTGATGGTTGCAATGGCCATGCACAATACTTCCTAATGGCATATATTTTCAGCATATGACCTGCTGGCTAGTAGCGGCCGCCGCTGCACGCAAACCCGCGCGTCTCGCAACCTTAGCTCTCACTCTCTGTCTGCTCTTGCTATTGCATTGGGCTAAGGTGAACCAGAAAAGCCTCCGAACCCAGATCCGGGGCATGGACGGCCAGCTCTAGAGCCTAGCAATTCTACCGATCACTTGTCTATCTCGATCTAGTGCCGCAGTTTACGATTCATGCGACGCAGATGGACTCATCTGGAACTACATACCGGATCAAGCATATATATACCAGACAGCAAACAGACATATATACAAACCCGAAAAGAGAGGGAAGGAAAGGAAGATCTCGGCACCAGCGCCTCTTCATTTTAAAGGGATTATCTCCGGTTGCCGGTTGTTATTTGTTACAAGGTACAATACGATACTTACCTCCTCCTACAACCACTACCTACCTACCTACATAGGTAGTTGGGGTTTTTCTGCACGAAGAGGGCGCTCGTTTGCTCGGCGTGCAAAAAAGTTTGGGGCTCTTTTGAGAAGAGGAAAAAAAAAATACGAAAAAGAAAAAAGAATAATAATAATAACAAAGCCCGGACTAAGGACCAGACAAGCCAGTCCATCCTAACAATCTCCATTATTATTATTATTATTTCGCTCTCTGACGGTACGGAAGTACTCGTACCCAAAGAGGACCCCCTTGTTAACCAGAAAAACCACCTTGTTCCACCGCGCTACCCTTGTAGACGCAAAGCAACCTAGGAGATCGCCGCGCACATTCTCTCGACGACCACGGCTCATACTCCCTCGTTTGTACAACTTTACTTACTCAACTGAGACACACTCGCTTTACATACTCCTCGGTTGAACTCTCGTCCAAGACGCGCGCTTGGGCCCGTACAATTTATTTTGCGCGCGTCTCTTTACCCTCTTGCGAGACTCTCACACCCTCCTTTTAACCCTCTAGGAATCCCGGCGCAGCACGCAGTACGCTACCTGGGCACCACCACCCTACCTTGCTATCTGAGGTCTACCTTGCCCATCACTGCCACCTGATGGCCTAGATCTTCGGGTACAATAGGTATCTCTCTGTTGCGATTTACACCACGTCGCCTCAGCTTCTGCCTCACGACCATTTACTTGCCCTGAAAGCATCGTGTCTTCGTGTTGAATTTTCGCTTCCGATCATTTCTAATTCTCAAATGACTTACTCGCAAATCTGCTGGCATACCCCTTGTCTTCCTTTCCCCTCCCCCCCTCGCCTTTCCCGCTGTCAGACTTAGCTGCTCGCCATGGATACTACGTTTTCGGACGACGAGAAGGTAATATCACACAGTCGTCCCATGAAACTTCCCGACTAACCCCCACTTGCTATAGCGGTTCGTCCTAGGTGAAATGATCAAGGTCAGCACCGTAGACGTCTATACTCTCGTCGAATTCATCAAGGCTCATCATGTCGAGCCAAACTGGATGTCGATGCAGCTTCCCGGCGGTACGTATCTGGGGATCGCCTTAACGAATATGTCCCCCTAATGAAAGCAGGCCGTAATATGAACCAGTGCCTTGGCGCAGTCGAAACCATGTTCCAGACTAAATATCCGCCGCCGAATTTGACAAACTTCAAGCGCAAATCCCTGAGCGACCTAGTAGATCACCCTGCGAAGAGACAAGCGATGATGGCCCCTCTCGAGCCTCCCGTAGCTTCAGCTCGCGTCATCCAGCCGCGCCCTCCGCCAAACGGCTATCCGCCTGCCGTGCCCGTCAGTATCAGTCCTCCGGTAACCTCAACAGGTAAGAAGCGCGGCCGGCCATCCAAGGCAGACAAGGAAGCTCAAGCTCGCGCCATCTACTCGCGAATGTCCGAGTATGCGCCAATCACGCCAGCGCCTTTAGCTCCGTTAGCAGCCCAGCCCCAACGCGAATATGCATCATCCCCTGGATACGAGATCTCAAGCAACCCGGGTGACCAGAAATCGAAGAAGCGCGGCTTTGGTGCAATCGACAGTCCACGACAAGCGAGCAGTTCGTTCCCTCTTACCTCGCCAGCATCCACCACAGAAACTCCCCGCGCTTTTCCGGAGCCTCTCGAGCAAGTAGAGAGATCTACCTTGTCGCCTCGTGATCGAGGTTCGATAGCACTGGATTCACGATCACCATCGGTCCTTCCACATATTCAGCAGCAGCAAGAACCATCGCAAGGAGGACTTCCTCATTTACAACCTCGAACGCAACCTCCACATCCATATCCGCCATCTCCGCGAAATTTGCAAACGTATGAACCCTCTCACCGAGCTGTTGATCCCATATTCCCAAATAGAGACAGGACGAGACACGATATTCCAAAAGACGTCCCTCCTCCGGTAACCACGGTAGCGGATCGGAGTTAAAGAAGAGTGTAGCATAATAGACGGCCAGCTTGGTCATTCGATACCATAATCCATCATCGATATCTTGAGTTTATAGAGAGGGTTCTGGGAGGCTATTTCGTTTTACACTTCTGGGGGTTAGCACGGTTCCCGGTCCGTTCTTGATATTTCGTATCCATCGAGAAGCATCAATTACTATTTTTACGGGATACCCACAGGTACGACTTCTCCTTTTCACGTACTGACGGCCGGCAATCATCTATACCACTTTCATGGCCCCTTGTTTGCTGGTTGCATTTTTCCCCCCATCCCATTTAAAGCAGACGAGCAGGTTTCATTCGTAAAATGCAACTCGATGTTCTCTATTCCAACGGCGTCTAGGCATCATGGACACGATCAGAATTCGACCCGACCCCGTTGTTGAAGCATTTACGGCGCAGTTCTGTTGCCGGGTGGCATAGGATCACGATTTTCCCTCTCATATTCTCGGCGGCTGGCAGAAGTATTATTTTATTCGTGTACGATTCCCTAGGGCGTTTTTGGTTATACGGAGGGGGGCTAGGGGCGGCGGTGGGCTTTATGATACATATGTATATGCACGACGGGTCGATTGTAGGTTTATGGGAAATACTCCTCGTAGTAGATAGAAATTCTACTATTGAAAACTACCTTGAACAGACGATTGCTTTTCAAAAACGTGCTTTTTGTGAGAGAATCGAGTGCATGCGGGACTTGGATATTCGAACTAGAATAAATTGGAATATTCGTACTTGGGCCTCTCCCATCTCAAAGAGCTACCTGCTAAATTTCGACGACAATTCTAGGAACCTGTCTATTATCGCCTACGGATATTGATATAAGCTCCTGTAATAAGCTAGATATCATTTCAGGCTAACACGGCTGGAAATTATTAATTCAATGAGCGTTCGAAATCTAGACTCTACACTCCAACGGATATAATCTTTGTATCACAGTTTCTACAAGTATCCCATAGCTAATACTATTACTTATCACGACGATTTATGTAAAAGTTTACACTACGGAAAGGTAGAGCCAAGAACTATCTCAGAGTCGAAATAGGAGTTACTTAACTGGCCAATGAGATAACATCGAACCAGATGATATGGGGTATAATAGGAACACTATGATAGGCCGAACTGCGCAACTCGATTTGATTCGACATCGTCTTAATTCGAATCTTAGACCTGCATCGTGAAGTAAATCCATTTCTCCAAGTGCTATTTCTACGACAAATTATCACAGCCCAATCCGTTAATTTGTTAAAAACAATCCGGTCCGAGAGATTGGATATGGTAGAGGAGCTAACCAGCTACCCGAATGGTCCGTCCTTCTATACGGATTGGGCATCCGTGAGGGAATTTTGAGATTAGCTAGGTTGACTATCATTACTGTGTCCGGCAATAGAGTCAGTCAGCTTACTGCTTTGAGAACCTACCTACGTAGACGTGTGTAAGCAGTAGAATCCCCCGTCTTATCAATGTTGGACGTGGAGATGTCCAGCGGCACACCCGCCAGGTGGTATTCGTTTGGACAGACAACTACAAAGCGAGGATCGCAAACTAACGCGGCCCCCACGTCCTGGAAGCGACAGCGTAGTACCCCTAGAAATACAATCGTGCCCGGGTAGGGCAATGTCTAGCGTGAGGGCGAAAGGAAAAGGTAGAAATGCCGAGATTAGGTCCTGACCATTTTCAGGGGTAAGTGATAGAATCTGGGACAGCGAGCATACACGCGATGAATAGCAAGTCATCAACCGGATATTCGAGGCCAACTTTACGGAGGAGGACGAGGATCATAGGATGTCTTACTGGCTATTTAGGGAAATTTCTCAGGCCTACGTGCTTAAGATTAAAAATTTGACGAACTAAGACGCCAATAAACTTGCGAGCATCTCCTTGTGCTCCGCCGCTTATACGTGATGGGTGGGTGTCTAAGGCGAGACAGCCACATATAGAGACGACTACATATAGAAGAGTCTTATAGGGGAATAGTTCCGAGTCCCATGTGTAGGCAGCTTCATGTCCGTACGATTCTCATGTCATGAATTAGCACGCGGATTTCGGAATTCACGAGAAATCCTGGCCTTTCTAGATCTCTAGCGTAGGTTGTGGTTGATAGACTGACATAAGACAGCGAAGCCGAGCTCGTGGTTTTTGTCTTAGTTCCACCACCATGTCTCACTTTGGGGTAAGCACGTTTATGTTGAATATAGCCCTTACAGCGACGTCTGGACCAATGGCCTTTCGATATCGATATTTTGGCTCATATTATCTAGTTCGAGTGGCCTGTTAAATAACGCGATTTGTTGATATCCTTACAGCATGGTGTTCCCAAACAGTGTCCAATCAATACTTCCCGGTGCCCTCCAAGACTATGACACCAATTTTCCCGGTTTTCGAACAAGAATATATCAAACGTACGAGAACCGTAGACTAGAGTCAACCCCATTCCAAAGGCATAAAAAGAACGGGTCTTTGTAATGCAGAGCAAATGGGCAAAAACTCCGTGATGAAGACATAGTCCATCTAAAGCTGCGGCTGACGAATTATTTCCCTAAGATGGGTGTACCAGCCGCATGACAGCCACGGGGCCTTCGGATATCCATACAACGTTCTCTACATCGACCGTTGGGACCGGTCAGGAAAACAGAGTTACCAGTTATCGTTCTCCTTTCTAGTATATCCACGTAACCCCAAGTAGCACGTGTGCCACACCATGCTAAGGGTCAGACTCCAATACCTCGCTGATCGCCAGGTCATCAATCCCGCTCAGGACTAGCAAACATAAATAATGCATCAATCATCATCCGAAGACTCATCATCCGCCCGTGAGCGCTTCTTACCCTGCCCACTCCCCACCGCCGGCTTAGCCTCATCATCCTTCCTCACAAAAACATAGCTCCGCGCCGCGCGCTCCTCGCCCTTCCACCCGCCGCCGACCTCGCCACTCTTACTCCTCACGACGCCGAGCGTCCGCGCGTGGCGGTACCCGGGGTACGCGGCGGCCTGGAAGCGGAAGCTGCGCTCGACGCGGAGGCCACTATGCCTCGCGAGGTCGCGCACGTTCCACAGCGTGTAGGGCTCGCCCTCGAACAGGGTAACCACGATCGTGCCGCCGGGGGCCAGCGACGGCGCGGCGCGGCGGAAGAAGGCGACGAGCAGCTCCTGGTTGTGGCGCACCTGGCGGTTGACGTCGGTGCTCTTGCCGCCGACGTGCGGGAAGTTGAACATGACGCGGTCCATGACGCCGCCCCCGCCCTTCCGCTTGTCGACGAACGGCGCCATCTTCGTCGCGTCGACGTTATACAGCACCCTGCACCCCTCCTCCGCCTCGACCTTGGCGATGTTGTCCGGCGCGTGCGGATACTTCGCTGCTAGCTCCTCGGGCCCTTTTTCGAGCACCGTCGCCGTCACGGAGGCGCAGTAGTGGTGCTCGACCAGCGAGGCGGCGAAGCTCAGGTCGCCGTCGCCGATGAGCAGGATCTTGTCTTCGGGGGCGAACGGGATCGTGGGTTCGTCATGCTGCTGTTGCGGTTGCGGTTGCGACTTATTATTCTGTTGCTGCTGTTGCTTGTGAGACTTCGGCTGGCCTTGACCTTGTCCTTGGCCTTGTCCTTGTGCCGCCTTCCCCTTCTGCGGCTGCGGCTTCCGGCTTCCGGCGCCGGGCCTCTGCTTCTGCGCGTTGCTGCTGCTGCTGTTATGCGCGACCTTCCGCCGCTTCCCCATATTCGCTGCTAGCCGTTGCGCTACTTTACGGGCGGCGCGTCATGTCCGCATATGCAGCCGCAGCCCGAAAGGAGGGGGGGTTTGGGGATGTTCTGGGGCTACTACAGTAGTAGTTCGTTATGTAATGCAGCGTACCGAGAAAACCCGGGGGAAGGATTTGGGCTTTTTGGTGGGACCCAACTCTCGTGACGCGGGAAGAACGGGGGGTTTTGGAGAATTTCGGATTACGGTGGGAAGTTTTGCGGGAAAGTCGGCGTGAGGTGATGGTATGATGTGAGGTCGCGCTTGGAGCTGTGGCTCCCGCCGATAGGGAAGGGGAAAGAGAAAAAAAATTAGTGGCTCGCGATTGCTCCGTAGACGCGGGACAATCCCACTCGCTGCGGCTACAGCCTTCTGCGGGACGAGGGTAAGGACGAAGCTAGTCTTATTTTAGAAATTCCGGGGTCCTTGGATAGATTGGGGTATTTTGGACCAATAGGATGCCGGAGCTACTAGGTACATGAGGTACATCATAGTGTGTACATGGAGTTCCCTTTTAGGAAGCACAGGTACATCATGATTACTGTACGTACCTGTAGCTAAGGTACGCAGCATATGTATGAGGCACATGAGACATGCGCTGAACCACACCCGACGCTGTTCGAGATACGGATTGTGTTAGTATTCTATACAGGTTGAAGATAATCGGACATAGATGTCGTTATGAAGTTTTTATTTTTATCGAGTCTTTTCAATACCTAACCAATAATACCACGGTAAACATCCGTCCTGCTTACGGAGTTTACGGATATTTCCCTTCGGTACATACTGCAAGTCATGTTTGCAGCCCACATGTCAGCAGGCGGTCTACGAAGTATGACGAATGATATTCGAGACCATCGTGTGCCTTACGTAGTACGTAAGTGGTAAGGCTGGAAGTTATTTGCTTCTCGCCTAGGCAACTAGTTAAACACAATAAACGGTTAAATAATTGGCAATTAGATACATGCCATGAAGGTACACATAGAGGGTAGAGGAACAGGTATGTATCTAACGGACAACCCTTTTTCTTAAGGTGATACTATCGGTAATGCTATCCATGGATGTAGTAGATAGGCGTAATGATAAAGTCATCTATCATGCGATTAGTTTCCGCGAGTTAAAATAAGAAGATTCGACGGAGGCGTCGAACCTTTCACTTGAGGCGGAATGGCGCACGGAGGTAACTTAAGTATGCACATTCTCTAACTATCCGGTAGTAGGCGGTGATTGCACAGCATTTGTACGAGTACCGACATATGTACAGTACTTAATGATTTACGATGTCGGGCACTTCAGGCATCGCTCGTGACCTTCCTATCTGTAAAATATGGTGGATGGAAGCATCAAACCACAGTTTTCGTACGTACATAGTATAGCTATATTAATAAACCGTTGGCTAACGATGAAGAGATCTTCAAGCGCAAGGGGCTGAATGGCGTAAGGGCACCCCATCATGTAAGTACCTAGTAGTAGATACAAACACGTTGGTTACGTACCTACATCTAACCATAGCGCTCAGGCTTGAGGTACATGCATCAACGGATCCTATATATAAACTTACATGTACCTTGCCCAGCAACACCAAAACGGTGCAGTATTTACTATGTACCGTAAGTATTCTATATGATTTCTTGTAATTGATATTTACATCCAATTACGCATCCCTATATACTACACCTACGTAGATCAACAGATACAAATAAGTCTTCTTTATTAGGCCTAGTCACTGGAATACATCGAATTTGGTACGTGTTGTTGGTTTTGTACCAGGTGGACCCCGACTGAACCGGAAACGGAAACGGAATAGCGGTTTGTCCGAGCCAATGAGAGGCGCTAAAAACGATAAAAAGTAGTACAGAGGTCCAAGTGCAACTAGACAGCACATGGGCTTGACTGTATCGGGAAGTCCAGGGTGGTCTAGCTGTTTAATTGTGCTGGCCGAGAAAATCTCATGGCGGATTATCAGCACACTGAAGCGTGTGAGCCTCTAAATTTCTCCCTATTACCACGACGACTTCACCTTGGGATCCCGTAACGAATGCACTCGCGCTCGGCGTTTTCTTGTTGAGCGTGACTCTTAATTCTCTACCTAATCTTCTTCTTCTCTTTTTATTTTACACTTCTACCGCCAGTCAGTTGGTTAATTATTTTTGTCACCGGTCCCCTTGCCTTCTGACCTTTTACCTTACACCTTACCAAAACTTGCCATCCTTTTTATTTTCACCAACAACAAGTTACCACTTACGACCACTTACTTGACACCCGAATGCACTCTTACAAACTTCTTCACTTATCACTTTTCTCCCATACTTCTTTTCCCAAACATCTCCACGCCTAGCACCCAGTAAGATATTGACTACTGCTGCTATAATTATTTGTTCATTCTACCCATTGCCAAGACTACCGCGTTCTTGTTTTTTGTGTAATTCGCTACCTGAGAATTTCACTCAACGCTGGTCTTCCCATTTTCCACATCCTCTTCATAAACACATTAGCCACGCTCTACACATTCTACATTTTGCATTCCACACGCTATCGTACATCACCTTCATCATACCCATCGTCAAGATGGGTAGCCCTACCCATTCCCCGGCGGCAAGCCCTGCAAAGGGAAAGGCAAAGGCAAAGCCCGCTCCCGCCGCTAAGCAACCGAAAGGTATGACCAAGCGCACCGGCCGAAAGCCCGCGGCCAAGAAGGGTGGTCGTGGTAAGGGCCGTGGTCATAAGAAGACATACCCTGATCCTCTAACACAAGCTGCACATGAACGTCAAAAGGTGCTTCGAGAGAACTTCTCGCAAGTTGGTAATGCCATCCTGCCAGGACTTGTCTTAATTGCCGACCAATCTCTCGAAGAGTTGACTTCACGCCCAGATGCTCACGAGGATTGCGATGAGTTCATCACCGTCCAAGAGACTCTGGATGCATTGTACAACGAGAGAGTCGAATCAATCGAGCTGGAACATCGTACCAGAAACAGCGTTGCTGAACGCGAGTACAAGTTGGAATCTGATCGTATTAACAAATGCTTTACCGTATGTTCTACGCTTCATAATATCTAGACCCCGTTTTCATATTACCCCAACTGATGTTTGTGTCATTTACTAATATTCTTCATAGGATTCCTTCAACTATGTCACCGACGAGTTCATTGATGGTGCCCTCAACCGCACCAGCATCTTGGATGAACTTCGCCACGAGGGTTGCCCTATTACGGTAAGTTATTTATCCAACAACAACATTGCTTAGCTTTCGCAACCACCCAATACTAACCATCCCCTTCAGACGCCTGACCTCACTTACACATATGTTGGTCACATACCCTATGTGTCCTGTACTGGTGAAGCAAACCTGGACCAGGCTCATATCCTGGAGAAGGCTCGCCAGGAGAAAATTGCTGCCAAGCGTAAGGCAATAGACGAGCTTGATGAGGAACCTGATTCGAAGAGGCTCCGACACACCGGTGGTCTTCTTGCCTCAGAACAGCAACCTGACGGTGTATCCGAGTCTAACGCACCTTCGCCCACACCAGATGAGGAACAGGACGTTGCGCCTACCAGCAGCAAAGCCCTACCGGATCTCCCTAACGGTTCCGGTGAACCTGATGAGTTTGGCGTTAGGAGAGTCAAACGACGGGCAAGAAGTCCGGCCAATCGGTTCATCGTTCCGCAGACGTTTCAATGGGATGAGGATGAGATCGGGTTCCGTGATTCCACGAATGACTCTACCAGAAGGGCTACGCGACGCTCCCGTGGCGTGTTCCTCAACAAACCTAACTCTCGTGCCTGGCATTTTGACCATACGGTCAAGGATTACGACTGCCGCGAATACACGGCCGAAACCCTGGATTCAGAACTCGTACAGAAGCACGGATTGCATCCTAGGTACGGCTTCTTTTTACCGACCTCTACGAATGAGCCGGAGCCGCCCAGCGAGCGCGTCGACGGGTCACGACCCATAGTTCATGTCCCGGACCGGGGTACTACGGACCACGCATCCCGATCAGTGAGACCTATGAAGATGGATCGCATGCTGCAGGAAGATGCGACGAAAGGGCTCATGGCATCAATGTTAAGCGGCTTTTGCGAGGAGGAAGATATCGACCAAGAAGAGATCGTCACTTCCGAGATGCGCGAACGAGAGCTCCAGGCTCGTGAGAGATTGGTTGTTTTGGATGACCACGGAGTGCCAATGGAGAACTCGGATCATTCCCAACCTGATTCTAACGTCTTCCTTAGAGAACGAGTAACGGTTCTGCTGGAAGCCGCTTCGGAACTTGACGGCCAGCCGGCTGCTCCACCCAGTCCGCCTAGCCCACGACAGTCGCGTCCTTATGATGCTGTCCGGGATGTTTTTACTGGCACAGAGCCGGCTCCTCGACCGGAGCAGCACTCGGAGGCCTCCACCAACCCCCTAGATGTCCTAGCAGGTGTGGCCGATGAGGTTTCTCGATCCGAATCGGAACTACGCCCTAAGGGTAAACAGCGAGTAGATCGACCCGAGATGGAACCACGCGGCCACGTCTCGTATGGCCAGCAATCATCGGCTAGCAACTCATCTAGCAACTTTCTACAAACCGCTTTGAACCCAGCATCTACTTATACGCCTATTGCGCCCGCGCCTGCCCCCTCGCTAGAAGTTACACAGCAAGCCACACCTCATAGGATTCCCTTCGCGAACCAGAACGGCATCAAGGACAGTCCTGGCCTCCCACCGCTACGACCTAACAGATCGGACACCCTGGGGAAGGCATCTCATTCGTCTCCCCAACTCCAACCTCTGCCTCCGCCTTTACACCAGTCTCAGGAGTTTGGATCTCCTCATGGCCTAGTTCACACTAACTCTGGGACTTACTACCCTCCGGCTCCGGCTCGAGCGTATCACCACGGCCTCTCTTTCCCAGAGCCACCCATGATGCCGATGACTATTCAGGGACAACCCATGCACGGACCTGGTATGATGGCGAACCAGTCTCCCTTAAACCATCATGCTCCTCTTTATCACGTTATGTCACCTTCCATGCACGTACAGGCACAGTTAGCTCCGATGCCGCAGATGGAACCTCCCGCACCTTCTGTCTCGCCGCCCGGCCCGCCCATGTTAGCTCCTTCCCCGCCCGCTCATGCAACCCGGCAGCGAACGTCAGTGTCATCGAACGGCAATAGTGCCGGTAGACAATTCCGTAGGATAGCAGCTGCGCCAGCGTCTAACAACCGTCCGTGGCAAACCAACGGTGGTACTGAGCTAAGACTCGCTCATTACGACCACAAGGAAGCTATCAAGGATTACCGGGCAAACGAACCCCCTCCACGTACCGGTCCCACGACTATCAGAGGCTGGAACGTGAACAACGTTTCCAAGGGCCGGAACAGAGGTGCGAGAAAGGAGGACTCTGAGGAGAAGGATTCTCCCAAGTAGGTCCCTGAGACGCCTCTTAAAAGGCTGTCATATTGACTACTGTCATCTTACAGCACGATATCGCCATTTATTGGCAAATGGAATGCCTCTGAGAGAAGCTGAGGCTATTAGCATCTGGTCCTCTATACGAACGGACCCACGATTGATTACTTGTATACACGCCCTTTTACGACATAGAAACCCGCATTGGACGCGGACGATACATACAGAGAGACGGAAGGATTCGATATCGGAAATGCTTTGCATACGATTTTTCGACTACGATACCCCATACACATATTCTTGTACTCCGCCTTAGTTTGTCACCCCCTCTATAACTACGACTATGATTACGACCACGACCATTACGAGTCGTTATACCTATTGTACCTATTGTATTCTTGGCGCACAGCATAGCATCTCGCGTGGGAAGCATTGGGCATGGAGAAAGAGAGATGGCCCGACTGGGTATAGCCCGGGGCCATAAAAAAATCACTTGCATGGGAACATTGGAGTTCAGGAAAGGGAATTTTTCGTCGGTTTTCGTGGTTTTTTCTGCTTCTATGATTCGCATTTTGTGTTTTTTTTCCATCATGATCAGCCCGGCGCGGCTTTGAGAGCGAAAAACGAATCTGACGGACGCTTTTCGCGTCACGATTACTTAACTTTGCATGTGGTCTCGTTACGCCCAGCTGCCGCAGTACCTAGTACCAAGGGGAAAGGGGAGGGGGAACTGGGAAAGGGAAAAAATGAAAGGCATGCATGGAAGGGGCGGGGCGAGACGTGGGCCGCTTCTAAGGAGGCGAGGCGGTTGCTGAATCCGCTGTACATACAGTAATGCATATTGCACATAATTCAACCGACTTTGATCGCGTACTCAACTTGGCTTGACTTGGTGGTCTTGCTTTGCTAGTGATTGTGATGTTTGCTGTAATTGTCCAGATGGTTTTCTCCGTCACTCAAGCTATCTAAGTCTGTGACTATAAGCACAGCACTATATTACACCATGCGGTAATCTCTGCAAAGAGAACTTTAATTAGCCTTATAAGCTTTATGCAAGGCATCAGTGCTTGGGAGATGCTAGGCACCAAGCATCGTAATTTGTGATTCAGCAATATGGTATAGGTAAGTCATGAGTCTTTAATCTATATATCAACCCTCACAACTCCGTATAAATAAGAGTTCAATTAGTATTACTTCCATCTTCACGAGAAAGTCTCTGGTCTCTTACGTTGTATTCCACGAGCAGACACATTCTGGCCTCGAGATCTGTTTGCACCTACCGAAGCCTAAGACGCCAAATTCGCAATCCAGTATCTCACAATTTCAAGGCTCAAGTCATAACAATCAAAGTAGCAATGCTATCCTAAAGACACTACCTCAGCAGTTTCATGAATCGTCTATGAGCAGTACCTATGTAAGCACCGGTATCGTACACCCCCTACATCGCCTCTCCATATTTTCTGAGCCACCCCTCTAATTTTGTTGCTACCTCATCTTTCCGTCCCCTTTACTTTTCGTTTTTCGTTTCCATGCAAAGCCGAGCCGAGAATAGCCATGCGGTCGCAAAGCTCCAGCTTCCCCAATATTAAAAAGCGGCGTGGTAAAATAAAGGAGAAGGAGAAAAATGCAATATGAGGGAAAAAAAAAAACCACAAACGCGGGCGAGGGTATTTTGTTTACCCAACAGCTCCTTTTTATTACCGTTGAACTCTGAAATTCGACGCATCTGTCTTCCATGATATCCACTAGCCAATCAAACCCGCAACCATGAGTGAGAAGAGTAGGTAAGTAAGCAAGCAAACTCAACTCGACCGCAACATTGAAAACCATCGCCGCCTGCTATGCCTGACCCCTTGTACAGACGCAAAGAATGCAACGCCCGAGATATCGGTATCGATGTGTCTCATATCTCTTTCCGAACCCGGTATCCAACCGCGCAGAAACAAACCCCTTACGCATACTATTACATCCCGTGCGTTCCCATCATCATGCCGGACTGGTCTATGGGAAGCATCTGCGAGGCGTCGACCTGGGGCAGCGGCATCATGGGCGTGGCCAGCTCCAGCTGGGCTCTGCCGACGGGGCCCTCGGGGTGGAGCGGGTACATCTCGGCCTCCATCTTGTCTCCGTCGAAGACGACCATGTTCTGGATCGGCTGCTGGCGCTGGCCGCGCACATTGATCACGTCCTGGGCTAGCTGGCCGCCGAGGATCGCCGTCACGGGCGCGATCTCGCAGCCAATATTCTGAAGGAAGCTGCGCAGGAACTCGGATTTGAGGGTATCTCCGGGGAGGGACAACAGCTGGTGGTTGTGCGTAGCTGATCTCGTGAAGATTTCCAGGTCCTGCTTGTTGTGCTCGGGGAAACGGTCTTCATGCGTCTGCTGAAAGGCCCACAGCGCGCGTAGGCAAGATAGCGCCGGCGAGACGGCCTTCAGACGGCGTTTGGATTTAGTATACTCGGGAGGCAGTAGACTCGTCTCGGAGGCGAGATCCCATGTGGAGTATAGTTCGCGTTTCTGGACCTTCTCGATTGTTTTGCCGCCTTCCTTCTGACTCTCTACCTTGATAATGCTGCGAGTTCGTGTCTCTGGGCCAATGGACGTCGGCACGTTAGACTTGTCTCGCTGTACGACGTAGTCGTGCTCAATCAAGTCGCAGAATATGTAGCCATAGAAACCATAAGTTCCCGCTGCGTAGAATTGTCGATTATGAAGGCGTGTGGCGGTGTTGATGAAAGCAAGGAGTGTGGGACTGAGATCTGTAGCGATGACGATATCAAAGTTGCCGAAAAATGACGCGCCTTTGGTCATGATGCTTCCAGAGTCGGCAATGACCTTGACTCGAGGGTTCAGCTTCTGAATTCGCCCAGCGGCTGCTTCGGCACGGCTTTGGCCGATATTCTCCTCCGAGAGGAAAAATTGGGCCCCCAGATCAGCTTCGGTGACGATTTGGTCGTCGACGACAGTTAGGGAACCGATTCCTGCCAGGACGAGATTCTTGGCGATCTCATTTGCCAGGGCCTTCATAGTTATAATAACAATATTGGCACTCTGAATCTTTTGTTGGGCTTCCATGCCCCATAGTCGTAGCTGACGGTCATATAGGGCGATGTCATCTAGGATTCACATTAGTAAAGATTTTGCATAACTAAAGTAAAATTGAGATTATTTTACCTGCGCTTAAGCTATTTCCGTTGGGTGGTTGTCCGATAGCCAAGTTTTGAAGACCTAAGACTTGTTGATTCGGAGGTATTATCACGGCGGGGTTGGCAAACGCTCCATTGTTAAAGACCGGTTGTGGTGGAAGTGTGGCAAACGTATTATCAGCATGCGGGAAGACTGGCAGGCCGTTGTTTGGAATGGAATGCTCAGCCGGCAGGGATATTCCGTGAGCTGATAGTGATTGTGCTTGTGCTTCGTGTCCAGCACTATGACCGTCTTGAATTGGCTGACTCGTCCCAGAAACCTGTGGTCCGCCTTGATTGGTTTGTTGCTGCTGGTTCGAGACAGCGGCTTGCTGGTCTTGGTGTTCCATTTTGGTGAATCGTAAATTCGTGAAAGAGGTAGAAAGTCTGAAGGATAAATGCAGGTACGAAGAATGAGAAGGACGAGGGAGAGTGGCTAGTAAAAGCACACCTAATTTCGTTTGAGACGGGGTTGATGAGATGTTGCAAACGTGTTTATCCCGGCGGCTGGGATGAGAAAGGTGAGTGAGATTTGTGAAGATGAGGCGTGACGAGACGGATATGAATATGCGCGATGTGAAAAGAAGTTGGAAGCCGTGGTTGCCTAGGTATTTGGTATTGGCATTTGGTTGTTTGTGAGATTGTGAGGTATGAATCGCTTTACTTTTCCTTTTCCCTCTCTAATAAAAATCGATATGCGATTAAGAAGGCAACATGAAGATGGATAACGGATCTGATGATATTACCGCACCACCCTCGCCCGGGTCGCTTGATGATGTACCTTTTTCATTTGTTTGTAGATGGAATGGATGTGACTTGGTACAGATGCAGATGCGATGCGATGAGCCAGCCTCGTCTCTCTTTTAGGTAACACTCGAGATCCACTAAAGGACCACTAAAGCTGTAACCTGCATTGAAGTGCGTTAAATCGGTGTTTCCATGCTGATAATAGAATAAACTTGCGTTATTAGTGGGTCCGAGGCTGACCGTAGTTAATTCTATCTGTTATATGCATAATAAAACTACCAATTACACACCTTAACTAAAACTCAATTAGGCATTACGTCCTAACATCGAACTCTGATACCGGTCACTCTACCTAAAGTAAGAGGTATGCCCATACGAATGACTACCCCTTAAAAGGCAAGGGAATGCAATAGGTAGCACATAAGACCGGAAAACCCGATCCTCTGATCTAAATCCTGATTGGTGCCATTGGTCGAAGGAGATTGAAAGGCTACACGACAGGGTGCGACGGGTCCGAATACAGCTGAAGGCACGAAATAGGTAAGCCACTGGCGTAGCATCGTACGTATTGCGGTAGGTTTGCGTGGGCAGCGTGAGCTGCAAGTGCCCCCGGTGTGGGCGGGTAATGTCTGTTAAATAGGTACATCGATTTACACGTGGTTCCCTAGTGGAAACTTTGTATATCTAACCATTTCCCCGTTAGCCTTTCAGACTGTTAACCTGTAACCTTTGACCCCGCCTAAACTTAAAGAACTGGCCTACCCGCTTCGAACTCCCTTCACACCATCCCGCGCTACATTTCCATTCTTATCCTTCAATATTCCCATAGGATTTCCCATTCAACCACTCAACCACTCGTCTTCCAACCATAGTTGACTGACCTTCCTCCACCTAACAACCCGTCGCTCATCGACTTGATCATCTTACCATACTACTACGATATCACCCATTTTCGAATAGACAATTCATCAGTACAGCCCTATTTCTCCATTCCTAGGCCGATTTTCATATCGGCTGCCATTTGGCACTAACGTGCGGTCTACTTCTCCGACGCACACGCTTAGGTCCTTTGTCTCTTAATGGTAAGTGTCAGCTGAGCCTACCACATAACCCCCCCATGTTGCCATATTCCGCTCTCAGCTCGCTCTTTTCAATCATTATCCCTAACCCATCAACTCATGCCTTTCATTCATGGTTCTACTTAACCTGGTATTGCCGTATTGCCATATCGCCATATCGCCTTATCGACTAATTATAACATCATCCGATAGTCGGGCGATTCTTCCGGACAGCCCCCTTCAAGCCCAGGACGTTATCGCACCGCCGACGAAATAGTACGTTCCATACTCGATGGTGATGCTTCAGCCTCCGATATTAGTCCTTCCGGAGAGTTATATCGGGCTATAGAGAGATACTATCCTTACCATCGGCCTATAAGCAATACACGGCCGGACATTGCGCGGAATCACTTCGGTCGTTCAAGCCAGCGGTCTTCGTTGCGGAACAGTATGCCATTGGAGCCTAGCTCGGAAGCGCAGCGAAGATTTTTAAGAGAATTACAAAACCCTGACCCATCACTTCTGTACAATTTGCCTCCTTCAGCCCCATACCTACCGCCACTTCGCTCTTTGACTAGTACCCGACGACCCGTAGCTATGCCTGTGTCCGGTGGTGTACCCGGCGGGCGTCATGCGCGACCACGCTCAGATCGATATTCGGCCAGGCTCCGTGGTGCGCATGAGAATCGGAATGAAGCTGCTGAAGAAGCTGGAGAATTTTGGGAGCGTCTTGAGCCTCAATCTTTCGAGCGGATCCCACGCGGTACTCGGCGATCCGTCGCAGAGCAAATACCCGATACACAACAACCGAATTCGGAAGGTTCACAAGAGGCCAGGATATCTGATTATTTTCCCGATACACAACAACCGAATGGAGAACGTTCACAAGAGGCCAGGTCACAACTAGAAGCACTCTTAGATTTCACCAATTCTTCCAGTCATCCATATTTTGAGCCTGCTCTCTCATCGCCACGACCCCCTCCTCCTCCCCAAGATCCTACAGAGGATAATCGAAGAGCTAAGAGGCGCAAATTAGACTCGGACCGCTTGACTAGCGGCTTCCAGGGCTTCCGATATGGGAAATATGGTCAGGTGGAACCAGGTCAGCTGACTATGGAACTGGTAAGCTGTGACGGCGGCATCTATTCAGACGATGGCCAGCGGTACGCCGCGGAAAACATTCTCAAGAATGATCAATCCGTCTATTGCACCGAAGGACCGAGGTGTAATATTGTCCTAAGGCATCAGGGCAATACCGTCTTCACGCTAAAAGAATTGGTCATCAAGGCGCCCAGGTCCAATTTTACCTCTCCGTCAGTGTTATCGCTTCCATGCAATAGTTCTCCCACTAACAGAATCTACAGTGTACAGGAAGGTATGGTGTTCGTTTCGATGACATTTGATCATCTCCTAAATCGAACTGCTCAATACCAAATACAGTACTCTACCTCTAGAAGTTCGCCTAGGCGCGCGGAGCGCGAGTCTCAACCCCTAACGCCCATTGTATCTATCAGGCATAATGAAGACGGAAGTACTATGACTCATGCGCAAATCAGAGCGAGACGCCTATACAACATCTGGATGGAGGACGAAGACAACAATGTTCGAGTTGCTCAAATTCCTTCCGAATTCAATGTGCCACCGCCGTTTAGGGTGACGACGGAGTGCAGCGATGACGAAGGGGATGAACCAATTCCCAGGGGCGATTGGCGACCCCCGAATAGGATCGGTTCTTTACCATTTGAGAGTGAGACGAGCGAGGATGAAGGCGGCCTAAACGATTATTCATTTCGTGAGGAGTACCACAGACTCCGACGACGTCGCAACCGATCGAACACGGCATTGGCAGAGGCAGTAGAAGCAGCACAAGTAGCTACTCAGGAGGCGGTTCGGGCCGTGGGTGGGGAATTGATGGTCCCTCACGCACGATTCTTCATAGAGCGGAACAAGAGCAAGTGCACTATCAAGTTTGATCCTCCGGTATCTGGGCGGTTCATATTACTCAAGATGTGGAGTCCACATCGCGACCCAGGTGCGAATATTGACATACAGGCGGTTATTGCCAAAGGGTTCGCCGGGCCGAGGTATTTCCCATCTTTAGAATTACGATGATAAAGTTAGGAGCAGTAGTGACGGGATTCCCCAAAGGGTATACGGCCTGGTAAATTAAAGAACAGATAAGCTATGAAGCAAATGTGCTGGCATCAGCAATGACTATGAACATGATATCAACCTCATACGGGGAGACACAGTGGTGTCTCTTTGTTCTTGGTATCATCGTCTTTCGTGAACGCAATCTGATTTTATAAGTTATCAAGGTAGGTACCTATGCTTTAATATGAAAGTAGTCTTTTTGGAAAAGGTAGGAATTTTTTATATCAGTGTTCGTTATGCGTCGAGTCAAGTCGAGTCATATTAAAGCTAGCATATTGCATGAGCCAAAAGAGGTTAAGGCTTGTTCAAAGGTAGCTGACGGCAGATTCAATTGGCAGAAGCCACGATGATTGAAAATGAATCATAATGGCAACGAAGCAAATGAGACTATCAAAAGTACTGGGTACATGGAAGTTACCCATTTTTAGAGTCATATTCTGCGGCGATGCAACATTTAGAGTTGAGTCACTGCCGGAAGACAATGCTGAGGATCTAGTGGGCTGGGCTGGCTGAGTACCGGGTAAGAAGACTGTACTTGATAAGCCCCACTTGGACATTTTAGATTAATAGCCTGCATTATCCGCTGCCTTACAAAGTATAATCCCCATCGACATTCAGCAACGAGTATCAACTTCCAATTCTCCCTTTGTAAACAACCACTTGGGCTGTTTACTCGATCTCAATTCTCGCACGACCGAACAACTTCGTCAAAATTCCAACTTCAAGCGTGACGGGTAATACCACAACAATAGCCATGTCTGTGCGCGCACAATTCGAAAACTCCAACGAGTAAGCCCCGCCATTTAGCTCACGACCCACGACCCCGCGAAAGAAGCAAATTTGTGTGGTAGAAATGGCAGATGAGACTGACGATGCGATTTTGAATTTTGTAGGGTCGGCGTCTTCGCGACACTCACCAATTCCTATGCCCTTACTGCAGTCGGCGCAAGCGAGAACTTCTACAGTGTCTTTGAATCCGAATTGCAAGATGTCATTCCTATTTGCCGGACTACAATTGCGGGCACGCGCATCATCGGTCGATTAACGGCAGGGTAAGACTTGAGCCCTGCATAATTTGTGTCGGCATAGGCCTAATCAATGCTCTTTATATCTAGAAACCGCAAAGGCCTTCTTGTCCCTACAACCACAACCGATCAAGAACTGCAACATCTGCGCAATTCTCTACCAGACGAGGTCAAGATCCAGCGAATAGAAGAACGTCTATCTGCCTTGGGCAATGTCATCGTGTCGAATGATCACATAGCATTGGTCCACCCCGACTTGGAGCGCGAGACGGAAGAGATTATCGCAGATGTTTTGGGTGTTGAGGTTTTCCGACAGACCGTCGCCGACAACGTGTTGGTGGGTAGCTATATGAGCCTTAGTAACCAAGGCGGTCTGGTACATCCCAAGACCAGCATCCAAGACCAAGATGAGCTGAGCAGCTTGCTTCAAGTACCTCTAGTCGCTGGAAGTGTGAACCGAGGAAGCAATGTGGTTGGAGCCGGCATGGTAGTCAACGACTGGCTGGCGGTGACGGGATTGGATACTACGGCAACAGAACTAAGCGTGATCGAGAGCGTCTTCCGACTAGGCGAAGGTGCAGCACCGGGTAATATTGGCGGTAAACTGAAAGACACCATGGTGGAGAGCTTCTACTAAAGAGACTACTTTGACCACCTTTTACGGGCTAGTCGGAAAACATGGCTTCTATTTGACATCGAACATTGCGGATGTCGGCTCACCTTGCTCGTGAGCATGGTTTCCGCCGAGAATTACCTCCCAAACTGGCTCGACGTGGATATATGCCAGTCGCCCAAGTTGGTATGATGGACAGCTGAGCATTAGGATTCAGCATTAGGGGTTATGCCAAAATCAGGGTCTGGTAATTAGTTATTCAATGAAGCATTCCGACTGTCCAATTACCCTGCGGCTGCTGATGGGAAGGTCGGTGAGAATTGTCTTGAATGATCGATCGAGCCAAGCAGGCCAGGCTCATACAGGCTCACACAGGCTCATACATATATACCTTCGACAACGCCGATGATGGAACGACTCGGAAGTTGTTTCAAAGTTTGCAAGGAGTTTATTTGTTATCCAATCGGTCGATCATCGATCATCGCAACTTCGGGATAATTGTCTTAATGTTAACTTAATTCCCACGTGCCACGGATTCCAAGATTCAAGATTGCTTAAATGAAGTTCACGCTCTGTTGATAGACCCGGTTCTAGCGCGCCACTTTGGCTGGTTGGCTTGAGGTCTGAGTTTCTAGACTTTTCACATGAAAGTGAGGTAATCTTCCACAATGTCATTCATAACGCAAATTGTCGGCCGTACGTAATGTAAGGTTCATCATCTATTCAGCCAGGTCGTACTTAGGTAGGTATGGATCTTGGGACCTGACGTACTATGCAAGGGGATAAATATTGTAGGCCTGAAATTCGGCTGTCGTGCCTCTTACAGGTTGCATAAGATATATGCATTTGCGTCGTATGGACGGAATATGGCGGTAACCACGTAAACTTAAGCCACCATAGGATCAGTATCCTAAGCCCACATATTTATGCGGTCTACCTTACGACATTAAGACGATTTCTTCCTCTACCCTCTTCAAGAATGTGGATATTCATAATGTCTAAGAAAGTCAAAATCTTTTGACGGTCAGCCCAAGTTAGTACATAACTGTACATAGTATTAGACAGACTCGGCACTGGCGTAACACCAAGCGAGATTGAATGGTGATGCGTTCCAGCTGGCCGGATGTAAGTGGCTGTCGGTCTCGTTGAGGGACTGGACCTGACCAAAGAGACACCACGAAACACTACGTAACCCGCTGCTGGGAAGCTCCAGTTTGTTTATCGTTACCTATCATAAGCCGGAGCCACGACGACCTGCACGTTTTAAGACCCACGACCCACGCAACACACATGCTAGGCTATGGCTGAGCTGCATAGATTGCATAAACCCTGGTGATCCAGTAAATGCAGTTTCCCCTTCCTCCTCTTTCCTCTCTTCTACTCTACTCTAGGTACTCTGGACATTCAAGACATTGCCGTCATACGCAGGCCAAGAATCAATTAACCCCAAACCAAAGCGAAAACATAAGCAGACATTCGACGTCGACTTCGACTTCGATCAATGAACCAACCCGGGCGATCTCCCGCATGCTCCCTTGTTGTAGAGACCGAGTCTGTGGATCCGACGAAGTGGGCATAGCACTGTGTTCGCATACAGTACTACATACCGTATCGAGTAGAGAGGCTGACGTGATTGGTCCTTGGTCAGCTCATCACCCCTGCCAACCACCGTCTTACGCCCAGAATCTGGAATTCCGAAGTACCGGGGCGACCCACCGACGCTCCTCCTCCCATCTCGCTGTACTGCTGCAGAGTTGGAAAAGACCGGTTTTACGCTGGCCAGCGGTCGTTTTTCCTAGCATAGTTTTAGCCTATGTTATTTGTTTTGAACCGTTGGGCTTTCGTGGGGAACCGGTCTGCAAAGCGAAAGCAAGCCGAACCTCCTTCTTTTCTCTTTGGGTTTTATTTTATTTTACCTTGGCTTCTTTTCTCTTCTTTCATTTCTGGAAATGACAAGATAAGCCTTATTCTGGATCTTACGATTTCCCTCTAGAATTGTTTCTTTGCGCGCGCGAGAGCCCGTCGAAACAATTTCTAAAGAAAAAGGGGGAAGAACACCCTATTACCTAACTGCTAGCTTCGCCCAATTTCTGGGATCCCCGGCTCGAGCACCAGGGTCGAAACAATATCGGTTTATGCTAAGGAGAACCGGAACCAGTCACAGCCCGCTCCCCAAATAGGATCATCATCATACCTAGAGGGTGAGAGAGAGAGGAGTGCAAGCATGGACTTCGAAGAGGCGTACGCGGCGGACGGCGACCGTGGAAGGACGCACGAGTATCGCGAACCAATTACCATGACTTTCGAACCTAACGAGTGCTCACCTACCTCCTCACCACCACCACGACAATCTAGTCGTCTTCGAGCGCTCGCCGAGAGCAATAACGCCCTGCTGTCGAACGTGCAGCAGCAGCATCACCAACAAAACCACCACCATCAACGGCAGCAGTCGGCCCCGGATCTGTACGCCGAAGCTAGAACACCGTCGCCCGCGAGCCGCGCGAGGCACCGCTCCCAAGACATGCCGTTCACCGGCGACGGCCGCGGCAGCCGACGCCAGGACGACAACTCGCCCGGGAAATTCGGCGGCTGGCTGAACGCACCGTCGGTTGGAGAGGGCAGCGGCAATGGCAGCAGCGGCGGCATCGTCGTCTCCCCAGATACCACGCCGACGCCGAAGAGCGCGACGCCGTCCCGCCTCGGGTTCTTCGGGTGGTTGACGACGCCATCGCCTAGCACATCCACCAACCCCAACATCACCATAACTCCTTCCCACAACGACGCCAACGACCCCAGCACCAGCACCAGTACCGGCCGCGCCACCGCCGACGAGCTGCTCAACCTCGACGTCGACGCGGCTTTGTACCCGTCCCCCGCGGACCGCGACGTCTTCTCCCCCGCCGCGTACAAGAACCTGCAGCAGAACGCGTCGGGGCTTCTGCGGCGGATGCAGGACGCGTACCGGGCGCGGACGATCGCGTACAAGGAAGTGGTAGCGGAGCGCGAGGCGCAGAGGGAAGAGGCCGATGAGACGGAGTTAAGAGTGCGGAGCCTGCGAGCGCAGCTCGAGAGCATGGCGGAGAAGGCGCAGGAGCAGGAGCTTGCGATGCGGAGACTGGTTGCGGAGCTTAGGTTCGAGAGGAGTGCTAGGGAGGAGGAGAGGCAGGAGGAGAGGAAGGAGAGGGCGAGGTTGGAGAGGGAGGTTGAGGGGTTTAGACGCAGGGAGATGGAGGTGGGGATGGGGGGTGAGAAGGATGGCGATGGAGGGTTGGCGGAGGGCCCGCTGATCACGGAGGATTTGTGCGTCGATGAAGAGCACGAGCGTAAGAGGTGGCGGAAGAGCGACGGCACGGTGCGCTCGGATCTGAGTATCGATACGGATGCCGAGAGCGCTGAGTCCGAGAGCATATTCAGTCGGAGCAGGAGCCCGACGGCGATGACGAGCGCGACGGAGAGCGAGGTCAATGCCGAGTTGCTGAGTGTGCGGACGCCGCCCGTTTCTGTGTCCCAGGGCCAGAAGAAGGTCGCGACGACGACGCCTCAGCTCACTGCCTTCCAGAGATTGGTTAAGGGGATTTCCGGCGACGGCGCGAATGCGGGAGCGGGCGTGGACGGGTGCAGCAACTGTAGAGGCCAGGACTCGAGCGTCGCGTGGGATACGGTGAGCCTCCTGCGCGACGAGAACAGGGGCCTGAAGCATCGCGTCGCCGAGCTGGAGGTTGTCGTGGACGGAGCGTTGGATGTGGTGAACGGGATTGGATTGTCGTGATATGCATATACCTTTCTATCCTATCTATCTAGACATGCATCTTCTTTTACGGGGTTCCAAGGGATTGGGCCGGTTTTTGGGTAAAGGGGAAATAAATGGGTGATACCTCGGTTAACCTTGTCGTCATCATCTGGTATGGGGCTTTGCATATTGCATATTGATATTGGGTGGCATGTCACGAGCTCGACATACATAGAGGTTAGATACCATTCAGAACTTGCATATTTATACCCGTTTACACCCATTTAAGGATTATGGTCGCTGTTTGATTGCAAATATACTACTTCTTACTTCGTCTTTCGAGAACCTCTGGGCCTATATAGTTTAGATTCGCACCGAGAAAGTAGCATGTATGTTTAATCCACGATAGACGTTTATATAGCCTGGGTAATGAGGTAGAATATGTGTATTCTATTCCTAAGCAGACGTCTGAGGACTGAGCACCGAATACACTATCGATTACTCTCCCTATCCGAATTTCATCGCGGATCGGCCGGACGGATTTATGTGTACAGGTCCTCTTTCGACATCTGATATCTCTTCGACGTCTGATCTGCCGGTATCAGTGGTGCTCCTCGCCGTGTCCCTCCCCGTGGTGCTCGTCCTTGAGGAATAGTTGCTCGTAGCCGAGGTAGGCAGCAAATGCTACAGTTGCGATGCCCAAGCCGGGGAAGGCATGTTTAAATCGGTTCCATCGCGAGAACTGGCCTGTGTACCGCCACTTTTCCCTATAAATAGATCCACGTTAGTGGGCTGTTGAGGGGAAGAAGCCATCACGAGTCGAACGAGAATGTCGCTCGTTTGGAGGGAGTGATTGGAAGGGAAAGGAAACTAACGCATTCTCCCAAGGATCGTATTTCGGTTGCCCGGCAGCATGTGCGAATTTCCGGATGTCGAAGCCGGTGATGTTTGGCTTCTCGCCGTGATGCTGCGATCGTAGTATCCTACCGTTTGCTGTCAGCAATTATAGATGGTCGTGACGGCATTGACAAGCGTAATCAGATTTACCTTGAGGGATACATTGCGAATGTGTGCGAGTTGTTGTGGAAAGGAGATTCCGAGGAGCCGTCGGCTGTGAGCTGTGATACTAAAAGCTCAATCGAGTCAAATCACCAACTTAGAAGTCGTCCAGTGAGGTTCTCTGTATTACATAAAGTACCTTGTAAATAATTATCTTGAAGGGTATAGTTTGTACTAGGGGGTGAGAGCATATTCAAGTCTTGGATATGTATATACACCGTCTACACAGTCACTAAAGCCCGTTTGAGCGAATAATAGAGAACTAAGAGAAGCTTGGGCCAGCTAAATATTCAATAACCCGTATGACGGTCCGAGTCGTGCCTACTCCGCGTCGATCTACCTAACGATGCACCTGCCGATTTTCAGTTGCTACTGCCTTTCATATTCAATCGTCACTGTCGCGCTTTCTACTTGTACTTTCTAACTCACCTCACTTCTCCGCGCACGAAACCTAATATTCAAACGTGAAAAGGATAAATATCCTGCCCACCACGCGACTCACCTTGGGAAATTTTCTTACTTTTCCCAACTTTTCTCAACCTAACCAACCTCCATCGTCCTCCCACATCTCCCAATCCCACAAACCCACTCGCATCTCGTTCGTATCAATTTTCGTTACGCTACCTAATGCCGAACGATCTTAATCCTTCTTTCATACCAACTACACGAAAAAGGATCTAAGAACGACCTGCGACCTCTATCCATTTATTCAATGGCACCACCCTCGAGATTCGGGGGTGCCCCTCCCTCTATGGCACCTTATCAACACCAATTTCCTTCCCACCCGTCTCAGAACCATGCGACGAGCCATCAACCTCCCGCGCTGGGAAACTCAGCATACCTAAGTAACGCGCAAATGAGTCCCTTTGCTGCGAACGGTCTGGGACTCGGCGCGGGTGGTATGAATGCTGGCGCTGGCGCTAGCTTCGGTGTTGGAGATCAAACCGGCTTCGCTAGTCACGCAGCCCGATCTGGATTCCAACATGCCGCGCAACTACAACAGCAGCAAGGCCACCCCCATCAGCAGGCACACGGAATGGGTGGCGAACGACAAGCACGGGCCGGCGGTGGCAAGCTTCGCATACGTGAAGTTTGGAAGCACAACTTTGAGGAGGAAATGGGCGTACTGATGGACTTGATCGACGATTTCCCCTATGTAGCTATGGTATGTGCTGCTATACATCTCTTTCAGCTTACTATCATGGAAGTACCCCTCTGTTTACTAACGGCGCAATATGAAACAGGACACAGAATTCCCCGGTATTGTGGGTCGACCCATGGGAAATTTTCGAGGAAAAAGCGATTATCACTACCAGTGCCTCCGCGTCAACGTCGACCTGCTCAAGGTGATCCAGATAGGGATCAGCTTGTTCAATGAGAAAGGAGAAACTCCCGCCGAACGAGCTAACGCATCGCCGAACGAAATCGGCCCCGGTTCCCGACGACATGCTGCCCAGGCGCAGATGCCTCTTGCCTGGCAGTTCAACTTTAAGTTCTCATTAAAGGAGGACATGTACAACCAAGCATCCATCGAGTCGCTTCAGCAAGCTGGCATCGATTTCAACCTTCTCGACCGCGACGGCATCGATCCGAAGAAGTTCGCCGCGCTCTTCATCGTATCCGGCTTCGTGTGCTACGATAACGTCAAGTGGATTTCGTTCCACGGTGGTTACGACTTTGGTTACTTGACCAAGCTCCTCTTAGACCAGAAGCTAGCCAATGACGAGAGCGAATTTGACAAGATCATGAAGAAGTGGTTCCCAACCACGTACGATGTCAAGCACCTGATGAAGTACGCAGTGAAGCTTCACACCACAGGACTTCTCACACCTCAAGATCCCGGTTCGGCCGAAATCATGCAAAAGTTCGAACAGAAGTCGGGCTTAGAGAGCATTGCTGAGGCGCTGAAGATTAAGCGGGTCGGAGCCGCTCACCAAGCTGGTTCGGATAGCCTTCTAACGGGCAAGGTCTTCTTTCAGCTACGGGAGAGAATCTACAACGGCGAGATCTCCGATGACCACATCGGCAAAGTCTGGGGTCTTGGATTCTCCGGGATGGAAATGCCGATATCACAAGGCCAGGCGAACAATGTGGAGAGCACTCCGCCTAGCAACCTCAACGGCAATGTGAATGGCGGCCCAACCACGCCAAGCACCGTGAGCGTCGGACTTGCTAGTACCCCGGCCGCACAGTCTCACAATACTAATGGCATGGGAATGGGACCTATGACGCCCGGTGGTGGAGGAGGTGTTTTTGGAGCCTTCAACTTCCCCAACCAGAGATAGGAACTTATTGGAGGAGCTGAAAGGCACTACGATGCTACGATGACCATGCATAACTGCATCACTTTGGGTCAGGTCTATAGTCAAGTGTGTCGAGCTATGCACCGTCTAGCCAATAGGATCCTGGTTAATCGTCGGGTAGCTAGAAGTGCCCCTTGCTCACCTATTCGCCCTTCTCGTCCTACCACCCGGCGTTCTTCGGCCATCCCTATCATCAATCCGATTACGAGAGAAGTTGTGGTATACCCTCCCAAAGATCACACTTCTCCTCAACCGACTACGACTTAACCCCGTTGGCCTGAGCATCACGTTCGTTGCAAGGGGCCGACGTCGGGCTCGTTTTTACAGAGTGCGCCGTCGTATCCCGAAGGTGAATCAGATGCCGCCATTGATGATAACATAATGGCCCCGGTTCCCTAGCTGAAGAGGCGAATTAGAGGTCATTTTAAGGCGATAAGGATATGAAGGTATGATTTCTTTTGTTTTGGGGGGATTCTATTTACCATATGTGTACCATTAAGGGAGGAGTCAAGGGCTTCATGAAATGGTCGGGTGGGCTAAAATAAATCCACCTATGAATACATATGCTCGGTGAGTGTCACACGTTCGTTGACACCTCTGAGATTGACTTGCAAGTTTCTGGCGTACAGCTGCCTTTCTAAGTGATATGCATGGTATGAATAGTGTGATCGTATATACAAATGATGTGCAGAATAACGATTCTCTACCATTTATAATAAGTGGATTTGGTCTTTTTAAGGCTAATTCTCGTTCTATGTCGACAAAACAGGTCAAGTAGAATTAGGTACCAGGCAAGCACGTACAATTAACGTCTTCAAGATAATCGTTATTAATCTACCTGTAGCACATGCAAACTTATCCGCCTCCCCAAAAGTGGAAAACGCCAGTAACCTCAACGCCATGCGCAAACTAGGATCCTTGAGCAAATGCCGTAAAACACTCATTTTTTCCCATCAGCGCCAGCGGCTGGCAAACCAATCTATGTACAAACAGCCAAGAGAGAGAGAGAAAAGTGTCGTAGCATATTGTGTAGCATCTGATTCATACTTAGTATTCCCGGTAACCGGGAACTCGGTTAGGTTTAGGTCAACACGCCAACACCCGATTCCAAGGTCGAAATTTCGTAACTCATCATTTGGAACTCGGACAACCGACCAACCAACTCACACTCGCATAGGAGTAGGTTGGTACTAGGTAGATAGGTAGGTAGCTTGGTAGGTACCTTAAGTAGGTAAGGTAAATAGGTCCAGTCACAGTGGCTCACGTGATGAAGACCTTCTTGAGGCGGTCGAAGCTGAAGATCTCGCCGGTGCGGAGGTCCTTGACCTGGCCGTCGAGGCAGCCGGCCTTGCGGGCGTACTCCTCGAGGCGGGCCTTGCCGTAGGCGCGGCCGTTGGGCAGCATGAGGAGGTCGGGCTCGACGTTGCTCTTGCTGTGGAGGGCGTAGGGGACGGAGCGGGCGAGCTCGTTGAGCTCGGTGCTGCAGATGGGGCAGACGCTGGTGGCGAGCGACAGGCTGGTCGAGTGCGAGGGCGCGGCGGCCGAGGCCGGGTGCGACGAGTGGCACGCCGGCGTCTTCAGCGCCGAGAGCCCCGACTGCAGGGCGATGTGCAGCAGCGGCACGGAGGGCAGCGAGAGCAGCGCGTTGTGCGTCGACGTGAATAGGTTCGCGAGCATCTCCCACCTGCCCGGCGAGTACAGGTTCGCGTACGCGTCGATGTCCTGCGCCGACCCCGGGGGTAGCGCGAGCATCCCGCACGCTTGCAGGACCTCCTTTTTGTACACGTCCCGGTAGGGAAAGAGGAACTTGCGCGCGTAGGTCAGGATCTCGGTCGGCTTTGTTGAGCGGTCGCGGACGAGCTCGATGTACTGCTGGAAGCGGAGCATGAACTCGAGGTTGCTCTGAGTTTTGGAGTTAGTAACGGAGTCTGAATAGGGTAGCCAAGGTAACCTAGTAGTGTGGCGATAGAGTAATTGGGGATGGGGTAACTTTGCTTACATCCATCTTCCGCAGCTCCTTCTTCGTATCGCCGGCCGTGCACCAAGCCAGCGCCTCCGTCACGCTGCGGTTCAAGATGCACTTCCGGATGCGGCTCATCTGCTCGAAGGTCTCGAGGTCGACGAGGGGCTCGACGCCCTTCTCCTGGGCGAGGGCGCGGGCGCTCTCGTTGTAGCCGTGGCGCAGCAGGTAGTCGACGATGAGGCGGTCGAGGCGCACGCGGCTCCAGGCCTCGTACTTGACGTCGTCGACGCTGTACATGGAGTACAGGGCGGACAGGTGGGCGACGCGGGCGTGCTCGTGCCGGTGCAGGCGCGCCTCCTCCTCGGCGAAGGCGGTCAGCTTGCGCTTCGTGCCGCGCGCCCGCGCGATCATCGCGTCCAGGCTGCGCAGCACGTCCGCCTGCTGCGCCCGCCCGTTCACCGCGCCCGTCGCCGTCTCCCGCAGCGTGTTCTTCAGGTACGTCCCATCCTTCTCCACCTCGAAGTGCGCCGACCGGAAGTTCTTCCGCAGGAGCTCGACGGGGAGCCGGAGGAGGGGCTGGTCCTATAAGGCGGAGAGGAAGGGGGTGTTAGGTCAGCTCGTCTGGGAGGAGATGGAGTGGAAGGGGCATTGAGGATGGGTATGGGGATAGGTATGATGCAATGCGGTGTGCAGAGACTAGGGATGGCGAGGTAGAGAAACTCACGAGAAGGAGGTGGTTTTCGTGGTCGAGTTTGGCTTCTACGTCACCCATCTTCCGGGATTTCGATGTAAAAACGTGTTTCCAGGCTGGGGTTGTCGGATGTGACTGTCGCTTCGTGAGATTGTTGTCGTTGGGTTAGGTCTCTTGACGTTTCGGTGCAAGGTCGGCAATATGGGGAGCTCCAAGTGGGAAGTTGGCAACGCTGCTGTTCGTCCGGTGTGGGTAGGTGGGGTCGTGGCGCTCGATCCACTACGGGCCGGGCTTCCCTGGAGCTTCAGAAAGATTGGGAAGGCTCGATTTTGATTGGTCCGCATATACAGTTACGTGTTTGGCTTAGCTCTTTTCTTCATGCTAATCGCTCGAGATTGCTCTTTGAAATAGACTTCGTGTTACACCCCATATCAGTATAATAACGAGTATGAAGTGTACGGATTATACGGATTGGTAATTCTAGCTATACATGGATACAATATTTAAATAATAGAGAGATAGTATGTTAGAATAACATTGAAGACTTAGTTCGCCTTGAGAAATTGTTATCTCCTGTGTAGCAGTTGATTCATGATGTTGCTTACCACGTACCTACCGTTGTGTACAAACCTTGGAAATTATAGATACCTAGTCAGATAGTTTTCGCAATTACCAACTAATACCTATAAATAGGTAACTAGGTTTCGCACGTATACCCTCTTTTTCTATTGTGACTCCTCTTAACTTCAATATGCATGGCTACGATATTGAGCAGATCGAATCTAATATGTGTACAAGCCGACAACTTTAGAAATGTAGGCATAGTTCCTATACACGTAGCGAGCAACTCATCCTCTCTGATTATGCCACCGCTTACTAGTATCAGATCTATAAATATACCCCAATGATCTGAGATTGCAGCTATGCATGTAGGTGTATAGGTAATTACTCCCTGTTCGTGTTCATGCTTATATATATTGACATTATACATCTATGGGCTAATCGTGGCGGTTGCTTTGCTCCGTATCTGCCGCGGAGACGGATACTCCCGAGTGGTCTCTCTGATGCTCACAAATTGCCTAGTGCAACTTATGCAGTCACACACATCCGCTTCTGGTCACAGGAACAATTTGTTAGGGACTCACGGGACTTGTGGACTAACACCTAAAACATTGATGGCAACAAAGAGAAGGTAGACCAACCTTGACAAGGTCACTTGACTTGTTGGCTTCTGAGACCTTTGCAACTATATCCTCTTTAGGCTTTGTTGGGCTGGTCAAGCTGCTGGTAGATAGGGACGTATGCAACATATCCCATTGTATCCCATGGTTGCTGAACAAATCTATTTGCCGAGCCCGAAACCAGTCACCTACCTGCAGGTATTGGAGGAGATCCACGGCAACATACGAAGTAGAAAACCGTCCCATCGAAAATCTGTCGCTGAATCAAACCTGATGAAACAAATCTCGCTCTGAGACCCGTCCTCCCGCTTGTGACAACCCGAAAAAAAAAACACCCCTAAGGAATCTAATGCGTCCAACTTCCAACGAGCATTCACCACCCCGGCAGAATACCTTTTGGACCACTTTGAGTCTTGTACAGTTTCATGTATAAAATAGAATTTATGTAATAGGACGTTTCTATTCCTGTTTCCAATTGCGTGTTGGTTGCTTGACGAATAGGTGGCATTAAACATTGGAAGCGAAGTGGATTAAATTATCTAAGGCGTTAAGCTAAGAAATGGAGGGGAAGAGGATGAAAGGTGAAAGAGAGCGTGGAGGTACGTGTGGGGGCGTATCCGGCATTGATTGGTCAGAATGTTGAAGTCAGGAACTCTCAAGTCTCCTGTTAGTGCCTGCTACGACAAGGACCTAGCTGGACGTTACGATCTGGCCAGACGGGTTCCGATGCGGGCGCAGGCACAATTGTAAAAAAAAACATTGGCAGTCGAAATGACAGGGACGTCAGGTGATAGGTTATGGGAAGCAGAGTGGAGAATGGAATAGACTTTCAAGGTAGACTTTCAAGATTTGGAGGGTTAAATATTAATGGGAAGGCAGTTGTTGCTAGGAATGAGTACTTAGTGTAGTGTAGTGTAGTGGCAGTGGAAAGAGGGAACATCCAATTGAAGATAATTGGGAAGGGACGCAGCGCGTGTGGACCGTGCGTCCGGGGGTGTCATATGGTCTGAGCATGCCACCTTCAATTCTCCTACCTCTACTTTCTCTCCTCGACCGTGCATCTACCTATCTTTTTCTTAATTTCTCGAACGAAGCGCCGGTTAACTTCTTTGATCAATAAAATTTAACCTGCACAACGTCGGAATTTCCCCTATTCTCAATTTCACTTTTCCGTTTCTCCCCCGTCGAGATTTCAAGGTGTTGATTCGGCCGACTTATCTACCTGGTCCGTTCTTTTGATATTCCCACAAAATCACGCCCTATTCGAGGCTATTCTTCTCGAAAGCACGTGAAGTCACTTGACGCCTGGAAGATCTAAGCACCCTTTCTGCTTGCCACTTGCGCTGCTCCAGCCAAAGGCCAAAGCCAGCATCGCATTGCACGAGACCTAGCACATGATCTCCCGTAAGTTATTTCATCAATTTCCCCGTCTGCGCCGTTAAGAGTTCACATTGCCGCCATCGCTATTCAATTTGAAAGATGCTTTTGCACGCCCAATTAGCTGTTTAGACACATTAATGCGAAAATTTTCGCATAATCTTCTCCTTCTCCTCAGCAGTCAATCAACAATCAACAATCTATTCAGACGCGAAGAACAGTATACCAGTGTCGTCTGCAGATCCCGTCTGAGTAACGCGAGATTCATCTGAGTTGTGATCCACGATCCGTCCTCGCTCACTTACATCCCGCTCTTTTCAAGGAAAAGCTTTGATTTTTTAGAAACGCTGTCGCGTCGGATCATCTTCCTGCTTTCAACATGACCCCCATCACTCACTGTCCGCGTCAGAACAATATTCTCATAGATTCCCTATGACATACTATCCCATTTTTTCACTGATATGCTGAACCGTTCTTGACAACTCAATCTCTCTTCACCTCTGTGGAATTTCACGTGAATAACCAATTGGCCTGATGTATGGGTAACCACAAATGATGGCGGCGATGCACTCTGATTTCGTTGTCTGATACCTATGATATTACACATATTAACGTCAGCAGATTTTTCGCGATAGAATTCAAATCTATCGCGCACCTCACGCGTGCGTATCGCATAGGTGCTGGGGCTCCAGTAGGTGCCGTTATTCGATTATCCACGCCTCTCGTAGCTAAGTGACAATGGAGTCCAACGGTTACTCTCACGCAGAGTCGCTCCTCGAGCCTCTGACCCATATCAATCGTGAACATTTGGCCGCCATGGCCGACGCCGCTGTTGCAGATCAGAACGACTTCAACCCGTCATCACCTTCTAGTCCCGGCCAGAAGCGAAAACGTGGTGCACCTGAGTCGTCACCTGATACGCGACGTGCTAAACGTGTCGTTCCCACTGGAGCCCTCTCAGGTGCTCCTGATGCGGCATATGTCGAGAGTGCTGTTGAAGCTGCGCAGGCAGCCGCGCAAGCAGCCACTAATGCCGATTTCACTGCTCTTCAGCAAGCTACAGCTGATCACCACGATGTTTCCGACCATGCCAATGCATCAAGCACTGCTGCTGCCGCTCTTGGAACAATGTACCCTACCATCCATGTCCCCCAGTCCACCGAGGAGACATTTGCTGCACAGGCAGCAGCTGAAGCAGAACATCACCAAGATTCGTCGTTTGCGCACACAGACATGCTCCACCCGGACGGTCTTCCTGGCCCAGCCGCAGACAACCTCGGACAGCAACCTCAGAATGGCATTCGTTCAGCCCAGCCCTATGGAACTACTTCATCATCCAACTCCAAGCCAGCTGTAGGTTCAGAAGAGTGGCATAAAATGCGTAAGGACAACCACAAGGAAGGTAAGTTACATATACTAGAAAGTTATTAAAAGTATTTATGCTAATTTGTCTGTGAAGTCGAGCGTCGCCGCCGAGAGACTATCAATGAAGGTATCAACGAGCTTGCTAAGATTGTGCCTGGATGTGAGAAGAACAAGGGCTCGATTCTACAGCGCGCTGTAATCTTCATCACGCAGTTGAAGGAAAACGAGGCCCAGAACATCGAGAAGTGGACATTGGAGAAACTACTTACGGAACAGGCCATCCAAGAACTCAGCGCCTCTAATGATAAGCTCAAGCAAGAGTGCGAGCGAGCCTACCGAGAGTTGGCAATATGGAAGCAAGTGGCTCAGAATGCCGGACTCCAGCCCCCGCAGTCCAAGGAAGAGTCGTCATCTTCGTAAACTCAACTCAGCTGTAGGCAGTCTCGATGCTCTTTATACTCGGTGTTTATTCCTTCTATACCCTTGGCGACTTCTTTTTCTACTGCAGCATCGATTCTTCTTCAGCGTTATCTCACCGTTGTATTGGTGGATATGTGTCTACATGAGTTGAGATATACTCGACGCGGGGATCGGCACCGTACATGTTTGTTTCAATCGTCCCATTCACTGGGTCAAGAGTTCGTGGATACTGGGTTAAGGGGATTTTAAGGGTTGGAACCAAGTCAGGGAGACTTAAGGGCACATGGGCATAGGCGTTTTAGGGGAGGCTTGTTTACTTGACCCTAGTCTAACAGACTTGAGGATAGTTCCCAAGAATACAAGCCTTGGGCAAAGTGCCAAATATATATTCCTGTGCCGGAACTGTGACCACTGACGTCTTGGCAAGTTATACCACACTTCGATATGTTGCATTGTGCATATGCAGGCTTCCGGGTTCATATAAATGACGGAGGGAAGCACCCTTTGATAAACTTAGAAAAGCACGCATAGAAGGAGCATATAGGTACCTAGCATATCCAGTTGTTAGGGAGATAATCCACTAACTCTGATGCAGCCGGCCACAGTAGTGCTTGTTCGAAATCCTATAGCTCCTCAAGATTTCAACCGCAAAAGTTTGAGGCTAATATGCTATTGGAATACTGTAAATCCGCGTATCTGGTCTGCCAAGAGGCTGGGGGGTAGAATTTGGAAGCATGCAGGCTAGCCCACCAAGACCCAGCAAGAAAAATCGAATCAACTACAAGCTACTAGCCACGATTTGAGTGATTGGTGCCAGATGTGCAATGCGATGCGGGATAACTGCGGAATGTATGTATGCGAGTGGGCGGGATGGTCGCTCGAGTTCCAAACATCAGTAGCTCTATTTATGAATTCGGGGAATAGGTGCCGACATGAGTGAGGCATGATAGATTCTCCGAACGCCTCAGGCAAGGGTAGCAAATCTGAGGCCCGTTATTACTGTCAGCTCCCGCATGCTTATTAGATCAGGCATGGAAATCTGTTTGCGGCCGGTCCTAGTTTGCGACTCGGGGAAAAAAGTGAGCTATCAGACGCCAACGGCGGGATATGATTTTAATTCTGTGTGATGGTGACGTTTTATGAGCGCGCATAGCTATACCCAACTACTCTACTTGCCCATGGATGTTATTAGTATGAAGCAAAATCCTTAGGTCTCCCTTTTCAAGTGTGTGTCCTAGTACCAGGTAGTCATGATGGTAATCCATGTGGTGATGACTAGATACATGCTATGGATCCATGATGGATTACATATATGGATTCTACCTGGGAAGGTGAATGTTCGGGTCATCAAGTAATACGCAGGGAACCTTGGAAGTTCCTCCTTTTGAGGGTTTTCGGATTTGCAGCCCAAGATATCTATGAATGGCCTTCCATTTTCCATGTTCCATTGCACAGAGGCATCGGGATTAAGCGGCCTTGGATATTTTCCACCGGCTGAAGCCTGAAGGTACCCAAATTTGATCGCCTCATTTCTGCGGGCCAACCTGGAAAAGGTACATGTGGTATTTAGCTCCGAGAGCCTCTCGGGCTTCCTTCCTCGGCTTTCACGATGCAAGAGGTAAATGTCTGAGGATTCGGGCAGGTACGTAGATACAAGATGTTACCATATTTACATGTAGCACGCTAGCGAGTTAGGAACTGCTTCTAGGCGACGTTAGGGCCCACTTGTGGCGTCTTTTTTTGTGCGAAAGTTTGCGAAGTTAGGTGGGAGTTAGGCGGGATATGCTTCCTGTAGGACGAACTAGGCGGTACAGTTTAGTGGCACTTTGCACAAGTTTTTCAGTTTTAGTTTTTTTCATTATTCACCCACTGCGACTTTACGCCGCGATTTCCTGGAGACCTAAGGAACCACTTCTTTGACTTGCCCTCCTCTTTTCTTCTCAACTTCTTACTTTAATTCCCTTTCTCCCAACTTTCCCACAACTTCTCCCTTTTCCCTTTTTCACAACATCTAGCAATCATCATCACAACAACCAACCAACGTGATTCGCTCTAGACGCATTTCACAACTTTGCTTGTTACTTGCTAACAAGAAATAAATCCGCGGCGGTCGCTGCCATTCTACTGTTCTACTATTGAATATTTAAAAGCCGACCTTAGCAATCCCCCCTCCCAACTCACTCTCCTCAACAACTCCCTAAATCTATCATCCCACTTTTGCGCCACGGACAAGCCTCTGATAATAGCACTTTGCGATCATAGGTCTTGTTGTTTGCCGCTTCATACCTTGGACCAACTACACCCTCAACGTAAAAGGGTACAGGACACACAGCTGTTTATGTATCAGCACGACCAGACCGCTGTGTTTAAACACTCTCCCCCTTTAACGCTGCAGTCGTTTCGCATACCGCGAAAACCTTGTAGCCCTAATATCAGTTCTGTCGGCTGAGACCGATCTACGATCACATCGCCTAAGTTAATGCCTTCCAACGCTGGCAATTATCATCCAGTCTTCCCTATGTCCGCTAGGAACAGTCCTCTCTACTGAGATCCTGGCTTGCCCAATCCTCTCCTCTACCAGTCAAATACGAATGACTACCTAAGTCTTCTCGCCCCTATACCCAAGGAATTCGATCCCGCCGACCGATAAGATTATATCCGAGTCTCTTTGCTCCGATCGCCTTCATTAATACAATACCGCAAAAATGGCGCTCGTCAACGTCCGTCGTGATGTCACCGACGCTTACTACCGTTACAAGATGGAGAAAATCCAGACCAAAATTGAAGGAAAAGGTAACGGTATCAAGACTGTCGTTGTCAACCTGAGCAGCGTTGCTGCTTCTCTTGCCCGCCCCGGATCGTACGTCATCAAGTACTTCGGTTTCGAGCTTGGTGCTCAAACCAACATCGATCCTCCTGATGATCGCTGGATCATCAACGGTGCCCACGAAGCTTCTAAGCTGCAGGACCACCTCGATGGCTTCATCAACAAATTCGTTCTCTGCAAGAAGTGCAAGAATCCCGAGACTGACGTCGTCATCAAGGACGGCCACATTGTCCTCGACTGCAAGGCCTGTGGCCAGCGCAGCGATGTCGATCTCCGTCTGAAGCTGAGCGGTTTCATTCTGAAGAACCAGCCCAGGAAGGGCGGCAAGAAGGACAAAGCCGAACGCAAGGCTGCTCGCAAAGCCAAGCAACAGGCTCTCCAAAACGGTAACAAAGAGAACGGTCAAGGAAGCGGTGGAGAGGGTTCCGAGAACGGCTCCAACAGGACCAGCGACAAGAACGATGAGGATGACGACGCCGGTAGCGATGACGAGTTTACCCGCAAGATCAACGCTGACGCCCAGGTCATCGATGCCCCGGTCGAAGTCAAAGATGACGACTGGGCTGTTGACATGTCCGAGAAGGCCGTCAAAGCTCGTCAAAGCCAGCTCCCGAGCGAATTCCGTCAGAAACTCGTCCTTGGTGGCGCCGACGAGGATGACGAAGATGGAGAGGGCGGTGGTCACACCGTCTACGACACCCTGGGTGACTGGATCCAGGAAGAAGCTGCTAAGACTGGTAGCATTAACAAGGTTGATGATATTCAAATTTATGTCAAAGCTAAGGAGCTTGGAATTGAGACCAAGCACAAGACTGTCTTGGTCCTCGTCCAGACTCTATTCGATGAGAACATCATTACTCAAATCCCCAAGCGTGCCGCGATGCTCAAGCAGGTATGTCATGGCTTTTCATATCACTCATATTCTATACTTCCTACCTATGACTTTCCACTAACTATTATTAGATGATCACTTCTGAACGTCATGAGAAGGCTTTCTTGGGTGGCATTGAGCGTCTTCTAGCCTCCCAGAGCAAGGAGCATCCTGAGTTGATGACTAGCGACAAGATTGTCAAGATCCTCCACCAGCTCTACGACAAGGACCTTGTCAGCGAGGACATGATCAAGAAGTGGGGTACCAAGGCCAGCAAGAAGTACGTCGATATCGCTACGTCAAAGAAGATTCGCCGTGCTGCTGAGCCGTTCCTCAAGTGGTTGGAGGAGGCCGAGGAGGACGATTCCGATGAGGAGTAGATGGCGAACCCGGAATGAACGCATTCTTTATGCTTGCCATGGTTCTATAGATCTCCTTAGTATGCTGATTTGACTACGCATTAGTCTTTTTTCACTTCTACATTTCTCCCCTCAGCCCCTCTTTCCTACATGACCAAAAGTTCTGCGCTGGTGTAACAGCAGTTTCATTCTGCGCGTAGAGAAAAGGATCCGAAAAGATTGGAAGGGACTTATTACAGATTTTTGTTTTTTCTGTATGGTACGGTTTTCGGTCTGATTCGGTTAATTCAGAGCATCAACTCCACTCTCGTGATTCCTACGAAGGCTCGTCCTATCAATACATTCATTCATTTACATATATAATGTGAGACTTTTGCTGCGAGTCGTGATTAGTGCAAGTGACCTCCTATTTAGTCCCCACTAGTGATACGCATTCGACCATGTTACGTAGCCCCCCTTACCTAGGTACCCGAGCGTTGATTCATGAGATGCTCGAAAACTATCCGGGTGACACAGGGTGTCACTTACATACGATAATAACACCATAAACCCCCTGGGGTTCCTGAACATCTACGTCGATCCCTCGAATCATGTAATGTAATGTACACAAGAAGCTTCGCTGTTATACAAGCACCAATGCCGTGTATCGTGGTAAGACATTCGCGGTGTTCCCTAGGCGTAGTGGTGATGATATCATATAGGTATGTAGGTGCTTACCTACCACGTCTCGAACTGACTCTACGAATTCAAATTACCTAGGTAGGCATCATAGCTGGATGCTTATGAGGAGGAGTACGCTTATCGACTCTCAACATCTAGGATATAGGCTAAGAAGGACTATGGGCTATCCAAGGTCCCTTCAGCTAATTGTGTACATCATTTAAACTCACCAGTTACGAAATACGATTGTAAGGAATGTATCACAGAGAAAGGGTTGTGCCCCTTTACCAAGTATAATACGACAATGTGTATTGACGTAGAAGTACATGAGCGGGCGAATGGCCCTTTCCTCCACGTCTACCGAACCGTTCCGTATACCGCCCATGCCATTCCGTATCCCGTCCATGCCGTTCCGTATCCCGTCCATGCCGTTCCGTATCCCGTCCATGCTGATGTACAACCATAACTAAACTAACAATTCACGAGTGTAGACAGATGCGACCACAGCTCCTTCTCTGACACATTGATGCGCCTAGCCAGAGTGGCCGGGTATATAAACGCCTAAGCCGCACGAACTCGTATACCTTGGGTAGAAAGACCGAGAAGAGAGACCCTTCCGTGAAAGCGACGTTGGCTTCTAGTTCCTAAGCTTTCTCAGAGGTCTGGTTCGGAAACAGAAGACCACAACGAAGAAGAGCCACGCCCGAAGCCGTACATAAGGAAGACCAAAATCGAACCAGCCCTACCATATTGATTGGCTCTTAACCTTTTGCCCGCCCTCGCCGTTCCGCTCCCCCTGGTTGTTATTACCGTTGCTGTTGTCCTCGTCTTCGAAGGCGCCGCCAGAGGTCTGGGCCACATCGGTGTCTTTCCAGCTTGGTCCATTCTTATTCTTCCGACCGTTGCGCTTACCACCGTCTCCCCATTCGTCAGCCTTCTCGTCCACGTTGTTGTTGCGTTTGCCGTCTGACTTCTTAGTAGAGCTGGTCAGATCTGGACCGACGTTGTCTGGGATCGTGCCAGGAGGTCTCGAACGAGTCGAGCGGTCTGATTTTGTTGGACTACTAACCCAACCCCCAGGTAGAGTCTGATTTGTTCGGCTGCGTGTACTGCTAGCTTTAGAGGCGTTACTTGAGTTCCTGCTACTGTTGGATCCATTCTTAACGCTGGGGTTGCTTTGTCGATCGGCAGGAATGTTACGGGCATGCTTCCAGTCAATCGGGAAACCCTGTAGCGGTACATTATCTCTGCCCCGTTCCTCATTCTGATCGTTATTGTTACTGCCAGATCGGTGAGAATGGTTGTCGTTGGTATGGGGATTATTGACGCTATCCGGCCTTTGGCTCCAACCCATTTCCTCGTCCTCGTTCTCCGTGATTTTCCACAATGAACTTACTACTGGTTCTTTTTCTTTCCTGGTGCCGCTTTTATCACCACCATTCTGACTCCCATCTCTAGACCTGGAGCCTTTCTGTGAGCCGTGGATGCTCTGAGTGTCACTGGACTTTTTGTCGTTCGCCTTAGTGGGCGGAACGACGTTCGATCGTCCAGCTCGATCGCTGTTCTTTGACGTCCGGGCTGCTTTAGCTGACCGGGACGTTGGTGAATCAACTCGTCGAGTTGCTCGATCGTAGAAATCTGTATCAATTGACTCTTCATAGCCCGAGCCCTTTCGTGCCGGGTCCTTTCGTGCCGAGTCCTTGCCTACCCGGTCCTTGCCTACCCGGTCCTTGCCTACCCGGTCCTTTCGTGCCGGATCCGTTCCTACCGGGACCTCTCCTACCTGGACGGACCCAACTCCTTGGAACCACCGTTCCGCTTGAGGTGGATCGGGTGGCGCACCAAGAGGACTGCGTTGACGTGGTGGTGTTTGAGGAGGCGTGAATGCGGATGCGCGTCCTCTGTTGGCAGTACTTTGGAACCCATTATAGTACGGGTTCTCGAGTGGATGTGGTGTGCCTACGGGCAACGGCTGGTTCTCGTAAGTCTTCTTGGGATATAACATCGAAGTTGGGTTTCCATAAGACGGACCATGGTATACACGCATTATGCCATTTCTGTTGTCGTAGAATGCGTTAGGATAGGGGTCGCTGGGCTCCTCAACAGAATGCTCAACATGTAATACCTGAGACTTGCTTGGGAAGAGGAACCTCACATTCTTCTCGGGTCCTGGATTGTGAGGAGGAAGTGGCTTTTCTGCTTCGGCTTCTGCTTTAGCCTTGGCCCTAGCCTTAGCCTTAGCCTTAGCTTTGGCCTTGGCCTTCTCTTCCTTGGCCTTTTCTTCCTTGGCCTTTTCTTCCTTGGCCTCTTCCTCAGCCTTGGCCTTCATTCTCTCTTCCCTTTCTCTTTGCTTTTCCCTGTTGTAGCTCATTGCCATCTTGAAAACGAGCTCGTCATCAATCGTGCTTGTCTCTTTCTTAGATTTCTTATTTCCCTTACTCTCCTGCTTCTGGGACTTCGCCGAAGCCTTTCCTCCCTTCTTGCTCTCACCACTTTTCTTATCCTGTCGGCTCTTCTTAACGGACTTTCCAGGCTTCTTGTTGTCTCTGCCTTCCTTGCCCCCCTTTTTCTTCTTCGGGGCCACTTCCTCTTCCTCAGATTCAGACTCGGTCTCAGCTTCAGTATCCTCCTCGGTCTCAACTTCAGTCTCAGTCTCGGCGTCAACTTCAGTCTCGGATTCGGTCGCCGTAGCTTCGGTAGTTTCGGCCTCACTGACAAACTTCACCTTGCGTTTCTTAGCCTTTTGCTTGGGCTTCTGTTTCTTGGTACTTGACTTGTGCTTGGCCGGTTCTGTCTTCTTGGCTACTTTTGCCTTATGTTTTGCATGAACATGTTTGGCATGAACAGCAGCTGCATTGGATAACGACTCAGCCTCTTTTGCCTTCAACTTCTTTTGTGCTTCAATGCAATTGGCACAAGGACAGTCCATGATCACTTCCTCTTCTGTCTTCTCTTGATCGCCGCTGGTATTCATAACTGGACTGGCATCCGTGTCCGGTTTTGGTAGCGGTTTGGGTAGTGGCTTGGGTACAGGTTTGGTAACAGGTTTGGCTTGAACTTCCGTCTTTTTGACTTCGGTCTTGTGACCGTCCTCGACAAAACGAATGATTTTATTAGCCTCAGGCTGTGTGGTTCGTCGAGACGACGATCTTCCGGTTCTTGGATATGTCACCTTGATTGTGTCGGATTCAGCCACATCGTCGGTCTCGAGTTCCATTGCAAAGACAGAGCGGCGTCGATTGGGTTCCCTCGGCCTAGGGATTACATTCTGGCCGATTACCCATTCCATGAAAGAATGGGGCGGCATGGTGTTGAATGTAGTGAAATCTAGTGCATGAAAGCTAGGGAGACGTGAAAGTTGACCAGCTCGGTGAATTGACACGAAGTAGAAAGATGGAAAAAAACAAAAAAAAAAACACACGGAGTGATCAAGACTGATGGTTGATTAACCCGTGAAGAAAATGCGATCCGATGGTTGAAAGAAAGTAGAAAGTGTCGAGAAATTTTTTAGGGATTGTTTGGATGAAAGAAGGAATTGGGTCGTGTAGGAATCGAGTTGAAAGTGTAAATGTTGGGTGACGACTGGAGTCGAGATGGCCCAAGCTGCATTAGAAAGGTGAAGCTTTTAACTTCCAGATGTGTGAGTAAAGTTGCTTGCAAACATGAAAGTAGGGCTAACACAGCTTTCGAGATGGGATGGAAGGTACGTTAAGTAGGTAGGTAGGAGGATGTACAGTGCGCAAGTTAAATAGGTAGTGGTCGAAGCTTCTCTATTTTGACAATAGACGACTCTTTCCTACTTACAATGGCCGTAGCAACCACACAACTTAATGCTTATGTAAGTGCCTGAGCAGGTAAAAAAGCACCGGAAGCATTGGCTTTCCCTACTATTATCCTACACACACGTACGGGCGTATTGGGGTGACTGTGGTTACCATACCTAGGAAGGTTAACATGGACAGATATAGGAGTAATGGGTACCTTCGTAGCAATTCAAGATTATAGCTTTGACTTCTCCTCTGCTTCCATCTCTCTCCATCTCTTGTTGATGTTTATATTCTGCCAGTAAACCCATGCGCCCGCAGCAACGCCAATAGGTGGACAGAGAAGGCATATCCAATTCCACCATGGCGGGCTATCTCTTCGCATTTCCGCGAGTGCCGCATCTACGTTGGCCTTGAGCTCGTCCTTCGAACCGTCGTTCCAGATAACCACTCCCTTTCCCTTGCCTCTTGCCTCGCACCTCTTCGCTTTCAGTCTCACGTCCGCCTGGCTCAAAACGCGATTTTGCGCCTCTTCCCGACTCAGATGAGGGTCGCGTTTTCTGAGTCTTTGCATCTGTACTTTGGGGTCCTTGACGGCCACTACCATCACCACGCCAGACAGTCTGTCCCAGCCGCTCTCGAAAAGCAGCGGAACGTCCAGCACGACGGCCCAGCTACCCCCTAGGTAGTTCCAGAATATGGACTTGTACACCTCCCTCCTCACTGCTGGATGAACGATTCCATTTAGAATATTTCGATCGTTCTTTCGTTCCTCACTGTTGCCGAAGATACGTTTGCCCAGCGCTTGCCTGTTCAGCGGCCTGCCCTTGCCGTCTGGGCCATCGGCCGGCATTGACTCCGTGATGGGAACTAGTAAATCTGGGGTGGTAGGCCCGAAATGTTTTACGATGGCTTTATAGCCGCTAGTCCCAGGCTCGACGACCTTGCGCGCAAAGATATCGGCATCAATAATTGGAAGTGAATAAGGTGGGGAGGCGAGAATAGAAGATACTGTTGATTTTCCGGTGGCTATAGAACCGGTCAATCCTATAAACAACATGGTTATGGTATTTAGTCGATATACGGCCCAGTGAAGAGGTTACTTGTGTTGAAGCTCGTGACTCCTCAAAATGAACTGGATGAACTGATGTTGTCTTGATACAGTTTGACCAGGGAGTCCCAGACTTAGCCGCATTACCGTCGTCCTAATTAGGTTAAGCGCGTGCCATGGACCTTATCTGATATGCGCTAACAACCGCAATTGCTTTTTCGGAAACTTCTAGGTTCACTCAACATCGTTTACACGATGTGCTGTACCTGTCTCGATACAATTATGGATGTACAATAGATTTGACCGAGTTGACTAGGCAGCCTCTAAATTACACATTGGATTGTGAAAAACAGATTGTAAGGTGGCGCTCGAGGCTTTCGACAAACATGTTCGAGTAAATCCTCCCCACGATAAAAACTATGTCTACCTGTCTTAGAAGCCTCAGCTTTCAAACTTCAGACAATACTTAGGTACATTTCAAAACTCAGGATGAATCGGAGAATTAGATCAATAAGATATTATCCATGTTATCTAGGTATTTCTCGTTGGTGTATATGTGTATGTATTCCTATTAGGTCCGGTAACAGAGTAATCACCTGCATACCGGTAGTTACTAAGGTACTTATGCGGGCTGTGATGCGCATGGATCCATGGATGCAGCTTGCATTCTGCAGCCCCCACTGCACTGCGGGGGAGGGGTAACATTCTAAGGTGAGGGGCATTTTTGCGATCAGAAAATTTTGGAAATAGTCCCCAAGTATACAAGTCCCTCCCCCTAGATTCAAGACTACATATTTGGTCTTTCTAGCCAATAAATAGTATCATTTGTGTTGTGACTTACTATATATTTCAGCCATGGGAATAGAATACCCGCTCCGTGTTCTTCTCATTGGCAATGGAGGAAGGGAACACGCAATCGCGTGGAAGCTCAGCCAGTCACCTCTGGTAGAGTCCATCATAGCAGTGCCAGGAAACGGAGGCACCGCGACCTGCCCCAAAGTAACCAATAATACCTCCGTATCAGCAGAGGACTTCCCAGCATTGCTCGAACTTGCTCGGAAGAACAACGTCAACTACGTCGTTCCCGGCCCCGAAGCCCCCCTCGTCGCCGGCGCTGTCGATTTCTTCGAGAATGCGGGCATTAGGAGCTTCGGGCCGTCTAAGAAGGCTGCGCAAATGGAGGGTAGCAAGACCTTCTCGAAGGACTTCATGAAGAAGCACAATATACCTACAGCGACATACGAGAACTTTTCCGACTACAACAAAGCTCGAGAATACCTTGACACGGTACAACACGACGTGGTGATCAAGGCGAGCGGGTTAGCAGCTGGAAAAGGTGTCATCATACCCACATCCAAAGAGGAAGCGCAAAAGGCACTTAAGGATATCATGCAGGACAAGGAATTCGGATCCGCGGGAGATGAGGTCGTCATCGAGGAGTTCCTAACAGGCGACGAGCTGAGTGTATTAACTTTCAGCGATGGTTACACGATAAAATCGTTGCCCCCTGCTCAAGACCATAAGAGAATAGGAGAAGGAGACAAGGGATTGAATACGGGTGGTATGGGATGTTATGCGCCGACTAACATCGCCACCCCAGATCTCGTGGCGCAAATCGACCGGGACATCATCCAGCCGACCATCGATGGCATGCGCAAGGACGAGATGCCCTTCGTCGGCATCCTCTTCACCGGGCTCATGATTACCTCCACCGGCCCAAAGGTGCTCGAGTACAACGTCCGATTCGGAGATCCAGAGACCCAGACCGTCCTACCGCTCCTTTCACAAGACACGGATCTAGCTAAGATCATGGTAGCATGCTCAGAGCGCTACCTAGACAGCGTCCTAATCAAGATCGAACCAAGCTTCAGCGCCACCGTCGTCGTTTCCGCGGGCGGATATCCCGAGTCCTACGCCAAGGGCGACCAGATGACCGTGCAGACTCCTCCGGAAGGAATCAACATCTTCCACGCCGGCACGAAGCTCGCAAACGGCGTCCTGCAGACGGCGGGCGGGCGAGTGATAGCCGCTACCGCAACCGCGGCCGAGTCTCTCCGAGCCGCCGTCGACAAGGCCTACGAAGGCGTGAAACTCATTAAATTCGACAAGATGTACTACCGGCGAGACATCGCGCACCGGGCCTTCAAGCCGACGGCCGACACCAAGGAAGCGCTGACGTACGCAGAGGCGGGCGTGAGCATCGACGCCGGGAACCAGCTCGTCGAGCGCATCCGGGCCGCCGTGCGGTCGACGAAGCGCGCCGGCGCCGACGCCGAGATCGGCGGGTTCGGCGGCGAGGTCGACCTGTCCAAGGCCGGCTTCTCGAGCGACGCGCCTATAATGGTCGGCGCCATCGACGGCGTCGGCACGAAGCTCATGATCGCGCAGGCGACGCGGGACCACCGCACCGTGGGCATCGACCTCGTCGCCATGAACGTCAACGACCTCGTCGTCCAGGGCGCCGAGCCCGTCATGTTCCTCGACTACTTCGGCTGCAGCAAGCTCGACCCCGAGGTCGCCGCCGTCTTCGTCGAGAGCGTCGCTGCCGGCTGCCGCGACGCCGGGTGCGCTCTCGTCGGCGGCGAGACCGCCGAGATGCCGGGGATGTACAAGGAGGATGACTACGACGCGGCCGGCGCCGCCATCGGCGTCATGCGCGCGAGCAGCCGGCTCCCTCGCCACGACGCCATGGCTCCCGCCGACGTGCTGCTGGGCCTCGCCTCGTCCGGCGTGCACTCCAACGGCTTCTCGCTCGTGCGCCGCATCCTCGCGCGCGAGAACCTCGGGTACGCGGCGGCGGCACCATGGGACTCCTCCTCCCGCGGACGCAGCATCGGCGAGGCCCTGCTGACGCCGACACGCATCTACGTGAAGTCGGTGCTGGCGGCGCTGCCGCGGCTCAAGGGCCTCGCGCACATCACGGGGGGCGGACTTACGGAAAACGTGCCGCGCATGCTGCCTCAGCACCTGGCTGCCGACATTGACGTCGCGGCCTGGACGCTGCCGCCCGTGTTCCGGTGGCTGAAGAAGGCGGGCAACGTCGACGCGGGCGAGATGGCGCGTACGTTCAACACGGGCGTCGGCATGGTTGCCGTCGTGAGCCCCGAGGATGCGGATGCGGTGAAGAAGCAGTTCGAGGAGCTAGGCGAGACGGTATATACCATTGGTAAACTTACCGCGCGGACGGACGGGGCCGCGGGCTGCGTGTTGAGGAATCTGGAATCCTGGAATTAAAGTGAGGTCTGGGTAATTAGGCAAGGAGGTAGGCAAGGTTAGACAAAAAAAATAATGACAAAAAGGGGATTCCAGGGAAAGCCGGGCTGTGTGTGAGGAATGGGACGGGTTTGGTAGAACTTTAGTCGCATTGAAGCTGATATTTGATATTCGATATTCGACATTTGTAAATGGTTCTCTCATTTGATTGTATCTGAAAATGCATACTAACGTAATAACCCTACAGTGACGATATGCCGCAGGGGTTAATGATATAGACAAAAATGCTCGATATGTATCTTATTGACATGATGTCAAGTCTTCAGGTCGGCGCCAAGAAAACAGTCGTTAAAACACGATGCGATCCAAACTAAACGCCAAAGAGCCCGCGATGTATCCCAATCTAGTCCAGCTAAAAAAAAGTCATAGTACTAACAAAGTAGGCTGCGAGGACCTACTTATATCTCTTCATTTGCCCACTCGGCCTCTAGATCGTCGTCTTGCCCTTTCGACCACTCCTTACACATCCCGACCCAATTTCGGTGGAGACAATGGGATTGAGGCTCCCCTGTAGGCGTAGGTGCAAGTGAGGCTGTGGGAGTAGGCAAAGAAGGAGGCGACGTAATCGGATGTTGTGTTTGTGGTAGCGACGTTGCGGCGCTCGTGGCCGTCGTCGTCTTGTCATTACAGCCAAACCAACCTGGAGTTTCACATGTAGTGGTGGCGGTCGTGGTGGAGGAAGTAGTTGTGACACTGGTAGTGGTAGTTTCGTCCTTGCAGCCAAACCACCCAGGGGTTTTACATGTCGAAGTTGAACTACTTGTGGTTGAAGTGGTAGTCACGCCTGTCGTCGTACTCTCATCAAGACAGCCCCACCTATGAATCGTTAGCTATATACGCCTAACAAAGGAATCAAGTTGCTTACCATCCAGGAGTTTGGCAGGTAGCTGTCCGGGTACGTGTCATAGTCGAGCTAGAGCTACTCGAAGTGGTTGTCTTTTCAGTGCTGTTACTCTCATACATTTTCCAATTCGCGCAATCCCGGCATTCTGGCGTAAATTTACATTCTGGAACGTCGTCGTACTTCCGGATGACGTCGTTAATCACAGATCGGATTTTGTGGGTTCCAATGCCGACTCGCCAGCCATGGTCTGCTACCGTGTCATAAACACATTCATAGCCAGTATGGCACGCTGTCTCCAATGCGTACCCTGCGAAAGAACACGAAGCAGTTGCACCGTTGCAAGTACCGATATAAATAGGATCGGCCGTATGTCCAAAGTGATAAGCTCCAGTATATTCACGAGTCTGGGGAAAATCGGGGTTTGCATGCGGAGGGACGGGGAGAGCCAATCTTCCGGCCGCCAACGCTTCCGGAACAGCCTCAAATGTCACCACAGGGAGTCCGTACGTCAACCCGAGAAGGGAACTAACCGCTCCACCTAGCGAATGTCCGGCAACCCAGACATTCGACTCTGGATAAAGCTCGGTGACATTTGCATAAAGCTCTCTAGCTGCTTGATAATACCGATTTTCGTCATGCAGGGCCCTCCTCACGCAAGTATTGTTACAACTATACGTACCAGTTGCGCAATCGCAGACCTGGTGCCAGGACCATTGACCTTGTTGGGCACAGCAGCAGCTGAAAAAGAGGTTATCGTTTATCTTGTCGTTCGTGGTCGTACCCTCCCCATCAAAGACGGCCGGCGAAGTACCCTTGAGGCCAATCACAATAGTAGAGTTCGTCTCGTCCCCCCAAACGTGACCCCTAAGCCCATCACTTTCCCAACCGAAATCAGCACTCCGGTTGAATGGCTCACCGACTTCGTCCCAGTCTGGCTGAGCAGGGTTCTCCACATAAGCATCAGACGCTATCAGCGCCATGGTCAGAACCGTCTCCTTTTCAGAGACATCAGGGCCCAGAACTTCATCGACCGTCCATGCGGAAGGTTCACTTGCGATAACATAGCCTCGTTGACGAGCCTCAGCAACCAACGGATCTACGGTGCTCGGCCGTCGGTCGACGAGACGCTCGATCTTACGAGGTTGACTCTTTGCCTTCAAAGGTGGTATACGCTCCGCCTTGTGCCCATCCTCACCAGCAAGCCATACCTCAGCCTCTGGTTCAACTATGTCCTTCCTTCGATGTAGTCCAGGGTGCTGATACGTCCCGTGATGGAATATGTGACGTAAGGTAAAGGTGTGCTCAGCCGGTTGTGGTGGTTCGGGTATCAAGGGCGCAAGTATCGGTGAGTTCGGGAAGGCCGCCTCCGAGTTTTGGATACGAGCAGCGGCTGGAGAGGCGGAAACGGCGAGGAATGATAAGAGCAGTCGAGCTGTAACTCTGCCGGCAGAGCGACAGGTTGAGGCTGGTCGTTTCCGCCTCGCAACCATGGTTGCTTTGCACTAAAAGAAATAGAACAAATACGAGGACGGAATGGATGATTTCAAAATGAGATGATTGATAGGTTAACAAGATGAAGAATAAATAAAGAGTCAAGAAAGAGAAAACGGGCTTGATAGGAGGTGAAATGATGAAATGATGGAATGAAGGTGCCTACCTAGGTAACTTAAGGTAGGTGAGTGTAAGTGGTCACGGCACCTCGAATCCCCACACGCACCTGCAGTAAGTTAATCGCGTGGACGGTGGCGCTGCCTATCGCCTATGACAACATTGGATTAGAGTTGGGTCCGAGGTCTGATGTATTACCTAACCAAGCTACTGCAGGGATGCAGGAAGGAAACGCCCGACTACCGAGCCTTAGTGCCTACCCCCAACCATTGAGATGAAAGCGGAAGCCCAGGAGCGGTAAGGTCCTATCCCACTCAAGGTTTAGTCACGTGTTCATTTAACAACTCGTATAGACACTCGTGAAGAGTTTCGGCAACGACAAACGTTCAGCTAATAATATTATCTGGCTAGCTACCACCTGAGAAGTTTCTTTGGGTTTGGATTAATTTAACTCTAAAAAACAGGGAGCAGGATTAATACTCTCAGCAAGAGCAATGACAAAGTCTCCAGTCTTCTACATATAAACAGCAAGAAATCTCTTCCAAATTCTTCAAATCTGCCTTAGAATGAGGTGAATGGCATTTCACGGTTTTATGAATTTTGAGCCTTGCATATCTCTTCTTATAATGTTTCAAGACTTTGACTAATTTTGCGTTCTCAAATCTTCTCATCTATGGGCACCATGCTGCAGTGTTAAAGGGATAGGCTCTTCTATTAGAGCTCGAGTCTCCAGCATGTCGCCCGCCGACGACTTACCCCAATTTATCATCAACCTACAGTGCTGAGAACATGTTGAACTTCAAATCTGTGTTTTACGGTCATAAAATATCGATACCAGGTCGCTATCATACCACACAACGCTCTCAAAAGGGGAAGAAGACAGCCACATAGCTCTCACACGTAGCGAACCACGAACCAGTGCTTTCTATATAGCGGAGTTAATACGAGAAAATGACACAACACCCAAGAATCGACAACTACCCATATCAGAAATCCTTTGGCAGTCATATGCAGATAATGCGCGAGTCCGAGGTCACTCACTTTCTACCTCGACCCAGGATCTACGTTCGTCGCCAGAGAAACCGAGGAGCATCTGCGAAAGAAATGAATTAGCATCATACACGGGCCATCCGGATCACATCGGAGTGTGGGAATGGTCGAGGTTTTCAATAGGATCTTTCAAGCGGTACACAAGAAAGCAGTGAACCCAGCACCCTCGAACACGATCACGGTGATGGAAAACTGGACGTCGGTGGTTTCAGAAGTACTGGCCCGAGTGAATGCACGCCACATGGAGGGGTTGGGATTCTCGCCATTGAAATTATGTATGGACATTCACCCCGTGGGACCGTTTGAGCTTTTGAAGGTAATATGGGTAGACACTGCAAAATCTGCAGACCAAGATCGTGGCTTAGGAATCACGATATAGGTCTGAGAACGATTCGATTAAACTTCTACGTGGTTCGAAGGAGAATGGACATGATAAATTATTTATCGAATATCGTCGGCACCATAGGGGGTTCATGGCCCTCTTGGGGAGTCTCCTAGGCTTAAAGATTGCCAGGATGCTAATCGACCACCGCGAGGAGGTCTACTTCCGAACAATAGAAAGAATTGTAATGGTTGGCGAGGGCTTCTTAGAAAGAAGAAAGGAGCGCGATTTCACCGGATCATTTCATTTTTATGTCATTTTGTCTGACGAGGCATGAGTATTAATTGCTGGAGGGGGCTAGTAGCTAGGGGTCTAGTAGGGCGGGAGTTTGGTCCATAGGAGACCGTAGGAGGTCCATAGGAGACCGTAGGAGGTCCTGGGGAGACCTGTTGGCAGCTGGCCTTAGAGTAGAGTAGATAAAGGGCTTCTCCTGTATACCGTAGTCCCTGGACAAAAGGGTTTAGAGCTCCTCGCGCAACAACGTCATTGTTTCCCTTCTCTTTAGTTCCACCTCGTGACAGTATATGTCAGAACTGCGGGATAGATTCGTCCTCTTTGTATGTGAAGGAACCTTGACCATTTGCGGAAAATATCAGGATTCAATTCATAATGAACGAAAAAAAGAAGTGTGAGCCACTGCCGAGTGGTCTACAATACCTATAATCTACTTCCACGAAAATAAGAAAATAGAACGACAGATAGAAAACATTAGGTACCTATACTTATAAGTAAGCTCCCTAACCAGTCTAGTCAATGACGTGCAGGGTTTCCTGTAATACCGACAGCGAGAATGGCACAGCCAATTACTGTCCACGGGAGAAAATGGCCTTGGGAGAGCAGAACATTATTACAAGAATAATTGATAAAGGGTTTGTTTAGTTTATGCTCGGTTGCTGAGGGGAGCCACCAGTTTCAGGTAACAGGATGTCAAGAATTTAGATCTTCTTAACGCATATCATCGGACATGATCGCTGTCCAGCGCTTCGACGATAGACGTAACGAGGATAGTGGTCGAGACAGATTTCGCCCACGACATAATGATCGGTGCCACAAATGCGATGGTGGTTACCGCCATGGCCGCCCGCGTAAGACAATATAGTGACTAGAATTGATACTAAATGGTCTAGATGAGGAGGGCGTATCTTGCGACCTTGAATCAGCCTAAACCATGGACTTCATCGTCTTGGCAATTTCGTGAAGGGGCGAACTAAGAGGATTTTATTAAAAGAATATGTGGATATAAGGAGCATGCTATTTCGTTCGCCTTCTAGTATCGTTGGGGTTTAATAGATGAGGTGGAGGTGTCTGGTTGTATACGCAGCCTTTCTCCAAGATTGCCAATATACAATCAGTAAGTTTTGATGATATATCACTGCCATCTTCTGGTGAGGATGAACGGATGGCTAGAAAGGCATGAGGAATGATGAAGCCATTTAATGGTCCCAATGAGTAAGGTGCTCCCAGGGACGCTCGGACTGAACGTTGTCGAATATATCTCCATGAAGTCGTGCCTGAGCTCTTCGAATACCATGCCAAGTAAATCCGTTTGAATCGACTCCGACCTCCCGGGCATGGGCTAGAACTCGCTCGACCCACTGCTTACACCCTTCATCTCTCTCCTCTTCCAACTTCTCGGCCGCCTGGCGAATATGTGGAAGGGCTTTCTCTTCCCGATGAATCAAATCGAAGATGAACTGAAGAGCAACATCCAACCTCACGCGGACCACCCAGCCTTCAGCACACCCTCTGAAATCACTTCTGTTTATCTCGAACGTTTGGCCGGCTTCATGCAAAGGCCAGAAATCGATGGGATCACTCAAGTGTGCATCATCACCTGTCCTAACGAGGAGGACCATAAGAGCGGGTAGTGTCAGTCCGTTACTTTCCTCAGGTGTCATTTCAAGCGGGAAAGGCGTCCTTGAGTTCCCGTCTCGAACTTGGTCGTCTACGACCATGAAAATGGATCGGAAAAGGTGGCCCAACGCAAACCCATGCTCTTTCCAAGAAAGAAATTCCGTGCTAGGCATTGGCCAGGATCCAAATGATGAGTATTCATCGGGATTCTTGACTTTTAACCGGTATCTGGCATAGAAGTCAACGGGGTCGTCAACGCGCTCGGACAGGCGGTTGCAAAACCCTCGGTGGAAAGGTACGATCTGCTGTACGCTTGGAGGTCCTTGCGGGCAGGTGAAACAAACGGCCATCGCCGGAAAATTATGACGCTGAAATGGCGGGCGTCCATGGTGCAGGCGAAGCCACTCGCGAAAGATGTAGCGACCAATCTGTCTGTCAAATTTGGAGGTTTCAAAATAGACGACTAGTTGTTTGTTGAAATATTCAGGCAAGTGGTTATATTGGTGTAGAAAGTAGTTGATAGGTAAGCGTGGCTGGCTAAAATATGGCATGACGCCGGGAGTAGCCCCCATATGGAACCATCGATGTTTGAAGAAATCCGTCAACCGGATATTAATGGCTGCAGTTTCGTAGAATATATCTTCCAACTCCCTTCGCAACAGGTTCAGCATATGGTCAGACAGAGATTCTCTCGTGATCGACATAGCGTAATTTGGGTTATACGTGGCTTTCCAACTCTGTAAGACTTTCATATTGGGTATTCCTATCTTGAAAATGCCATAGGGAGGATGTGTTGCCATATACGGGGTTAATGGACTGAAGCATGTTAGAGGATACTCCTTGACTGCTGGAGACTGTGCAGGAGAATCGATGCGTTTTGGCAACCTGTTATAATCAAGGCATTTTAGCCTTGTGGAATTGGCTGGCATACTGGCGTGTTCGTCAACGCAACGTAGGCAAGCTTTGTGAAGAAGGAAAAAAGATGAAATACAAATGAAAAGGTCAGACTCTTATAGCCACGTAAATCTCACTTCATTTCATCAGTAGGACTATTGTGCAAGCGCCAGAGATTATTAGAGTTCACCTAACCATGATCTTAAGTGCTCCCAAGAGGTCAATCCACAGGTATCTATCTTACTCTATCCATTCATTCCATGTTGCTCCTCCTAGAGAAAGCAACATTCAGTTTCGATTTTGTTGCTATAGTCATCCCAAAAGAACTTGAAAATTTGGAGAAAATTGAGAAAGAAGCAGGTACTTTTTGAGCCACGAGCTGTGGATATATTCCCGAACTAAATCTCAAACTATAAGATTGACCCAGGTACCTACCTAGCCATTGCAGTCGTTGATGTGCTTCTAACCGGCTCCTTAAGGCTGCACGTTGTTGGGTCAATGAGATCCATCTTTTTACGTCGACATGAGCGTATTGAACGGTGGCAGCTGGATATCAGTCTATTGCACATAGCTCATGCACGACGCCTTCTTATCTTGTCCGCTCTCTGATTACGACGCGTTTGACTGCCACGTGTTTGCTGCCGTCCAGTGGATGATATACAGTGGGCGATGCATCTTTCTGTAGATAGTTGTGCCCCTCAAAAGTTGATAAGGAGTGAAGTCTAAGATGGTAATTGTTGGTAATCTGCAAGGTCGGATTATGTTTGTTCCATTGATCGACCTCGCAGCCTGCATTCACGAAGGTACATGGGGTAGTACCTAGACTTTCTTAGTACATGCGAACCATACAAGGATGTATGTCAGCAAGCAGCTATCATGTGCTTTTCTCAAAGCATATGAGCATGACTCGAATTTAAAACAGAGGGCATGTGTATAAATATAGTAAGAATATGATATGATATAGATATGAAGAGTGTGTAAATGCTTACTTGAAGACCAAATGAAAATTGAAAGCTCAACCAGTGTTCGAGATGTCGGAAACAACGGAAGTACCAAGTTGTTCTTTATACAATATGCATGTAATGGATATCTACTGTGTAACCGTTCTAGTACCCGAATGGCAGCCCACCCGCCTTTAGCGCTACTCTACCCCTGACACAAGGCTAAGGCCAGCCAGCTTTCCATGTCCAGCAACTCACGTAAGGTCGCAGGTGAAGGTTTATGCAAGGTCTTCGGTATCTCATGTTCATGCATAGAGTGGAAATCTAACGGTCTGACGAACAACTTCAATCCGGCAAATCAACTACGTCAAACATTTATGCCAAATATATCCTGTTTAATTCTTGATGGCTCCGGTTTTGCCTATCGCCGTCCGATAGAGACATCCATAATACTGCAATACCTTGAAGCATCTCGTGTTCCCCGTGTATAGTGGATAGTGGTCAACTGGTATTGCGTCCCTGAGTCCCCGAGTTCCTGAGTCCCTGCAACTTACAAGTTTCACGCTTTTGTTTGATATTCAATGCTCATCTGAATTGTTTCCTTGACTACTATTGAATCTCAACTCGTCTCAACCCGTCTCTCAACCTTCTCCTTTGAAGGGTAACTCATATGGCGTCTAGATTGTCCCATCTCTTCATGCCGCCCACTCCGCCCAAAGGCTCCGAGCCGAAGCCTGGGTCACTTTCGAGTTCGAGTACTTTCCCTCGTCACCATGCCTCGGAGTCGAACGAGTCTCGACCTCGTGTTCAACGCGCAAATACCATAGAGAATACCACTCCACCGCAAGTTGCTGTTATACAAGATACCCCACCGGAGAGGCAGAAAAAGGGGAAGCTCGATACGTTCGAGTCGGAAACAGCCGATGATGTAATTGAGCCACCCCGGGCTTCCGTGGATATGGATGAGATACCAATTGAACTGGTGAGCAAGACAGACAAGTTGAGTTAAAACAACCTCTCTACATTGAGCATAACTAATGGAACAACTTAGCTTCATCGATTCTCTTTCTGCCAAAGTCCATCCAACGCCACCGAACATTGAGAAGCTTTCTCGACTGTTTCAAGACTTCTACCATGTCGCTGCTTCACATATACGGACCCATATAGATAGCTTAGCTACCCGACAAATCCGGGAAATTTCCCCAACCCCTTCAAGTTATTCAAGGGCCTCTGCAGCTAGTCTGCTAAGATCCAAGGCAGCATCTTTCAGTAATAAGGACAAGACAAAAACAACGCCGACAAAAGAAGAGCAGCAAATGCTCACGGCTGAAGAGTTTGCCGATAGGAAACGAGCTAGGAAAGCGTTAGAGCAGAAAAGAATTCTCCTCGAAGAGGCCGTTGAGAGGCGGCTTTGCGAAGGCATATATGATCGTATATATCGCCATAGAACTACCCAAGACGAAGCGCAGGACGATAGTCTCAGATCCAAAACGGCCGCGCTAGCTCTTGTAGGCATTGGGCCTGTAGACCTGGGAGTTGATCTCGGGACTCCTGCCGAGAACACCCCTGAAGCCCTCGCAGCACAAAAAGAAGAGATTCGAGGGTACCTGGAACAGGCCCGGAAAGACCTAATCTTGATGCACGAGAAGAGGTATCCTCTGGGCAAGCTAAACCACCTCAAAGCCGCTCATAAGAGTATCGTCGATACGTTATCTCATTTTCATCCTTCATCATCTGCCGATGAGATCATGCCGATGCTCATCTATACCTTAATAACCATGCCACCAGAGAAGCTCAATGTAATCAGTGATTTGCATTTCATACAGAGATTTCGATGGGAAGAAAAGCTAGAAGGGGAAGCTGCATATTGCTTGACGAATCTCGAGGCCGCAATCACTTTCCTACAGACGGTAGATCTTGCAAGTCTTAGAGCGGATGAGGCATCGTCGGGCCCCCTAAAACCTGAAAGTCGGCCTGACACGCCGAAGACAGAAACCTTTCCACCCGCTTACACTGCAGGTCTGTCCGTACCAGAGCCTAGCTCGGCTAGTACCAGTTCCGAGAACACCCAAGGCACAAAATCATTGCCACCGTCTACAGATTTGCGAGCCGCCATTCAACGTCGGCGGTTGAGCGACCTTATCCAAACTCCCGCTCAGGCTCTAGGAACGGCAAGCGATTCATTATTCAACACCGCCGACCAAGGCTTCAAGACTATTGGAACTAGTTTGGGCGACAGCTACAAATTTCTACTCGGCAAACTTCGAGATAGTTCCGCCAGTGGCCGAGAGTTGGCAGTCCCGCGAACCTTAGATGAGGCACGAAAACTCATAGGTACTCCACCTCCAGAGGACGACGCATCCGTGGATGGCAGCATTTCCGCTCCAGGAGGCGGCGATGATTCAAAATCACCCGCAATAGCAAAAGACGATAAGATTTTAACCCTGCTTGGCGGCAGGAAGGTATCAAGGGACCGAAGTGCAGACAGCACGAGGAGTGCTAGGAGTGCAAGTAGTTCTAAAAAGGTAGTCTTTGCAGAGGAGAACAAGGAGAAGCCTGCTGCCGCGGCCGAAGGCTCTTCTCCTGGATCCTCTAACCCGGCTCTGGTCGAATCGATGCGGAATTTCGGTAATTCTCTGAACCCCATGAATCGCTTCTCGGGTATAAGCATGATGCGTGGCTTCGGACGCGCAGCTACAACACCTGTCACACCTACAAAGGACGGTACGGCTAGACCGACTGATGGCGGCGACTTAGCTACGGTGAGAACTCTACGGGCAACATGATAACCGAATCCAAGATGAGCTAATTTTATATCTAGGCATTTCCAGATATCGCAGCGGCACTGCCGCCGAAAGACATCCCGAAGATCGATCCGCCCAAGAAGAAATTCATGGACCTACAGAACCCGGCGGATCTCAGGATCGGCGACGTCTTGGAGCTGTTGCGGGATTATCGTCGACTTGCCGGCGCCCTCAAGGATATGGACGCTTTCAAGGAATAGATGGGGCTGGCTTTCTGCGCTCCTTTGCTTGGGCAATTATACTTAGATAACATTTGTGTGCGGTGTCTTCGGTTCATGGGGATACATCTACGGTATATATTTTGCATGGGGTTCGGAGTTTATACACCGCGGGACCTCGTGATTTGAACGGGAGGTTCGGCTTGAATTGGCATTGATATAGAAGGGCAGATCTAGACGAAGACGGTCAATGGAACTATTTATACCTACATACCTACCTTCCTCGTTCTCACTTCAGTGTTCCAGTTTTCCCAGGTATGTTACGAATCAGTAAGCACGTGGGAGGAAAAAAAAGCTGTGTGGAAATATATATCTTCATATCTATAAATCAAAAAGGGGGGATATATTAACAGAGAACGGGGACCCTGACTTTTCTTCGCAAAACGCCACCCACCCAATTTACGGTGGGGGAGAAGAAAAAAGCCAAAAATAAGTAAAAAAAAAAGCAAGATCAAGATCCCGGCCGCGTAGCGTAACGAAGAGTTTCCCATCATCCATCTCAGCAAAAAACAGGTGACAAGAGACAAGACAAGACAAGAACACCCCGATCGATGCTAATCCCTAGGTAGTTATAAGGTATTTACTTAATAAGCTCTGTAAGCTCCTCCTCCAACGGTATGTCCCCCCCTCTGCCTCCTTTCTCTCTCCTGTTTATTTGCTTGCACACTCCTTTCTGCTTTCTACATCGACATCTACAACAGTAGCCCCTTCCTTCTTCCTCTCTTCTTCTCTTGCTTTCCCCGTCCTCCCCTTATTACGTGTACGTCTGTAGTGAAGTGTGATGTGATGTGATGTATAATGGCACGGGCCGTCGTTTCGTAAGCCCAGCCTAACCTAACCCAAGGTTTTGCTTAACTTCCGAGAGATTTGGTGAAAAAGAGTTCTTTTTTGGTAATCCGTCCCTACATTGCGTGTCCCCGATCCTCCGCCCAGGACCGAGCCACCTAAGCCCATGAAGAGAAGAAGGTTTGTAAGTTAAAAGTTAGTAAAACGCGGTTTGACACGGACGGGACTGTGGCTGTAGTCTGTGCTCTCGACTTATTAAAATGGCAGGTCCCCCCTGCCTAGCCTAAGCGGCCCCTATCTTTTACACGACGAAGGTCAAGGACAAGATTATGGTCGAGGATCCACTTAGTGGTACCCATTCCCGTTGCTCTTCTTCGAGGGGCTGACGCGGCCGTTCGTTATATCCTGGAGCGGGCCGCCTCCGCCGCTGCTGCTGCCGGGGCTGCCGCGGCCATCCTGGCGCTCGGGGCCGGTGATCAGCTTCTCCATGAAGCTGATGTAGTCGTACTGGGGCACGCCGCGGTCCTGGGCCATGTCGGGGCCGTGGTGCGGCGGCACGATCTCGCAGAGCTTCTCGATCACTTCATCGGGCACAAGCGAGTGGCGCAGGTCCATCTCCGTCACGTACGGCTTGCCGTCCGCCACCTCGCGGAACGACTGGAACACCTGCTCGGCCGTGTTTTGGTCCTCCGTCACGTCCACCATGAACCGGATGAACTGCTCGAACGTGACCCGGTCGCGCCCGTGCGATGTCTCCAGGAAGTAGTCGTGCATCTCGTCCTCGCTGAAGACCAAGCCCAGCGACGCGAGCGCCGCCGAGAACTCCAGCTCCGAGAGCGAGTTCGTGTCGTCGCGGTCGAAGTGCCGGAACACGGACTCGAACTCTTCGAGCTGGATCGGCGTCAGGTTCGTCATGCTACGCGCTACCATCTGGTTCTCGAGGAAGGCTAGTTTCTTCTGCACAGACGACTTTACGAGTCCTAATTCGTATAATAGCTCGTCGTAGGTGTAGGTCGTGAAGTCGTTCTCTTCAATATTGGCTTCTTGGCACTTGGCGTCGACGGCCGCGATCTTCTCCAGGTACGCATCTAGGGGTGGTAGGTTGTCGCTTAGTCGTCGCACGTGCAATAGCTGGTCTTCCACGTCGCCTTCGAGACCCGAGATGGCGATTTGCATTGTGTTAAGTGCCAGCGCGAAATCGTTCGCCTTGTCGGCAAAAGACTTTCGGAGGGCGTTTTTGATACTGCGAATTTAGTTAGCGGGTGATGTATCAAGCATGCACTCGGCATTACAACTTACTCTCTAATGGTCTCGTTGATGAGCTGGGCACGCATCATCTCAGTTTCGGTTAACCTAGCCCACTCCCTCTCGGTAGTCTCGAGCGATAGCTCAGGTGGCGGTTCATAGGCTCTAAGTCGATACGTGCCCAGCTTAGTCTTGATGTTCCCTAATAACGTGGCTAGGTCACTCTTCTCGGCGACCCAATCTCTCTTCTTGCCCCTTTTATAGGAGGCGAACTCGGCTGCCTGCTTCTTCGCATCCGCATAAGTACCTTCGAACGTTGATTGCTGCCACTGTTCTATCTGCTCTCTGATCTGCCTCAACAACTCCGCCATCCGCCGCTCATAGGCGCTCTGCATCTCCCAGGCCCCTTGCATGTTATTAACAAACTTCTCCACTCGTCGACCGGCATTCTCGACCTTCTCCATCTGCGAGAAGGCATGGAACCAATAAGCGATATACGTCATCAAACTCCTCTCGTCTGGCTTAGCAACGTCGCAAACATCTTCAACATCCAGCAAGTCGGGAATTCCGATCTCCTTATGAGCGATCTCGAAAGCTAGCTGCATGTTTCCGCGGTGATCTGACTTGTCTAAAGCATCGTAGTCGATCAGATCCGGTCGATGGATGTCTAACAGCGCGCAGAAGGCGAGTCCGTCGTTCCAGCTACTACTGAAATCGCGAACGTCAACTTCGTCGTAACATGCCGTCTTGCGTTGACACCACAGTAGAAGACCCTCTTTCGCTGTCATTCCCTCCGCGTTGATGTCGCTGATGGTAAACCTCAGAATTAGGGTCCAGATAAGACCCAGTATGATCTTGCGATTGCCGTCGACTACATCTTCTGCGCCTATATTTGTCATCTGAATCCCCCTTGATTTGATGAAGTCTAGAGCCGTGTTGGCGTTCTCGAACTTTTGGACTCGCAACTTCGGTTTCGCCGCATATCGTCCTAACGATTCGCTCGACAGACATTCGAGAAGATGTATCAGAAGTACCTTGTAAGACAAAGTTAGCGGAAATAACTTGGCTCGGTGCTTTGTAAATAACCTACGGCATCACTTAGGTCGGCAACGAGGTCTTTTACCACTAAGCCCCTTTGCAAAATCTTGGTATTCATCCTAGCATTCCAATCGTGTTAGTTCCAGTTCCCGCGGGCATTAATCAATGAGAAACATGTCTCATGATTAAATGTGACGGAATCAAAATTACTGGCTAACCATTTGGTAAAGGTCTTTTGCTGGACATTGATCCATTGGTGAGCCATCTTGGTCGGGTATTGGCCCCTCGGGGGCTCAGGGGAGGCTTCAGGCGGTAAGGCTAGCAGATGCGATTCAACAGTATGTAGTGTTTAGCGTAGTTTCTTCACCTTCTTCGACTGGATAGCGTATATTTGCTAGAGTCGGAGACAAGGCACAGCGCGTACGGAAAGGAAACTATGAGTATTTCGGGTCGTGGTCAATTAGGGCAGATTGTAGATGGTAGATTGCTTCGAAGTGTTCGCAATCCCAGGGTTCGCTATTAAAAGACGTCACGACGGGATGGGATAGGATACGACAGGACACTGCGTGGGACCGAAAAGGGATCGTGGGCCTCGTCTTGCAATTGGGAGAGTCGGGAGTTTGGGTGGAGAGGAGGAGGAGTTAGAGAATGCAGAAATGCGAAATGCAAAATGCAGATAAACTCGCAGGACGCAGGAGGTTAGGACCAAGGACCATAGTATTCTGTCCTCTCGTCTTCCTGAGTTGCTGCTTGGCTGCTTGGTTGATTGTTGTTAATAACGTTGCATTGGGTTGCCAGGTTTGGGAAGGCTTCTGCAGGATTATGTTTAATTGTGTACAATTGTACCTGTTGTGTACCTTGTCCAATCGTCCACAATTGGTTGCCCAGGGGATCCCCTCAGCCCCTATTTCCCGCCCCGCCCACGCTCTACCCACGCTCTACGGCTAACCCTACCCGGTCCCCACTTTATGCCACTTCCTTCTATCGATAAAAACATTAAACCGTGGGCTGCGTCTAGATTGTTCCCCGAAATGGAAGTAGGTCAACCTCGGGAATCGATTTCCGACGGAGAATAGAGTTCTTACAATTGTATAATAGCCGCGTCATTCTAGGGATTGAATTTTCTAAGAAGTTTATTTACCTTTTTCTGTATAATCTAATTTGCTTACAAGTCTTCATCATGGCAAGCAGGTCAAGACTTGCCCCGGTCTTGAGGCGGGTAGGAACGCCTAGCCTGAGAAAATCCGCGACGACCTTCAACCCCGCCGTGTATGCCACTCGGCATATATCTAGTACCACGCCGAGACGATTTCGAGACTCGAGCGCACGAGCCGCCAAGTTCACAACAGAATCTTACCCAGAACTCAAACGAGACAGCCGTTTTGCCCAGTTAACAAAAGAGCATGTGGATTATTTCAAGGGGATCCTCGGCAGGGAGTCCGCCGTAATCGACGGCGTGACTGCCGATGCAGCGGAAGATGAGATAGAACCGTTCAACCTCGATTGGATGCGCAAATTTCAGGGCCACTGCAAATTGGTATTAAAGCCAGGATCACCCGAGCATGTCAGCAAGATCTTGAAATATTGCAACGAACATTCATTGGCCGTTGTTCCCCAGGGTGGTAATACTGGTCTAGTCGGTGGTTCCGTACCCGTATTTGACGAGATTGTTATCAGCGCTAGCCGAATGAACCAAATCCGGTCCTTCGATGAAGATGCCGGTATTCTAGTCGCCGACGCTGGTGTCGTCCTAGAAGTGGCCGATCAATATCTTGCCGAGAAGGGCTACATTTTCCCCTTAGATCTAGGCGCCAAAGGCTCGTGTCATATCGGCGGTAACGTTTCGACCAATGCTGGTGGGCTCAGACTACTCCGCTATGGAAGTTTGCACGGCACCGTTTTGGGGGTTGAGGCTGTTCTGCCTGATGGGACGATCATCGATGACCTGAGCAAGCTGCGAAAGAACAACACCGGATACGATCTGAAACAGCTCTTCATCGGCGCGGAGGGGACCCTTGGCATGCTCACCGCGGTCTCGATACAATGTCCCAAGCGATCAAAAGCTGTCAATGTTGCTTTCCTCGGCGTCGAATCGTACGATAAACTTCTACAGGCTTTCAGGGAAGCCAAGTCGCAGCTTGGCGAAATCCTATCAGCTTTCGAAATGATGGATTCTCAAAGCCAAGCTATATTCCACAAGGTAAAGGAAAACAAGCGACCGCTGGATGGAGAATACCCATTCTATTGTGTAATAGAGACAAGTGGATCGGATTCCGAACACGACAACGTGAAGTTAGAAAGGTTCCTTGAAGACATTATGTCCAGAGAGATCGTCACCGACGGTGTTGTGGCGCAAGATGAAACCCAATTCAGGGCACTTTGGAGTCAAAGAGAGGGCATCACAGAAACTCTAGGTCATTGGGGCGGAGTCTATAAATACGATTTCTCGATTCCGCTCAAATCCATGTACCGGCTTGTGGAAGATGTCAGAAAGAGGCTTGAGGATATGGGACTAAAAGGCGATACCGATGACTATCCCGTCGTGGATGTCGTCGGGTATGGTCATATGGGTGATTCGAACCTACACCTTAACGTCGCAGTGCGAGGATTCAATAAGAAGGTGGAAGCAGCCCTTGAGCCATACGTCTATGAATGGGTCAGCAAGGAGAACGGCAGCATCAGCGCTGAACACGGTTTAGGCTTAACCAAGAAGAAGTACATCGGCTATAGCCGTAATGATGGCATAATAGAGTGGATGAAGAAGATTAAGAAACTCTTCGATCCGGTTAGTATCCATCAATCCCTTGCGTTTAAGTCTGCGTGCTAACGTCACCCATAGAACGGAATTATGAACCCTTATAAGTATATATAGACTATAGATCTCTTTAACTACTACTGTTATCTATAGTAAGGGATTAAAAGGCAATACATCAAAACACCCACGAAGGTTCGGTCCTGATCAGCCGGAAGCGCCATTTTATGATCCAGAGCATTGCTGTTACAACTGGCACAATGCAAATTTAGTGTAAAACCTTGTACTTTCTAATCCTTGGCTACCGACTTGTGCCAGTTAAGGAGATGGACCACCACCGCTCAAGAGGATAGTCTCTTCCAAAACAAGGACGGGATTTACGTCTTCGCGAGTCCAGGTCATCTTGGTTGGTATTTCAAAAGGGATATCCACAACGGCATGTGAGGCGCACTGGTTTCGATGATGGGATGATATATGAGTGGTTTAAAAGCGATTGATAATATATTCCAAACCCTATCTTCTAAGCATGTTTTCATATATGAGATCGATAATGAGTACCTAGTTAAAGCCAGGTGAGTTCTGAATCTATGTAGGTCGTAGCCGGAGATGGACTTATATATAGCTTATCGATAAACCAAGCACTTCGATTAGATAAGGGGTGGGAGTTATGTAGGAAATTTACATACTTCCTCTTCACAGATCGTCATCGACCTCAATATCCGCACGAACCTCAACACGAAATAATCTTACATCGCAATTGTCGAATAGATAATTAGTCGTCTTCCAGGGTTGTATACTTGATACCTACCTCTTCACGCACTAGATTTCACAGTACTTCCCCAAATCTAGCATTCGAACAATCCTCCACAAAAATGGCCAGCGTAAACCTCGACGACTTCGACATGACCAAGCTAAGCGACAATGAGAAGAAAGACCTACAACAGTTCCTAGCAAACGAGACTCAAAAAATCAATTTGCAAACCAGTACGTAGCTCCATCTCCCTTTTCCCCTCGTCTCTTGCCCCCCATTCACTCCCCTCCCCTCCGTCCTATCCGCAAGCCACGAATAAGCAGGCGCATCGCATCCCATATTCCTCTTCGCCGCCCTACACGCGCGCCCTACGCACCAATAAAGAAAACCCCGACCAAAAAAAAAAAAAAAAAAAAAAAAAAACGTAGAAGACTGGAAAGCTACCTACTTCGAAAGACCCCAAAGTTCGGTTCCCGCTAACACGTGCGAACTTCTCCGGCCCGCAGAAATCCACACCCTGACGGATAAGTGCTTTAGGAAGTGCATCACGGGCACGATCCGCTCCAACACGCTGGACAATAGCGAGCGGACCTGCCTGGCGAACTGCACCGAGCGGTTCTTCGACGTGGCCTGGTTGTCCATAACGTCTATGCAGAGCAAAGGTGGTAATAGTTGAGGTCTGGTGGTATAATATATATGACCCCGTGTCGGTTGGTAATAGGAAAAAAAAACATCCCACAATAGCGGATTGTACGGAGCTATGCTGGGACTACGGGTTGAAGGCGCACTACATAAGGAGCCACGTCAAGGATGATATGAGCGTTATTCGTGAAGTCATATCATGTGTGGGAATACGAACATATAGTCACTACTCATTAGACACCTAGAAAGTACACAGGCAAGCAAATCACCCAAGGGAACTCGGTTTGTATTTGTTTGGGAATCAATTCTTTTCCGTTGATCTCATATGCCTAACCGTAGGCAAAGCAACGCCAGCCCTAATGCAAATGTCCTTCCCTGGTTGGGAGGCGCATCTAATCTGCTAACCCGTTGCCAAATCATCCCGCAAATCAAGCGTCCTCCCTCGTAACTACTCTTTCAGACGAGAGCAAGCTTGGTAGCCGCAATGTCCAGAGCGTCCACGTCGGCAGTCAGGCGGCAGTAAGCCTTCTTGGTACCGTTGGGTCTACGTTGGGAAGTCAGCACTTGTCACTTTGAATAGTAGTATGATTCGGACTCTGAAACATACCGGATGAGGGTGTTGATCTTGACGGTGTCGATGTCGTAGAGCTTCTTGAGCGACTGCTTGATCTGGGCCTTGTTGGACTTGGGGTCGACAATGAAGACGAGGGTGTTGTTCTCCTCGATCTTCTTCATAGCGCTCTCGGTGTTCAACGGGTGGACAATGATCTTGTGCTCGTCCAGGCGAGGCTCGTGGGGGAAGGACTTGCGGTGGTACTTAGGGGATCGCGAGAGCTGCAGGGTCTTGGGTCGGTGGAAAGTAGTCGAGGTGCGAACCTTGCGCTTCTTGTGGGGGTTGTCCTATGGCACAATTAACATCACCATTTGTAACGAGAGCATCGGTTATTCCAAGATAACTTACGCCACGGAGGGCAGCCTTGGCGGCGGCATTCGCCTGCTTCATGCCCTTCGGTGCTTTGGAGGCACCTCCTGTATTAGAAAATAACGCATCAGCAATCGCTCTTTAATCAGAACTCGCAAGATCTGCTCTGCTAGATGCGTCGGCCGGAGAGGCGCGCGCGCGAAACAAACAGCGCCGACTTCGACGGAAGATTCATATCGAAGAAAATTCGAGACTCTAGGTTATGGTGGCATACCCTTCGTAGAGACTTTAGGACCCATCGTGATTGTCGTTGGCGTTTGGCGTTAGAGTCGTGGTTGTCGGAATACTCTAGGTTGATGAAATATCTTTTCAAGTTTCCAAACGTGCACGTTTTCTTGATAGAATCAAAATTTGGTGCGGCACAAAGCAAGCGGTAATGTGGATCTGGCTAAGCGAAAATTTAGGGCAATTGGAAGGTCCGAGCTTCTAATTGGGTGGAAATCTAAGACCGAGGCGGGGACTTGATGATGCAGCTCCGAAAACTTCAAGTGGATCTATTCAATTATGTAAGGACCGTATATATACTGTGCATTGCACCTTCAATACTCAAATGTCAACCACAAAGAATACTAAAAACATACAGTGCATCTTAGTGACAGATAAACGCTGTGCACTGTCCCTCTACTTCACAACATATCACCGTTCAAATTCCTCGTCTTGATATTTGAAAGAGTGACAGCTACGCCACCGCTCATCATGGCGGTAAAGAAGAAGGGCCGTACGAAAAATCTGGCCGCAGGGCGACCCCCAACAACTCGGAAACCCAAGTCTATATCGAGGAAAGCTACCAAGGCCTTGATCAACTCTCATCATCTCCTGGAGAAAAAGAAATCTCAGGCTATCGCTAAAGGAGACCGAGCCGCCGAAGCAGCGATTGACAGTGAGATTGCTGCCCTGGGTGGGATCGAGAAGTACCAACAGGCCAGCCTCCAAGGTCAGCGACTCGACCGCGGGGGAGACAGTTCTCATGTGCTAATGGAGTGGATTAAACCAACGGGTTCTGTTCCCCTTTCTTCTGCAGGGACTTCTGCAGAGACCCGCTTGAAAATGCTCGAAGTTGGAGCCTTAAGCACTACGAACATATGTTCAAGAAGTGGATTATTCGATATGGAAAGGATAGACTTAAACAGTCAAAGCGATGGCATTGTGCAGCAGGATTTCATGAAGAGGCCACTTCCCAAGAATGACTCTGAGCGGTTCGACATCATTAGCCTCTCATTGGTCTTAAATTTCGTTCCCGATGCTATAGGACGAGGTGAGATGCTCCTTCGGACTTTGGATTTCTTGAAGCAGCCTGACACAGCTTGCTCGTCTGGACTACGTGATCTTTTTCCGAGTTTGTTCATGGTTCTACCTGCACCAGTAAGTCGAAGCCCCGGTGTCCAGGTTATTCCCCTGAGTGTCCTAAGGGATATCGAATCCTGGATGCCTACCTTCAATAATGCATGTACACTATATGACAACAATCACCATGTTCATTTGCTATCATGACAACCTTTGCTGATTGCTAGCCCATTTAGTGCGTCACTAATTCAAGATATATGAACGAGTCTCATATGGAGATGATTATGAATACTTTAGGATATGTAAAAGCCAAGAGCAAGGTCACCCAGAGACTCGTATATTATCTTTGGGTTCTTCGAAAGGCCCCCACCCGGTCATTCTCTGCAACGTTCAAGAAGGTTGAACTTCGATCCGGTCATTCTAGGAACAACTTTGCGGTCGTGCTGCGTGGCTCATCCTCCGGGTGATATCCGAATCAAACCATACGAGGTTTCTGGCTTCATCAATAAGATGTGCAATCACCTAATAAATCTAGCTCTATGAGCAGATTGATATGACGGTGGACATCGTCATCGCATTAGACTAGCGTTGAGGCCGTTTATCATCCCGGGAATCACATTCGCATGTCCACCAATGCCGGACGTCGGTTCTTTCGTTTACCCCAAATCCTCTCATGGTCTAATTCGTCCGGTGTCTATCCACATAGACGCGCTTCCTAATAATCTGATTATTGCAGCGCTTATCCAGCCATCGAGATCGACAATGTATTCGAATGGGCCTCAGCCTACCCCGCAGGGGGGCCTCAAAGTTACATAACTACCCGATAGGTTTGAAGGTTGCCCACCAACAAGACCACACCATCTTGGTCAGGCGACGCCTGCGCCTTTCGTCCAGGTAATGGTTGATCAAGGCTCTTTGGGGTCCCGTTAGCCTCTAGAGGGGCCACTTGAGACATCTCTGTGATCAATTACCTAATATAACCGACGATGGGAGGCACATCTTACCCCAAAAGGATCAATCACAAAGCTCTGACTATACGATAATCCCTTCCGGCCGTAGTCGTCTACCTTAGTGTGGCATAAGGGACCAGTGCTCGAATCGGCTTGAACCACACACATGGGATTAGGTACTTCTCCAGTCCCCAACGATCTACTCGGCAATTTTATCCGTGGTTCGTCTTAAAGAACCCCTTCGCGTTTGAAACCATCGTCACTAGCGACACGTGGGAATATGATAGAAGGAATATCAATATGGCGAACACGCGTTCGCCACCGAAGAACTGATAAGATGGTGTTCTAGAACTAACAGTTACCTGATTGGGTATTTGAACATCGTCGATGACAAGTATGCCTAGATGAGCAAAAGGCCTTTCGACGACGTCGAAGTCATGTTCATTATGGACCATGCTAGTTTATACCACTATCAATTGGTTGCTTGTCTAGTGAATCGACTAGGGAAAGTGGCCAGGCTTCCAATTTGTCGGATTCCTTCTCTGGATTCTGGACAATTAATTCGTGAAACACTTATTCGGATTTGGCCTCAGGACATTGCCCCTGCGCGCCTCGAATGGACGGACCCCCAACTGGGAGTCTAGGCCACGATGCTACGATTCATACACTCGGGTTGCCAAAGGCAACGACGAGAGTGTGCCTTACCTACATATGGGGGTAGTCTTGGCTCCAATGACGAGGACTTAGACCCCGCTTTGGTCAGATGACGGACGGCCGATCGAGCATTCTCGAATGCCTTACTTCGTCTACATCGTAGGAGAAGTCCTTAGCACGTATGGATGGACTCTACTCGCCGAATGACGAGTCAGGTACTTATATTTGTTTTTACCCCGGATTCAAGTACGGGGATCTTCTTAGCCCCGGTCGCCGGCCCGCCTCAATCAAACTAGCCGGGGTTATCGTGAAGCAGCTTTGTAGCTGATATCACGTATGCATTGGAGATCATTGGAGTGATGAGAAGTAACCTAAGTATGTACGAAACTCATACATTGAAATTTGTTTCCATGCGAGATGATATTCTATCAGCGTCTGTGACATACATCAAGCCTTCCCCGCCCTTCAAAAGCGATATGGGAAATTGCCTGAAATTGATACTTAATGCCCGTCGTAAGGGGTCACACCACCGATAGTGTTACGGCGAGCTATCCCTTGGTCCCGAGACATTTACTACCGGCGAGATTAAATTACGGACATGAAGTGTTACCTGTCATTCATTGTTCTAGATGAGGCGAATTTCCCATGTCTCGGATATCAAGTTTAGTGCAAGTGAATCGATGCCCGTAGGCGATGTTTCTCGACGTACTGAGCTACCCCTGGCCACATATCCAGAGCACAAGAGTACAAATGCGCTACGAGATCCCTCAGATTAGAGTACAACACGTAAGGGGAGGAACTTTTGGATTTATTAGGTAGCAACCGGAGCACGCCGACTGCTCCCCCACATCAAAGTTGAGTGCCGGCCGATTTGCGAGTCCTCGACACCCTCCGCCGGAAGGGCAGAATCGGATTGGCTCGCCGGTGTGATTCCGTCACACTCAGTATTTTTTTCCCTTTGGTCTTATTTGCTTCCATTCCTTAACTGTTGTAATCGCCTCCATGTTGAGAGTTGTGTTCTCGTCACGAGCCCTCATTCTAGTCGTCGCCTTCTCCCGCCCCTTGCCAATTAATTTCCACGGACGTTAAGATCATCATCTAGAGAGTCGAAAGTCTCTATGACCTGTAGGCGTTGCGGTACTTCAGGCGAGAGGGGCGCATTGCCTGGACGTTGAACAACCACACTTCGCATGCCCGCCTCGATGGCGGCATCTACCTCCTTGGTGTTATCACTCAGGAATAACCACTGTTCTGGTGGGAATTCGGGGTGTCTGCTAGCAATGGTCTTGTAACTGCTTGTTTCCGTCTTGAGGCCGGCATTGACAGTATCAAACCAGTCAGAGATCTGCGGTGTCAGATCTGACGGGGAGGCATCTGTGTGGCCAAAGAACAACTTCTGTGCCGCAACAGATCCTGACGAATAGATCATGATCTTGAGGCCCTTATTTCGCCATTCTGCTAGCTTCCCAGGTACATCCGGGAATAGGGGTGCCTTCAAGTCGCCCGAAGCATAGCCTTCCTCCCACAAGTAACCTTGTAGACTTTTGAGATAGGCAATTTTCACATCCGCCTTCACAAGGACTCCGAAATGGGTTTCCAATGCCTCTTTAGACGAAGAATACTCCGGTGGAAATGCGTTTTTGTACTTTGCAAAATCTGGGTTGTCCCACTGGGCTTCCAATGTCTTCGGAAGAGCCTTCAAGGCGTAGGGGAACTAGAATCATCATCAGTCAACCTGGATTCTCTACTCGAGATATCCATAGACTATCAGAACCCGGCTACCATGACAACTTTGTCATCGACTTTGAGTTACCAAACGACGCGATTCCTGATAACCGGCCAAAATTAATTGAGACCGACCTGACTTAGGGTTGCATAGAAATTCAATATAGAGTGCATCACAACCGCCATCTGAGTGGGATCGCTGTCTTGGTACAGGGCTAATGCTACAAGGGTGGCAGGATTGGGGAACTTGGGTTCGGAGCAGTGCAGTCTTAGCTGGGGATGTCTTACCAGGACATCTTTGACAAAAGAGATTGGACAAACTGTGCCCTCTAAGGATACGTATTAGCTACCATTGCAGGCTATTGCGCCCAGATGTCTAAGATGCTAGGTAGGAGATATATGTAAAGCAAGGGCAGGCTCAGAGCTGTCCTTACCGATGTCTAGCAATACGACTTTAACGGGAGCAGATGCGGCCATGGTCATCGACAACAGATGGGACCGTGGGTCTCCCGTCTTTTGGATCTTTAGATCTTACGATCTCTGTATTGCGTAAAACCTAGCAGGCTGGGGAGAAGCGGAAACCAATGCAAGTCTTTCCCGTCGATACAGAGCGGTGAAGGAAAAGTTCGCAGGGAACCCGATCGTAAAATAAGATAGATTCGCGAGCAGCAGAAAATTTTATTTCTACGGCGTAGGTCTGAGCTTCGACCGAGGATAATACCGAATCAGATAAGTCAGATACGAACGTTGGAAGGTGAAAAAAAAGTTTTTCCTTTACACGGCACACCGCGTCTTGGAGACGTGTCGTCGAGAAGGCGGTCAAGAGGCCAAAAGATGCGAAAGAGTAGGGAATAAGGGAATCGGCCAGGAACATAATCCGTACCCTATAATCCGCTACTGCACCAACAAGGTTTCGGCAGACTTGATGCGACGAGACTTAAGCAAACCCCAAAGACCAAGACCATGCGATCTGCGAGGACGTGTGGGTTGGGTGGATAGGTGGATGACTTGCTTGGTTAGACACGAGTCCAGGTTTAGAAAGAAGTAATATTTAGAACGGGTTAGAGGGTTTAGAAAGACCACTCGGCGGCGAGAGCGACGGCGCATAACGATAACAATTATCAAAAATGGAAGGACCACGGCCGGAAGTGGATCTTTAAAAACTAGCGTACCGAATCGATAAGACCGAAACGAGAATAGACTGGGCATGGACCATTCAAGATCGAAGGAGCTACTGCATCTTTTGCATCTTGCTGCATACAACATTGAAGCAAGACAAGGAGGGTACGTATTCCTGCATATCGGTTACATAGCCGTGTTTTCAACAACGCATACATCAACCATCCCGTCAGCCGTACCAACCTCCAAAAAGTATACAATATCCTCGGTATCTCACTAGTATAGAGAAGGCTGCGATACGACGTGTGCCCGTCCAACTGGATAGGTAGGCATTCTGTAAATCCTACAACGAAGCGAGCTCGTCATAGTAACGACGATAAAAAGTCCCGGACAGTTCGAGCCTCTTAATATATTCATTAATAGGATCCTACCTAAGCCATCGTTCGGGAAAGTCCAACAGCACTGAGCATACCAGCATACCTGACGATACTTAGCCTTATAGTAGTACTATGATAGTACTATATCCACTACTGACTTACTAGTATTGATACCTTGTTTTTCCTGCATCGAGACTCATGCATGAAGGGATGAACAACATTTGGAGATGCATCCCCAAAAGGGCTACGCTGCGGTTTAGCCATCACCAGCCATCGTCAGCCACCACGTTTTGCGTGTTTGCACGGCCCACCGCCTTGACGACTTGCAGCAACTTAGTCTACTATGGTACCATATATCGATAGGGATCATATGGTATCATAACACTCGACAATCGAGATGCGTGTCTTTAGCCTGAGTACAGACGATGGAGAAACGACAAAGCTGATAACCAAGGCCGAATAGCTTCTAACGCGCCCAGAATTCTGCTCGCTAGGCTTTCGCAATGATGTCGTAGTCTTCACCGCTAGACTACGTCTATAGTCTATATCAGTGAATCTATAGGTATAGATCTTGTAACAAGATGACCGAAAGTGTTTCGGGAATCGCGTTCGCTAGCAGATTCCCAACATGCGCCCGCGTGGGGTCGGCGACATGTCTTTAAAGCATTCGATCTATGTGGGCTCACCATCAGTTTATCAATCTGCCAGCTTGCCCAGCTTACCCGTTGAGATTGCCGAGATGTTTGAGGCCGTTTGAGGCCGATCGCGGGAGAAGTATGACTCGCTCGTCGTTGTTTGGCAAGTTTTGGGTTGCTCCGGACGAGGCCCAAATATTTTGGGCTTGAAACCGTCGAACGCGTATCTGGCATTGTCAAGTCATGCGTGACGACGGTCTTTCGGCCGGCGTCGGAAACAGTGGTACGCTACCGCTTCCGTCTAATTTTCTATTCGACAATCTTTTGTATAGCGTCCTTCGCTGGAATGCTCTGGACGACACATAGTTCGAGACATTGCCGTTCTGAGGTCACACGACAGGAAATCCATCCTAACTTAGGAAACACAGCTGTCAGACATCACACATAGGGCACACACACACATACACACGGACACACGGACACACGCAACCCGTCGTGGACCAACTGTGGAATGTCTCCTTCCAGGCCTGCCGAAAGGGGCGAGGCGATCAGTCATCTTCCCCAAAGTATTGCATCATGTTCGATTGCCCTCCCCTCTGACCCCCTCCCCCATATCCCATCGTGAGATCTGCTCGCCGTGTAGGATCACTTATCTCCCCTTAGTGGGAGATGATGCCAACCTGCGTCAAAACGTATCAGCCAAAGGCAGCCTAAAGATTGCCCCAGATTTAACCCGGCAATTCCCAGAGGACCCAACAATTCGGGGGTTAGGATACGCCGTAGACCCCCAAGGGTACCATCCAATGCCCGCCGTGTCCGGTTCATTCAATTATTCAATTCGCAATTCGCAATCCTTCATTGTTTATACCGGGTGGAGCCCCTTTTATTAAACAACAGTACTTGACCTAATAATACTTACCTAGGTACATACGCGGCGTCTTCGAGACGCTCGGGTTTTCGCGCGCGCGCGCCCGTCGTACCTGGCTGGCCCAGGTTACCCGGGATTTTCAGGTATTACTATTATTATGCAAACTTCAAGTCCCTTATTCTCATAGGGATAGAGTGCTTCATTGCTCAATTCGTTAATTCGCAGGTGTAACACTGCGATCGACTTGGAAGCTTCAGCACTCTCTAGTTGGTTGACTATCCTGAAATGCGCCGACCCGGGTGGTCACGAAAATGGTGGCCTGCATTCAATTGAAATTACACAAAGGCGGTCAATGTCGCCAGAAAGCCAAATCGTCCCAATCTTCAAGGCCATCTAAGCAAAGCTTAGTTGCTTTGGAGAGAGGAACGAAAGACGCGGATGATGCAGGTAGAAAGGAGTGCATATGCTATTAGCCAATCAGCTAGCGCCCTAGCTTACAAGTGAAACCGAAGATGCTGGAAGACTTGAGCAGTTCGAGACGCAAATCATTGGCCTTCCATCAGAGAAGATCGTGGGGTCCTGTCGCAACGTGTCCAAGTCTCCCTTTGTGCCTGGGAAGACGCCAGCAGGCTTTTAATGCGATACCTTGTCGAGGATAAAGTATACTTGTCGATCCCACCATTCAGGAAGGAGGGCTACATTGGCTTTTGGTTCCTTGCTTCCCTTCTGCCTGCTTAGCTGTCATATAAGTCTGTTATCAGGTACCGGCCTCACAGGTAGATGGCGGTGTGGCGATCCCGGCCTAGTGTTCGCTAATCACGGAAGCCTATTGTATACCGTGCATTCGTTAGCGGCATTCCTACGTGCAGTCCGTGCCCAATCCGCGTGGTCAGCTTTCATGATTCGACAAGCTTCTAGCTCTCTCTCGCTGTACTGGCTGTTGAAGCTTGAAGTGTCCAGTTCTGATTAATCTTGAGCATCCATAATCTAAGATTATCGGCACTGTAGGGACGTGTTATGGATGTTTACGGCCGAGGCAAATCTAAACATGGTATGTGACGAAGCAGCTATGGAAGTACTTCTTTATCTCGAAACATTCCACGCGAAACTCTCCCCTTTTCGAGAACACGACGATGTACTATCCTAACTGATGGCGTGGCATGGCGATATTATTAACTTACCTTTCTATCGTCATTACCTTGCAATTGCTTACTCTTTGCTGCTCTTTCTGCTTCCTTCCACAGTGTTGGCACTGCCCCTTGTCTACGTAATAGCTCAGACAAAGGGCATCTGTACATCTAGACCTAGCTGTAGCTAGCTAAACTCTACTTCAATAGACTTTGATTACTGATGAAATTTGATGCTTCAATGTTGTTATGCTGGCAGGTACGAACCTCGAGGTACGTACTCAGGTACACAGGTATCCAGTTATTCCGGGGGTGTTTCTCTTGACTTTTGCTTGCTTTGCTTAACTTTCCCCCTTGCCCTTCCCCCAGTCACGAACCACCTATGTACGTACACTACGTACAGGACTCCACCCAGGCGCAGCAGAAGGGCCCACATTTGTTACCCATTCAAACTGTTCGCTCCATCCATAGACTGCCTGCATCGCTCCATCCTCGTCCCACCCAACATCCAGTCCAGGCTTGCAGCCAGCCCATCGCCCATCGAGCCCACCTCCACACAACCAACTTCGTTTTACTATTATCATCTCCTTCTTGTCTACCTTACCACACCACATCTACTCTCTTCCAGTCTCGCCATCCATTTCCTACCGCTTCCTCTCCTCTATCCTCTTACTATCTTAATCTTCGTCTCGTCGCTCACTGTTCCTTTTCTCTCTACTGCCACTAAGCATCAAGCTGTTGATTCCGCGTGTTTCCATTCCCAAATCTTAGCAATCTTAGTACCAAGTGTCAATTAGTCAACCAAGTCAACAACAAGAGAGAAGAGGATCTGGATCTTAGCTTCCTATCCCGATAACCTCAATTAATACATAGCAAGCCAATCTCTCCTTCCTTTGAGCGACCATTGGTCTCTTTGAACCTGCTTCCTTACAACTCGATCATCCCAATCGGTCACGACCAACCCTCCACTTTACCTAATTCCATTCAACCACGAAACGGGTTCTTTGTCTGTTGAGCTAGTGATAACCATCGGCAAACAAATAAAACGTCGACTTAGAAAAAGAGCCATCAACCGCCGCCCATCTCAACGACAAACCAGCAAGCCAGAATACTAGACTTGATAAGCGACTTCACCACGTCACACCCGCCCTTGACTCGTAATCTGATAGCCTGGAATCTGGATCCGCACTGAGCCAGGACCACCAGGAACACCTTGCAACAATAACCACTTCGACGAACTTCCACTACCAATCCACGCTATTGATACAAGGTCACGAGGAGTCATAGTATCCCTTTCCTTAGCTATTGAGCCAAGTTGCGGGAGTCGACAGTAGTGAAAGCCCCTTATTTGATAGCATCAACTACAAATACCAAACCGCCAACAACCCGTTCTGCTAGCTCCGATCTCGTGGCCGACCAGTCATCCAACGGCTTGGTCATTCAAAGCCACATAAACCCTCAAGCGTCCTCCCGCGTCCTTCACGAACATCTTAACTCGACTATCATCTCGTACGGATGCTACTTGAAGCTTAAGAACTAGTAGAGAACTGCTGCATACAGCAAAGGACCGCCGCCTTCGGACACCCGTTGCGAGAACCGATTCGTTGACTCACCGCTCCTCCAGTATATCAACGACAGCAACGCATATACATACATAATCTCGTCTTCAAGCTCCACCACCCTAAAGCTTGTAACAACATATCCAACCACGGACACTCTTTTTCATATTCACACTATCGTATCCATGTCCTTATAACGACCTTTTCCTTTCACTCTTTCAGGACCACGCGTCCCAACTGTTCACGATTATTTCGCCGCTTTCATTTGTTCTACAAAATTTTGACATACCCTGGATGAGCCTCTGACCTGTTAACGACCTGGAGTTATTTGTTTTTCTTTTCCCATAAACGGCATATTGTATATCGCTTCCGATCTCTCAACAACTCGACCTCTTCTCTTACTTGGGTTGGCCAACTTCGCTTATCAACTGTTCTCTCCCATCTATTCTATCCCATCGCTTCCGGCACCTTTCTTGCTCTACTTCTAGCTCTGTACAAGAACGCAAAAAAACTTTCCATCGGTTTCAAGCATCCAGATACCCTTCATATTCCCTTTCCAATTAGACATCGGGCAAGGGGATAGGAATTTGTTCACTTGTACGATCAGCTACGGTTGTTTAATCAACCGGTTTCTTCCTTCACCACTATTCAGATACCTGTCTCACGTCGAGACAGCGTCATGGAATGCTTGAGAAACAAGTTTTACGATGGCGTTATTCTCGATGGGAGGTTTCAAACAATCGCCCCTCTTAATCATGGATCTTTCGGAATGGTCTTCACGGCCAAGGATCTGCAAACCAACGAGCTCGTCGCTGTGAAGTGTTTAACCAAGAAGGGCGCTGCCAACGAGGTCGGAATCGAGTTTGCTGTGGATGAGAATTCCGAGGAGCTTCTCTGCCACCGCCGTCTAGGTGCCCACCCCAACATTGTCAACTTGGTCCACTCGTTCGAGACGGATGCCCACGTCTACCTCGTTCTCGAGTATTGCTCGCGCGGCGACCTGTACGAGGCCATTCGCACCGGATCCGGCCCCCTCGAGACTGAACATGTGCGCCAATTCATGCTTGAACTCGTCGACGCTGTTTCCTACATGCATTCGAAGGGAATCTACCACCGAGACATTAAGCCCGAGAACATTTTCCTCGCCGAATCGGGTGCAATGAAGCTTGGTGATTTTGGATTGGCTACTACAGATAGATGGAGCTACGAGACAACCGTCGGAAGTGATAGGTACATGTCACCGGAGCAGTATGACTCGGCCGGAGCTGGATACTCGCCAGCCCAGGCGGACATTTGGGCAATCGGCATCTGCCTGCTCAACATTCTCTTCTCACGAAACCCCTTTAACACCCCAACCGAGGACGACCTCTTGTTCCTGGATTTCTCACGTGACAAGCAGTCGCTCTTTGACGTCTTCCCTACCATGTCTCAAGACACTTACGAAGTCATCGTTCAGTGTATGAATCTTGATCCTCAGAAGCGGTCGCTGGTGGGTGCGAGGAACGCCCTTCGCCGTGTTGTCAGTTTCACCACCCTCGAAGAGGCGCTTGATGATTTCTGCACGGCCGAGCGTTCCAACGTTGCTACTGCCAACCGCGAGCCTCTGCGGACTCCTTCAGTCCAGAGCCCCCAGGTCGATCAGGGTGCGTTCCCGTGGGCCAAGGCCTTGCATGCAAACACGTTCCAAGGCATCCGCCAACTCAGCGCTATCCCTGACGATGAGAGTTACACTGAGGACCTCTTCTCCAAGTCGGGAGGTACCACGGATTGGATGTCGGGCTCTGTCGAGACACCTTCTATTTCTTCTATCTTGACGTCTAACCTCGCGGCATCTATGAACCCTCTCAACATCTCGCGACCTATGGATGTACCGACCCGCGCTCCCAAGGTGTCCCCTATGTCAGGATCTTTACCAATTACTATGTCCAAGCCTAGGCCGACTCTCAGCGCCATGTCCATGGTATTCGGTCGCCAGAAGGAAGCCGTTTCCAAGAGCTGGAGTGACATGTGGGATGAGGATTTTGAGGAAGATGAGGAGGAACGTGCCCGTCAGTTGAAGGCGCTCAAGGAGCTCAATTCGAGGACCTGGAGTCAGGAGAGCAAGGAGGCTACCCGCACCCCCAAGCAGGATCAGGCATCCTTGCACCAGGCGCCAGCGTCTGATAATGAGAAGCCTGAGGCTTCGCCTGTGAATGATACTATATCGAACGATATCGACGGGGACTTGGTTGCGGATGGATTTTTCTTTCACGAACCCGTCGCTGTTGAGCAGCCTCAGGAATTCCCGCCTCGCTACTCGCCACCGTCGAAGCGCAGTCACCTCGACAAGTGGGAGGCACTTGGGGAACGCCGCAGAGCTGCGACAGGAGCATCGGAACCCAAGTCGCCGGACTTCTCAACGAAGTCTCGACGACAATTCGGAATCGGCTTTAATAATTTGCAAGGAGCAGGTATGGGACTTTGGGATCACGCCAATCAACAGCACACCAACACCAACAACCATCACCATAAGTGGAATCGGGATAATCGCGCCACATCACGCGAGTGCCCATGGAACAAGGGCCGAGATTGGAATTGGCGGAAGGAGAGACGCCATGATCTCGATATGGAGTGGGTTGGCCACTGGCAGGAAGCTCACTGAGCTCACCCTAGCCAGCGTCGCCACTTGTAGTTGAGCTCATCATTCCACAACCGCACGGGTAATGTCTAATAACGGGTTTACTGCTGCTGCTGCTACTTTCTTTCGTTGGTACTCTTACCATTTCTTGTTCTTAATACAATTAGGACCTGTACTTTTTCGGAGCAGGAGATGAATGGTTAAGAAAGAAGGAAATTGTAAGAAAAGAGGCCATGATTTCTTTTTGGACCAGCATGGATAAAAAATTGGCTTTGGCTCCTTGTCACTTGGATTGGATTTGGATCGTTAACATGACGCAGTTTGGCAGACTTAGCAGCAGCAGTACAACACCCTTTACACAGCATTCCTGGTGGATTGATCTAGCTTCAACTCGCTCTCTAGGTATTAGATATTCTCCAGATTATTCAAAGAATACCAGAAGTTACCCACTCAGATTCAATATCGTAATTTGCCCATTGTGATATATGTGACTTGTAGCTTTTGAATGACCTCGAAGAACATCGAAGATAAAATGAAGCTTGTTAACTATGGGTGTAAGCTAACCCATCCATTCACTATGTAGAATATGAGTCATCACTCAAATAATGCTAAGTATACGTCTTCACACTATGAGAACCTCAACCCCTATCATTAATACTCTATAAAATACTTGAACCTATCATTGACATAAACTCAACTCCGTCTAGAGCACATAGCCAGAAACTACCCAGGGACAAACGGCCACCTTCCTCGTCGAACTTGGACAAAATCCAAGAGCTCAGTTCGTTTCTCGCAAGTGAACTCGAATCGCCCGGCCTACGTCATATAATCTCGTCGGCAGGCAGGTCTCCTGATCTGGAATGCAAGGGTGGCAGTGTGTATGTAGGTAGGCAGGACAACAACAGATGATACATGCAGACACGGCATATACATACATAAGGGAAAAGCAAGGGAGGCTGAGCGATAAATAAAGGGATTGATAGGGGGGGTAGGTCAGCTAAATAGGGCTACGTACATGCGTGTGCATAGGTAGTAAGACATAAGTACGTCTATGTATACGTTGTAGATTTTACTAATGGTACTACGCTGGTAGCCGGAATCGTTAACCGAGCGTTAAGACTTGGGATGCGTGGAAGCGCGCGCTAACGGAGATATGTATGTGTGCACATATGTGAGAGCCTGTGACACATGGCTGGTATGCAGCAAGGGTTCTGATTGGGAGGTTTTAGATGATGGCGAAAATCCACGTCCGGGACTCCGGGACTCGGACGAAGGGTTGGTATGTAGTTGCCTGTAGGTATCACGGCGGAACTCCCGGAATGTGTCAGGTGTTCGAGGATACGTCAAGTCTAGAGAGCGCCTACGAAAAGCCCCGGAGGACCCTTGAATGATTATCGAATAGGAATGCCAAACTTCACTCTTATGAAGTCATCCTCATTCTGGCCTGAATGTGAGTTTTCTTCCCTGTGTGATTCTTATGAGCTAATGACTTCGATCGGAAGCCTAGAGTCTCATTATGCAGTTTCTTAATAGCTGGGTAACCTTTGAGCCTACAACACAAACAACAGCTGCAAGTATCCTTCGTGGGCAATATTATGGTTCAAATTTTTATACGTATAATTGAAGTACCACGCTCCTCCTGGTATCAATCAACTTTACCATATAAACACACGGGTTTCTCAAGCTAGGTTGAGGCTGGGCAGGCATTACCACTTGCTCAGACATGCGGTCAGAAAACCGAGCTGTGGACGAGGGAGACGAAACCATACAACTAGATACATTTGGCGGCTCCAAGTAGGTCGAGCACAAGCGGCTTCATGTCTGCATAACCCCAGATTTTAGTATCCCGGCCTTGAAAAATGGGTTATTGCTAGTTGCTTCCCTCGTGATATATAGATGCGTTGACGATGGATAATATGGAAGTTTAGGTAGTATTTGTGATCTTGAGAGCATTGCAGTTGACAAATTCAGCGATATTAGTTATGGTCATGAAAGTGTTCATAGGATTCCGGGTGACACCTGCTCTGAAATACTATCGGAAATCAAGGCAAGTCCAACCAGAACAGGGGATGATTACCCCTATTGTGAATGGCAAGTCTTCGGGGTTGCCTTGCAACTTCCTAACACCAGGTCGAGCGATCCTCTCACGAGGTTTAATTTAAGCCCAGGATTTCTTGCATCTCACATTCTGTTTCTCTCTTTTATCACAAGTAAACACAGCTAGTCTTAGTCGCCCTTCAAAATCACCCCCATACCATCCGAGTTAACTATATACATTCACTTACCAACCAAGAGAGTAACAAGGCGAATCAAGCCTCGAGTATACCAATCACACTGCCACTCTTCTATATCCTCAAACAAGGAAAAGTACACTGTAGAAATAAGCAGGTTCACTCTACACCATCATCACAACCATGGAACACGACCACGTAATCACCATCGACATGGGGAAGCCAGAGTACAGCCAGGCCTCCCCAAACATGACCCCAAGTGTGTCACCACCACAATCCGACGATGGACGAACCCAGAAGCCCGCATACGCAGCATCTAACAAATCCTGCTTCGTCTGCCGCAAGACGCTCTTGCTGAGCTACTTCAGCTGCTGCGCCGTGTGCCTCGGCGTCGTTGAGTACCAGCTCTCGCAGAAAAGGGGCAGGCCAGCCCGGGACACGCTCCCCACCAGCGAGACATCGAACGCCTCATCCTCCTCGCCATCCTCATCCACGTACTCACTCCCAACCACCAAGTACGGGCCCCAACATAACACCACCACTACTACTACCACCACCGCCATCATCCAAGACCCCTCCTCCCACAACCCAACACCGCCACCGCACTGCGACAGCCCGTACTGCCGGTACACGCACCACCGCCCGCTAATGCTGCTCTTCGCGGCCTGCGAGCTAGTTCCGTCGGCCGGCGGTCTCGCGGTGCTGGCGGCGGCGCTGAGCCGGCGCGACTTCGCGCTGCTGCGGTTCGCGGGCGTGCTGCTGCTGCAGTGGTGGCAGATCTTCGTGCTGCCGCGCCGGTGGGCGTGCGGCCGCTCCATCGTCGCCGGACAGCTCGCCGCCTGCTGCTTCATGGTCTGGTTCTACGTCGACGCGGCCCGCTCCTGGCGCTGGTAGGAGCCCCTCGCCGTCAGCACCGTGTTGTTGAAGATCGTGTTTCCTTGGTAATGTAGCTTTGGTTTCGGGTTGGGGTTGGGGTTTGGGGTTGCTTGGAACCGGAACTGGGACTGGAGTTGGGATTGGAACCGTGACTGTAACGTCACCATGGATATGGCTATAAGAAATGGCGGGTGGGGATACCCAGTGCTTTGCGGAAGGGGCGTGAATATGATAGAAAAGGGGGTGCGTAGGCGTTGGGCGTTATAAGACGGGTTTCGTTACCGGTGTTGTATTTTTTCGAACAGAGACATGGATTAGTAAATCATGATTTTATCACCATTCTTCAGCCATATATTTGTGAAAATTATCTCTCATAATCTAATAGTCCCATGATTCCTAGCTACTGCAACACCCGACAGACATAATGATTTAGTACTATGCCAATCGACGCCATGCTTGTTGTCAATGCTTCAAGTATGCCTATGAGCCCCATGCCATTGCAATAATTATCAAAAACTTTTATATCTCCAATACATACCACCCGTTTAGAACATATGGGTTTAAAAAATAACCCTTAATTCCCCATACATTACTTCGCCCCAATGAGTTCTTTAGGCAGGAAGGCCCATACCGTCCCGACGATGGAGATGGTGAGAGATATGAGCATGACAGTCCAAACGAGAATACGCTCCCCTGCGGCAATCTCGTGTCCGAATAATTTCAGGTAGAAAGCTAGAGGAAGTCTGAAGAACCATTAGTTAATGCTTATGGGGACACAGGGCTAGAAATAGGGGAATGTGAGCACTTACGTGACACAAATAGTGAAACAGAGAGCGCTACCCATGAAGGCCATGATAGAATCGAAGGCCGGGAAGAGGATAGCAATTCCCAAAAACACAAGTAGCGTTAACACTCGCACGAGAGCTTTCAGTAAGCCTCTTGCGGTACTAGATAGTCCGACTAAGGATGTCTCTTCGGCAACAACTTGCTGGCGAAGGCCGAATACAACTTCCAACGTTGTGACGATCGGCTGGGAGTTTAAGGGGATCTTCGTTAGAGGGATTATAGCAATAAACACAACGAGGAGAACGTTCAGAACATTGGGGTAGCCCGTAGTTTGAAGGATGTTGCTTGTGATCTCATCACGAACGCCGTCTCCAAACATGATAACTCCTATGATAGCTACTGCAGCATCTAGTATCAACTATAGAAAATCAGTCCTGTCCAAAGTTTATCGGTCTGCTTTCTTTGGGACTTACGGTAAAGCTAAACGTATATGTAACCGCCTGCCAGGGGTCAGTTTAATTCATTATCGAGAAAGAATCATCGGATATCATACCTCTTTATAACGGTACGGATGACGCATATCCCGATATATCTAGATTTAGGTTAGCTTATCCCCATCTCTGGAGTGTTTGGAAGAGGCTTACATTTGGAAAGACACTGTGTCCACCCCATGGCGACATAAGTAGTCCAAAGGATAGGGGTAGAGTTAACCAATTTGCAGGAAACAGATAAGTCGCAGCTGGTTCTAGGAGAGAACCGGGAGTATGCGGTTTTAATAAGCCATCGAGTATAACAATGATTACAACTATACCGCTTTATCAATATTCTCGCACTGCCTAGATGATTTAGAAGGGGACTTACTGCTTAGACAGGAGACCACCCCAATGAAACTGGTGAATGACAGAAGGGATAACGGAGCAAATTGCAAGGGTATCATGATAAAAGTACAGATAACTTTCCACTCGGTGACGCTCAATGTACCAGGAAATAAGAGCGCCAACGAGTCAGCAAAAAGGACAATAAGAGCCACACAAGCTGCAAGCAACTCCAGAGTGAACAATACGGCCGTCATGATGCGCGCTTTCCTGCCAAAGGAGATGAATGCTATGTCGGAAAATGTGATCATGGTAGGGTCGAGATCCATGCATTTTGCCAACAGTCTCGCCGTCCAGCTGGTCACCGCGGCGCACAAACAAAGCGCGATTAGCCCACAGACCCAACCGGCATACTTCAGACCCATAGGAAGGCTCAATAAACCAACGCCGATCAACACACTGAGGAAATGACTTAGCAAAACAGAACCAGGGGGCGTAAAAAAGGAATCCTTACTTGGTGGAATTCACAACTGTTTGCGGTAGAGTTGATTGACCGGATACTTGCAACACAATTCTCCCTTCCTGCTCAACCTCCTTCACTAAGATTGGTTGGCGTTCCCCGTCAGGCACATTTGCGCCAGATTCTTGCTGCTGGCGCCATAAGTCTGCAGCATGAACCATGGAAGAATGAGTAGCCGCCGATTCAACAGTACCGTAGCTCCGAATTGAACCATAGCTACCGACTAGGGGAGGAACAGCCAAGTGCGGCGGCGTCGAGAATATCGAGGTGCTGCGAATAGAGCCAGATGGGGAAGCTATTCTGTAAAGGTCACCACCGAGACGTTTTCGTTCGCCTTCCTGACCTTCAATTCGTGACGGGGGCGTTCCCACGGGCCCAGAATCCTCAAAATCGGCAGAATCCGGCGTAGGCGCTTCTTCAAGATCTCTTCTTAGAAGAGATGTTCTAGGTCCTGCCTCGACATCGCGCCTAGCGTATGGACTAGGGTCTACCGTCTGAACTGGTTCCTGATCTGGAGCAAACACGAATGCCGGTTGCTGCGGAATGATTTCAGGGAAAACTGAGGCTCGTTGCCAGCTCCTACTAAAAGACCTGATGCTGTTGACGCCCCCAATGTCTGTCAATGCGGCAAGGCGATTCGTTACAGAAGATCTATAAGAATTGTTACAATTAGTCTATACAGAAATAACTCGATGACAGAGCTACCAACCTTCGTCCTATTCCTTGGTGCTGCTCATCGCACCCACCCTGTTCACTCAGTAGTGCTTGGTCTTCGGATTGGACGCTCTGGATAGCAAGGGATGATAAACTATCGCTTCTACCGGGCGAAGCCCCGCGATTGTACTCCTCCCACGTCGTCGCTTGTCTCGCAGCCATTGCCTGGAAATTTACTAGACGGAACTGCGAGAGCCCTAGTATCTACAGAAACGCTTGTAATATTGCAACTCAGATTTACTTAAGTATTTAAGAGAGACCCGAAACGTGAGATAGTTGACGAGGTGATCGCGGTTAGTGGCGCCCTAGTAAGAGGGGCTAAAACTAGATGGAATCGATTCGGGCTACTTCACTATGAGACATAGGTAAGTCTGGATGAAAAGATGTAAATATGGAGAGACACGGATAGAATATTGAAGAGAAGTTGAAATACATAAATGTAGTAGCTCGGGGAAAGACCTGACAAGTAATGTTTAGAAACGGATAGCAAGCAGTGAAACCCTGGCTACATATCTATGCAGCTATCTTTACCTCAATTGCTAGATAATGGTGGAGTCGGTTATGCACAACGGCGCGGTGGCTAAGGTTGACAAGATCTGCAAGGTTGAAGATGGTGTTAAGATTGTTTATCAGAATAAATTAGTACGGCGCTAGCTTGTTAAGATATACTTTCTAGACCTTGAGATCTACTTGCCGCCGTGGAAAATAGTCTCATGATTTGACCTCTTGCACCTGCCGGGGTTGGACAAGATCCTTGAACCATCGTTGTAACTTCCATCTAGGCTTCGGGGAAGTCGCCGCCAAGCTATCGTGATAATTGCATTGTGTCCGAGTTATTGGACAATTGATTCGATGTGGAGAGATGTGGAGAATGTTGACAATCCCTTTTCCAAACGGCTCGTGCGAGCAAGGCTGATAGTGTCACGCATATTACATATGTTCTGCTTCTGTCTCGCAAAAATTTTCTGCGTCCTGGTGATAGCCGTTAATTTTTACGATGCTGGTTTCAGTGCGGCTGGCGGCGGGTTTCATCGAGGGCGCTTTTCGTCGGCATGAACCCGGGAGGATATAGTTGGAAATCGAGAGCAAATGCTGGAAATTCCACAAGTGAACTTCCCGCCCAAACCTGCCAAACCTACCACTTCTAGAACCCTCGATATGTACATGAGGTCCCCGCATAACACGGACACAGCGGATAGGTAATTCCTCCATCTTCCATAGCACGTAGCGCTTCGCGCGCTTCAGAACCTGCAATCCTGTTGTTGACGCGAATCGCTTGATAGGTTCCAACCTGGCTTGACGTAATTAACCAACCGGTGAGATCGAGGAACTGAACTTTGGCAATCTGTGATTTCAGCTACGTAAACTCAGTTATCACTTATTCACTTAACCAGTAAAAGAAGAATGTAACTAATCATATATCGAATACACCCTGTTAATTATGCTGATCACTGGCTTACCCTTTACAGCATCTAGGCTTGCACCCATTGGCCGCTGCCACACTCTCCACTTTCCTCTTCTTTCAATATACATACTTCAAAGGTTGGTTGCACATACTAGAAAATTGGCCAGCTCTTTACGATACACAACAATGATCGCAATGCTAATTGATTGGGGCAAGCTGGCATGGAGCACTCCCATTCTACGAGTCTGCCTACCTAGGTATCTCAGTTCCAACGTTGGGATGAGATAATCTAACAAAGGCGTGCGCTATCGATTCATTGGCTCGTAAGGGCGAGCCTGTGAGCAAGGACAAGCTATGGAATAATGGACTTGGACCGATGGTCATGAGTCGTCAATGTGCACTTCTTATGGTTAGGAGCTTGGTGAAACTGTTCGGCTTGGGCGGGGATTCCAATACTACGACGTGGGATTACGCTGTAGCTGAGGCAGTCATTACAACTCCCAGTGACGACTTGTCATGGAAGCCACGCTCAAGAATAGCACATTCGATTCACTGGGAATGAGCCGAGTTATTACCTTAACAGGACTGGGTTGGATAACCACGCTGAACTTGACCAGAACTTGCTGGATGTATGCCGTGTTACCCCCAGTGCCGTCGAACTTGTTAAGGTGGACAGATCACGCAAGGTGCTATTGGCGTACAAAATCGTGCCCGAGTGTTGCTCGCCTACTACGGCGCACTGCTTGTGGCTTTCGCCCATCAATCTCAGCACAACACGACCTTTTCAGTAAACAATCCTCTCCTCTAGGTGCCACCTTCCTCCAAGCCCATGCAAAGATGTTCAAAACTCCCTTTAGCAATGATGTCATATTATGCACTTGGCTGACTCCACACAGAGCTACCAGGCTCCTATGAGTCGTACTGGATTGGATTTGATGTATGTCCTAGGGACACCCCTCATTGGTCAAAAGCACAAGGAGACAAAGCTGTCTTTTAGAATCAGGTAGCGATATGTGTAGGTTATACTCCGTTGTGCTGCTTCTGAATACCCATAACGCAGTAGTATTCTCACCTACGGCCTCGCCAATAATGGTGTCCCGGACTGAGTTGAACAGCTTTTTCTTGAGACCGTCCTTGACAACCAAAAAAACTAATACATAGGTATATTTACCTTGAGCTAGCTGAAGTTGGTGTGAAGAACTCGGGCACGAAATGACCAGATATTAAGACCGACCTCAAGAAAGATTGAACCCTGGAACTTCTCATCTACCCCTGTCGTCGTACGTGTGTCAGCTCTAGAAGGTCGAGGTAGGCTATGACGACGAGCAGACAAATTTGCTTCAACGTCAAATATAAATTCTAATATCCAATAAGACACTGTGAAGACAGCGCTTTCACCCCGTTCCTCGGCGGAGACGAGAATAACCAGGGCGATATGTTTTCTGTCACCTAGCATAGTTTTTATAGAATTAGGTTCACATCCTTAGACGATGACAGTATTGACAGACCTGGGAACATGATGGAGGGTATTCGGATGGAGAAAGTTCCTATCGCGCTGGAACAGCAGAGGATGGGAAATTGTGAGGGGATCTCACTCCTAGACCGGGCTGCAGCACCATTCTCGCAACGGTGTAAAACTTTAGATAACATCCATTGATAGCCCAGACAACGGTTTGTTAGAACTAGGGGCAATTATTCACTGTCTTTAAACATGACCATGGATTTGTAGGGGTTTCAACACAAGAAATGTGTACTAGTAGAGTCGGAAGAGAAGCTCTATTATACAGTCTTGGAACTGTAAATCAAACGATCGTTGGATCGAACCAGGGAATTGTTCTTATAGCAACTGACTTTAAGGATTTGGAATCTTGTAAGTATAATTAAACTACAGCCATACGAATATAACAGCTTTATTTCAACCTTTATTACATTAAGGCTAATTTGAGCACCTCAAATGCGCTCAATTATATAGAACGAGGCGTTTAAAATGTGAAAATATTTTGAACCTTTTGACAACAAGGTCAGGGGGGGCGCTCTAAGGTACCTAGCAATCTAATCAGGTCTAACGCAAGAAAAATAAAACTGTACCTTTCTATGACTAGCCCTATGAATATAGACGGGACTCATAACGTTTGTTATATAAAACTTCCTTTATACGTATTTTCAATCAGAGCTAACATGTGTCGTATAACGTCTTGATGGGAGGAAGCGAACGGGTCACGTGTGACGAAAGAGAAATAGAAAATCAACAATACTCGGCCCGGCACGGTAAATTTTAGTGTGTACCGTTTGAAATTCTGTGGACACTTGAGAGATAAGATTGTAGAATTGGGTGATGTCATCGTTTCTGTATGGGGCAACAAGGTAGAATGGCACTCCGTGACTCCGTGTCTGCACGTAAAGCCATGCGCCGTAAACCTCGTCCGCTCGAAGATCGTTTAGGAGCACTCCTCATTTTGGGCACTTGATGATAAGCTTGAAAAGAAAGCCCTTGGTTCGTTCTAATATTGGCCAGACGGATACCTAGGTACGCTGTGACATGAATATGTATCCTCTTGTCGTTATGGAGTATGCATCTGTGAAACTGAGTTCATTGTACGACTACTCAGTTAATGGCACTTGATATAGTAGGTAAGGCGAGGCTACGTTGAATGGTAATGGGTCAAAATCTATATGTACTAGGTAAACAAGATGAGGCTCTGAGTAAGGCAAGCACCAGGGTGATGCAAGACTTGCGAGACTTATTAGATGAACTGAGAAGCTTCCAGCCGGCTGACGTCTGGACAATGATCAATCAGTGATCAAACACTGGCGAAAAATTAAGATTAAAACCTAGAATGTTCTGTGCCAGGTGACGAGGCAGTGAAATTCAAATATTCAGGTAGGTGCGTTGCTCACGTATGCAGGTACGGTCGATGCCTGATTGCGTAGCCAGTTGTCTGCCTGTCGATAAACCTTATCGGTTAGTAAGCCTTGGGCACTGGGCAAGTGCAGACAGTTGGAATCTGGCTTGTTCAACAGTTAGGCTGTGGAAGTCATTGGAAGATGTGGCGGGCTCTGCACTGTTAGGCCACTTGGTCCGAGCTCCTTCCGCCTCTCGTCATCAGCAGCTCAAACACTACTAGTACTAGGACCGTAAGAGCAACCAAACTCCGAAATTCAACAACTTCCTCACATCCCGCACTTAACATCATCTCCCTTCTTCCATTCCGTGAACCGTAAATCTTTTTTAACCTTACACACACACAATCATTGCGAAGGGACAAGTTTCCTCTGCAAATTTTCCCACAGATTTCCCTTCCGCCCACCTTCATTTTTTGTGCGGTTGTTCGCACAACTTCTACCACTCCCCACCGATACCAACCTTTCCATACACACTTTCATTCTCACAACAAACAACATGGCACCGGAACCTGAACACAAGAAAAAGGTCAACCTGGCGTAAGTTTACCATTCGACAGAAATCATCCCATTGCAGACTTGAATTCAAGCTGACCTCTGAATAGCGACGTCTCTGGTACCGAGCACAAGGAAGTAGTACGATACCCCATCCTTATGCCCGTATGAGCTCAAAGCTAACAATCACTGTAGGAGAATGATGTCTCTACGGCTATTCTCAAGAAGAAGAAGAAGCCTAACCAGTTAATGTATGTATCCCCATCTCTCGTGACGTTGAAATCGGCGACGGTCACTGACTAACTTCCGCAGGGTTACCGATGCCATCAACGATGACAACTCGATCATCGCGCTTTCGAACAACACTATGGAGCAGCTCCAGCTATTCCGAGGAGACACCGTTCTCGTACGCGGAAAGAAGCGAAAGGATACCGTCTTGATTGTGCTAGCCGATGATGATCTTGATGATGGCAGCGCCCGACTCAACCGAGTCGTTCGTCACAACTTGCGAGTGAAACACGGCGATATCGTCACCATTCACCCGTGCCCAGACATCAAATATGTGAGTTACTTTTTCCAGCTCGTTAAAAATATTGGGACAACCCGTCACTGACTTCATCAACAGGCCAAGCGCATTGCGGTGCTCCCCATTGCCGATACCGTTGAGGGTTTGACCGGCTCCCTCTTCGATGTATTCCTCGCCCCGTACTTCCGAGAGGCATACCGACCTGTCCGTCAAGGCGATCTTTTCATCGTCCGAGGTGGCATGCGGCAGGTAGAATTCAAGGTTGTCGAGGTTGATCCTCCCGAGTACGGTATCGTTGCACAAGATACTGTGATTCACTGCGAGGGTGAGCCGATCCAGCGTGAGGAGGAGGAGAACAACCTCAACGAGGTTGGCTATGATGACATTGGTGGCTGCCGCAAACAGATGGCCCAGATCCGAGAGATGGTTGAACTGCCTCTACGCCATCCTCAACTTTTCAAGTCTATCGGTATCAAGCCTCCTCGTGGTGTCCTGCTCTACGGTCCTCCGGGTACTGGTAAGACGCTGATGGCGCGTGCTGTTGCGAACGAGACTGGCGCATTTTTCTTCTTGATCAACGGTCCCGAGATCATGTCCAAGATGGCCGGTGAATCCGAGTCCAACCTGCGCAAGGCATTCGAAGAGGCGGAGAAGAACTCGCCCGCCATCATCTTCATCGATGAGATCGACTCCATCGCTCCCAAGCGAGAGAAGACAAACGGTGAGGTCGAGCGACGTGTCGTCTCTCAGCTTCTTACCCTCATGGACGGTATGAAAGCGCGATCCAACGTGGTTGTCATGGCTGCCACCAACCGTCCTAACTCTATTGACCCTGCATTGCGACGTTTCGGTCGTTTTGATCGCGAAGTTGACATCGGCATTCCCGACCCTACCGGCCGCCTGGAGATTCTCCAGATCCATACAAAGAACATGAAGCTTGGTGACGATGTTGATCTTGAGCAGATTGCCGCCGAAACTCACGGTTACGTCGGTTCGGATATTGCTGCTCTTTGCTCGGAGGCTGCTATGCAGCAGATCCGTGAGAAGATGGATCTCATCGACCTTGATGAAGACACTATTGACGCCGAAGTTCTGGATTCGCTGGGTGTCACTATGGAGAACTTCAGATTCGCGTTGGGCGTCTCCAACCCATCTGCTCTTCGCGAAGTCGCTGTTGTCGAAGTTCCCAACGTCCGCTGGGAAGACATTGGAGGTCTGGAGGAGGTCAAGCAAGATCTCAAGGAGAGTGTCCAGTACCCTGTCGACCATCCCGAGAAGTTCCTCAAGTTTGGTCTATCTCCGTCGCGTGGTGTCCTGTTCTATGGCCCTCCTGGTACAGGTAAAACGATGTTGGCCAAGGCCGTTGCGAACGAATGTGCGGCCAACTTCATCTCTGTGAAGGGTCCAGAGTTACTCAGTATGTGGTTTGGTGAATCGGAGAGCAACATCCGAGACATTTTCGACAAGGCTCGTGCGGCTGCTCCTTGTGTCGTCTTCTTGGACGAGCTGGATTCGATTGCCAAGGCCCGTGGTGGATCCGTCGGCGACGCTGGTGGAGCTTCGGACCGTGTTGTCAACCAGCTCTTGACGGGTAAGTTTCTCTGAAGTTCGGTGTATGTTTTGCATTGCTAACGTAATATTATAGAAATGGATGGTATGACATCAAAGAAGAACGTCTTCGTTATTGGAGCTACGAACAGACCTGAGCAGTTAGATCCGGCTCTGTGCCGTCCAGGTCGTCTTGACTCGTTGATCTATGTGCCCTTGCCCGATGAGGCTGGCCGTCTCGGAATTCTCAAGGCCCAGCTTCGCAAGACGCCAGTTTCCAGTGATGTCGATCTTAACTACATTGCGTCCAAGACTCACGGATTCTCCGGTGCCGATCTTGGTTTCATCACCCAACGAGCTGTCAAGATTGCCATTAAGGAATCTATTACACTCGATATCGAGCGCCAACGTGCTCGCGAAGCCGAGGGTGCCGGGGATATGGATGTAGACGAAGAAGTTGAGGACCCGGTCCCTGAGCTGACCAAGCGTCATTTCGAGGAGGCCATGCAAATGGCCCGAAGATCCGTCAACGATGTGGAGATTCGTCGGTACGAAGCATTTGCACAGCAAATGAAGAATGCCGGACCTGGCGCTTTCTTCCAGTTCCCGGCCGCCACAGGTAGCGCTGACGCTAGCGCTAATGACAACAACTTCGGTCAAGCTGCCGACGACGACGGTCTCTACGACTAAGTCTCTTCCATGGTCAACGAATACAAGCAAATCCGCCGTTGTACACTTATTTTCCCCTGACGAACGCCTCGGCCTAATTGGTAGCGCCATCCACTAACCAGGGCTATGGATTTAATGCCAACCTTCCCTTTTTGTGGTGGCCTGCAAAAGGCATTGCATTTATGATAGATTCGAGGCAACCAGATGCTGGTTATGAATGAGATGAGGCCTATTTTTCTTGCGCAATGATAGGTATGATCCTTTGAGCTTTGGCAAACGCAACGGTGTTTCTATCCTAATTTCGGTGGGGAATGGTGGCCATGAGATATGGTACATCAGGAAAACAAATTAGTTTGCGATAGATTCATTAATTGACTTTGCCTTGCTCCAGTATCCTTTTACTACTAATGTGTCGTTTTTATACTTGTGTGAAGATGCGTGAAGTGTGTACTTGTCAGCGTCATGCTGTCCAGGTCTCTATTACAACAATTACAGTCTACCTGTGCCCAACAATTATACATACATTCACCGTAGCAATAAACGTTGTAGTGAAGCGTCTCGTTCTCAATGAAGTGATAGGTTATTCTACGGGTATGTCTAAGTCAAAGCATTTGAACGATACTCGTCATTGCTGCAGAACGGAGAATACAAAGTCAAACAATGCTGTAGACGACTTTCTCGGGCCATCATAAGTCAAAACCGAGTTGCTAACGCCAATGCTCCCCCCTTCCCCCATGCCAAATCTCAGAAGAAAAAAACGTGCAGTAGTCGTCCGACGAAATAGAAGTGCTCCTCCCCCTTTATCCCCCTTTACCTCCCCATTTCGGATTCTTCGTTGTCTAAAACCCTGCTGGCGCCCATCGTACATGTACTACCTAGGAATACAAAGCGGAACCACCCCCTTGCCCTTCTACCGCCCCTCGTCTATTCTCCTTTCCTCGTGCTAAATGCGCAGTGTATGGTACTCTCTTCATCCACTGCCGTCGTCAACGGGTCGTTATGTTGATCGTTGTTGGTGGGGGAAGACGGATCCGCGTTGCGAGCCGGTGCCGGTGCTGGGGGCGGGCGCGGCGAGGAGGAGGAGGAAGAAGAAGAGGAAGAAGAAGAATCCGGACGAGCCTCCTAGCCGGCCGGGCCGTCGTCGACCTCGCACACGGACTCCAGACACTCGCGCGTCAGCTTCAGGACGGCGTCGACGACGGCCTGCGGCACTGCCAAATTGTTGTTACTGTTGTTATCCCCACCGCCCGCGCTACCGTTGCCGTTACCGTTGCTGGAGCCGTTAACGCCCGCCTTCCCGTTCGAGGTGGTGCCGTTGGTGTTATTTTCGGAACTGTTAGGGTCGGAAGAGGCGGCAGCGGAGGCGGCGAAGGTGTCGTGCCGCACGTCCTTGAGGACGCGCTGCACGAGCGCGGGGAATGTGGTCACGTCGCCTGAGCGCAGGAGCGCGAGGGCGTGCGTCTGTACGGCTGACGGCCAGTTCGAGGTGTGCGCGTTTAGGGAGTGGAGGAGGTGTTCTTGGATCCTGTTTTTAGGAGGGGGGTTAGCTTAGGGCTTTCTGGGGGTCGGGATTTAGCTAGGTAGGTAGGCATGGCATGGCAAGGCAGGGTGTCTTTTTGTAAGGAGATGAAGACGAGAAGAGGGTGAAGAGGGTGAAGAGGGGGAGATGGATGGGGCGAACGTACTTGGCGATGTGGCCTTCTCGGATGAGAAGCATGTTGATCTGCGACCGTAGATCTGAGTCCTGCGTCGCGGGCGTGTAGGAGGCCGCCGATTGCGGCACTTTGACTGGTGTTTGCGACATTGTGTTCGGTTGTCGATGTGGTTGGGTAGGGTGGAATGGGATGAGATGGGATAGGTAGGATGGAGGATTTGGTTCCCCCTCCTTTGACAGTATGTATTCCTGCCCTCGCTCCTTTTCAGAAAGGTGAGAGCTAAGAAGGTGGTAGACGTCGCTCGGACGGGGCCGGGATACGAGACGGTCCCCGGAATTGGTGGCCGGTTCGGTGGAATTTAGACTTTTTTTCTTTTCGAAGCGCGGCGGTTAGAGCACGAATAGGCGTAGATGTGTGAATTTCTAATTCCTTTGCTAACAGCGACTTTCTGATGTCTCGCAAACTGCCAGACGAGCGTAATTCGCAGATAAGGAAGCAGGAATGCGGGATGCAATTCGCAGCTCGGGACTGCCAGTGGGATTTGGGTCGGTAAGGCGAGGCTGACAATTATCCGGAAAGTTTGCCAGGGCGAGGCTGAAATAGCTTCGTAATAAGTGGATAGCTTAAGGTAGCCGAGTGTGGGGCTCCGGGCGTGGTTTAGGTTGGCCTAGTCACCATGGTGGGTCCGGTATTTGTGGGTCTTTGGCTAAATCCCCAAGTGTGGCTTGTGGCTTCATAGTACGTAATAGGGGCTAGAACAATCCTAGAACTGCCCCCTTTCAAGATATTCCTCGGTCCGCTATTTAATATGTACTACCTACTAATGTTCAGCATTCATCAATAGCAACTTAGATGAGTTGAGAGAATACGTTCAATATCATGGTTATAAATTGAACTTGAAAGCGAGATCTCAATGCAATAGCTAGGGTTATATGGTTCGTATCTATTCATAGTAAGTATCACCAGTAAGTTCATTACCAGCCAAGACCAACATACATGCAACTTACGCGTCCTTGGAGGCCCGTATATGTACTTACAATTTCCACTCTTCAGTTTACAAGGCCAATGTCGTCTTACGAGAAAGTCTAATTGTCCTTACTATGTGTTAGTAAACTTTGAATACATACATAACCGAAGTATTAACACTAGGTACAAGCTTATATCATTCTATACACTCGAATCTTAACTCGTAAGAGGGCTCGATAATGCCAGTGTAGGTAGCTTCATATTAATATTTACTACCTCTATATGAGCAGCCATGATCTTTGCTCTAAGATGACTATCCTTTCATACCTACGCATGTCTCAAGCTCCTCGGTTCGTGAAGTGACACGGCAACATCATATCAAAAAATGAGAACAGGGAACACATGTATGCAATTACTTTTCTGTACTTTCGTGTCCCTAACTTCGGGATCATGGAAATCATACGAAATTGTTCTCGGGGAATAAGTGTTGAGATACTTCAAGTTGTAAGACACTCCTGTAGACTACGTTAAGTACTCGGGCAAAAATAATAACCCTTAAATACCTGCTTAAGTATATGAGACTGGGGATGTTCTTGGAATATATACAACTAAATGGAGGCAAAATGACAGGGGCAAGTACTGACGGTGTTAATGTAAAGTACCTTGTCATTAGTACGTTCTCCTATCTGTGATATCTTGCTTCTATTAATAGTATAACTGAAGAGGAAAAATGTCAAAATTACAGTAACATGCAAGATCAGTTAAGTCGGCATCTCTATGTAAATGCTGTGATAATGCGACGTTGGACATAACGATGCAGTGAGCGTTGGTCTTACTTACCTGATTACCCTCGACGACTGATAGATCTCACGGCGGTAATTCTCCACACGAGACGTCTTCTTCGAGTGCCAGGGAGCCAGACTCTAGACGCTGACCGCATGCCAGTCTAGTCGGTGATTCCCCACGAACGTGTCGCCATTACTCATAGCCCAACTTCATCACGCTGACGAGAAGCCAAGAATCGGCATCTGGGGTCCATCGTCAGTGTCGCATCTGTAGGCAGATGTTGTTCTCACCGACTTATTACTTCTCTTTTCTACTATAACCTGCAGTGTAAGGATTGTTGCATTCGGCTCGGTCTGTGAGCGACGAATCAAAGTTAGCCGGATCAGCCGCGACCTCGATACTATTCGCTAATCTGGCTTGAGCTTTCTTACCGCGGCCGCGCTAAAGGTCCCGTTTCCCTGGCCAGCTCAAATGACCGATTCTCTGCAGCGTTGGGCTCTTTCCAAGGTTCCCCGTAATGTGATATATGATATACCTAACCTGGTCGGGATGACGATGTTGTAATGCGGGCATCAATGACACGAGAGCAGATGATGACTTCGAGGCTAAAGAAAAAGTCGGTCTGAATTAAGACACCTGGTGATGGCGGTTACGGCGAGATGGTCTTCTGGGGTAGCTGAATGGCGATTGGTCGTAAAATTAGGCTTCTCGCAGCCCCGTTACTTGCCGTGATCTGCATTAGCTCCCTAGTGTCGCAACAACTGCCAGCATGGATAACACGCACGGGCTGAGAAACTCGACGTAGGCACGTACGATATGTTGCCGTCTCATCGGACTGGGGCCGCTTACTCTCAACGCTGAGAGGTTTGTCAACCGTTGCGCCTACCCTTCGCCCTGCATGACTCTCTTCTCTCGCTTCGACGTGCTGAGCGAGGCCCCGATGCCCCAAGTGTTTAATTGGCGTTCGTTTTAAAAGGCTACCCACGGATTAAAGTACCGGCCAACGGCGCCTAGCAACAGCATCATCTTTGTTCCACGTTCGCCCCAGATTCCTATCTTAAGAATAGTCTAATTATCGAGATGTATTTGTGAGTTGAGCACAAGGTATCTTCCATGTACCAACCCGGAACATATTGTTTTGTCATTCACCGGAATTTAGGCCTCGAGTAGTCGATACACATGTACTAGTAAGCTTGGACATTATCGTATCTCGCCGGTGACAATTCTCGTCGAACGCAAATGCGGCTCGGGTAGCTGCGTGAATTCGAGTTAGGATACAGTCAGTTAAAATAATCCAGGCATGAAAAAAGTCAACTTAAACGGATTCTAACATCAGCCAGCCGCTGTTTGATAGGCAAGCCTCGCGGAATACCTGGTCATATGGTCGACGACCGAAAGTCATGCTAAATGGCCATAGCACAGGAATGTCGGGCATAACTGGAAGATTATAACTTCAAGTGTCACAACTAGCAGGACAGGGCGGTTTCCGATCCATCACGCGCAGCGCCGTCCTGAAATCCCGATAGTGAGGCAGCAATTGGATATCCCGGGCGTGCAACCAGTTATATGCGGATGTGGCGCCTCCATGTCCTAGCGGTAAGCGCTGTCGGATAGGGATCGTGTCAGCGTCAGGTTAAAGATTCCATTAGCTCTTATGTGCGAAGGTCGACTAGACCAACACGCCGGCAGTGGTGCCCCCCACGATGATATTACCCGATCTTAGCCTGGCAGGAGCCCCCCGCGTCGGCGTCCGTCCTCTGAGTTCGTGAGTGGGCTGGGCCAGATGCAAAACGCACCTCCCAGGGTCATATCCAAGATCCGGGAGGGTTGCAATATGCACAGTCGGTATAGGCGTGGCGCCGGCTGGATCCGGGTTGCAGGAAATTGGGCTTGGGTGTCAGCCACCCACAAGAAACATGGCCGCATAGGAGGCTACCAGGTTGCTGGAATCATGAACCAACCTAAGACTAGGTAGGGCGGCCCGCATCTGCAGTAAGCTGAATGAGGAAGTAGAGACGTCAGGACCGTTATAGGTGTGGCAACGAACTAACAGGGAGTTACAGGGAGCTCCGAGGAGCTAGCCCAGCGGCGCCTGATCGGGAGAGCCACAGTGAATTATAATTGACCAGATATACATGGGAGAGGAGTGACGAAGCATGGAAGAATCGAATGCTACCGAGGATCGTCGATGGCACTACAGTTGACTGCATGTAGTCTCCTTGGACGTCTGGGATATGCAACTAGCATCGTAGCTACATGCACATGTAGGTGGCAGTCGAGGGACAACCTATCATGGTCGAGTCAAGGAGCAGTGGGAAGAAAAGAAAGTTGTAGGTATATGCGTGCTAAAGCTGACGGGATGTGATAGAATATTTGCAAAATTCCAAGGCTACGGAACTTAAAATAAACCCTTCAGGGATATGGACATATGTATGTATCGATTCACATCTGTTCACGCCTTCCTAGATTTAGACAAGATCCACAACCATCTAAAGGTAACTGAGATTAGCCCTTGCATCCCCGTGCTTTCGAATTTTGAAAAGGCAAGAAGCAGGTACTAAGTAGAAGTACTTCTGCCACATAATGCCACAGGTGCCACGCAATGTGCCGGGAAGTGCAATTTTGTATCTATGTAAGTAGGGGATTTGCCTACCCTATATATCACGTAGCTCACATCCAATGAACAGCTTAACCGACTCTTATATCGGCTGCCACATCGGCCTATGGATCAAATATTTGCCCTAGTAAGTGTGCAATATCAACAATTGGCGAATAAGGGGCACGTTTTCGCCTTAGTAAATAAGGTATCTCCTAGTGACTTCTATATTAAGATGGGGGTTACGCATAAGAGGCGGTAGCCACCCGCGTAACAAGCTCCAATAAACATGGCAGATTATGTCGGGCAGGAGTACATCTATTATAGCTAATCAACCCGTGAAATAAGGCATTTCGTATGGATATTTGTGAATATAAAGTTTAACGTTGCCAGTTTTTGGAATAGGGTGAGCTAATAAATCAACAACTGCACCCCTGAATGTCACTCGGGGAAGGAAGTAGATCTGTCTTTTGGAGGACCTAGTTTAAAATTAGTTTAGACTTAGAAACTTCGAGGTTGTGGCTTCATTGATTGACCTTGGCTTCGACTTCCCTTGACTGAGCTAGAGTTCCTAATGATGCGTGGAGCAATGTATCTCCCTTGTACAATTGTCTATCGCGTGGCGTACACCCTTATTCCCCAAGTACATCAAGTACGCATAGGTACTAACCCAGCATTGGCGGTTGCCCTGCGTGCATTGTGGAGGTAGGAGTTGACTCGTTATATGCCCTCTCAGCATTGAAGGCATACGGCCGTCTGGCTCTTGCCTATGTCTAACCTTCCAATCGTCCCCATTGATCTTTCGTCTCCAGTAGATCCACTATGAATGTGGAATGGCTCTTCGTTGCTCAACCATCCCCCACAATAATAACATGCTTCTCGGCGTCATGTAACCGACCCATTCACGTTCAGCTCTGGAAACACAAGTGCTGACCCGCGTCCATGGCTTGCAATAGCTGCTTGTTGTCGCGTCCTTTCTTATTCGTGAGCCCAACCACTTCACACGAGATCTGGCCGCTACTTTATAGGTCTTGTGACAACAATTTTCTTGTTCATCTTCACCGCTCATACGCAGCATCAGAGCCCAATAGCCCTCCAAAAGGCCAATGACAGCCAAGTTCGTAAGTCTGTACCACCCAACCCACGTGGTTTGGAAGTCAAGTACCTCTATGAGAAACGCTTATGCTGCCGCAGGACGTTGCCACCAACGGGCAGGCAAAGAAAGAGCCTCAAAACTTGCGGCAAAGGTAGGTGACATTGGCATCTGCATCTAAAACGTCAACCATGCCACCCTTAACCGCGAGCTCTAAACTTGGAGACACGCCTCGACACACGTCTATCCGCATC